AGAAGACAGGCGGGACGCGCAGAGTTGTGGATTGGCCAGCACGTTCCCGCACAACGGTTCAGCCGGCACATACTGGGGCGAAGGAATCGGAAGTCTCGACGCTTCGACGCCCCTATTCTCTATCCCCCAGCGCCACCGTTGCATTACTACGAAGTATAGTATTTGACCTGTCTAGGGCTCGGGGGCCGGTAACCGGCGGAAGGAATGAGATTCACTAGATTACACCAGCTGTATACTCCGTGTTCGTGGGGGATGCCGCGTGTCCGCGTTGCAAGGCGACCGGGGTGCGGCGCCACGCGTGAGATATTTCTTGGTGTTCTTTGTGTAGGATCTGAGATCTTCATTCTGGATGGGCGGCGATTGTCGGGTCTAGATGAGACTCGAGAGCTGGGGGGGGGCCAAAGTCCCAAAATTGGTCCAGCTTTCCTCTTTGGGTGCGGCTTGGTGCTTAAAGTGGGCTGGCGGAAACGGCCTCCCGGTTCCAGAGACACAGACTCGGATTGCGCTGGTGGATTTTGGCTCCTGTCAAGGGGTTTTGAGGATTTACAATGGGTATTTTCGTGGAGCTTCTTGCATAATGTAGTCAGCTATCCACTTTTGTAGTTTGGAGATGTTGGCTTTGGATTTGGAATTGAAGGGAAAATTCTGCGTTCATTTATTACGGGGCCCATGCCTGCAGGCAGAGACAATTCTCATTTTACCGGGTCTCACTCTAAAATCAATGGCTTAATGTCTGCAACTGCCGATAGAGGGGGGTAGTTTGCCGTGGTTGCTAAGATTCCGCAAGGAAGGTTCGAGTCCAGAGCTTACTAGTAGACTATTTTGATGATCATCCTGATCCGATATTGCGACAGACATCCTTGGCCACCGCGGCTGGTCCAATCTCTTTGTTTAAAGCACGTGCCTGAACATGTATGCGGGACTAAGGGTATTCCCTGTCATGTCAACACCCCTGTGCTCAAGATACTAGATCTTGTATAGTGAACAGGGGTTTGGTAGTGGGGGAGGCTAACAGAGATAGTCCGACCTATCGGAAAAACACTGATGGCAAAAGGATTATCGAAGAGTCTGGGCAACCGGACTAGAACTGTTCCTTTTCGGCGGAGGAATGCGTCTGGCAAGACATAGTATAGTGGTATAGTGGTATGTATATTGGTATCGATAGTCGCAATGTCGATCTATCGTTTTCCACCCTGATAGACGGTAAATTAGCGGTACTGAAGCACATCCTGTTGGATTCCGGCCGTTGCGAGAATCAATAGTTCCAACACCCAGAATCCTTAACCTCACCGTATACTGCCCCTACAGTGGTCGGGAACTCCAATTCCCCCACATTTCCCGCGGTGCGTTCCTTGGGACGGCACAGAAGAGGGGTATGATAGGTGTGAAAGTGTCTCTATCATCACTTCCGGGACGGCACGGCTGGATACTCGCGTGGTCAGAGGTGATAGAGGCGTGTTTTTCACGTTGTCACTAGCCACCGCGTATACATGTAGTTGCTTCGAGCAGTTGTAGATTATTGGACCCCATACTTGGCCCCAATATTGAGGAAGACACTATTGACCGGCGATGCCTCGGCGAAAGGGAACATGTGCCTGGTTCAGGGGTTAGACAGTCACGTGGATTTCCCACGTATCGAAGTGTTGTATTTCTTAGCAGTTGCTAGCCATTGGTCTTCAACTAATATATTATGCATATTGAATGGAGTGTCTAGTTTTTGAGGGCGTATTAACCTCCACTAGGTCGGCAACAAGCGCGATCGCACCAACTCCACAGTCTCCAGGTGCAAGTCCACTATATACTCAGCTCGACGTAACCAGTGGCAATTGCTTTACACTTTCCCGTGTTATTGTACTGACTGGGAGCATCGAGCTCGAGCCTCTAGGTTCTCTAGGTTCTGACATCTCTCCTTTGACACCATTTGGCTGAGCAATTTGTTCATAGAACAATCCTGTTTCTAGGTTGTTCTAGCAACCCTTCCGCTTAACCCAAAATAGACTTGTTCGTGGGCAAAGAGTTCGCTTTAGTGGAGCACTGTTTCGCCGATCGAAGGCGCGAATCAACATCGACATCTACACGAGTAGAGTTGCTTGCTTATGCCTTCAATTGATTGCACTCCACTTTCACCGTTGATCCTTTCTCGATGGGAGATGTCGGGTCACAGTGAAGTCATAACAAAACAGAAGCAAGCAAGATGGATTCCTTGTCTCGAGCTTTTGTGATCAGTAACAGTAGCATGTATCTATAGAATTCCATGGACAGTCTCTAAAAGGTGAGAATGTCCGGATCTGAAGCTCGGGATCTGAAGCTCGGGATCTAAATCGAGACCCATCCTTCACCAATCCCACTCCCCACCAGCAAACCAGATTCCTCGAAATGGAATCTCCCCGGGCGATCAACACTCCAGTCTGCAAGAGATGTGATCAAAATCTCCCTCTTCAGCCCGTGACAGCCAACCTTGGGCCGAGGAACGAGGAACACCCGACAAAATGTGTGCATCTCCCTTATTCCTGCAGACGCAGCTATGCGCTCGTGCGATTTCCAAGTTCTTCACCGTGCCGAATGTGGCTCTGTGACTGTCAGATCAAACTTTAGCCGGAGAGCAGTTTCCACCCTCGTGCAGCGTCAGCACGAGGCAGACCTCTCATTACACTCATGTGGATCAACACCTCGCACCCCCCGTGGGAAAGAATTGGGTTCAGCTACTCATCGAGCGAAATGAAGCACGGCAGGTTCCGTGTCGGCGGAGCGAGTCTGAAGAGACGATGACGCCCTCGTGGAGGACAGAAAGCCGAATTGGGCCCGCCTCGGGACCCATTGCAAGGGAACTGGGTCACGCCGTCCTTCACGCTTGACGATCCGGGTTGGTTCCTTTGGTCAAAGTGGGCTATGATTAATGACAATCTTCGGCTGTTTCCCCTATTTTTCAGACTTGGGGCGGCAGACTGTGTACCCGATTAGGAAGGTGAGAGATGTCGTTACGGCCCGCCTCCGGATACCTTCTCCATTACGGATACCGCGGACCTGAAATTGCGCACGGGTTTGCTGTGCCCGAGCACTTGGCCCAAGTGTTTGTATCACGCTGCATATTGTGGAGATTGGTATTTCAGACGGTGGAGTGTCAGATTTGGACGGCGACTATGCATGATATCAGTGTCCGGGTGCTAGATGCGGTCTGCCAACCTGCTATCTAAATCCAATTTGACATAGTTGACGAGCGGTAAGGTTATCAATAGAATGTGATTTTCGTCTTGCATCGTCTTGCATCGTCTTTTGCTGTGGATCCGTGGCCACTCGAGGAGAGACACGATCACATTGTATGCTGGTCTTTCTAATAATTCGCAGTTGTGTTCAATTCAAAACAATGTCAGTCAGATGACAGGAACCTGCAAGGCTCCATGGAATATTAAGAACATGCTTAATTATTGAAGAAGACTATATTGTATGCAAAAAAGCGGGTGTCATGTATGCATATATATCCCGGTCCTAACATGATACAATTCGCAAAACAAGCATACTATTCGAAAGCTGATGCACATTCTTAAAGCCCTAGGCGCAAATAGACACCTTGAAAAAGCATAAAATTAACTTATTGCTAAGAGAGATATACATACAGAATAGAAATGGTGCCAAACAGCTACTGTATAGAACTACACGAATCCCAAGCCACAACCAAAAAATATCACAATACCACACGAATTGACTTTGACACATTTACCAAACCAACGCAACAGTGTAAGTTCACAGTAATGACCAATGTAACTCACAAAAAATGCGTAGCTTTGTTGTGGCCGAAAGGCAGACGATTTTCGTCCTAGGGCATTCAAGGGTTGGATATGACATCCCTTGCATAGATGGCGTTCCACCATACTCGAAGAAACTTTTAAACACATCATATTTACCAGCGAGAACAATATCAAAGCGTGTTAAGATTTGCGTCTGATGTTTTGAATAGATGAACTCATATCGCTAGATTTTGCACCGTGCAATTATGCAAGTCGGATAGCGAAATGAACCAAAGATATATAATCCCTAACTTGCTGTGTACCCGACCGAAGAGGTCAAGACGCGCCGCGTACATCGCTAAATTCTTCACGTCGAAAGCGGTCTATCCCATGGAAGAAAAGAAAGGCTTCAAGCCATTGGAATGAACTAGTTCCATGTTTTTCATGATCATATCACCAGAATAGCCTACGGCACTCTAGACCAGGGAGGGTACGATAAGAAGAGCGAGGAGCGCACCGGTGCATTCATTCCTTTAGTTTAATGTACGCCCCCGGTCCCAGCCTCGGAAAATATCAAGCCACCAGCCTCAGCAATTAACCTGATACGGTACGTAAGTGGCACCTGAGGTATATATATCGATATCGATGTCAATATAGGTTGAAGCCTACTAGATTATTACTATCACTAATTGGATGTGTACCATACTTAGCTAACAGAGAGAGAAACAGATCACACACTCGCCACCATGAAGTTCACATCAATCATCACCCTTCTATCTATCTCTTCAATGGTGGCTGCTGCCCCAATCGTTGAGCCTCGAAACCTTATCCCGGGACTTCCACGACCAATGGAGGCTGTTGAGGCTCTTTATCCTGGCTCTGGAGTCCCAAAGCTTGCGAGTAAGCTTGAGAAGACACTTAATATCTGTATGTATACGTTCCCTGGGGGACTTCAGCTGGGAGGATTGGGGTGCATTGCTAATATGATTTCATAGAATTGGCTACAAAGCTATTTGAGTCACGTTCTTCTCGTTCTCTCTGGCGGAGGCCTTCTTATGCAGTGACACTGCGATCTCTACGTTTAATCGAGTTGTTCACAAGATACCAAGATTCGAATTCAATCAAAGCAATTCCCACAAACCTATACTCCAATTGCAAAGTCTGACGATATGCAAGATATAAAATGTAGTATAAAAGCTAAGAAAAGGACCAAATCCAACCCAACCCAAATCCATCCCAAAACAAGGACAAAACCAACAACAAGAAAAAAAGAAACTAGAACATCCCCTCCATATCCAAATCCAAAAACTCAGGATTCCCAACCGCCATATCAGCAGCATTAAGCACATCATCAATAGCATCCAACCCAGCCCCACCGCCATCAAGCTCCATATCCTGGGTAACACCAATGCCCCCATCCATCCCTGCAGCGGCAGCAGCAGCAGCCGCCTTATCAAGCATCTGATTGATATTATCAGGATCATCCTCGCCAACCGTATTCCCAGCCACATCCGCAGCAGAAGGCTCCAAATCCATCCGGTCATGCCCCTCAACGCCAAGATGCATGTTATGGATGATATTGCTAACATCGATATTGGAGACCTGCGACGGAGGAGCCATGAGCAGATTGACCCGGCGCCAGAGGCGCACGATGACCTCCGCACGGAGCGGATCCTTCTCGGAGAGTTTGGGGACGATTTCGTGGGCGAGGGTTAGGGCGTCGCGGAGGGTGAGGATCGGACAGCGGGGCGGCGATTCCTTCATAGCATCAATGGGATGGTAATTATTCTGGTCAACAGCGAAGGATTCAGTCGTGGGCGCGCAGATTATCGTAGTGGCGATATCCAGCGAGACGTGGCCGCTGTTGCTTGTCTCGGATTGGTGTTTTACTTCGTCGATTATGGCGGCGAGCACGCGGGTTGCGCCTAGGATGCGGATTCCGGCTAGGATCTGGCGGTGCGTGTAGGGGGTTGGGGCGGCGTTTGCTGTTGGGTTTGCGCTCCAGAGTATTAGGCTTTGCATTGTTGTGCGGATGCTGCCTACTAGGCCGTTTGCTGTGTGGGAGGTCCAGGTGTCGAGTTCGGTGCGGTGGCTGCTTCCTACGCGGCGGAAGGAGAGGTAGGGTTCTAGGGCGTCCAGGATTGGTTTTATGTCTGTCCGGGATTGGTGGCGGGTGCGGACGTTTTTGAGTTGTTCTTCGAGTGGGCGAGCGGTTATGTTTAGAACTGTTTGGTGGATTGCTTGGGCTTCGCCTGAGATCGAGTTTGGTTTCACTAGGGAGTGGAGGGTTTTTATGGGGATTGTTGGGTCTTCAGCTTCCCAGATGTGGTTGCCCAGCCAGGTCAAGGCGACTACCAGAGATGGGAGGAGGAAGGGTTCGAGGAGATCTATTTTTGTTAGTCGGATGTATGCGACCAGTGGGGATTTCTTACATTCGAAGCCTCCTTTCAAGGTGTCGAAATCTAGCTTTCCGGACTCGCATGCACCGAGGCTTTGATCGAAGAGTGTCGTGACAAGCATGTAAAATTCATGAGGACTACAAGTCGACATGGTCTCTTCACTGATTCCTTCAGCGATGAATAGAGCCCCAATCCATGCGCCGAGATCTTTGTTCTGTTTTTCACTCAGCTCGCTCAGCTTCTGGGTGGAAGCACCTCGGTCCATCAGCTTGAGTAAGAAGGAGTCATTGCTGGAGATTCCCATGTCTGATGGACTCAAGTCATAGCGGTACTTGAAGGCAAGAACAAGCAGGAGGATGCTGCCGAATTCGTCATACACAGGCTGATTCTCGCCTTGGTCTTCGTCCCATTTCCAGGAATCAAGGATAGAACAGAGAGGTTGCAAGACCTGCTTTGTATTTCTGAAAAGCAAGATGGCATCCAAGGTCTGTGGGCGACGTGAAAGCGAATTGCAGATGTTCTTCAGAGTCATTGTCTCTTTCTCATGACATAGACTATGCATGACCTTGGGAGTATTAGCTTTGATTCTAAATCAATATATGGATCTCATACCTCGACCACTGCACCAACGATGGCACCTGCATTACCCTCCATCGACTCAATCTCACCGATGAGCTGCTCAGCACGTTCATGATTGCTGTTAATTTGAGAAATAAGATCATCCTTCACATAAGGACCACCACCGGGTAAAGTCTGCATGGGGTTCTCCCCAAGAAGCTGCTCAATGCTCGATTCTTGGATGAGCTTGTGCGACGCGCATGCAAATAAAAACTCCTGGCGCGCATCTGATAGGACACTGCTACCTTGCATGGAGAACATTTGCGAAAAAGAAGGAAAAGCGTTGGGGTTGAGGTGGCTCAGGGCTTGGCTGATGCACATTTCCATGGAGATCGGCACCATTGATGCTGCCGAGATGGCTGCGAAGAACACTGGCAGTTTGTTCACAAGGAATGATCGGAAAAGGAACATTGTTCGGCTGGATTCATTTCGGTATACGCCATTGGATAGGACGTCGAAAGCGGCTGTGATAATCTCCTCGATAAGGACTTCATTGTGGCCCTATAAGCACTCAGTAGATATTCAATATCTACCCCAGTATCTCACTGGTGAATAAAGAGACAGAATATGGACATACCTGATACCGATTGGTAAGATAATTGATCAAAATAGTATCATCAACCAAAGGCCGCCCAACAACCTACAACGAGTCAGTGAAACCCCTAAACCCCAAAACCCAAGAAAAACACGAACCATAGAGTTGATATAAACATAGAGACCAGCTCTAGTATTAACAACCGGCCCATCCATAACCCCAGCCTCAAACTGCAGCGCCCTCACATTCATCCCATCAATAACATTACCAGAGTGATCCAAAGCCTTAGGGTTGCCATCACTATTGGCAGCATTGCCATTCCCACCCCCAGCCGCCTCAGGAAAAAGCCCAAACCCCTTCTGCAACTCCTCAAGCCGATGCCTCAGCGGCAACGAGACATCAACACAAAGCGGCAAATAAGCCGCGAGCGCAGTGCCCAGTTTCCCCTTCAACGGTCGATCAAAGTCCCCAGAAAGAGCCTCAAGACCCTTCGCCGTACCAGAAAGCGCAGCTAACAATATCCCCAGGGACTCGAATAACGAGACTGCATCAGGCTCGTCCATCAGACCACCGCTTTGCGTTGAGACATCCCCGCCCTGGCTGCGCGAGTGCCAGTCCACCAGCGCGAGGATCCAGTCAACGGTCGCGGAGTAGATGTCGCCTGCTTCAGTTGTGCTTTTTGGGATCTGGGTGCCTGTCGAGATTGACATCATTATATCTTGGATGATTTTTATATCTGTCATTAGGGTTGAGCGAGGACTGTCACCACCATTCTTGGTCGGCGCATCCGCTTCGGCTTTCTCCTGGCTAGAACTTGAATTGGAACTTGAACTTGAATCCAAAATAGAAGAATGCCTCAACAACCCCCTCAGCACCCCCGAAACCTTCACAAGCCCCATCCGACAGAGTCCATCAACATACAACGGCAGCAGGGGATCCCAAGCGATGTGGGCATCAGCGCGAGAGCGAAGAAGGAGGTCGAAGAGGGTATTTTCCTTCAGGGGGATGCGCGATAGCATCAATTTGGATAGGGTCGTGAACTCGTCTATATCTATTCTGTTTGATAGACATTGGTTGAGGAATGTTTGCCATTGTTCGGGCGGGGATTGGGGGGGTTCTTGAAGCATATTGGAGCTAAGTTTTCTCCAGGATTGCGCGTGGAGGTAGAGATGGGAATCGGGGGTTATTTTGGTGGCATCTTTCTTTTCTTTTATGATTGTGGTTTGGTTTGGTTTGCGGTTTTGGTCTGGGGATAGCTCAGGGAGCTAAGCGTTGATTGGAAGGGTCACATGGTGATAGTGACAGAGGGGTTGCACGTGATATTGGCCTGAGGCGGTGAGAGTGTGTCAGTGCTGGTTCATGGACGGATTACTAACTAGAGCATAACGTCAGCGTAACTAAATAGCGGGAGGTAGCAAGCAAGGGAAGGGAAAGCATAACGTCCTTAATTGCTAAGCAGGTTACGGATTACAGCGAGTTCCAACAGTTATGAGCCCGGCACACCGATGATTGGACAGTAAGATCTTTTGGAAGCTATTCCCAAGTGACAATTCACTTGCCAGAGCTTTGTTCTCGCCGTCCGAAATACACCTGAATCCTCCGAATACCCTTATCCATCCGAACAACTCTAAACCGCTAATCCACTTGCCACGATTAACAAATGAGGCTATGGACTCGACATATCTCTCCGCTATGAGAAGCGAAACATTGAAAAATTCGTCACAATGGCGGTCTTGGCACAACCGAATGAAGGCATTTGCTCTGCAACGGCTAGTTTGGGACCTCTGCAACTCAGCTATCGAGAAGGCAAAGCTTCCTACTCCTTTACTTGAGCCAATTGTACCCGAGTACTCTGAGACAGGAGACCAGGACGAAAAGGCGCGATGGAGAGACCTATTTGAGGTCTATAAAATTGAGGCAATCCGTTGGAAAAGGCAGCGGAAAGGCCTACTAGAAGTGAATGAATTTTATTATTATTTCCCTGGACGCGTCACTTTGTCATGCTACACTCGAATATCATACCCCGTATGAGAGGCTGGTCTATCTAAGCAAGCGATTTGCTAATTCCCGCGCCTTGGAGGAAGAGATTCGAATGAAATGGAGAGCTTTTCCATCTCAAAAACCCACTGGGGATGTCGACGAATGGGTCACGTTATGGGAAGAGATGTACGAGCAAGCGGCAAGCCTCAAATCCAGCGATGTTGCTAGCGCGAATAAAGACTTTTTACAAGCAATTAAGGAAGTCTTGCCGACCTGGTGGCAAGCAAATTACCAGCAGATCATAGTGAGAGGAGAGGACTCGATTGAAACGAGAGACCTTACTGAGTCCTTTCGGGCCATGTATAGAGAGATCACAACGCCCTTACTGGCTGAGCAAGTTACGGATTTACAGAGAGTTCCTATAAAATGGCAAATTTCCGCTGTTGTGGTACAGGGCAAAACGGTGTTTGTGAAGGCCACCTATCAGGGCTAAATGGCAGGTTACTTAGGCAATCCTCTAATAACATGAGGAGCTCTGTATAAATACGTATAGATTGAAGCTTACACATTCCACTGCTGATGTGGTGATTGCTTCTACGTTCAGGGTTAAAGAACTGCAAGATTACTTTGTCTACATTACTGTCCAATAAATTTTTTTTTTGAAATGTTCATTCAATTTCATTATCGTCATGACGATCCCAACTGCAGACCCAATAAAACAGCGATGCTCAAGTGGGGATATCAATCAATGCAACAGAAGGGTAAAAACCAAGCGCCTCTATCCGGAACCCGCTCGAAAGGTAAAAGCTGAAGAAAAAAAGCTATAAACAAAGAAAATGCATCAAAGCCGCCCCTCATCTAGAGAAGACAGAAATCATCACACCAAGATAATTAAACCAGGGCGACTGATTTACCACCAGTCACCGTGGTCCTTCATGGCCTCAGCGACCTTGGTGAAGCCAGCAATGTTGGAGCCAGCAACCAGGGAAGGAAGAACACCCTCGGCGGGGGTGACGTACTCCTTGGCGGTAGCGAGACCGTTGTTGAAGCAGTCCTCCATGATGTTCTTGAGACGGGAGTCAACCTCCTCGCGAGTCCAGTTCACACGGGCGGAGTTCTGGGCCATCTCCAGACCGGAGACGGCAACACCACCGGCGTTGGCGGCCTTACCAGGGGCGTACCAGATGGCAGCGGCGCCGGGGTTGGCGTCACGGTGAGCCTCAAAGACATCGATGGCCTCCTGGGTGGAACCCATGTTGGAGCCCTCGGCAATGAACTTGCAGCCGGCGGCAATCAGGGCCTTGGCCTCGTCGCCGGAGACCTCGTTCTGGGTGGCGGAGGGAAGGGCAACGTCGATACGGCCGGCGATGTTGGTCCAGGGGCGGGCACCGGCGATGTACTTGAACTTGGAGGCGAAGGCGGAGGTGGAGGCGAGCTCGGAAATCTGCTTGCGCTCGACCTTGATGGCGGCGATGGTGTTGATCTCCTCGGGGGTGAAGGAACCCTCCTCACCGACAAGAACGAGGGCACCCTGGGAATCGGAGAGGGAGATGACGGAACCACCAAGCTCGATGACCTTCAGGGCGGCGTACTGGGCGACGTTGCCGGATCCGGAGATGGCGACGCGCTTGCCAGCGAAGGACTCCTTACCGCCGGAGGCGTGCTTGATCATGTGCTCGGTGTAGTAGACGACACCGTAGCCGGTGGCCTCGGGACGGATGAGAGAACCACCCCAGCTGCCACCCTTACCGGTGAGGACACCCTCCCACTGGTTGCGGATCTTCTTGTACTGGCCGAACATGAAGCCGACCTCGCGGCCGGTAACACCGATGTCACCGGCGGGGACGTCAGTGTCGGCACCAATGTGCTTGCAGAGCTCGGTCATGAAGGAGACACAGAAGCGGCGGATCTCGTTGTCGGACTTGCCCTTGGGGTCGAAGTCGGAACCACCCTTACCACCACCCATGTTCAGGCCGGTCAGGGCATTCTTGAAGATCTGCTCGAAGCCGAGGAACTTCAGGATGGACAGGTTCACCGAAGGGTGGAACCGGAGACCACCCTTGTAAGGACCAAGGGCGGAGTTGAACTGGACACGGAAACCGCGGTTGATTTGGACCTAACGAGGGTTAGATGGGATCATACGAGTCGTCAATTGCGATTCCTCTTACCTGACCCTTGTCATCCTCCCAGACAACACGGAACTGGACAATGCGCTCGGGCACAGAGACAACCTGGAGAGCCTTGCGGTACTCGGGCTTCTTCTGGAAGAGAGTGGAGTTCTCAAGAGTGGAGGCAAGCTCTGTTCGGGATTCGGGATTAGCTGAGTCATTATGGAGCCACCCGAAGGTGCCGATGGAAAAGTAAAGAGCCGATGGAGGGGCAGACAGTAGAGGGGCAAAGAGTCGTGGGCTAGAGGGTGATGGAATGTGTGCACATACCCTTGTAGGCCTGCTCGAACTCGGGCTCAACGGGAAGGTTCGACATCATTGCAATTGGAATAGTAACTCTTTTGAAAATTAAGTGAGATGGTATAAGATAGTGAAGAGTCCCAAAGCAGAGTGAGTAAAGAAATAGAAGAGAAGAAGGAGAAGTCTACAATTATATACCGGCGATGGAAGGTGGAGAAGGGCCACCGGAGTCGGACGAGAGATTCCGGACACGGGGAACAGGAACGGGAGAAGGGCACTGTGTAGTGCGTATGGAGGACAGAGTACGGAGTAGAGGGGGGAGAGAAAGAGTGGTACGGGTGAACAGTATAGGAAATCCAAGTTCCGTGGAGAGGTCCGATGGTCGGGGCAACAATTATCTTATGCTTTAAGGTCACAGAATTGGCCTTATCTATGGGGCAAATCCACTTCCCTGCGAATAAGTCAATTCTTATTACTCGACAGCCATTACTACTTTATTTCACACGTCCAATCACAGTGATATCTGCCTTCCTAATTCTTCCTTGCCACAATTTGCCTCTTCCGTGTTCACTTCGTACAGCTTCGGTCGTCTCCGCCATGGCAAAGAGGAGATTTCTTACATTTCAGACATTTTACCTTTAGTTTCAATGACACATCCAGTTCCTGCATAAAGAAATACAGTGGACTAACAAAGTAGACTAAATGCATGATGCGTCGAGGACAGATCTCTCAATGTACCAGTAACATCCCGCCACCAACTGCCCACTTTGGCAGTGTGGCTCGGCAGTCACGTGCCACCTACCGCAAACGGCAAAGTGGACCAGACCTTATCTGATCGACCTTTTTCTGTGCAAACATTTTGACTCACACTTGAATAGATCTATATACCACTGGTCAATGCTTTATCTCCATACATACTACTCCAATACCTTCCCCATATACTCGCCCCGGAGCATAAACAAGGCTAACTCAAATCTGATCTGTGCTTTTCCGTCTACATGTACGCTGTACAGAGTACAGCATATCAATAAAGAACCTAATAGCTACCTCTCTATATGCAATTACAGTCCCTGCACCCGGATCCAAACCCGGGTCCCGAATCCAAGGTAAGCTAACCTGGGCACAGACGGGGATGCTTGGGTCAGGCACGCAAGGGCCCGCATTTGACCTGGAGAGGGGGTGCCCCGATACTCGGCCTGAAACAATCCATGTCAGACTCTATCTTACAGTAGTACTGTATCAATGTGACGCTCTCATGATCCCTGATCGTATGACTGGGAAATAAGCAAATCCAGTACGCCTTGAGCAGACCAGAAAGTTAAGTTAATTGGCGGCTGCCGCGTCCAAATTATATGTCCGTGTAGATGATCAGTATTCGTATATGTCCCCCGCATACAGAGTACACAAAGTTTGGATCATCCAATGCACCGCACATCCCGTACCCAAAATCCCCCTCGCCACTGTGCATCCTGCCTGCATGCCTGTACAGTACATTCGTAAAGTAATTGATTGCCCGGCACCTGCAGTCAATCAACCAATCCGGGGAATGCCCGCTCCATCCCACCGGCAAAAGGACTAAAAAATGGGGGTGATATTCCCACCGCTAGTTTTTGGGGTGTTTACTATGTGAGTTACTCACCGGAGGCCATATGGGGAGGCGGCCTTTATCACACGGACCAACCTCTGTCTTGTTCTCTTATTCGATTTGCCGGAGGTGTCTCTTGGCTCTTGGTGCTTTGCATCTTTGGATTCGGGGAACCATGTGACACGTGTGGAACGGAGTACATGTACTGTAGACCAGGGCCTAGTAGCACAGACAGGTGGAATTCCTTTGCAGATCTGGAAGCTTATTCTGTTTCTAGGGCTTCTAGGGTTCTAAATCCCGAGTCCCACTCCCCCACGAGGAACTGCATATGCATTGTTACTTGGTGTTTTTGGTTTGTTAGTTTGGGGTTTGGATTTGAATTTTGCACTACCAGTAGTTGCGGCTGGGATGTACATATGCAATGTTAAATGGACCTGCTCTTCTTATTTTATTTTCTTTTCTTTTTGCTGAAGTTCTGTTTTTGGGCCTGATATTTCGGTGAACATCGTATGGCCGACTTGAGTATGCATATGGGCATGTATTGATGTGTGTAGCTCTTTGGAATAAAGAATAAGCTCTTTCTAGCGCTGTCGTCATTGGCTTTGGCTTTGATGCCATCACTGAAAATATATGCTATAGACCAAATGTATCGTATACTTTAGAGTTGACTCTACTTCAAAATCTAGTCATCCGTCAGATATCTATCATGTTGGAAAGCGTTGCATACCTGGATATAATTTCCAGGATGTACTCTTCAAAAGAGATACTTTGATACGTATTGCATTCTATGTTTAACCATGGGAGAGGGGCTGCACACTACAAGCTCACAAATAAGCCGACGGAATAATACATGAATAGAGATAATCTCCGTAATTTCTGTACATCCCAAGTACCAAGTACCAGACCATATACCATTCTATAAGATAGCCCTGCATATCAATTATAGCAAATGCACCCAAGTCACATCATCACGTCACCAGACCTAAGATCACAACCAGCCTTATACCAACCGCCAGGACACCTACGCACCCATGCATACCCAACTAGATCTAGATACTGCAGTGTGTCCTCCATACCCAGGGATCTAGATCTTGTTTTCCAAGATCCACATCAAACCTACAAAGAGCCTCAACCCCACAACAGACAGACACAGACCACCTCAGCCAACCTAACCTAGCCCTGGAACATACAACATGCTCCAACTCTAAGCAAGCCACACTAAACATTCAAAACAAGTAAATATATTAATACTTACTAATTAAATTATTAGACTAGATACTGTTCCACTGGATAGAAAGCTGTACCCCAACGCCAAGCCGGGAAGTTAAGCGGGTGGATAGGCCAAACCCGATGGTATCGGCGGACTCCGTTGCGGGCTTCTCCCGTAATCCAGGGGTGATAATGGATGGAGAGTTGTTTCCCTATCTTTATACCCCGCGCTAGGGTGTCATTGTTGCATCACTGGAGTTTTGTCTTACTTGAAATCGTCGGGTTGGGGACTTGTTTAGTTGAGGGTGTGTTGGGGTGCTATAGCCTGATCGTTTTGACTGTTCCGGGTTATTGGTGTTGTATGGAGAGGACTGGGATATAGGAGGGGTTGTGAGAGTGTATAGAAAGGGTTGGATTTCATTTCTGGTTGCTCTTTCCAAGTTGGGTCTGTGGTTGCCCAATGTGGTAGGTGGTCACGTTTTTGGTGACCAACTCGGGGTTGGTGTCGAGAGATGAGGTTTATTATTTCCACGACAGAGTCAACAAGCATTGCAAGGTCAAGATGGCTCCCTAGCGCCAGTGGACACGACATATAGCGGTCAGAAAAAACCCCATGCATTCTGCATACTCTTCTTGCGGTGTCGATAAGTCGATCCCCAGAGACAGAAGCGTAGTCACAAGCATTTCTCAATATCCGATCGTGGGGTCTTCGTCTCAACACCGACCAAGTGTATTGATTCCCTCAAAAGCGACTATGCACCCTTCCATGGAACAAACGGCCAACAGCATACAATCAAGAGCGACCGGTTGAATCTGTCTGTTTCAAAAACCGGTGTAAAATTGATAGCCAGACTGGCTCATTGGGCAGCAGCGCAGCGACCTGTCATGCACATTGTTCGTTCACCTCTTGTTCAACGCGACAGAAGACAGATTTGCCAAGTGGATTGGAGAGTTGGGTTGTGGCTATGCTGTCTGCCAAGTATGAACGCGTCCGCTGGTCGGATAGATTGCATTCGTGAACCGTGTCCTCCCAAGAGTGTGAATGAATAGTTTGGCCATGGCGCCATTTTGTCTCTGATTCGGCGATCGCACTGAATTCTGTGCGCGACTGCAAAATGGGTTGGTGCGCTCGGCGTTAGCAGACTACCCTGAGCACCTCGCTGGTCCCTGTAGCAAACTTCGGACTGGATAATGAACCCCCCCCCCCCCCCCCCCCCTGAATTGTGCATGTTGAATTCGAGTCAACGTCGCATCGCAGGATACCTCGGTATAGCACCCGTGGCCAAAAGAATACCTCAGCTGAAGTCGCTAGAACATCCATCGCATTGTCGCATCACTAGCAGGGGCACGATCCTTTAGACCACGTTAGTATGGCTGGCTGGCTCGACTGCAGGTTCCATATGCACAGCAGCACAGGTCATATCTGGAGAAAGCGCCGACATCTGTCATTTTAAAGAAGTGGATCTGGTGAACTCGAGTGGCAAACGGAGATGGCGGAGAACGGAAAAAGCAGAAGGAACTGAACCGGATGCCTCGGATTTGAGCATTTAAATAGCAGACTCATCTGCACGCAATGTGAAGAAGAAAAAGAAAGTACCAAATTGCGTCCCTAACCCCTGGCCCTAGCGTCACTATTTCGTGCAGCAGACCCAAAACCCCAGAAAAGGAGAACCGAATGAAAGCCGGATTGTTCTCCAGTTTACCTCCCTGAGATCAGCTCTGTCATTTCTGATCTGGGAATTGGCGCGATCGGAAGCTGGTCTCCGCTATAGGGGGCTCTAGCTGGTCCCTGCGTTGACTGGACTGGGATAGAGAGACTGGGATGTTGGTCTTATTGTTCGCCCCTGACAGAGCTGAAGACAAATCGGCTTATTGACAGCCGAAGTGGGTTCGGGGTTTCTCGGTCTCCTGCACGCGATATTGAAGACCCGGTCCTGGGGAGTATACAGCTCACTTTTTGTGTCTGACACCAATTTGATACGCCACTCCGATGATCTATTGTTACCTTGCGACTGGGCTGGGTTCAACACTGCAGGACACATGGCTAGTATAATCGGCAATCATCGGACCAGTTATCCTCTCTCAGTTAGTGGTACAATGAAAGGGTGTCCTCGTGGACATTGATTCCAATCATGACTAGGCGCCTTGCAGCCAGACCGGGTTAGATTGGGCGAATAGCTGGGTCCTGCCCCTTTTCTGTAACAGACATAGTACAGTAAATGTCAGCCTGGTCATTCTGTATGTCATGATATAAGGAGAAGAGGTATAGGAGATTAAAATCGACGCCATCTCGATTGAGGTAGCCAATCAGCGGCTAAAAGCGAGATCTGTATAAGAGTACCAGGGATGCCCGTCTATCCTCAATAAATAATAATATTCAACGGGCCTTTTACCTAGATCGATCCTGTCTCCACCATTGACCCGTGGACAAGCAGATCTCAGGATTGGCCTGACCGGATAGACCCGTCGTGATGGATCCGATTCAAAAATACTCCGTTATACTCTCTCGTCTCTCTTATTAGACCCCCATTTCTCTTCTATGAATGTTCCAGAATCTTTCTTACCCTTTTCACTTCTTTTGACTGACTTCTTTCCCTTCTCGGGAATCAATATGTACGTTCTTTTAGTACTGCATTGAATCCACCCCTCCTCCCCCATGGTCCCCTAATGTCCAACAAGCAACCTCGAAGGGCCATTAGGGACCTGTTACGTTCTACCCCTATCTCATCTCGCCTCTTTCGTCGAGGTAGGGATTATTTTTCCAAGTAATTTCCCTTCTCCACTACCCCTCGTGTTCACAGACCTCACTACAAGTGCAGCTCGGGGCACCGCAGTCGACCCCACTGGATTCCCGAAAAGAGGCGCAGCCCCGAGAGAAAAGAAAGAAAGAATACAGCTAAAACAACTATTCAGAAACGTAGATCCTCCCATGAACTCTCATCAATTCGACCCGGCCACCATGATCGGTCTGGCCGGCGCCTCCCCAAGAACGGACGACAACTTCGATATCTTCGAATGGTACCCAGGATACCAGAGCTGCCAACGATATTTCCTAGACCACGCCCAACACAGCGTCCCCGTCCAGGCTCTCTCTGCATTTTTGAACATCCGACTCCCCTTCCAGCGCCAACCGAATCCCGTCTTCAACTCGACCTCGCCATCTTCGTCTTCCTCCGCCACCCACATCCCCCCAGCCGGCTCACAACCCCCCGGCCCGCCCTCCGTTTCACTGATCCCATACATCCGCCGCCTAGTCGCAACCGGAATGGACTTCCCAGGCGTGCTGCACGGCTTCTTCGGCGACGACTGGGGTAGCGGCGTGGGCCCATTGCACGAGCAGGAACGGCGCAATTACCTATTCGCCGCGAAGAGCGGCGGCTGGGCTTCCGTCAAGAAGGACTACGATATCCCGCCTCTGGAAACCATTCCCTTTTTGCGCCCTTTGCAAGGTCCCTCGGACGCGGAGATCGAAGCCGCCGAACGCTCCTGGAGTGAATGGCTCGCTATGGAAGATTGGATGGTTGGACCCCGGGCGCCTGATATCCTCCATGACTCTTCCTCGCAGAATTCACGGCCGCGCAGCGCACGCGGATAACTTCCGTCTTTTTTCTTCTTTCTTTGTCTCCGTCTCTGTCTCGGTTTCGAATCTGACTGTTTTCACATCGGGTTGGCGACTCGGCGTCCTCTGTGCCCCATTTGGTCTTTTTCACATCTAGCGATTCTGTTGTCCATTGTCCAGCGGCTTTTCTTCTTTCCAGCATTATACGGAGATCCTGGGATTGCCATTTGCCTTTTGTCCTCTTTTCTTCTACCGGGGATATACTAGATCTGGATGTATGCTATATACCTATACCTCATTTCCTCAAAATCACATCCAAGCCATATCTCACTTCCAATATGCGAGCCGCACCGGCATACCTATCCGGTACCATCGGATCCGAACACGAGACCAAGCAATTGATTGGCAACGAGACCTCCACAGAGGGGAATTAAGAAAAAAAAGAAAAAGAAAAAAAAAAAGAAAAAAGGACACGATCAGCCCAGAATTCTCTTGAAAAATCCAGAAAATCTGCCAACCCATTTTCCATACAAAATCTGGGAATAGCGGCAAATCCGAAGCGCACGTCATTCCCGGCCGAGTGGAAGTGGTCCGGCCCTATGAGAAAAAAGAAGTAACTAAAAGGAAGAAAAAAACCGACAATCCCCAACGTCCGTACCAATATCTGCTCTGTGCCGTTACTTGTCTTTTCCACTCCTTTTCCCACCCCCCACCGGTTTGCGCTATTCCGCTGTGGACACCCCAGGTCCAATCCAAGGATCGTCCGTAGATGGCCTTCCCGTGGACAGTGTGGATCGAGGCGTTTTTGAGAGATGCTGACTTGAAGTCCGTCTCTTTGGCTACCGTGGTCACGGCCTGGGAATCGAGATACGAAGCGATATAGTTAGCGATGAGATGGGGATGGAAAGATGGGCTTGGGTCAGGTTCTGGATCCAGGTACCATCGGAGGGATGGGGGTTAAGACTAAGACTATCCCTAACCCGCTGACTATAGGCGGGTCCCATCTGAATTCAGACCCCGTAGCAGCCGTCTTTCTCATTATTTTCTCATTTTTTTCTCTCTCTTTGTACCGTACGGAGTATTCAGGTTGAATATCATGGATGGATTGGGTAGTAATCTTGAGGGGAGAATGTCCACCCTGGGGCTACGTTATGTTACACTTTTACTTCGGATATATTCCTATTGATTGCTTCTTTAGTCGATATTCCTTCAATTAAGTTTTCCCTTAACTATGTAAGGAAAAGAAAGCCGCCCCCAACATGTGGGAGACTAGGCTGATCGCAAGAAAACTATTTGCCTCAAAAGTCTTCGTCGATCTAGATGGATGAGAAAGACCAATAAGGTTATTCTGCGCGGCTTCGACTAAGGTTTGCCCCAAAAGTCCGAAATCTGTAGATTCATATGCCGGCAAATCGTGGCGTAGCTGAAAGCCAGAGTCTATTAGACTAGTGCACTCTAGTGCCAAACTAAGTGCTTGCTTTTGGCCCTTTTTCGGTGTTAGTCGCTCTGCGGAGTCCCCTTTCTGCGACCCATGACTGGCGTCTATCAGAAAATTCTCCGAGATCACCCTTTTTTTTCGGGCGCCTCCAGCGGGGGAGTGAGGTATTGTTCCGTGTGGCTTTTTCTTTTCATCCCTTCTCCCTATTCCCTAGCCAAATGTACCATTTCGTTCTAGGTCGTGTTAGTCCAGGGGTTCAGGTCGATAATCAAGTCCCTGAATCAATACCGTGCAGATCGAACTTCCTGAAACGCCAATGAACCAAGTTTCGGTGGCATGTCAATGCCCGTGCGTGTAAATCAGTGGACTCCTTACTTTGGGGGCAAACTTCGGTGCCTTTTCCCTTTGTCCTATTAGGGCCACCGGAAATCATATTGGTCTGCGATCTACGGGGCATGGGGGATACATGTTCATTGTTCGATATGCATGTCTGCAAGCCCTGCTCCAATATTGAGATGCTGCAGAATGATCTAATCCGAATTGGGAAATAGTAACTTGTGAATTCCAAGGTTGTCAAGTCCCGATTACATCAACTTTTGACTTCCACTGACCGCTACACTTGTATCTTCATCTTCCCAGCCCAGTGTAAGTTAAAAGAAACCAATAAACCTGGAAAGCCAAGAAGTGCCACCACGTCACGTCAGCCTCGCAACCGTTCCTATCCTTGATGTGGACCGCAGACCGGGTCCAGCTCCATCGGTTCCAAATCCCACGCCCTGCTCGTGAATCAAGGTAGGGTAAGTTTGGTCCGGAAAAGGAAGCGCGGCCCTAGGGTGGGTAATTGGATTTCAGTGGGTTTAACGGTCCAGATTGACGCGCTTGGAGTTCTGGTTCGTGCATTTGGGGGTTACATGTGGGATCTGTGAAACATTCACGGGATTCGGGACCGCGCTTAAAAGGGTGAAGAATTGAATCTGAGACTATTTGAAACTGATACCGCAACTGGAACTGGAACTGGGTCGGGGACTGGATCGTATTGGCGGGGTGTGGTTGTGGCTTTTCTTTTGATGGCTGTCATACTGGGCGACAGTGGCATGAAGCATTGGACGGATTTTATACGGAAAACCCGAGGTCGGTGCTTCGTTTGATGCAATATTTATGCCTCAGTTTGACCTCTCTTTTTTCACCTCTTTTTCGCCCATTTTCGAGTGCCTTTAGTTGATAATCTATATCATTTGAATGTGGGGGTTACGACGAAACTTGAGTTGCAAACAGTGGATACATACGCTTTAACCAAAGGAATAGCATAAACAAAATTCCAGGAGACAAAGCTTTCTAACTCGAAGCTGGGGGTAACTCGGACGTTGGAATCAGCGATCGGCTTAGGAGACATGGGCGCACCGAACCGCCGATGGTTCCTCTTCTATTCAATCCCCACATCCAGTCAACAGGCTCTGAACTCTGAGAATGAAAGGCCAAAAGCAATTTCCCAAACAGGCGTGACCCGAAAGGTGTCGCGTCCCGCGTCCTTGGTCAAGAAACTAAGCTAGTAGCACTCTGGATTGAAACCTTGCGAGACTCGGTCGACTGGACCAGCGTGAGAAAAGTCTTTGTCTTAGACCGGGCTTTAGCTTGTCCACCGAAAACTAAAGCCCCTTGGGTAATGGTAGTAGAGCAATTGCTATTGCCATTTTGAACAGGACCATTCACCGACACTTGCTGGCTTTTGATCTCTTGGAGAGTTTCTTCCAGGAAACCAGGTCGGTCCCAACATGATTCTTTCTCTTCGTGTTCGCAGGTTTGGAAGGGTGTACCAGCCAGACACCAGGAGTGGTTGTTGGATAACTGACACGAAGAAACGCGCGCATTGCTTCCGTGTCTTTTGGCGAGAAGCTCCATGCTTTCGATAGAGGCTGCCATTAGGTCATATCCTTCTAATAGGCTGTTGCACGGTGAGGATTCCCACGGTGAGCGCCTTCCGATGATTGCATCGCCCAAGTCTGAACAGAAGAGGCATTTGATATTGCTGAGCAGGGGTATCCAGGCCAAACCCTCCTTTTCAAGGGATGTTTTCTTCAGCTCACTACTTGGCGAATCCATCACAATGTCTGCGAATTCATATCCGAAAATCGAGGATACAGTGAGTGGATGCATATTCGAAGCCCTGGGAGGTTGGATTGTGGTCTTCGAGAGATTCACGGAAAATCCCATGATAAGATCGCGGACTGTTAGTTCATTCCCTGTTGATTTTTCAAGAATCAGTTCTCCTTGATCATGCAAAGCAGCCCACGATGGGCAATGCGAGTCAGATGTTGGCTCAGCGAAAGGCGGCAGATTGGCCCGGGATCTTTTGTCTATCGTTTTATAGTAGGCCAGCAGCATATGATGGAACACGGAGAGCAGTGGGACCAACCAGGCTCTTTTTGTCTTCACATCGTAGAGGATGATCGGTTGCTGAGAGCTGCTCGACAAGCATTTGAGGTAGTTTGTGGAGGGACTAAACTGTATGGTGTTGACTGACCGATCAAACATCATGCCCATTTGAGCTCCCAACTTCAACGGGGACGCCGTTTGGGCCATGAATTGGAGGTTTGCTCCGCTCCAGTGCCAGGTAGCCGTCTTGACCTTTGCATTGGACCATGTCACACTTGGGACCAGGCGATTTGTGCCCAAGAGGACTTCTGCTTTGGAGCTCCAGCCTAGTATCACTGTTGCGGAAAGCAAATCTTCGAAACTGGATAGTCGTAACCATTGCTTCTGCGTTGATTGGAGGTCAGAAGCCTGAAGTTGGAAGTCGTCTGTGGCGGTTTCCAAGTGCCACATAATCCTTCCATCGCGGGTCTGCTTGATAGGTACAAGCGCAGTTGAGTAGCCCATGAGGATGATGCCATCATCGACCATGATAGGATATTCGACAGCTGTGAGTTTAAGTAGCTGCTTGAAATCCAGCTCGAGTCCTTCGCATGGTTGAAGTTGAGGCTCAACAGATGATTGTAATGCGATCACGGCCGAGTCAAAAAGAGGATACCAGCATTCAGCGGAGGAAAAGAAGGAATTGAACGGGGCCAGCTTATTGAGTGATACCGAGCACTCGTCATTAAAGTCATTTCTGAGCGTGGAAACAGAAATCTCATGTTGAGCTGCCTCCCGAAATGTCAGGCATATCCATTCCAAGGCATCGCGTGCCTCAAGTGTTTCTGTAGTAACCCATAAGCAGATGTTGGATCTATGGGTTTCAAGTTTGATGGTGCCATCGACTGTTCTCGTTTATTAGCGCCAAAAGTGTATATAGTGCCCAGGGTACTCACAGTAAAGACCACGGGATACCCGGAGGGCTCTCATGATTCCGTGCAATAGCCTCGTTCCTATGTCCCCAAAAGAGTTGCTGAGAAAGTCATGACAGGATGCCAGCTTGACCGTATTTCTGTTTCTTGTCAAAGTCCCTCTGTGTAAAAGATCGGGCTCGATGTCACTTGAAAATTCCAGAATAAGGGGAAGTTCCCAATCGAACTTGAATTCGCGAGCCTCGTCATAGCTTCTTCGGGTCACTGGGTTTGACATCGAGAGTGCCCCAATTGAGAGTTGGTGCAGTGGCCCAACATCCGTCACTCCTGTTGCAAGAAGAATGCCAGCAATATCTTCCTCCTCTGTGTTTTTCTTAGAGGCTCCAATAAGAGAATCAGTCACTCGCTGCAGCGCTGCAGCAAGCGCAGTATCAAAGCATCCATGTGTAAGCTTCATGTCAACATCAGCTCCTACTTTCAAGAGGGCTTCCACAGCCTTAACTGAAGTAGCAGCAGCCAAAGCACTGCCATAAACTCCATAATGCAATTGCATATTGACATCTGCACCAGCTTTTACCAGTATTTCGATGACTTGAGGGGCCGGGTTTGAACGAGAAGCAGCAGCTGCCAGAGCACTGCTATGTAGACCGCCTGGGGTTTGTGTATTAAGATCAGCACCTGCTTTGATGAGGGTCTTGATATTCATGGTAGAGCTGGATTCGTCAGGCGCAGCAGCGGCAGCAATAACAGCGCTGCCAAAATCGCCAACCCCAAGTAGCCGATTAACCTTGGCCCCGGCCTCCAGGATAGAAGCGAGACTTTTAGGAAACTGAGACCCGGCAGCGGCAGCAAGGGCACTTCCGTATGGGCCTATGTATACTTGCTCTTCGACATTAGCACCAGCGTCGAGGAGAGATTGGAGATTCTGAGGTGAAGGCACTGCAGCACACAGGGCGCTACCATACAATCCAGTTTTCAAAATCATGTTCACCTCGGCGCCTGCTTGTAGTAAAAGCCGAACGTTTTTGTTCGAGCCTTCTCTAGCGGCAGCAGCAAGGGCACTTCCATATTCGCCCCCAATCAAGTACATATCAACATCAACTCCAGCCATCAGAATAGCCTTGAGATTGTCAGAATGTTGTGACGCTGCAGCTGCACACAGAGCACTGCCGTATTTCCCGGTGATCAATTGCATGTCCGCATCTGCGCCTGCGTTTAACAAATATCGAATGGTTTCGACTGAGCCTGCCCCAGCAGCAGCAGCGAGAACACTGCCATATACTGGATGAAGTGGTTTCGCATTTGGGTCGCGCAACTCAGCCAAAAGCGAACGTATCTGCGACTTTCCTTTTCCCCCGGTGATTGCAAGAATAAGATTATGGCCAATGTCAGTTTCACTAGATCGAGTGGCTGGTTCCAGTGAAGCCGTATCGGCGGGAATAATCTGGTATACGGATCAGCATACTGTCCAGAAACACTTTGCAACCAGTTCACGGGCATTGCGCCTACCTCACCGTCCGGTGTCAAGTCAGATTCAGGTCGGTCGTCCTTCTTACTGAACGGCTTCCACTGTCGAAGGGCCCGGATCAACCAGCCTGATCTGTGGGCATTGCGCTGGGATACATGCTCTTTTGGCTTGAAGGATGGGTTGCGCCTTAAGAGTCTACTTCTCCCGAGCCAGGGGGAGGCAAATCCATCCAGACCTCCAGACTCATAACGATCCGCGGATCGGGGACGGAACGTAGCTGCTTCTTCGTACCCGAGTTCATCATAACCATCCAGTGAATCGCGTCTGGCAGGACCCAGCCCGCTGTCATCGTATGTCGACTCCCAATGACTCCCAGCCATGGTGTATGTACTGAGGGTGATGTGAAGGAAATCACGCCCTGAGAAGATGCGCTTCTGGGGATAATAATCATGATGAGAGGCGAAGTCATCAGCCTCAGCCTCAGCCTCAGCCTCAGCCTCACTTTGGAGCAAAGGCACGGATTAAGTTGCCAGATACGATATCGATGTGGAAGTGGACAAAGATGCCTGACTGAACTGCAGGTGTGATTGGTGATCTTCTTTTCTTGGCAAAATTGGGGGTTGCAAGACGAGCCATGTTTGCCGGCTTTGCTTGAGATTTGGGGATTACAGCCGATTGGATGCTTATTTGTCCATGGGAGAGAGATAGGAAGTGGGAAGAAGATGAAGTATAAATGTTTAATGAATGGCAAGTACGCAGTACGTCCCACAACTTGAAAAGACCTAATCCCGGTCAGAGTTTAATGAAGAATCGGAAGTATAGGGCAATGAATGCAACGGAGTGTATATAACCGAAGGAAAATCTCTAATCTCATTAGGCAATCAAGGTAAGAGAATATAACCCAAAAAAAGAGACTTGAAAGTTTTGATCCCTCAACGCCATCGCTAAAGTAATGCAAAAGTAGTGCGACACAGCCACCCAAATTATGTACAAAGAACAGAGGAAACAAGAACAAGAGTCCCATTTAATCCTAGAAGGAAGCAAGTGGATGGGGTATCTCAGGATAAATTATCGCGGTTTTTAAAAGCGAAAAAAGGAAAAGCGAAGCGTGACGAGCGTGCGAGGGGAAGAAAGAAGCCAGTATTGGCGAAAGACATTATCAGAGATCATGTATCATGAATTCGGGTCGAGGGTCTTTGATTAGGGACTGAAATACGCGACGAAATCGAGTTGGCGTGGGAATTCGATCTCGACGTCGAAGCGGAACTCGAATTTGATGTTGTGCCGAGGAGATCATTGGCGAGTGAAGTTCGGTGGATTTCCTCGGGGAAGGGGAGGTCAGGTAGATGATCGGGGTTCGAAACCAAGCTGCGAGGACGGGAGAACACGCCGCCTAGAGAAGGATTGTCTTTCTCGCGAGGCATTGTGTCGAGGTGGGCGCGTGGTCGGCGACGATGGCGACGGAGGTACTCGTTCGGGACGGGATCAACTTGTTTCTTCACGGCTGGGACGAGGTTGAGGTATATAGGGAAGATGGCGCCGGCGGCGAAGAGGGCCACGAGGACGGAGAAGGAGTAGGATTCGCCGTTGTTTAGGTAGGCTGCGTAATTTGCGAAAGGGAAGAAGGTTCCGCCGCTGATTGCCATTGTTAACATGATAGCGGCTGTTTTTGTGTGTTGGGCTGTGCCGCGCAAGGAGATGGCAAATATGATACTGAATGTACCGCTTTCGAAGAGGTAGACTAGCATTGCCATGACGATTGCTGCGGAGCCGTCTAGCTTCATGCAGAGAACGGCGCAGACGATCATGCCGATGTAGTTGACCATGAGAATCCAGCGGGGTTTGAGGAACCACTGCGCGAAGGCGGCGAGAAAACGGCCAACGGCAAAGACGCTGTGGCCGATTGTGAGGAAGTCGAAAGAGGTTAGGGAAGAATCTGGGTGCGCGGCTTCGACGAAACGTGCAAGTGTTGTTGAAAATACTTCTTGTCCGGCCACGTAGAAGAATTGGGACCAAATACCCAGACCTAGGGTCAGCCAAACAACTGGGACCCCGACTACCTTGGTCATATTTTCTTCTCGGCGTCTGTTTGCCAATTCTTCCAGGTCTTTGTCCGAGGCTTCGGGAACTGGAAGGTAGTAGAATGCCACTGCTAAGAGCACGTCAAATAGGGCGATGCCGAGATAGGTCCATTGTACATCGACCAGAGATGCAACATCGCGGACGTCTTTGAAGAGAACTCTCTTGGCTAAAAGGGGTGACAACACACTTCCGACGGCCTGAACACCCTGTGAAATATTCAGTCGAATTTCAGAATTTTCAAGTGGTCCACACAGCGCAATGAATGGATTGGCTGCTGTTTCCAATACCGCCAGGCCAAAACCGACGATGAAATTAGAAAGAATAAACGCAGGTGTCGAGGTGAGAACAGCCGAGGGCCAAAAAATAAGGGTCCCACAGGCATAGATGCATAAACCGGTCATGAAAGTGGACTTGAATCCCCAGTGTTTTAGTACAGGCCCACCAACCAAAAGAGGACCAAACACGTATCCGCCAAAGTAGGCACCGTGGAGTCCCAGTGAATGCCATGGACCTAAGTGGACGATGGTTTTGAATTGGGTATTCAGGATATCAAGCAATCCATATGCAAAGCCCCAAAGGAAAAATAGGAGAGTAGTCAAGGCAATTGGCGCGATTGACTCCCGATTATTCAGCTTGAGCATACTTTGGGGGTTCTTCATGTTGACAAAATCAAAGAAGGTGATGTCGGGCGGATACGATGTGCTAGTGTGCGTATTTGCTTCCGTGTCTAGCGTCACGGCTGTTTCAGGGTGCCCCAAGAAGTCCAATATGTCTATTGGTTCATTGGAGCTGCGAGAGCTGTGCCGACGTGTAAAGACGCTACCATTACGAGTTGCTTTGGCTTGGCTTCCAGTTGGAGAAGGGGACGATCGTCTTGGATTTATTGCTGTTGCAGCCGGCGATGGCACTGCAACAGGTGTTTCTCCGTTCGCATAACGTCCAGTTTGTGTGCCATTAGAGGTGTCACCGGTATTCTTGATCAACTTTGGCGCAAGACGAGTCACAAGAGGCTTGAGACTTGGGACGCAGCCGCAAATTATGGAGACGTTGACTTCAACAACTGACCACATGAAAGATAGTGATGCATACCCTAAAACCAGTTAGCTTATTTTTCCTGTGCTAAACAAAAAAGACGAGAGTCGTACAGCTGAAGTCTACCCCTTCGGTGTTTTGAATATGAATGGATTTGAGCTCTAGCGAGCGAGAGATGGCAGCCCGCTGGAGAAAAGCAATTCGAATAACGTCGACCACGGCCACGAAGAAACCAAAGGAGAAAGTGACGACCAAAATGATCTTTTGTTTGAATGGAAGGCGCATTTCAGTCAAAAGCGGCATCGGAAGGAAGAGAATAGCGAGATCGGTGATAATATTCACGGGAGAGGACGAGAGGTACAGGGTGACAATGTCGATGCAATGCGCGTTGGGCGGGACGTCGGAAAGAAACACGGCGTTGAGGGGGCTACATTGGAACACATTGACAAATGTCAATGCAAGGCCGGCTGCATTTACGACTCCCAGGGTCACAAAGTTGGCCCATCGAAAGACTTTCTGGTTTCGTGTCAAGGTCAGGTAGAAAATAAGGATGGAGGTCTTGACAGCCATTAACGCCGGGTTCTAGGGTTTTATTAGCGAGACAATGCGATACGGAACCAATGACACCCACGTATAGAACGGTGAACGCATAGTTGGCCGTATTCAAAGCAAGTTCGTCCTCCGGTCTGATCTCATTAGAATGGAGACCGAGACCTTTCTGCACGGAGAAGAAAAGTGAAAATGAAAAGCCAAAATCGATAATCTGCAGACGCATTAGCCTCTGACCCAGCCTTGCTGGCCCCCATGTCCTCTAGTCCATTGTGACTCCATCCCCGGGATCATGCAGGAACTGGGCCGAAGAATCCCACATACCCATGCGACCAACATCAACCAGTCGTGTAACCCAATTTTCCTGACCACGAATATGCGCGAAATGAATCGGAGTATAACGAAGATACTGGCGAGGATGAAGAAGGTGATTGAGACGCCCAAAGTCGCCGCGCGACGACCCTCCATGACTCCGGTGAGTCCGCGCGGACTAAGTCGCGAGTCCAGGGCGGGCGCGCCCAGGTTACTGTTTAGTTTTGATCGCAAGAAGCGGACTAAGATTAGTCGGCGACTTCATATCGCGAGGAGAGGTGAGCGAGTCTGGCGGGAGAGGGGGAAGAGCAATGGAGGTGAAGAAGAGTTCTGGAGAAGTGGAGCAGGCAAAATTTAGTTGGAGGGTCCGGCCGTTTTACCCCGGCTTTGACCTTTTTCGCGCCAATTATTGTCTCACTTGAATGGCTTTGGACCAGTTACTAGTTACGACGCTTGAGTGCTACTATCGTATTATCGGTCCATACTGCAATTCAGATCGCCATCCCGCACTACAGTGACGCACTGAACACCCCCAAGATATACGAGAGCGAACGCCACCCACCTCAGACCGTGGGATTACATCAAGTCTTTGGAACTGGGTTAACTTTGACTAGGGTCGTGCCAGGGGTATTGCTCCTATCTAGGCAATTCATCGGCCCAAGAGCGCACATTTGCCGAGTTCCTCTTGGTTTACCACGGGTTGGAGTTACGCGTCACATCCACAACCTCAGTATATTGACTATGTATGCTTCGAGGCCTACAGGATTTCCGTTAGTGCGAATTTAAGGCCTGCACCATGCAAGTGGTGTTTCGGATGTCGACCGAACCCCGCCACAAGCTAAGGGGTTCAGGATAGGGTTGGGGCCATTTTTGGCCGGGGTGTGTCTATCACAACTAACATTGGGTTTGAGGAACAACGTTCACACTGAATTAATAGGGCGTGTGTGAGCTTGTCGCTACCACTTTGCGACGGTCGCCGGCTGCCAATCTGAGGAGCAAATGCCGACCAGTCGGATATGTATATCCGTGTAGCTGGATAGCTAGCGTGGCCGTCTCACGTCTGACGCCCCGACCGGACCATCTGTTCTTTGTCCCTGCATATGAGATCGCCGGATGAGCTTGGCATGGTGTCAGATGGGGCTGATACATCTTACCTGTCAACCAAAATGGGGCATGCATGAATTCACCATTTAAGCATATCAGCAGCACTGGCCTCGACGACTACACCTCCGAGTCTATGCGAACATGCCAAGATGACCACGGTATATAACTATCCCCCGAGATCAACAACTTCGGCCTGCAGCGTTACAAGCAACCGTCACTAGTGACTTCTAGTTGCTTGGCTGCATGTCTGTCTACACTATAAACTCGTTGGATCCCCTCCCGGGCGACCGATCGGCTGCTAATAAACCCCGACCTTATTCAGTCGAGCTATTGTTATGCACTAATGCTCTCTCCTGAGTCGATATGCTCGCAATCTGGGTATACTCCCCGGGCCGTCCATAGCAATGTCTCATTATTTTCATCACATGTGAGCATCGTGATGGAGCTCATAATTAACGCAAATGCAAAAATGCAGGTCCATCCTAAGCGAGCTGCAGGTCTTTTGTTCATATAGACTAAATGCTTTAGTTCTTGGCTGATACTTAAAACCCAGACTTTCCTCGACGGCAGGTGCGAAGTATTCTGACTATCTTTCTCCGCCCATTGCAGTTTGAAGCTTGCAAGTCTCCTCAAGATGAGAATTCTTTTGCTCTTCTTGAGCATTTTGGCTTTTGGCGCTCACGCCGAGGCTGCAAAAGCTTCTACGGAGAACTTTATCTCATCAATCTGGGATGATTTCAAACATGCGGTCGATTGTGGTAGCTGTCAGGTATATTCATCCCAGCCTATGGGTCATTACACAAAGGCTTATCTAGACTATCCTATAGGCTCTCTTGGGTGGCCTCAAGCTTGTCTCTGGGTTTGGCGAGGGCTTCATGATCGACGTCTTCATCGGCGTATGCAAGCTCAGTGGCGTACGTCAACATTCTGAGCGTGCTTCACCAAATCATATTGACCAAAGTACAGGTTGAGGACCCAGATGTCTGCCGTGGAATCATCGAGAAAGAAGGCCCTGCCCTTCATGATGCCTTCCAGAATTTGCATATTGGGTCTCATGCCACCAGGACTATGTGCGCTAGTCTGATTGGACTCTGCCAATACCCCGAGGTTCGCTCACACTCATTGGAGTTCCCTTCATCCAAGCCGGAAACTACTAGACCACCGCCCAGTGGCAAGCCGCCCATTAAGGTTGTTCATTTCAGTGACACACACGTGGATCTCTTCTATGAAACCGGAGCCAGCTACGAATGTACCAAACCCATCTGCTGCAGGGTCTATGAAGACAAAGATGCCCCGGGGATCACAAAAACCCCGTGTGGTCCATTTGGAAACACCAAATGTGATCCACCGCACATCCTTCAGGAAAGCATGAACGCAGCCATTGCAAAGATCAACCCAGAGTTCTCCATTTACACGGGCGACGTGGTAGCTCACGATATTTGGCTCGTTGGCCAGGCCGAAGCACTAGAAGTCTTTAATGATACGTACGGTCAGATGGAAAAGGATCTCGGTATGGTGTACGCGGCCATAGGAAACCATGACACAGCACCGGTCAATCTGTTTCCCCCAAACGATATCGAAAGCAAAGCCAGCGCCCAATTTGCATACAACGCACTCGCCGAAGACTGGTATGCACTCACAGGCATTCCCTCCGTCAAGTCTGCAAATGAATTCGGGTCGTATTCAGCCATGCATCCAAACAGCAACCTGCGCATCATCTCTTACAACAGCATCTTCTACTACAATTTCAACTTCTACATGTACCAAGACCCAATGGAAACAGATCCAAACGGCCAATTCGAATGGCTCATCAAGGAACTGCAATCCGCCGAAGACGCAGGCCAGCGCGCATGGCTAATCTCACACATCCCACCCGGCCTCACAGATCATTTCCGCGATTATTCCCAATACTTCGACCAGATCCTGCAGCGATACGAGGCAACAATCGCAGGTCTCTTCTACGGACATACACACATGGACGAATTCCAAATCGCATACTCGGACTACAACAAGCGCAATGCGGACACCGCAACTGCAATGGCATACATCGCCCCATCCATGACACCAACTTCAGGCCCACCCTCCTTCCGTGTCTACGAGATTGATCCCGTCACATACGGCGTTTTGGACTTTACCCAATACATAGCCAACATCAGTGATCCGTCCTACCAGACAGATCCGGAATGGGTCCCCTACTACTCCGCCAAAGCAGCCTATGGCTCAAAGCTTTCTCCTCCCTTGACAGATCCAAAAGCAGAACTCACTCCTGCCTTCTGGCACAATGTGACCGTCGCCATGGAAAGCGATTCCTCCATCTTCCAAGATTTCTGGGCGAGACGCAATCGCGGATGGAACGTTGCCACTTGTACAGGCGAATGTGTGGAGAAGGAGCTCTGCATGCTTCGGGCTGCGGATGCACAGCATAACTGTCATGAGCCGGAGCCTGGTCTTAATATCTCTATCAATAAGCGGGATCAAGCCTCTGGGGATGCTTCATTGGAGAAGGAGAAGATCTCTGGTCCTGAGTGTGACCATGCTGGGATGGGGTCGCTTTTGGGAAAGATTGCCTATCGTGCAAGGGTTGTGCGTGAGGCTGAGGAGAGAGGTTTGGCTAGCTCTGATGCTTGAGTTTTTTTCAGGAATGCTCTAGTGTTTGATGAGATGCTATGGTGTTGCAGTTGGTGTGAGTTCAGCCGCCTAATATATTACTAGTATGTCATCCTCTTCTTGGTAGACTTAATCAATATGCATTTGAACCCAAGACGACAAGAAAATATTAGCATGGCGTGTGCTGCGTCTCCTCAGATCACAACTTTGCCACTAACCCATTGGGATAGAGGTGTGTCACTCATTGGTGGCCATTTGACTATTTTGTCGACGAGACTGATTATCTTCTGAGATCTGCGTCTAAATTATCGATAGATACATAAAGGAAGGAGACAGTATATGGCTGTAGTATACCACACATCCCATTCGTGAAACTCGCAATACAAACGTCTTTGAATAAAATTTAAGTGCTGTTCTCGCTTTCGATTTTGATTTTGTTTCGGATCTAGTGGTGTGAAATATACATGTAAAGCCTGTGTCCAACAAGGAACCAATTGACAACTTAACACATCAAAATGAATCAATTCATTGACTTCATAAATCATCTGCTCATCAACTCACAAGAGCGCACCAGACAAGCTTACAAGACATAATCTATAAAACATCTAAAACTCCACTCCCCCTCATACACCAAGCAACATAGACAGACAATGTTACAAGTTATACGGCTGAGTCCCCCTAACAACATAAATCTCCCCAATGAGGACAGCACAACCAACAGCCATAGAAACAGCAATGATAGGCAGATTCACACGCGCAAACTCCAAACTGCCAACGCGGATATGTTTCCGCTGTAGAATATCCCGCCACAACAAGCCAGCCAGCGAGGCACTAAAGGCAGTACTGAAAGCGCCAAAATTGACCCCAAGCGCCATGCTATATACAGTTGCCCAGAAGGTCCGCTCGCTGATAGGGATGCCGCTTTTGTCGTGGATCGTTTGCCAGGCTTGGATGACGCGTGAGAGGAGGATTGTTGTGCCAATGTTTGTTCCGGCAAACTAATGGAGGAAGAGAGGTTAGTTGCTTCGGAGGAAGGGAGGAAGGTATAGTGTAGAACCCACGTTGCAAAGAATCACAGATAGGAATCCCATTCCACCAACAGCACCCACGGTCCCTGTCTTGCTTACCCAGTGATCCCATCCATATGCGAAAACGGGTACCCAGCCCTTTGTGACGAGAGCTTGCACAAGAACGAACATCGCAAATGCAAAAGGAACAAGTGGGAACGGCATGTGAGATACAACAACGGTGACAGTCGGGAAAGTCTCCTGAAGCCAGCGGTACAGATCAGCAGAGAGGGAAACCAACGTAGGCGGTCCGTCCTGTTGATCACGATACACGCGCTTCTCCTCATCAACCGTGTCAATTGTTTGTCGTGAATCAATTGGCTCGGGTGAAGATGCAAGAGCCAGTCTCTTGTTATCAAGCGATGAAACACCCGGCGCTTCCAGTTCCGGAAACTTATCCTTATCAACAAGAACCGAGACGGACAGTGGCATCTCGCGGTCCGGGTTGGAATTCGATGTCTTCGAGGCTAAACTTGTATTCGCAGCACCGAACGAGATCTCATCGTCTGTACGCTCAGCAGTGCGCCTGTGCAGACCCGACATATCCTGTTCGAATCCTAGGATCTCTGGGGATTGCGATTCCCCCCGTTCTCGCAGTTCTCGTTCTGCGCGTGCATTCTCGACATCTCGTCGGCCCTTTGCGGCAATCTCGCGTGTCTCTTGGCGGTGAATCCAGCCAGAAGCGACATCCCAGCAGAACATGACAAAGGCAGCAGGCAATGTCACGTAGAAGACGGGTTTTTCATTTCCAGTTTGACTGGATGCGTTAATTGCAAGGAGAGTAATAAGTGCCGCTGCCATGATGACGGCGCCGAAGGCTGCTCCCTTTTTATCCAGGAATGGATTCATGATCTCTTCTAGGGAGAGTTGCTTTCCTTCTTCGTTATTCATGTCCTCTTCCTCTTCGGCGTTGCCTCGGGCGTGGGGGATATTCGGGTTCACGGGTTTCTTGCGTTTTTCGTCCTCGGTAAGTTCGTGCATTTTGATTGACAGTGGGATGAGAGATTCATCTGCGAAGATGATGTACAGCAGGAATGGGAATATGACAATGGCTGTTACGACTGTGGGCACGATCATATTTGCTGTGTAGACGATGAATTTGATTTGGAAGGCGCCGGCGAGGACGAGGTTGGTAGGGTTTGACGAGACCAGGATTGCAGAGGCGATGTTTGCTATGGCGAACTGGCTATGGATCCAGGCTCGAGGGTGGACGATATTGCTTGAGACCCGGGTCATGTAGGCGAGGAAGGCTGTACCAGACAAAATGATCGGGTCGTTTCCGATGAATGTGCCAAGTCCGAAAAAGAAGGCGTACAGGTAGAAAAAGAGTCGGTGGCCGACTTTGCCTCCTCGTTCGAGTACTTTGAATGCTAGCCATCTGATTAGACCAGAGGCATCGATCGAGATTGCGATATACGCCAGAGTGAGGAAGAAGGCCATGATATCAATGGGCAGGATGTGGTTTGCGCCGAGGGTCCCATCGTGTACTTCTTGTCGACCAATAGCTTTAATAGCCAGAAGGAAGAGGTCCGCTATCAATGGCGCCGTAATGAAATTCAGCGGGAAACGGAACCTCATGAAGAGGCTTTGCTTTTCCTTGTATTGCCGATGCCGTCGGGGTATTATGCGGATGGCGCTCAGCGAGTCCAGAAATATGTTGTTGAGCCATCGTGGTAGGTATATGGGGATGTGGAAGGGGAAAAGGACAATGGTATCTGGAGAGCACGCAGCAACGGTTAGTGACAACCCGACCTTGGGAAGCAGGTCACTTACTAGTTAAAACAAAAACGATTAGAGTAATAATTGATCGCCAACTTTTGATCTTGGATGTATCGAGATCTTCTTCCATTTTGAGATTTGGGTCCTCTTTGGGGTTCTCTTTGGGGCTGCTTGAAGGTCGCGTGGGCTTCAGCTGTGCATGTACCTAAGTACTAGCTGTTGTGGTCAAGCGCCGAGTCAGTACAGTCCATTGCGCTTTAGCCGCTGTGAGTTATGAGGCCAAATACCGGAATGCAGCGACAACGGAAATTGCACATCAAGGTCCAGATGTTACGCCTATGGCAGACACATTTCTTTCCGCAACAACTCCAAAAATGGTGACTATTAGAGAGCCTCTAGGCTTTTTGTCAATGCTGGAGTAACGTTGTCACTTGATCTTTCTCCTTGCCAGGAAATCAGGAAATCAAGAAACCGAGAGGAATGTGGGGAAATGCAGAATGCCCCTCATAGCATCCTCAGCAGGCTAGGAATATTTTGCGACTGATCGGGCAGAAATGGGAGAACGGCCTCTATTAGGAGCTTATGCCAGGGCTGGGGCTGTGAGCTGTGAGTTCCGTGATCAAAGTGGAGTGCTCTTGGCCATATCAAAGTTGAACTAGAAGGCGGGCGAAGCAGCGTGGTTCTAGCAGTCCCTAGTACTCCAAACCGGGATAGGGCCGGCACAGAGATTTTCACTTGGAAGCCGAGCCCCAGACAGCACAGACACACAGACAGACAAGACAAGTCGGGAGCAATCAGAAAGGGTGAGACGTGCACGAGATCATAAGGAGTGTGTGATTAGCGTAGAATTAGGCTTAGCCAGCCAAGAGGATGCCCCGCACATCTCCAATTTTCCCATGGTTGATCCATATCAATCCAAACATTCAAATCTATATGATCTCCGTCTATTTCTCTTTCTTGCTTCCTCTTCAGATCCCATTGATCCCTCGCGGCGTTACCGCAACTCATTAATTATTCCGCAGACTCAGCCACTGAGAGCTATGCAAGCCCAAGTCCAACTTACCAATCAGGAGGAGGCAGGAATTGCCCCATCTCGTATTCCGCGCCCAGCGTGCTGCGCACGCCCGAATCACCATCACGGGGAAAGTTCCCGGCTCAAGGGCTATAGCTTGCATTGATAGTACTCCAATCCCAAGTAGACCGAGGTAGACAAATGCGAGGAATGAGGCTGTTGCTGACGAACCACCCTGCTACCCGGGTGCGCGCCCTTCTGGCCTTGTTAGCGATGGGCAATCTGTTGCAGGGAATAAGACCTGTCGAGAGGCTCTTTTCTTTTTTCCCCTCTCTATCTATCTCTTGATACCGCATCTACATGTTATAACTTATACATGACAAGGCAGGACTAATTAACCACACCACTTCAATATATGCCTTTCCTTGGTCCAGCTTGAAGTCGCCGTCGAGGCGGATAACATGCGATGCCAGCGCTTCCTTCATTTGCTTCCGGCTTAGCAAACAGTCTCGTGCATCGTGCTACCCTTGCATCGCCCCCTAATGCGACGGGGATTGACCCAGTCCTTGAAGTTGTATGCGCCTGGCCAGTCTCCGGCCAGTATGGACCGGGCACCCGCGTCTTGTATGTTCCTCACCGTGCTGGCAGTGTTTTGTTATCCACATGTACTGATATCGTTGCAGATATTACGCCTTGATTGCAGCTTGTGTGGTCGCTCGGAAGGTGGAGTTTATACGGAGCGCCTGTCTGGCTGCTGTGCTACTTTTCCCCGCTGTCGCCGCTATACATGGGATTGTTCTAGCAGTGCTTCACGTTGATGGTAGGTCTTTATTACAAGCAATGACGGAGATCCTTGACATGGTTCAATTGTCTAACATTGCACAGGAGCCGTCGACATGGACGTCTACGGAGCTTTCCAATTATGCGCAATAGGCATCCTAACAGCCCCAGCAACAGTCCGCCTATCCACGACCTATTTCAACAATCCAGGTCGGGATTTGATCTTCTTATGGACGGTACTTCTTCTCGCCGGGCTGCTAAGCCTAATCGTGGAATTTATGCGCCTCAAATCCGTCGTCTGTCCTATAAACGAGCAGGGTGGAATCGAGTGGACAAGAACAAACAAATTCCCTTATGGAGAATCTTGCGGCATGCGATGCACTCCAGAAGATGGTCCAATTTCACGGTTGCGTCAAGGTTCCGCCGACAATATATATGTCGTGCCGACGCCTTCTCAATTGACGTTCAATACCACGACCCTTCTCGCCGCCGGGTGCTGTGTCCCAGCCATCCTGCAATTGGTTTCCATGTGGATTAAGATCATGGATGCTAACTGGGAGAAATTCTCTCGCGGGGAGAAGAAGAAGAAGCCCGAGGAGCCAATCGAAGGTACCAATGGGGCTACTCTCAGTCATATGACGGGCATTACGGAGAAGATCCGCAGCTGGCTGGCTCTCATTGAAATTCCCGTCTTTGCTGCAGCCGTCTTGTTCATTCTTGTCAAGGGGGAAATGAACTTTTGGAGTTGGCCGGTGTATTACCAGACAGAGCGGATAGCGAGTATAGGTAAGTCACTACACTTGAACTACAGCCCAAATGCACTGAAATATCTAACAACTACCTCCAGGCCAATGGGCACCCATAGTCGGTACAGGTCTCGCCGTCTTCGGATCTCTATACCTCCTCATCTCAGCCGAAATCGCCGCAGAAGGAAACGACGACAACCCAAACGAAACCCAAAACCCCCAAATGATAATAACAACAACAACATGCGCCAAATGCCAAAGCTGCGCCATATCATCCGACACAGAGTCCAACAATGAATCCAGACGAAATTCAGAAACAGCCACAAACACCAACACAGAAACCCAAGGCCAAGTCCTATCCCAAGCCCCCTCACCCTCACCACCACCCTCAACAACCACCCCAATCCGAACATCAACCGTCCAAACAACCCTAACAACCCAAACAGACGTCGGAAACCGACGAAAAGTAGCCCGCTTCTTCAATGCCCTCAGCACAGCAATAACAACCAAAGCCGCCAAACAAACCGAAAAATCAGGCTTCAACCAAGACGAACGAACAACCTACCCAACAACACCAGGCGAGAACCTGCGGAACCCGAAACTAGCGGAGGATATAAGTATCTACAATAAATACCCGCCATCAATGGATGGACGGTCCAGAGCGGGTAGTTTTATAAGTGTTAGTCGGGACTCTGATAACGGCGAAGGGAGTTCACGGATAGCACGGAGTCGCAGTCCAGCTCGTCATTCCTCTTTACCTGGCCAAATGCATCCTCCACCGCGTGCAGCGACAAGACCGTCGCATTCGAATTCGGAGCCTGGGGGTGGTCTCTTCGGGTCTAGCTCTGGATCTTATCTGGGCAGTCCGGGATTGGCGATCAGTGAGTGGCAGATGGGGTTGAGCCCTGTTTCTGTTACGCCTGAGGGTAGGAGTCGGGGGACTTCTATTTCCGATGGGAGTCCGAGTCCTACCTCGACCCTTATGTCTGGGGCGCAGGCTGTCCCGAGAATTCATGTTTCTAGTCATGGGGGTCCTTGAGGTTTTGGATATGCTCTTTGTTTTTTTTTTTTGGAGTTGGATTATGGATTATCGCTGCGCGGTTTACGACTTGACGACTCATATTGGGGTTTGGAGGTAGATGGCGTTGGAATTGGTGACTGGTGGTGTTATCAACTTACGATGTATATCTAACCTAGCATGCTCCATAGAAACAACTAGTTTCAGGGAATACTAATTCTCTTCTTTGCCAATGGACCGCTTGGTGCTACATGTACTTAGAGGACCAGCACAGCTGGTACATGAATTCACCTCAGCTGAAGTGTCTTGAATGATATCTAAATTTAGGTATACACTTAGGTCCTCGAATAAGACAAAGCTCCACCTTGGGATAGATGTCTGCCTGTATCAATTCGGAATCCTGAGAAAGTAAGTCAGCTCTGTGAACTGCAAAATCCATCTGCTGTACACGAAATAGCATACAAAACGAGTCGCGTACGGAGTACTTAGCACCCCGTACTTCGTACTCCGTTCTCCCTCCTTAACAGCAACAAAGCCCGAAATTGCGCGTGAAGATCACAGCCAAGAGCGAGGCGCAGCCACGACTGTCTCAGACATATGGACCAATATTGGATTATCTTTTAGTCTGCCTTACCTCGTTCCCTTTCTTGGTGAGACTGAGTCTCAAATATGGAAAGGGGTATACAGATACACAATGAAACGGAACTACACCATACTAATAATACTCGACTACGCCAATGATAGTGAAACGGAATGAATTTCATTCAACAGTCTCGAACAGTAGTATTCGAAATCAGATCTACCTCTACACTCTTTGACTTTCATTCCCGAACCCTAGCCTAAAACACGCTAGTCTGATTTTAGCCACACCCTCGTAATTCTGGTCAAACCGTATTGTATTCTCTGGGGACGATGGATGGGTCATTGTTATAATACCGTAATTTGCTTAGAATTCAAAATAAGCCAGCTGCGTAGCTAGAACACCATAGCAAATACGATAAATTACAACAGAATTGTATTGAAAGTCAAAGAGTGTAGAGGTAGATCTGATTTCGAATACTACTGTAATCGTTCTGTATACGCCAATCCATTCTCCTTTTCTCTGGGGATTTTTCGTAGCATGAGTATGGTCGTCGTAGTCATCGTTGCTCTCCGGCGCAATGCATCGAACGAGATCTCGTCAAGAGATCGATCGAACTATGTTTTGCCAGCATGCGCGATGGTAGGCTTTTTGTCTTTTGTGGTCGAATGGGTGGTTTATCAGTGGTATTGAACAAGAGAGGCCCGAAGATACTCTGAAGAGAAGAAATTCTATGAACATGAAGGTGAAGAAGGGCAAATGTCAATCGTAAGGCGGCCCGCTAGGGGCGCGCACATGGTGAAATGGGTAAAAATGAGTGGAAGGAAGGGTAATAACAGGGCCGCAGGCTCCAAGAGAGTGATCGGAGGCTGGGAAAGAAATGTGAGAAAACGTCAAGTGTGAACCATAAACCAGAATGAAAGCAAAGAGTCGTCAAGACCGTTTTCGCTTGTTCCATCTACCAGAGATGTACCCATCATTGTCAACGTGCGATCGACGCGGCGCTTAATTGATGTACCACTTGGCACCGCTGACACGGCCAGCGCCCATGGAGGCGAGTTGACCGAAGAGGTGGCGGGACAGATCGATGGAGCTGTCGTCGCAACCCATGCACTTGTCGACGACGGTACCGGTGGCAGTGACGCCGTTGTACTCGATGGTGACGGACTTGCCGCAGTCACCGTCCTTCATGATACCAACGGGGAGGGCCAGGACGTTCTCGGTGGTGCCGTCGTTGGTGGTGCCGCAAGAGCTGGGGTTGGTGGAGGTGGTGGCAGTGTCGTAGTAGGTAATGTCACCGTCGCAAGGAGAGCCGGAGGAGCAGGCGCCGGTGTAGCCGGTGCTAGCGGTGGTCTCGACGTTGGCAGAGCGAGTGTTGGCGGCGACAGTGCTGGAGGTGGTGGAGGAAGTGGTAGGCTCCGCGACAGGGGCAGGAGCGGCAGTGGTGGTCTCAGCCTCCTGGGTGGTGGCAGGGGCAGGGGCAGGGGCCGCGCTAGTGGTCTCAGCCTGCTCAGTGGTAGCGGGAGCGGGGGCGGGAGCAACGGTCGAGCTGGTAGAGGTGGTAGTAGGCTCAGCCTTCTTCTCCTCGACAACAGCCTGGGTGGTAGGGACGGCGGCGGCGTTCACGGGAACGACGGTAGCAACGGAAGTGGGAGCCTGGCCGGGGTAGAGAGTTGTGGTGACATCGACGGTGGTCCAGACGACATCGGTAACAGTCTCCCACACAACAGCGCGCTTGGCGACAGGAGCGGCGTAGCCGGTCAGAGCAAAGAAAGCGCCAGCGAGGGCGAGAGTCTTGGTGATAGGGGCCATTGTAAAAGTTTGAATCTCAAAGGAGTGGATTTCAAAGGATGAACTGCACAGCAGTATGTTCGACAAGCTCAAAGGAGTGTGAGTTGAAGAAAAGGAGGGAATGGACAATGGACCGTTGAGGCGTGTGGAGGAGAGAAAAAGGAAGAAGGGGAGGAAATGGAACTTATATATGAGATCGGCCTCAGGACGGGACCCACTTCAGCCACAACTCATTCATCTTCCCATCTTTCCTCTTTGCCCTTTCATCTTTTTATCTTGGACACTGCAACTAGTTACTACACATTTACACATGTCAGTCCATGTCCATTGATACCCGATCCCGGAGCCCCCGGAGCCTGATTGCAACCTGTACAACAGTATGTGTTCCTGGCGCTAATGTGATCGAGCCTATGGGCAGTGCGGTGACCCACAGTCGCCTCCGTACCTCGCAGACCCATCAAGCCACGCTGATGGGATAAAACTCTGAGAAATACCATATCTGCCTTGACTATGGAAGAGTCCCTAGTCCCTGGTCCAGCTGATTCTATATTTCCGACTTTCACCGTCACCTTGCAAATGACGTGTATTCCCGTCTCGCACCTCGCATCTCGCACCTCGCAACCTCCCAGGGACTGATCAGAATCTGCAGTCCCTGGCAATGTGATTGGTGTGTGCCTGTATCTGTAAGACAGGCAGCCCAAGCCAATCCGAGCACTGGAGGACGCGGACATGGCGGGTTAGCCCTCGCTCCACCTTAACGGTCTGGACTTTTTGAGCCATTTTTTAGTGGGAAATAGTGCCGATCTGTCAGTTAATAGTAGGTGAAATCATAGACAACTCAACCGTCGACTTTAGCAATGAACCTATGAGTCAATCCTTTCCAAACAGGATCCTACAAACACCAAACACCCTAGCTGTCCCTCCCAACTCCTAGCCCTACCCAACGCAGGGCACATACAGTAACACCCGTACCCTCACACTTCATGAACATACATACATCAAGTTAACCCCAACCACATCTACCCCCACCTCTTCCTCCAGCACTGACTTCAACCCGATCCCGGTGTGCTGTCAAGTACAAACAACCTCCCAAACAATTCCAGAACGTAGTCAATCCCACCAACACACGAGTACCGTCTACATGTGTATTCACTATATGCAGGCCATATTCTAGACCCATCCAGCCGAGAGGGAAAGACCCTGTCGCACCAATAGGGCTTGAGACATGGTACAGACATGTCGGGAACTTGGTTAGGATCCATTTCTCATTCTGTCCAGTCTCTTATTGCTCCACTTGCCGATCAGCTTGTGGGATGGAAATTAGTGGGGGTGGCATTGCCATTGAAATTGAAAGTGGAATTGATGATGTGTTGTACTCTCTGTGTGTACAGTATTCATATTCTATGATGGCGGATTATAAAGTTTGGGTTGTTTCATTGGGGTTTGTCTTGGATATGGGTACCGCACATACCTCAGGTACATTTTGTGGTTGTACGATGTGGCTTTGGCGCCAAGGGACAAGGTACAATGTGCAATAGTAGAACATGAGATATGTACAGTATATTCCTCCCGAGAGCATCCGAAGTGCTAGCAAAAACATACAGTATACAACGTAAAGCCCGAAAACAAGAAAGAAGAAAATTAAATTTCTGCAAACCAGTTATTCCCCCCTGAAAGGACTGTAAGAACAAGGAAGAAACAACCCAATCCCAACCCCAACCTGAAGGATCCGACTAGAAGAGTTTGAAAATGCAACATCACAAGAAAAACCCCGAGCCTCGTGGCGAAAAGCAAACCAAAAAGGTAGGTAAGTTACGCAAAAAGAGAAACTATGAACTCGGTGGCTTAAAGCCTGGATACCGTACCCATCGAACCAAACCTCGATTGAACGGGGAAGCGTTTTGAGGGGTGTTTCATTGAATGAGATTGCTTTTGCTTTTTCCGGGGAATGAAGGATTGGATGGACCAGGTTTTATTTTGTGGACTTGGAACTTGATCTTTTGGCATTTTGCCTTTTGTCTGGTTTGCGAATCGCCGGATGGGGAAATGCCGTTTTGTATGGTGGCGCCTTGTTGGGTCGGGTTTTTTTGGGCGGGACTGAGGTTGGGATAGGGGTGGTTTGAGAGTTGAGAGATGAGAGTTGAGAGTTGAGGTATGTATGAGTGTTGGAAATAGTCAGATTGAGTGATTAGTTAATGAAGGAGTTCGTAGATTGGGAGCTACGCGTACATCGGGGACAGTATCTGGGGACTTCCCAGTAGTTGGTTTCTACAAGTAAAACCCTGAGAGAAAATAGTAACATAACACGTTGTTGAACTGAGACTAAGAAAGTACAAAAATAAATATCGAAACCGCGCCAAACACAAAGGAAACAAAATCCATCAATCTCATAATATAGGTACACGTGAGAAGCCAGCGGAAACATGACTATGGGAGAAACGCCAAGATCCCGAAAACAATTATTAGAAAGCACATTTAACCCTGACACATGATGCAAGCCTCCTTGTTCTCAATGCTGCACTGGAGAACAGCATCAGAGAAGATATCACCCTCACGAGCCTCGCTCTCGTCGGCGGCATCCTCGGGCTGAGCTTCGGCGCTGTTGGCCTCGGCAGCGGGGAGGTTAGGCTCGCGGGAAGCAGCAGCCATAGGGTCAGCGACTAGAGTGCGGGGGCTTTCCTCTGGAACAGCAACGTTGGCGGTAGCCTGTTGAGTGCCGTTGGAACGGGGGACAGCCGAGTATCCGGCGGAAGCGGCACCAGTGGTGCGCTTCTTGGAGCGGGCGACGTTGGTGTCCTCGACCTTGAGCTGCTCCTGGTCGACGGTGAACTGGATAGGAGCGGAGGCGGCCATGGTGCGCAGGTAGTACATGCCGGTCTTCAGACCCATCTTCCAGCCGGCGAAGTGCATGGAAGTGATCTTACCCATGGTGGGCTCCTTCAGATGGATGTTCAGGGACTGGGACTGGTCGATGTAGGCACCGCGGTCGGCGGCCATCTGCAGGATGTTACGCTGGGAGATTTCCCAGACGGTCTTGTAGAGGGCCTTGATGTCGGCGGGGATGTTGGGGATGTTCTGGACGGAACCGCCGTCGGCAATGATGCGGTTCTTCATGTTGTCGGACCAGAGGCCGAGGTCGACCAAGTCCTTCAGGAGCCAGGGGTTGACGACCTGGAACTCACCGGCCAAGACGCGGCGGGAGTAGATGTTCGAGGTGTAGGGCTCGAAGCACTCGTTGAAGCCGAGAATCTGACTGGTAGAGGCAGTGGGCATGGGAGCGACGAGCAGACTGTTGCGGACACCAGTCTCGGCGATCTTGGCCTTCAGAGCAGACCAGTCCCAGAGGTCAGTGGGGGTACGGTCCCACATGTCGTACTGCAGAATGCCCTGCGAGACGGGGGAGCCGGGGTAGGTCTCATAGGCACCGAGCTGCTTGGCCAGGTCGGAAGAGGCAGTGAGAGCACCGTGGTAGATGGTCTCGAAGATCTGGATGTTGAGCTGTCTGGCCTCGGGGGAGTCGAAGGGCAGACGCAAAGCCAGGAAGGCATCAGCAAGTCCATTCACACCGAGGGCAATGGGGCGGTGACGGAAGTTGCTCTTCTTGGCCTCGGGGACTGGGTAGTAGTTGATGTCGATGATCTTGTTCAAGTTGCGCACGAGAACCTGGACAACCTCGTGAAGCTTGCCGAAGTCGTACTCGCCACGGGCAGCATCAACGAAAGTAGGAAGGGCAAGAGAAGCCAAGTTGCAAACAGCAACCTCATCGGGAGCGCTGTACTCGATGATCTCAGTGCACAGGTTGGAGCTGCGGATGGTTCCCAAGTTCTTCTGGTTGGACTTCTTGTTGCAAGCATCCTTGTACAGCATGAAGGGGTTACCAGTCTCAGTCTGAGCCTCAAGAATGGCATACCAGAGCTTCTGAGCCTTGATAGTCTTGCGGCCACGGCCCTCCTTCTCGTACTTCTCGTAGAGAGCCTCGAACTCATCACCGTAGACATCAGCGAGACCTGAGGCCTCGTTGGGACAGAAGAGAGTCCAGTCACCGTTAGCTTCAACACGCTTCATGAACAGATCGGGAGTCCAGAGAGCGTAGAAGAGATCACGGGCACGAACTTCCTCTTTTCCGTGGTTCTTGCGGAGATCGAGGAACTCAAAGACATCCGCGTGCCACGGCTCCAAGTAGATGGCAAACGCACCAGGGCGCTTGTTACCACCCTGGTCGACGTAGCGGGCAGTGTTGTTGAACACACGGAGCATAGGAACAATACCGTTGGAGGAGCCGTTGGTTCCACCAATGTAGGAACCGGTGGCACGGATACGGTGAACGTTCAAGCCAATACCACCAGCGGTCTTGGAGATCATAGCACAGGTCTTAAGAGTGTCATAGATACCCTCAATGCTGTCTGCGGACATATCGACCAAGAAGCAAGAAGCAAGCTGGGGTTGGGGAGTGGCGGCGTTGAAAAGGGTAGGGGAGGCGTGGGTGAAGTACTTCTGGGACATCAAGTGGTAGGTCTCAATGGCCTTCTCAATATCCTCACCGTGAATACCGACAGCAACACGCATCAGCAAGTGCTGGGGGCGCTCGGCAACGCTGCCGTTGATACGGAGAAGATATGAACGCTCCAGGGTCTTGAAGCCGAAGAAGTTGTAGTTGAAGTCGCGGTCGTACACAATGGCCGAGTTAAGTTCATCGGCGTGCTTCATAACAATTTCATAGTGCTGCTGAGAAATCATAGGAGCAGGCTTGTTGTTCTTGGGATTGACATAGTGGTAGAGGTCGGAGATGACCATGGAAAATTGCTTTTTTGTCTGCTTGTGGAGGTTGGAAACGGCAATACGGGCAGCCAGGATGGCGTAGTCGGGGTGTGTGACGGTCATGTAGGCGGCAGTCTCGGCAGCCTGGGAATGCAATTAGCAGATTTTCACAAGTCCACAGTGAAATAACATACCAAGTTATCAAGCTCAATGGTGCCAACACCCTGGTAGACACCGGAGATAACCTTCTGGGTGATAGCAGCTGCATCGACGTGCTCAGGGTCGAGGCCGTAACAAAGCCTCGAGACACGAGCGGTGATCTTGTCGAACTGCACGCGTTCTTTGCGGCCATCTGTGGGTTTAATTCGCGTTAGAACTCGATCAGACACGAGTGGCAAAAGGTGTTACTGCCACGAGATGCAGAGCCGGAAGCCCGCACTCGCTGCAAATATCCCCGCCAACTATCAGACTCGTGAACGCACCTCTCTTGTAAACGAACATCTTGGTGGAAGTGAGGAAGTAGGGGGCTGGAAAGAGGAGAAAAAGGATAGAATGGGGGTATCAAGATTAAGAGCAAAGGTAAGGGCTAGAAGAAGAGGTGAATGTGAAGCCCGTAGAGGGTAGAGGGGTGTGAGAAGAAGAAGAGACCCGAGGGGCAGAGGATTCTTTGGTTGCCGAGTGGACGCGTTGCCCAGGACCTTCGCGTCCGCGTTTTTTCAGCTTACCAAGAGGGGTCCACTATTCCCTTACAAAGCTCCATTCTGCAGGGCAGAATGCCTCCAATCTCACCATATGTGGTTAGTGAGTCCGTGCCATCACTACTAGCGTGATTTATCTAGGATAGACTAAGAAGGCGGTGTGACCACCCAAAGGGCGGTGAACCCTGCTGTTCCCCAAATGGCACGCGAAACAATCACGTGAACACGCGCCATCCGCATGGCATCGGAGTGAATGTCGCCGAACGGCTTGAAGCATTCCGAGCTTAGTTGATTTTCGAATTCCATTGCTCGTTTGGCTTTGAATTCACGCTTCTATCTCCTAGTCAACATCGTGGAGGCCTGTTCTCAACCCTTACTGCAGATGTGATGGATCTACAATACTTCTGACAAGGGGCCAAGGGATATCCTTGTAGCACAGATCTGTTCGCCATCTTGTCGGTCTGTTGAGCCTATGGCCCACTCTTGTCTTAGCTCGACCATAGGCTATGCCTTATGAAAGTAGATCGCGGGGAAGCCCAAGAGCCGCGTGTTGTATTAGGCAAAGCATAACCTTACGAGTGCTTCCGAGTTCATCTAGATAGACTTAAAGAGTATAGAGAGGAGCTATATAACACTGTTGCAAGGTCCCTCAGGTTGGAGTGTCTATAGAAATTGCTGCCATCAACAAATGTCGATTTGAGTCCGCGATTGGGTGATCAGCTCTCCAAACACACTTGTCAGATGATCTTAGACTGATGAGCCACATGTGCTTGGGCTGGTCGTGACGATTGAAGTATGGACAGGTCCCCAGTAGACCGCCCTAGACGGTCATCAAATTACTACATCTGCGCAATTATACCGTACGATAGAATCTACTCCAAAGTGAGAAACATTGTAAACCGAAATTGATGTCAGGTGGATATTGATATTGGTATAAGCAAGACATATTAAAATGCCCAAACCACATTCCCGAACAATGAATCAAAGCAGATCAAAGGCAACACATCAAGGCTATTATCTATGTTCACATCGATATTCGCATTGCAGTGCCAACAACTGACAAGGCATGCTCACAGCAGAGCAGCAGCGCCCAGGAAGATCGCAGCGGCAAAGGTAGTCGCAGAGAACTGGCGGTCAGAGGAAGCAGCATTGAAGGTCGAGGTAGGGCTGGAGGCACTACCAGACTCGGAGCTGGAAGAGCCAGCACCGCCAGCGCTGGTGCCAGAGCCAGTGCCAGTAGCAGCGGCGGAGGAACCAGAACCAGTGCCGGAGCCGGAGCCGGTGGCAGCAGCGCCGCTGGAAGAAGCAGCAGTGACGAAGCCGGAGGCGGAAGCACTGCCAGAGGTGGCGGTGGAGGAAGGAGAGGTCTCAACTGTGGAGAGGAGAAGCGATCAGTAGATGTTCCCCATGGGATGATGTAACGCGCTCGGGGTATGTTGTTTTGTTGTCAATCCTTACCAACTTTGTGGCCGAGCTGGGCGCAGTTGCTGACGAAGAACTTCAGTGCGGCATCGCTGTCGGAGCACTTGTCGGCGATGTCAGACTGGATACTGGAGGCATCCTTGCCGCAGATGGCCTTGCTGTCGGCCGGGTTGTCCTGATGACTGGAATTTGGTTAGCTAGGAGATCCACGCCAAGCGATTGACATTCCTTCCATTCCTTCGGCGGACTTACCCGATGATCTTGAGGACACAGGCTGGGGTCTGCGGGGTGGTGGTTCCAGCGGCCACGACGTTGGCCAGGGCCATGACGGCCACGGCGAGGATGGACTTGTTGAAGATCATGTTGGATATTGAGGGATGAAAGAGTGTAAGTTCAGGATCGCACAGCGAGTCTGAAAAGAGAGTAAAGAGAGTAAAGAGTGTGGTGCTAAAGAGCGACTGGTAGAGAAACTGAAGGACAAAGAGTGACGATGTCGAAGGATAAGCTCAGAGGAAACGGGGGAAATCAGTTTGCATCGCAGCCATGGTCGAGTGGGACAGGGTCTGTAATATTACACCAGGGACCATTGCCAAGAGGTATCTTTTAGTATGACACACATATCATGGCTACATTACAGTACATGTATATGTAGTACAAGCGGTATTGTGTTCCCCCAGGCTTGTCACACTTAATCCAATCGGGTTAGCGTCAGGGACTCCCCAGATGGCCCTTCTCGACACACTTCTCATGTACTTCATTTTGAGTTTTTCAGCGTTCAATGGCTGATTTTGATGTTTCGTAAATCATACGCTGTGCGAATGTCTCAGAGAAAGTCTCATAATACTTCATATTATCGTTGCTGCTCTATTTATAACTAGGATTGACTTTGTCGAACTCTACCATAGTACCAAAAGTCAGCATAAGTTTATCACTTCCCAAGGTGCTTGTAACCTGAAAAAGCTATTTCTAGAAGACGCTTCCCGAACTATCAACGTATAAGGTATCCGCGGTTTCTATCGTATGGTCGAAAAAGTAACCTGAAGTCTAATACCAAAATAGCACATGACATATCAACATCCACGTATACCAACATAGGTATCAACACGATCTATACATCCAATTCCAAAATCAAATCAATACCGCCATAAAGATTTAACTCACAATCATAGCCCCTCCCATACCGGATCAAAAATACTAACAACAACCTCTTGAACCGGCAACCTCCCGTCAACAATCTCCCGTCCATTAACTAAATCATTCTCCCTGGCCCTCTTATCCGCCTCATCCTCATCCCTCGCAATACCAGCCTGAACATGCCTCTTTATTAACCTCTTCCTCGCAACCTCGAAATCAACATCAACAAACCAAAGCTCATCCATAAGCCTCGCCGCCACATTCCACGGAGTAACATCCAAACTCAAATAATTTCCCTCAAAAAACAACACCCGGCTACTCGCCGGAATCGCAATATCATCATCGACAGGATCCTTAACCGCATGGTCGAAACTAGGCGCGTGCAGGTCCGGCGTTGTGCTCGTGATCGGTTCCCGCAGTGCCCGCACGAGTGTGAGGAACTTGTCGCCGTCGAATGTGAAGGCTGCGCCCCGCCTTGCTGCTGCGTATGTTGGGTCTGGCATTGCTGCTAGCTGTGCGCGTGTGAGGTGGTACCCGTCCATTGGGATTGTGCTGGCGATTGGCGGTGCCGTTGGGTTTTCGGAGGCGTGGATTTTGTTGATTCGTGTTGCCATTGTGTTTGCGAGGCCGGATTTCCCTGATCCTGGGATTCCGCTTATTGCTATCATTAGGCGTGTGTCGTCTGGTGTTGAGCAGAATTTTGCTGGTGGGGGTTGTTAGCTTGGGGTTTTGATGAGTTTGGGTGCGATGTGGGTGGAGGAGGTGTTGAGGTGGTCTTTTGGATTCTCGGGCTGGGAGGGGTGAGTGATATGCTGTCTGTGTGTTTCTTTTCTTCGGGTTGGGTTGGTGATTTGCTTACCCCAGGCCTTGTTGACCAAGTGGTCTATCTGATGATCCATGGTGACTGGATATGGTATGTAGATGGCGGGTTTGAGTCGAAAATAGATGTATATGTGACAATCGAGACAAGTATCTTCGGAGAGAAAGGATTGCCCTGGTCACTTGAATTGGTCCAGGTGTCTTGGAGATTGCGCAAGATGTGATACAGGATGGTTCGGTGTTGCAGAGTGCTGCGGTTGCAATTGCTGTGCAGTGAATGTGACAGTTGTTGCTATGTATGGGTAGTGTTGAATTGTCAGGGTTGTTGGAGTACGCAAGATGCAGAACGTGTTCAATACCCAGATATCGTGGCGGGGTCTCCAGGACAGAGTGGGGACGGCTGTACTCCGGAGATACGTCACCGGATATGGTATGCGCATGTCTTCCCTTGCTAACACGTCGCTTCTGGGAACAAACATGTTAATATTAAATCTACATAGAATGACTTGCGACTATAGAGTATATCCAACGACGCGTCGGCATGTGAAAGTCACGTTCCGACTTGCCGGATAGAGCGCGAGATGTGACCGATCGTCCTCCGTCCTACTCGATTCACCCATTGCCATTTGACGTCGAACGTCAAGGACAGCCTCCGAAACAAAAAGTCCCCAAATATCTCTGTACGGCGTCAATAACTATGGCGCATGTGGAGGGCACGTTGTATATCCAACATAAACGTTGGGAGTTCAATTTGTCAGATAGACGATTATGAAAAAAAATACATCAAAAGCATATCAAAACAAGAAATTTAGTCGCTGAAGACACCGCCACCCTTGCCAGATCCATCGCAAAGGACAAGCTTGGTACTGCAGCCTGTGCAGCAGGACCGAAAAACAGAAAAAACAAACACCTTCGACTCCAGTAGTGAGTCCCCATATGATTGATACAAACGCCCCGTGGTCGAATCCAACAATTAGTATTCAGTGTAGTTCAAACCCCCACCCCCAAAAAACGCCATCGCCAAGATCAAATGTCATGTCATGCAATGGAAAAAATGGTGCTCAAAGGTCACCGCGGTTGGGCCCAGAAGCGCCTTCGTTGTCCGTCGAGTCCATGCTCGCGCTGAGACCTCGGTCGAGTGTTCGTGCGAGGCCTGCCGCCGCCCACCAATCGTCAGGAATATCTTCACGGCGCGCGAGTCGATCCAGGATGGCCTGCATCTGCTGGAGATCGTCATTATTGTGGTCGGTGATGGAAAGTTGAATGGTGGGAACGGGAGGGTGGCTGCTCTGGGTGGAGCGAAAGTCCGGGAGACGCTGGAGTGTGAGGGGCATAGTGGGTTGAATGAACCGGCGGTAATTTACAGGCGTATCCTCGTCGTCCGAAGAAGAAAAGTCACAAGGGTTGAGGTGGTCAGGATAAGGGTCAAGCGCGGCGTTGCGGGTAGAGCTCAAAGAAGGTAGGTTGGAATGGGTAGAGGCGCGAGTAGTTCCAGTGCGAGCAACATCAGGCGCAGAAGCGAAACTCGAGGCAAAAGAGGTGTCATTGGAAGGTAGATTGGCATCGGGCGTAATCGTCGACAGCAAACTTTCCCACGCGATAGTATCGCGGTCTCCATCGGGGCTCAGGCTGCGCTGGCGATCTCCAAGTCCATCCATCGCGGTCTCTCGGTTCAGTCGAGTTGGTTGGGCCGCGTGCCGATTAATGCGAATGAGGCTTGAGGGCATAAAGAAAGAAGGCTCATCACTGGGGCTGTCTGTGCGACGGAGAGGCGGAAGACGCATGCCGTCCGAGGAGGGAGTTAAAGAGCCGCGGGTGTGGTATGCGGCGGCAGGAGCAAAGTTGGGGGTGAATGAGGGGCTACCGTTACGATAGCTCGAGGCGTGAAAACCAGGGCGACCAAGCAGCTCGGTCAAAGCTTGACTTTCGCGTAGAGATTGATCGGCCCGCTGGCGGTGATTCGGGCGCGAGGAAGGACCCCTGAAGGCCTCGCGTTGGGCCTGAGCCAGCGTCATTCCATCCTCACTCATCCCATTGTTTTGCACAGGAGATCGTCGGGGGAGATCGCTGCCGCGTCGGAGCTCATCTATGATCTGCGACTGGAACGAAGCCATGACATTTCGGCGCGCACGGGAGATACCGTGGCGCGACGAACCGCGACGGCCGATGGTCGAACGCGCAGCAGCAGTGCGGTCCTTCTCGATAGCAGACTTATGTACATCGGCCGTGGAAGGCTCACGCCACATGCTATACTGAAGTCAGTCATGGGTGGCGCATGCGACAATGTCGCGGGAAGTAAGCAAAACTTACGGAATACCCATTATGTAAAAAGCACAGAGAGAAACGAGTGAATAAGAAAGATGGCGAAACGCGCCTTGTAGACAACAGTGGGGATGGAATGGAGAACGGGGGGAGATTGGGGATTTTTTGCCAGCCTCAGGCCGGAAGTGGCTGGAAGGTCACGTGCACCTCCGCGGTCATCTCCGAGCAACAGTCCCGCTACTATGCATGTTCAGCTTAGGCTTCCCACGCCCACGATGAAGCCTTGAAGCTACAAGACACTATCTGTTGCGATCATATAATGACAATTGATAATTGGTCCTAATCCGTTCACCACGATACGATAACACCGGGATGATTGAACTAGGATTGAGTCGGGTCGCGAGTCTGCTTCAGCAGACCCCGCTTACATGGAAGGCGATTCACATTGCTGGGACCAACGGTAAAGGTTCTATCAGTGCCTACTTGTCCCATTTGCTGTCTACTGGAGACGTTCGTTGTGGACGCTTCACTTCCCCACATTTGATTGATCGGTGGGACTGCATCACCATCGGTGAGAAGGTGGTCCAGGAATCTCTCTTTCGACAGATCGAGGACCAGGTCAAACAACGAGACCAAATCTTGGGCATCGGCGCCTCTGAATTCGAGCTTTTGACCGCAACAGCCTTCGAGATATTCAACCATGAGCGAGTCGAGGTTGGAGTCGTCGAAGTGGGCATGGGAGGCCGCCTTGATGCCACAAACGTCCTGACTGATGTCCTGGTTTCCGTCATTACAAAAATTGGGATGGATCATCAAGCATTCCTGGGGTCTACGATTGAGGAGATTGCCCGTGAAAAGGCAGGAATCCTGAAGTCAGGCGTACCATGCGTGGTAGACAACACAAACACTCGGGAAGTACTCGAGACGGTGAAAGGTCGGATTCAAGAACTAAGTATCGAGTCATCATTCGTCTCTCCCGCACAAGTGGCCGAACAACTTCCGCCACTTGCAAATTTATTTAAGAAGCTCGATTTAGAGCCTCACCAACAAGAAAATATGTGCTGCGCAGTCTCTGCTCTGCGCCTCGCTTTGTCTCAACTCCAACCTGAGAAAGATGTCTTCTCTTTGCTTCCATATCTTGCCGACGTGTCATGGCCAGGCCGTCTCCAAAATATCAAGCTTCAACCTCTGGTCGACCGCGCAGAGCCTATCCTACTGGACGGTGCTCATAATGCACAGTCTGCCGAAGTTCTCGGCAAATATGTGGACCGCAAGATGCGTTCCAATGGAAAATCGGTCACTTGGGTTGTTGCCGCATCAAGTGGGAAAGATTTAGCTGGAGTATTCGGCTCCATTATCCGCCCTGGGGATCGTGTCGCAACAGCCGAGTTTGGCCCTGTGGATGGAATGCCATGGGTAACTTCAACAAATGCCCAAGAACTTGCTTCTTCAATCCAAGCTATCCAAAATATCGGCCAAGTCCAGAGCTTCGAGGGTGATCTATTCCCTGCTCTCAAATGGGCTAGTCAAAAGGCCCAGGGCGAGTCCCTTGTTATTGCTGGTAGCTTATATCTCGTCTCCGATGTGCTGCGTCTTCTCCGCGAGGCACAGAAATGATACCCTGTATAAATCGCTTGATAGATCGCGTTGAACTTTGACATGGTTGATCCATGTTGATTGTAAATAATAGACAACTTGACCGAAACAACACTTATTTTTGGGACTTTTTTCATTGTGATACTTCAGTCTCCCAGTATATTGTAAATCTCACCGTATACGTCGGTCATAGATATTAAGTATTAATTAAGACGATTCCGTAAAACTTGCTACCGTAGGGCTGATCGGCGATTGTCCAGCACAGCCTGCATGATGCGGGTGGAGAAAGTTCAAAACAACCACGATTTCTTTGCAGTCAACCCCTTCACGCCCTGTCGCAGCCTTTTCGAGATCGTTGTTCGCGAGAACTTGTCCAGATCATTGTTTTCCTTTGAAAACCTCGTATGCGCCTCGATTTGCTGTGGAAACGGCTCTCTAGAGCGTGAGAGCTGAATCCCTCCTGTGATGACCGCCTGGTAAGACCCTCCTCCCAAGACTTTCAGAACAAATGCTGTTCCCTCTTGTTTATGACGTGGTGAATGCCTCAGATAAACTAACAATCCTCAACTAGATCCTGCGGACATGACCTCTGAGACTGTTGCTATCAGCTCTTGCCTCCTTCCCAGCTTCCACCCCACCCTTCTACCTGAAACCTCGTCCTGAGACCGACAGCCCGATCAAACACCTACTGGCATAAGCTCAAACCTGGCCCGAGCCATTATGGTCTCTCGGTCCGCCGAAGGGAACGAGGGGCTGAGTCGCCCTCTCACCCCCTCCTCCAGAACGCCCGGAACCCCGATAAAGCCGCGATTAACACGAGTGGGAACAAGTCCGTCGAAGCAAGAGAAACCCAAGGATGATAAAGTGAAGTCGTCGGCGAAAGACGTTGCGGAGCTTAAGGACTACGTATGGATATATCTTCAGCATGGTTTGGGCAGATGCTGACTGGTTAAATCAGCAATTGGGTGACTGTCTAGGCAAAGGTGCTTTTGGTTCGGTGTACCGCGCACTGAATTGGAACACTGGGGAGACCGTCGCTGTCAAGCAAATCAAGTTGACCGACCTGCCCAAGAGCGAGTTGCGCGTTATCATGGTATGTTGTTTGCTTATCCCTCGGCGATTTGATATAGCTAACGTGCGGTGTAACAGCTTGAAATTGACCTTTTAAAAAATCTGGATGTGAGACATTTTCTGATGATATATCTACGCGGGCATCTGCTGATCTATATACTCGCAGCATCCCAATATCGTCAAGTACCATGGCTTCGTGAAGTCTGCCGAAACCCTAAACATCATCTTGGAGTGCGTTTCTCCTTCCATGGTTATTCTACCGTAAATCTAACATTGATAGGTATTGCGAAAATGGTTCCTTGCACTCCATTGCAAAGAACTTTGGTCGTTTCCCAGAGAACCTCGTTGGTCTCTATATGTCCCAGGTTCTTCATGGTCTACTGTACCTGCACGAACAGGGTGTCATTCACCGAGATATCAAGGGTGCCAATATCTTGACCACAAAAGAGGGTCTCGTCAAGCTTGCAGATTTCGGTGTGGCGAGTCGTACCACGGGTTTGAGTGAATCAAGTGTGGTTGGCACGCCATATTGGATGGCCCCTGAGGTTATTGAACTTTCCGGTGCAACAACGGCTTCAGATATTTGGAGTCTGGGATGTACCGTCATCGAGCTCCTCGAGGGGAAGCCACCTTATCATAACATGCAGCCCATGCCAGCACTGTTTCGTATCGTGAACGATGACCACCCTCCCTTTTCGCAGGGTGCCTCACCGGTATGTTTCTTCCATTCATCAAGATTGTTTCATACTGACATAATATAGGCTGTGAAAGATTTCCTTATGCAATGCTTCCAAAAGGATCCTAACCTTCGTGTTTCGGCACGAAAGCTCCTCAAACATCCATGGATTGTCAATGCCCGCAGATCAGATTCAGTTGTCCCCAAGAAGTCGACAGAATATGAAGAGGCTGTCAAGAGTGTCCAGGAATGGAACGAAGCTTTGAGGTCACCCGAAACGGGGACTTCAAGAAGGGCACAGAAGCCCGACTACCATAACCCCGCCGCCATTCCATCTTCTCGGAACACTCCATTGGTAGATACTCTACCATCGCCAACTTCCATCAAGACCACGGATAGGTTTCGCTCGTCAGAGTCCGCAGAGGACGACAATTGGGACGATGACTTCGCTACGGCGATCTCTCCCAGTGCACTAAAGTTGCCGCATCTACGCCCACATGATAACTTTGGGGGCATGCTCTCTTCTGAGAGACTGAAAGCATTTGCTTCTCTTGATGGGACGATACTTAAATCTGATGACAGCTTTGAGGAGGAAAATTCGGGATTCTCGGACAATGATGCCCTCCAAACTATTCGACCATATCCAACCAAGCCAGCTGCGTCTGAGCCTTTGAAATCCCCAAGTCCTACGCGCCGCCAACCTTCCAATCCTCCTGTTTCTGCTTTGCAAAATGTCCCTATCCTCACTCAAAACCCCATGCCCAGACGGGCTCGTCCGGCTGCCCTCTATAAGGAGAACTCTGTCGAGGACTATAGCGATCTTATCATGGCAAATGAGGATGTGCTAGATCGGAAGTTGGGAGGCTACCAGGTAAGAGTTTTAACATTATTACAAATCCTTTGCTTTCTGACACATTACAGGACTTTGAGGATGATCCATCTTCTCCTATTCATGAAAATGTTGGATACAATCCTCCTGATGATGAGTTTAGTGGCGCACACCCCCAGCTCCGGAAACAACTCTCCGTGAAGCGAGACCGCTCCACTATCGAGATCCAGCGGTTTGCGGAGAACGAAACTGATGAAGATTTCTCGGATATTCTTGGAGCCGATCAAGCGGCTCTAGATATTGCCGAAAGCGACGATGGCTCTGACCAAAGCAGTACATTGATGCTCAACTCTAAGCTGTCCAACAATTCATGGCTTGGCGACCAAGATGACGATGATGACCCATTCGCGCAGTTGGAAGAAGGATTCGATGAGATGGATCTGGAGGCTAACATTGCCCGTGATAAATACGCTCGTCTCCGCAACCAAGTTGAGGGCCTCGTGGGTTCTCTCAAAACATCTCAGGATGAAGAGGTTCTCGCCGAGATTTCCGAGCAACTGTTCAACATCTTCTGTGACCTCCCAGAAACGAAGAACATCATCATTAGTGCCCACGGAATGTTGCCTATTCTTGAGATTCTTGACACTACTCGTCGACGTGATATTGTCTTTTGTTTGCTAAGGGTCGTTAATGCAATCATTTATGACGATTACGAGATCCAGGAAAACCTATGCTTCGTCGGTGGTATTCCTATCATCAACGAGTTCGCAGCTAAGAAATATCCTCGGGAAATTCGACTCGAAGCTGCAGCTTTCGTGCAGCAGATGTACCAGACTTCGACCCTGACGCTACAAATGTTTGTCAGTGCTGGAGGTCTGAATGTCCTGGTGGAGTTCCTGGAAGATGATTACGAAGATGAACGCGAACTGGTGTTGATTGGTGTGAACGGCATCTGGAGTGTCTTCGAATTACAAGTGAGTATTTCCTACATTGCACATTTTTTCCCAGGCTAATATTTATCCAGGGGTCGACTCCCAAAAACGATTTCTGTCGTATCCTCTCTCGAAACTCGGTCCTTGATCCCTTGTCTCTAGTTTTGAGTCGTGTTCTTGATGAAGACGGGGAATTGGCAGAGGTCATTGAAGGTCGCATCGCCAATATCTTCTTCATTTTCTCGCAGGCCGAGAATCATGTAAAGGAAATGGTGGCTGAGCGAACAGTTCTGCACAGTAAGTACTGTCTGGAAACTTCATAAGACTCGGTGCTGACTATGACTTCCAGGAGTCTTGAAAGAGCTCAGACGAATGAGCCCCGTTCACCAGATCACGATGTTGAAGTTCATCAAAAATCTGTCAATGCTTTCGACTACACTGGATTCACTTCAAAACTCCAATGCCATCGATGTCTTGACCGATTTGCTTCGATTCAACCTGAAACGGGCCCATTTCCGCGAGGTGTCGAATCAGATTCTGAATACGATCTACAACATGTGTCGCCTGAACAAGTCTCGACAGGAAGATGCGGCATTGAACGGCATTGTGCCGCTTTTGCAAAAGATTGTCATGACAGAACGACCATTGAAAGAATTTGCTTTGCCAATCCTCTGTGACATGGCACAGTCTGGAAAGGTTGGTCGTCGGGAATTGTGGCGTAACAAAGGTCTGGCCTTCTACATCACTCTTCTCGCAGATCCGTATTGGCAAGTCACTGCCTTGGATGCTATTTTCACCTGGTTTGTTCCCTCCCCAGATACCACATGTTTCCTTAGCTAACAACGACCAGGCTTCAAGAAGAGACCGCCAAGGTTGAAGAGCACCTTCTGGCTAATCGCTTTGACAAGGCGGCATCCTTTACTGATGCTATTGTTCGGTGCTTGACGCTTTCCAAGGCCAACGCATTCGAGAACATCCTCGACCCTCTACAAAAACTTCTCCGTCTAAGTCCCCCGGTTGCATCTACTTTTGCGCGGCCCGATCTCTTCACAAGACTGAGACAAAAGCTGCACCACAACAAGGCTGCAGTTCGACTGAATCTTCTGCGTATACTGTCTAGTATCTGTGATTCAAGTGAGCAGCAAGGCGGTCTGCTCGCTACTTACGGTCTTCTGGATGCCATTCGAGAAATGGAGAATGATCCAGCTATTCTTGTTCGAGATATGGCAGGCAAGCTCGTACAGTCAAGCGAAGCGTTCAGTCTCAGCAAACGAAGACCCGCAAACCGACGACAAAGCACATCTACCACCCCACCCATTGTGTTCTCCGGTTCTTCTACCCCATCCACACCCTCATCGAATCGCACCGGTCAACCACGAGGATACCTGGAAGGGCGAGAGACACCCCGTCACCCCAGGAATTCTCTCAGTGTTTCTTCTCTAGCCATGAGACCTGGCAGCCGGGATGGCAATAACCCCGCCCTCGGATCTTCTGCAAATGGAAGTGCCGCCGCTTTAGCCAGACCTCGATCTGCACGACCACTTTCTAACAGAATGTCTCACGTTGACGTGCTGCGCGAGGAAGACAACAAAACCCCGAGCTCCTTGAATCGACGACCTTCGGTCCTTCCTCGTCGTCGCCGCCCAACACTTGCTGATTCCGAGTGGACGTGATCCAATCCTCGGTGATCCATGTGGTTTCCTACAACATTATATGTTTGTTTTACTGCGTTTGCAATTTTCTGGTTCATTCTGGTCTGTTTTATACACAGGCAGTGGCGTTGTCAATCACAGAGGGGAGAACTGTGGGTTGATGGTTAAGGCTTGTAAAACTATTCTGTTTTGTGCCTATGCGAGCCTGGTTGCTGCACAGAGTCTACATACTTCTTGAATCAAACATAATTACTTTGTTCTTCATTTGTCCCCGGTCTAATATCTTTTAAAAAATGACCCGTTTCCGATCAGATCCTCCTCTCTTTGATATAAGCACCTTGACAATATCTGAATTCCAACTGTACAGTTCCGATGACGTCGGGCCTTCGGGATCACGTGTGATGGAGCCGATTGGCGGCGAGAACCGTGAAAATCTCCCTTCAACAGATCATACGATGCATTGAACCCAGAAACGCTCACTGCCAATTTCCACCTTTCCCGTATTCTATTTCGCTTATTAGGCCTCTGGGCTCCGCTACGGAATGAGCGCAGCGCTTCGTTTGCCGTGGCGGGCTATCAAGTCTGATCCCGTCACGGTAATCGGGAAAACATCAATTGTCTCAACTTTTGGCTCCCGGTCTCGTTTGACCGCAACCTCGCAGCTTCGATCGTCGCCCTTTGCTAGTGCATCTGGTGCGCCGTTATGGGGCTGTACGCGAGTCCCCTCGAGCCTCATCTCTACCACTTCTTCTGGTCGTTGCTTTTCTACGCGGACCTTGACTCTCTTGTCGCAGGTACAAAGTGAAGCGGGCACAAAGAAGAGTGGGAAGAAGGGTGGATTCAGGCGCAAGGTTGTCATCTTGGCTATTGTAGGTTTGCTTGGTGTTGGGGCTGTGACATTGTCCCCCGATGCGAAACATGCGTACGAAGCTGCTAAGAGAAGTGGCCGTGTTGCTGGCACCTTGGCTGTTTGTATTAACGAGTACGTAGAGTTACTTTGCGGCTTCTTCTACTCACCTTCAACAGTGTCGCTAATCTGATCTGATCTTCAGTTACCGCGTTACCCTGAAACAAGAAGCCTCGTCCCCCGCCGAACACGACGAACTGATTCGCGCATGCCACAAACGATGCGCCGAGCGTACCCTCCGAGTTCTTGAGAAGAATGGATCAATTTTTATTAAGCTGGGCCAACATCTCAGCAGCATGGGATACCTACTTCCGCTAGAATGGACCTCGACATTTATCCCGCTCCAGGACAGATGCCCCGTTTCGTCAATTGAGTCAATTGGCGAGTTGTTCCGCGCTGATACTGGTCAATCCATGGATGAACTATTCGACTCTTTTGAACCGACCCCTACTGGTGCCGCATCACTGGCACAGGTGCACATTGCCACGCTGAAGGAAACTGGACAAAAAGTCGCAGTCAAGGTCCAACACCCCGCGCTCGACGAATGGGTTCCCTTGGATTTGGCCTTGACCCGTTTCACTTTCTCCATGCTCAAGCGGTTCTTTCCTGAATATGATCTGGAATGGTTGTCTAAGGAGATGGACTTCTCTTTGCCGCAGGAGCTGGACTTCCGCATGGAGGCTCAGAATGCCACTCGTGCTAGCGAGTATTTCAAGGAGCACTCTGACGCTCCGTTGGTTATTCCCGAAGGTGCGTATGCTTCGTGAGTGTAGTAGAGGTAATCCAACTGACAAGTTTACAGTGATCTGGTCCCAAAAGCGCATTCTTGTGATGGAGTTCATCGGCGGTCGTCGCCCCGATGACCTCGAATACTTGGACGCCAACAACATCGACCGTGACGAAGTCTCCGCAGCCCTAGCCCACATCTTCAACGAAATGATCTTCGGCAGCAACGCTCCGCTTCACTGCGATCCCCACGGCGGCAACATCGCCATCCGCCCGAACCTTTCCCGCAGCCATCCCAACTTCGACATCATACTCTACGACCATGGATTGTACCGCGACATCGACCAGGATCTCCGCCGCAACTACGCCAAGCTCTGGCTAGCCGTCATTGACGCCAACGTCCCTCGGATGCGCGAATACGCCCAAAAGGTCGCTGGAGTGACAGACGACCAATTCCCCTTATTCGCCAGCGCCATCACCGGCCGCGACTACAGCGTTCTCACAAAGAAGAGCGTCGTCTCCTCGCGCACAGCGGAAGAAAAGAAGGAAATTTCCGGCGCATTGGGCGAGGGCATGCTTCAACAATTGGTCATCCTGCTCGGCCAGGTCCCGCGCATTATCCTGCTCATCTTGAAGACCAATGACTTGACCCGCAGTCTCGATGAGAACCTGCATACGCGCCAGGGTCCGATGCGCTCGTTCCTGATTCTCGCTCGCTACGCTACCCGCACTGTTTTTGAAGAACAGATGGAGTCTATCCAGGCGTCTGGTGGTCTTTTCCGGAATTTCTTCCGGTATCTCGTTGCTTGGGCGGGATATCTTCGCGTTGATCTCAAGTTGTCTGTCTATGAGACTTTGTTATCTTTCAAGACTCGATTTGGGCTTCGGAGTGCTTAAGTTCCTTGTTTCTTCTTGCAGTTGCTCTGATTGGCTCTGCTATCTTTTATTGTTTTTATATATATATATCCCTGGTTTCTTTGTTGGGTTATTCTCATGAGCGCGGACTATCTTGATTGATGTGCGTGTATCAGCGGTGGAGTTTTGCATTTTCGCTTTTTCACATATGATCACTTTATTCCTCGAACAGAATGCTCAAGGGATGGTCAAAGACCCGGTGCAGCCTGTACAGATACTTGGAGTGCAGATAGACATTTAGATTATAGACCATTTCTAGTCATCTACATTCATCCACATAAGAACAAAAAGATCTCTGGTTTCATCATTTCATTAGGAAACTATCAAGGCGCTGCTTTTTCAGAAAGTGGAGTTGAGAGCACCGATCAAGGAACCCAAATATCCGCCGAGGCGCCGTCAGAAAATAAAAAAAATAAAAACCATCTCGAAAACGCGAGAAAAGAAAAGGGAAAAAGAAAAATATGTACATGGAACAAATGGGGAATTGTTCGTTCTCATCTCGTCCATCGTGATCCAGGCACACGCATTTTCAGTGACACCGGTATCAACGAACCCCAGCACAACAAAAAAGAAATCACAATCTCGAATCTTTCAATCCATCCAATATACATCCTTGATCAAATGATTGTGTAGAGACAACCTCGGGATGAGTCACAGACTTCGAGAAACGAGTGTTGCTTCAGACAGACACTGCACCCGGCACGCTCACGCAAAATATAAAGGAAGAAACAATTTAGAGGGCAGCGGCAGGGCTGCCGCCAGTCTGCTCAATCTCGACCTTGACATCGGGAATGGAACCGCCTGTCCCGGACAGATCTGTGACACGGGTGTTGGGGTTTTTAGTGTAGTAGTTGGCAATGGCGGACTTGATGGCATCCTCAGCAAGCATAGAGCAGTGAACTGCAAAGCCAGTTAGAACCATACTTTATTCATAGGGAACGGGGGATAGATTGGGGGGAAGACATACGCTTGACGGGAGGGAGGCAAAGTTCCTTCGCCACATCGGTGTTCTTAATCTGGCCAGCTTCATCGAGGGTCATACCGCGAACCAACTCGGTCAGATAACTGGACGAGGCGATGGCACTGCCACAGCCGAAAGTCTTGAAGACGACATCGTCGATACGGCCGGAGTCCTTGTTCACGCGGATCTGCAACTTCATGACATCGCCACAGGCGGGCGCGCCGACGAGACCCGTGCCCACGTCCTGGTCGCCCTTCTGCATAGAGCCGACATTGCGAGGGTTGTTGTAGTGGTCCAGGACCTTCTCGTGATATCCTCGGCGCTGCACGGCTTGAGCGGGCGTAGCACGGTTGATGGGTTGGGCGGACTGGAAGCCGGAGAGGGGAGCGAAGGCACTGCGAGTTGCGACAGAGCCGACGCGGGGAGCAATAGTGACGAGACGCTTGAACATTTTGATGGGTATTGATTGATGGGTAGATAGTACGTAGAGGTGAAGTGGTTTCAGAGGCGAAAAGATGGATCTGATAGGGAGTGATGAATTCATAAATAATCTGATCGGGTGTTATATAAGCAGGCTAAGCCTAATGGGGTAGCTTGTCTGGCCGGATTCGCCGGTCGTCGGAGATGACAAAGATGACGTTCCCTTTTCTCTTCTTTTCCATCTGATATGTGAGGCCGAGATTACATGTTTTACGGGGTTTGCTGTGGTCTGTGCCAGTGAGAGAGCTTCTGTGTGATATCAGTTCTCAGGGGTGGCGAGTTCCCTGCACCACTCAAGTTGTCCGCGGTGGGCTCGTCCGGCCAACGTTGTGTTTCCCGCCTCTCCGTGAGCCAATTGTCGGTCGATGATATCAAATGGTGGAGATGTTTTTCAATGATGGACAGAGAAGCCTGGCGATCACACCGGTCGCAAGTTCTCGTCAGATTATGCGAACTACATTACATGTCTATATTCACTCAGCAACCAGCTAGGAGCACTCCATAGTCTGTACTATATCTCGGTATACATTCTTCGCCGGAGATATCGGAGCCACTTCCGTTCGGGCTTCGGTCTCGGTGAATTCAACCGGTGTATGCAGCTCAACATTTCTATGGGATTTCCGCCTCCCCTCAGCGGGGTTGCGTTGAACTACTCTCCACTTGGTTATTTAAGCCGACTACTGCCTTGTACAAAAACCCATAAGCATTGTCTTTGAATACCTCTTAGGAAAAGCTCAGCTAGTTTATTGTTTTGTCTGGTAAAAGGCTTGTATGTCAGATAGGAAGGAAAAAAAGAAACAAGCTTCAGTCAGGGTCCCACGGCTTTTCTTCGAATATCACTATCCTTCGTTTTCCAATACATATACGATAGCATTATTCAAATAAGTGGCAGGATTGTAATCAAATTGTAGGTTGGGATTGCCGTAACAGCAAGATTGGCTAATGCTGTCACATAATTTGAGGTTTTGTAAACTACCGAGACTAATACTTTGTAGCACACATCCGTCAAACATATCATTTGAGGGCTTGATTCGAGCAGCCGATCAAGCCATATCTTCCTAGTCATGTATAAACCGTTGCACCTGTTTTTGCATTTAGGAGAAGCGACAGTCAGAAGCGTCGGTAGATTATTGACAGAATAGTGTGGGCCTCAAAGCTATGGTCTTTCTGAAATCCTAGGGTCGAAAACAATCCTGTCGTCCCTTGCAATTTTCGAAAGTGGCTGATCCTCCTGCTGATCCTCTTTGTACAGCCGGAGATAGTGAGACGAGCGTCGCGGCTGTAAGAAGTATTCCCGAGGTCTCTTTCAAGTCCATGCAGTATGCCAGATGCAATCTAAGGTCATCCTCAATTGAGGCAAGACTGAGCAGTCGACTTAATCTCCACAATATTTGGCCATGACCAAGTGATTCGCAATATCTATGGATCAACTTATCATCTCTCTAGTCGGGTGTAGCATCAATGAAGTCGTTTATGAAGGGTTTCTGTTCGTCGCCATGTTGTCATGTGCAGTTAACATCATAAATGTATGAATATATGCTGTGAATGCCCAGTCATAATGCAGGCAATGTTGAAATTATAATCAATATGTTTCTCACATTCAAATCAGGGTGGCATAACGCGAAAGTGTCCAAAACCATAGCTAGAAGTTCAAGCTTCTTTATATATACAATGTTGTGAAGAGCATCGCCTGCGAACATGTAATAAAGTCTACTGCCCACAGTGTCTATTTCCCTCCACTAGCGACAAAGTCGCCCCATGACTCCATAGTACTCAAGAATTGTATGCCGAGTTGGTACTCGTGTCAACGTGGAAGAGGCGCCCGCAGTGATGGGAAAGCAGCAGAATCTCTGCATTTGGCATTCAGCCTTGACTAAACCACCAGCTTCTGGTTTGATCAATTGCAATCACTCTGATAAAGTGGCGAGTAATCCCTAACCGAGCCTCTCAGCCTCTACCCTACTATCCTCTACTCTACATCTCACCAAATCGGACAATGCAAAAGGTAATATTTCACCAGAAGCTCCTAAATATAATGCAACATCAATGCCATCAAAAAATTCCCATCTCACAGAGCCTCACGAACGGCAGACTTATACTAAACCAGAAAAACACAATTAGTAAAACAACTTCTCACCTCCCCCGCTGGAAAAGCACCCGCTTCTAGATTTGACAAACATACCGGAATAATCTGCGCCTTTTCCATATCCCACACACCGCTCTTAACATAGATATCATTATTCAGCAGCTCGAGAACCTGCGCCTCATTCTCTGCAACGGCCATCATCATGCTTCCCTTGAAAGAGGGAGTCTCGCCGTCAGCGGGGTGGGCGTTGAGCATGGCGCCTATAGCATCAAATCATAAGTTATTACTATATGTACTTTTGAGTCCGTGGGGTTTTGAGGGATTAACGTACCGCCTGCAACAATAGTACCTGATGCGACGTGTGGCTTGACACCCTCGAGGTGTAAACTGGTCGGGTAGGACACCGGTCAGCGAAGGTCCACCAGCACATATCCTAGTTCGGTACAGCATAGTCCAGCACAGAATATCTCAGATCTCAGAGCTCCCTGCTGAATTGCCATCTGGATCTCACTGTATCCCAATCCAATGCACTCCAATCAACCGGAAACAGCGAAACTCACGGCCGAACTTCAAGACGCTTAGCCTGCGCACCAGGCTTATCGGGCAGAATGCAGAGGAATTCCTTTTTAGCGGGTGCGGAAGACATATTGCGAGATTGGAATATGGATCGGAAGGTCGGTGGGGGTAATGTTTTGCGATGTGAATGTCCGAAGGTTGGAGGTGAGGTGAAGAATGGCGGGACGCGGGTTTGCCGAGCGTGGGGGAAAGCGGGGACTGCGCGTGAGAGCGTTTGGGGGAGACAGGGTTGCATTGGAGGTGGTTTTGGTGGGTTGGGGGTTTGTTAGTTGGGTAATTAAAGGGTTTGGGAGGTCTGGGGGTCTGGGGGAGGGTTTAGAATGCGGAAGTTGGGGATTGGGGGGTTTGGGGGGTCCCGCCGAGGTTTGATGGGTTGGATGTATTAGGGCCTTGAGTCTTGGTGGTGAATCTAGCGTTGGGGCTGTATTTTACTGGTTTGGTCTATAGCGTGTTTGGTTTGTAGGATAGTCAGAATCGTACAATTGATTATATACAAGAACGAGGAGAGTCAAAGTGCGCTGAATATCTGCTTTGCTTCATCTGCAAAAAAGTCAAGCTCACGATAATGTCCAGACCCAATGCAGAGCAATGTTGGCCTAGTGCCATCCCTACCACCAGAAAAGAAAACCAAGGACGCCAGCTCGGACGTGACAAAATGGAAGGGAAACAATTTGGAAAATCTGCATAGCAGACCAAAAGAATAAACGGCAAGGAAAAACAAACATGACATGACAGTAATGGCCCGGTTCTCGGGCCCTAGAGTTGGTTTGCAAGAAGAACAGAAGATCGAGATGGAATACCAACTCGAGTGAACAGTGAATAGTGAACAATGAACATACCCTGGGACCACCACCCCATCCAAACTGTATAGGAAGGAGTATGTGGACTCAAGTGCATGACTCGTTATATCAGAGGCCATGAGAAGCGAACTCTATAGACCTGCAACCCGCCAAACAGCATTTTCCCCCGTAGCGCCAAGGTAACAAATACACACACTCCCTAGAACGCGGCAAGATACAGGATTAGGGAAATCATTAGGCTTCCGTCGCGATACAGCCGTCCAAAAAGAAAAAAGAAAAGAAAATGAGTCACAAGGGAAAGAAAGCGAAAGCCGAAGCGAGTCCCGCTTGTCAGGGGGAGATGCACGGCGGAAATGGAAGCTGATGGATGTTCGGGGACGGGACGATTCAAAGGTCAACTTGAATCTCAAGCGGCGAGATTTCCGGCTGGGATGGGAGCGGCTCTAAAACGCTTTGCGCTCTCCAAGGTTGCCGGGCTTCTCGTCGGTGTCAATGTGCCAGACCACGTAGTTGGGCAGTCCGATCACTTGGTAGCCGGCACGCTTGGCCATGCGGGCGAAACCTTCGGTCTCTGCTTGGTTCTCGAATGCGTATGCGGGGAAGTTGATACCTGAGCGGTGGACATCGGCCTTGACGAGGATGTTGACGCCGCCAATGCCGTCAAGCTCCACCTCCTCGTCCTTGTTCTTGCGCCAGTCACCCATGCTAACCAAGTAGGTACGACCGGTGTCGTACTCCTTGTAGCCTTCGGCCAGAACGGTGTCGGTAGGCAGAGTCGCACGCAGGCGGCGACCACGGTCAGATTCGATCCAGGAGTTGTAGTCGACTAAGAAAAGGAAATGTCAGCAAGCTGTGCGGTATACAAAACAATACGGATAACGTACAGCGACCCTCGATATCACGGCCATCCCTATAGCGGTGGAACCAAATATCTAAATATCTTGTCAGCAAATAGCCCCAGCCCAAATTCCAATGTCATCACGTACTCGGCACAAGGATGTCCTTATCGTGGGCCATGAAGTCCTCCAGAATGCGCTCTGGGCAGTCGGTGATATCCACATCACGCCAGTACACCCAGGAGTGATCGGGCTTGAGAGCGGAGTAAAGGAGGTAATTACGAGCACGGCCAATGGCCTTGCGTCGCGGTCCCTGAGCAGCAAATGAATGACGCTCGGCTACACTCATCTCAACATCGGCACCGAAATCCTTCTTGATCACAGTAGCACTGCGGAAGCGAATCTTCTCATCGGCGTGGTTCTGGATACGATCGAGTTCGGAGGCGAGGTTGGCCAGGGTGTCATCTTTGCAGTCTCCGACGAGGAAAGCAAGATCGATCAATTCATGGGGGTAGGTCAGCTTGTACAGGAGGTCAAAGTACTTGGCCAGGTAAGGGGCGGCGTCGCGGAGAGGAGTCAGGATGAGGACACGCTCATGGTTGAGCGCTGCTTGGGTGGTCGACTTGATGGGGTTCAGGTCGACTTCGGCGATGGAGGTGTTGTTGACTTCGTAGGGTTCGTGGCGGTTGAAGAGAACGGGGGTTTGGGCGTGCGCATTCCACTCAACCATCTCGTTGAGGGACATCTCCATGGGTGACTTTGATGAGCCATAACAGTAGAAGCTGCGGACACTCGAGTCAGCATTCGCTTCTGGGGGTGTTCTGGATTCCGGGGGGTTTCTCACTTTTGCATCTCCGACGCAGACCTGCTCACGCCGCGCCACATGAGGATCAGCAATCCGGTCAAGGCTATCGAGACCAGAAAGCGAGTTCGCGTTAATAAGACGACGATTGCCCTCCATGGCGGCAATCTGGCCTTCGCGGACTTCCAATTAACACCACCCTTGGGCAACAACATTTTGGCGCGTAAAGAATCAGAAAACAAGGCGATCCGGGGTCTCGATATCTCGTCGAAAACCCCCCGACCGAACGAATGTGGCGAATAGGGAGAGGTTGGGAGGCGAGATGAGAGGTTGATAGGGAGGAAAAAGAGGAGAGACGGGATCGTCGGGGGAAATCCAAGTGCCAAGCGGAACGGCTAAAATCAGCAACACAACTTCGTTTTGTATTGTTGTTCGAAATAATTATATAGTCTGCTACATAGATAGTACTTGACTAGTTAATGCTACTTCAAATGTTAACGTTATGTCTCGCTGGCCAGGGGTGGCCGAGATCTGACAGCAAACCTTTAACTTTATTTATAGCCCATGATCGACTAGAACCTCAACGGACATTTAGATTGGTGCTGTAGCATTGTATAGAACGGAATACAAACTTGACATTATCTGAAAGGATTTCCTCGCCACGCAGGTACAGGAGCACACATCTCGTTACCCCTATATATTACTCCTGTAGGGATTGCGTGTACACCTCGACACGTCCACGGGTGTGCATGTACACGTATAGAGAGTACTTCACACAACATTAACACCATTCTTCTGTTAGTATACTGTATTCAATTTCCTACTCCCAGATTTAGTATTCTCGCAATTACCCTCTAAGCGAATAGTACAGTACACATGAACTCGACGAAACAATCACAAAACACGGTGGAGTCTGCATACGAGATCAAAGTGAAACAAAGCCTCGACCCTGGCTAGTCCCCTATAACTTGGCCTTGACTGTATGCCCTCTACTATTTGCCCTAAACACACAGCGGAATTTTATGCTACTGCCTTGCAATGCGAAAAGAAAAATGACTAAAATGAACGTGGGGACACTTGTCCTAACCAAAAGCGAAGACTTGCTGTTTCCATCGGCTGATCATCCTCCATCGAAGCGCTGATTCGTCTAGAAACTTCACAGGACAGTCTAGACGCATGCAATATTCGCAGCATGGCTTCAATTTGGTCTGCTTTTGTTTACTATCTTTTTCGGCAAATATTATCAATATATATATATGTATATATATATAAATGTAATATAAAGGGGGAGAGACACGATTTGTCTTCGACTATTTGATTTCCAGTGTCCTCATGTATATGGCAGAGGCTGGGAAATATATTTGCACGACATACAATGAAGAGATCTCAGTCAGGCGCCCCTATTGCAGTACAGTCATTGCTAAGTCCCTGTACATTCTTCGTATACTATTCGGCTGTCCCCTCCATCCTGTTCGTACATAAGAGTTACCCCTTAGTCAATGCCATAGTATAAGGATGCTTGATCAATAAGGCTCAGCATGACGAAGAAAGCAACAGTACGACAGCAATTACTCTCGGAAAAAAAAAAAAAAGTCTTGCATTAGACGTGACCATAGCTAGTTCATTATTCCACGAGATCTGTATATACTAAGACTGAGCTTCCACTTATCAAGCTGAAGACATGCTGACATTCATGAGAATCGTCATTCATAGAACTCCATCCCCAGTACAGCCCACATACCTGTTTTCAGTTGAATACTCAAGATTACAATTACAAAGATCCTCCAAGAAAAGCTTGATATTATCATCAAAAATGATTTATTGGGTCATAACCGTCGACGTGAGATCAAAAGTGACAAAAGAAATAAGAAAGTAAGAAACAAGAAAGCTCAAGGTATTTACACCAGGTCGTATATGTCCATACTCAACGCCCAAGAGACAAAGAAAATAAGAGAGAAAAGAAAAGAAGTACCCGTTTTGTCCAAGAAGAAAAGAAAAAAAAAATCAAACAAGAATCCACCGAAATGTAGAAACAAAGGAAAAAATATCCAAAGGGGGCCTCTTGTTCACCCCCGTATCACAATACTGTTACACAATGCAGGCGCTAAAAGCACATAGAGCAGAAGACGATAGGCTGCAAGGGACGAAGGCTAGAGGAAATGGCACAGAGAAAGCCAAGAAGAGAAGCAGGTCGTCATAGAATCATCAGATCATCAATCTCAGGGCAGTTCACGGGGAAGGAAGCAGAGATTGGCGACGAGGCACGCTCGGGAATGTGAAAGAGGAGACATGAGAGGGAGGGAACGCAGGAGAAGAAGGCCCAGTCATCGGGGGAGTAGCACTCAGGTAAGAGCTGCCGAAGGACTGGGAGGTCGAGCTGGGAAGGGAGTCGTGGAAGGGACCAGCAGAGGAAGTCTGCTCCATGTTGGCGGCGATCTCATCGCAGAAAACCCGCAGACCAGGCAGGCCGGCGCTCTTCTTCTGGCGCTTGTGTTCAGGCAACTCGAGGACGGGACCAGGGCTGGTGCTCTCGGTCTTTGGGGAGCGGAACATCTGCTCATAGGACTTGAGCTGGAACTCAAGGGCGCGGTTGCGGTCAGCGAGCATCTCGTTCTCGGCCTTTGTGGCCTTGAGCTGCTGCTGGGTCGATTGGTTCTGTTGCTGCAGGGAGCTGACGAGCTGTTGCAGTTGCATGCAGCGGACTTGGGGCTGCAGTTTCTCTGAGAGCTGTGGTGTGACTTGTTCCTGGCGAATGAGGTGCACGATGATGGCGAGCATGAAGTCAACGAGGTAGATTGCTCCTTGCACGATGTGCTCCTTTGATTGGGTCAGGGACTTGGATGGGTTCCAGCCTGCACGCTCCAGGAAGAAGTCGTGTATGCGGCTGTCGAGCTGGCGGTGCAGCTCGCTGAGGTTGCTACGGCGGTTGCCCTCGGCGATGCGGTGCTTCTCACGCTGGTCATCTTGTTCGTTGGACATGGCGCTGCCCTTGCGCTTGCGGCCGCACAGTTGCTGCAGGGGAGCCTTGCGGTTGATGTTTTGTGGGGCCACTAGAGCCATGATCTCGTTCTGGGAGAGATCGTTTGGCCAATCGATGGAGCCAGCCTTTTGCATGGCGAAGGACTCCTGCCAGGAGCTCTCAGCAGAGTTGGCAGGTGAGGGAGGAGCAATGATCTGCTCCGCACCCCATGGTGACTTGAATTGGAAGGTATCCTGTGCACCGGGGGTGGTTGGGACGAGGGTCTCCTTCATGTTGAATGGATTGAAAGGTCCGCGAGGCAGGGGCTCCATGCGAGGAAGAGGAGGTAGACGGCGGTCTTCGCCCACATCAGAGCCGGCCACACCAGAGATAGAAGATCGCAGAGAACTTGAAGATGTTAGTGCTGAATATAGAAGAGACGGTGAGGTGACTCACGGCAAAGAGCAGCGGCGAGTAATGTCGTCAGTCATAGCGGAACCCATTTCCTCGTACATCTTAGGGTTCTGGTTGAATAGCGTGATATGTGCAGAGGCGAGTGTTGTTAAATTGTAGTATATCGAGGTGGTAGATGTACAATTCTGTTTGTTCTCGTACGTTCAGGTGGTCGATGAGTCGTTGTCGAGTGCAGATAAACTGTAGTATATGCACAATAGGAGAGAAGATTCACAAAACAGGCTGAGCTATAGACAGAGTAGAGGGATCGAATTCCACGAGGCGAAGACAGTGAGTGAGACAATGAAGGGATACCATGCGGGATGGGTGCATGTTTATATGTCGAGAGAGGGGGAGTATTTTGGGGGAAAAAACCCGCATGTAGAAAATACCAGAATAATCTCAAAAAAAAAAAAATCATAAATATTCTAGATATTCCAGATAATCCTAGATCGAAGGGCCCAGAGACGACCTCTCCGGACCCAAGAGGGGGGAACCAGCGATCAGGGCCGATCGACATGAGTGGAATCCGGGATGTCATACAGACAGTAGACAGTGCATACTGTATAGAGTCCCACCATGACGGGGAAGCAAGTGTCTATCCCGAGTGGGTGCTCTCGGTCTAGTGTCGCTTGGAAGAAGCGCCAAAGAACGATGGAGAAAATACCATTTATCACAGAGTATCTGTCACATCATGCACGGACCGAACCTCACAGTATAGTGCATTAGATCGACCAATCAGCAATGTGCGACGAAGCCCGGTGGGAAGGTTCCTAACGAGGATCCAGGGCCCTTGATTTGTCACCGGTCTGTTGGTGTTGCGATCTACACGGGGAACGATTTAGGGAATGCCCTTGCATAGTCTCTATTCAATAGAATAGCCTCTGGTCAAATCTTCCGGCTTCTTCGTGTGGATCTGACTGTTCACAAAGAAAGAAAAAAAAAAGACAATGAACAGCACACACTGAACGTCTCCATGGATGTTTGAGATTGGCTTTGCTTGCATATCCCATACATATCGGCTCCATACCGGATATCTTTTCCCCGGGTTGATGGCAATCATGAAACGCCGACTGCAGCACCAGAGAGTACATACTAGATCTCCTGCATAGATAGTCAGGAGAACCTACCATGGTCTATAGTATCAAGGGGTACAATAATCCATCGCTCCCCCTCGAGAAAGCTTATGGAAATTCAAATGGCCCTTAAATTTAATAGAGTCAAGCAAGGACCCTCGGGAGTGTCAGAACATGCGAGGAGGTAGACATCAATACCCATGACGAAATCATAACCATCTAGGGAGGCTCTAGATTGTGACAATCCGCGTGTCAGAAGAGATGAACAATCTCGTTTAATCAGTATCGTCGCCAAGTAAGCGAATAATGGAGAACAAATGGGCAAGAAGCGAAATGATCGCTCGAGGCAACCAGCGACTTGGGACGGTCCCAACGACCAGGATACGTTTGCTGTCAGACGGCAAATCATGGAGATCAGAGTGATTTGGAATTGATTTACGCACAGACGTTGAAGAATTGACAAGTCAGAGCGAATAAATATATATTTAATCTGGATATTAGCTTTATTGATTCATTCTTAGCGCGAAGCCCTAATGAGCACGTTCCTCGAGCGAATAGCCCTATGTTTCGTTCAGCCACGATCATCACCCTCGTTTCTATTGCGTTGCCTAATAATGTAACACTGCAGGACCCTGGCTCATATAATCTTATATTCGTATTTCATATTCCCTCTCGTGTACCCGTGTGTGTCCGCTACGAAGCTGGTGGGTCAGTGAAATCGAGCTGTCATATTTTCCGTCCCGCCCTCACCAACCAGCACTCAACTTCACCTCATGTCGGCTCCATCGGGCACACTAGTCCCCACGTTCTCATTGTGTTCCCCTTAATCTCTTCTATTCATCAGATTCCCACTGCCTCAATTCGTACGCAATTTACTTGCAGTTCGATGGATTCCATGCAGCAACCCTGCGCAAAATGGCCTCGCTTGCTCTCCCCTATTACTCATTGTTTACATTGTACATTGTATTCGGGTCGTCTTTTGCAGATGGCACGCACCTGCAGCTAGAGAGGGGGAATAGGCACGAACGATTCGAGCTCACAAACCTACAGACTTCCGACAGTTCCCCGGACCCATCTGGCCCGATCTTGTTCTTTTTCTCTTACCAGTTCGAGTGACGCGCAGGGGACTCGATCTCCAAGTTAAATCAGAGTTTGATCCTGATCCTCGGGCCCGATTCTGATATTTTCGGATCTTTGTACATTTGTACATTTGCGTAATGCCTCTACCGTTTCTGGGATCGCGGGCTCGATCGCACCCTTCTACAGGATAGATCCGCCTCTCTTCATAAGCCCTCAATAGTCGACCCCATGGGCCTCGGATTAAGTTCATCCTCGCATCAGCGTCTGAGCTCACAGGCTCGGGTGGGCTCCCCATCCCGTGCGGCTCAGCAAGGACCAGCCACCCTATTCTCTACATACTCTGCTCTCTCCGTGTCATGGCAAAGCCAACGGTGGCGTTGGGACCAATGACCGACGGATCCGTCCTCCTCGAGCCAATTTATTCCCAATAGTAGCCTGTAGTCAGCTCAGCCGCGGACCCGCTTGACCTGTCAAGTTTCACTTTTCAATGACAGGCTGTGCTAGGATTTGAGAATCTTCAATTGAATGTTATAGAGTCATGAATCTACTGATTTGAGATTCGGTATATGATAATTGAGTATGGTCTCTACAATTGATCTTAGGATTCATCTGCAGACCTACCTTGCCAAGCGTTAAAAAGTACCGGTTCATGCATGATGCAAGATCCTTTTCCTGGACAGCTGGCCAAACCTACCAGGGGATGCCCTGATCTTAGCGTATGAGTTTCTTGTGAGTTCGCATGTTTTGTGCGATCGATTTCCTTAGATCTCTCGAGTTCTTGGTAATTTAAAATGCGAAATATGGAATTTTCCATTGTTCGATATTTGCCCTCTCCACTTCTCGCCCCTCCCCTAACATGTACCTAAAGTACACTACTGTGCGTGTTTACTTTTACATTTATTTATTTTCAACCCAAGGCCCCTTCACAGGGCCCGGTTCAATGGTCGGCATGAATTGCTGACTCGTGCTAGACTGAGTACGGGCCATGACGGAAGGGCTTTCGGTAATATTCCGAGCCATTTGATAGAGGAAGCCTATCTCCGTGGCGTTCAGAGTTATGGTCATACGCAATAATTGTCTACTACACATAACATCCAATATCAACTAATATTGAGGGAGATCGGCGGCAAGGGCAAGGATCAGAGTTTCGTCGGCAACCATGTGGAACTTGCACGTCTATTCCATTAGGTGACATACATTAACAGTAGACTTTAACTGTTCAAAAGTACATTTAGATCATCTGTGAATAAGCCTAAATTCCAAAAAGTATTTCAAAAAAAAAAAAATCCCAAACTCAAAGAAATGCCTAGCTGGTCTCTGCGCAGGTACAACCGATTGTCTGGAGTAGGAAATAATTCCCCGACTGGCGCAGCCGCCACGGTTCCTGCAAGGACAAGTCCCTAGTATACAGATCTAGCAGGGGCCCACGGTGCATAGCGGCTATTCCTGGAGAATCCCCGCCAGCAACACGGAACTCAAATTCGCCGCATCTGACAGGTCTCACTTAGCCACTTCCCCGAGTTGCTGCATGCATACGCATACACACCAGCTAGTTCCTCCCCGTGGAGTTCGCCATCAGAACAGACAGTGCTTTGCCCTCCCATCATCGGGCTCTCGGGCTCTGATCTGGTTCTAGATACAAGGATCTGCTCTGCTTCTGCGTCTAGTTCCCACAAGACGCATTGCAAATCGATGTGTGCTCAGGGCCTCTGAGTTTCCCGTTACCTGGATCAGTAGTTGCCTCCAATGCAAGGCGGATGTGTAGCCTGGTGGGCCGGCCCTGGATATGTGCGCCTTTATTCAGGTACCCTTGAGCCGGCGTGCATCAGATTCGTGCGAGATTTGAGAAGGCGACAAAAATACCTTTGCGGAGTCCCGCGCTGAGTATACTCCTTGCCACCTGTCCGTATCATATTGCACTTACATGGGAATGCACACACTCTGATCAGGGATATAGATTTGAAAGTACGTATGCCTACGTGGTCCCAGTCCATGTCTCGCGTCCACCATTTTGGCCGTGTGCTGGGTCTACTTTGCTGTACATGTGTGTCAGAAAGAGGATACCACGGCCACGATGGCTTTATCCAATGACCTGGTCCGGTCCATGTCCCATATTATGATTTCCAGCCTAGCTGCAGACTGAACAAAAAGGCTATGGTTCAATGTCTGTCAGAGTCAACCCCGCGACCAGTTTCTTGGCGCCATCTATACCCTGGTCAACATCGTAGATCATAACACTAACAAAGTCACACAAAAGTACAAGGCTACATCAGAGTTGAGGGTTCAATAGAGTCCTCGGGGCTGTTCGGCGCAAAGTCGAATTGATGTCAGATCTCACAGAACTCAATTTTCCCCGTAGATCATCTACATTCGAACTGCCAGCTCATCCATCTCGATTGAGATACAAGCGTCCAATCGAAACTCAGACAAAAGCAAAAATATGCCTGAAGAACCTTGATCAACGGGTCGCCACAATCCCAAAGATAGCAATTTTGTGGATAGATCTGTCCACCACTTCCAGTAAGATATTCTACATTATCAACTGAACATCCGTCCTTCACACCAATAATGTATGTTTCAGGCATGCAGCCACGGTCTGGATCCCATGTACATGTACATCGACCTAAACGGTAATCCATATGCACTACACACATCGAACATCCCCTCCACAGTCGTCATCCACGATCCGCCACAAACAATCGTACTGTATCAGATATTCGCCTCCGCAAGTACCTCGAACTGCAAATCCTCTCTTAGAACAGGTGTTCGTCTTCCCGCAAGATTAGATTCCGCGACCGTGTAAGTTAACTTACTCCTGCATCTTGCATCCTACCCACACATCCGCTTCGTGTCCCCGATCGACAAACCCCATCCCCAGCCACCAGACATACGCATACAAATGATAGTTTCTACAATAGCTGATGATCTCATTTCCACTACACACATAATAAAAATGAAGATACGAGCCCTAACAAAAAAGAACAACTTCAGCTCTCCCAAATCGGACCCTCTGATTGGCCCAACAGCCCGGAACTATGCGCGTCTATCAAACCTTGAACTTCCCAGCCCTTTCAATCCTAACTCCACAGCCGACAAAACCGTCACATAATGAAAAATCGTCTCTGTCTATCAAGCCAAATCTGAACCAAATCTCGTTTCCCGTTTCATCCTAGCCGCGCTCGATCCTCGACGGTGTGCCTTCCCCGAGAGAGAGGGCTCGAATCGGATTGGGAGGCGGGGCCCGGCGCTGTGGGTTCGACATATCGATTTCTTCCCGATAGGCTGGGTTGATGGCTTTTTTGTCTTGGTTTTCTGAGACGCACATGGCTGTTTTATGTTCCTGTTTCGGTGCCTGGGTCTTGAAATTTATTGTTGCTGATATTGATAGTGTAATCATATATTATGTCACTGCATAGCATAGTGAGATACATCTCTATCTCGGTCTCTCCCCCTTCATCTACAGTAACATAATATACAACACATCATATTACCAACATATAGCATACCTATTTGGGTTATAGTACCTGGCCCACAAATGATACTACTTTCCTTCCCCTCACTTACCCTAACCTCATCGCATCTCACCATCATCATCCTCGGCATACACTTCTCGACATCCTCTTTCCCGATCTTCCATACCACCGGGCAAACCCACTACCCGCGCCGCACTAACCTGCAACACTACACCCCCACCAGGTTAGACTAGACTAGTCCGGCAGAGCCTTGTCAGAGGCCCAGAATCCGGTGGCTAGTTTAGTACTTACTTGATCTAACCCGTTCATGTCATCGCACAAATCCCGGAACTTACTTCCTACCCTATATTCCTTGACCCATCTATGCATCTATGGAGTCACTGTGCATGCACTGATTTAGTCTCTTTCTTTCTAGAGATGTAGGATTCCAAACTTCCAAGGTTGTACTTTCAAGGATTCATTCCTGCACGTCCATCGATGTCCACACGTCCATGAATGAATCAATTCATTTCGCTCCTGTCGCTAGGGGCTCATCTCAAGCTACGCTACGTGTGTCACTATTCCAGTTTGTGGTTCCAATTCTCAGTTTCTGGGTTCAGTCTCTACAATCTAGAGCCGAGAGCCTAGTCAGGCGTCTGGCTCTAGATCTAGTTCCATTGCCAGATTCAGCACTAGATGCATTCCTAGATCAAGTGCTAGTCTTAGTCCAACCCAAAATCCAGTCCAGTCTCGGAATCAAGTCTACACACCATCTGCCGAGCCTGTTTCCATTTCCCTCTTCGTATAGGGTCCCACGCACCGGGGTTCAGTCTGCGTCGGGGACTACTGAGCGTGCAGCGGGGATCTGGATCGACGGAGCTTGGATTGGATCTGGTGTGGGTTTGGGTTTGGGTTTGTAGGTTGTGGGTTGTACTTCTGATCTGACGCGCGGGGTTATCCCGGTGTGCCGACTCTGGCTGTTTATTTTCTATCTTATCTTTTTGTTCATTTTTATTTTCTTCTGGTTCCTTGTATCCGTCGGGATTTGAACTGTGATCTACATGTGCTTTGGAGCTACGTATGTGGAGATGGAGTTGGGGGGCTGGAGGCTAGATTTTGGGACGAGGTTGGGGGCTTGACTTTTTCTGATATGGATGTGACATGAGAATATGTGCAAGACAAAGTTGGCAGTGGAGGAAAGGGGAGTGCAGGGAAGATCTTTGACATCTGATCCTGTGTCCCGATTTGCATAACGGTGATGGAAGTTGGATATTGATCTTGGAGAGTTCGATCGAGGTATGGTTACATTGGGTGGATCGGTGGGTGGCGATCGGTGCTGTTGGATTGATGGGGGATAATTGATGAGTGACGTCGAAATGGTAGCCTGGGCGCAGACGGAGAACTAACCTTGAGGCTGTCGAGGGAAGAATGTTGCAATGGACAATATCTAAGTCGGAGTCGGAGTGGACAAGAGATATGATGAAGCATGGGGTATTACAATGATTAAACTGCGCACAACTAAAATAGAGGACGATATTACTGCCATAACGAAAAGCTCAAGGAATGTTTACAAGAAGTACAACGTGAACCGAGATTCCACTCACAGGCCCGAAGCAGCCTTCTCATCTCGGTGTCAACAAAGCAGGCTACAAGGGTAACCGAATGCATTAGAATGCAATGAGCGGACCATGGAACATAAAAAGACAAACACAAGGATAAGAAAGACTCCTTTCAGGTAAAAGGCGACATGTGCCTCCCATGGGCAAAATCCACATTGCGAATTTTCTCCACAAAAAAAGACCGAATTATTATCATGAGAAATGCAGAGTAGGACCAGGATGAAATCGTTCCTCAAAGACTTTTATACAAAATCCCAAAGGTTAATTGAATCTGTGGTCAACCCTTACAGGAGCTGGGCAAGAGCACCGAAAACGGCGGCGAGACCAACAATGGGGACGTTGGCACCGGTCATGAAGGCAGCACCGGAAGAAGTGCTGGAAGAGCTGCTAGAGGTGGAGCTGGAGGTGCCAGACTTGCCGTTGGAGGTGGTGGGAGAATCAGTGTCAGCCTTGCAGGTGAAGTGACCCTTGATGACATCCTCGTTCTTGAGCTTCTTGAAGTCGTCGCAGCTGAAATTGCCGTGGGTGGACTGCATGTTGAAGGCACCCTCAACATCCTTGAGCTTGCCAAGAGAGATCCTATGTGGATGTTAGTAGAGGTCGACAAATATCAGAGTATGGTCACTTACTTGTCGAAGGTACCGGAGAAGTCAATGGCACCCTTGACGGTCTCGAGGCTGGACAGAGAGATGACGGACAGCTTGTCGTCACGGGCAATGGTGAATCCACCGTTAACGGTCTTCAAGTTGGGCATGGAGATGTTGGACAGCTTGGAGTTGTCGTTGAAGATAAGGTCGCCAGTCTGGGTCAGGTTGGGAGCGGAGAAAGTCTCGAACTTGGTACCCCAGAAACCGAGCTGACCGGTGAGCTTCTCGAGAGAAGGAACAGACACGGAAGAGATGTTCTGGAAGGTCATGTTGGTACCGGTACCGAGGTTGGGGAGGTCAATCTCGAGAGTGTCGTAGTTACCCGAGAAGCTGATCAGGTCGGTGGCGTTCTTCAGGTTGTTGATGTTGATGTTCTTCAGGTCACGGTTGTTTTGGATGCTGAAGGTACCGACGGTCATCAGGGAGATACCGTTCAGGTTGGTCAGACCAGTGTTGGAGATCTGGACGTTGCCGGCCTTGGTAACACCAGTGTCGAAGTTCAGAGACTGGAGCTTGGGAAGAGCGTCCCAGTTGATAGAGCCAACGGAGGTGAGCTCGGGGAAGCTGAGCAGAGTCAGGGTGGTGAGACCCTCGAGATCGAACTTGTCGCCAATGGACTCCAGGAGAGGAGCAGAGATGGAGCTGACGTTGGAGGCACCGCTGGAGATGATACCACCGGTGATCTTGGAGACACCACTCAGGGAAACCTCACCGCTGTAGGTCTTCTTGATGGTCAGATCACCCTTGAGGGTGGAGCAAGAGGCGAGGGCATCGACATCGCTCTGGTTCTCGACGGTAGTGTCACCACAGTCGTCATCGGCGAAAGCCAGCTGGGAAGCGGCCAGCGCGGTCAGGAGGTACTTGAGAGACATTGTGGATGCTAAATCGCGTCGCAGTCAGCAATTGAATAAATCTCAGATTCCAGGGGAAAGCACGTACGAATTAGAAATATGGAATGGGGAGATATGGAAGTGAGTGAAGAGAAGAAGAAGCGCTTCAAACGAAAGGGAAGCGAATGATACTGCTAGGCAGGAACTCTCAAATAGTAGGAACGAATGGACGGGGTTGGGGAGGAGAAGAGATTAAGAGGAAGGCGAGGAAAGGGGAGCTGGTGGAGATTGTGTATTGTGGTCTCTGTTGTTTTATATATACCAGGGGAAAACACACACAATACCGCATCCGGCGCCCTGGGCTGTGCTGCGTATCTTTCGCCGGTTTCGGTTTTACCAGTCTTACCAGGAAAAAAACTCAGAACCAATGGAAGTTACGGCCCAATTCCTGCTTTTGTCCCACGCTAGTTCGGTTCCGTATCCCTGTAGGATTTTCAATACACACGTGTTCCATCCCCATGCTTTAATGCGGATGTTTTTAGTACATTATTTACTTTTTACTTTACAATTACTCTTACATTTTATAGATGCTTTTTTTGTTTTGTAAAGGCAAGGTGTAATTGCATTTGTATGTCATCGCCACTTCATGTTGTACAATGCACGTCTCTTGCTTTAGCCTATCAAACCTGCTTGTCCACGGTATCTATGATGTAATTTTATGCGGCCCTAGATACCTGTTACTAGACTCTAGACTCTAGACTCTAATAATAATGCTTCATAATACTAGCTTGTATTACCAGAATGCACTAGCAGGCCAATTTATCAAAAGGCTCCATCCTATCTATCACTTGCTGTCGTCATCCATGTCCTCAAGCTCGAGACTCTCCCCTGATCTTCCAGAACTTTTGTTAGGATAATGATTGGCTATCCTTAAATGAAATCCCTGTATTCCTTTCTCGTCTTTCATTTCAACCCGAAAATAGATATCAATTCCAATCTTATGTTTTGATAGTGGCCGATCTAAATTTGCGGGAATCCAAGCCTTCAACGGACCCGCTCCCCCTGCCGCTATCGTCGATTACCGGTATGCGCGACTCTCATTGGCACGTTGGAATGAATCGCCCTGGATTAATGTCAATCCTGGCTGTTTTCTGCTCCTCTACCTGAAGCGAAACGCCCCTCGCAGACGGATATGCAATTGGTGTCAACGGACCCTATTCTTCAACTTAATCCCCTGAGCAACAAGCCCCTTTTCACTCTTCACAGCGGGCGATCATGGAGCAGTCGCTTGACTTACCACTTTGTACCGGCCAGTATCTGCTGGTATACACTGACATCGGGATTTACTCTACATATATCCTTGCTTATAATCAGACCATCACATCAAGCTTGCAGCTTTTCGTCGATCGCAATCACTGATCAGTCTTTCGCATTTCAAAGCATTACATGTACTTTGTCCTGACACAAATTTAGAGAAAACTTCATCTGCGCACAGAACATGTCGCTAGCACTCGGCTATAAATTGGCCCCGATGGAGCTCCTGTCATCCAAGACACGGCGATCAAAGCCATGTCTACAGCTACATCAACCCAGGAACTCTGTGGCAAAGTCTATGACAAGGTCCATTGTATCCCGCTCTTTAAGATCCAATGATTACAGCACAACGTATAACAAAATTGAAGATTGACACTCCATATACAAAAACAACCAATACAACCAATACTGGTGCCTTGGTGGCAACAAAGCCATTATACACAGCGTTACAGTGTACAGTTGGCAAATGTTTCAGAAACGGGGCCGACTTACTCCGTCCCACTCACTCCACCCATATGTATTTTTCGATCGCTTAGAATTTTGGCAAACCTGCTCGATCCGACCGTGCAATTGTTCCTTTGAATTATGGAGACTATTCTGACCAACTACAAACTAAAACAACCCCATCTCTGCAGAGTGTGGGCGGCATTACATATTATCAAACACGGACCTTGGCCTTCCCCGTGCTTTGAAACGCCACAATTATGGATACGCGGCCTCAAGACCAAGCCTAGTTGAGTCGGTATTATATGGCTGTTTAAGCTTAGAATCGGGGTCTCCTGTCTCACGGTAACCCCGAACAAAAATTCGGACATTTGTACTGTACATTTCATTTGAACATTTACATTCGTACATTCGTACATGTCTGGCCGTTTGTTTCCTGGATTTACATTCCGGGGTGCCTACCCGACCTGTCAGAGCTGCGAACTTGCCACCGCTTGGAATGCGTGGAACGCTCAAGAACAGCCTGCACTGGGGTAATCTTGAGAACAGGGCCTTGAATCTAGGGATGGTAGGATGGTTGCATTCCTGAAGAACACGAGACCGAGCCCCGTGACAAAAATAGGGGAAAAAACATGTTCGCCCGACCACGCTGGAGTATGTATATGTGCATGTACCTGACGGAATCTGAGAGGCGAATTGGCGCTCAATGCCATGCATTTCTGTTTTTTACTTTGGCTTTCTTTGTTTTTGTTTTGCTCGGGCATTTTCATTTGCTTCTGGAATCATTACAAGGTTTTGGTCAGTTTGGCCTGTGTCTGACCTGAGAGTTGGTCTGTTTGTATCACAGACAGGGGTTCACGCTTCTTTCGGGAACCTGAGTCGGTCTAACCTTCAGGTTAAATGTCAATCTCGGGTTTAACTGATTTTTTCTTTGTAGATACAGTAGATGAACGTTTCTTCTCCACCAATGGGGGTTTTTTGGATTCTTGATCAAGGCATTTGCCTATGAGGTTGAAGAATCGTATGTCGCTGACGCAAGCACTGGGGTTGCTCCGGTGTCGACTGCAGGTTATATTATTCTACGTGAATTATCAAATACAGAGTACGAAAATAACCAATACCAATTAACATTTCAATGCAAAAAAAATTCAGTCAGATGGTTGTTGTGTTGAGGCCCAACCGTGGATATGACTTTATTCTTGATATTTCCAAGGAACCTAACACCTGCGGAGTATATCGCAACCAATCGCGTGACTTTTATATCTAGACCCAAGGAACAACCCTTCCATGCTGTATCTTGATTTGCTGTTCCCCAAGAGTATCTAGGACGAGATTTCAACGTTTTTTTGGTTCCATTGACTTATTGTGCGGTTCCTCTGTTGAGAGGAAGTGGGCTTTCTTTATGCATTTAGCTTTTCATTTGTTACATAGATGGTGTATCCAGGAATGAGTTGGTTGTCGTATGGTTGTGGTTGGTTGGTGCGAAATATATATAGGCGGATTAACTTCGCCGATAAGAAAAGAAACAAATCCTAAAAAGATATTTATAGGATCATTCCGCTAAGAACTCAGATATGCATTGCTTGGTAATTTATTGGCCCCCCCCCCCCCCCCCCTCCTCCCCTCCCCCGATGTATAATAAACCTAAACGAGGATTGGCCATATTTTGTATCCAAAGTATGTAAAATGCGGCTCGCCTACAATCAATTCACCTTGACAATTCCTCTTAATACGCGCAAGTTGATTTCCGACACTATGTAAGCTAATCATCCTCCACTGCTAGACCGTACCATATATGTAGAGTACCAGTTCGCATGGATTCAACATCCCACCAAACAAGTTGTCCTCTGGGGAGAGCACACGGCGAGACTGGTCCTGAAGTCTCTTCCTATACAGCCGCCAATAATCCCAGAGAGGTATTCCGAGCCGTTCCGGAGATCGACTCTCCAGAGAGGTGTATGATTCACGCGCCACGCAGCATTCTATAATAACCGAACACATTATGTCCAGACGAACCCGCATCCCGACTTCGAGCTCAATTGAACTTCATTTCAGTGCCGCTAGGAACAGACGGTAAAGACCAACATATTTGCATCTTCAAATTGGCTAGCGGGGTAATAAGGTATGGATATCGACCGTTGAGATTGGTTGGCTCAGTGGAACGTCGATCAGCCAGGCACTCTTATATTGTCTGAATTTCTTCTAACAGTCAAGTTTTCATGTACGGTTCAGCGAAGCCATTTAGATCATGTATAGACCATGACCGGCGTGTTGATGCGGCATTATAGATGTAGCGAAATACCTCGAGATATCACAGACCACGATATGTCCGATATGTCTCAACTCATATGGGTGGATCAACCACGAATCGTATTGTTGCACCTGGTGCTCTGGAAAGCTTCCAGTTTTATACACCCAGCTTATAAGTTCGTCTGTAGGAGCAGTTGAAAGGCGGGGTTTTGCGCACTTGAGCTGATTGAAATAACGATGCAAAAAAGCGCAGGCTGTAAGTTGGACTTTTGCTGCTGTCCTCAAAGCTTGGTGCACTGCAGCTACTGAGTTGACGGTGAGAATGGATATAGGCTCCACAGCATCCCCTAATAAGCGATCGAGCCGTTTTAGTAAGGCTGTGGGTGTGAACGTTGTAGAGTCGGTAGAGAGTAGGAGTGTGAAGTGATTGTGGGGCCTTTCCGATGATAAAGGGCAGCTCCTCAGGACGTGTTCTGTGACCGACTTATATGAGGCGTTGAACAGCTGCTCTGCTCGAGGAGATATTTGGAGCAATCCATCTAAGCTGGCGAAGTCGCCGCAGGATTCGAGAACGATCAAAACGAATTCTACTGGCAGTGCTTCGAAGGCATCCATGCTCGGTACTGTTGATATCTGGGTGGTTGAGGTTGAGAAAGAAGGGAGGATTTTGCGCACTAAATAAATAACGCGGTCGATTCAACTGTCTATGACATGGCTCTAATTTAGTAGCGGACAGACCATCTCATCTGACACCTGCTAAATGCTCATCATGATAAGTGAACTGTCAAATTGATCGTCAGATCTACAGCGACGATGAACCCCAGTGAGTCCTTCGCCGTAGACTCCACTTGGGCCGTGTAGAGTGATTGGAAATCAAGCCAGATTTCGATAAATGAACGCATAACCCAATGCTTGTGAATGACATTCAACACAGAAATGCTGACTTATGCCAAGTATAAGTCCGGCTATCAAAAGTCGTCGGTACCCGTGGACAACGAACTCCAACTTCGCACCTCCGCAACTTCTCGGACCTCCTCACAACCTCCACCAAGGCCTCTGCAACCATCAGTATACCTATCATACAAGTCAAACATGTCACTCCGACGCTCAGTCAGACTAGGCTCTACCCCAACCCTCAACTCACAAATACCAGTCCTACAAAGTACAGCGCCAACCAAGACATCCCGAGTCCAACATAGCGCAATATCCAAACCCCGCAAGACACCCAAGAAACCAACACCAAAACCACAAACAAAATCCACATCCTCATACTGGTCCCCAGAACCAGCACCAACCACGACTAACCCCCAGACAACAAGACCGCAAACACCACCCCTCGACCGCCCCGTCGACCCGCACCGAACAAACGCAACCCTCCGCACCCCCCACGGCACTGCCGTAACCGCCTACCCAGCGCACGCAGAAGATGCCTCGCCCAGCAAGACAGGTCTCCCCAGACCCATCGCAACAACAGGTACACTCCTCGACCAAGCAACGGCACACCTCATAGCTACAGATCCACGCCTCGCACCCGTCATAGCGCAACACCCCTGCCCGCTTTTCTCGCCAGCAGGTCTGACAGAAGAGATTGATCCGTTCAATAGTCTGACAAGCAGTATAATTGGTCAGCAAGTCTCCGGTGCAGCAGCGAACTCTATTCGGAATAAGTTCCTCGCGTTGTTTGATTTGATTGTTGGTGAGAAGGGCGGTGATGGGGGGTGGCATGCTACATTCCCGACGCCTGAGCAAGTTGTTAAGGTTGATATACCGACCTTGAGGACGGCGGGCTTGTCGCAGCGAAAGGCGGAGTATATCCTTGGGTTGGCGGAGAAGTTTGTTAGTGGGGAGCTTGGGGCTAGGATGTTGGCGAGGGCTTCTGATGAAGAGCTATTTGAGAAGCTTATTGCTGTTAGGGGGCTTGGGAAGTGGTCTGTTGAGATGTTTGCTTGCTTTGCGCTTAAGCGCATTGATGTCTTTTCGACTGGGGATTTGGGGGTTCAGTAAGTCTGCCCTTGGGTTGTTTAGATTGCTTTGCTGTATGCTGACTGTATCTTCTTAGACGGGGATGTGCTGCCTTTGTTGGACGAGATGTCAATAAAATCAAGGGCAAGGGTGGTGGTAAGTTCAAGTATATGTCTGAGACAGAGATGTTGGAGCTCGCGACTAAGTTTGCGCCGTATCGGTATGTTTGATCATCAAGTCGGTAGTATTGTATACCCTTACTGATTGATTGCCACAGAAGTCTGTTTATGTGGTATATGTGGCGGATTGAGAATGTTAATGTGGCTGTTCTTGGGGGTTGACCTATTTAGGTCTGGTCCTCTTGGAGTGGGATTTATGAATTGAACAGTTAGAGACCAGCAGGATACGAGTATACATAATCCAGTGTAAATGACCGTTACAATATTGTTGATGTCCGTGAGGCTTCACGGAATTTTGATGTTGTCTACTTCCTAAAGAGTAGGTGCGTGATATCAGGCGACAAGTGCCCAAGCAAATAGGAACAGCCTACACGAACTACCCTAGATCACCCAGACCACTGAATACTCAAAGTGTTTCGGGACTCCCCTGAAATGCTGAACTGCACATATATTAAGAGCGCGAAGAAAATCGATTTGTACAATATCAGTACACACAGGCTACATAACCAAGCCGTGGGCCGCCGACGATAGCGCCCACATCCACCTCAAAAAAAAAGCACACCAGGCGTCTATTTCGTGCCAGCCCAGCTTTCCAACCCCATGTTTTCATATCTATTGAACGAAGTAGAAATCGTTTACTTGCGGACAACAAGGTTGTCGAGGTCCTCACGCTCCTTGACCTCCTTCTCGATCTCGCGGATGATGGGGCTCAGGTACTCGACGTCCTATTTAATTTGCATCATTAGCATTGTGACTATTGGGCTGGGTATGTATGCCAAAACAGAGTCAAGGTGGATGTGACAAATCCTCGCAACAGGATTGGTTGGTATGGGGACTAATGCGGGGAGGGCGAAATTTGGATATTGGGAACGCACCTCCTCGGGCTTGGTCTGCTCGTTGGCGGGGAGAAGAGTGTGGGAGATGGAGCACTGCAATTGAGATTGTTAGACTTTGGCGACCAAATGAAGGGGTTTTGATCGAACCTGGAAAGCGCGGCGGATACGGAAAACACGGTCATAGGCTTCCTTGGAAGGAAGACGCTTGATGGCCTTCTGGACGTTCTCGCTCTCCTCGGGAATGAGGTCGTCGAACCTAATGGGTGGTTAGCAGGTGTCGTTGGGCTGGACCCTGTTGCGAGCGACATCCGAAGAACCGGAACCGCGGGCTATGCAACACGACTGCGATTGCATCCAAAAGATATGCCACCGATCTGTGGCAATTCACCCAATTGATCCCTGATCCTTGTTTCCATCGCTCGCGGTCGGGTCGTATGTGAGGGCAAGATTTACTTGAGTCCGAGTCTCCTGTAGCCGGCGGCGTCGGTGTACCAGTTGGCAAGGGGCTGCATCCAGCGCTTAAGCAGCGGGCGCTTGACGATGTAGCTGGCGAAAGAAGGGGCAGACATGTTGAGTCCCGGGTATCACAATTGACGAGGGAGTAAAAAGAGGTGGTAAGGCTATCCGGCTGGAACACGAGATGACCCGATGTTGCGAAGTTGTGCAAAACGAAGCTCGGGCGACTAGTCCCGAAACGGAAATTTCAGGCCTAAGGCTGGAACAGCACGTGACCGGCCGGGTGCTTGCCTGAGGCCAGAGCAGGTGGGAATGTCAATCGCAGCACTCCACCTCACAGATAGGTTTCCTATGTCATACCCCCTCCGAGTGACCAAATTCAATTTGCCATGGGGATCTGTTGACTCTAGCAATCTCTAATCCCTGCTTCTCTAGGGAAGCTTGATTGCTCATAACCCCGCTCACCGTCCTGCAGCTTAGAGTATTGCATCAAGCAACCGGGTTCGGTAACCATCGGCCCCAGAAATCTCTCCTCACTCGGACCTCCACTGATCCTCTCTCCTCCTTCTACACACCTTCGGATCGCTTGATCTTCAACATTCTTTCTTTTTCTATCGAAACAGGGTTCTTGGGTTCCGGATCGAGCACCCGATATGCTCGTGTCCGGGAGCCCTCGTTGATTCACGCACAAGCAACGTGAGCGCCGGTCACCAAGATGACTTCTGGCGGCCGCAGTGCTCCCAGCGGCTCCTCGGAGCAAGCTCAGTCATTCCCTATCGACAACGCTGCACCTCCCCATGTGCCCGCCATGCCGACCTCCGCTTACCTAACCCGCCTTCAAATCCTCTCAACCACTTGGTCCGACGGCCTAATCACACCTTTATGTGGAGCCAGCGCTGGCGTGGCCTCCGGTATTGTCACTTGTCCTTTAGATGTGATCAAAACCAAGCTGCAAGCCCAGGGCGGCTTCCGGCGGGGAACACGGGAAGCTGTTTCGGAGACGCTCTACCGGGGAATGCTCGGCAGCGGAAGGAAGATTTGGCGAGAAGATGGTATTCGCGGTCTTTACCAAGGACTCGGTCCCATGGTGCTGGGCTATCTCCCCACCTGGGCCGTTTACTTAGCAGTCTATGACCTATCTCGCGAGAAATTCCTCCACTACACAGGTTTGTGCCCTCCATCAACGAGATATCAAATCATCGGCTCTAACTCAAGACAGATAACTGGTGGCTATCACGACTTTACGCTTCGATCACCGCTGGTGCATGTTCGACAATAGCGACAAACCCCATTTGGGTTATTAAGACACGACTCATGTCCCAGAGTCTTAAGCAAAACAACGAAGGATTCCGGGCCCCGTGGCAATACTCAGGGACATTTGATGCGGCACGCAAGATGTATAAAGTTGAGGGAATCCGCTCTTTCTATTCCGGGCTCACCCCTGCTCTTCTTGGACTGGCTCATGTGGCCATTCAATTCCCCCTCTACGAATACCTGAAAATGGGAATCACGGGCTACGGTATTGGCGAACACCCCGAACACGGCAATACCCAGTGGGTCGGCATCTCCCTCGCCACTTTCCTCAGCAAGCTCTGCGCAAGCACCATTACATACCCACACGAGGTCCTCCGGACACGCCTTCAAACACAGCAACGCACTGCGCCTGCGTCATCACCAGAAGAAATCTCCTTCCGCGGTGGACTCAACCACCCCCATGACCGTGGCCGGTCCTCGGGCTATTCCTCCTCGGATGGAATGCGCACCCGGCCACGCTATAACGGCATGATACGCACGTTCCAAACAATCCTCCAAGAAGAGGGCTGGCGCGGCTTCTACTCGGGAATTGGGACCAACCTGTTCCGGGCCGTCCCGGCCGCTATGACGACCATGCTCACATACGAGTATCTACGCAAGACGATCAGTCACTTGCAACATGAGGGTGATCTAAAGCTGAAGCAGCAAGAAGATGAAGCGCAGGAAACTTCTATTTGATACCCATGATTCAGCAATACATAAACCAATATCCTATCAATCTCCTCGCCTCTTGAACATCACCCTCAACCATTTCCGATCGCCAAGCCCCTTTTTCCGTTTCTCACATACCTGTATAGATGTACCCGGCGGTCTGTTGATCTTTGCAGATAACATTCTAGCGAGCGAAATTTGCCCTTTGCATTTCGAATCTTATAATCTCGGCATAGAGATGCCTCCAGTTGGAGATCCCGAGGCTATCACATGTCTTCACATGTTTTCTTAGCTGAAGACTTTCGCGGCTTGAAGCATTTTTGTCTTGTTATGTTATTTTTGTGTACATGTAAATTAAGAAGTTAAGGCTGCATGATCTTCCTACTGCGCTTCTTTGACATTTAAGCTTTATATTACTACGCCTATAACGCGACTCGTTTCCCGCTGCTGCCCATAGAGCTGGCCACATTGTATTATCAACATGATGCGTAGACAGCAGACCGTGATACATAGCCTTAAAATCATACAAAGGTTCCCGTGGATAGAAAAGAAGCGCAACAGCCGTACACCTGTCTTGGATGTCCCGTTCCTTGTAGCCCCATGCTTCATAAAAATACATTAAACATAAGTAGTACTCCTAGAAATGGAAAAGTAGCAAAGCCCTGCATAGCCGTGACCAATAAATATATTTCTCATGCCATCCACAAAGCTGCTCCAAGGGCGACACCGGCAAGGTGAAGCGAGCTTGGTGTACGAATGAAAGCACTTCCACTGGATTTTGTGGAGTTCGAGCACAGGAAATCATACTTAGAAGTAGGTAAACGGCCCTTGTACGATAGCTCGTTGAAGGGCGCGCACTTGAAACCAGTACTGTTTGCCGATGGAAGGACCCAGAATGAATCCAACACTGATGGAGGCGGAATGCTGTCCAAGGAGGAATTTTGCTGAGCGACAAACGGATCACTATATCTGCTGGTAAGCTATCACATCGTCTATGAAGAAGAGATTGACACGCACAAGAACTCGTTACTAATATTAGCACCGGAAATCCAAATCGACGAGATGTTTGTTGGCCAGTACCAGGTTTGGACGCGGTTGTTTTGGTCGTCGGTACGGTATATCGAGGTTAGATTCAATTCTGGAGCATCACTAATACGCAGTCTGAAGCCGCCTGTCCAGTTCACGGCTTGCGGTGGTAGAGTGATATCCTTGACAGGATGAGTTTCGTAGTTTTGTTCAAGTGTCAGATCGCGGAGGTTGTCGAATGGGACTTCCAGGTGTGGAATGGAAATGCTGCTAGCCAATGACAGTTTATCCACACTGATTGACTCCAGCTCCGTGCTGCGCTTAATATCTGAAACACCACCGCCGAGAGAAAGAGTTCCGATTGTCATGTTTGTTGCTGAAGGGCCACCCAGTGTCAGAGATGCATTGGCATCAATGCTGCACAATTTGGCATATGCAAACCCAATATTGATGTTCTTGAGGTTTGGAAATGGGCCTTGAAAGCCAACATTAGTGAGATTGAGTCGAGAATCAGATACAAGATCAAGTGAGTCGATTTGCGTCGGGTAAAGCCCTACAGTTTTCGCATTGCGCAAGCTCTTGTGTCGGAACGTGGTGAGATTAGCGGCCCCAAGAACAAAGCGGGACACTGACTCCAGACTTGAGACATCCAGATAGGTGAGATCGTCTGCCCACCATCCTACTTCGAAGCTTATATTCACAGTTTTGAGGTTTGGGAGAGTGAGGTTCTGTAGCTTTGTGGGATATCTTCCAAATTCGACCTCGCCCTTCACTTCGGTCAAAGTTGAGCTAGAGAGTGTGAAGTAAGGCTGGTCATCAAGTTCGTCGCGTCGGGCAACCACATAGTTCCAGAAAGAGCCTTCGATCACCTCAACACCGTCGAGATTGATATGTTGGGTCGTGCTATTGTCATTGGAGGGACCGATAGTGACATCGCCATGAATTACTCGACAGTTCTTGCGAAGTAAGTCTGCACCTGCTGGCGAAAAGATAATGGCTGAGGTGCAGTTGAAGGCCAACACCCCTAGGAACAGTGTTAGCAAGAAGATTGCATAGATGAAAACCCGCTTGCAAAAAATGCAAAACTCCACTTACTAGAACAGCATAGCAATATGGAAAGCACCCATGTAAGCAACATGCAGGATCTTGCGATCATCTTGCAGATGTTGAATTGGGTAGGTTGGATGTCGATGAAAACCAGGAACAGCACCGACTCGGGCGCATCGCGATTTTTACGGTTCCCTACTCAGCCCCTGACCAGCAACAGGGCCTCATGACTGGAACACTTCACTTAGCGTGCCCAGCGTTCCCGGTCTGCCCGGCGCCCTGCTTGTTCCAATTGGAGTAGGGCTGAGCGCAAAAACCGCCCCCAGCGCTTGGCAACACTTGGCGTCTCAAATGTCTCACTCGGGCTTTGGTTCATTTTGGATCTAAAAAAACACAGAAACACATGGATAAGCAAATTTGGAAAGGGTATTCCGTAGGCAAGGTCATACATCTTTTTTCCCATCTTCGTAGCGCAAATGGGGAGCCAGAAGCCCTCTTCCTCGAAACCCTTCTAATTAGTGTAATCTGCTTTGTTACGCCTAGTCATTCAAATACGCGAGGCCTAGTGAAATAACTTGGTCATGGTAAGGTATTCCATACCACCAAGATAAAACACAAAATGACCATGCTGCACAGGCCCTTCAAGTATGAGGGCATGACTTTTTGGTGTGGCCGAAGGTGCTGCGACCCACAGGGTGGATATTTCCAGGGTCCAGCCGATTGTTCGGTATTGTACGTAAACTTCGGCTTTCATGAAGTACCTAGCTCTTTACGTATGCAACATTGCTGTCCCAGCATACTACAAGTATGAGCCCTTTTAAATATCCTGCCTTTGCATGGTTTAGATGATCCAAGCACTCGAAAATGAACGAGAAAGAGGTGAAGAAGAAAAAAACAACAAAAAAGAAGACGTGAAAGTAGGACGTAAAGAACGGAGAAGGAGATCAAATGTTTAAGTCTACGATTGCACGTATTGAGCCCCGCCATATCGACTGTCTTGTTGATCAGGCTGCCCGTCCTAAGTATTATGAGTAATCTGATGTATATGACATGAAACGCGGTGACTAGCTGCAACAGTGTCTAATTCCTCCCTGGTGCATTTCGTAGGGATAGGACAACCTTGATCCAATGCCGGGGAAGTTTGTAGAGGTGGAACACGGTGAATTAAGGAATTCCCTGAATTATCTGCAGGCGGCATGAATGCAAAGCAGAGACAATCGAAAACCTACGACATAGGACAGCATAAGGCGATCGCTTTGGAATGTTCCTAGAGACATTTGTTAGAAGATTCTAGACGTTGTCAACCTAAAGAATTTTGCGGACATCTTGTGTTTGATTGCCCCATTTATTATGCTTATTTAGTCTGCTGCTACCTTAGAGCATGGTTCTTCTACCTTTTCTTCTCTCTCCTGCGCTAGTCAATATCACTTGCTTTTCTATCATAGTACTCTCTTAGTGCCGACAGCAGCGGATCTCGTATGATAAGGAATCGATATTACTCCCTATCTATCATATCTAAATCATTTTATATGGCTCCTATATAACCTCTGATCTCTGGGTTAGATGACCAACAGCTCAGTTGTCTATCAGTTAAACTTGCAATATCACCTGAATAACCAGAGTGGGACGTTAGAGTGCTTGTCCTTGCATTGAGAGCAAGCAGGTCAAATATCAGTCCACACAGATGTGATCAAATATGAAAGATCTCGTGAGATGGAAATTCTTTGCCATCACCGTCCTTGGTCTTCTATCTTTGCTATTCACAACCCATTTTCACCCAAAGCTCAGAATGACCAGCAACGGTGGGACCAACACCAGCAGTGAGATCATTATCAGGGCTGACGGCAGCGCTGGTACCAAGTGCTGGAGGGAGATCCAGAGATGAACCAAGTGCAAGTCCAGGAGGATTCTCGCCTTGAGAGTCCATGCTGTTGTTTGCTGTGCGTGAAAGAATGAGTGGTGAGGGGAAACACGGAAAATGACAAAACCCACGTGGGCAATGGTGGCATCCAAGTCCCGTGGAGACGATGGGCCTTCGTCGTTGTATTCCGCTTCTGGAACCTCTATTTTAGATCAGGGCGAACAATTCCCCGAGGACCAAAATCCACCGCATTTGGCACTAGTCATATCATATATGTTAGTCTTAGTGCTCAATTTAACAAAAATATGAATGGTTTAGTAAGATTTTCATCTCACATTCCAACGGACTTGCTAAACCTTAGCAGCTACCCATCCCTCGCTTTGCTCAGTGCGGGTAATTCTCGCTGCAGACGTCTGGGAAACTTCTTGTCCTAGATATCTTACATTCGCGGAGGCGACTCAGCAGACGGAGGGAAACCCGCATGCTCCCAGTCTAAACAGATTGGTGTGTAAAATGAAGAAAGCGGTATCGAGGTGCGAAACAACCATGCGGGAAGAGTGTATAGAGATGCTTATCAAGTAAGATATTTCAGCTATATTGAAGACATGCCGGAGGCATTGGATGGGAGATAGAAATGGAAGGAGCTTATGTCGCTATGTTTGTGGATCCACAAAGTGCACCTAGCCGAAATTTGCAAGACCTCCATGTCTAATGCATCGGCGTTCGGCTCGTGTCAAGCGTTGACAACGGTCATGGGGAGGTTGTGGAGAAGGTGGCGTAGGGGAGGATGTCTATCTCACCCGCGCTTAGGGATGCTTGGTCTTCGCGGCTTTGTCTTGAAGCATTTTGACCAAGCGGTCATGCTCAGTTTTCAGTATCGCCGAACTCTTCGGGTCGCGAGCCTGCGTTGAGTGTCAGACAATTGTCTTGTTGATATTGAATACATCAAAATAAAGAGAACAGACGGTGCGAGTACATACATAAGAGTCCAAAAATATAGTCCTAAACGCTGAATCTTATGAGATCACATCCTAGTTACTGGGGTAGTCACCGCGACCGGCAATCAACAGTTGTGCTCATGTGACGAGGATGCAGACAGACTCACTATGTGGATATGAATCTAGTAGTTTGACTCAAGTATAATAAGAAGCCCGTGAATACCAAACCGTTTGGCGTGTACATTGAAGACATGTTGTCCGGCCATAGATCTTGATGATCTGCAAGTACCCGCTCGGACCCACATTGCCATTTGTGGTTCATCGTCCGTGCGCAACGCCCACGCAGGGACAATGCACGTGCCTCAATCATGTTTACGCATTGTTTTCAGTTGTAGTGGATTACACTGAGTGGTTTCTACACATCAATGGTAGCTTAGGCACTGGTACATATGGGCTCGGTCAGAGTCGATGAAATCCGCATTGTTCGACTTGCAGAGAAGTTGGTCTCGCCCTTAGTAGTGAGTGACATAAGCCATCCGGGAGCCTTCCTCCAGGAGTACATCTTGCGTATGATTTAATTGTAAGTCCTAATCATGGTGTCTCTCGGACGATAGGATGATAGAGGAAGATTGTGTGTGCCTCGGACTGCAGGAGATTGGAGCGTGCCTCCGTGATTTGCAAGTTCAGGCTTGTGACCTCGTGGTTGTACTCGTCTCCCTGATATGGTATATAATGACAATGCCTTTCTGGGAACTTGTGGATAGAAGGGCTTCTTTCTAATTACATGACTTTCAACGACCACGGAAGCAGAGAATGCCATGGGAAGTAGCAGATAGAGCTTTGAAGAGCCCTCACCAACAACAGATCTTTGACAGCGTGCTCATAGAGCTTGCTTACGTAGACTCTTTTTTTTTTTTAAAAAAAACAAGCTCCTGTTTCAACGAATAGAGGCATTGCCATATTGAAGAGAAGAGTCGTTGACTAATGTAGCAGAGAGGGGAGAAAGTGAAGGAAGAAAGAACGACGTATATTAGCAGCGGCAGCAGACTAAACAGGCATGTTGGAAATTGCAGTCAAACAAAGGGTAGCTGCAAAATTCTTTGTGAAGACAATGCCTGGAATTTTTGACAAACAATGTCCCTAGTAGCCCTGTACAGTTGCCGTCGCATGTGGTGGGGCACCACTGCAGGGGCAAATTGAATGTCAAAGCTGAGTGGAAAATGAGAAGAAAAAAATGAAATAAAATAAAATAGAAAAAAAAAGAACAACCCAAAAATTGCGGTGCGATCTACTTCGCCATAAATACTTGCTGGTCGAAGCATAATCCTGTCCTTCGAGAAGTTGACTTCCCCCCCCTTCCTTTTCCTCAACATTGAACTTCATTTTCCCCACTTGTCACTGCACGCAGCACCAGCGCCACTGGCACCACTGCCCGTACTATTTCCTAATGGCGGCTACCGAAAAGTCTGGTATCAGCCTTATGAGCCAATACAATATCGTTCTACCGAAAAGGCAGGCGTATGACTCTTCCGGCAAACCTATACCTATATGCGACCCCGATCAATGTGCTGCGGCAATAAAGGGGGAGGATCTCCCCGTCGATCTAAGCTCGTTTTGGCATCAGAGAGCAGTTATCCGTGGGATTCGTGATTCACTTCAATTTGCAACAAGCCCGGCAATTCTTGAGCTATGCTCCGGCGACGATGGTCAGTCCCATCAATTTTCCCGCGCCCGCAATGCTCGCCTGATAATGAGTGATATAATCCCCGATATGCAAAATCCTGCCACTCAGCCGTACTGTATCTGGTATCCCGACCTTGCATCAGAAGAAACATATCGCGAAGTTGCCCGTCGGCATCCGTCTATACGGTATCAAGTGGGCCAAGCGTGTGCTATAGCATGCTATACAGATCTCTACAAAGAATTGGACCTTTTGCCTGACGTTTCTATTGCGGAAGAATCCCGCGAAGTTGACAAAGACGCCGAAATCTACAAGATTATCGTATCCGCCCCCCAACGATATACTGTCATAGAAGATTTCTCTCGATCCGTTCATCTTGAGACCCCACGAACGACTGCGTTTCTGAATGGCGATATAAAGCCCCGATAGGCTTTGGGACAGCGAGTTCTCCCTAGTAAAAATTTACCAGAGACGACTGCTAATGATATTGACATCGAGGAAGATAGATTTATCGGCTTTCAAGATATCAGCTTGAAGGACATCAGCGGAATGGAGGACTACGCTGAACTAGGCCTAGGCCAGTCCGATCAACTGTGGATGCCTCTTCCGCCTGATCTCCCAAATCTTGAAAAGCGCCTTCAGACACAGATAGCCGCGTGGGAGGGCAATGTGGATCGATACAGTCGACTAATGCACCCACGCAGGCTGAGAACCAAACTTGAATACAATTGTGTTCTTCGTGGCGTTTATCACAGTACAACCTTCGCCAGATGGTGGGCCTATCAGCTGGAAACAAACCCTAGACGGGCTATCCTCCCAGGTAAATTGCTCAGCCAAGGCAATGAACGGGAGTGCAGAGAGATTCGCACTGCGATTAATGCCCGTATGATAATGAAGAATGATATCTCTGGTATCGACGATGACTCGGACTGCCTCCCGTGGGTCATATGGGGGCCCGTGAAGCCCTCTGCGAACACTTTAGCTGATCTGGTTCGAAAGTGTCCGTCTATGGGACATCAAGTTGCGATCACTTGTATAATGTGTGATTACGGTTCGATATTCCGAAGTTTGAAGCCCCCCTACACCAGATCCTTGTATGTGGCTGCCAGGCGAAGTGAAAATCCATTCTACCTACAATACCTTGAGAAAATCATGAAGGATCGCGACATAACTCCCCCGGACTTTCACTACTTCAAGGACTTTGATCACACTGCACCAGGCTTACAGACTGATCTGGAGCCTAGAGATGATCTCACTGGTCCCACTGTTAGCTACCATGACATGGAGATCGGGTATGGGCAATATCCCTGTGGAAATGAACACGAAGAAACTCGAGGTACATATGGAGGCGGGCTAGCAAATCCGGGAATGGTGGAGAGATACATGTGGCTCTCAACTGAAACTGCACAGAAGTTGAAAGATGAACTTGACGCGCCCTACCCAGGTGCGGATATTGGTCTTTTGTATGATGATGAAGAATTTCGATCCAAGCTTTCACGCCGTATACAGCCCATGGATCGGTAGTATGCAGGTTTCGATATGTCGAATACAGTCAGTCCCTTTGATTTTCGAGTATTATCTGCCGAGTATTCGCTAGCTTAGTTACCGATGGCAATATCGCTCGTAGATACTAGGACCAACCTTTATAATCTCAGATCAGTTCCAATCCCTCTTCCACGTACAATATAGCGCGTCGAGCACTTGAGTGTGGTATAATAGCAGTTTTGTAAATACACTCTAGAAGCACTGGTATTTTGTAACAATTCTTATACAGGTAAACAAAAGCTCTCCAAGAAATTTGCAGGTTTCTCGAACTTGAATGAATTACCAGTACTGCGCCGAACCTGAGGAAGCAACGGGGGTGTGTTTCTAGCGTTTTGGGGTATGCTCTTAGCTATTCTCATCTGGGATCGTACCTAGGACTCTGGTGATGCGGTGAAATCCAATGCCTAACACAAATGGCCAAGCATCTATACTATTGACACCACATCTTTCTATGCTTGTTACATATGATAATGGAATTTCTATTATACTAAATTCCGTCCTCGAGTTCGCCCGTTTGTATACCTAGGGATCTTTCAACTCCAATTGAGTTCATTCTGTTTGCATATATCGGCTTCCAGATTTAGAGGGCTCTCCATGTCATGATGATTTCTCCATTAATGGTTAGGTGATGTCACCTGCCAACGGGGGCAATCATTCTGCTACAAACATTAAATGTTTGAACGTGTACCCTTTACAAATGGTCATGGTCACAATATCAAGTTGTTAACTTTTTTCTGTGTGTGCTCATTCCTGAGTATTCCCCTCCAACTATTTCTCGGCATCGGCTCTTGCACCCGAGCACGACCAAGTCTGACCTCAGAGGCATTACCTATCATCGCCAGGTCCTTTGAGTACGAAACTGCCTTTGAACCACCATTTCCTTTGCATTCAATATTGATAAGCTTATTGGCCATTATAGTCCCGATGGCTCGACATCAACGAGGCATCCTGTTCCCCAAATACGGATGGCGACGACACTTCACAGTAACACAAGATTTCTATGGCGAAGTCGCCTACAACGCCGAGTCATGGGACAAGAAAATATCAAAAAGCGTGTATGAATGGGATACCAACCTCTTCATCAAGCTCTTCACTGTCGAGAGGGACCTCCGAATGCCGGTCCAACGCGAAGAGCACATGCGAACAAAGGGCCGGGCCTATTTGAAAGCTATCAATAGCACCGAAGACAAAGTAAAGGTCTGCGAACTTGACTCCCTGCTCAATGAAGTGAACAGGAAGTATTTCGAAAAGGAGCTCGAGCTTCACGAATGCGAGCTGGATCTCTTCAAACGACCCCTGAAGGAGATGTACGATACCCTGAGAAAAGACTCTACTTGGTATCTGCGGACGGAACTTGTAGAGGACTGTATCGCCAAGGGTGGCTGCTACAGCCGTGACTGTGGATGCTGTCAGAAGAGACACTGGACTTCTAAGCGGAGCCGCGGTATTGGCCATTGCACCGTGGAGTGTGGATCTTGCGTGATGATTCGCCGATATATGGTACAGTAGAACTTGATTGATTCCGCAATCTCGGATGCGGATCTCCGTGAGATACTTGGCCAATATTTATTTCAGATCGAGCGACTATCGGCACAAGGTCTCATTGCGGTGCGGAACCGAACAAGGGTCTTTGCTCTGCCAGGGGTTCCTTACTCGGAGAGGGGAACCTTAACTCTGATCTGCATGAGCGTATTTGTGACAACAACCCCCGGCGGAAGCGTTTCCCTACGGGCATTGCTTGCAGACCCTGACCAAAGGGTCACAAGAGAACTTATGTCGGAAGAGGCCTCCTATGTATTGCACACATTATACATAGGGACAAACCATATAATCGAAAACCACCATCCTAGAGAACGGGAACTACACCAAAAGGTTGTTTGGCAAGGTACGTCGGTGACTTATATTGAAGTGAGTACGACAAGGTGCGGTAAGGATCCCTGCGGTACGTACCGATTGTTCCCCATTACTTGAGATCCAGCGAAATAAAATTGTAATCCGTAACGTTTTTTTCCGCGAGGGTAAGCAGAGCTTTCAACGTACACGTCGATTTCGGACTTCCGATTAGAGTAAGTGGCATTATTGACTGTGTCTTCAGGATAGTATTCATTTTTAGCTACGGACAAAGTTGAGAACAACTCTTTCTTGGCAAAAACGTTTTCTTGGAATATCTAGCCAACCAGAGGTCGCAGGACCTCAAGAATTAGTTCACCGTAGTCGTAACTTCAAGCGCTACCATCTGATACCTGTTTCATAGGGAAGATGGCAGCGGCGATTGCGACTGGTGCGAATGCACAGAACTTGCGCCCCCTGTCTGGAGAGGAACATCAAAACTCACGGCCCTCGCGGACCCGCCCCGATCCATGGACGAGATCGCGGAAGGGGCCCGTAGGGTGCTTAACCACATTGAAAATAGTGGCACGGAAGACCGATATATCACTGGATATATTCGCTCCGTCCGCCAGTACGCACTTAACGCCCGACAAGGCGACGGCTAGGGGATGGCCAAGGCCTAGAAGCAGCTTAATAAAATAGAAGAATTTAGATAAGATAATGAGAGAGCTAGTTTATAGGGACATAGTGTCCTTATATAGCTGAGACTTTGAGCTCGAATCAGCCGCTATACTGGAAAAAGACAGGAAACTTTCATTAGACTATCCCTAATCGAATAGCCTTCGCCGTCTTATTTGCGCCTAATAGATATGACGCATGATTTTGGGGGCAAGGGATCCTCTAGAAAACGAGGGCAGCCCGAATATCGTCAATGCACTAACTATCACAGAATAAATGGCCCTGTGGGGCCTGCAAGGCCTAAATTGAGTTCAACAAATCAGGGGTGCTCACTGAGCATTACTAAGGTATCAGTGATCACTGCGCACTCACTGAGCGATCCGGAGCACGCACTGAGCATGCACAATTGGTCACTGAGCACGCCACCAATTAGTCATCATGCACGTGACTGAACCAGAGCATGCTCACTGAGTCTGAGCCCGTGCTGACATCTACTCACTGATCCTGAGCCTGAGCGCCCTCATAAAGCGGCGGCAGCCCAGATAGGAAAGGCCCCACCCGGCAGACATTATCCTGTCTATATAGGTGCATACAGTGTAAACAGACGAAGCGCACGTGACAGACCATTTAAATTACCCGCAATTTTTTTTTCCATCTCGCTTTCCCATCCATTTTTCATTAACGCCAATTCTGCGAAAATCATGTTCAAATGATCTATTCCTGGACTCTTATGTGTATAATGTTGACACTATGAGTATCACGATGCTGAGATCTAAACCGACCACTGATGGTTCCTACCCATTCGGTGCTTCCTTTGACCAAGTGGCACCTATCTCGACACCCACCATGAACTGGATAGCGATGTAGTCTCAGCCATTTATATACTGGTCTCTCACTTCTTGGGTCACTTGGCAACGCGTAATGTGCCTATCTCATTGTTTCTTCTCTCCTTCTTCCCTTGACCTACAGTACATGATACAATGCTCTTCTCCATCATTCACATGATGAACAATTTTATATCGATCTGGGCTGTTAAACACTTGAACTCCCGGGGCATGATCAATGATACACTGAAAATTCTGACTGAATTTGGAGAAACATTTGCTATAGCGTTGGAAACTGAAAGTTTGAATGAAAGTTACAAAAAATTGGTATCACAGACAAACAATTAAACATTGAATCGTGATCGCTGTAAAGGATGTATTCCGACGCTAGCATATTGCTCCTTGTACGAAGATCATCAATTTCCCTTCCTACCATTCTGGGCCCGACTCTCTTCGAGGGCTTTTTGCACCCAGGACTCGTCTTTTCTCTCAGTTGGCACAGGTCGCTGGAGACTAGATCCTGTAGAGGCTTGAGTCTGAGCGTTTTGTCGGGCTGTGCGGATTGAACTGAAACAGTATGAACAAAGAATGACAGCCATTGTGAATGCCGCGATGGGAGCATTTATAGACTTGATTCAGGTCAGTATCAGAACAATGGTCAAACCCAATTTAGAACCCAACGTATGGTTGGAGTGTGTGGATAGGAGTCGAGGGGCTGATTGGAATATGGCTTTTATTCATTGCGCGATATGCTGTACATACCCCTGATGGCTTGCCGAATGTCTTTGATTTGGGCTGATGTTGTGGCATTGTATATCTCAGAGATTCTTCAAGGTTGAAATGGGATTAGAGGCGACAGATCTCGGACTACACGGAAGGCAGCTTGATCTGCGCTTTGCGGATGGGTGGGAATTTGGCGCTGGGGTATCATTCGATGGAAACAATGAAGTATGAATTTAAAATGGAGATATGAATGTTGTAGAATCAAGGAGAAAGAAGCGCGTATGGATATCGCAGTATACCGTTGAGACTAATATATAGAGAGCGAAAGCAACCATCGAGCTGGGTTAGATATTGATCCGGCAGAAAACGGACATGGTGTTGCGGTAAATATAGCGGGACGTTCTCTCGCCAATTAGCGCTACGGATTACTTGGCCCTCTTTACACCGCTCTGCCTTTATCGCATATCGCGTCAGTGGTCTTCATCATGGATCAACCATACAACAGCCATGGCTTCCGACTCAACCCACAAGGGGGGCATGTCTCTCTATGGCCATCTTCTCGATCCGTCAAACGACAAGCCTGGAACTATTTCTCGTGCTCCAGTTGTCTTCAAACAGAGCTCGGAAATTGAGGCGCAACCCGACGACCCGGCGGGCAAAAAGCAACTGAATGCTGGTAGCTATAATTGACTTCTCTGATTACAGCGAAGCAGCTTGAGCTCACCTTCCTCTCCCCGAACAGCTTCTCTCCGATTCCAGCCCACAAGAAGGCCACAGCTCTCGGCGCAGAAGTCCAAGCCGAAGTCTACGTTGCCCAAGGCGGCGCCACATCCCGCACCCAACCAAGCTCCGAATTCCTCGTCAGCACCTCCAGCAAAGAGCACTTTGGCTGACTGGGCGGCCTTGGAAGATGACGACTACGGATACCAGGGCGAGAAACGACAGCGCGGCGGCAGGAAGAAGCGCAAGAAGAACCGAGAAGAGCACATTGTTCAGAACTGGGACGACATCTATGATCCGTCGCGACCAAACAACTACGAAGAATACCGGCACAGTGATGAAAAAATCATGGAGGTCCGCGACTGGAAGGATCGCTTGTACGCGCATCGGATGAGACGCTCGCTGAGCCGAGACTCGGACAGCGATGATGACAACAGGCCAATGAACCGTATGTTTCAACTGCTTCAGTCGGGTTATGCCAGAGCACTACTAAAATCATTTCTAGGACAATTTGCACCCCCGAGCAGCTTTGCGCCGCCACCAAATCTCAACAATGCGCCGCCTGCACCGGCGTCCGTTCCTGATGATGCATCTGGTGAAGATGCTTTTGCTCGTCGTGCACGCCTCGGTCAGGCTTCCAGCTTTGCACAGCAAGTGCCACCGCCACCACCTGAAGATCCTACCCCTGTTTCTCACGATCCCACCGGTGAAGACGCATACATGCAGCGATTCCAGAAAGGCGGCAACCTATCCTCAGAACAAAACATACCTCCTCCACCGCCATCACGCCCTCTTGATAAATTCCAACCTAGTACTGCCACAATCTCCCGTGCTCCGGTCAGATATACTTTACCGGCGCCGGCAGAAGATATCCCTACATCAGAGGCCGAGCTTGAAGCTGTGTTGGCCGAAGAAGAGCCAGTAGACGAAGAGGAAGAAGAAAACGAAGATGCACCACGTTCTACTCGTCCAGGACAAAAGGGTTTTGCGGAACGTTTGTTGTCTAAGTATGGCTGGACCAAGGGATCTGGACTTGGTGCCACTGGTTCTGGTATCAAGAATCCGCTACAGGTAAAGGTTGAAAAGCGAAAGAAACGACCTGACTCAGAGGGTGGGGGCTTTATCACGCCCGCTGGACGAGGTAAGATTATTGGAAGTAAGAAGCTAGGAGGCTACGAGAGCAAATTTGGCCCTATGGGTGAAGTAATTGTTCTGCGAGGTATGTTGAATGGAATCGATCTGCAGTCCGAGCTGGAGACCAGCCAAGGTGGAGGGTTGATGCAGGAAATTGGCGAGGAGTGCAATGAGAAGGTATGCTTATTGTTACCTGCGAATTGATGTATGAAAACTATGCTAATATATTGGAACTTTAGTATGGAATTGTCGAGAGAGTTTACATTGCCCGTGATGTCGGAACTCCTGCTCCCGTCTTTGTCAAGTTTACAAGCCCGTTGTCTGCTTTACGGGTAAGTTATGCCCGCATAAATCTGCTTTTGTGATTCGTTTCATTTACTGACAGCTGCCGACAGGCCGTCAATGCGCTAGAAGGTCGGGTCTTCAACGGAAACACAATCGAAGCCCGATTCTTCGACACAGAGAAATTTGACCAGGGGATTTACACGGATTAATCTCTTGTCAAATCCCACACAAGCACAATAATGATGTCAATTGAATTCAATGCCATTAGATCTCATCTATGAGGTCGTGTCAGACTAATCAAGTCTATCTCCAATACGTACACTTAACTAAGATTTTCCAACCCAAGGAAATAGTAAAAAAAAGACACTAGAATGTGACCCGATCAGATGTAGTCCTCCTGGCTAGCAGCGGCCGCTTCTTCACACCAACGGCTACAGGCTGTCCACCTGTCCTGCCACCAGGAACAGGAAGACGAGAGCGCAGGATCACAGTCTTCCTAGACTCCGCCTGAACAGACGGCCTCGGCAATGGGTTTGACTTCGACATCTCATCAACTTTCTCGTGGCCAAAAGAATCCCACGAAGGCCAGCCCCAACGCTTCTTGTGCTTCTCAACCAGAACCAATGGCTGCAGTCCTGCAGGCCCTGCACAGATAATACGCCGGCGAGGTTTCTTCTCCTTTTCATTTAGCCCATGCTTCCGAGCAAGGACCAGAGGCCTCAAGCCGAACTTATTATGTTCATCTTTCCACAGGATGGGAGCCTTGAACAAGGGCCACTTCGTCATTTTCCCAGTTTTGGCTTTGTTATTCAAAGTAGAAATAGTAGAAGTAGAAGCAGGATTATAAGCAGAAGGCTTCTTTGTGGGGTATAGGTCGGCTTTATTTATCCAGTTGAACCAGCGATGGAATTTCCCCCCAGGATTGCTATGAGTCAAATCTTGGGATTGTCTTGGTTCGTCTGCATCACTTGCGTTTGTGTCTGTGTTTGATCCAGATTCGATCTCAGGCTCGGTCTCATCTTCAGACTCATATTCCTCGACGGAGCCATCGTCATTGCTGTCAGGGAGGGCCATTACGGCTTGCAGTGTACACTGACGGCCACCGGCGTTCCATCTATCGATGTCGATGAGACGGCTTACAGTCTCCTCAAGCTTTTCTTCAATCTTATATTGCTTGCATAATCCTGTCAGGGGCATCTGTGCCGGGATTAGATAGCCCAGGTCGCATGCACAGCCTGCTTCATAGGGTAGTTGACACCAGATCAGAGAAGCTGTGTTCGCTGAGGCAGAGTGGGTGCACTTTTCGTAATACCACTCTGCCCTGAAACATATCTTAAATAATATTGATGGTGATATTGGTGATGACATATGGCTTTAAATATTTGGGGATTGGGTTAGGGTTAAGCCGCTTGATGGAGAGCTTGGATAGGAAGGTTGGATACTGTCGGAGCGAGCTAAGAAGCAGCCTTATATATCTGCTTTTCTGCTAAGCTAAGCCATAATTTACCGGTTTTCGCCTACAAGCTTCGTATAGGACTTTGTCTTTCCTCGGATGTATCCCTCGTCGTTCGATGGCGAATACAAAGGGCTTTTTTGCTCTTCTTTCATACCATACCATTTCAATGTACAAAAGCAGTGCTTGTTTGTATTTTCTCGTCAATTGGTCTATTCGAAATAAAGGGGATTCGTTGATGGTAAACTGCTTTTTCGAAGAAATATGTAGGTCTGTAAACAACCTCTTGCGTCTTACAGCCACGCAGATCTCGATTTGAAAGGGAAAACTTGAAGAGAATATCAATATATATTCTAGCTTTTTGATAGAAACAGTAATAATAAAAAATTATGTATTTGGGGTTGCTTGTTTGGACATACATTTCCAGATCCTTAGTACATTATACATACGCTGTAATGTACATCTATGAACAATCTACCCCACCTCTGTTTACCTATCAGATATGATTCATGCAGACTATCGAACAAACATGGAAAAGGCGCAATTATCGGATTGCTGACCTGGTTAAAGGGCTAGCTGGCCCGTTATGACCGCTACTCCCATATTGGGCCAGAGGTCAATGTATATAGATCGACTGAATCAACCTGTAAGCTACTAAAAATTCATAGCATAGATTCCAGGCCAGTCAAAATACCAATTCCACAGTAGCCCCTGCATACTTGTATTTGCTATATCTACCCAAAGAAGTGAGGCTCCGTGGCGGCCCTGTGAGGCGCTTACATAAGCGATCGCAGGCCTGTTGGCGATTGATTCCCATCGCTCCAGCTTTCGCGATTGCGACCTTTGAAATCTTCCTTCCGCTTCGCCTCTCCCCCACAACTGCGCCTGATTACCCCAGTCGCTCCTTCTTGCTTCTCTCTCTCCTTCAACTTTGCCATCGCGCACGCACTTCATCTCCCCAGATTTCATCAAGCGGTACCTGAAATCATGTCTCTCAGCCAGAACCGCCTCCAGGAGGAGCGGTAAGAAGCTTTCTTTTTGAGGATTATGCGCATTAGTTGCGCCTTTAGACCGCCATGTGCTGACGATTTCCGGTTATACAGCAAGCAGTGGCGACGCGATCATCCTTTCGGCTTTGTCGCAAAGCCAGCCCGTACTCCCCAGGGCGGCTTGGACCTTAAGACCTGGGAATGCGCCATTCCCGGCAAGAGCAAGACTCTTTGGGAGGGTGGACTCTTCAAACTGACTCTGATTTTCCCTGATGGTGAGTGCAGCGCATTCCAAACTGAAGATCCTTGTACTAATTTAGACGGTCATTGCTTCTAGAATACCCCACCAAGCCACCAAAGTGTACGTACCTCCACAATCGATCTCCAATGCATGCTTTTACGAAAACAGAATCATGCTCAAGACGGCATTTGTGATATAATATGAGGATATCTTGCTGATTCAAGACTAGGCAAATTCACGCCACCCTTGTTCCACCCAAACGTTTACCCTTCGGGCACAGTCTGCCTATCAATTCTCAATGAAGAGGAGGACTGGAGACCCGCGATCACTATCAAACAGATTCTGCTCGGCATTCAGGATCTCCTCGATAATCCTAACCCAGAGTCGCCTGCGCAAGCCGATGCCTACAACCTGTTCAAGAAGGACCGACCCGCATATGAGCGCAAGGTCAAGCAGGTGGTGAAGGAGAACCAGCCTATTTAAGCATTGATTCCCAGCGTGAACAGCGAAAAAGCTGTGACAATTTCTTTTTCAATTTTCAGCATGCGACATACCAGGGGAAGATCTATGCATATCTGGTTTTTTTTTTCTTCGGCGAATGAGGGATTAGCAATTTCCCACAGCGCGGCGTTAGCAATGGAGTTTGAGACATTGAAGCCATAAGTACATGATTTCCTGTAAGGACTCTCTAGATGGAAAGAAGATGCGACTTCGGGTGCGAATCCGGCTATCTTATCGGTGACTCAAAGAGTGCCGACATCGCCCCGCCGAGAAATTGGAAAAAAATTACTTGGTTCCTCCCGTAACCCCATGTATTAGTCAATTACTCACTCTTCTCTTCTGACTCTTCTTCTCCTCCTTCTATACTCTCCGAAAATCACCAATTGCCCAACATGTGTGGAATCTTCGCGTGCCACCAGTATGTTGTGCCTTGCCCTAACCCCCGCCATCCTCAATAGTGGGATCGTGGGGGACCGTCGTGTCATTGCTAATAGTCCCACAGTCACCCCGATGTGCAGCAGTTCAAGCCTACGGCTTTGCGCATGGCCAAGGCGTAAGTTCTTCAATTCCTATATCTTCAATTGCATCTGCAGTCCTCAGAATCCCGAATTGTCGCTAACTGATCTCTCGAACACAGTGTGCGCCACCGTGGTCCCGATTGGAGTGAGTCACTGCTCGAGTTACAACATTGCGCAGTATATATGAGGGAATAGGATTAACCAATCTTCTTTAACAGGCGGTAACTTCTGCGCCGAGAGTACTAGTGAGTCAAGCAAATGAATTGGTCTTCTTCTATAACTAACGGGGAATTCTTAGTCCTGGCGCACGAGCGTCTGAGCATCGTCGGTGTCGGTAAGTTCTGTCTGAGGGTTGACGCGCTTTCTTTAACTAACAGTTTCTTTATAGACTCCGGTGCCCAGCCCCTTGTGAACGAGGACAGCAGCCTCGCCCTCGCCGTCAATGGCGAGATCTACAACCACCGTCTTCTGCGGAAGAGCCTTCACACCAAGTACAACTTCAAGACACACTCTGATTGCGAAGTTATCATTCCCTTGGTATGTGAGAAAGGAAAAAAAGATAGAGCAGAGACGCTAATTACTTCTAGTACATGGAGCACGGTCTCGATGCCCCCAAGCACCTCGACGGCATGTTCTCCTGGGTTCTGTGGGACAAGAAGCAAGACCGTGTCATTGCTGCCCGTGATCCCATCGGTATCACCAGCTTCTACCTTGGTCGCTCTTCTTCCACTCCCGGCGCGGTGTACTTCGCCTCCGAGCTCAAGTGCTTGCACCCCGTCTGCGACGACATCATTGCCTTCCCTCCCGGTCACGTCTACGACTCGAAGACTGACAAGCTGACCCGCTACTTCGAGCCCAAGTGGTGGGACCCTACCAACGTCCCTACCACCCCTGTCGACTACAAGATCGTCCGTCACAGCCTCGAGAAGGCCGTCCGCAAGCGTCTGATGGCGGAGGTTCCCTACGGTGTTCTGCTGTCTGGTGGTCTCGACTCCTCCTTGGTCGCCTCTATTGCCCAGCGCGAGACTCTCCGCATGGCCGAAGCTTCCCGCGCCGCTCCTCCCTCCACCGCCGACGGCGAATTGGTTGGCATTGATGACGAGAACGAGCTTTCTACCGTCACCACTTTCCAGCAGCTGCACTCCTTCTCCATCGGTCTCCCCGGTGCTCCCGATACCGAGGCTGCCCTTGAGGTCGCCCGTTTCCTCGGCACCAAGCACCACCCCTTCACTTTCACTGTCCAGGACGGCCTTGACGCCCTCTCTGACGTGATCTACCACCTCGAGACCTACGATGTTACCACCATCCGTGCCTCTACCCCTATGTACCTGCTTTCCCGCAAGATCAAGGCCATGGGTGTCAAGATGGTCCTCAGTGGTGAGGGTTCCGACGAGATCTTCGGTGGTTACCTCTACTTCCACGCTGCTCCCAACAAGGAGGAGCTTCACAAGGAGACCGTCCGCCGTGTCAAGAACTTGCACTTGGCTGACTGCCTCCGTGCCAACAAATCTACCTCCGCCTGGGGTCTTGAGGCCCGTGTGCCTTTCCTCGACAAGGAGTTCCTCGAGACCTGCATGGGTGTTGACCCCCAGGACAAGATGATCACCAAGGACCGCATTGAGAAGCACATGCTCCGCAAGGCCTTTGACACCACTGATGAGCCCGAGACTGCTGCATACCTTCCTGACAAGATCCTCTGGCGCCAGAAGGAGCAGTTCAGTGACGGTGTTGGCTACAGCTGGATTGATGGCCTGAAGGACGAAGCCGAGCGCCAGGTTACCGATGAGATGATGAAGAACCCCAAGCCCGAATGGGGCACCGATGTTCCCGACACCAAGGAGGCGTATGTTTCTCTTATTGCACTATAATTTTTTCAAAACTAACTTCACACAGATACTGGTACCGCACCATGTTCGATGAGCACTTCCCTCCCTACTGTGCCGGCACAGTCGAGCGCTGGACCCCTACCTGGTCCAAGCAGACTGATCCCAGTGGAAGGTGAGTCAATTCCTGTTTCAAGGTTTCAAGGTTGAAAAATTCTTCTAACATCCCTCACAGAGCCATCTCCACCCACAACCAGAAGTATGACGAGACGAAGTAAATGTGAAGCCAAAGAGCCAAAAAAGCACACCTGGACTTTCTTTTCTGTTTTAGCCTTTTCTTTTGGATTAAAAGGATAGATTGTATATACTTTGCTAGTATAAAGTTATGATCCTTTCTTTTCTGTTTGTAGAATTCCGCCTCAGGCATAAACGCACGTGACTTCACCGGCGGGCTTTCCCGGCACCCGAGCAACCGCCAATCACCGGGCGCCCACCAACCCGTGCTAAGCCCCTAGTTCCCCCCCCCCCAACATCATCGGTCTCTTCTTCTTCTCTTTCTTCATCTCTCCATAGAACCACCCCTTTCTCTTACATCTCCTCAGTCATTAGACTTCATCTCGTCAACATGTCTGCCCCCGCTGCTTTCTCCGACATCGCCAAGGCGGCCAACGATGTACGCACATTGTCCGGATCAAAAATCGGCACACCGGAACTTGGCTAATACCTTATCCCAATAGCTCCTGAACAAGGACTTCTACCACGCCGCTGCCGGTATGTTTATCTATGGGCAACATTATGTCATTCCCGAAGCTTCAATGGCTAACTAGGGCTATTTAGCCAACCTTGAGGTCAAGTCCAAGGCCCCTAACGGTGTCACCTTCACCGTCAAGGGCAAGTCCGCCCACGAGGGTCCCATTGCTGGCCAGGTTCGTTATGATCGCGCTCATTGAGTCCCAAACACAATTCTAATGAATGCGCCTACAGCTTGAGGCCAAATACGTCGATGCGCCCACCGGTAAACGCCCCTTCCAGAAAAAGCCCCCGGATCCTGGCGCGCGAAAAGGACGGCCCATCACATTCCTCTGGGGATGTGGTCTCCGTCCAGTGCCCAAGGTTTCCCTGTTTATTTTTTCGGATACGACGCATCACAGAGTTAGGCTAATATATTCACATCGCCCAGGCCTCACCCTGACCCAGGCTTGGACCACCGCCAACGCTCTCGACACCAAGCTCGAGCTCGACAACAACATCGCCAAGGGCCTCAAGGCTGAGATCCTCACCCAGTACCAGCCCGCTAAGCAGTCCAAGGGTGCCAAGCTCAACCTCTACTTCAAGCAGCCCAACTTGAACGCCCGTGCCTTCTTCGACCTTCTGAACGGCCCCTCCGCCAACTTCGACGCCGTTCTCGGCCATGAGGGCTTCCTCGTCGGTGCTGAGGGTGGTTACGACGTCAACAAGGCCGCCATCACCAAGTACTCTGCTGCCGTCGGCTACAGCGTTGCCCAGTACTCCGCTGCCATCACCGCCAGCAACAACCTCTCCCTCTTCTCTGCCAGCTACTACCACCGCGTCAACGCTCAGGTTGAGGCCGGTGCCAAGGCCTCCTGGGACTCAACCTCCGGCAACGCTGTCGGCCTTGAGGTTGCCTCCAAGTACCGCCTCGACCCCTCTTCCTTCGCCAAGGTTCGTTCACGCACTGATTTTATATATGCATACATGCTAACCACATTTTACAACACAGGCCAAGATCAACGACCGTGGTATTGCCGCTCTGGCTTACAACGTTCTCCTCCGCCCTGGTGTCACCCTCGGCCTCGGTGCCTCCTTCGATACCCAGAACCTCAACCAGGCTGCCCACAAGGTCGGCGCCAGCTTCACCTTCGAGGCTTAAGCGTCTGAATTTCCTTTCAGATTTTGTCATTTTTGTTCCTAGTTTGTCTTTGCTGATGGGCTAGAACGATGATATGGAGATGGGGACTTTCATCTAAGATAATAGCCATGTGTGCGTCGTAGCTTATACTCGAGCACTCTTTGTATATCAAATCTAAATGTTTCCTTTGTTGATCAATACGATCAATTAATGTGGTCTAACCGAGAACACTGCAGTCAGCTCGCTTTAGAGCTATGTAAGGGACAGCGCAGTTAAGTAATATTTATATTGAAGCGCTATATACCACGTCAAGAATCCAGTTCCTGTATATAGCAAAACCAAACCAATTGAATATTGAACAATCAAGAATATGCTTCCCTCCGTCTCGTAGCCTTTCCCCCATGAGCAGCATCAGCAGCAGTAGCTGTCGCCGCAGACCATTTAAATAACCCAGTAATACCAGTAGCAACAACCAAAATGCCCGAAACAACCAAGAACCTCACAACAGTATCATCCGCACGCGAACCACCCCCAGACCTACTCTCATGCTCAGCATGTTCCCTGATAGCCGCTCTCACCTGCCGCCTCCTCCTCTCCTGCCTCCTCTGATCCTCAGCAGCCTGCGTCCGGAAATGCCCCCGCGCATTGAAATGATGTAACGGATTCCGATTAATAAAGCCAGCCCAGTCCTCGGCGTCAACACTAGAATCAAACCCAGCAGCCGACGCAAAGCCCCCTCCAGCTTTAGCCCCAGCCCCAGCCTTGCCGGGCGCATACGTCTCTGCCCGCCTCCCCGTAGACCCATACCCACCCTGCTCATAGAAACTAGGCGGCGGTCCGTGGAATGCATTGCGGCGTTTGCTCAGCCCGCTCGCGGGTCGGGACCCGGCGTAGCTGCCACTGCTGTGGCTGCCCATTGGATGGGCGTGCGTGTGGCCTGGTGAGGCGGAGGAGTGGCTGTGTGAGGGGGTGGCGTGCAGGCCATTGTCGCGGTCGTAGGTTGCGCGCTTTTGGGTGTTGCTGAGGACATTGTAGGCGGCTGAGATTCTGGAGAAGCGTTGGCTTGCGCTTGGGTCTGAGCGGTTGCGGTCTGGGTGGTGGCGGAGGGAGAGGGCGTAGAATTGTCTGTTTTGGGGGTTTGTGTTAGTTTTGTTTCTTGGTTGATGGGCTGAAGAGGGTTTCGGAAAGGTCGGTACTTTTTGATTTCGGCTGGTGTTGCGCCTACTGGAACGTCGAGGATTTCGTAGAAGTTTTGTTCCCGGGCTTGGCGGGAATTACTTGTTGTAAAGTGGTTTATTTGGGGGTTGGAGAGGCGATTTGCTTGCTGATGGTTGTTTTGGGGTTGTTTTGGGCGTGGTCGGAGGGGTTGGGTTGAAAGGGTGTGCACGCATGTTTGAAGTGAGGGCGTCTTTGCGCGCGGCGATAAGAAAATTGCTGTTACTCCAGGTGGAGGCATAGTGCTTGTGAGGAGGATGTGGATGTTGAAGAGGGAAGAAGCCCTGGAGCGTGGGAGGGAGGCGTAGATAGGGACTGTCGGAGAGTGGAAGTGGAGAGGAGTTCGGAGAGAGGTGAAGATCGGAGTGGCGTCATGGCGGATTAGGGGCGATACTATTCCCGGTGAACTCTTAAGATGCTCTACGTGCTGCTATGGGTCTATCGGTATGCCGAACTCCATGGTGGACTTATTTTCTCCCGAGACTTTACTATGAACTGAGTATGGAGCATGAGAGACTCTCAGGCTCCCAGGCAAGATTGGGGAGATGATCAGATTAGATAACAAGACTGGGCTTGGTCCACTGAGTCTAACCTCCCACGGTTCTCTGCCCTAATTTGGCTCTAGGTTGCCCTAATTTGGACCTAACTTTACTCTAACTATACCCCACGTTCATCCCACCGACCGGGACTGAGCTTGATAAGCATCGGTCAGTCCATAGCTCCGAGGAGCATCTCACACACTGACAGATGCCCGAGCACCTGTCATGCGAGACGCAAGACCATAGAAATGTAACTGCAAAACGCAACGAAAAGCAAAAGTCTATCTCAAAGCAGTGTAAAAACACCCCGAAGTCAGTACATTCGCCGGGGTCGGTGCCACTCGGCGTTTGATCCCATCGGCGAGCATCACCGCAGTATGTCGGGCCCCGAGCCATCATATACTACGTTCACCCCACCCATCCGAACTCACCAACAACAATGTCTCACCTAACTGCCCTCAAAGCCTACCTCCCATGGATTCAAACCCCCCTCGTGGCTAACGCTCCCATGAGCGGCAGCGCAAAAAGTAAGCTGGCGATCGCCGTGACACGCGCGGGCGGCCTAGGCCAAATCGGCTTCCTGGATGACATGCATGAACTATTGACCGAGCTGGAAAGCACCAAAAAGGGTCTTGAAGAGTCGGGGTTCAACACTTCGAAGACGCTTCCCATTGGCTTGGGCGTTATCGTCTTCGGCTCGTCGATGCATGCCTGGATGCCACTCTTCGAGAAATATAAGCCGGCTGTGGCCTGGCTTTCTTTTGCCGATACGGATACACTGAGTCAGTGGACTGAAGGTGTTCGGAAATCCTCGCCTGAGACTCGGGTCTGGGTGCAAATCGGAAGCGTTGCTGCTGCTGTTGATGTAGCGCAGGCCTGTCATCCTAATGCACTTGTTCTGCAAGGCGGGGATGCTGGAGGTCATGGACATGAGAACGGTGCTAGCATTGTATCTCTTTTCCCCGAGATTGCTGATGCACTTCACTATCTTGGACTTGGTGATATTCCACTCATCGCTGCTGGTGGAATTGTCGATGGGCGGGGATGTGCTGCGGCACTGACTCTTGGTGCCGCTGGGATCGTCATGGGAACAAGGTTTCTCGCTGCCGAGGAAACTTCCATTCCTAATATTTATCGGGATGCAGTCTTCGAAGCGTCTGATGGAGGTCGAACAACAGCCCGATCGCGGGTTTTTGATGAGGTCTGGGGTCCGAACTTCTGGCCTGACATTTATGATGGGAGATGTCTTCGGAATAAAATATACGAACACTATAAGAATGGAGTTGACGTGAGGAAAATTCAGAGTTGGATTTCTGAAGCGATGAATGGTCCTGATTCTGTGAACTTGGATACGAAAGACATGGGTAGCATTTGGGCTGGAACGGGCGTTGGACTAGTGAAGAAACAGGAGAAGGCGGCAGTGATCATTGATGAGGTGAGAGGAGATGCGCGGAAGTATTTGAAAAGGGCCTCGCTGTGTCTATAATGGAAGCGAAGACTAAGCGTTCACATGCTTTTTGGCCATGGTCACATCTCTTATAGCAATAATACGGAGTTGCATAATTCCATTCAATCATTTCTGGCATACTGTCACCATCATAGATTCTAAAGGTTGGCCCTATGTTCTACGCTCAAAGCACAGAATGATAGACAGACGCTGGAAAGATTTCTTGTATTTTTTTTGGTAGAGCCGCATCTAATGCTCGAAATACTGACAACAAAGTCATGGATAATGCCTGCAAGCAACTCTGGGATATTGTCTCAAAGATTTTTAATAATTGAGATTTTATGGTTTGGGTAGACACGGAACCTTTGAGGTTTTCCTTGTAAATCAGCCTTTATTTCCTATTTGGTGGGATTATGTGATCAAGCCAGGCGTATAGACAACCAGCTCTGCCTGATTCATAGCTATTTGAGTAGCTAGAATTCAGTAGGGAATGTTGCTTTCAAGTTGGATTGATCGTTATTCTCGAAGTAATACACGTGGCTGACAACAATTTCAATGAAAGAGATATCTTTTATTTTCTGAATCGGAATATTGGTGATTTAGTAATGCGCATGGGGAAATCTGAATTGGCCCGATTGCTTTTCGAACACGGCATTACGCCACAATATCCGAATGACCAGTCTGAAAATGTGATGCATGAAGCAATAGGACTACACGCAAAAACACTCGAGATACTGGTTGATCTTGGACTTCAACTTTCACCAGAACACCATGGACATTACGATACTTTCATTCAAGCTACAACTAACCACTTGAGAACAGAATTCGCGCCAGCATTTTTGATTTTTTCATCAAGCCGCTTTCAGTGTAAATGCTGAATACATTGTTGTACTAGATACGGGATATCCATTTCTATCTGATACGGCTCCGGAGATCGCGAAGGACTACCCCACCAATTGGAAAGGACCGAGAGCTGCAGAATGGCATCGAAAATGGAGGGAAAGATCCACACGTTCCTTAAAGCAGGCGCAAACATCGAGGCGGGGTTCCCCAGATGGGACGCCCCTGATTTGCGTAGCTTGCGAGCCTAGACTACCCACGCGTGAGTGAAGGATTGTGCTTCTCTCGAGGAAAGGGGCCAACGCTCTCCATCTTAGCCCAGGCGGCGAGTCGCCATGGAGGGCAGTTGTAGACCTCAATGTCTCCAGGTCCGTGAAGTTGCTTCTCAAGCATTTGGATAACAGAGTCGCCGCTGGAGTTGACATGATCAGAGCTCGGATCAAGGCTGAGGTCGCAAGGAGGTATGAAGCAGGCGCTGCAATAGAATGGCCTAGGACTCGATACCGGGAAGATGAGGCCGTTTTGAAGGATCTCATGGATATCGATTCTCGGGTCAAGGATGCTGCAGAATTAGCAGAAAACAGCAAGGTTTAAGCAGTCATCTCAAATTGGTACTGACCTCGGGTTTAATTTTTTTTATATAGGACGGATTGCATTGAATGAGAGAGAACTTCATAAGGACTGTTTAGCGGAGCAATATATGAAACTCCAAAGTAAATTGTAGAAGAGACGAGATCAATACAAAAGATTCTGATAATGGCACCCAATCTCTTGTGGTTAAATGGCATAATGTTTTTTTAACAGCAAGACACGAGTCTCCGTTTGCGGTATATGATACCAGGCCTCGGGTGATGAATATTTTGTCAGTTTTGGGGTTTGTCTCTTTCATGTTTCACTCTCTAAGAATGGTCCACATGATTCTTGAACATGACCATGGATTCAAGCTTTAGCCAGATCGCAAAGAGCATCGCGTTCTGTGTGCTATGCTCGCAGCATCTTCGGACCGTGAAATTCTTGATATCTTCATTAAGATGGGGCTCGAAATCAAGCATCCGTCTGTCGAATGGTAAATTCTCACAGGAGTAGCCCAGACAGAGGAGACTTTCTCTGATCAACCATTGCTAGAAGGGAGAGTCATTACTCCAATGAGCTATGATGATAGAGGCAGAAAAAAACATGGATCGCTTGTTGGCACACGGTGCAAACATTAGCGCATGGAGAGAGGATATTGACGCGACGCTTTTGTTTTGGGAAGCTAATTACACCGCCTTTACGAACAAAGAAAAGGCAATCGAGCTTTTTTGAGCAAGGGAACCAACCCTCTCTTCACCAACAAAGACGGAATATCAGTTTTGGACGCGTTGGCAGGAAGGAATCTGGCAGAAGCAATTGTGCACGTATTGCATTACTTTGATAAGATGATGCCCTCTGGAGCAAAGCAGACCTTAATTACTAAGGTCCAGATCAAAAATGCTGAATCAGAAACGAGGAATAAACAGGCCGTTTCTTCTGCGGAAACTGAGACCACGATTGCCGATGAAGCATCAACTGTGGCTTCTGCGGCAGTCATTAAAGAAATCATGGCTCAAGTCAAACGTACCGAGGCAGCAGCACAGGATGCGGGTGTCAAATGCTTACTTTCGAGTTGGTACTGGCCTCGTGTCTATCCAGCGCATGAAGGGAATGAGCGAGATGGATCTGGCTATGGTTAAATTGCAAGAATAGGAAGCAGAAAGAACTAAGTTCTCTATTAACCCATAAATGAAGAAACTATAGCACAAAACTAGCACAAGAATAGTAGAAGTCAAGTAGAAAAAAAATCAAAGAGAAGAAGAAGAAGAATTGAAACGAAATGAAGTATGAAGTGAAGTATTAAAATCCTTATCTTATCAGCAAAAGTCTTCCCCGACATCCGAGATATTCCCCTCTTCTGTGTCTTTTGCCTCTTCACTCACCAACATGGCAGCTCAGGCTACGGAGAAATTGGACCAGCTGGACCGTAAGCTTATAGGGCTTTTTAATATGTTGTGCGACTGACAAAATGCCAGTGAACGGCCAGAACCCCGCTGAGGCTGCTCCCGCCCTCGACGTGGAGGACGACTCTGACGACGAGCAGGAGGGCGACGGTGCTCCAGAGGTTGGAGCCGCTGGAGGTAAGTGGATTTGAAATTTTCCATTTTGACTTTCCACAGAGGTTAACGGCAGGTTCCCTGCAGCCGCCAAAAAGAAGAAGAAGCGCAAGTCCAAGAAGAAGAAGAAGGGTGGCGCGAAGGTTCAGACCGAGCCCCCGCGCGTCCCTGTGTCCAATCTCTTCCCCAATGGCCAGTACCCCGAGGGCGAGATTGTCGAGTACCTAAACGACAATGCCTACCGCACAACAAACGAAGAGAAGCGATACCTCGACCGCATGAACAATGACTTCCTGCAAGAGTACCGCCAGGGTGCGGAGGTCCACCGCCAGGTGCGCCAGTATGCACAGAAGAACATTAAGCCTGGACAGACTTTGACCGAAATTGCGGAGGGTATTGAGGATTCTGTGCGTGCTCTGACAGGCCACTCGGGCTTGGAGGAGGGCGACAACCTGAAGGGTGGCATGGGTTTCCCTTGCGGTCTGAGCATCAACCACTGCGCTGCTCATTATACTCCGAACGCCGGAAATAAGATGGTCCTGAACCAAGGAGATGTCATGAAGGTCGACTTTGGTGCACAGCTCAACGGCCGCATTGTGGACAGTGCCTTTACCATGTCCTTCGATCCTGTATACGATCCTCTTCTGGCAGCCGTCAAGGATGCCACCAACACTGGTATTCGGGTAAGTATATCTTACACTTGCGTATTTGCAGAGCTGACATGTGGTTAGGAAGCTGGGATTGATGTCCGCATGAGTGATATCGGTGCCGCCATTCAAGAAGCCATGGAGAGCTACGAAGTTGAGCTCAACGGCACTATGCACCCGGTCAAGTGTATTCGCAACCTGAACGGTCACAACATTGATCAGCACGTCATTCATGGCGGCAAGAGTGTACCTATCGTCAAGAGCAGCACCGATCAGACCAAGATGGAAGAAGGCGAGGTCTTTGCTATCGAGACTTTCGGTAGTACTGGAAAAGGCTACGTGCGGGAGGAAGTAAGTAATCTCCAGAAAGGGACTGGGATCAAATGCTAACACCATATAGATGGAAACCTCGCACTACGCTCTTGCTTCTGACGCCCCCAATGTCCCCTTGCGTCTTTCATCCGCCAAGAACCTGTTGAACGTCATCAATAAGAACTTTGGAAGCCTCCCCTTCTGCCGTCGTTACCTTGATCGACTGGGCCAGGAGAAGTACCTTCTGGGTGTAAGTATATGGTTGAGTCTAAAGTATTCGATCTCCTCCAGCTGATCCAAATATAGTTGAACAACTTGGTCTCTTCTGGTATTGTCCAAGACTACCCTCCTCTCTGCGATATCAAGGGCTCATACACTGCCCAATATGAACATGTATGTTTCTATTTTTGTTCTGCCCGAGCTTATACTGACTTATTTCCTAGACAATTGTGCTGCGCCCGAACGTTAAGGAGGTTATTAGTCGCGGCGACGACTACTGATTTGGAATATCTATAGAACCCAAATATAAAAGCAACCATATTCAAGAAACAGCCCATTAGTAATAGGTGAAGCAGCAGTATCCCGTACTCCGTAGAGCAAAACAGGTTAGCAGTCGATCCTGCCAAGCCATCCAAGTATGCCGTGTCGCCCCACGTGGAACATTCGACTCCCGACTTTTTAATTTGCCTCTTTGCTATTCTCTCACATTTCGATCAATTCACATATAGCATGTCTGCGGTCGAAACAGCAACTCCGCACCTTCGGGTGTCGGCGAGGACGTCCAAAACAGAGCCCGCGTCCGCAAGAATCCAGGCACCCGAGGCCCTGGTTGACGACCACTTCTTCTGGACATACACCGAAGAGCCACACCGCTCAAGACGCCAGGCAATTATCAAAGCCCATCCGGAGGTATGTGACACAGTTTCGTGAGCATCCGGCGTGGTTTAGAGATTCAGGGACAACTCCGTGCGGAGGTAGCGGAGAGTCCCTGCATATCACACCTGCCCACTGTCTCGGACGACGACCACCCCCAGCAACGCAATCACAGTGCTAATTCAAGTCTCATTCCAGGTCACCAAGCTATGTGGTCCTGAGCCTCTCACAAAATGGGTCGTCTTCGGTGTTGTCTCCCTGCAAATCACCTGCGCCATTCTCCTCCGCAACACCTCCATGCTCGACTGGCGGTTCCTAGCCACGGCCTACGTGATTGGAGCAACATGCAACCAGAACTTGTTCCTCGCCATCCATGAGATCTCCCACAACCTGGCATTCCGCTCGCCCATGGCCAATCGCCTGCTGGCTATCTTCGCGAACTTCCCTATCGGAGTGCCATACAGTGCTGCCTTCAGAGTACGTCCAACCCCGAGACCACACCAGCAGACTCCCCCGGAAAGCAAAGAACTAACACAATTCCCAAACAGCCTTACCACCTGACCCATCACAAGTCCCTCGGTGTAACAGGCCTAGACACAGATCTTCCAACAGCAGTCGAAGCCTTCTTCCTAAACTCCCTCCTAGGAAAGACATTCTTCTGCACCTTCCAGATCCTCTTCTACGCTGTCCGCCCAATGTTCATCTACAGCCCCCCATTCACATACATCCACCTCCTTAACCTAGTCGTGCAATTGAGCTTCGACTACGCTCTAACTAAGCTCTGCGGCGGCTCCATCCAGCCAATGATGTACCTGATCATGAGCTCTTTCCTCGCGGGCTCTCTCCACCCCTGCGCTGGCCACTTCATCGCCGAGCACTACTTCTTTTCGAACGTCAAGACCGGCGGCACGGAGTCTCTGACCGAGCTCAAGACGAAGGAGAAGGCTACTCCTCACCCGCTTGATTCGCTTCCTCCCCCCGAGACATACTCTTACTATGGTCCCCTGAATATCCTTACTTACAATGTCGGATTGCATAACGAGCACCATGATTTCCCTGCTATCCCCTGGACGAAATTGCACAAGTTGCATGAGATTGCGAGTGAATTCTATGAGCCGCTTCCTTGCCATCGGAGCTGGGTTTGGGTTATTTGGACTTTCATTTTGGACAAGGATGTTGGTCCTTGGTGCCGTGTGAAGCGTGCGCAGGGTGGTCGCATTGTTGGTGGTGGAAAGAAGAATGAAGGCGAATCTGCTGCTGCTTCCAAGGTTACTGGTCGTGGTGGTGAGGGCATCTCTGCTGCGTCGGCGGGTCCGGCTGGTGAGGAGGGCGATGGGTGGAAGGAGAGTGAGATTCAATGCTAGATCTTTTCGTTTCTACTGGGATTTGGTTGTATACATTACTGGAGTTTGGGAATAAAATTGGTTACCATTTATGTTTGATCTTCTAGTCTTCATTACATTTACTGTGCAGGGAAAATGGATTAGGTATATGTATTTTTTGGATTCTCTTTGGAGTCACCTAATTGCAAGGATTAGACAAAAAAAGCCTGCGGCTACATCGGCATGGGCCTCGGAAGTAAAAGCAAGCACATGAATTAATCTGCGTGAGCTCGAGGATCGTTTATGGAACAAATAACAGTTATATCAAAGACGGAGTCCGTTCGTCATGATAAAATGAAATTAGACAAGACAGGGTGGGTTAAGGGACAAAGGAGAAAGAAAAAAAAACAACAGAGGTAGAGATAGACACACGAGTGTCCGACTCGAGGAGATCCGGAAGCCCAGATATAACATAGAAGAAAACGAGATATCGATACCGAGGAAAATAAGAGATCAAAAGAGACGCAGGCAAAGGGCTGATGCTAGAACAGAAAGGGAATGCTCTTCAAGAGGCAAAGAGTAGATAGGAATTCGAGAGAGGCGTCAGCGACGTTAGACCGGAGGCGTGAGCACGCGGAGTGAGAAGTGCAATGAACCCAAGGAGACCGTGATGGGCAGGGAGACCAGCTTAAAAGAAGAAGTAGGCAATCAGGAAACTGAGCAGGCATAGACCCGCGACAGCCTGAATGGAGACGCCGGCCTGTGTTTGCGCATGTGATTGCTGCATGGTGGCAGGTGCGGCCTTGCCAGCCTCGGCACCGGTCTTCCGCTGGCGGAGGCCTTGGTCCGCAAGTCGGTCCTTGAGACGCTGGATTTGTGCGTTGGCTTCGGCGAGCTGGGCCTTGAGTTCATCACTGGAGGGAAGGGCATTGGCGACGGCGGACTTGGCACTTGAAAGGGCAGAGGGGGCAGCCTCGCGCTGGGGAGAGGGCTCGGATTTGATCTCGGACTTGATCTTGTCGGAGAAATCAGGCTGAGGGATGGGAGAAGCTTCGTCGACGGTGCTCTTCTTGGGGGCTGGGGTCTCGAAATTGCCTCCGGGGAGAGGTATAGGCGGGGGGTTCTTCCTCATTAACCTGGCGGGTTGTTAGACCATGCGCATCGAAAGTTGCCGGGAAGCATACGGAGTCATTAACCTTATCACCAGAATCTTCTTCCAACCAAGTCACTCGGATCTTGCGCTCAACAACATCGGCCTTGGGAGTTTGATCGAACTAGAAAAAGTTATTAGTTATCGGTTTGTGTTGTGCGCGTCGGTAGCTGAACGTACGACCTGGGTGACACTGGCCTGTTCCTGGCCAGGAGCAACGGGGACGGCCTGGACCAAGAACTTATCTTTGCACTTGGCGCCTGGTGCCGGCGCATCCTTCAAGACCTGGAGAAGAACTATTGAAGCCATTAGTCTGAGCTTATTTGTGCGGGACCGACCATCAACCAACCTTGGACCTCCACAGCCTTGCCGGGCTCGATGTGGCCGGAGTTAGGGCGCACACAGTAACTAGAATAGTCAGACGACGAATTATAGGCATAAGGGTCGCACAAGAACTCGCTGGGACATACTGCTTGGGAGCGGTGGTTTTGACCTAGTGCGCCGGTGACGTTAGTGCCGGCCGTATTTCGCGACAAGCGCCTTGATAAAAGCGTGGGCATACCTTGAAGACAACAGATTCCTGGTTGGTGTTGGTCAGGCGTAGGACCTGGCATTTCTCATGGTTGAAGGGACCTAGGCATTGCGAAATTAGTTGTTTGGCCAGGAGGTAGCCAGAGGCGGGATCGGGGACGCACGGTGGAAGCCCAACTCGGAGGGCTCGATTTGGATAGACATGGTGGTCGCGATCAGGGTAGTACAGGCGACAAAAGAAGACGTAGAAAAGGAAGGCACAGACACTGTACGTAGATAAGGTTGCGATTCGGAGAAAAAGGCGTTGGGAAGGATATCAAGTGCACGTAGGCCGCAACACCTCAGGAGTTTGATTACTGTCCACTTTGGGGAAATGCTGACTCAGCAGTCAGGTGATGTCACTATTGGCCGTTCTATAACAGACTTGGCTGTTTTGTTTATTTTTGGAAATATCTTTTTTCATGGCCAGCTACTAGACTGCCTAGTCTGCTCATAATCCTGCGATTGCAGACATCTGGTGTATTCTACTATGGACCCCCCCCACATGTTATACAGTGGGTCATCCTACGCCGGTTCTCCATTCACCTGGAATCTTTGTTGATATATCAGGAGATGATAATTTTGGACCCTATCTTCACTCTTTTGACCTAACCTTGAAATAATGCCTCATATGGCTACTTTTTTACACAAGCATGACACTAAGATTGTAAGGTCAATGCTAGAAACTTCAACATATTACGCACCCCCTGGCTGAATCAAGTCACTCTTATCATTAACTATCGAGTATCCCAATCATGACGCACGGGTTACAATAAAAAAAATAGATGCTAATTTTGACGACTCTACGAAGATTAAGGTCTAGTCTACGTAGCGGCTAGTGTCATCTATTAAGAGTGAATCAATTTCAACGTAGGGTTACATAGTAAATTGGAGCATCCTAGATTGACACAATTACCATACACGCCTAAAAGGGCAGAGATAGATATAAATGTAAAGCATAGATGTCATTCTAATAATGCTTTAAATTTGTATATATTGCCACTGATAAAGCATTGGGTGATTTCTACATAGCAAGTGTACTGCTCCGTACCTTGTTTTACTTCTCCTTTTTCGCCTCTTCCGTCACCTCTTCTGTCACCTCTTACCGTCACCTCTATCCTCATTTCTACCTCCACTTTTCCCTTCACCTCTATCCTCACTTTTCTGTTTGCCTCGTTTTCAAGTGCTTCGGGTTGCAAATTCTTAAACTAGTGAGTCTATTATGGAGCGGCGTCAAAGGACATTACTTTTCACAGTCTCCCTAAACCGTCACCTTCACTAGCTTAAAGGCAGATTTTCGACTCCTGCTATCACAATAACTTTATATAGAACATTGTTCTATAGATGTTGTTTTCATTACCATGATATGTCACAAAAAAGCTGTCATATTTGCGTGTTTAAGGTTGGAACATAGGGTTTGTGGGGAGATTTCTTTTTCATGGTATGTCCTCGGCTATATGAAGAGGACCTTGAATGTGTACATTGCCACGAACCAGTAGGCGGCATCTACACAAGAGATTCAAAATGAGCTAAGTATGTGACAACGTGAGCGAGAAAGGACTTGTGGCATATGACCATATTGACGCTTTACATCCAACTTAACGACTCCCAATTCCCTCCCTCTCATTCTCACAACTTCGGTCTTCACCCAACTTGGAATAGATAAAAGAACACTGTTCACTAATGCTACATATCTTCTTGATACCCACCCAGTTTCGATCTGGACATCAACACATCTACACCAAACTCCTTGATCGCGTCCCAAGTCATGGACTCATTACCACCAGACCTGATATCACGAGTGGTGGACTGCCTTGAGACTACACCATCGCACGAACCAAAGCCTCAACTTACCCCATATGCCACCGTGAGTCGTCAATGGCAGTTAAAGACCGAGAGGCGCATATTTCCCGCCATCTACCTCCACAGCGCCAATCGGCCTCAAAAGTTTCAACAAGTAGTAGCATCCAACACCTACAGACAGTCTTGCATTCGGTACATTGATCTCATGGTTGAACTAGAGTCATACGACGACAAGGCACGCGCTAGGTTCGAAATCCACGAAGAACAGCAACAAAATAACAAGATCTTCACTGTAATTAGCCACTCGTTATTAGTAACCTTGACATCTTGGCCAGCTGATACTACCGTGACACTCGTGATCACTGCGCAGACTCCCAGTGACAGTGTTGATCTTAATGGACAATGGGAAAGAAAGCAGCGAGAGCAAGCAGTGATTCTACGACAGGAGGACCTTTTCGAACAGCGATATGAAACATCCTAACTGCAATTCTCCGACATAATGGATGCTTCTCAGTGTCCATCTGTGAGGGTAATCACAATCCTCGACATTTTCGCCTGCCGCTTAGCACGTTTGATCGAACCGGCGTCATGCGTTCGTATCGCTGCCCAGCCTAACCGATTTCCGACCACACTTGAGGGATGAATGCAAGCGGGACGAAGGGTTAAGAAGGTATTCCCCAGATGGTAAATTCACGCCGCTATAATTACCCTCGAAATATTATATTCTAATTGACTGTTTAGATATTGCTCGCAGTTTCTGCTTGTTACCTCTAAGCATAGAGGACTTCGACATTGATTTCAGCTGCAAGCCTCCTTCTAACGACTGCTATTCTCCTGCCATCGTGACAAAAGGTGAGGAGGATAGTTTGAGCTTGCGCCTGCGTGATTTTTCTCAGCAAATGATATATCGCGATGTCGGAGAAGCTCTATTGGAACGCGACCTTTTCTGACCTTGGAATCCGGACAAAAAGCTCAATGTCTCTTTCTGCCACGGTTAACCAAAGTTTTCGTCAACTTTTTACCAGTCACGCACTCCGGAGAATGTTTACATGAGAGGGCCCCAGAGACCTAGATGACTCGGAATGCGAAGAAGACAATGTCGTCATGAAGGAGCCATTGCGGCCTGGATACGTACAGCTCCCTGCTGAAGACAGCCAACACCGGTTTTTCGGTCTCAAGTTATCGCGAAACTTGCCAACGACCTCCTTCCCGCTGGCCGGGCGTCTCTCCAAATGGCGAAGCTGAAATTTATGGAATTGACGATGCCTGGTTATGCGGATTATGCGCATTTGCATCGGCTTAGTTGCGACAGGACGAGAACTGCGAAGATCACCTGGGAAAATTGTGAACACTGGGACCTCCCACTGAAGGTCAACTGGTGAAGTGTGGAGGTCAAGGGTGGGCCTTATCGTTCGCCGCCTTTGATACGTCACTCGTATTCTCAAGCCTTCACCTCTTCCATTCTTTTCATCGTTCTTCTTTTTTCAGAATACCCTTGTATCCCTCAACCTTTCCACCATGGCGTCAGACCTAGATCAGCTCATTGAAATGGGTTTCGACAAAGAACGCGCTCAAATCGCGGTCACGAAAACAGGCGGCTGTAAGCTTCCACTCTTCGCCGTGCTGCTGAACAGATGACTGACAAACCAAACAGTACAGGGTGCTTTACAGTGGCTCGAAGATAATCAGGAAAAGTCGTTAGAGGAAATTCAAGCTCAGGCCGAAGGGGAAGAGGAGGATGGCCCCGCACTTCAACCCGGCGAAGCCCCACGCAGCTTGGTCTGCAACGATTGTGGCAAGAAGTTCCGAAGCACCGCACAGGCCGAATTCCATGCATCCAAGTCTCAGCACGTTGATTTCTCAGAGTCCACGGAGGAGATCGCGCCCTTGACCGAGGAGCAGAAGAAGGACCGACTGGCAGAGCTCCGGGAGAAACTTGCGGCAAAGCGGGCAGGACAATCTGAGCAGGATAAAATTGACAAGAAGAACAATGAGGTATGCCTGTCACACTTGTCAGCTTGTGGCGAGATCTAGCTGCTGACTTCTTCACCAGAAAATCCGACAGAAGAGCACCAAAGAGAGTCAAGACGCCAAGGAGGAGCTCCAACGGAAACAAATGTTGAAGGAAGCGGCAGCCAAGAAGAAGGAGAAGCAGGATGATATTGATGCGAAGAAGCGCATCAAAGCAAAGATTGAGGCGGACAAGGAGGAAAGACGGCTAAAGGCTGAGCGTGAACGAGCTGAGCGAGCCGGAGTCGCTCCTCCCCCCATGCCTGCTGCTGCCCCAGCACCCGCTACTTCTGGCCCTGCTACCTCCAAGCCAGCTTCCGCATACACAGAAACCCGCTTGCGATTTCAATCCCCCAAGGGTAACATCATGAAGACCCTCCCCGTAGGCACCACGCTGTTCGAGGTTGCCGCAGCGCTGAAGGAACAGGATGGAATTGAAGTCCAGAGCTTTGTTCAGACCTTCCCCAAGAAGGTGTTTGACGCAGAATTCTTTGGCGAGACTTTGAAGGAGTTGGGACTTGTTCCCAGCGCCTCTTTAGTCGTTCAATAATGCCACTACCTCGGCTTCGGGATGATTAACTCCAACACCACGAGAACTGATATGGAACCACGCCTGGTGAATTTAAGGACTAAATACTAGCTATAAAATCTATGATCGACCTATATTCACCCTGTTATTCGTAGTTTTTGTTCTTTCTCTTCTCGTTATCTTATCTTATCGGCACGTGATATCGTGATCGAGCCGCGTCTCGGTGCCTGGAAAGACGCGATCAAATCATCTCGTACAACAGACTCGACATCGTTTACGAAACATGCCAGCGTGAGATCAATCCCCTAGCTCTCAAGTTCATGCAAATTTCCCATGAATTCAGGAACTGATAGCCATTTCCTCAGTGTTGGTGATCAGCATCGCGGTAGTCCGGCGAACATCATAATGCCAAACACAGCAGGCGCCGCGACAGCGAACCCCTTCGAAGAGCCCCAACGCCGCATCAATGAATACACCGCGCAGGAGATTGCAACGCTACAATCACGTCTCGACAAGAAATTAGGACCGGAGTACATCTCGGCACGACCTGGTGCCGCGGGGCAGAAAGTCCACTACCTAGCAGCAGACAAATGTATCAACCTCGCGAATGAGGTGTTTGGATTTAACGGCTGGTCCAGCTCTATCCAGACTATTCAGATCGATTTTGTGTGTTATCCTCGGATTGAATCGTGAGGAAGGGACTGGCTAACGACTATCAACTAGGTCGAAGAGAATCCAAACACTGGCAAAATCAGCTTAGGTCTTTCAGTGATTATGAGGGTCACTCTTAGGGATGGAACTTTCCACGAGGTATGGCAACCCATGTGGAAATGGCGGATTTGAATTATCACCAGTGTTAACTGCCTCCTTCAGGATATCGGCTATGGACATATCGAGAACTGCAAGGGCAAGGCCGCGGCTTTTGAGAAGGCGAAGAAAGAAGGCACAACAGATTCCTTAAAACGTACACTGAGGACCTTCGGCAATGTGTTGGGTAACTGCGTTTATGACAAGGACTATGTATCCAAAGTGACCAGGGTGAAGGCAGCTCCGGTAAGATTCATGATGCCCTCTAAGGTCTGTTTCCTACTGACTTTCGAACTAGGCAAAATGGGATGTTGAAGATCTCCACCGTCATCCTGACTTCGCTCCGCCTGCCAAAAAAGAACAACCCCCACCTCCACCCAAGCGCGTATCTGAGGATGATGATTTACCCCTTCCTCGTCCTGCAAATCAAGCTAGGAGCAATCATATAGCAAATCATATTCCTACTGATGGTGATGGGGAATTTGGAAGTATGTTCAAGCAACCTCGAGCCCATGACTTGGCTAACCAATCTAGGTGACCTCTTTGATGAAGCGGATTTTGGGGTGCCTGATTCAGGCAATCCAGACGAGATAGTAATAGACACAGAGCCTACACGACAACAGCCGCCTGCCCCTACAACAGGTCCAGTCCCCCAACGAGGGCCGCCTCTGCGAGGAGGATTCAACCCGGCTGTCGTCACACCTTCAAAACCAGAGCGGTGGAACGGTTCAGGTCCGGCAGGACGGCCAGTCCCACCAACTGCAGCAAATGGTCGTCCAGTGTCCGGCCAAAACCCCGCTCAAACCATTCAAAATTCTAGACCTCCAGTCCCACCACCACAACACGCTGGCCCAAACGGACAGGCAAATAACATCGCGCAACCTCCAATCAAGAGGGAATCCTTTCCAGGGCCAAATCAAGAAATGAACCCGCCACAAGGCACACCATCAGGGGGATTCTACTCAGCCAGGGCAGTGGACCTCCTCCGCGACAACCCAAACGGCGCATTAGACGCGCCCCAATTTGATCCACGCGCGGAGAGTCCATCGATCCGCAAAACAGCCGGCGTGGATCATACCAAGAGCGTTCCCATCTCCAGACCCATGCTCTCCAACGCCTCTCCCGCACCCACCAACCCGGCAACTGATCTCCAACGCAAAGTCGGTGCTCCAGGTGCCGGATTCGGCAGCCCAGTTAGCAGAGGCCCATCTGTTTCATCTTACCGTCCCTTAACCAGACCTAATCCCGGTGCCAATCCCACAGCCATGAATCGAGGCAGCGTTCCCCCACAGAACCTTAATGGAAAACGGCCTCCTCTGAACGACGTCACAAATGCCAATGCCTCGCCAGGCGCCAATCATGGGCCCCCAGCCCCCGGTCTAAATGAACCAAAGCGACCTCGCGTCTCGGACGCTGAGTCTTCTGGCCCCGATCCGCCACCCCAGTAATGAATATCATGTCTGCACCCGAAGAAGGGTGGATCACTGCGCAATTCTCAAGCACAAGCACAAGCGTTTCTCTTTTGTTTTCGATATTTTTGCGATTCAGGCCCGCAGTGTCATTGCACGTTTGCCATGGCCGGGCAGGATGGTGGCGTTTACCTTTACTTTAGGTATCTTCAAATAGGTGAATTTTTAGGATCCCATGATGGATTAAGTTACATGGTCTATCTAGGTGCATATTGGAACCTTGCTTTCCTGGGGATTGTTTTTATTTTTGCTACTTTAAAACGATGAAGTATGCTTAACTGCAGCATAGGCTGTTCGAGAATTTATTGTCAATCCAGATTTCAACCCAGAAAACGATTCCTATGAAAATAGGGGAAATCGATGTGCACAGAGTGCTATAAAGTATAAGACGGTCTACTTGTGAAAGCCTCGAAGGCGGCGTACAATTTTAGGCACAATTTTAGCCCTACTTCAGCCCTCTTTCTGTGCCTCCATTTTGCCCATTTCCGGTGCCTCGAGTAGGATAATGATATCATATAAAGGTCAGGGCGTGAAAGTCGCCTGTTGTAGTGTCAAGTGATTTTGCATAATGACGGTGACATATCCAATTGCCTTGGGAACATGGCTGCCTGGACGATGTATTTGTCTATTCCGGTCAGTAGAGAGTACTAACAAGTTCCAGCCAAGCTTGAGATTTGTAGCATTTCAATCAAGGAACTCATGGATGCTGGAACACGGCACTCAGTTGCATGATTTAAGATAGTATGTAACAACGTTCGGCTTCTCGGTGGCTCGTGTCGAGAGTGGGCGAATCACCTGCAGCTTAACGGTCAACGAATAGACGTGTAGAGAACCATTATCGGCGGTGGTAAAAAAGGATAAAACTAAAAATCAAAATCAAGCACACGAACAACAGAAAAGCAACATTTTTTTCTCTTTTTTTCTTCTCTTTTTTCCCCCTTTTTTTTTTTAATTTACCTTGCATCGACAGTTCATCAAAAATAGTCTGACCCTAATCCGACACAAAGAACCCGCAAAGAATGCGTCTCCCACAGGCATGGCTTCCGGCAAGTCGGCGATCCCTCCCCCCAAGCCTCCCTCATCGCCTTCCCCCATGCCCAGCCAAAAGGCCCCCAAAGCTTCACTTTAGATGCGGGTGTCCCGAGGTCCTGGGTTGGGGTCGATCCGCGGAACCTACTGTGGGGCTCCGCGCTTGATATCCTCTCGGCTGGGCCCTGGGCTTTCGGCACTTTGCATTTAGGTCAGTGCCTCACCAGAGAATTCGAATATGTTGTCAATCTGCTATTGGACAGGGTTTGCGTGGTACTTTTGTCTTATGGGATCCTTCTCTTCCGGGCGGATCGTATGGATCACGGAAGTGGCAGAAAGGGCAGATATGGGAGAGATGGCGCTCTTGCATATGTCTAATTTCTTTAATTTCTAAAATAAACCCTATAAGCTAGCTCACGAGGAAGGTGATTGATCCGCCTTTGAGGAATCGATCCAGCCAGGAGCACCGGGTGCCCGGGTGCTGCGCTTGTGAATATTCAAGTGACCGGGGTCTTGCCCTCAGGCATGAGCAGAATATTCCCTGCAAAGAGGAACTTCAATGACATGGTGGTCAAGGCTTTGACGAAGGAGTGATTGTTGGAATATTTAAGATGGTGCCTATGCGACTCTCGCCTTCCCTTCCTTTTCAGACTCAGTCTTGCTCTCGCGAAAGTCCAGTCATTATGAATATCGCTTACAAAATGGCTACACTTTTTGCCTCCATTTCTACAGACATCAACAGAACGAGCCTCATCATCATTGGCGTTGTGGCTTCTATTTTGACATTGGCTCTTTTATACTTGATGATTACTCGCCAATCTCCTGCCAGGAATGACTTTGTACGACCCCCAAGTCAAACCCTTCAAACATGAATTAACTTTAGCAGGAGCACTTGACTCCTATTGGAAAGTGGGAAAGATCCTTTGGTTTGGATATCCAGCAACCAAGAAGACGGAGGACGCATGGCTTCGATGGTACTGAACACTCCCTGGCAGTGTACATCTTCACTGACCGGATTCTCTACAGATGCATGATGGAATAGATCATTTGGATATTTGAGAGCATGGAAGACATGTGTCAAGCAATGTACACGAACAGGCTACAGGTTATGAGATTTGAGATGTATCAATTTGAAGTATTGTGCACGTAGCGTTTCCGAGGATACATGTCCATCATTTAGCCTATATTACGACCCACCGTCTTCCACTGTGGTGGTACAACAGGAACCGTTCATGAGAAATTTCAAGGTCGTGAAGTATACAGCCCCTATATGAGAACCTGGCTTGAAGCGAGGTATACTTATTATTCCAGCCCTTATTTGACAGCTCTTTTGTTCACCTCGTTTTGCCCTATTTCGAGCCTTCAGGCTGGTTGTCTTGACTGTAAAAGAAATGGAGATGTGTAAAGGGAGGATTGAATACCTATGACTCCATGTTACAAGGATGACGTCTGACCTGTAATCCACACCGCTGTTTTTTTTTTTTTTCGACAGAGGATGGCGCGGTCAAGTTTGAGCTCGACTGACTACGCCAGTCTCGACAGATTCCGAGCCGGGTCCGAACAACATTTGGATCTGCCGGAAGTTGGTCCCCGGAGCACGATATATGAACCGTTACCCAAGGCGTGGTAGACCTGCATATTGGCGACCGGGGAACAAATTCCTAGATCCGTAGATAATGTAGACGATCGGACAAAAGGACGATATGATGGAACTGGAACATGCAGTCCACGGATTGAGAGTCCCGATCTGGCCAAATAAATGCTAAGCGGATAAAGGAAAGACAAGAGATAAAAGCAAAAGAGCGAGTGTTTGTGCAATTGTTTGCGCTTTCCGCCAGCAAATCGGATGCACAGAAATATGCGATACGTTACGAAAGAACCCCCCGATGATCGCCGCTGACAAAAGTACCTGCCCGTTCAGGCATTTCTTATGCAGCCCGGGTCGAAATTATGATGATGCACTCGAACGCCCGTTCCTATGTGATCTATCGGGGTTGCACCTGCATACGTTGCGACCAGTTTCATCCATAGTTGACCCAGTTTCCCTTAGCCTCGCTTTTCCAGGTCGGCTCATCCCATCCCATCCTATCACGTTTAATCTTTTACCCTGCATGCTGCATATTCTCCTATGTTCATTGCGTTCCACCGGCCCAAATAGACACGTTCTCCAGACCCACCGCAGGAAATCATATGAGACACGTACCTTGACTTCCATCCCGGCAGTTCCCCTGGGTCCGAACCCTGGAACCATAAAGTCTGGACCCAGAGAGTCAGATACCATCGGTTCCTGCAGATCACGTACAAATGTCACGGAAAGATTGAAAGAAGCCGCACCAATCAATCTGTCTTTTGATGATGTGGATATGTGACGTAGGTGGTTTATTATGGGTAATGTTGTACATCGTCCTTAGTTGAGGGAAGTAGGTTGTGGTGTCCAAGTACAGGGTGCAATTATAGATCATCTACAGTACGAGATATACAAGGTTGGATGCTACACTCTGCTTACAACTGGATGAACACCTGACTCTAGCGAGCCTGGAGTACTACAGTCTACATCTACTCGGAGAGGAAGATTCACGACGCAGAACTTAGCATCATTAAGCTTGCTGTTATGACAAAATCAGATGAAAAACATGGCCCCCTCAACTCTGACAACTTGCAACTGAAGATAGTGATTCTTTCGAGATACAACAATGGGGGATGATGGCTCAAACTGACAGCAAGGTTCACATTATGGGGACCGACACTAGGGAACGACCCTAGTGAGGGCAGACATTGAGCAGGTGAAATTAAACTGACAAGCAAGCCACCTGGATTTTGCGGTTTGTATGTTATTTTTTTTCTTACATTTTCATATTTTCTGACGATTATTCATGATAAGAATAAAGAGGAGTGGAGATTATGAAAATGGCTTGACTGGACGTATCGTAAATACGCAGTAGATGCGGCACATGCGTGTTTTGAGCACAATGTCAAATATGCATATGTTGGTGAGATAGAGTTCACTTCCGAGGGGTGAACGGAGCAGGGCCCAAAGTAGACACCTTGCGCACCGCTTTGTCGGCAGACTTGGCCACTGGTGTGGGGGAAAATCCAGGCAACATGGGACCGGGACCGGGGCCAATGATGCGAGGAGCCGCGGGAGACAAAAGCTGCTCACGCGAGAAGGTCAGGTTGCTCAGGCGGTTCAAAGCGTTTGAGTTGGAGCTCCCAGGGGTAATGTTTGCAGACCAGTTCTCTGCCCGGAGAGGCATTCGGGCAACTGGCTGCTGGGAAGAAATTGGAGGAGTTGTAGCTCCATGGCCATTTCGAAATGTGGTGGGCTCAAACACAGATGGGACAGGCCCGATTGTGCGTACTCCAGTTGATATCACAGGCTGGGTAACGTTAGAAGTGCTTTCACTCGGCACTCTGGCAGAAGGACGGGGGCGTGATGCCATGGCTTCGGATTGCAAAGGCAGACCGGGAGGTCGGAATGGCGCACCGAGACCTGGGGGGCGAGAAGGCGCACGTTGAGTACGCGATGCGACTTTGCTGGTAATATCATGGGGAATTGACTTGGCCGCTGCGAAAAAGGGCTTCTTTTTGGCCGGCTTAGCCAGAGTGACAGGTGGCTCAGAGGCGTATCTGGAACTGAGAAGCCCTGTGAGCTTGGTAGAAACACCGGAGGAGCGAGAAGTGACAGGAGCAGGCGTCTGAAGAGACTTAAGGACTTCGACACGCTTAGTAGATTCAATGGGGTTGAAAGGGTCCAGGCGTCTGGTGAGCTCAATCTTGGCAGACTCGCGAGGCATGTTCTGTTCGAAGGAATTGGTAAACTCGCGAGGCCTCATCATTTCGACAAGCTTGGTAAAAGCGATAGGCTGGACATCCATCTCTGAGTATTCGCTCTTGTGGGGCGATAGTCCTGGGACGGGAATCCGAGTCGATTGCTTCTGATCCACAGACCCAGGCGAGGAGCCATGAGGCGAACGATGTTTCTCGAAGCTCGAACCTTCAGCTGCATCGTTAGCCTTGGACAACCACATCTCCAAGTGGGACATGTCGCGAGTTGGAGTAGAGATACCCGTCAGAAGCTTTTGGGAGCTATCGGTCCCCAGATCTTGAGCAATGGTTGGAGCCTCCGAGTGAGAAGATGTGGGCAAGTAGGGAACGTTGTGGTCTTTTGTGTAGTCATTAATGGCGGAGCGCACACTTTTGTTCACAGCTTTGCTCACGATGTCAATAAATTCTTGCTCAGACTTTCCACGAGTGGAGATCAAATCATGGAAACCCAGTTCACTCCGTTGGCTTTCTGCATCGGCAGAGACATCAATGGAAGATACTGATGGGGCGGAGAGTACAAGTGCGACCATATCTAGTCCTTGAAGAACAGCAGCATTGGGGCTGGTAAAGGAAGCTTGTCCAGGGGGTGTTGTCCATTCCAAGTTGATAAGATCGTTGTCTGGGGTGTAAGAAGGAACGGAATCTGTCTGGGTAGATGTCTTGGTCATGACAGGACCCTCATGAAGGTCTTGACCTGAAGCTCGATGCTTGGCAGCCTGTGCTTCGCCAGAAGGTAATTTCTGCACATCCTTTGTGATCTGAGGAGGCCGGGTAGCAGAGGGTGCTTTCTTGACCGCAGCGGACACAAGCGACAGAGCGCCCTTCTTTCGTGGGTATTCATCCGCGGTAATCTTCCATTTAAGATCTTCAACATGGGTAGAAGTGCCAGTCTCGCCAATGGGGGACTTTGCGGTATTCTTGGAAGTTTGAACAGGATCCTTTGATTTCGAAACTGCAGCAGTCTGAGGGCGAGGGACGGTCCGGGACAGCGTTGGGGTTTTAGGGGTCATCCGCTCGGCCAATGGCTGATCTTTGTAATGCGCCTTCATGTGAGGGGGCACAGGAAAGGAAGTTGGTGGCTCTGGCATGGTCACCCTGCGAGCTTTGGTTGTTGACAGGGAGGACATAACGAATGGCAGTGGTTGCTCGTGGGATGTTGTCTCCACAGGAGTGGAGAGAGTCATGGCAGCGGGAAGCTTTGGCATGGCAACGGTGCGAGCTTCCATTATTGACAGGAAGGACTTGGAGTCTGAAAGTGCGCTCGACATATCCGGACTGGGAAAGACGTTAGCATAGAAAGGCAGCGAAGGCAATAAACATACATTGGTCGCTGCGGACGGGAGGACCGACGAGGCATGGGACATTGACGGGGTATTGCCCTCACACGTCCTCGATCAACACCGCGGCTCTGGCCACATCCACGACCGTGGGCGTGTGGTTCAATGTCATTGTTGTTGATACTCAAGGCAGGATCCAGTCGCGATCCCACAGTCATTGAAACAGACCGGTGGTTGTTGTTAGTCTTGACAATGCCTCCATATTGAGATGTGCGAGACCTGTCTTCCGGTTAGTTTGTATGGTTATGAAAGAAAGGGCATTGCTTACTTTAGAGGAGAGGGATCATAAGAACCACGGCGATTTGTTCCAGCACGGCCACCACCACGGCCCAGAGAGATCGCGGAGGCAGGGTGGTTCTTGATGGGTCGGGGGCTGTTGGAATGCAAGTCCGACAGCTGGGGCATAGGGCGACGGCGGCCAGCAAAATGGTCATGCAGAGCACGGCGGTGGGACTGCCCATCATTGATGTCGTCCAACTCCTCCATACTATCGGTGTCTGTGACGGTTGTGTGATAGTCTGTAAAGCCGAAATTAGTTAAAATTCCCACAATCATTGATTGAACACGCACTCGACCAAGCGCTCAGGTTGTTCTTGTTGGCCTGAGCCAATTGGTAGGTAAATGTGCCTGGCTTGTCGCACTCTCTGTCGACACCACTCTGGCCCCGCGGGGGGCCCCGGTTGCGAGTAATATCGTGGGTTGTGATCACCTCACGACGGAATGTGCCTAGGTCGGCCTATTGAAGCTTCAGTTAGCATTTGCACTGATAAAGGGGTGTTCGGGAGTGAGCGTAAAGTGAGATTAGTACCATTTGCAGAGCCTTGAGCCTTTCGAGACGCTTCAAGTCCTCGGGGCTTTTGTTCATGTTGCTGTTGGCCATCTTGCAGTGTTGACCGTGTCAACCAGCGCAAAGGCAAAGAGTGTATTGACTTGTTTTTCCATCAACAGATACCTTATCTTGCTTTGCAAAACACACTGGAGATGAGAAGAGAGTAAGCTATGTCAAGGACAGACAGCCCCTCGTACCAGTAACGGTTGTGAGACGCCAAAAGGGAACAAAGAGATCACTCACAAGGCGGCAGGGGGTGGTGTGAGATTTTCCCACAGAAGGGGTTATCAGCTCAACACCGGGGTTCGAAACCCCAATCTTATGATCGAGGCGTGGCCCCTCGGTGGACTGGCACCCTTCGAAGTGAGAGAAGATTGAGGAATCGAATCTCGTGGCAGAGGGCAGGGGGATACTGAGAACAGGTACGGCACGTCCTTGCAAGATGTTGCAGCAGAAAAGCTCTGAGGGTGAAGAAGATCGTGAAGATGAATGTGAAAGAGAAAGCTGTAAAAAGACCAGTGGCACAAACAGCATGTGACCAAAGGGACCTTCCGTCCAAGAACTGATCAGTTGTGTCCGTCGTTCCTGCAGTCTGGAAATCAAGCAAAGCTTGGCCACGTGGGTGTGGCTGTTTGTGGTAATGAGGCACGTGTCTGACGAGTAGCCCGTGCCCTTCGAGGCTCTTTGAGATCTTACAGTAGCCTGGAATGTATATCATTTCTTCTGTATACTTCGTATACGTCACCCGCACGGTCATTGATGAGTGGGTAGACATTGCTTGAGAAGGGAGTCGAAGATGTAAGAGGAAGAGGTCGCTGGTGTTCGGGAAATACGCTTTCACCAGAGAGACTACTATGCGACTTCCCTACAGAGCACCCAAACGGGTGTGCGAAACACGAACACAAGTGACTAGGGTTCAACAGTCTTCCATTGGAACATTGCCTAATTCTAGTAACGAGCCCTCTATTTCTATGGTGCACTGCAGCTATGAGGATCCCCATCCTCTGCATAATATTAGCCAATGCTTCCAAATTCGAGAAAATGGGCTCTTTGCAAAATTGCTCAAAGACTGATTCGAAAAAACAACAAGACAGGAGGACTCACTTCTCATGATTTTCACGACGGCTTGTACCACGCTCACACCCATAACAACAATGCCAAACCCCACACACACATATGCCGGGATCTTTTCTCGTCGAGACGCACTGCTAAGCTTGATATAGCACAGCGGAGGGAATATGTATGCCAGAGCAGCAGCACTGGTGGCTCCAATGAGCTCAAAGACACTTCCGAGATCACAGGTTATCAGAGACAGCACCAATGAAGCCACGACTAAGGATGTCGTAAAGATGAGATGTCGATGAGGGTTGAACGGCTCGTCCGGGAAGTAGTAGGTTGTCATGACGGAACGGCAAACAAATGCCTCTAATGGCAGAGTAGTAAGCATGTTCAGACCAAAGCAACTGCCATCAGTTAGAAACCTCAATACTTCCGGGGTCAATTGGGGTTCATACAATCGCGCAATGTTAACAATGATGTTGTCAGACGGGAAGTTGTTCAAGACATTGCCTTGAGTCTTCGATCCGAAAGAAAGAAACCCGGCTATGCCCATTGCTAGGCACATGGCCAAGGACACTCCAGTCGAGTAATGTGTGACCCGAGTGAACCGGTCAAGAGTAGGTCTCTTCAGAGATCCATAAATAAGGAGGCTGTTGTGGTCTGCATCTAATTAGTCAATGCCGCACCAACAGGACAAGAGGTTTCATACGGCAAACAAACGCTGTAAAAAGTCAGTAGGCTATTCATTCATTGACAAATACAGCAACTTACCAAAGGAAATAACTCCGACGGCCTGGAAGAAACCAGAGTTGATGATGAGGTGGCTTTTGATATCTCCACGGGATTCAGATGGAACTCGGAAGCCTTGGGTGATTACTGTCACCACAATGACTATCATACTGACCAATGCCAAGGCAGAAGCTTTGGCCAACTATTTGTCTGTTAGGTTGATGGAAATAGAATGAGAAGATGATCTGACCTTGGCAATGTCTCTATACAGCGACAACGGATATGAAACACCCAGAACAAAAAGAACAATAACAGCACGGCGGTCTGTAAGAAGCCAGAGGAATGACATCTCTCGTAAAGATGGGAATAACGCTCCTAGCACGTGCGGAATGGTATCTCCAACGATAATGCAGAATGCCACCATGCCGCCAAATGCGAATGCCCACTGGGCAACAGAAATCGCAATGAGTCCGCTTTTCCCGAAGCAGTACTGCATGGTAGCTTGGAATGAGTCCGCGCCGCTCAATTTGGAGTTGATCACAATGAGGCGGATGGTCCAGTCCACAGTTATAGTCAAGGCAGTCAACAGCAATATACCCATCGTCAGACCTGCTTGACGAAGCGCATATGGCTGCCCAATAATTCCAGCTCCAATAATGCTGTTGGCCATGTTCATAAACGCCATCTTCATACCACTTCTCGGCCGCGCGTCCTCTAAATGATCTTCGGGGAAGAAGTCATCCGACGTCGCAAGTGTGACGCTAGGAGCTTCAATGTTTGTGAGAAGAGGTACTGATTGTCCATCATGGTGTGTTCCTTGACTGCCCCGATTCCCCAGCTCATAGTCCTCATCGTCCAGCCATAGAGCATCATCTGGACTGTGAACACGACCGTTCGGATGGTGATCGGCATCTTCGAGTTCTTCCTCCAAATCGAACCGAACACGATTCATAGTACGAGGCGTACGGCGCTGTCCATCTAGGACTGGTTGCGAAATTGAGGAATGCGGTGTCCGGTTCGCGTCGTCTGGTATCGAAGACGGGAGATGTCCGGTGTCGACTAGATCGTGCTCCTCATCTGATTGAGACAGAAGAGATTGTGCTTCATACACTTTCTGGCTTTCGCCAGGTAACCGATCCTCTGACCTTTCATCCCCTGGCATCGCTGACCGTAGATAGTTTCAAGGTGGTAGCTTTCAGGCCACCTGGATGGGGCGACACGTGATGGCCGATAACCGATGACCGATAAGCGACGAGATAAGAGCGGTTTCTTATGCAGGGGATACTATGGGGTACATTTGATAGACGCTAGCAAGTGCATAAAAATTTGCGATTTATGGATGAGTAGATGGTTACAGGCAAGAGATGTAACAAAAATATCGGGTGGTAGCCACACAACCATTACTATGCGTGAACATGGGGCCAAACAGCCTCTACACAATTGCAAGATGATAGAGCAGTGAATATTTACATTATATACCGATTTATGAAGTGCAAGATATTTTGACTTGTGTAATATGGTGAAAATCTAATTCATTGAATAGAAGCTTTTCTTTGAGAATGAAAGTGATATCCAAAATGTGTCTGTCGTCTTCCATGGGTGCTATGAGGGGCTGCGGGGCTCCAAAGCGGCCCGGCCCCAGAGGGAAAGGGAGGGTAATCACATGGCATAGTGTGTGTGACTTCAAAGATCAAATCTTTGAGGCCTGGTTCGGTCTAGGGGTTTTATGCAGTTCGCAATTTTGGAAATGCTGAAGTCATCTTGTTCTGATAAGATATGTATTTCGATAATATAAGCAACTTCGTAAGAAACACAGGACTAGGCCGACAATGGCCAGCTGAGATCTATTCTGACGCACCCAGCCATATCGGCTTTACCAACATACTAAATGGTATTTACTCTTTTGCATTCACCTTTTGTTTGCTCGAGTTCGTCAATTATTGGTGTTTGTTGGCAATCCCCGCTAGGACTTCATATCGTATGAAAGGATTTGAGCCATACGTAACACGACCGAGGGTTGAGAATAAGTAGATATAGCGATAGCGCAGATTATTTGATTACTTTGGAGCGGAGAAGTCTAGAAATCAGCACGCATTTGCCGATGGAATCCAGGGTGAGACCAAGTAACGAGGAAACGCAACGCAAGACATGAGGATTGGCTATTAACTAAAATATGAAGAGGATGGCCTGAATTGAGGGTTGTTTCCTTCCCAGTAGTGTTTCGGATTCGGGGTCAGCGTAGAACAATTTCCTTTCAGAGACCTGGATCCTCCAGCAACCCTTTGTTCCGACTAGACTCATATCCCACATTTCTCACTCACTTTCAAAATGCTGACCATAATTCCAACACCTGTCTGGGCAGAAGCCACGGCGACTCAAAAGGATTACTGGGACTCCGAGGTTGGTGATATCAGCGTCGTTTGCAGTATCATTCGCTTATAGCAACTAGACCTACGCGGCGGCTGCCTTGCGCCGAATTTTGTCGACACTCTCATCGACAGCGTCAAATTCAAGCCCACAGACCGTGTTCTTGATATTGGATAAGTAGACGGAATCTTAATTAGCAGACTTGCTCCGCAAATTGGATACGTGCTCGGCGTTGACTCGTCTTTATCAATGATAGAATCCGCCAAGAAGATGGACTACGGTTTCACAGCTACTGAATTCCGCGTTGCTGATTGCTGAGACTTGGAAGGCAATCCCGAGGTCGTAAATGGAAACTGGGACAAGGTGCAGGTCTCCCCGGGCTGATCCCATGGGATGACTGACATTAAAGTGCCTCGAACCCTGCCTTCCACTGGATATTGAATGACCCAGCTACCTGTTTCTCTAATCTGGAGGCTATTTTCAAGTCCATCAAGCCCGGAAGAGCGTTCTTCGAGATGTGCGGACACGGCAATGCAGCGAAGAAGATGACACTCTTTGATTTACTCTTGCGAACCAGGGAACTCCCATCGAAAAGGTAGAGGTAGCTTGCCCTTGGCTCTACTCATATGATACAAACATAAAGGACACACTGAAGATGTTAGATTCGAGATAAAGATGATTGGTCTGAAGTCGGAAGCCCACCCAGTGGCTAGCGCTGGAATGGAGGAATTCATGAGACCCATCCCAGCCTAAATGATGGATCTCTTGGGTACCAAGGAGGAGAAGGATAAGGTCATCGAGCAAACTGTTTGAATGACTTGATATGGCACAGCCCGGGAGGACGGAACCCAGTGGATTAGCCCACTGGCTTGAGATGCATTGCTGTTAAGCCCTGATTAGAATCAATTTTGATGCCCATGTCAAGCTTGAAGTCAATATTTACAGATTTACTTAGCATTTACAAGAACTGGATAACTTTGGGAATATGTTGATGTTCCTGTCCAAATCAGGAACATCATGTGCCTAACCACAGGTTGATCTGCTGGTTGTTTCCGCTCAAACGGTCTTCATTGCGAAATATTGACAAAGACGGTTTCAGGTTTTGGCCGTGTACCACAGCGTTGAGACACTTTCGACATGACACAGAAAGTCGACTTGGGCCGAAGCCTGCTGCGAGTCCATGACTCGCAATTGCAACTGAGCTTGACCACCTTCGCACAATTTAGTCAGTCTCCGAGTCACGGTACTACCACCCTATCGCCAGAGTCAAAACTCCAGGATATCTGGATGACTGAAGCACCCGAGCTGGAATTGCGATTCTTCATTGGCAGTAATGGGGTCTCAGTCTCGGATGATGCGGTGGCCTCTTTCGTCTCAAGGCTGGAGCCACGACTTTGTGGTCTGAATGTAAGCTCGTGAGGGGATGTTTCTCATTATTTATTGACCATTGTTCTTTAGATCTGGTCGGATGTCGGCTTCTCTGCTAGGCTCGAGACGGAGGAACGCAAAGGTGCAGATCTCGGGAATAGTAACAACCCTGGGCCTCATTCTATCAAGCTCGGCTTGCGCAGAGTCCCTGGTAGAACAATCCACAGGAGACGTTGTACGTTGCCCGTCATGATGATCAATGCCCCCAACGCATGTCCTCCGCCTGGGATACCGGCACTTATCCTGACCTCCCTTGACATCCGCCTAGAGTATGGTTCTCATGCTGAGAACGCGAGCCATCCACAACACTCCAATTTTGATACAGATCTCTCTGAGCAAGATCTGTCGATTTTTGCCGTGATACAAGCTCTCGACGAAACAATGGACCACATCATTCCTGCATCGGAGTCTGACAATCCTATGTCTCGAGCAACACAAGGTGAGACCTTGTTTCAATTTTCCAGGACGCACACTTCACAGAGGGGCTTTCTACGGTTGTTTGACTTTGGGATACAACAGCTGGTCATCTCCAACACTATCAAGGATTCCGCTTGTTACATTTCAAACCAATCTACAAGAAAAAGCTTATCTACCCTAGTTCCTGGGGTGTTCAATCCGGCATATCGAGAAGTGAGTTATTTCTATTGCCACGTGTAGCCCACCAGCTAATTGTATCTAGGCCATGAACCAACGAGCAGTGTCAATCCCGAGCATTACAAAATCTATTTCATCCATGATCAAGGAAAGTGATAATAATACCATCCGAGAAAAAGCAACAGACCTGCTACATACCGAATTATCAAATTCGGATGACTTTGCGATAAACGCGGATTCTGCGAGTTTCAGATCTGCAATCCATTCCTCCCTCTGGAGAATTGCGCAGGAGGATCTTCGCAAACACACAATTTCGATGAGGAGAATATGGGTATCTCCCACAGATGTCTTGCCACTAGAAATAGGGCCAGAGGATTCAACGGGTGCCTCGATTACACACTCTCAGCAGCCTAGCGTTGAGTTCCCCATTCCAAGCCATATTCTCGATACACACCCAAGGAAGGTGGACAACATAGGGGATGAATGGATATTGGATGAAACCGATCTCGAAAGTGATTTTGAGGCCCTTTCTATAGGGCATGACAGCGAGACAAGCCCAGACACCAGTAATAACACTCAAACTTCCCTGGACGGTTCATACTCCACCATTGAATCTTCTCAACCTCTTCGCACGAAAGATGACATGTTGTTTGATCATGAACATGGAGATATATTTAGCGACTCACATGCCGTAGTGGGACATGATCATTCCTGGGAAGTTGCGGAATATATTGGCTCTCCCGATTCTGATGTTATGCTGGAGGATTTCTTTTAGATTATTGTATTACGTGTCCTCTTGTTCATTTAATACTGACCAAATTTTGATCTCAGAGTGGTTGAAGTATCCGAATCCAACTGTCCATGGCTGCTTGAGAGCGGCATTAGATCCATTGATGCAGTGACCCCAAGAGCCACGCTAAACCCCATTAGGTTACTCCACAAATATCATGCTGCATCAATCCACTGACCTCGTCTACTTCTTCTTTTCCCTTCAGAAACACGTCTCATGTCCAAAAATGACCTCTACGAAACCTCCCGACAAGATATTTCCTATCACAACATTTTTATCAAACTTACCAATCAATCTTATACAGCAACCTCTTCAATCATCTCGTGGAAATGGTCCCAGTGGACGCCTTGTCATCATCGGCGATGTACACGGAATGAGACAATCCCTGGAAGCACTGCTTGATAAAGTCAGCTTCAACAAAAGCAATGGAGATCATCTCATACTAGTTGGCGACCTTGTCAACAAAGGGCCCGATAGCCCTGGTGTTGTTGATCTGGCCATAAAACTAGGAGCCAGCGCAGTGCGAGGCAACCACGAAAATGCAGTTCTTAATGCAGTGAGCGAGATTAACAACATGTGGGATAGTCGGGAAAGTCAACTACATCCCAACGACTTGAGTGACGGTCCAGCTGCACCTGAGAACTCTGACACCAACCCCGTTGGGAATCCTGTCCGTGCCAAATACAACTCTGGGGCGCCCGAGATTAAGATGAGAGCAAGCCCCGCAACACAGAGCACAGCAATGGCCCTTTCAAAGCATCATCTTGAGTGGCTTGCTTCTTTACCTTTGATCTTGCGCATCGATTTACCTCATAATCTGACATCATCCCTTGGCTACACTCTAATTGTCGCTCATGCAGGCCTCGTTCCTGGCATCACACTGGAAGAGCAGGACCCACATGCTGTAATGCATGTACGGAGCCTGGTCAATGAAAGTGGCAATGAATATAGATTTACCCCGACAGAAACTTTCGGAGAAGAAAGCTGGGCTGTGGAGTGGGATCGCTGGCAAGAAAGCCTAGCGTCCAAGACAACTGTAATATTTGGGCACGATGCAAGGCGTCGTCTGCAGCTGGGGAAATATACAATTGGACTGGACTCAGCGTGTTTATACGGCAATCAATTAAGCGCTGTTGTGTTTGAGGCTCGTGATCGGAGACTTTATCATGAAATTGTTCAAGTTGAATGTGCAGATACACCTGTGACACCAACGGTGCCTGCCAAAGAAGGCGAATCAAACACAGATAAGACGGAAGAGCACGTGTAGTAGAAGCTATTTAGCTTGAGATCTGTTTTCTTTCTCTCGTCTCTCTGGCTCTAGATCCTTTTTTGTGGATCATAAATGTGTTCTAAGGCTCGTACCAAGGCTCGTACCAAGGCTCGTACCAATGGCCTTGACGAAGTCTCCATGAGGTTAGCGTCGCTCGTACTGCCATGTCTGCATACAGACTACACAGACTTGAGAAGATCAGCTTTGACCATATATACATAGAATCTCTATGAAAGAACTCATTATTATGAAAACGTCATTGAGAAAAGTAGTCATTCCCGAAGCGAGAAACAAGATTGTTAACAACACGTCCATGGTCCAACCCAAATGAAATCCTTCAAACGTCCCAGTTTTCAAATTGAATGCCATATCAAAATTTTCTGTCCTAAGCGGATGATAGGTTCCTATCCGAAGAAGAGCCAGGTCAGTAAGCGGGCCATGAAGGAAGGCTATGTCAAAAAAACCCCAACTCACATCAATCCCGTAGATTTAATTATTATCCACATCGCTCGCTACGACCCTGGTGGCTCTGGTTGCCCTGGTAGATCTGGTTGCTTTGGTGGCTCTGTTTGCGCCGGTGGCCCTGGCTACCAGGACCATTCTGGGGGATCTGTTGGCCCTGGTGGCTCTGATTGTCCTGATGACTTTGGTTCTCACGGTGGCTCTGGTTGCCCTGGTAGGTCCGGCCGCTCTGGTGGCTCTGATTGCGCCGATGGCCCTGGCTATCCTGGACACTCTGGTCGTCCCGATGACTCTCGCTTCCCTGGAGGCTCCGATTGCCCTGGTGGCTCTGGTGGCTCAGGAGGGTTTCGCGGCTCTCGTTGGCCTCGCTAAGAAGAAAAGAGGCCCAATTTGGGGAAGAGGCCCGAGATGACCCCCAGGCGGTCACATTTGTGCAGCTTGCCAGTGCCAAGATTCTCTGACTAGGCTGGTAGATACAGAAGAAGCTCTCGTCTATGTGGCGAGCATTTGCACCTGCATACCTGCGGTACTCTTGGATGATGTCGGCAGGGTCCCAGCCTTGAATACGTCTGAAGCAGCCAACGATAGCTCCTGTGGCATGCTAGGAAGGGTTGGTCATTTAATCAATATTGCTCTGGTGGTAAAGTGTGAGAGGGCTCACCTTTCCATTATCCCCGTGTATGAGGATGGGATGGTTTTTTGTATCGATGATGGAGGTGAGGATCCTGTCAACCTCATCGTTGGTAACTCTCTCTTTTTCGAGGGTTCGATGGGGCCAAAGATTGTCTGGGCGGGGGTGGTCTCGAGGCATAGGAGGCTGCAAAATGCGAACTCTGTGATCGAAGAAGTATCTTGCCTCAGCTTGCTCGTATCCTTTGTCTGTAAGCTTGCTGTGCCCTTTTATCAGCATGATCGTCTATCTGGATTCGGGGTTGTCGTCAGTGTACTGACATGATGGTGCGAATGCCACGCAAGTTCTGGTGATGGTGCTCAAGATCAGGGAACCCCGAGCGGTACACTCCATGAACGACTTGGCCAAAATCGTTGTTCGCTCTGGGCACTGACATTTCGGAGTTGTGGCAAGTTTTTGCCTCGATATGCACAACTAGATCCAAAAGAGGCACCCAGAAGGTTAGTGACGTGGGGATGGGAAGATCGAAAGCTCTAAAGCTCGAAGGGTGGAGAGAAGAAGAGGAAGGACAGGCGAGATATGAAAGTGGCCAAATTTATAGCCGAGCAATGGTAGACAAGGCAAACAAACAGACACAAGTAAAAGTAAGGATTACATTATTCGGATTGTTCTCTTCACCGTCAGGCAATCAATGCTCTATTGACCTATTCAAGCGTAGCTAGTGTTGCCACTACTCTTGATCCCTTCCCCCCGGGTCAAGCAATTATATGCATAACAAGGCAAAGCCAGCCGACTCAGCTGCTGCCACCATATGGAAGCAGCACTGAGATATCTCGAGTCAAGCTGTATCGTGGTTATACCAGATATGAGGAATTAGCGACTAGCTACTGGAGCCAATCATGAGAAAAAGAGGAAGCGAGCATTAGGAAGGGGAAGCAAAAGGTATCATCATCTTCAGCCTGCACTCAATCATCCGAGTCAGTTTCTCAGCTCCGCAGCCTTGCACGTTGCGGAAGCGTTCGACATCTGTTACTCAGATCAATGTTCTAAAGCACTATATGTGCAAAGATGAAGATGAAGGCGTAAAGCCCGGTGTATAATTTATATCAAACTAGCGATAGAAGCCTCTAATTCTAGTTTATGTTCAATAGACAGCGATTAGTCCAACTTCTCACCCAATCCAAACATGCGAATGGAGTTATTCCACGCCCTATCAAGAAATCATTAGTAAGAAGAACCAAACACCAGAATTCAGTCGCAACTTACGCTTCGCAAACTTCCTCCACAGTAACTCCTTTGATACTGGCAATAACATGGGCAACACGAGCAATAGCAATAGGCTCGTTACGGCCCTTGACCATGCAACCCTTCTGCCACTTTTCCTTCTTAACAGCCTTGGGCAAATCGGGGGCACCCTCGAGGTGCTTCGCGGAAGCATGGGAAGGACGAATCTCACACTAAAAGAAAGCAAATCAGCCGCACAAAGCCCAGTCCGGAATTGAGGATATACATACCCAAGGCCCATCAGTCTCAATCTGCAACCGATCAAGCGGAATAGCCTTAACAACCTCCAAATTCTCCTCCGTCTTCAAAGAACACCCATTAACACCAACATCTAAGCCCAGAGCAACCATGCGATGCATCTCCTCAAGGGTTCCAGTAAAACTATGCACAAGACCACGCTTCGGCAGACGCGCCATCCGCGGCGCAAGAAGTCGCTCAAAGTCTTCACTGGCAGCACGGGAATGCAAGAAAAGCGGCAACTGAATCTCAACAGCGAGGTCGAGCTGAGCCTCGAAGTATTTCAGTTGCGGTGCCTTTTCGCTGAGGAATAGTCTGTCGTAGTCGAGACCGATTTCGCCGAAGGCTACGGCGAAGCCGTCCTTTTTGGCTTGCACAGCCATTGTCCAGAGTTCTTGGAGCATTTTTTGCGCTCCTTCTGGGTACTCGTCGAATAATTTTGCCTGGCAGGGGTGGACTCCCACTGTTGCGTAGCAGAAGCCGGCTTTGGGTTATGTTAATTGATGCGTGGTGAGTGTGTGGGGATGATGACTTACGGTATTTGCTGGCGATGGAGATGGCATGTTTGGATTCGACTAGGTCCGAGCCTGTGACCATGAACTTGGAGCAGCCTACGTCTTTTGCGCGCTGGATTACGTCGTCCAGGTCATCTTCGTGGGCTTGCTTTCCGTGGTATTCACCGCGGAAGACGGGGTCGCTTAGATTGATTCCGATCTGGGAGATATTAGATTTTGGATGATGCTTTTTTCGAGGCTTCTAAACTCGGATTACCAACGTACATCAACATATCGGAGTGTGTTTGTGGCTTCAGCCATTTTTTTATATCCAAATGTGGAGAATGCCTTGGATCTTCCAGCAGAGTTGTAGTGGACAGAGGACAAATTCAGTCCTTTGTTGATCCCTGTAATATGGGTTAGCACAGGACCTTTGGAACATATAGCCTCGCACCTCTGGACTATATCTTATATTACTGGACGCGACAGACCTAAAAAGAGAGATTTCTCGATCCCTGTTGACTTTGCAGCCGATGTAATATTGCGGCCAAAGAAATTCGCGGCACTTCCACAAATGGTAGCTCTTTGCATCAGATGATTTGACTGGAAATCTCGCTATTGCGTTGGTGATAAAATACTTTCACTGTTGACTCAGTCAACGTTTTGTGTTGACTAAGGCAGGTGAGTTGCCACAATGTGGCGGTGTCAAAAAGATGTGGCTGGAATAATGCCTCATAGCTCAGGCCAAATGGGACCCGCACGGAGAGAAATCCGTAGGCCAGTCGGGAGTTCGCCGATTCCGCTTGTACAGATACATCTGGTCTTCAGGCTCGGATTCTCGCAGGTCACCATGATGGGTGTTGGCTGATGGATAAACTGGACAAATTGGATGTCTCTGCAGCTCAGACACCACTATCTCCACAAAATATCGACAAAACCATGTCTAATACAAATATCAGAAGCAGTCAACAGAAAGGAAAGGTCGGTGCAGTCCGGGGTAAGTCCGGGGACTGGCCGATAAGCTCCCCCGGACCCTTTGCTGAGTATTTAATGCCTCTCAACCTCGTTGGAATCGCCAATTGCCATACAATAACCCACAAGCACATCCTGACGCGCACATCTCAAGATGACGGACCAAAAGCTCGTCTCCGCCCAGCAAATCTCCAGCCACAAAACCCCAGACGATTGCTGGGTAGTAGTTGACAATCAAGTGTGGGATGTCACCGATTTTCTAGAAGAGCATCCAGGCGGATCAAAAGGTGAAAAGCAAAGACATTCCATCCAATCGTCTATAGCTAACATGGATCTACTAGTAATCCTAAAATACGCCGGCAGCGACGCAACAAAAGCCTACTCTGAAGTTCACGCGCCAAGCGTAATGAAAAACAACCTTTCCCCACAAAACTTCAAAGGCACCCTGGACCAATCGACCATCGACGCCGAATGGGTCAAACCACCACCAGAAGAGAATCCCACGGTGATCCTCGAGCACGAGAGACCACCACTGCACACTCTGATCAACTCGCACGATTTCGAGCTTGTAGCCTCGAAAACAGCCAGCAAGAAGACGTGGGCCTTCTACTCCAGCGCCTCAACCGATCTCATCACCCGTGATGCGAACAAGTCCTGCTTCGACCGGACCTGGTTCCGGCCTCGTGTGTTACGAAATGTTCGGGATGTGGATACCACAACGAATATCCTGGGCGGGAGCTGTAAACTCCCGCTTTTCGTTAGTCCGGCTGCTATGGCGAAACTTATCCATCCGGATGGGGAGTGTGCTATTGCGCGAGCGTGTGGGGAGAAGGGGATTATGCAAGGCGTGAGTATATCCCATATTCACTATTCCCCAAATATAAACATACAAAGCAACCTAACAACGAATACTTTAGATATCCAACAACTCCTCCTACACAATGGAGGAGCTCCGTATAGCGGCACCATCAACTTCCTTCTTCTTCCAACTCTACGTAAACAGAGACCGGGCCAAATCCGCTGCCCTCCTCCACCAATGCAACCTAAACCCAAACATAAAAGCAATCTTCGTAACCGTTGACGCAGCCTGGCCCGGGAAACGCGAAGCAGACGAACGCGTCAAAGCAGACGAGTCCCTCTCCGTCCCAATGTTCCCCACCAAAGCGCAAAACGACAAGAAAGGCGGCGGACTTGGCCGCATCATGGCCGGGTTCATTGATCCAGGATTAACCTGGGAGGATTTGAAATGGGTCAAGCAACATACTTCCAAACCGGTTTGTTTGAAGGGTGTTATGTGTGCTGATGATGCGATGCTTGCTGTTCAGGCTGGGCTTGATGGCATCCTGCTTAGCAATCATGGAGGGCGGAACCTGGATACGAGTCCGCCGTCCATTGTCACCCTGTTGGAGATTCAACGACGGTGTCCGGAGGTTTTTGACCGGTTGGAGGTTTATGTTGATAGTGGGATTCGGCGCGGGACGGATGTTCTCAAGGCTGTTTGTTTGGGGGCTACTGCTGTCGGTATGGGAAGGAGTGTACTTTTTGCTACTAATTATGGGCAGGAGGGCGTTGAACATTTGATTGATAGTGAGTGTTGTTCGTTCACGAAGTGGGCTGTTTTGCTAACTTGGTGTCTCTCAGTCATCCAAGATGAACTCGAAACTGCCATGCGCAATGTCGGAATCACATCCCTGGCGGAAGCTTCCCCAGATCTCGTGCACACTGGTGACATCGACCACCTCGTTCCGGCGTCCCGCTCACACCCTTACGCTCGGGCCATAGCTAAAGGCCGGCGACCGGGCAAGCTTTAGCCTGCGTGACGGAGGGGGGCTAGGGTAGGGTGAGGGGTTCTTGAATGTACTGTAGAGTGTCGGTCTCCCCCGACAGATTGGCATTGATGACCGCATGGCGCAGCGCCGCCCCCCTCCATTGTTTCAGGGATTAGATATACAGCGTATAACCCCGACCATATGGCAATGCATAAGTCAACTCAACGGATTCAAATTCCCGAAATCCAGGGGTGAGAATTAGGGAGAGAATTCAGGAACATTTCAGATATGCCAAGCCTTACCTTGTCTCCCCCTTAGATCTGAACAAAAATTAGACTACGGAGTATAGGTCTGCTGATCTGTGCCTTCCGGGCTTTCCGGTCAAAATAGGCGATTGCGGGGAATATTCACATTACATTTACATGATCAGCCCTGTATGAACACGTAGGTACACTCTTGTAGAGTACATTAGGTCAAATTACATGTAGAGGGGGACCTTTTACGGTGTAGAGCAGAGAATAGGGAACAGAAGACAGACGTAGATCCGCTCTCCACTCTACACACTAACTCCCCAACTATTGTCTTGGAACACTACTTATTCTTAGATCTGGTCATGGGATCACCGATCCATTCCTTTCTCAACTGCTCAAAAGACCAAAATCAAACCTAGAATTATAAAGTAATTGCATGGTTCATTCTTGGACGGCTTATGTACGTGCTTGACCGACACTCTTGAAGGGGGGGGGGTGACAGCCATTCAGCGTGGAGGGATTTCATAGTTCCACTCGGGGGTTGGATGAGTATCTCCGGGCCGTTTACAGTAGGAGAATTATGGAGGGCGATCAGGCAATTGCGTTATGTGGTGGGGACCAGACTGGTGTATTTACTATTGGATGTGTTGAGGATGATCAGTTTCAGAGAGGGGGGAGAAGAGATGTACCGGGTACATCTTGTCACTCTGTGTTCTGGTGGGTACGGGGTAGACTTGAGTCCCGAGGGGGAGGTCTCGGGTACGTAGATCCTGTCTTCACAATGGAATATTCACCGAGTTACAACAGCGGAAAAGATAAGTGAGAATGACAAGGTATATAACCTTGGATCAGACCAGTCTCTGAATTCTAGACTTTCACCGAAGATAACAGAGTGTTGACGTCTACCACACCTCGCACTCTTTCTCTCCTGCTGCTCCACTGCGGGTCCATCCTGCCAAGACTCATAGCTCTCAACAATTCCTATAAAGCACAGCTTCACACCGGACCTTTATCTTCTCTATTCTTCCACTTCCATCTTCCGTCTTGTCCCTCTCTGAATTCGGGAACTTCAAACAAGCTACCCATCCACCTCTGACCTCCCAAACTCAACCACCTCAACGTCCCAACTCTATCCCATCTATACATCATGTCTGCTCCTCGTTCATCTCTCCGCGCTCTCCGCGTGCTCTCGCAGCCCACTGCCCCCTCAGCTCGTCGCTGCCTACACATCACCGGCGTGCAATCCGCTCAACCCGCAAACACAACCGACAAGGCCATCTCCAACCACGATGTCCTCCAATCCAGAGCCTTTGCCATTGCCATGCGCAGAATCAACGGCAACGCTTTCTCTGAGTATGTCACACCAACCAACCCTGCACCTAAACCTCTCTCAAGCTCCTTTACATCCTTTCAACCATGCCTGAACCAAACTAACAGGAAGAACAGCACCCCCCGCCAATTCAACACCTCCCGCTCCTCAAAAGCCCGCAACGACACCTCAACAGTAGACTTAGTCTACATGCCCACAATGGCCGACCTAGATGCCGCCCCCCTGCACCGCGGCATCCAAGTCCCGGTCCTGCCCGAAACTCACTCCATCACCTTCTCCTCCACCCCCTCCGCCCCACCCATGAAGCCCCAGATCTACACAGTCGCCGGTACCGGTGCCGACGTCGCCGCCAGCGCCATGAGCGAGGTCGTCGACAACCACGCTGTCGATCTGGACCCGTTCTCGTTTACGGAGGCTGTGGGCCGCTCGCGCGTTGGCGAGGAGATGAACAGACGCCAGAATGGGGGTGCGAAGACTGGTGTCATGCGTGAGCTTTGGGCTGGGTTTTTGGATGATGTGATGGGGCCTAAGGAGGTTCGGAAATAGGTCTTTGTCTTGATTTGATGTTGTTCATCTTTTGTCTTCCTGTTGACGGGAATGACGGTATGATATGACTTCGGCTCTTTTGATATGCTTTCCTCTGCTTTCCTCTGCGAGAACTAGCGTTTTGATGTAATATTTTATTTTATCTCGTCGTGGATTACCATGGCTGACGGCCGGATCATGGCTTTTTCTTTTCTATATCTTATTATCTGCAACCATGTTAGGTTGTACCAATTGATCAAAGTTCAATCCAACAAATATCTCCAATATAATATCTAGTTTCACATTCAAATCGACCTTGTCTCTCCTACAATCCACCTTCTTTGCTGAACTCCGGGAAAGATACATTTTCGTCTTACCTCGGCACAGTCTCCACAATGATCTACGCCAAACAGATCTAACGGGATCAATCCCGATTTTCAACTACGAACACTGTCGACGTCAACGTCAGAATATCCCGAGGTACAAGCCCTGGAGTCAATGTCAAGCCAGCATTCAGTCATTGAGTCATACCAAAGATCATCATCGCCATATCCATCCTCCTGCATCACATCCACATGTACAGTCCCCCGATCCCGACACTGTAGATCAATAATGACGTCGAGCAATCACGTCACCCGAGCTCCAATCCGTACCCTTTCGCGGGATAATCTTTTACACTTCCGAGGCTTTGTTTTACCGACTCGGGAGCGGACTACGGGTGACAGACTGCGGGTTCCTGGTGTTGATGTTTGTGGGGTGCGCCGGAGTATGTAGGAATCCCCCCGGATCGGGGGGAGGATCGGGGGGTTTCGGAGAGGCGGGTGGTTATTATCTGATTGTTTTATCAATCGGGTTTGGTATTTCGGGGTTGAAGATGGGGAATGAGTTGGTGTGGCTTTGCTTGGGGCTTGGTTTGTTTGTTATTTTGCATGGGCTCCAGATTGAAGATTTAAGGGTGTGGCTGGTGGTTGGGGGTGTTTTGGCTGTAAGGGGTGAGATCAGATTTCTTTTTGTGTTTCGACTTGTTCTTTTTTGTTTCTTTCTGGTATCTAGGGATCTTATGACGTCTTGGTTGTCTCGTTTCTTTTTTTTTTTTTTTCTTTTGTATTGTAGTAAAGGGGCTTGGGTTATTGATGGCTTGGGATTGGATACTTGGTTGGTGGTTATATTTTGTCACACTTTACTTTTTGCAATGGTATTACATACACTGGCCAAGATATTATTCTGTCGTTTGGACTCGACTCATTTGTCGTATATGAGGGCTGGCCATGGATGGTCTTTTATTCGATGCAAATGGCTGGTGTAAACGTAAGTACTTAGCATGTACTAGTGTAAAGCTCAAACTCCTAATACAATACCTATCACTATCGGGAGAATGGATGTCGATATACTCCGATCACTTCATCCACGTGGCACGATGTAACTTCGTGACAGGGACCTTGTTAGCGATGCTAAAACGCGTCCGACATTACGGCTTGTGGCTTGTGGCTTGTGGCTTGTGGCACTCGAGCTGAGCTGTAAGACAGTCCATCGCCTAAGCAATTCAATGGGGGGTCTGCAAACGGGCAAAAATCAGATGTGAAAACTGGTAAAAAAAAAAAACAGAGGTCAAATTAGGCGAACCGATGCATGACACTGCTTACTCGCTTCTAGAATTCCATGTAGACTGTCCAATTCTTCATTAGTGGTATTGCGCATGAATGAATGGTGGTGATGTTCTATGTAAATGTGTCTCAAACCCAACGGTGACCTGTTGTGTCTGCCTTCGCTCGTTCTCTGTCCTTTCCAAGCAACGGGTGATTTTGTTCTAGAAGGCTTAGAATGGAACAAGGCCCGGTCGATCGGCATCGGTCCCGACCGGGAACTTTCTTGAGATGCAAGGCAAATGCATAGATTCTGCTGTCCATGAGTTCATGTTGAATTTTATCTATCTGAAACATCAGCAGTTCGTGGGTACAGGCGACGTGGGGCGCTATGGTGACTTGGGATCTATATGATAGATCTACTAGTTCCAGCCTCTAGCTAGTATTGCTGCCCTACATATTGCGTTGGAAAAGAATATTGCTCGATCTTGTATGAATCTACGTGTAATTCTATTATTAATGTGAACAACAATTGTCAAATGTTCAGTAAAGGGTACTTTGTAAGGCCAAGTGATGTGCAGGGTCTCGACCCTTGTGGAGAGTGTGAAGTTCTAGACTTCTAGACCCTGGGACAGGGACGCGCAATCATACAGGTCGCATTGATTTGAATCATGCGACTTCTGCATGTTGAACAGATCATTTCAAGCTGACTTGAATGATTTTACTTTGATGTTCTGCTATCTTCGAAGTAATTGTCCGTGAAAACTCTGATCTTCCCACCAGAGGAGTTGATATTGTTCAAATACGCAACAGTGTAGGCAAGAATATGGGGGAAAGAAGCGCTAAGAGGCAATGAGACCATTTGAAATCTACACGTTGGAAAGGATTGAAATAGAAACAGAATACAGTAGAATATGGACTGAATAAACTTGGCAGTTAGCGCTATCATGGCCCCATGCTCAGACCTCAAATTCCAGTTTTGGCCCACTCAGTGAGCATTGAGCTTGGTTTAGCGCCTCACTAGCCTCGACTGACAAGTTGATCGTAGCCTGAAAAAGGAACAGATGGCTCCCATTCAGGTGCCACTAGTCCCCGTTGCCTCTAGCCCGAACTGTTCTCCACAGTTCTTGTCCAGGGGGATTTTCCCCCCTCACATTTGCTTCTCTCCAACCTCCAACTTCTTACTTAATTTCGGTCTTCATTGTTATTTCGTTTTGTTTCTGCTTTTGTTTCGGTTATTCTCTCTTTCAAGCACTTATCATTTTAAGCCAACTTCTCCGCAACTCCAGGCTCCACCGTCAGTGACATCGAACGAACCTCGAATCCACTTAATTCAAATGCGGGCTCATTTCTCCCGCACCTAATCCCTCCTCGGGATAATGCGTCTTTCAACATGTTTGCTCATTACCAGCCTCAACGGTGTTCATGCCTTCTACCCGTGGGAACTGCGGGTGGAAGTCGGTACCGTTGAGCCAATCCAGCGTCGCTTTATGCCATGGAGTTTGATCGAAGCCAAGATTGACGACGCCAATACAAAGCCTCCAACTCTCGACCTGAAGAAACTGCCCGTTCGTCGCGATGATACTTACAAGATCGTCGAGTCTCACACGCCTTCAATGGCAGACAGTGCTCCACTGAACCAGGATGGAACTGATTACTCTTACTTCTCCCCCGTGCTGGTGGGCTCCCAGAAGACTGAAATGTGGTTGGCACTCGACACTGGTGCGCCCAACACCTGGGTCTTCGATTCCGAATGTACCGAGGAGGTCTGCACACAGCATCACACTTTCGACCGATCTGCCTCGAGCAGTTATGTCTCCAACAGCTCGACATTTAGTCTCGGATATGGCAGTGGCACCGTCCTTGGACAACTTGGAACAGACACTCTTTCAATTGCAGGCATTGAAGTCTCGTTGGAATTCGGCCAGGCAAACAATGCCTCAGACACTTTCAAGAGCTACCCATTCGATGGCATTCTGGGTCTAGGTCGCTCACACACATCTGGATGGAATATCCCATCGTTCATGGATCGTGTTGCTGAAGGCAAACACCTCAAGAATAACTTTATCGGGTTTAGTCTGTCCCGCGCAGCAGATGGTGACAAGGACGGAGAGGTCAACTTTGGCGGTCTCGATACAACCAAATACGACGGAGATATCCAGTACACTGCCACTGATTCTGATATCTGGAACATTCCCTTGGATGACGCCTACGTGAATGGCAAGGCTTGCAACCTTTCCGGCAAATCTGCTACAATCGACACCGGAACCACCTACATTTTGATTCCCCCTGATGATGCAGCAGTCGTTTTTGGTCTTATCCCCGGCTCATCTGCATCTGACAGCAACCACATCATCCCATGTAGCACAAACGTGACGCTGGAGTTTGAGTTCTCGGGTGTCAAATATTCCATCTTACCCGAAGACTATGTTGGAAATCCAACAAAGCCCGGTTCAGAGTCTTGCATTTCGACCATTGTGAGCTATGCATCCAATGGAGCCAACACCTGGCTTGTCGGCGATGTGTTCCTGAAGAACGTCTACACCGTTTTCGATTATGACAATGCGCAAATCGGCTTCGGGTCCCTTGCCTCTGGTTCAACCGAGGGCAATGGGACATCCACAGCACCCCCAACCTCACCTACCGCAGCGGCTGCTGCTTCCAGTGCTAGTCAAGCTGCAGCAGAGTCTACCGCATCCACCGCCGCGACATCCACGGTGTCCGGCAGCTCTGCAACACAACTCAACCGTGGCATTAGCTGGTCTATATTCACAATCATCCTCAGCGCTTTCTTCGTCTGAACTTCTTTAGCCCATATTTCTTTCTCAGCGACTGATTTGGCGACAATCACACCGCTTGTATTATGTACTCTCGCTCACCTGTTACGTGCTATCGCTTCATGCACATCATTTCACTTCTGTCCATACAAATGGGTACACACCCATCCCAGCATATGTTGACGCTGTCTATCTGTCGTTTCATCAGCTGCACATATCACTCGTTCCTGCTGGATACCCCAACTTTCTGTTTACCTGACAAAAGTCGCTGGCGTTTTCATCTAGATGGTTCAATGTCTTCATGCACAAGGCGTGCCATACTTTAATGATAGAAACAACTGTCAATTCTAATAGCCCAATACAACAATATCCATATCTCAATCACATTCCACCCACATCTAAATACCTCACAGACTCTTCTGTGGAATCAGCGAGTAATTCTTCGGACCAGAATCTATCAAAATCAGCAACAATCCCAATACACCAAATCCAAAGGCAAACTCACCAAGAATCGACCGATCAAAGTCCTTCACCCGATTAAACCCAGCAACCCCCATCAAAATATCCAAATCAGCCAACAAAGACTTTATAACATGCCTCACACCCTCCTCGCCAGCAATACTCAACCCCCAAATCCATAATCGCCCAACAAAAACAAACCTAGCCCCAAGCGCCAGAGCTTTAACAACATCACTAGCCCCCCGAACCCCCGAATCAAACATCACATAGATATCCTTCCCAACAGCCTCAACAATACTCTCAAGGGCATCAAGACTAGCAACAGCCCCATCAACCTGCCGTCCAGCATGGTTACTGACAACAATCCCATCAACCCCGAACTCAACACACCGCCGCGCATCAGCAACGGACTGAATGCCCTTGATAGCAAACGGCCGTCCCCCACTAATCCCCTTCCAAGTCTCCATTAGCCAAGGGATCTTCTCCCAAGACCAAGCACGCCCATGCCAAACAGAATCAATCCACTTAACAGACGCAGCAACAACATCAACTTCGGGATCAATCCCGTCTTCCTGACACCGTTTCCGGAACACAGGATCAGTCAGCCCCAGGTCTGCACCAAAACCCCGATAAAACGCATAGTTCGACGAGGACACATCATCATGTCTCCATCCTAGCTGCCACGTATCCGTCGTAAGAATCAATGCATCAAAGCCAGCCTCCCAGGCCCGAGTCAATAATGACACGGTAAGTTCATCATCATGCGGCATGTACAGCTGATAGAAACGCGGACTTCCGGTTCCATTTGCTTTCCCCACGTCTTCGATTGAGGTGCTTCCTGCTGTGGAGAGGCAGTAAGGGAGGTTGAGTTCGCCGGCGACTTTTGCCACGGCGCTTTCGCCGGCTGGGTGATATATTTTGTTTATTCCGATCGGCGCGAAGCCGATTGGGGCGGATACTTTGTGGTTGAATATTTCTGTGGTTGTGTCGCGGTTGTTTGTGTCGACTAGTTGGTTTGGAATTAGACGGTGGCGGTAGAAGGATTGGCGGTTTGTCAAGTGGGTGTTTGAGAGGCCTGCATTTGACGAGGCGTAGAACCTTTTTTTTTTTTTTGGTTAGTTTACTGTTTTGGTTGGATGGATGGGTGGAGGGTGGGTGTGTACCAGCCGCCTTCGCTGAGTCTTTCTTTGGCTCTTTCTTCTAGTTTTCGGGGATCTTGTTTGTGTTAGTATCTTGCTTTTATATGATATTGGGTGATTGCTTACCAGTGTTGAAAAGAGGTGCCTGTCCCTCGTTCTGCTTCAGAAAGTTCTCCCGTTGGTAGAGACCCCATTGGGGCGTGGTGCGATTCTTGATATGAGGGTTGCTGGGGTCGCTCATTTTGATTTTGGTATACAATGAAATCCAGGTTTCAAGCTTTTCAACCCGAAAAGTCAGGTTTGAATCGATACAGGTATTGAGAAATATAAAAGTCTGTTTGTGAAAACAGCCAAATTTATAGATCTTTATCTTATCGATGACTTCATTTTGACGCTGCATGGCCGTTCTCGGACGAGAGAACATCATAACATGGCCTGACTTCGGTCCGGGGATCTTGTTTTTAGTCTTTATGCAAGATGGGAATGTTTGGGTCAGGATCTGCGCTTTGATCTGCGCTAAATGCTTATTTTGTGTTCGTGGATTGGTGTGGAATGGGAAGCTCCTGGTGCCGGTATCTATAGATCCAGGTTGTCTGATGATTTTTTGGGGGTTTTTTGGCTTACCGCTGTTATATTTTTATTTTTTATGGTTTGTTGCAGACACTTTAGTTCGTCTATGTTTGATACCTCGGATCTTTGGTGGTATGAGCGGTTCGATCGGTCGCGTGTGATAATGTTTGTCTGTCTACATCAACTTACTATAAATATCATCACAGACAAGAGCTAATTCAATACTTAATACCACATGAATACCATGGATAAACTAGGTGGGCGTGTGATACTTGTCGCCCGAGAAATCCGCTGAGGTGGGTGTACACTCGGGCTGAGCTTTCTTTCAATAGCTGATTAACACAGGCACAGAAAACAGGTACTCATTCGATCATAATTGGATTGAATCTATAGTGGAGAACTATCTGGATGGCTGTTAGGTATATGTGTCGGCCGAGAGTGCTCGGTGCTTCGCGTGAGCTTGCTGCAGTAAGATATATATAAAAAGTGACAATAGGTTCTTTTTCTTCATTTCACATAACGAAAAGGCAATCATAAATTCTTTGCCTAATGGTGCATTTAAATAGCAGCCCATAATCAAAGATATCCCTTAGTTAGGTTGGTGGCTACTTCGTCCTTGCTGGTTGGTTTTATCTTCAACTCATTGATAGAAGCTCGGATCACAACGAACATTAAACGATGCTAGTAGGTGAAGAACTTATCGAGACCCTATCGATAAAGAAAGATGATCTGCTGTATAATCGCGATCGGCTTGAAACAATCAAGTATGATATGATGTTCGACTGAAGCGAAACCTCATGTTGCATAGTGTCTCGCCACAAGTTGTCCTTGAGTTTACCCAAACCGATTAACCGAAAGAATACGAGACATCAAAAGGCAATTATTAAAAGGCCTCTGAAACTAACAAATAAGAGGCAAAGCAATGCGGCATTTACTAAGAGATCGGAAGTATGAAGCTCGGCATTTTCGTCGGCATCCGAGAATCCCCGTCGGCGGCTAACCACATCGGGATCTTCGGGAACGTCATCGTCAATACTCGGTCCAAGTGTGTTCCTTTTTTTGTCTTCTGCAAACACCTCAAACCCCATATTCACCATGTTCGGCCTCACAAGTAGAAGGTCTGCACTTGCTCGCTCGAAATGCCTGGCTCCGTCAATGTCGGCGCGAGCCATGGTCGCAGCGCAGCCTGTCTGCGCCAACATGCACGAGTTTCATTCTACCCCTGCGCAGGGTGCGTCCCGGCCGACTTGGATGCCAATGCGTGTCAAGACGCCTTGGATTGATGCTTTGACGCAGAGTCGGGAGGCTGCTAAAGCTGACTCGCAGGCGAATGCGGCTAAGGCTATTAAGCCTGATTTGACGCCGAAGAAGATGTCTGATAGTGCTTACAGTGCTGTATGTTACCTTGTCTTTATGAAATAATACCCATAAATGGTTGCTGACCAGATATGCTATAGGTTCTGCCATTGGCTCAAGATAAGTGGCTCCTGGATTCCTACCTCAATTCATCCGGCCACATCAGGTGAGTTCAACATCAATACAACCAAAGAGTTATTTGCTAATATTGAAACAGACTTGGATCCCTTCTGATGGATCTTGATGCATTGGCTGGCATTATTGCCTACCAACATACCGGCGATGGAGTATCAACCGTCACAGCCGCCGTAGACCGAATCACCATTGAGCACCCTCTTATGGAGATTTGCGATCTCGAGCTCAGTGGCCAATGTACATATGCAACTGGTCGCTCGAGTATGGAGATCTCGTGCCAGGTAAACAAGGTCCGCCCTGATGGCCAGGCTGCTCAACCTGATGATGTTCTCATCACTTGTGCATTCACAATGGTCTCCTTGGACCCGGCAACCAAGACGTATGTTCCTCCCTATTGCATGTATCGTACAAGCTGACCTTTATCTCAGTCCCGTTCCTGTGGCACCTCTCATCGTTGAAACAGAAGAAGAAAAGCGCCTCTTCAAGAAAGGCGAAGCAAACTACCAAGCCAAGAAAGCTCTCCGCAAGCGCAGTCTCCTCGAGCGAGCCCCAGACGATGAAGAGAGTGACCTAATCCATTCAATGTGGACAAAAGAAATGTCCTACCTAAGTGCGCAACCCCTCAAACCACCAGCCAATAACCACCAAGACTAACAATCAGCAGACCCCCAAACCCCTACAGTCCGCCCCGAAAACCAAGTATTCATGAGCGAAACCGTCCTAAAATCAGCCATGATAATGCAACCTCAAAACCGCAACCGCCACAACTTCATGATCTTTGGCGGTTTCCTCCTAAAACAATCCTTCGAACTAGCCTTCTGCTGCGCAGCCTCATTCTCACACGCGCGCCCCAACTTCCTCGCCCTAGACCCAAGCACCTTCGAAAATCCAGTGCCAGTGGGCAGCGTACTGTATTTGCGCGCTACTGTTGCGTACACCGAGCCCGAGGAGCGCGAGGGCGATAGCACCAAGTACACCAAGGTGCAAGTGCGTGTTGATTCGAAGGTGAGGGATGTTGAGCATGGGACTAAGAAGTCTACTGGCATGTTTAATTATACTTTCCTCGTTGAGAAGGATGTGCATGTTATGCCAAAGAGTTATGGTGAATTTATGCTTTGGACTGATGCACGGAGGAGGGCTAGGAATGCTGCTGCTATTGATCCTGCACATAAGATGAGTGCGTTGAGGAGTATTAAGGATAGTGTTACTGAGTAGGTTTCTAGGGGTTTGTTTTGTTTTGTTTTCTGATATAGAGGGGGGTGTTTCGCATTTTTTACAATCTATATCGATTGGGATATACATATACTTTCTTCAGTAGAATCTCGATCATATATTCAAGAACAACATCTTACAGAAATGCTACCATGCAGGAGAACCAAAGATCGAAAAGCAAGAACTCTATATATACAACGCCCCAAATCACCATCCATCCAACCAAGAGCGTATGTATAAGAAGCGGGTGGGGAAAAAAAGGGGGACATATGTGTGCAAACAAACACAATCCAAAAAAAGAGAAAAAAGCACACGCATAGAAGATATATCGATTCCTTCCGGCTCCAATAAAAAATAATAATAATAAAAACCATGAACATGAACCGACTCCACCGATGTCAAATGACAATGAGAATGATGAATCCTCCCAGACAATGCACCAGGTATACACAGAGTATGTTGATCCAATTTCACAGCTTTAAAGATCCCAGATCCAAATTTCCTGTTCCAACTCCCTTGCCTTGTCCTTCGTTTTTTTGTTCCCGTATGGGTGGATTCGAAGGTTTAATTTCAAATGATCGTTTCACTTCGTTATTTGTTGTATGTGCCCGTCGGGCTTTTTTGAGTGTGGTGTTTGGTTTGATATCGCTTTTTGATGGGGTTGAGATTGTGTAGGATAAGTGTTGTTTATGATCGGATGTTGAGTGTTGTTGGTGATGGCGGGAGAGATGGCCGAAGTGATGATATGATACTGTTCTAGTGACAGGTCTGAGATGGAGATACCGCTTTTGATCCTTGTCGAGGTCCAAAAAAGTCGAGTCCACGACTTTGAGCTCTCTCCTTTGAGAAATAAGCATGCCAACCAATTGGCCACTATCGAGATTCACAAAGGCAAGACACAAGTCAAGCTCACTGTTCACTCAAAACCTCGGAAATAGCATTCGACGACAACCCCCCACCACTCTGATCCCTCGGTTTATCAGGCTGCTCCTCCTTCATACAAGCATTCTCCAAAATATTAGTCCACTTTCCACTAGTCCCAGCATGGCTATGCTTAAGATGCTGACGGAAATGATCGGCCCGGAAAAACTTCTTGGCATTGTTGCACTCGCCGTACTTATGCACAGTAGTCAAATGCTCGAAGCGGGCATCCCAATCGGGAGATGGGAAATTAGGGAATTCCTCGCCGCAGTAGCCGCATGTATCGTGTGAAGAGCCGGCATTGGTTTGGCATGATTGTGCACCTGAGGCGTGGAATGCCGCTTGGAAGGAGACAAGAGCTGCGCAGGACCAGGAGTGGCGGCGGAGGTGAAGGGAGTTTTGGTGGCGTTCTGCTTCGTTTTTGTTTTTGAAGCGGTTGTTGCAGTAGGCGCATGCGTATTGCTTTTCCATTTCGTGGGAGCTGTTTGGAGTTAGTATGTATGCAGTTTGGCTTTGGTGGTTGGTTTAGTGGTTCTTACCGGAGGTCGTCTGGATTGTCGAACTTCTTGGGTTTCTTTGGACAACAGTCGCAAATGAATAGGCCGCCGATCTTTGATGCTGGGGGCTTTGGAATGTTTAAGATCGTTGTTGGTACAGACAGTTTACCGGTGGCATCTGTTGTAGGCGGCTCGAGGGATGCTGGTCCAGGAAGACCCCGTGCAATTGTTGGCTGAACCAGTGCTGCAGGAGAACTAGGGTTGAGGATCGATTTTTCGTGATAGGTATCGAGATCGGAGCTTGGGGAAAGACCACCGGGTGATCGTTGATCATACGGCGAAAGACTAGTCATGCTGCTACCCCCAATGGATAGCGTAGACGAATACGAACCCGATGTTCGGATACTTAAAGACGAAGCAGCCGAGAGCGTTCGCTGGCTGATGGGATAGTTGGGGTTAACAGACAGCGTATTCGTGAATGGATGACCGCTCGTCCTTCTCTGCGACAAATCGCCATTACTCGTGGTAACATGCAGCGTATGCCTCTCATCGCTCATGGGTTCCCGCGGAGGCGACGAAGCCCTTCGCTTCATGCCCTGCCTTGAATCCGGATACGGTGGAGTGGGTTCTCGGAGAATGAATTGGCGCGGTGGCGCCGGTTCATCGGTCGAGAACTCCCCCTCAATATCCGAAAACACGCCATGGTCATAGCTTCCGCGGTTCGATCGGCTCGGTAGACTGATGCTATCCTCCCGCGATGGTGTCGTTCCTCGATACCGCTGCCGCCCAATATCCCGCATTGATCCCTGGTCGTAGTCCAGCGCTGTTGATGGCGTATTGCTTTCCACACTTGGGCTTCGGCCTTCGATATGTTCTCGCCACCCGGGCTTCGTCCTGGGCGAAACGCCTCCTGATTGAGGGCTGTTGAACCATTTCACATCGAGTGTTGCTCCTTCTGATGGCCCTGGGGATGGGAGATTGCTGGAGCATCGTGATGCAACGGATGGAACGGTGAGTGCAGATTGTGAACCTCGGTTATCTGTTCCTAGACTGATAGATCCCCGCGGTGAAAGGGGCTTTCCGATTTTTGATAGTAGATGCTGATCGTATGCATTTGACGAGTCTTTCACACTCCGTAGGGAAAAGTCGCGTTCGCCACTCAGGCTAGAATAAAATCAGCAACAAGAAGACAGGGAGAGCGCAGTACGCAATTGAATGCGCAGGTTTTGCGCATGTCACTTACACTGGACCTGTCAGATTCGTGTTGATCGACATTAAACTTGGTAATCCCTCCGTGACTGGAGGCGGCTCAATGTTAATCTGAGCTTCGGGGCTTCGCAAAATGGGGGCGCTCTGCCTCCCCTCACACTCATCGATTTGCATAGAATCACCCTGTGACGCAGTCTCGGGTAGTCGATGGCCGCCTAATAAGCTAGAATTGGATTGGATAGGTGGGAGAGAAGTTGAAGGTTCCGAGTTTGCGTGATGCCAGCCAGCGTCATACCCGTTCTCCAGGTCGGGGATGCTTGGCGGTGGAGGCAGTGGTGGCGGAGCAGTGTTCATGTTAGATCGAGAAGCTATAGGTAACGGGCCGTGCGAAGCAAAAGAAAGCTCGGGCATAGCGGCTGAAGATCTGACGAAAGCACGGCGATCTCTAAAATCATGGAAACTCGAACGCGACGGTCGAAAGTCCATCCTAGAGCCAGAGCTGAACTCAGAGAATCAATATGGGCTGGGCGTCATGAACCTGAGATCAGAGGTCGAACTTGATGGCAATCGAAATAAGCAGGTCAAGTCAAGATCTCTGCAGCAGTAACCCATTCCAGTTGAGTGCAAACGTCGGCCGTGGAACCAGCTCCGATTCTTAAGCGGGCCGCTGAGCTATGAAGGGTTGAAAGACCAGCTTTTAGAGAAGTGAAGAGTGGCGCAGAGTCTTAGTCAGGACCTTCATGCAGTGCAAGTCTGTTTTCCAAGTCAGATTAAGTCGGAATTATAGATAAAAAAAACCGGGAGGGGGGGATAGGGCTGAAAAAGGGACCAACCTCGGGGGCGTGGGCGATTCGCCTCATATGAAACGTTTCCCGCTATAGTAACACACAATCCGGCCATAGAATCAGGGAGCGATTCAATGACAAACCAGACTAGACGCGCACATGCTTATAGTAAAACCAGAAGAAAAAGAAGGCTATGTAGGCAATTAGGACCAGTATAAAGAAGCTCTAATTTCGGGCCTAGCTGAAGCCCAGAAAAGGTAGGCTGAGAAGAGCTGAGAGTGAGGCGTCAGTAATGCTAGATTGGTGAATGCAGAAATCGGTGTAAGTTAAGTCGAGGATATCAAAGGGAGTCGACTAATGAGAAATTGAAACAGCAGGTCTCGGACTTAAAGTGTTAGAGGGTGACGTGGTGGAGAGAGGCGACGGGTCGTATATGTAATGATCGTTACCATACGGGTATTGTCCATACGTTTTACATTTCATGGACTATTTCATATTCTTTTTTCGGCTTTATTCTTTTAATCCTGGTTCTTTTGGTTAATCCCGCGTGGCACACCACGTTGGAATGACACAAGGCTGGACCTTCAGCCTTAAAACGGACACGCCGGCTCGTAATTTTGCCCCCTTTCATGGTAAAGTGGTTCCAAATGCGCACTGCTTGGCTTTTCCAGAAAATGCTATTCCTCGGTAGGTGAAGTCCAGACCGAACGCTGATCTATACTACTCTATTACTACCCCATAGTCTTCGCAGTATGGGAAACCAACCAGAACATGGCAGCATGGCTCCCCGTGCGTTAAGTCTCAGAGTGGGGGTTGTCACTCGTATATTGGACGCCTTGTCAATGTGACATTCCATGATCTACTCCTAGAAAGGGGTTAAATATCGAGGTGAGTGTTACCGAGGGCTGAGAGCGACAGGGCTGGCAAACCCTTTTCGGTAAAGGAACCGGGTCGGAACGATAGCAAGGAGAGACACGTCTTTCAAAAACCATGGTTTAGCGGTGGCCAACTTGTAAAGAGAGAGGGGCACCAATGCGGAGTCACGCCTCTGTAAGAATGAAGTATAGATTGGCAGGGCCTTGAGCAGATTTGCAGCCAGTGACAATATACACGGGGGGGCTTGGAAGTCTTGGCATTTAGGCTTAATATTTCCCGCCTCGAACTGAAATCATGAACTCCCGACTGTTTAAATAAATGCTTGGGTGTATAGTAGAATTATAAGTATCTCCCGTGGTGCTTCGTAGGGCATACCCAAATCGGAGTATTCGGATAACACAGAACATTCTTTTGCCTCCACATAAAAAAGCAGACAAATTGGACTTGGACCCACTGGTTGCTAGTGCGTTCCACTTGGCGCCTAAGACTGCATGCACTGCCACACTGCCGGCTTGTCATTTGGGCGCAGGGGTGTGAACCTTCTTGTGTACACACTCGAGAGACATGCGACATACTCAAAGAAAAGCCATCTCCCCGAAAATGTCACTGTAATCTGCCTGATCTTCATTCAGGAGTAATTGGAACGTTGGAACAAACATCTAGGGCTGCAGGGAAGGATGAGTAATCCAAGTCTCCACACCAGCAGAGCTTCCAGAACAAAAATTTCTGGGCGTTTTCTTTTCCAAAGATCTTGCTTCGCTAAAGCAGTACAGTACATGTAGGCTAGTGAGGGGTGTAACAGGGTTGCTGAGATCCATAGCGAGTAAGCCCTATCACACGCATGTACGTACGGCCATGTACTCTACTGTATTCCATATCAGATCGCCTGACCGTGGGCATCTCATCCCAGCCTATCATGTATTTACTCAAAAGTCAGGCTCCAGTAGATGTATGGGGTAGCTTGATGGTATGATGGTACTCTCGTACCGAGTCTCCACAGACTAATTTTCGAGAGTGGCAGTGAACTTGGCAAACATAGTCCAACATACTGCATTGCTTCATTACATTGAACCGCTGTGGCGGGATAGTCACTAGTGCAATAAAGTTTCTTATCCCTAGATCGTCGCCGTCAAGCCCCAGTTTGGGATCCAGGAGGCGAGACGCCCTCTCCATTCGAAGACGTCACCACTCTCTGGCTAAGCTCCGGACTCCATCGCAGTGCGTCTGTTCTGCACCTCATTTCAGGAAATGATCGGACAGGCAACTAGTAAATATTTTTTGAGACAGAGGCATTAGGCATCTGGCGCCCTGACCAGGCTGACACAGCCTGTCAGCAAGCCCCTGGAGAAGATCGGGTGCAATTAACCGCATCACCTCCTGAGGCGCAGCCAGCCTTAAGCCCTAGAGGGCTGCAGCCTAGCAGCACATGTCACTTGTAGTCCCAGGGTTCTGACGCGACGCCTGGCTGCCCTGTGCTCCATATGTTCCGTATATAGCTTCGAGTCACACTCGATAGTCATTCCTTGTTACCAGTCCCAGTAAGCCTGTGGGTTTCCCGCGGTTAGTCTACAGTACCACTGGCTTTGCCCTTCATTCACTTGTGATGACCCTTGCAGCGGTTGCAACAAATCAGATTTCAGTATTGTGAGGTTCAGTGTTTGATGTGTGTCGGGGATAAATCGCGCTCCACTTGCGGCGTGAATCGCTTGGCTAGAGTTTTCTTGTAATTTCCACGTCCAATTATTCTTCAATTTGCGCTTTGGGTGCTTGCGTGTAGTTGTAGGTGTGCGTTACGACGGTGTAGTGGCGGGCCGTCGGTGAGGGGATCTCAATTGAGCGCCCTACACGCCCTATTTAAAGAGGGGTAGTGGGAAAATGAAGGAGTGTATACTTAGCGTGAAGTGTCATATATCCTGTAAAGACTTTCTATTGCATGGAAAGACCCTGAGTAAGCTATACAGAACCATCCCCAAAGTGTGGAGCCCCTCATACAGTGGGTACTCTGGAGAGATCAACCCATACTTGCATATACCATATTCTCAAAGAAGGCACTAATGAACATGAAAACTTGAAAGCGTGAGTAGATAACATGTGTTTCTTTCAAGCTTAGCTTAATAGAATGTAAAATTAAGAAATAGTTTAAATTCTGCCTCAGGCACCCATGTCACCTGCTTTGTCATACCCTTGCCCTATCAGACTTTTTGAGTTTGGCAGCGCCGAGGCTCAACCTCCTTGTCCAAGTAGGGAAGTGTCGAATTCACTCTCAGAGCTCGTTCTACTTTCTACTTTTCTTTATATATCTTCTGCTTCTATCTTCCCTATCTTTCCTCTACTGCTCATTTGCAGCACTATTCAAAATGGCCATGAATCAAATCAAAGGCCACAATATCTACGTCGGCGGGTTAGTACTTGTTGTTTAGATATCACAAAAACATATGTATCCAAAGCGGGGCTGGCGATCGATACTGCCAATCGATGCTGCCAGCACCGTGTTTGGCAGTTGATTTGACATTCTAACCGCCAATTATAGTATATTCTGTCTGAAAAACAAAGCAGCAATGGCCCGAGCAGATATCTCCCACGTGCTATCGGTGCTACGGCTGAACCCATCAGAGGGGACCTTCGAGGGCTATGAGCATCACTCCATAGGAGTTGATGATACTGATGAAGATAATCTATTGGAACATTTCCCCGCGGCCATCAAGTTCATCCAAGCCGGCCTAGACACCGGTGGTGGCGTCCTCGTACACTGGTGAGTCAAAACATATCGTATCATTCTTTTATTGGCCTTTTCCCTTTCCTCAGCTTTCCAGCTGCCCCTATCTTCCAGTGGATGTGAGCTATACTTGTGGCTTCATGCCTCCTACGTCATTACGTGTGCATCAATTACGATCTACACGTGGCTGCGGTTTCCTGCAATCTCAGGATACATGCTGGACCCTTTTTTTCTGGGCATTTCCGAGCCGGATCAGACTTTCTCGACATGGAAAGATGTACAGTGGCTGATGTGACGATCCAGTGCGATGGGGAAGTCCCGCTCCGCAACCATTTGCATCGCCTACTTGCTCCACCGCCAGCCGGGGGCGCTCACACCGCAGTCTGCCCTTGCGCTGGTCCGCGAAACCCGGCCCCTCTGTGAACCCAACGATGGCTTTATGGAGCAGCTCGAGCTGTACCATGAGATGGGCTGTCCAGATGATGTCACCGACCATCCATTGTACCAGCGCTGGCTGTATCGCCGCGACGTCGAGGAAAGCGTAGCGTGTGGCCGAGCCCCAGAGCTAAAGTCAGTGCGATTTGAAGATGAACAGCCCATGCGATCCCAAGAAAGAACCGGTCAAACCGTCGAGATCAAATGCCGGAAATGCAGGTTAGTTCTGCCCCTGATCTAGATTTACCATATTAAACTGAGACACGGACCAACTCCGCTAACCCTATATCCACAGACGAAAATTGGCAACAACCCCATTCATCATTCCACATGAACAGGAAAAGCAAAACAGCGCCAAGATCAACCCGTCCGCCAACTGCGGCCATGTCTTCCTTCACCCCCTGACATGGATGCGCCCGAGTCTCTTCCCATCCGACAATGCATCCGAGCCTGCCGCCGACACAATATACGGAGCCCATCCCGATGATGCTCCCCTCTCCGGCCGCTTGACTTGCCCCAATCCTGGCTGCGGGGCTAATATCGGTAAATTCGCGTGGCAAGGCATGCAGTGCAGCTGTAACCATTGGGTTGTACCTGCTATTGGTCTTGCCAAGGCGCGGGTTGACATTGCAAATCAAATCAACGTTGCCCAGGGCCCAAGGAGCAACCCTGCTATCCGTCTTCCTCCGAGCATGCGGGCTCCTGAATCTAATGATACTGGGCGTGGTAATCTATGAGGACAGGTGACGAACATCATATGCATAAATAGAATTACGAGTCATGAAAGCTTAACCGCGACTTCTACATACTTTGTCTTTGGTTCATTGTTTTATTTTACATCACCAGATGCCGGAAAAGATCCACCGGTCTTGCCATTTACTAATGGAGTATATCCCAAGCTGGGCGTGATAGTCCACAAAGTTCACAGTTCGGCACCCAGGCTGCCAACGAGGCAACCAAGCATTCAAGGTCTCCTACGCGGCCAATGAAGAATGGCAGGGTAGGAGAACATTACTACCTTGCGTAGTATCTCCTATCGAATATAGATATGCAAACAGGCATTCACCAAAACCGAGTCTCGGAATACCGCTTCAACATACCAATCCGACAGATCTCCCCTGTCCATCCCATGATCTACAAAAAGCCACAAACCTAGAAACACACATTAGGCAACACACCCAGCGGCTCTGCTGACGTGGCTCTGGTTCCGTGTCCCGTTGATAACGGAGAATTCAAGGCATCAGCCCGCCGAAAACAAAAAAACTGCCTACGGTGACAGGGATATACTATACTATGATGTACCTGTAGAACCATGCCACTTCCGCCTCGGATCTTCATCATCTCACGGGGCAAACCAGTACCGAACAAAGCAAACCCTGTACTAGTAAACCCAACTCTAGATACTGTCCAGTATTGGAGTCACACTGCAGTCGGCGATATGAGACGCAACCAAAGCCCCATTTCGAATCGTACATTTACGGTGGATGGATGAGCATGTGCATGAGCATGTGCATGTACATACAGTACTGTACATGTCTTCACCCTACGGTAGGGCTTAAAGATGTGAAACGTGAATCTAAACTCAAAGTATACACGAATAAGGACAAGCCTATTAGACTTAGTCGCGCGCCAAGAAACATCGCAAACGCATTCTCCACACTGTCAGAAAAGAGATCAGCGATGGACGGTCATTTCATTTCAGTCATTTCCCTTGCGACCAATTCCAAGGTTTGAAGGAGGCTGTGCAAAGCGGGTCTGTTCCTCCGGATCCCGATTGGTTGGGTTGGTGTATTGCAATTACGGGTATGGTGACTGTTTGTTTGTTACTGTATCTCTAACATGTTTGGCTTGTTTGTTTGGCTTATATCAGCGTGTGATCTGGGTTGCCCTATGTGTTTAGCGGTATAGTCAGATATCAGTACTCGTTTCTTTGTTATACTGTTCTTTTAGTTATATATTGCTTGTATTCTGGGTATATCACATACTTACAAGTGTCATCTACTCTGTGCCTCATTGGTAGCCCTTCTCTGGTGGGGGTGGGGCAGTGCACTGCCTTGCAGGGGGAGCTCCCGGTGGAGTTCCTTTCTGGACTGGATAGGATACACATCTTTTTTATCCTTTTCTTTCTTTGCGTCATTGCATAGTTTGGCGTTGGATGGGGTTCAGATCGCTGGTCGATCGCTGGTTATGTTATTTGTTTCAGGTTTGTCTGGAATTGGGCTCGTCCTTGGTTGGTCGTTGGGCACTGTTACTGGTACTGTTGGCGCTGGCAATTGGGTGCTGGGCTGCTATGTTTCCATTTGGTTCTGTTTTCTTCAACCTTCTATTATACTATACGTAGAGGGGTGTGATATAGGCGTTTCGCCTGGTTCTATACTTCATACTAAATGTGGGATGCTGATTGCTGGCTGGTATATTGTATCCTGTAGACTGCATCGTACTACTGTAGCCTGGTGCTTCGTTCGCTTCTTATTAACTGAGATGGGGTTTACAAATTTAGACTATGAGTATAACTAGAAGGACCTCAATTGAATGCCTGGTTTTATTTACTCTAAATCATTGCCCGACTCAGGGAAGGTTAATACCAAGCAAGTCTAAAGACCAAATGCGAAACACACGTATCCGATTCGCATCTGTACATGCAAGTTGAAAAATTTTGACTGCCTTGATTCGCTACTCTAGATTCGCGCTACCAAGTAGCCTAAAAGATCTAGTGTACATAGTGCCGTCCTAGTCGGCTTTTAGGCCCTCTGAGGTGTCCATTATCTAGACCTGCCAGGCAGCACCCAAACAACAAGTTGGATTCAGTACTTTGTTTCGGTATTGAAGACAGATACAGCTTTGTCGTTCTGCACATGCTATTTACTAAATTATAGATTGTGGCATTGCCAGGCTGCCCAATTCCGATATGAAACAGCAAAGCAAGTTACTGTAGCTGTCTAGATGGATGAGGGGCTGGGATATTAAAATATCGGGAACTACTAATATGCATACGATAAAGACTTAGAGATTATCAGATAAGTACTAAATAAATATCAATCAATATATGGATAGCTAGCTTGTAGGCAAGAAATCCGTGAATTCGGACAATTTTTACAAATTTAGACCAGAGTCAAAGCAGAGCCCATGTCGTGCTCCTTCATCAACAAGACCAAACGCCAAACTTCATATAAGATCAACTACAAAAAATTAACTACACAGCCCCGCTGACACAGTAACCCGGAGCAAGCAATCCCGGCCAAACCCCGCAAGTCCAAGAATAGAGCAAAATGAATCATCTTCAATTTCCAACCTCGCCTTACCTTGCATAACATGATGTACAATGCATCCATCTCAGAAGGAAAGATCAAACGCCCAAGCCTCACATGCCATGCATGACAGCCTATACACTACGCCACTGCAATACAGTACTAGCGGTTCTGCGAAATGGAAGCTAGGGAACAAGGTAGCCTACTAGGGCTGACATGGCCTCCGGAATGGGTTCGTGAGCTTCGCCTCAATCTACAAGCAGAGTCCGCTTTGGTGCTTATTTCTCCCCCCTCCCTCTGTCAGAGTCATACTACACTATGATAGTCACCTGCTGGAAATGGGATCAGGAAGCCCAGGAGTGGTACTGGGGTGTATGTGAGAGGTATCTTTGTTTACCCGGTCGAGAATCGAGAACCGGCTTATGTTGCCTAGGCTGGTTGATCTATATTTGGGGCTTGATTTTTACGAGTACGCGGGTGAAGCAGGGCGTAGTGGATAGGGATAGAGTTTGGGGGTTTGGCCTGTGCATCCTGCAGGATCAGGAGCTTGGTTTTAGATATTTGCGTTGGGTTATTGTACATGTGTCCGAGAAACGGGGCATCACGCATGGATTGGGGCCAATATAACGTGTGTTTGGGTAGCCACTGGCGGCTGTATATGGTATAAATCGACGCATATTTTGCGGGCGGTTGGATTGAATCGAGTATTGGTGGAGGTGTGATGGAATGAGGCTTTCATGATTTGGTTTCCCATGTGATAGCATCGGTATTTTCCGAAACGTGATTGAGGTGACAGTTGATTTGGACATGGTCATTTATCTCGAGAGTGTTTCGGAAGAAATGGGCAGCTAGTCAATATGTATCGATAATTGGCAAAGCATGAGATTCGTGTGCGACGATGACTGATCATACGACAAGTATATCGGACTTGTCATCTACCTGCATACCGACAACAGGACAACAAAGAGTAACCTAGAGGGCTTAAGGATTTCTTGACGGCACAGATGGAAACAATGAAGAGCTCTTCAGTCTTTCTTGACTCCGCTTGGCAATTTCGATGTTGCGTAGTCGGTCAATGCGCATCTGATAGAAATTCCTGCATCGCAATTAGAAACAACGGCCATATAATGTCTAAGGGTTGCGTGGGTTCTCGTACTTGTGTAAAGCGAAAATTCGAGGTGAATCATCTGCCTTCGTCTCTGGTTCAGTGCCCTTCTGAATAGAAGCGATCTTTTAAAGAGTCAGCTACCACAATGATACACCATTTGCATGTACATACCTTCTCATCCCTCTCTTTTTCATCATTCGTATTCGAAACTTTAGATTTTTCCTTGTCTTTTGACTTCTCTTTGCTCTTGTCTTTCTCGTCTTTATCATCTTTGCTTTTAGACTCGTTCTCGCGCTCTTTCTTTCGGCGCTGCTTCTCCTCATATTCTTTCTTAACCTTTTCAATTTCTTTGGCCATGGCCTCCTCTTTGGCGCATGCTGCCTGGCCTTCAGTGTCGATTATTGGCGAGCAAAAGTGCCGGTCTTGCAGATGTGCGGGGCACACGTAAAAGAAGTCCTGGGAGGTTAATTAGCAGCTTGTATGCATCATAATTGACAGTTTCACTGCACTGATGTAAGAAACAACAGATATTCTATCCACTGAGAATGTTGATGTTGTCATACCTTGTTGTCTGGCGTGATCATTACGCTCGTTGATGGCTTATAGCAGATCAGGCATGCTTTTGCGGAGGTATCCGCCACGCGACGTACATGGTATACGTTGGCTAATGACATGGCTCAAGGGAGTTTGACTTTTCGGCACTATCCGACTAGTATGGAATCCTCGTTGCTGCCCTGGTACGTGTTTGAGGACAAGTGTCGTTGGCTTGAGGTGATTGGAATGGGCCCGTCATGTGACCCATACTTGGAGCGAACCAAGTCTATAAAACGGAACTTCCAACAAACTGAGAGTAAAAGTAAAATGAAGGCGATCTAGTTGATGGAACAAAAGGTAATGATTCACTAGCTGGATTATATTCCAGCCCACCCAAGCCCATCTTGACAGAACGCCAAACCATGCATCTGTCCACTAAGACCCAATCGGACAGTACTACCGAGAATAATCCAAGAGGTTTTGTATGAGAAATCATGAAATATAGTGAGCATTAAAAAAACGAACAAAACACGATCATTGATCATAATGACTCCTCCGCGTCAATGGCAGCTGCCTCCCTGGCCAGTCTCAAGTCCTTGCCTACGACACCAATGTCCCGCAAGTAAGGCTTGAACGCCGCCAATAGGTCCTTGAGACTACCTCGGAGTGTGTCAAGTACGAGCTCCACCTCTGGGACCTGACGAGCTTTAGCCTGCGCCGTGGGGTCACTAGAAGAGGGGAAGTCGACATCCGTCCAGTGAGCATCCAAACCACCCTGGTGAACAAATGCATCCAGTGTAAGAATAGTGTTAGTAAGGAGACGCACTGTAGGGGGTATGTCGGTCTGGACTTTGCCATATGGGTCTTCAGCCAAACTGGCAGTCAAAAGCCGAGCCAACGACTCCACTGCATCCACAATAGGAGACAACGAAGACACGGGGGCACCGAAAACAATTGACGAAAGGCGCTTGGCGTAAGTTTGTTGGAAAGGTCGACCAATGGGCGAACGCAGGAATTGTGCAAGCAACGGGTTGATGTCCACGGACTTGTGAGTAGTAGACGGGCCGCCGGTCAAAAGTTTCATTTTCTCGGAAGAGCCGAGCAGTCTCTGTTTCCGCTCGGGGCTAAATACAGCCGAGGACGCTTGACTGAAAGCATCGCGCATGCGAGCCCGTGCAGTTGGAGTCCAGTCTTCGGATTGACCAAAAGACTTGGCTGTTGAACTGAACGCATCGCCAAACTTGTCCTGTCGTGAAGTAGCCTTAGGAGCAGCAGAAAAGACGTTCTGGTCTGTCAAGGGCTCAGTGAGACGTGGAAGAGTTTGAAGAACAGGGTCCGATGGCTTGGCTTGCGGTGGTGCTTGGGCAACGGGAGCGGGCTTGGTAATTTGCTCGATCCGGATGGTAACGCCCTTGATAACATCAGTGAGGCTAACTAGGACCTGAGACCAAGTCGAGCCCTTCTCGCGATCAAGTTCACTGAAAATCGCCTTGCGGCGTTCAGGGTTACGCTGGCTGATCAAACCGAGCTCCCAGAGTGCGAAAGTCTTCACGATCTCCTTCTTTGCATTGAGACCATTGAGGAGACTGCCATTGGGATCCTTGGCGTCTGTCGTGAGTGGCTGGCCCCGCTTCAGAGGTTCCTTGCCGATGAACACCGAGAAAGAGAGGTTGGCGGTTTCCCAAAGGGTAACAAGAATCGCACCCGTGTAGATGGTTCGGAGGATAGTGGTGATAGGATCCGGAGGGAAGAAACCTCTTACATCGGCTGCCGACCTTGGGAAATCGGCATAAGTCCGGGCGAAAGCAAAGAACCAGCTCCACACAGTTTGGCGGAAAAACATGAGGTACACAGGAACAGTAGCGCCTGCAGCGAGTGTACTTCTCATACCCCCATCCCGCAAAGTTTGCATCCAAGTTCTCTGGAGGTACTTTGATGTTTGCTGTACCGGGTGAATGCGCTGGTCGTTTGTTCTGGAGCTTCGGTCTGCGATAGGCAAAGGGACACGGTCGTAGTCAGAGTACAGGTGCCACGCCGCCTGCACGCATGCGAGGGAGAAGTGGTAGAAGTGGAGGTAAATTGGTCTTTCATTCAAGGTCACTCGCTCGGGTACCCTATATTTCATTAGTCAAGTCTCGTTACAATTTGGAGACTTTGAACATACCTCCCCCGTTTCACGAGTTGGAGATCATTATCGGCAGATGACGACCAGATATAAATCTGCGTGAACCACCAGGCCGAGAAGATATACCAGCCAAATGTTTGCGCGATTTGGAAGAGAGTAAGTTGTTTAAATGTGCCAAAGGATGAGGCGGATGTTCTCGAGCCGATGTGCATTTGGCTGACGCGAAGGACGAAGACGGTAAGGCAGGAGAGGAAGAGCATTGCGGTTCGAATTCCGCAAGTGCCAATAGGAAACCATAGCCAAAGCCCTGTATCAATCATAAAGGTTAGCAATGTGCGCTCACGGGGCAACCAAACAAGCCTCGGAGCTCGACTCGATAAGATACTTACAGGATGATTTATTCCCGATGAGAATCGCAACTATGTAGCAGACTAGTAGTGAAAGTGCAGATGCATGAACGAATCTTCGGTGCAAGGCCGAGGTCAAGATTCGCCTGTATGGCCGGGTTCGAATAGCAGCCATGATGCAAGCTTTGGGGGGTGGGATGCGCTTGTGAAAGAGAATGTGAGAAAGAATAGAGCATGGTCAGACTGACGAGCCTAGGGACAGCCTGGAAGCTGCAGAATGGAATTGGCAAGCCGGCGACAATGCTGACGAAGAGTCACGGCTGACGGCTGGTTGGGTTGAGCTGGTCGGAATCAGTTAACGGCCAAATCAATGATGGAATATTTTGAGGCATCAAAACACACCAGCCACATGTATCATGTGATATATGGCACTGATGTACTGAGCCATATGTACTAGCCCTTTTTAGACTAGTGGATCCGGTACGTCATGTGAGGGCGGTCTGCCGGCAAAGGCAGCAGGGACCTGCAGATAGTTGCTTTCTTATCCAGTCTCGTTCTACCTTCATTTTTGACACTCATTACTTTGTCGTACTACTGTCATGTCTTTTGATCGCCTCAACTCACTGGAGGCACAGCCTACTACTATGCGCAGGGATGAAGACCCGCAGTACCGTGACGATCCGGGCTTCGATCATCTGGCCGAGTCGCTCTCAGATCAGTTGTTTACATTAACTTCGAACATTTCTCGCTTGTCCAACCAGATTGCCCTTCTCGGAACCAAGCGAGACACCGAACGTGTGCGCGAGCGAGTTCATAATCTCTTGGAGGAGACCCGTGCGGGGTTCAAGGATGTTGGAGAAGGAATCAAGAAGGTCCAGACATGGGAGGACGTGAATGTATGGTTCAGCTCATTCCCTTGCCTTTCAAAACCTTTGATACTAACCTTACCCGTACTAGCCCTCCCAAAAGTGGACCCAGCAGAAGCTGTCCTCTGAATTCAAGGCCACCTTGGATGAATTCCAAACAGTCCAACGCCGGGCGCTTGAGAAACAGCGTGCTTCAGCAGTTGCTGCCCGTACAGCAGTTGAGGATGGTGAACAACCACTAATCGAAACCGATGTGCAGTTACAAGAGCAGCAATTGGAGGAACAGCACCGTATGGCCAATCAGGGCGAGGTGGACTTCCAGGAATCCCTTATCATCGAGCGTGAGACAGAGATTCGAAACATTGAACAGAGTGTGGGAGAACTCAATGAGCTATTCCGGGATGTTGCGCACATTGTCACCGAACAAGGAGGCCAGCTAGATATTATCAGTGAGAATGTCCAGAACGTCACTCAAGACACCCGGGGCGCCAACGTTGAGCTTCGCAGTGCCAGCAGATACCAGAAAAATGCGCGCAACAGGGCCTGCTGTCTGTTCGTGATCCTTGCTGTCATCCTTCTTATCATCGTTCTTGCCATCGTCCTTGGTTAATTGCGATACCTATGATCCCCCTCCGTTCTTGCGTTCCATCCACCACGCAATCCTTGTTTTTTCTACCCTGTCATGTATGCGCACGATATCCCTTTTGCATAATTCTCTTCGGCTTTTGTTTTGTTGGTGAAGCACCTATCTCTTCTAGCTTACAAATCAATTCGCAACATTTAATGTAAATGGAATGGAGAACATTCAATTCATTGTTGACTTTCAATGCTCTAGCACAATATCTTACAGAAGTCAATGTTGTTATACATGCATAATACACCCAATAGGGTCCCAAATCCTGCCTATGCTCCGTTATCGCCTTGCTATGTGCAGCGGGGGTCTATCCCATCTCTCCAGTGATATATTCATAGACCAGTGAATCGGTTGAACCTCAACCTCCAGCCCTCATAACTGTTCAACTTAGGCCGAACATCAAGGAAGAAACTGAGCTTCCCGGGACCGGCATTGCCTGCTAGACCGGAGTTTCCACTGTTTCCTGTTGGCTTCCCTTGGTAAAAGTCGATCACATACTCGATCTTCTCGCCTCCACATCGTTCAACGACCCAGTCATGGCGATCAAATGGATGCTGGTAGCCAAGCCACCCATTGATCCGCGCACGCGGACTGAGGTATTGTGGATCGACACCCAAGCCGCGGAAGGAATATAATTTGGGTCCTCCACATTTTGTGCTGCCTGGGTCTGCTGAGGGGCCTTTTTTCTCCCATTCGAGGATCTGGTTCCATGCGCGCTCATTGACGGCGTTGTGAATTGGAATGATCGAGGCGACGGAGGTCGCAAGTTCTGAGGCGGTTTCGGTAGACCCGGGGGTGTTACCCTTGCGCATCAATGCTTCGAAGAATTGTTTTTCAGATGGGTAGATCCAGTTGCCGGTAGCTTCGTCACGGCCGGTCTCGGTTTCGGCATTGGACGGGCTGCCGTGCGAAGCAGCATATGGAGATGATGCTCCCTTCTTGGCCTCAGGACAGGCGCTGTCGGCACTAAAATCACCAGCTCGGGGTATCGTGCTCACTTCTCGGTCCGTTGATAGTGGTCGTTGCGATTTAGCGCGTGTTTGTCCCTGACCTGCAGGCGCCTGTCGGTCCTCGGATTCCGAGGGATGCGGTGATTTGCCATTTTGCTGCAGCCAAATCTCACGGGTCTTGTGATCAACTGGGCATGTTGCAGGTGGCTCTGCCACAGGAGTACTTGCTCCAGCTCCCATTGTTGAATAATTGGAGATTATTCAGTGGATGATTGATCGGCGCATCAGCAGGAACTAGAGATATTTTGCCCTCACCGCCTGGCTAAACAACATTATCGGTCCCCCCGTTATTTCTCCCCTTTTGTTCACTTGGAAATTTCTCAATTTCGTTCTTTTGTCTGAATTCATAATGGCTGCTTCTAACGAGTCGGTCTACCGGGCTACCACCACTGCCCCGGTCAACATTGCCGTCATCAAGTGAGTTGATCTCGATTGCCCCTCATTCCATGACAGTCCTAATGAAAACATCAAGATACTGGGGCAAGCGTGATACTACTCTTAACCTCCCTACCAACTCCTCTCTCTCTGTTACCCTCTCTCAGCGCTCTCTCCGTACCCTGACCACCGCTTCCTGCTCTGGTAACTTCCCCGCTGAGGACACCCTGAACTTGAACGGCAAGCCGCAGGACATTCAGTCCTCCAAGCGCACTCTCGCCTGTATCTCCAGTCTTCGTGCCCACCGTAAAGCTCTCGAAGATGCCGACTCCTCTCTCCCCGCTCTCTCCAAGCTTCCTCTCCGTATCGTTTCCGAGAACAACTTCCCCACCGCCGCGGGACTGGCCAGCTCTGCTGCTGGATTCGCAGCTCTGGTCCGCGCCGTTGCCAACCTTTACGAACTACCTCAGTCCCCCAAGGAACTCAGTCGCATTGCTCGCCAAGGCTCAGGCTCTGCTTGTCGCTCCCTGATGGGCGGCTACGTCGCATGGCGCACCGGCGAGCTTGTTGACGGAAGTGACAGCCTGGCTGAGGAGGTCGCCCCCGCGTCTCACTGGCCTGAGATGCGTGCTCTGGTCCTTGTTGTCAGCGCCGAGAAGAAGGATGTCCCTAGCACAGAGGGCATGCAGACCACCGTCGGAACCTCCGCTCTCTTTGCCGAGCGGGCACAGAATGTTGTTCCCCAGCGCATGACGGCCATTGAGACTGCGATCCGTGACCGCAACTTCCCTGATTTCGCTGAGATTACCATGCGTGACTCCAACACCTTCCATGCTACCTGCCTTGACTCGTGGCCCCCTATTTTCTACATGAACGACGTCTCTCGTGCCGCCGTCCGCCTTGTCCACGATATTAACCGTATTGTTGGCCGCACTGTTGCTGCCTATACCTTCGACGCTGGCCCCAATGCCGTCATCTACTATGAGGATAAGGACTCCGAGCTCGTTGCCGGAACCGCCAAAGCCATCCTCGGCCCCAAGACCGAGGGCTGGGACGGTGCTTTCTACGATAGAATTGCCAATGTTACTGCTCCCGGAGTTTCCCTGGACCAGGTTGACTCCCGTGCCGTTGAGGTCCTCAAGGACGGTGTGAGCCGTGTTATCTTGACTGGTGTCGGAGAGGGTCCCATCAAGGTTGACACTCACCTTGTCAGCGAGACTGGTGAGATCATCAGCTCCTAGACAATGCGGAGGTGAATAATGGGCATGTTAGCCATTCTTTTGGAAGGTTTGATTACCTGAAAGATACCCTATCGTCCTTTTACAACTTTGCATGGGACCAATTCAACTTGGCCATACGAAATTGATGCAGATATTCACTTCACTGTATCCCTTTCATTGTTCGGGACTATCTAGAACATAATAATACAATACGAGCGTGAATTTAACGATCATATACATAAATGACTTTCATAATCGCCACTACAGACAACACGCAAACTAATAACCCATCACCTTATCTTGAAATATCCATTGACATCCACTCTGCAAGTCCTCCTATTAAACGAGCAGTACGATCAGCATGAGCCACAATCATCACAGCGCCGGAACCCATATCCAAGGGCCTCACAAGCCTGAATAAACCTGCTCTGCTGACTCCCAGCATAAACACAGCAACCAGCAAAGCCGCATCCACTTTCACCATAAGAAGCACCGGTATGATCACACGCATAGCGAGAATGTTCAGAACTGCCAGCACAAGAGCATTTGATAGATGGGACCACTTGAACGGGCGCAAGAGCTCCCACGCCCAGAAGCATAGCAAGAATGCTCCAGATATAGAGGCTCATCTTCTATATAAATAGGTGCTGTTAGACTCAATCTGGTTGTATATCCGGGGACATAACTCAACAGCTTGATGGTATAACTGCGCTTATCTGATACTGTTTCTTGGATGTCCAGTAAATAAGAGACGTTAGCTAGTTTTTATATACCGCTCGGTTAGGGGTTGTTCTCATATCCTTCGTAGTTGGCTTGGCTACTGGATACACGGCAGACCTATGTAACATCTTCGTGTCATTGTGGGAAGGAGTCGTAGTTGTTGTCTTCCCTCGAGATGGCTGCGCTTCACGACGTATTTCGGCTGGGATATACCCCGTCATTCGGAATAAATTGGAGGTGGCTTTGTTACTATGGACATGATGTACATGATCAATTGTGTGTTACATAGACCTGCATACTACATGCTACCTCGTGGGCATGCTCTCTATGAACTTGAGTTGCCCACAGCGTGCAGCACACTGTATTTTGCATTTTAAGCAGGTATCATGTCATTAACTCACATTGATGACCTGGTATACTGCTCGAGGGCTCAATATATGTTTTGGATATGACTCGGATTTGTCTCTCACAAGGTGCGGTATCCTTATACGTGGGAGCCAAGCCAGAGGACTCGGAAATGTATATTCATCCCCGCTCGTTGGCATGAGTCCTGGTTCGCAGCTTTAACGCAATCAAAATTTGTCCTGAAGTTTACGGATCGAAAAGACCAACCTGTGATTGCCCCCAGGAGCAGGGAAGATGCCATCTGCATGATTGCTCAACAGTGTTGCATTGTGGCAGTATAGGTCTAGAGAGGTATCGGTAAGACTGGGGCACCCCGACAAGAGATATAGAAACCAACCTTGAAAACACATCTAATATATGGTCAACAAGAGGGCCTTCCATTCCTTTGCTGATATTCACGTATCACTCGTGTCACGCATAGCATGGAGACTCCTTGCACATAAATATCACCTTCTCGATGGATGTCAAGGATTAACAGAGCTCATGGGTTGATTGACCCGTCTGACGTTCTGCTTGTGTGCCGTTTGCATTGAGCTAGAGATTATCTGTATCTTCCATGGGAACAGACATCTTTCCCCTAAACGAAAACCTGTGCACAAGGCTGAATCTTCCAACCTAGCCTTTGTTAGGGTATCCTAGCAAGGAACAAACCTCCCTGGTTCCAGGGCGTATTCCTGGAGTCTACATGAATATTTTATATGACTGAGAATAGAAGCTACTTTCATTTTGATAATGGACATATGTCAATGCTATAGTCTATCCTCACCGACAGCTTCAAGCCAGCAAAGAAGATTTCTTCATTTCCTTCACGATAGGGATCTCCTTGACACGCGCGGAACCCCCACCCTGAACAATAGCAATGCTTTCAGCCAAGACTCCACTGCCTCTACCACCGTAAATAGGTGGAATATGAGGCTCATCGGGATTCTCATCCTCATCCTCATCCTCATTCTTCTTTTTCTCCACGACGGGGACTTCAAAGACCTCGTCTCGACAATCTGCACACATAATGGAGACTTCCAGCAACGCCTTCTCAACGGCAGCTGCCCGCTCGCGCATGCCGCGACGCAGAAGTGCATCAACGAGGGTTTCGGTCTCTGTCACGCTGGAGTTGACGCGTTCCATGAGGCGTCGGATACTGTTAACCAGGTACTCCTCCTCGTACACGGTTCCCTTCTTACCACGGGCCCGCTTGCGCTCTTCCCGTCTGCGGGTTTTTGAGGTGTAGCGGGTCATGCCTGTCTTGCCGGTCTTTCCGGTGTTGCCTGTGTATCGGGTGAACATGGAGCGGCCAGCAAGCGTCGATGCATCTGTTGGTGCCAGTGAGACGTTGTCAGGGATGTCGATGCCTGCGTCGCCTCCTGTGGGATCACCACCGAAGAAAGCGAGAGGGTCGGCAGCGCGTAGCTGGCGGAGTTCGCGGAGGCGTGGGACTTGGGCGTTGAGTTGGGATCTGCAATCGGCTAGAAGGTCTGTCATGTTGCCCATTGCTTCAGCCAGACCGGAGTCGACGATCTCGGCGACTAGGTTCTGCTTGCCGTTCAGTGTGAGGAGACGAGCGGCGTCAGCGAACTTTGAGCCTCGGCAGAGCAGCCGTGCGGCTGTGACAAAGTCGCGCAGGTGCTCGGCGTAGATTGTGGCTGCTGAGACGTAGTCTTTGTTCTCATCGATCAAAGTCGAAGCTAGGCCTTCGATATGGGCGGTCAGGTCCTCCTCGGAAAGAGAGGCCATCATTGCGCAGTACAATGATTCGCGCCACTTGTGGGCCAGGTTATAGCACTTGTAGGCGCTCTCGTAAAGTTCAAGAGATTCGTAAGCTGGGGAGATATTAGTATATTGTCTTCATTCAAATATCAGGTCACTTACCAATTGCCGCATCCTTGTATTGGTTCTGGTCTTGAAGATGGTCGGCATAGAGCTCGGTGATTTCACGTAGTTGCTCTGCTTGATACTTATAGAGCTCGAGGGCTTCTTTGTACAAGACATGCTTGACGACATATGCGCGAATTTCATCATGGGCATTCAAAGCGTACAGATGCTTCAGAGCCTTTCCAAAGCGGCTGAGATGGTTGTCGATCTCAAATTGACGTCGGGTTTCTGGAAGCTGCTGCAGCTTACGGAGGAAAGGAAGATACTCGCGAGGATCCATCTGGGCCTGTTGGGCAACCAAGAGAGTAAGCTCAAGGTCGTAAATTCCCAGAGCATGAGAGTAAAGTCGGTGTGCATCTGTCAAGAAACACATGTGCTCGATGGCATCTTCAGCCTGCTCGGTGTTTTGTGTTCTCAGGCCCGCAGCAAGTCCAAGACCGGCTTCTAAGTCTGGCGGAGATTTGCAAACATGGGCCGTGATGATGTTCTGCAAGTTGGTATCGACGCGTGTTTGGAGAGTCGCCAAGAAAGCATCACAAATCTGGTTAATTTTGCTCTCCTTTTTGGCTGACGCCGGCAATGAAGGAGCTGGAGCATCTGCTTGTGCGACAGCCGCAGACTCGTGCTTGGAAATCTTCAGCGTGTCCTTATAGAGTGTCTGTGAAACATCCTCTTCCCTGCATAAAACTTAGCAAATAATGTCAATTCGGCCATATCTGGATGTAAACATACTGCAGACGGGACAAGAAGTCATCAATATAATCGATCTTCTTGACTTGATCAATGAATAACGGGATATTTGCCAAGAACTGTTCAGGAGCATAATCGTGAAGGATGTTTAGATCGACCATCTGGCTTCGGCATGCCATGAATGCAGATCGGTACTTCTTTTGGTCAATAAAGGTACGAATTCCGGCCAGCACCAAAGCACGAGGGAAGATAGTTTCAATGTTTCCACGGGGAGCTTGGAGCACAACTGCAAAGATTGACGGCATCACAGAAACCAAGCGGGAGCCGCGTTCGATACTTCTGCACCGCTCGTCAATTTCGGGTGTGTCTTCTGGGATTTCCATATCTTCGCGTCCATGTTAGATTTTACAACGTACGTAGCCGGGACAGTCAGATCTTACCTTCCACGTGGTTAAGATGAATAAACTTCAACAGATGCTGAGACGTGGTGAACAGTAGATGAGACGGTGTCACGAGGAAAGATGTGCAGTTCCTTGCGAGGACTCGCTTGTTTGCATACAAGCCACCACTTCTTGACATAGTGATCAAGATGCGCTAGATGAGTTAGCAATTCTGTCCAAATCTATATAGATCAAGCAATCTTACCTCGTCCTCGGAGATGGAGACAACACGAGCCCAATGGCTATCAACACTGGGACTATCACCCCAAGGGACAATATCCGGGTTATTTAATGACATTTCAATACTCGAGTAGCCAACGGGACGGCCGGGTTGAGAGGCATGGGATAACCATAGAGCTTCATGTCCAATTCCGGCAAATATCGATGATAATTGCTCGGAGTCTGCAGCCTCGTACACGGCTTCAGTCGTCCGACGTTCCAAGATAGTCCGCTCAATGCGGCTAGCATTTGGTCCAGTGTTTCGGAGCACAAAGACCTCGGTATCATTCAAAAATGCAATCTGCCTAGGTCGACTGGCAGGCTCATCAGGTAATGGGTAGCTCGACTCAAGAATCGGAATAGGAACGGGCCGGCTTTTCAGAGACCAGATGTAGACTGCGAAGCTGTTGCTGAATAGGACAGCAATGCGGGTTCCTGATTTGCTGAATGCAACATCAATAGCGTTGGAGTCCATAGCTAGCTCATTATGCGCCATTGGGGGTGGAACACCAGCCAATCGCAATGGGGTCAGCCTGAGGTTTTGTCCGTCAAGTACGGCAACGGCACCCACATCGTCCGGAATAGAGGTAGATCCGTGGCTGGTATCAAACACATAGTCTGCATCAAGGATGCAGCCTGCGGAGCCAGCAACGAATCGGAGTGCCTTCTCTTGGTGCCATTCGAGAGAGAACGGATGCGAGTAGGAGGGATCAACAACAATTGGGATTTCTTGCTTCAAATACCAGTGGTAATTCCCGGTAGTCCAAAGTTGAATGCGGTCTTGGAACTTGACAGCGAGAACGGTTGAATCGACGTTCCAAGCAAGATGGATACGAGAAGTCCATGGCTTTGTCTCGGCATTGGTGATACGGAGAGAAAACTCGCCGTGGCGAAGTCCATTACGTTCGAAGAAGACCACGTCAATACGGTCATCAACCCGTTGAATTCCTGCGAGAAGACTTCCGGACGGACGCCAGCTGAGGGCGCCTTCGAGTCCATCAACCGGCTCGCTCACGCTGTCCAGAGTACCCTCTCTTGAGTACACTCTGATAGCGCGGCGAGTACCAGCCTCAATGCTGTTCACGGCGACATAAGCTCCATCTCCTCGCCAGGTAATAGTGGTGCAACCGTCGTCATGGCTGCTCAGAATTCCTTGGTCAATCTTCTCGGGTACAGTCGGGTCTCGAAGAGCCTTGGCTCTCTTTCCTTGGAACTGTGTTTCTTTCTTACCCCATCCTACCGACACATGCTGTGAAGCTTGCATGTCACTCGGAGTAAAGGTAATATCGGCGACATTCTCGAACTCTCTGGTCATATAAAGGAAAGTCTGGGCTCTGGTGGTGAGAGCTAGGAGCTCCTCATCAGGAGACCATGCAGCAGCTGTAATACCCACGTCGACGGAACCAACAATTTCAATCTTATCTTCACCAGGCAGAGGCTCTTCACGCACAACCACGATATCGCCTCCCTCTAGCACCAGGCAAGTAGTCAGGTTGTCTGCAAAGTAATGCAGAGAAAGGACACGGTCACACGCCAGGTCTGGCAGAGGGCATGGAGCATCCCAAGACGCAATGCATTCGAATGCCTCCGGGCTGAGAGGGTCTGTTGAGGTGATCTCGGGGCGCTTTCGCCGCACCTCGATGATTGCATTGTTCTCAGCGGGACCAAAGGTGCACACCACTGCATCAGACGAAGTATCCCATGCAGTTGCTGTAAGAGGAAGCTCGCCCTCAAGCTGTGTCTCGGCGAGACGCACATTTCTCACGTTGCGCATTTTCCAGGAACGGTAACTTTTTTCTATGCTTCTTTTGTTACCCCGCCATGAAGCAACCAGGGCGGTAAACGTATGAAATTTCACGAAAAGACGAGCAAAGGCAGGTTACAGTGACCAGCTACGCTTTCTCTTGACAAGAAGCGTGGAGAGTGGGTGTGTTGAGAATTGATATCAAACTCGCGCCGACCCAGAGATTTTTTGATTTTCCACAGCGGCTCAGCCAATGACTTCATCCACATCTCAACGTCCTTATAGCTACGAGTTTCAACGTCTACACGGTTACAATAGAGGCATTGAGGCGCAGAAATGTCAATAATAATCTCTAGCTTTGTACATGATATCCAATTGCTTCCCCAAGCCGAGATTTCGGACTCCAGACTGTCGCAAGGACAAGACCAATCTATTTGGTCTTGTAGGTTTGCCAAACTAGAAGACCTGTTAGCGCGTGGTCAAAGCAAGATATTGCTAAGGCGACGTATAACTCACCAGCAATGGCGAAGGGAGAACCGAATCCGGTAACTAGATGAGGGTCGAATTAGTCACGCCTCTGCGCAGAGGTCCGGGGGAACACAAACCCATGAAGGCCCAGTATCTCCAGAAGAAGCGCTTGGTCATAGGGTTGAAGGGAATGTTGGTACGAGGACCCTCGGCGTAGTGGTAGGGGCTACCGAGTTGGGTGCGAGTGGTGGAGAAGCCACGACGGGCAGCGAAGGAGGTGGCCATCTTGGCCCGGATAGCGGAGGAGAACATCTGTTGTAAAAAGTAGCTGTGAGTAGTTGCAACAAGTCCAATTGCGCTAGAAGGTGCCTACCTTGCCAGATAGAGAGGAGAGAGTGGACGATCGGAAAGGGACGGACGAGGCCTAACGAGATCATCCCATTCCGCACCTTGCGATGTTCAACATCACGTGAGACATACACTAGCGCCGTTTTGGGGCCACCCCCACCGCTTTCCCCATCTGGAAACTTTCAATTTTCTCAACCCAGAAAAAGTGCAGCGCAATCACAACGCTCATTCTACTCCCGTGATTGATATTTCGGCTTCGCTGGAGATGGATGAGCTCTTTGATGTCTTTGAGGACACGCCTCAGGCGGTAACCCCGTCCGAGGCTATCCCAAAACGTCCCAAGAAGGACAAGAGCAAGAAACGCCAGGTGAATGGCGACGTCAAGAACCCCGAAGACGCCCAGACTGAACCGAACGAGGATACCGTCTTGCCAGATGCATCTGCTACAGAGTCCAAGCCGGCAGTCGCCGAAGCACCCACTCCCGAGAACGATCAACCCGATGCGAAGCGACCCAAATTGGACGATGAACCTGCGCCAGTACTTGCGGATTCTTTTGAAACCGAAGGACAAGTCGAGCTTGCCAAACTGCAAGGTGAAGAAGAGTCTATGAAAGTATCCCACCAAGTGCGCCATCAGGTCGCATATCCTCCGAACTATCCCTACGTGCCTCTTTCGGAGCACAAGCCGCCAGCAGAGCCAGCAAAGAAATACTCCTTCACACTTGATCCTTTCCAGCAACTTGCAGTCGCCTCAATTGAACGCGAGGAAAGCGTTCTGGTCTCGGCCCATACTAGTGCAGGAAAGACCGTAGTGGCAGAGTATGCCATTGCGCAAAGTTTGAAGAAGAACCAGAGAGTGATCTACACGAGTCCAATCAAGGCGCTGTCTAACCAGAAATACCGTGAATTTGCTGCCGAGTTTGGTGATTGTGGTTTGATGACTGGTGATGTGACAATCAATCCTACAGCTACTTGCCTCGTTATGACTACTGAGATTCTCCGCTCCATGTTGTATCGTGGTTCTGAGATTATGCGTGAAGTACAGTGGGTCATTTTCGATGAAATTCATTACCTGCGAGACCCAACCCGTGGTGTTGTTTGGGAAGAGACACTCATCCTCCTGCCCGACAAGGTCCGCTACGTTTTCCTGTCTGCTACTATCCCCAACGCTATGCAATTCGCCGAGTGGATTGTGAAGATGCACAACCAACCATGCCACGTCGTTTACACCAACTACCGTCCTACACCGCTTCAGAACTATTTCTTCCCCGCTGGTGGAGACGGCATGCACCTAATTGTCGACGAGAAGGGAGTGTTCCGCGAAGAAAATTTCCAGAAGGCGATGAGCTCAATTGCCGACAAGAAGGGTGATGATCCCGCCGATGCGATGGCCAAGCGCAAAGGAAAGGGCAAGGATAAGTCTTTGAACAAGGGTGGAAACAAGGGCCCATCGGATGTCTACAAAGTCGTAAAGAGCATCATGCTGAAGTCATTGAACCCTGTCATTGTGTTCAGTTTCAGCAAGCGTGAATGCGAGGAAGGCGCTTTGCAGATGTCCAAACTAGCATTCAACGATGACTCGGAGAAGGAAATGGTGACCAAGGTCTTCGAAAGCGCCATCTCAATGCTGTCCGAAGAGGATCAAAAATTGCCTCAAATAGAAAATCTCCTTCCGCTTTTGCGCAGAGGTATTGGTGTTCACCACTCTGGCTTGCTGCCTATTCTTAAGGAAACCATCGAGATTCTGTTCCAGGAGGGTCTCATCAAAGCTCTATTCGCCACTGAAACTTTCTCCATTGGTCTGAACATGCCCGCAAAGACTGTTGTTTTCACGAGTGTGCGCAAGTTCGATGGTACCAGCCAACGCTGGGTCACCCCATCTGAATTTATTCAAATGTCTGGTCGCGCTGGTCGACGAGGTCTCGATGACCGTGGTATCGTAATCATGATGGTTGGCGAAGAAATGGACCCAGCTGTGGCGAAGGAAATTGTGCGCGGTGAACAGGACCGACTCAACTCCGCATTCCACCTTGGCTACAATATGATTCTCAATCTTTTGCGTGTGGAAGGCATATCGCCCGATTTCATGCTGGAGAGTTGCTTCAAGCAGTTCCAGACCACTGGAAATGTGTCAAGTTTGGAGAAAGAGCTTCAGGATTTGCAGGACAAACGGACCAACATGGTCATTCCGGATGAGGGCACCATTCGCGAGTACTACGACCTAAGGAAGCACCTGGACACACTCGCAGATGATGTCCAGCAGGTTGTGAGCCACCCGAACTATTCTCTGCCTTTCATTATGCCTGGCAGACTTGTCCATATCAAACATCAAGGCCAAGATTTTGGATGGGGAGTCGTGGTCAAGCAAACCCAACGCAAACAAGCGAAGAATGAAAAGGAGCCATTAACCCCTCATCAATCCTACATTGTCGATGTGCTTTTGAGGCTTGCGGAGGGCCCATCCATCGGCACTAAATCTCACCAAGACATCCCGTCCGGCATTCAACCCGCAAAGGAGGGAGAAAAGGAGCGTATGGAAGTTGTGCCCATTGTGCTCAGCTGCATTCATGAAATCTCACACATTCGGATTTTCCTCCCGAAGGATATCCAGGGGGCCGACGCGCGAAGCGGGGTGAAGAAGTCTTTGGATGAAATCAAGCGACGTTTCCCAGATGGTCTTCCGTTGCTTGATGCTATCGAGAATATGAAAATCACGGATGACTCCTTCAAAAAGCTACTACGGGTAAGATTCAATTTCGTTCTAAATACATGATTCGCGTTACTAACGAGGTACAGAAAATCGAAGTCCTCGAATCTCGTTTGCTGAGCAACCCTCTCCACAACTCACCTCGTTTGGCCGAACTCTATGAACAATATGCCGAGAAGGTAGAGTTGGGAACAGAGATCAAGGCCGCCAAGAAGAAGATCTCTGACGCCATGGAGATCATGCAACTTGAAGAGTTGAAGAATCGTAAGCGTGTGCTGCGTCGAGTCGGATTTATCAACGAGGATGAAGTCGTTCAGTTGAAGGGTCGGGTCGCTTGCGAGATTAGCTCTGGTGACGAGCTGATGCTGAGTGAGCTGCTGTTTAACGGTTTCTTCAACAACCTTACTCCTGAGCAGATTGCAGCCATTATGAGTTGTTTCGTGTTTGAAGAGAAGGTCAAGGAAGCTCCTCCATTGTCCAAGGATGAGCTGGCGAAGCCTCTCCGGGAGATCCAAACACAAGCTCGCACGATCGCCAAGGTTTCCCAGGAGTCCAAAATGGCTTTGAATGAGGATGAATATGTTCAAAGCTTCAAATGGGAGCTTATGGAGGTGGTCTACGATTGGTCCCATGGCAAGTCCTTTGCCGATATCTGGTAAGCATGCCCCGTCCTGTCTCACTATCCATGTACTAACTTCTTACCAGCAAAATGACCGACGTCTACGAGGGAAGCTTGATCCGTGTCTTCCGCCGGCTGGAAGAGTGTTTGCGGCAGATGGCACAGGCTGCCAAGGTCATGGGCAGCGAGGACCTGGAGAGCAAGTTCGAAGAGGCTCTGACGAAGATCCGCCGCGACATTGTTGCTGCTCAATCTTTGTACTTGTAGATACGATATCCCATATTCATTTTTTTGTATCAAGCAAAATGCATACTTATGTCACATTACCCATACGACGTAGTAGATGTAGATGATGCGGGTACTGTAGCTTTGCCCGAAAACAGTGGGGTCCACCCATTTAGCTTGGACCATGTCAAAGAAAGAAAAAGAAAGAATCATCTGAAACAAAATAGTATTAACATCACCTTATTATAGACAGTTTTTCACTGCGAGGCAAATCTCCTTGAAAGCTGCACAGAGGGATTGCGTTGCCGCCCGCAACGCCTACTTTTTCTCCACCGCTTCTCTTCTCGACCTTTCTCTCCCCACCTCACCTTTGGGCATACTTTTTGACTGCCCCTGTCTTTCTTTTCTTCGGTCTTTCTCGAGACCACAACATCTGCTTTGCCATTAGGCTGTCATCATGAACAGTCTGGTGGCCACACCTCCTGTCCCTCCTCACTTCTACGAGAACCCCCGATTCTCTCCCTCCCGTATGAGTAAGACTATCCCTTTCCAACATTTTGTTCTCTGGCCTGGCGAGAAAGTGCTAACAAATATGTCAGTGTCTACACCGTCGTCGTCGTATTCGAACCGTAAACGGAAAGCCGATGACGATGGCAACGATCATGATGGACGCATGTCTGCCTCGCCTACCAACTCTCCCGCCTTCACACCTCGTCAACTCCCTCACAACTACCGTAACGTCAAACGTTCCCGACCGAATGTTTCAGGTCGACCTCTGTCTCTCCCTCGTTTGCTAGAAACCCTCGACACAGATGCGTTGAGAACAGTGGTACGAACCATGTGCGAGCGTCACCCTCAGCTCGCCGACGAGGTTGTGCACACCTCTCCCCGTCCGAATGTTTCTTCAACCCTCCAAGTGCTTCGAAACTACCAGGCCGCTCTCCAGTCATCCTTCCCGCTGGGGGGTAACACTGAGTCGGACTATGCCTACAACCGAGTCCGACAGCCACTCACAAACCTTCTTGACGCCCTGAGTGATTTCACTCCCAACTTCCTCCCGCCGAACGAATCCCAAGCATCCACCTCTCTAAGCTACCTAGACGGAGCAACCGATATCATCCACGCTCTGCCTCGCTGGAGCTCGCCACAGAACAACATCGAACGATACTCCGCCTATGACGAAATCTGCAAGGCATGGATTCTGGTGATTCGGGAAGCCGCCAAACGAGGTGGCGGTATCCAGCTGCAGTATGGTGGCTGGGACCAGAAGCTGGCCAAGCACAACCAGACTTCTGGAGGAAAGCTACAGGGAGCAGTCAACGAACTGGGTTATAGCCTGGGATGGATGAACGGACCAGAAACACCAACCCACGGATCTAGTGGCGAGATGGGCTCCATACGGGACCAACTTCTCTCGGGCACATATGGTCTGGGAACCCCAGTTAGGGTTGGACCGTGGTGATGAATCAGCTTGCTCCGATCTACTTTATGAACGACCACCTCTACAACACACACCGCTCTTGCGTCCCGGCTTCACCTCTCACACCCATGCCGGCTCACGCTCAAGCTTGAAATACGGTCCATACCCCTTCGACCGCGCAATTTTCGACGTATGTCACGATCACGATACCTGCTGCATGACCTTAGAATCGACATGGTCTCAGATGGCGTTATATTACTCAAGGCGAATCCAATGACAGTCTTCTTTCTGTCTCTTTTTTCTTTTCTCTTTTACTGGCTGGAATCTTCTGTGTTTAAATGTTGCGCCAAATTTCCCATTCAACTCGCTCAGATCCCAGTACTGCTTCTTGTCCCTTTTTTCTCTTTTGTCGTATTTCGAATTCCCACGCAAGCCCTTACTTCTCTTTCTTTCCGTCTTACCTTGCATCTACCATGTACTCCATCCAAACTCCCATTCTCTCCTTCCAACATCAAATGATGCGCTGGAATCGCTTACATTCCTGTCCTTTTCCTTCCCTGTCTCTATATTGGATGCTTTTGAATTCCAACATCCATTTCTGTTTTTTGACTTCCGAGCACCGCCTTGTCTTGTTCCTGTCCGTGTCTTCTTGTCATTTGCATAATCCGATGAAATACGTGTTCGTCAAAAGCAGCGGTCTTGGTCCTAGCTCGACTGACTTATCTGTGGTCCCTAGGCCCGTTCGCGCTTTTCAGCTCTGGCTCTGTCAGCTGAAAACGTTGTCCTACCATATGAAAGAAAGATGCCTCATCTACCCCTTTTGTCTACGGTACACTCTGGTCCTGATATTTCGTGCAACTTGCCTTTTTATGTGTTCTGGGTGGTCGGTTGGTCCATCTTTTTTACGCTAGCTTGTTGCATTTCAATCCAATCGCTTATTATTATTCTTCTTTTTTCATAGAACGGATACTGAGCTCTTCGGTTTTGAAAGATATGAGTACTTCATTTAGTCATAACTTATCATTTTTGCTAGGCTGTATGCATAGTATATAATAGCATATCCAGCTCGCTTCACTTCATAGACAATCTGGGAGAATTAAGGTATTAAAGTAACACCAATGAAACAAAAGCAGAAAACGTATTTACAGACATCCCTCTGGAAGATATCTCTCAAGAATTCATACCAACACCTGCTTCACAACACGGAACAACCACCCAGCATCCTCCCACCCACCCTTCGCTCCAGGTTTCTCAACAGGAACAACATCCTCATCAGCCTTCTCAGAGTCACCATTACCATCATCAGACGCCTCCCCAACCGAAAGCAAATCATCACGCTCTCTCTCCTCCACAGCCTCCAAAATAACTGGTTCCTCAAACGTAACAGTAGTACTCGTCTCCGCAGTTCCAATCCTCGAAGCAGCCGCAACAGCACCAGCAGCATCAGGTACAGACGCAGGCCATTCCTCAACCCCAAAAAGGGTCCACTCAACCAATCGGTCAATCCACCCTCCAAGCCCGAATCCGCGCTCGCGCGTTAACTGCTGCAAATCTGCTTCGTCGAAGTCATCCGGCGTCTCATCAGACTCGTAGTCATATTCGGACTCTGATGTATCGACATCCTCCCCATCCCAGAGTTCCGAATCTTCATCCGAGAAGGAGCGATGATTTCGGTGTTGCAAAGTAGCCATCTCAGCGCGAATACGCTCATCTACAAAGTCAGGCACAAGACTTCCCCGCCCACGGATCTCAGGACTAGCCGTCCCAGTCGCAGCCCCCGTTGCAGGACCCGAGTCCGAACTGGGCATCCGCCCTGCTGAATTCGTATTCGGTGATGATGATGATACAGGGATAGTAGTCATAGTCAACCCAACCCGACTCCCACGCCGACTCCCACCCCTAGACCGAGAACTACGGCGGGATAGTGCACCAAGCCCTCCAGGCGTTGAAGCACCGGACCGGGATTTGCGTAATGATGTGCCTGATTTGGTGCGGTGGTGGTGGTGGCGGGAATTAATAGCGGTATTATCATCACGCATTTCAACAAGACTAGTCGAGCTTTCGCGTTTAGAGAGCCAGCTCTGGCCTTTTTCCTCGCGCGTTGACGAGGCCAATGCTATGCCGGCGCGCAGCATCCATTCTGCGTCTGTTTTGGACGTGTGTGATGTATCCGTTTCTGGGACGTGGCGACGGCCTGGGAAGGTGCTTGCTGGTTTCTTGATTGTGTTGCTGTGATGGAGGGGCGTGGAGATGGCGTGGCTGTGCAGGTTTGAGTCACTTGAGGGTCCTGTTCGGCTGGAGCTTTTGCTGCGTGTGTGCCGGTTGCGTGAGCTGCTGCGTGAGTGGGAGAGGATTGGGGGCGTGCTTGGAACTGAGATGCTGGATAGGTAGGAGGGGGCTGGATATTCGTGGCTGGTTGTGGTTGTTGGAGAGTCGGTTTCGTGGTTGAAGTAGTCTGTTGGTTCTGTGTCGTCGTCTATGGGGAATCGTGGGGTCAGTGGTGCTAGAGAGACGTGGTTGAGATTGGGGTATGAGCGCCGCGAGCGAAAGCCACCCGAGCTTGTGGTGAACTGTGGTTTGTTAGTATTCCTTAAGCTATAAATGGGATTTAGGTCTGATATTCACCTCCATTATGGGGTCCAACATGGAGAAAAGAGGAAAAACGGCGAAGATGGGGAAAATGCGGAGTTGATGCACGTGCGGTTGGCATGTGAAAGCCGAGCCCGGCAATGCGATGTTTTGAAAACGATCATTCTGTAAAAAGAGTGGAAAAAATAAATTGAACTGAGTTATAGCAACTGAGCATTTAATAAAACTTGTCGAGGTGGACTGACAATAGTAACACAGGAAGTATACTTATCATATGATGGTGGCGCGGTCATTAGGGCTAGCGGTGAGCATGTTACAATTTGAGCTCATATAGATCATGTCAAAATCAACAGAGAAATGCATTAATTTATACAAGATAGCCATGGAATATATACAGCTCAAAATCTTTTAGCATCGACTCACAGGCGTGAATCCTGGAAGTCCAACACATCAGCACCCTTGATGCGCAAGTCTTCGAGAACATTGTACTCCATAATCCACTTCATACGCTCCATCAAAGCATCAGGGTTGAAGGTGCTGTCCAGCTGATCAGGAGAGTCAGAGCTAGCAAGCTTACCAGCCTCGTAGCTAGTCTTAGTAACCCGGTCCGTCCGAGGCTTGCGCAGATTCTGGTAGAACTTGAACGCATCCTCAAGGCTATCACCCTTCCAGTGGCGCAGAACGGTAGCAAGGGCAATGCCGGACTCAATAGCCATGCAAGTCCCCTGGCCTTGGTGGGGAAGAGTGGAGTGAGCAGAATCACCCAGCAGAATAATACCAGCATCCTTCTGACCATCTGCCTTCATCTCATACCACTTCTCAAGCGGGTCACGCACATACAAAGCCTGCTTGAGCATCTTACCATCAGGCGAGCCCTTTTTCAAACCAGCAATGATATCTTGCACAGCCGGACACCAGTCACGCACATGCTCGTGCAAGCTATCGATATCGGAACGGGCCATCCAGCCCTCGGTATCCCAGGATTCAATAGGCTCAGACATGAAACCAATGACAGCAGCACGGTCGGTCTGCGTGTCCTTGTTACCAATAGGCAAGATCAGAATATGGCGCTTGGGACCACGGAAGTTGACAGTCCTGCGGAGCAGCTGCGCCGTCTCAGTGGGGAGATCTTTATAGTCGACGAAGCCACGGTACACAACTTGGCCGGAGTAGTTGGGGTCATCGCCGAGCCCCATATCCCGGCGCACATTCGACTTGATGCCGTCGCAGCCGATGACAATGTCTGCGTCGGTTGAGCTGCCATCCTGGAAATGGAGGGTATATGGGGCTGAGCCGGCAGCAGTATTGCGGTCCACAGTTTTGAGGTGCTTGCCCAAGCTAAGGCGTGATTCGGGAATACGCTCCTTCAGCGAGTCGAGGAGGTGGGCGCGGTGCAGGAGACGAGTGGGGGGCTCCGAAAATTCTTCAATTTGGCCCACATACTCGCCTGTCTTATAGTTGTGGTATTCCATGTAGGCCGGGAGCTGGCCGGATGAATAGCGGGTCATGCTCTCTTTCAGGCCAAAGGTGTCTAGGATGCGGTTGGCGTTGGACGTGATGCTCACTCCGGCGCCGACTTGGCCGAATTGGGGTGCTTGTTCGTATAGTTGGACATTCTTCAGACCGGTGTATAGGGCGGCATTGAGGAAGGACATGCCTCCGAGGCCACCGCCGACGATGGCTATACGCTTGTCTTCAAAGCCCATTGTGAAAGGTATAAAGTATACAAAAGAAAGGAAATGGAGGAGGGTATCTTGTTCACAAAGAAGAGGAGATAGGTGGTTGTTATAAGTTCATGAGCGATGCATAAGTATGGCCATCGGGACGCCGTCTCCGCCTCCAGGATTGCCGTTCCGATCAACTGGTTTGGTATTGGTCTTCGGAGCGTGGAGAAAGCGTGGGGTGCGAAGTTCTATGAAACTTCCGAGTCTTTACTCCGGATTTACCGGTCTACCGAGATTATAACTCAGTTGCATATCCTCGCCTTAAGGTTCGCCATCTTCGGGTATGAAAAAAAGTTATATCGGAACGTCATATCGAGTATAGAATATTATACATTGCGGAGTAAACATTGCATCCGGTTTATTAACGCAAGTTGTAGATTATATGGTGATCAATTCTGTGTTTATGACACCTAGGTAATGTGTGACTATAAAGTCATGGACCTGCATATCAGATTATATGCTGGCACTGAAGTACAAAGGATAGCCCGGTCAGTTCGGATGCCCCGCCAAATGGTGGCGTCCAACATCCGAAGCCCCACGGGCAGTCGGATAGGGATGGGGCGATAGGAAATCACGGCTCCTCTCATTGGTCGGATGTATGTAGAAGCTTATTTTATGAGATTCCGAATTTTTATATACATGGAATTATATCCTTATTCCCTTTACTCCGTACGGAATATTTTACTCCACAATTTTACCCTTATTGACAACAAATCCCTCCAATGCCGCAATAGCCGCCCACAGACGGTTTTCGGCTTCGGGGAAGACCAAAGAGCGCGGACTGTAGAAGACCTCGTCACTCACCTCCTCGGGGTGACGGGGGAGGCAGTGCATGAACTTCCAGCCCTCCTTGGCACCACCACGCTTAGCCAGATCGGCAGTGATCTGGAAGCCTTCAAAGGCCTTCATGCGCTTCTTGGCCTCCTCTTCTTGGCCCATGGACACCCAGGTATCCGTAACCAGGATGTCGGCGTTCTTGACAGCCTCCTCGGGGACGTTGGTCTGGGTGAGCTTGCCAGCATTGGGCACACCCTCGCCAGCCCGCTGGATGATGTCAAGCATATCCGCGGGGATCTCGTAGCCCTTAGGCGTAGCGACAGCCATATCCACACCCATCTTAGTAGCACCAATAGCCAAATCGAAGAGGACGTTGTTCGCATCGCCAACCCAGGCAATCTTCAGACCATCAAGGCCGAGGCCGGAGAGCGGGCCTGCCTTGGTGGGGAAGGACTCGTAGATAGTAAGGAAGTCGGCGATGATCTGGAGAGGGTGGAAGGAGTCGCACAGTGCATTGATCACAGGCACGGTGGAGTGCTGGGCTAGATCCGCAACATCCGAGTGCTTCGCGACACGCGCGACGATGCACGACACCATCGACGAAATCACAACGGACGTATCATACACGGACTCGTTGACACCGAGCTGGATGTCGTCCTTGCCCAGGAACATGGGGTGGCCGCCCATTTGGACGGCGGCGGCTTCTGTTGATACACGTGTACGAGTGCTACGCTTGTTGAACATCATGGCCACGGTCTTTCCGGAGAGAGATCCTATCAGGCTTTCGGGGATGGCCCCGGACTTGATGGCAATCTTGTGCGACGCAGCATTGCGAACCAAGGTGGCGAATTCCGTAGGGGTCAGGTCTGCGATTGAGAGCAAATGGCGGGGGGCGAAAGGAGAAGTAGGTGGTGTAGTCGGTGTCTGGTGGGCAAATCGTCGGAGTCCATTAGCCTGGAGTGTTCGACGCAATGAGGTAGAGCCGGCCAATTGAGTTACACTTTGGGACCCGTAACGGGCAGCAGCTGTGAGACCACTAGCCATGATGGGAGGATTGGTATATGGCAATTTTGGGGAGAGGGAATAGGAGGGGAGACCTGAAGGAGAGAAAGCGAGCCAATGACTCAATAAAACCCGGGTGGATGTGCGTTGATGCCTTGTGGCCTTGTGGCCTGACAATCCGGGCGGTAAGGTGTCCAGATCTCCACATTCCGTTATCATCGTTTATCGTCATCGCTTTCGCCTCTTCCAGCCCAGACTTTACTCTCCTGCGTTGCCTTGTATTCATCTTCTGTGAATACCAGGCTCCAGATTATCGCTACCTACTCTTACATCTCCGGTCACAATGGCCGAGGAAAACCGGCCTCTGCTGGATGAAGAGTCCAGCCCCCCCGAACGATCTCCCGATAGGGCATCCACCGACCGGCCGAGGCCATCTTTCGAACTATCTACAGAATCTACACCTCTTCTACACCGCCGTGAAGATGGATTAACAGACTATGGGACAGAGCAAAGATTTTCTCGGTCCCCTTCAATCGCATCCCGAAGGTCGTATGAAGACGGCCCCACCAAGAAGCCGAGCCGCGTACGATGGCCGACGGTGATCTCACTTGCTATCTTAACAGCATGTGTCCTGACGATATTGGTACTTGCTTTTGCTGCTCCGGCAGTGGTGAAAGAGTATGCGCAACAAGCAGCAGTATTCAAACCAACGGCTGTGTCGGTCGATTCCACAACCTCCGATGGCATTCGCGCTCGGGTCCAGGGCGATTTTGTCATGGACTCAAGTCGCGTGAAGAACAAGTCCATTCGAAACCTTGGTCAGCTTGCGACATGGATTGCCAGAGAGGTTGAGACTGGCCCGTCGGATGTTGAAGTGTATCTCCCGGAGTATGGGAATGTTCTTGTTGGGCGTGCAGCAGTGCCCTCCATCAAGTGTAGCATCCGCAGTGGCTATCATACCCATGTTGATTTCCTTGCTGATCTAGAAGCGGGTGATATCCGAGGCATTCATGCGATTGCTATTGACTGGATTGAGGGCAGATTGGGTCGTCTCAATGTAAAGGGCAAGGCTACGCTGCATCTCAAGTCGGGCTTGATTGCTCTAGGAACTCAAGTGCTAACAGACAACATAATATTTGAAGGTATTTTGCTATACTGCCTTTGTTCGTTGGTGTTCGACTCTGAACTGACCTCTCTATAGAGAAAGATTTCCCTGCTCTACCGGAGATTGATATTCTCAAGTTGAACGTACATGATGCGAAGGATGGGGCTATGGCAGTGGATGTTTTATTGGAGTCGTTGATTGACTCTCCTATTGCCTTTGCCATTCCTGCTCTCGGCTTCGACATCCTAGTGCCAAACTGTTCACCGGGTGATCCTTATATCCGGGTTGCTTCTGCGAAGACGGCCGAGATCGAGGTCCACCCCGGCCAGGCAACTCCAGTTGGCGTTGATGGTCTCATCGAGAATCTTCCTGACGAACTGACCTCTAAATGCCCGGGAGGCGAGGGGTCTCCTCTGGACTTCTTGGTGTCAAGCTATGTACAGGGCCTCGAGACAACGATATATGTTCGAGGGGCTGATGCGCCGTCACTGGAAACTCCGGCATGGATGGTAGATCTGATGCGCAGCGTGACTGTCCCCTTGCCATTCACTGGACACGCTTTGGACAACCTCGTGAAGAACTTCACCATGTCCGATACACACTTCTCTCTTCCAGACCCCTTTGCGGAGCCGGACTCCCCGGAATCTCAACCCACAGTCTCTGCCGTGGTCAAGGTTCTGATCGCCTTGCCGGAGGAGATGAACTTCAAGGTTGATGTCCCGCAAGTTCGTGCTCTTTCAGATGTCTACTACAAAGAAGAACAGCTCGGCGTATTGGTCATCGACAAATGGCAAGACGCCAACTCCACCCTCGTCAATGATGAAGATGGCTCATCGGCACTCCTCGTGGAGTTCGCGATAGAGGATGCGCCTTTACAAGTCACAAACGACGGACTCTTGGCGGAAGTCATCCAAGCATTGCTCTTCGGTAGCAAAGAAATCGTGCTGCGCGTCGCTGCAACCGTAGATACAAAGGTCTCAACCGGCCTGGGTCGCTTTGCCGTGCACGGGATTCCCGCAGAAGGGAAAGTTCCCGTGAAGAGTATGTTTTCGTTTTCATAAGTTAGAACATCTTAGTATAAATCAAGAGAATTTTGGCCATTGACAATGTCATAGCTTCCTTCGGCGACTTGCTCGGTGATTTCAAACCGCGCGTGGTATCATTGCAATTAGGAGATACTACTGCATCTTCGATGGTTGTGTCTACACAGGTTAATTTCACCAATCCGACAAATTATTCCGCCACTGTTCCCTTTGCGGACTTTTTGATGCTCTACAATGACACGGCTGTGGCGCATATCACTGCTCGCAATATTGCCGTTGCAGCGGGGAACAATACTAATGTCCCTATTGACTTTTCATGGTGTCCGTTAGAATTGAGTGGACCAGATGGCGTGGATGCTGGAAGAACGTTACTCTCTTCCTATATATCAGGTGAGTCATTTCCAATGCAATGGTAGGTGGTCATACTAACACATTTCTAGGATACAACTCAACAATCACCATAAAACCGCACAAAAATACAATTCCCTCCCTCCCCCATCTAGGAAAAGCCCTATCAAACCTCGCAATTAACGTCCCAATCCCACCGATATCATCCCCAGGCTCCCCTGACAACGACAGCGACGAACAACCCCACTTCATCCAAGATGCAACGGTACAGTCTACCCACCCACCTCCAATACTCCATCCCATAAAAGTAACCATCTAACAATCCCTCAAATAGTTCTATCTCTGGTCCTCAACAGCCGACTTCACCCTCTACTCCCCATTAACAGAAACAAATATCCTAATAATCTCCATCGACGCGACAGCCTTCTACGAGCAAAAGGACCCAATCGGCCGCATCCAAAATCACAACCCCTTTAATGTCCCGCCGGGTCTCTCCCTGACGCCGCGCTTACCAGTTGATCTTGATATTGGGGGTGTGGGGTATGATGCTTTGCGGAAGGCGCTTGGGCAGTCGTTGGAGATGGATGCTGTCGCTAAGGTTGGGATGCAGATTGGGAAGTATGTAGCTACAGTTCTTTATCGTGGAAAGGGGATTGCTGCAAAAGTGAGGATTTAGTGTTTTTGGCTTGTTTCCGTTACTTCTGGCTCGGTAGTGGAATTGGGATGCTTTTTATACTTATATATCTTTGCTTAATGAGAAATTAAGTGGTTGTTCTTTTGTGTCGGTTTTGTTGGAAAGAACTATAGACCTGATCTACAACCTTAAAAACTAGCCTCCCTCCATGCAGCGTATTAAATTTGTCTAATTGTTGGTAAAAATCAATTCCGGTGAAGCTATTCGACGACGCCGGGTGGAGTATAGACCCCAGTGGAGGGAGACACGGGCAGATGAACAGCCCTATCCAATGTAGTATGTCACCAACGCTCTGGCCTCACAGCCAAGACAAGTCGGCTAATAAGACATACTATGAAGCTTGTAAGTGTATTTTTGGCTTCCAAGGATGTCACTGACATGTTACTTCCATGAGAATGGCGACCCAGGGTCCACAAAGCCAGGCTAAAATCCAAATCAGTCTGTATTTACTTGAAGGACATGCTTGTTGCGTCTGCTAACAGCCTCTTTCCATGTCTTTCTAATCTCGTTTTCTGGCAAAAAAATGGCTTTTCACTCTATAAATCAAACTTTTGCTTGACTGTTGACTATAGAAACAGCTTAGTGGGATAAAAAGAAATCTAGAGAAAGCACGACAAGATAGAACATTTGTTTTCAAATTATATCAACTACACAGGAAAGCTAGAAAGACGCAACTAACTCAATCCTACTCGGGTATGTATGTTTTTGGGTTGAAGATCAGTATACAGCTTAGCCAGGGGGCAGGGTGCTGGCATCGACGACGTCGGCAGCATCCTTCTCGATCTCCTCGCTGGGCTCAGACAGGGGAGAGCGGGGAAGGGCCATCAGGCCAGTACGGGTGGACTCGAGGATACCGAAGGGACCGATCAGCTTAAGGAAAGAGTCGATACGGGAAGGCTTAGCAGAGCTGTGAGAGAATCATGAGTCAATTGTGATCGGTGAGTATGAGTCAGGTAGGAAGTACTTACACCTCGACAATGCAGTTGTTGGTGCTGATGTCCAGAATCTTACCACCGAACTGGTGAGTCAGGCGGGTGATAGCATCCAAGTGCTCGTGCTTGTGGCGCAGGGCCTGGCTCTGGGGAAGGTGGCGGGGGTGGTATTGCTGGACGGACTGAGCATCCTGGTGGTACTTCTGGCTCTCGAGGGAGTCCGGCGAGGTGGTGATCTCGCGGTGGTGCTGGAGCAGCTCCTCGAAAAACTCAGGACCAAGGATGGAGACCTTAGCAAGGAGAAGCTCACGCTGGACGAGAGCGGAGTCGGTGTAGTCCAGAACAGCCCAGACGGGGACGAGGTCATCCAACTGGCGGCGAGCCTGCTCGACGACGCCGTCCTGGCCCTGCAGGACAATGGTCATGCGGGAGAGGTCCTCGACCTCGGTGTTGCAGACAACCAGGCTGTCAATGTTGAAGCCGCGGGCGGCCAGGATACCGGACACGCGGGACAGCACACCGGGCTCGTTCTGCACGAGACAGTTCAGGACGTGCCTCTTGGGAGGGTTGCTGGGAGGCACGGGAGTCTCATAGAGGATGGATGAAACAGCAGTGGGGGCATCCCATTGAGGAGAGGCATCGGAGACCGGCAGGGGCAGGGGAGACCGACGGTGCAATGCCTTGTAGGCAAGAGCTGAGGTCGAGCTCGACGATGCACGAATGGACGTGAATCGGGGGAGCGCAGCAGCGGTACGAGACCGAGCGGTAGCTGCCGCAGAGGACAGCAGCGACGCTGACCCAGCGGACAGCGCCAATGGGCTCCTGAAAGCCATGAGGTGATCGGTTTCTGGGAGGTTGTGCGATGAATCACTCCAGATTGGCCCAGGGTATATTCTTTTTGGTTGGCCGACCTCGGCGACCGTCTGCTGACTCAATGGATCTAGTCCAGAAGCGGTGTAGCGTGCATATGGATCAACCTCACGTGATATACAAGCACATGATCTCAATTTTCAATGCGTTGAAAGCAGAGTAGATGAGGCAATCGGAAGAAACATTTGATATCTGTTGTTTGTCGCGCTAACCGCACAAATCTATCACGCGTAAAACTAAGCTTAGTCCTCGAATTTGCGTTAATTGTCTCGCCGTTACACCTCGGCGTGTCTCCGCTCCTAAAACTCCTTCCCGCAATTGTTCTGGGCCTCCCCAAGGTTTCTTTGATCGTACTTCTCTTACTCTCCTCACTTCACGCACACCTCAAGATGGCGGAAGATGAACCTCGCGCCAAGCGCTCGCGCTTCGATCAGACTGAGCCCGAACCTCGACGTTCCCGATTTGATCGCCGCTCACGGTCTCCTTCGAACCGACAATCGGAATCGACCAGAACCCGCAGTCCACTGAGTCGCCCACTGAGTGGTGAGCCTCGCAGCCCTGGCTCAGGTGCAGCGCAATCAACCGTTTCGGATCCGGCCGCTGCTGCAGGTAAGTGCCACTTGTCCCACTCATACCCGGACCGTACGGCTAACCATCCGGTCCTCATAGCCGCTGCGGCAGCCAAGATTAATGCGCAGCTGCAGGCTAAGAAAGGAATCCAGCATGTCGATGTCCCTCCTATCCGCTCGGTAATTTCACTTCCGCTTCCATAATATTCGACTCACGAGTCATCGCTAACACCCAGTTATAGACCGAAGGCCAGGCCGACGAAAATGGATCGCCCAATGCAGAGGGCGCAGCCAAGTTGAACGCCGAGATTTACGTTGCAGATGGCGATTACATCAAGGACATCGAGATCAATGATCTGCGGAATCGCTACACCCTGACCAAGGGATCCACTCAGAAGATGGTAAATACACCCGTTGTCACTTGCTGATATTCCAGCCATACCTCCCAAAGGAGATGGACGCCATGAGCTTCTCATGGTTGGACTTCTGTTTCCCTCCTTGTGTGATTAGATGAAGCTTACCCTTCACTTAAAACATAGCATCCCATCCACCCTCTGTTGCATCTGCTGACCTACGCCGCGTGATTTAGATTAAGGATGAGACTGGCGCCGGTACGCCTTCCTTTGATATTGTATACCATACGAAAAGAAGTTTTCGCTCACCATTTTTCAAGATGTTACCACGCGCGGCAATTACTACCCTGACAAGAACATGGCCACGGCCGCGGTGAGCGATGCTGTCAATTGTGAGCCAACAACCACTAATTTATGTTATAGAATCCCCCGCTCTATCTTCACGTCACCAGCACCAACAAGGATGGCCTTGAAAAGGCGGTTGCTATTATTGACGACTTGATGCAGAAGGAACTTCCCAACCTGGTCGATGAACGCCGATTCCGTCGCCGGGAGCCTGAGCAGGTTGAACGGGATGAGTATGGTCGTGTATGGGACTGCCACCTCATAACATAACTCGAGAAAAATGCTAATCATTTACAGCGTAAATGGCCTGATGAGCGCATTCCTATCGACCTTGAGCCCGTGCCCGGCTTCAATCTGCGTGCCCAGGTCGTTGGCCAGGGTGGTGCCTACGTAAAGCACATCCAGCAACAGACACGATGCCGTGTCCAGATCAAGGGCCGTGGTTCGGGCTTTATTGAGTCCAGCACTGGCCGCGAGAGTGATGAGGCCATGTTCTTACATGTTGCGTGAGTTTAACTTGTCTGTTTGCTACTTGTGGGCATTGACTGACGGTTTTTCATAGGGGACCTGATGCCAACGATGTTCAACAGGCGAAGGAGCTTTGCGAAGATCTCCTGGCCAATGTTAAGGAACAGTACCAGCGCTTCAAGGAAAACCCACCCCAACACAACTACGGCGGATACGGCCGCGGCGGAGACCGTGGAGACCGCTACCACGGTGGTGGCGGTAGAGGTGGGTATGGTGGCGGCTACGAGAATCGTCAATCTCAACAGAATAGCTCATCTGCTAGTCCCTCAGGCCAAGCAACCCCTGGCTCTGCCGGTGCTGCCGGAACCCCTGCCGCTGATTATAGTGCCCAGTATGCCCAATACTATGGCGCCGATCCCTATGCGGCATACGGTGGATATCAGAACTACGTGGCCTACTATCAGTACTACATGGCTGCCCAGCAACAGCAGCAGGCCCAGGAGGGCGCCGCTCCGCCTCCTCCCCCTGCCGGCGAAGCACCACCACCGCCCCCTGGATCCGGATCTCCCCCTCCCCCACCTCCCGGCGGTCCTCCTGGGGGCAATGGATACAGCGCGGTATGTTTACTAAAAGATGGATAGCCTGGCTCTCACTTACATATGAATCAGGTCCCCCCACCCCCTGGCTTGTAAGCCAGCAACCAACGTAGCTGAAGCTTACCTTCTGCAGCACAGCTGCAGATAAGTTCATTTGATTTTGTTCGGCGACTAAAAGCAGATTCTCGTCATTCTAATGGGAGGAAGATAAGCGATCTGATTTATGAAATTTTTTTTCACCTTTGGTTAATTTTTTGCTCAAAGAACCCCTTTTAGCCATTTTGTTCTCTCTGGCATTGTTGTAACTTCTGATTCGCTTAATGATGGATAGAACTGATCGTTATATTGACAATAGTAGACTGACGGCATTGGTCTCTCAAGCTCTGGCTCATTCAACCGGAGTGATGATCATGCAGCAAGACCAAAAGGTATAATATGAGAACAAAAATGTGAATATGAACCAAAATCGGACAGCAAACGGTCCCGGCCAATCTGATCATTCAAAATCAGCATATAGAAGAGACATCTCCGTCTCAGACGCCATCTTCGACCGCCTTTTGGACAATCCACCTCGCCCCTCCTTGCAAAAATCGCAAGCAAAATCACAAGGCGAAGTCGAGCCTGCTGGCGCAGGCGTGGAAGGCGGCAGTTGCGAACCCAATTCTTCAAGCTCGAAATCACCAAAGAACTCTTTAATAAGACCATGTCGACATCGCGTGATACTCTCACAGTATCGAATAACCTTCCCGAAACTCTCAAGCTTTGCCTCTCGGTTCTCGATGCCTTTTCTGCGATGCTGCTCCGTGTCTCGGTATATGAATTTTTGTACCCTGTCCCGCTCGGGCAGACCATAGTAGACGATTGAAGCAGCAGCACACCCGTCTCGACCTGCGCGTCCTGATTCCTGCACGAAACTTTCGAAGCTTGAGGGTGGTGTCCAGTGCACGACAAAGCGGACGTTTGGGTTGTCGATTCCCATGCCGAAGGCGTTCGTTGCCACGATTATTGAGAAAGTAGGTGGCTTTTTGCCCTCTGTTGATTGCTGAACTGGTTGGGGTGCTTTCCATCTCTCTTGAATCCTGGATCGGTTCTCTGCTTCTAGACCGGCGTGGTATGGAACTGCGGAGACCGTCTCATCTGAAGACAGTCGGCTAGCTAGATGTTCTGCCAGGGCACGTGTTCCCACATACACGATGCCTGAAAGTGGTGGGAGCTGTGCCACTTCCACGGCACCAAGTCTAGCTTCTCGTCGGGTGCGGATGGCTCTGAGCCATTTTAGAAGGTTTGATAGTTGGCTGTCTTCGGCACCGCTGTAGTCATCGTTGAAGTCCTCGAGGTACCGGACCTCGTAATGGATGTTTGGGCGAGCTGAGGGCGTGTTGAAGAGTTTGAGTTGAGTCACGTCTAGTCCTAGGATGTCAATGATATCGGAGCGGACTCGGGGTGTGGCAGTTGCCGTAACGGCAGTGATAGGTACGGGTGGGTTAGTGAGGTTGTTTCTGAGCCAGCTCAGCTCTTTGTAGGCAGGGCGGAAATCGTGGCCCCATTGACTGATGCAATGTGCTTCATCAATTGCAATTCGGATGAGTTGGCCTTGCTTGTGGACTACTAGTAATTGGCGGCGGAAATGCTCTGTTGCACATAGTTCGGGCGTGACGTATAAAAGCCTGGTCTCTGGGTGACCGCAGAGCATGTCTTGTAAAACTCGCTTCTTCTCTGGTTGCGGTGTGTTTGAGTTTATTGTTTCCACTGACACCCCGAGAGCTTTCAGGGCGTTGACTTGATCAACCTATCAAAACTTAGTTGATTGAAATGAACGGGGCAAAAAGGTAGAAGAGTAGCTCACCATCAGCGCTAGAAGCGGACTCACGACAATTGTTACTATAGTCCAAGTCAATTTTCTGTCCGATATCTTCAATGTGCCGAATGATATTAAGTGCAATACTCACAGCCCCAATCTTTTAACACCGCAGGGAGCTGGTAGCAAAGGCTTTTCCCGAAAGAGGTTGATGCCTGTAGAAAGACATCATGGCCTTCAATGACGGCCACAATCACATCTCTTTGTAGAGGACTATAGTGGGGTCAGATACACTCTTGGACGAACAGGTACATTGTCAACCTACCGGAAATCATTCTTGCGAAAAGTGTTCTGGAGGCACCAGCGCATGTTTGCCGTTTGGCGCGTGAGCGCTAGATTGTGCCCCATTGCTCATCATAGCAAAGATATAAAAGTGCAAGGGTTGGTGGTCGTCAATGCTTGACGGTCGAGTCTTCAAGCGCGTGCCAGACAGACGCGGGGTCACGTGTCGATATCTTACTTCCTATTTGGGATTGATTGAAAGGGTCGCTTTGACTACAGAGGCCCCACGTCCTTTCAAATCCCTGTCCCTTAAATTATCTAGAGGAGCAATCTAGAATTTTTGAGCATGGACGAATAATAGGCGAACAAAAGTGAGGTTAGAATAGACCGCAAACAATATATAAAACAACGTGCTTGCTCTACTACTTTTACGTAGAAACCGTCCAATATTTCATGGCATTATGAACTTCCTTATGTCACCTATTGTATGCAGCATCCAGTACACTTCTCTGTTAAGTGTAGCATGGTTGAGTATCTACGTCGATGTCCTGAGATTATTGGTATAAATTATACATTTGTGCAAAGAATCGCTAGAAATCGGGATCTATATAAAAAAGTAATGTACAATCGCTGATTCAGATTTCAGCTTATTTTGGATCTCAGTCCTTCCGGCGTGGGTTCCTTGACATCTGTTTATCAAGTTCTTCCTTGATGGCCAGGACGTCAATTGCCCTGCGATGCTGAGGATGCCAAAGCCGATCGAGTTGGAACCAAACATCCAGAACCTCTTTGGGGCCACAACATGTTCCAAACGCTCTAAGGATAATGGTGATCATGCGGCGTCCAATGAAAACACCGTTCTCAACGCGTCGATCGACGTACTGACCTCTATCAGACTCAGAATAAGAGCGAGGCCTAAACACCTCGTCGATTTCGTCTTGAGACATGAAATCGTCTTCTTCATCTGAGAGAGACTCTGGACCGTGTGGTTCGAGACTCTCGGGATCGAGGTCTTGTGTGGTGGATGGTTCGGCGTTTTTCTCGTGTTCCTCTGGCTGCTCCGTGGCGCTGGACTCTCCGTCTGTTGATGGCAGAGACATGTATAGCCCATCGGGAGAATCGCTCACTGGCAGCTCTGCATCCAGGTCAATATTAACAGTTTGGGCAAGTGGGTTCTCCCAAACATTCTTGGGACTATTCAGGTATAGCCCGCGAAGTCTTGCATTCGAATCGTGTAGAGCCCGGATGTATGCGTGCCAGGTCAACCGAAGGTTTTCTGGAGTCCATTGCTTTTTCCTCCGACCATGGATGGCGAAACCTTCAAAGAGAAAGAGATAGATGATGCCCCGTGGGGGCACATTGAAGGCATTTTCTAGGTCACCTACAACAGCCATGAAACAGTCCAGCTGGCCAGATGTGTAGGCGTGGTATCGTAGAAAGGTGTAAAAAGTCCGGGTATCAGGTGACAGAGAGAGAGAATTCTGGAGAGCACGATGATATTCGGGAAACTGCCGCTTGAGAGCTTTGGACTTCTTCAACACACGACCTAGTTTTCGGGTTTTTTGTCGATATTCCGGCATGTTGTAGGTCAAGCTCTCAGTGACAGATCGAACCACCAGTCCGTCTTCAGAATTTCGATTGGCGTTGCGTTGCCGCCTTGTTGACCTTTCTAGCATGCGTGCGTACAGCTGCTCCGCTGTTTGTCGCTCGCCCGCCTGCAGGAAAGAAGCGATCAGACAGTTCATGACAACCGTGTCGACAATCTCCCCAGATTGCACAAAGTCATCAAACGTCCTTCGAATGCCCTCTGCATCCCGAATCATGCCATAATAGTACAATTTGGAAACTTTCCCACAGCGCGAGAAGTCCATGCCCCGCCTGCCCATCTCCTCCTCCAGCCGATGCGCAACTGAAAATTGGCTGGCTTTGATGGCGATGTCAAATAGAATGTTGAAGACCACTTCGTCGGCTTGCACTCCAGCAACATGTTCCATCTGTTGCCACAAGCCAATAGCTCGGATAAGGTCTTTCTTCAAAACGGTGCCATTCGCTCGGCCAGCCATGTGAATGGCAGAGGACCAGAGTGAGAGGGACACGGGAAGCCCAGAAAGCACCATATCCTCTATCAAGGCCAAGTAGCGACGAGCATCTACCCATCGCCGGTCTGGAGGATTCGCAAACCGACGCAACAGGGCACCGCGGCTCCGCTTAGAAAGCAATGACATTCCAGGTGCAGGGAGATCTCTGTATAATCGAAAAAGATATTGAGTAGAAGCGCGTTGCTCCTGCCACAAGGTGGTGACAAGCTGAGCCACTGCCTGGCTTTCGGTTTCATCACGCGACACATCTTCCGTCATTTTGGTGAATCGCTTATACGACGCCACGGCATTTGCCGCTTGCTCCCAATCATGGTCAGCCAGTAATTTCCGATACAACGTCAATGTAGACAAGTATCTCTCTTTGTCGGGACTCAGATACGCTGTAGGTGTTTCAAGAAAAAGGCCGTCGTTTTCCGTCATTTCAAGGCCAGAATCGAATGGTTCGTGTTTGGAGTTTAGTATATGATTGTGGCCTCGTTTCAAGTCCGGTCTGTGAGGTTGTTTCTGTGGTTTCCTGTCCGCAGTTTCGGTCACCCATAAGGGTATATAATCGTTGTCTTCCTCCGTCTCCTCCGTCTCCTCCCGCAAGCTCGTATTTAGTTCTCCTCCTCCTTCTTTTGCTTCTGCCAAATCGTCGTCATTCGTACGCGCCAATCCGTGGCTGATCAATCTTGTGGGTTGCGACAACGGCAACCTGGAGCTTGAATACTCTGATTGGCTTCGGGGTAACTGCCCACGACTAGTCACCCCTTTGCCTCGAAACCGTTGCAGATTGCGATCCGAAGGACTCCAGGCAAATGTCGCAATCCCTCGGCGGTACGGCGAATGCTCATGGCAAAAGCTTGCTAGAACTAGCGAGCCGACAAAAATATCTGCTATTGACGCGACGGACGGACGTGGACGGCGAGAACAGATTCTTCGAACGGAGGTGTGAGAGGGAGGCTTCGGAGACATTGGGCTTCGGAAGAGAGAAAGCTCATCCAAGGCCTGCCGGTGGTGATTTCGCAGGCCCGGTGAGCTGGGGGATCTATTAAGGTGAGGCATGAGATGGCAGACATCATGGCATTGGATAGGCCTCGCGCATCGAAAAGAGTGCCGGTAGCCACTCGCTCAGTAAGGAGACGACCAATACCGAGAGCTTGAAGCAAACAGCCAAAGGAAAAGAGTGACAACCTGAACGGAAAAGGTGTTTTTCTGAAGATGGACGGGCTTGCAACTTTCTGGCCTGGCGGAGCCGCTCTCGGCCAATCGGAGCCCGCGTTTGCCAATCCCATCTTTTTCGCTCCCGCAACCTCCTTCGCTCTCGTCGACTTACTCTCTTCACAGCAATATCTCGTTAGTCTGGACTATTGCAGTGTCAGATTGCAATGGGCAAAATCAATCTCACAGCCCTGCGGGTGCGACAAACCGCGCTCAGCCAATTCGCCAGCGGAAAGACCAGCAAGCTGCCACAATGGGTCGACGTCGTTGGTGACATTCCTCCTGCCGAGACCCTCGTCCGTACTCGTCCTCCTCAGCACCAGCTTGTTCAACAGCGCCTGAAGACTATTACTGGAACCACGAAGCCGCAGGTCGTCTTCCAAGTCCAAGAGAAGCGCCGGAAACCCAAGAAGCCCAGCCGCACCTTCATGCCCGTCGAGCTCAAATACGAAGAAGATCAATTGCGAACCGAATTTTTCAGGGATCACCCTTGGGAACTTGCCCGACCCCGTGTGCTGCTTGAAAGTACCGGTAAGGACTTTGAGCATTATGATTGGAGCCGGATTGAACAGCCCGGAAAGCGACTAGATGGTGAAAGGTGAGTTCTTCCGGCGGTTGTTATTTCAAAGCTTAACGACGCATCTATCTTTGAATTCGAATATGCTGATTCTAATGTGTCATCTTTGTAGTGTTGTCCAGCGACAGCTGTGGCTCTTGAACAACGTCCCGGATATCAGCAAAAGCACCGCCTACGACATCGCCCGCCGAGAATTCTATCGACTTCGACTTAAGGAAGATATCCAGCGGCGTGTTGCTGCCGAAGAGGCAGCCGCATACGGCGCAGAATTCGGACCATCATACATGGACATTGGTATGCAGCAGGAGAGCGAGCAATACGACAAATGGGTTGCCTGGGCTCGTAACCAGGCACAGATCCAGGGCCAACGGGCAGCAGCTCTCAGTGGTGCTCCAGATTTGGGGACGGAGAATGAGGTCGATGCTGTCGAGGCTGATGAGAGCGAGGAAGTGGCCACCCAGTAACGGTTTGATACAGAGTGGGTTGGACTCAGGCCATACCGCGCGCCTTCTCGTAAGGGCAGTTGGTCGAGTCTTTCATATTGATAGTCCATGTACATTATTTGATTTGTCCAGCTGCTGCCCAGCTGGATGATGTATTTCTCTATTTACGCGATAGCACAAGCATTCACTTTCCTTCAATTGCTCCAAGTACGGCTTTCCCAGGCAATCTAATATATTTAGACAAATGAAATAGCCTAGAATAACCTGAATAACACCTACAATCCCAATACATTTCCCCCTACTTCGAATTACTCAGAAACAGAGCATAGGCTCGCGCAGCTGTTTCATCCAATCAGAGCATTTCCAGCCTCACCAACTTCAATGTTTCATTCCCTTGACTCGACATTCAGTCACTCAAACATCCAAACTCGCTCTTTTTGGGCTCTTGGGATACTCCGATAGATCCCTTCTTTCTGCGGCATTTCTCGACCCAGTTTTACCCCGTTTCTTTATCGCCTTCGCGGGGATCCGAGCTCTGTTTCTTTTCACAGTTGCCCTCAGTCTTGCAGCTTGTTCCAATTCACTCGACCCCAGCTTTCCTCTCATCCTTGATTCTTCTCATTGTCTTCATCCTCGAGGCTCGTTCTTAGATTCGCGCCGCCGAGATACCCGTGCCCCCGATACGACAGTCGACGATGCTTCGCCCAATTACCCGAAACACCCTCGCAATTTAAAGGTCGGCCTGTTTGGAGATAAACGTCGATTACTGGCGCATCAACTACTTTGTGAAGCAGCCGCCTTGTGCGTGCCTGATCGATAACCTTTTGGCTTCTACGAGCCATGACATCCGCGATGACTCGTCCGGAGGACACAGTGCGCGGACTGCGCTTGTACCGCGGTGACACAGATGATGATGAGATCGAAACTGGACCGTCAGACTCAGGGAGCTCATTACCACTATCGCAAAATGAAGGCTCTCCATACCCAGACGAGGGGAGCAGTCGCCCAGGCACCTCATTAGGAGATTACTCGGAGAATAGCAAACAACCGGCTGGTCCGAAAATGCTGACACACGAAGAGACGATTGAGTTGGCGCGCCGTGCCGTGGAAAGCGGGATTCAAGATACCAAGCGTTCCCTGGCAGGGAGTGAGGCCGTCACAGATGTAGTCAAGCCGAAGTTGACTATTGACCTGGGTCACTCACATATCGTTCGCATGCCTGAGCCAGTGGTGGATATAATCAAAGATGAGGTCGAAAGGTATGTCGGAACCTTGACTTGGGGTGTTCAAGTCTTCGAGTGTCGCGGTGCCTAGTATCAGGATACGGCATCGCTCGTTGGAGTCTCACTAACCTTCGAAGGCTTTCTCTCTCCAATAACTACCTCTTCCACATACCCTACCGCTTCGCAGAGTGCTTGCATCTTCGTTATCTCAATATCAGAGCGAACAACTTCCGTGAATTCCCCAAAGGAGTATGTACTCTGCCTGGATCTCTTTGTGCTCAGATACTAACCCAACTAGATCTACAAATTACCACTGTTAGAGATCCTTGACTTGAGTCGAAACAAGATCAAGGAAATTCCAGATGAAATCAGCAAATTAAAATCCTTGCGAGTACTCTCGGTCATGCAAAATCGTCTCGAGGACCTGCCAGTGGGGCTCTCAGAGATGCCCAAGCTTCAAGTTATCAAGTGTGCCGGAAATCCCCTGCGGGCTCCACTACGTGCGATTTTGGAGGAAACCGAGACCGAGATGGCAGACTCTGGGATGACTGACAATGAGAAAGAAGTTGCGTCTACAGCAGAGCTCAAAAGGGGGCTGAAAGCTCGACTTACGGCCACTACACCCGAGCCAGAAATTATCCCCGACTCAGGGTAAGTCTACACGATGATTTGGAATATTGGAAGTAAGCTAAGACTTTGCAGGGATGGTATCATGGATGCATTTAGACCGGCTCCTTCAAAACGGAGACCGAGTGCCCGATTCCCTGTTATCCCCAGCACCGGTGATAGCTCGGCGGCCTCTTCTCGATCTCCATCTATCTCCAGACCACCTCCTATCCCGGCAAAATCTCACTACCGCATGGCTTCTGGACAACAAGGTGCTACTTACCACATGCCCGCTCTTCAACGACCTGGTGTGGGTCCTCACGCCGTGAATGAACGCAACCGAAGCAACAGTGAAGGTATAATTCAAGGGTCATCTGCCGCTCGAAGTAAAAGAATGGGTCTTATTACTCGCAAGAACACTGATTTAGGTACATTGGATGAAACACGTCCCTACAGAAACAGCCATTTGCGCGGTCTCAGCCATGGCTCTGTGCTTCGGCCTCGGCCAGCTCCGCCAACTCCTATCAGCGGAAGCAGTTCGTCGAGTCCAAGCAGCCCAAGGGAGCGTCGGCGTGTCCGAGATGGTTGGGTCAATCGAATGTCTAGCTTGCCAGAGCATAAGGGAGAGCGAGGATCGGACGAGCCAATCATTAGGGGAGCGAAAGGCATTCTGTTTGCTCTTTTCCAGGTTCACTCCCATATCTCGACATTGATCAATGTGATCAAGCGTGATGACACCAGACGCCACAGCCTCGAACTCGTATTCCATAATGCTTCCTCGCACGTTGAACGCCTCAATACTGCTCTCGAGAGTGCTGAAGTTGCGTTGCTCGAGGATCCTGACTCAATTGCATCCGTCACGGACACCGTGAAACGTGAATGTGAGACGTGTATTGTTGCTTACACGCACGTCGGCACGCAGCTACGCAACAGCTCTGCCAAGATTGTCGCCAATGGCGATCCTCGCTATGTGAGATCGCTGATGCTTATGATGTTTGGCAGCCTGGTTGAGCTGCGAAATGCTTGTGCCATATTGGAAGCTCCGATCCAAATGATCAACAAGCACGCCTCTGCTACAAAGCGTCTGGCTCCTGTCAATGCTCTCACCTCCATGTCCAGTCGGTCTCAGCCCTCCCTTGTTACTCCAACAAGAGAAAATGCTCCCCCAACACGACGATTGCGAAGCGACACAACAATTCGTCATCCTCAATTCCCCATGCCCATGACAAATAGCAACAATGGCACTAATTCTCCCGGTTTCTCGACGCCTACTTTTTCGAGTTTCTCACGAAGCCGCTCCAGCAGTCGATCAAACTTGATCAACTCGTCTATGCCACACTCCCTGGCAACCCCTCGTTCCGGCGAAACATTCCCTCCTATCCCTGCGTCCGGGCCTCCTCATATAAGTACATTGACTGGGTTGGACGAGAACGAAGAAGAGCGAATTTTCGAGAGGATCTTCCACCAGCTTACTTCTGCATATACTGCTGCATTTGGGGCTCTTCCTCTGGCGCGCCGGCAATTCAACCGTTGTTTGGAAATGGCTCAACAATCACGGTCCCCTGAGGGAATTCAAATGGTCTGGACCAATCTCATTCGTCGATGCCGCTCTTGTCAGGAAGTATCTGAGGCTCTAGGACAGCGTCTGTCGACCATGAAACTCAAAGAACCTGGTGGTGGCCTCCGCAATCAGCGCGAATTCTGGCAGCTCTGCAAAACCTTCATGCAAGCCTTCGTCGACTTGGTGACCGATCTGCGCGAGGTCAAAAACATGCAGCTCCTCCCACAAGACATTGTCATTATTCTACGCCCAGTCCAAAAGGCAAGTCGCGAAGCAGGTCGCCTGATCGAGGTATCTCCGTGGGCCTATCTCGCAGACATGGCTACAAAGGACACCCCCGGTGGTGCTTTGTATGGGCCTCCCCTGCAAACCCCGCATTCGCAACCGCATTCGCAACACCAAACATCTGTTTCTACATCGGCCATCACGTCTAATCCCTCTTATCATCTCAACAACACCATCCAGCAATCCGCCACTGTTCCTGCCACTCCGCTAAGTGCGGCTCTCGGTCCTGCTGCACAAGCCACCGTCCCATCCACGCCAGCAAGTGCATACAGCGACAAGTTCTTCGAGGGCGATGTCTTCCAACGTGCCGACTCACTTCTGTCAATGCCCAACCAAGCGCCTTTCTTCCGACGCTAGGTGGCTTTTACATATGTTCCAAATTATTCGGGAGAAGCCGTTTGTTTCTTCATGTCTCATGATCGTGCATGCTCATTCTTATCTGCATCTTATGATTATGACTTTGTGCAAATACCAACGCATCATTGGGTGCCACTGAATATTTTAGCCGATTTGAACTTTCTCCGTTCTTGTTTAGACAGCTTCGTATTCACCCCTTCCTTTCTTTGAATTAGCGAGTTGATATCTTTCGGCAGGTCGGATTTCTTTCTGACCAATTGAATATCTTTTTCTTTTTCAATACCCAGGTACTTTTAAAAGAAAGCCTCTTCTTTTGCGAATGTATTTTGTGCACTAGACTTGACTTATAGATCAAGACATCTACACAAGTGAAAGTAAAGCGAATCTCGACTTTCTACTCAGTCCTAGCTTCTAAGAAAAGCTAATGCGCCAACACTTAGTGACACGACTTTGGGTCTTTTCTGTCCCGTCACTATCCATTTCATCCAGCTGAGGGGGTGCAAGATCCAACCACGATGCAATAAATACTTCGAACCACCCATATTCCATCATTTCTTCCGTTGATTATCTAGCAAGGTATAAGTTTCGTTAGTGTCAATTTCCTTCTACATCCTTGGTATGAGTATAGCATGGTCCAAGTCAAGACTTTCGGACGATGTCGACAGAATGTTGCATCATGCGCGAGTATCACCAAAGCAATGTGATCTCTAGGTTCAGAAAGGAGTTTCGTCATATGCCTTGTGTTCCATGGAAAGGAACAGATGGTCAAAGATTTTGGAATGAAACATGAACTTACCACTAGGTTTCTTTTTGTGAGTGGACATGTATCTCGTTTTTCAACAGTGGAATTCTGACTTGAGAATCTAGCTTTCATTTTTCGATATCATTCACATGGAGCCTGTTGATTTATATACATACTTGTTCATTTTGTACTAATTATCAAACTCTAGAATAACAACATCAAAATTCCGTATTGCTCTTCTCCAAAGACCGACTTCTCAATCGAACCATCCATTGTAAACTGGGGTAATCATGAGCCAACATGAGTCATGATGTCCCAATATGAGCGGGGGTGGCTAGGGACTTACGAGCAGCCAAGGATTAGACGATAAATATATAGAGTGTTGTGTACAAATGCATTGCTTGGTTCTTGTGTCATTCCATTGGGCCTGTTGGATTCGGGATGACTCAATAGAGCTACTGCTGACCATCTGTTTATTTGTATTCCAACTGTGCTGAGGGGTCTGCATAGGCTTGCTATTTAGATAGTATATGGCTGGTACCTTACATCTGACAGTATCTGTCAGGATTTGATGCATAACAACCTGATAATCTCTGTGCTGTTTTTGTTTCTATACGTTAACTTAGCATGAGGATGCCTAACAACTTGATATACTCCTTATGACGGATACAGACTGACACCAAGAGACCCGTATCTCCTTTTCAAAGAGACCCATGGATCGTTATTCCACAGGTAGGTCCGAAGACGTAAATTCCCATCAAAACCAAAGTAAGAGCATTGTAAAACGGAATGAAGTTGCAAGGGATAGACTCGCCGGATGTTGACGATCGAACGCGCACGGACCAGCCACCGTTCGCAGTCGGCGCTTTCAAACTGGAATTACAACGTTGCAAGTAGACGGAAATAGAGTGAATATCCATTTTGAATGTTCTCAGAAATCTTGTAGAGCTATAACCAAAGAAGATCGAAAATCAAATCAAAAATACATGCGCCAGTCTATAACCCAAAAAATGTCAATTAAACACCAAGAAACAAACCCCTTGTATAGTAGTATAACGAAACGCCCTTCCGCAGAAAACCCCTGCGGATGACAAAACACCTTCCAAAAATGCAAGTGCAGGACGGGACGCTGAAGAGCAAGTCAAACAAGACACTTGAAGCAAGTAAAACAAGGAAAAAAAAAAGAAGGCAGGTAAAGTGTAAACAGAAAGAGTGCAGATTAGATCAAATCAACGCAGGCGCAGCATCGGCCATTGCAATCTCGTCACGGAGATATAGCAATGGAGCCCAGACACGCCAGTGCAGGACGCCCATATGGGCCAGACGCATGCCGATACGCTCGATGTCAGAGATCTGTGGTGTAAGTTGCTGCGACGAAGCACTCACAAATCCAGAGACTGCAGGCGCGGAAGAGGAACTTCCGGGAACAGGGATTGATGATGATGGCGGCGTGCGCTGTGATTCGCAGATTGCCAAGGGCGATAAGGGCAGATACCTGCGTGCAGAGACCAAGGTAGTATGGAGGACCTTTGCGCGCATACTGTTTTGGAAATATGCGAAAAGATCGGATTCATTGGACAGGTGCCACTCGAGCGCTTCCTCAATTGGGGCGATGACCTCGTCGGCGACGACAGCGTCGAGTTGCAATGCTGCACAGGCGAAACGGGCGATTTCCAGGGCGATGCAGCGCATGTTTTGGGTCCAGCGCTTGCCGCCGCGCTGATCTGGGTCATCGTCATTGTCGTCGGGATTACTAGCAATGCGGCTTTCCATGTCAATTCCGTCTTCCATTAGGGACCAGATGCGCGTGCGGAAGGTCGAGTAAGTTTCCTCTGGGGCGGAGAGATACCGCTTGTGCTTGTTGACGTAGGACTCAAAGATGTACCAGGCGATGTCGAGGTTGATTAGATTTTGGACTGTTGAGCGGAGTTGCCAGAGGCGTTCGCTGTCGAAAAGGAAGGTTTCAGGGAACTCGTCTGGTGGGTTGAATTGGAGGAGTTGGTCGGAGATGCCGCGGAAAAGAGCTTCGATGGGCTTGAGGGCGGCTTCTGTCTCGGATATTGTCGTATTTTGGGGCTGAGTTTGGTTCATCTGCGCATCTTCTTGTCGGGCTTGGTCTCGCACTGCTAGGTACCAGTGGCGGGCTGGCTCGACATGGAAACTGCCCCGGTTCATTTTGCCTTGGAAGTATTCCTGGAGGAATGGGACAGTGTCTTCGATTAGGAGAACGCGGAACGCGCGGATTTGGTGGTTGGCGACATCCTGAAAGATGTGGGTTAGTTTGGACCTACTATAAAAGGCTATTGGAACTTACCAATTTCATTGCTTCCAGGATGGAGAACAATGTTTGTAACCCATTGACAATCTCCCGCGGATCTTGTGACTGTGATCCTTCTTGGATCTGTTCAACCATGCGATCAGCCCACTCATCTCGCATTGGAGCACAGTGTGTCTTGAGAAGTGTAGACAACCACGTCGCCAAGGTAAGCATGTCGAGAACACCCTTGCGTATTTGCTGCATGAGCAGCGGGACCTCTAGATTCTGCATGACAGTTGGATGATCCCGCTCTGGAACAAGCGTTTTGATGACATCCTGCAACGTCTCAAACAAGGCGGGCAAACGGGGGTCGAAGGTGCGCCGGGAACCGTCAGTCGACTCGACGTCCTCGATACTGATATCGGCAGCGGCAGCACGGAAGGAGTAGATCGCAATCTCCGAGGCCAATGAGTCCCAGTAGTCTGCGGCCTCCTTCTTCTTGCGTTTGCCTTTCTCTCCATCTAGATCAGGCTTGAAGTGCAAATCGCGGTCGAAGTTGGCGTCCATGCGAAGGTTGATGTTGCTCATTATACAAGGCAGGTCGAGCTCACTGAGCGTTTTCTTCGTAACCGGGGGAGACCTCCGCGCCTTGCGCAATAGCCGCTGATCGCGAGAACTAAGTCCCAAGGCTTGCGGTATACTGATAGCTTCTGGTGACGGTGAAGGCTCTCGCGGCCGAGTAATGGCGGATGATGCCGTTTGTTGAGAGCCGTGCGGATATGCGAATGGTTGTTGACGCCGACGGAGAGGATTAATGGAAGCTCGGTCATCATGGTTGTGAGAGTCTCGCCCCTCGTTCTTGTGATACTCTTTTGAACGACCTCCTCCACCGCCATAGGCTTCGAGGGGCCCTTCAGCACCCTCCTCCTTCCGGGCCTCCTTTGTGCCCTGTAGATCCATGTTTAGACACGAGATATCCCTATTCAGGGTGTCAGATAAATGAAGATTCCGGCAATGGCAAGGCCACGCCATGCACCAACCCAAGGCGCAGGCCAGGCCCCTATGCAACTCACAAGTTTAGAAGCCCCCTGTTTGCCTGAGGCAGGCAGCCAATCCGCAGCCACTGAAAAGTGATGCAAGTGAGCTGTCAATTGCGGTGGAGCCAAAGATAGCTTGGATCTGCAGCGATTGCCTCGTGGTCCAGGGGCAAAATTAGATTAAAAAATAATAAAGAGTCGCGGTGAAGAATAAAGAAACCAGAATAGGGATCAAGCGCGTATAGTTAAGCAAAAGTCTCAGGCGATTCAAAGACCAAGAAAAAAAAAGGGCAAAAGTTTCAAGGCAAACAAAAGCCCAAGTTTGAACAAATCAAAGCAGAAAAAAAGAAAAGAAAAGAAAGAAAAAGGAGTGATTGGCAAAGCGACCGGGATGCACAGATATAGTCAATGTGTCCCCCAGACACCGGATTCGGGTGGACGCAACCAGTTCTGCGCATTCCTCTGCTGTTACCCGCACACATCGAGACTGGACTGGTTTATTTGAGCTATTTGGCTATTGCGGTAGATCGCCGTATCGGATCTGATGTGTTTTCATGTAACTCGATCTAGTCCAAAGGGGCAAATCCGCCTCACTTTGAACGTGAAACCAGTGCATTGGCCACGTGAGTCTCCTTTTCGCGCACTGAATGCAATTAGTATGCAGGAGACTCTGTTGGCCTCTACAAACCTGCAATGGCAGATTATCGAGGTGATCGAGTTGCTCGAGTTGATTGACTCGAAGGTATCGAGGAGTGAAGCATGAGGAAGCATCGGGTTGCTGGTCGGGATCGGAATGTTTTCGCTTTTGGCCTGATTTATCAGGCCGAAACCCCGAAACTTACCTGGACTGTATACTTCCAACTTCACTTTCAGTGTCTATCTCGGCGGCTATTCGACTTACTTTTTTGTGATATGGCGTGATTCAATTATTGAGACAATATCACAGTGTCTAGCAATGAATTCACCACTCTCGACCTTCCGGAGCACCGGAGGTGAATCAGCCCTATTGAGGCCCGAATCAGGAACCGCTCAATAACAACCGCATCAATTACCTCATGTCTCAAAGGATGCAGATAAAAATGACGTTTTCCACGTAGAGTCTCTTCTCCATGTGCTCTCTACCTTTTCTAGAGCTTCATATTCTATCCTGGAAACCGTTGATAGCCAGACCTTTGGTTGCTATCTCCGATCATGAATATCTCGGCATTGCTATACTTCTGGAATGTCCTCTGGGCCACCCCGGAAATTGTCATCTCAAGGGCTACCAGATCCCCTGGTATCTCCAGGTTCGAAGTACATTCCTTACCGGATAGTCCTGCGTTGCCAACCAGCTGGGCTGGTCGACTTCCGGTTCCGGGCAGAGCGGATGGGAATGAGATCTTCTTCTGGCTGTTTCAAGCAGAGCAAGCAGCATACAATGATAACCTTATCAGTTAGGTGGAATTGAAGCCTACAGAGTGCATCTACTAATACTATATAGTTTGGTTTAATGGCGGCCCTGGTTGTTCATCGTTAATAGGGCTAACGACCGGCAACGGCCCCATCTTGTTCGATGGCAATTCAACCAATTTGGTTCGCAATCCAAACTCGTGGACTAAACTCGGAAACGTCTTGTATGTCGATCAACCGGTCGGTACAGGTTTCTCAACAGCCAGTTTCCCCTACCCAGTCACAGATAATGACCGAGTAACGGCCGATTTTACACGCTGGCTAAATGCCTTCTTTATGCACTTCCCGCACCTTGCATCCATGCAGATCCATCTAATGGGCGAGTCATATGCCGGAATCTACATACCATACTTTGCATCGGAACTCCTAAATGGCAAGAACACACTGCGCCTAGACGTGCGTTCAATGTCTCTGGGCGATGGCTCCTGGGGCAACGGAGCAGCCATGTCATCTGTCGCAATGGGCCGCTATCTAAGATCTCAAGCATCCATGCTCAACATCCCCAAAGACATCCTCTCAATCTTCGACGAAGCAGACGAAACCTGCGGATTCAACGAGGTACTCGCCCAATCCATGATCTACCCACCACATCGCCGAATCCACATCCCAGGGAACCCAGAGTACTTCAACCTGAAACGTCGCCTTCGCAGAGACATGATTGACTCTTTAGACTCAGCATGCAACATATTCCCAAAAACCACAGACGAAGTCCGCACCTCAATCTTCAACTCGACATGCTACGGCCCCTGCGCAGCCCACTCAACAGCAATTGACTACATGCAAACCACGGCAGATGAAGGCTCCAGGAAACCAGCTTGCTATGACGTTTATGATATTAGCCATGACTGTAGCACTGTCTCCCCACTGCCCTTGATGGCAGAGTACTTCAGCCGCGCTGACGTCCAGTCTGCTCTACACGTTGGCAATAGTGGCGATTACGAAGCCTGTAACTCGACCATTCTGGACACACTCCTCGCGGCAGACTCACCTGTTCCGCCGGAGTACTCCATTCTCCCGTCTTTGATTACGAAACATAATGTCGCGTTGCATATCTATAATGGAGAGTGGGATATGTTGATCAACCACATTGGAACCGAATTGTCGATTCAAAATATGACGTGGCGGGGTGCGCAGGGATTCTCGCGGAAATCGAGTCAGCTGTTCTATGTTGATGAAGCGGCGCCTTCTTCGACTGTCGGCCCGACGGCGACGTTGGCTACTACTGCTACGCTCGCGACTGTTGCGGCTACTGCTTCTCCTGCTGGGACGTGGGCTATAGAGCGTGGCGTTTCTTATCACTTCTTCCGTGGGGCGGGACATAGTGTTTTTGTCAACAAGCCGAAAGAGATGTTTGCGTTTGTACGGGATGTGGTTGTTGCTCCGAGGGAGCATTGAGGTTGAGAGCTTAGAGCTGGTGTACCTGAGGATATTTGGTGAATTGGATAGGCAGAGGGGCGAGTTAGGAGACTTTTGTTCTTTATAAATTTCCGGCTTGTTATCTAGCTTGACTGACCTTCTTTTCTTACTGGGAAAGAGTCTGGTTATAGTTCCTGGGTAAACGTTTCATGCACATAATGGCATTTTCGCCTCATCTTCGCACTACTTGATTTCTCTTACTTTTTTCTTTTCGTCACTCTCAGTCACAGGCACCGACCGAGGCAGCGGCAACGACCGGGAGAGAAATCGCGAGTTAGTTGGGGTTAACATATAATTTCGGGGCGACGGCGCGCGGCGCGCGACGGGCAAATCATTGTTCGCAGTCTTGGCGATTGGCTTGGCTGCAGATAACGCGGCCCACGCTCATTTGTAAATTCCATGACGGATTCATGTCTTGATATCGGACAGCATCGGAGGGATCGTAGACTCATATAGAGTAATTAGAAGGTATATAGATCCCGCTTTATCTATCTAAGATGTGAAAGATTGATATATCCACACTTCTTCTATCTCCTCTTCTTATTGGTCAGTCTATACTCCTTGAACTTGATATCGATGCTTTGGCTGATGAACGATGGTATAGATCCTTACAATGACACAAGCATACTCAATCAGAGGCGAGGAGCAGCCTCTGACTATTCCTCAATGGCGCGAGTTACAAAAAACTGTTTCCAAGCCAACTCACATCTTATCGCTGCTTGAGCGAGCACGACCCAACACATCAAATGCATGGATCTCATTGGCAACACCGGCACAAATCATCACACAATGGGAGAGAATCACAGCGCTTCGATCAGAGGGGAAAGACCTCCCATTATTCGGCGTGCCATTCGCTGCCAAGGATAACATCGATGCCGCTGGCTTTTGCACCACAGCCGCATGCCCAACTTTTGGCACTGAGCCCGTCGCAGCCGATTCAACAGTTGTGCAACGACTGAAATCACAAGGAGCCATTATAATTGGCAAGACCAACCTGGACCAATTCGCCACAGGGCTCGTCGGCACGCGGTCACCATTTGGCTCCGTTGCCAATTCATTCAATCCAAGCCGAGTCAGCGGTGGTAGCAGCTCTGGTAGTAGCGTGGTGGTTGCCCAGGGACTTGTTCCTTTCTCCCTTGGTACTGATACAGCGGGTTCAGGCCGTATCCCTGCTGGCTTGAATAATCTTGTTGGACTCAAGCCCACGCGGGGAGCTTTGAGCGCATATGGTGTGGTACCAGCATGCCGCTCCCTTGATTGTGTTTCCATCTTCGCCTTGACTTTGGATGATGCAGACCTCGTCATGAAACTGGCTGAGGGATATGATACCCAAGATTCTTACTCGAGAGATCGGGCCAGCTGTGCGACTGGTAAGTCTCCTCGAGGTGCCTTGCCCTCCCAACCGAAGCTGGCTATCTGCTCCAACCCTGAGTGGTACGGCACGACTGAGCAGATTGAACCATACCAAGTGGCATTGACTAAGGCCCAAGGACTGGGGTGGAAGCTGGAGCCGGTTGATTTTACCCCACTCTTCTCTCTTGCAAACCTTCTGTATGAAGGCCCTTGGGTTGCCGAGCGATACGCTGCTATCGACAACTTTATTCGCTCGGTGCCAGCCGAGGCCATGGATCCCGTTGTCCGAGGGATCATCATGAAAGCAGAGAAGTTTTCTGCTGCAGATCTCTTTGCCTGCGAGTACAATCGCCAGGACCTGTCCCGTGAGATCGAAAAGATATTCGGGCAGTACGATGCGTTACTAGTACCCACGGCTCCCACATTCCCTTCAATGCAAAATCTCATCGATGAACCCGTCGCAGCGAATAGTCAGTTGGGTAGATATACCAATTTCGTGAACTTCCTGGATTGGTCTGCATTGGCGATTCCCGCTGGCTGGAGAGCAGACGGTCTTCCATTTGGTATCACGCTGATTGGAGGTGCGTGGGAAGAACCGCGATTGATGAAGCTCGCTCGGCGATGGATGACTGATTCTCCACGAACTCTGGGAGCGACGAGCGTGGAGTATCAAGAGATTTGGGCCGAGCCTCCTGTGCCTGTCTCTGCCAATTCGACGCAGCTGGCTGTAGTCGGTGCTCATCTCTCTGGCTTCCCCCTGAACAAGGATTTGGTCTCGCGCGGCGCTACCTTTGCCACTGCCACTGTCACAGCACAGTGCTATCAGTTATTTGCCCTGCATACGACAAGCCCAGTTTCCAAGCCTGGTTTGAAAAGGGTCAGCGACGGTGGCGATTCAATTGAAGTGGAGGTTTGGAACATGCCGCTTGATATGATGGGCAGCTTCCTCGGTACTCTTGCAGCGCCCTTAGGCCTTGGGTCCATTGAATTACAAGATGGCCGATGGGTTCACGGGTTTATATGTGAGCCTACTGGCTTCGAGAATGCAAAAGACGTGACTAACTTCGGCGGATGGCGAGGATACACCCAGTACCTTACCAGCTCTACCGCCGAATCGTCGCGAGCTGCATCTCCTACGCCTGCAACCAGCGTCGGCGAGAAGCGTATCACGAAGGTCCTTGTTGCAAACCGCGGTGAGATTGCCTTACGTATCATTCGAACACTGCGCGATATGAAGATTTCGTCTGTAGCAATCTATTCAAGTGACGATGCTCGCGCGCCACATGTTGCTGCGGCGGAAGTAGCACTTCCTTTGGTTGGAAACACGATATCCGAAACGTATTTGAATGGCAAGCAGATTCTGGACTTGGCCATCGAAGCTGAGGCTGATGCCATCATTCCTGGATATGGCTTCCTATCAGAAAATGCCGAGTTTGCTGCCGCTATTGAAGCTGCAGGGTTGGTCTGGGTTGGTCCAACTCCAGATCAAATGAGAGATTTGGGCCTGAAGCACTGTGCGCGTGATATCGCTATTACAGCTGGTATTCCTGTCGTACCCGGAAGCAAGGGTTTGGTCACAAGTCTTAAGGATGCGCTGGCAGAATCAGAGAAAATCGGCTATCCAGTGATGGTGAAGAGCACTGCTGGCGGAGGTGGAATCGGCCTTCAGCGGTGCGCCGATGTTGATGCACTCCGAGAAGCATTTGATAGTGTTCGTCGTTTGGGACAGGCAAACTTCGGCGACGATGGCGTTTTCATCGAGCATTTTATTGATCGGGCCCGACATATTGAAGTCCAGGTTCTCGGTGATGGCGCTGGTAGAGTCATTTGTGCTGGCGAGCGCGATTGCTCATTACAGCGTCGAAATCAGAAGGTCATCGAAGAATCCCCAGCTACTTTCGTCTCAGCCAAGGTTCGAGCTGACATGCGTCGTGCTGCTGCTTCTTTGGCCACCGCTTTGCAATACCGCAATGTTGGCACCGTCGAATTCATCTTCGACATAGATACCGAAAACTTCCATTTCTTGGAGATGAATACGCGTCTCCAGGTCGAGCACCCAGTGACCGAAGCCGTCACGGGCCTTGACCTTGTCGAATGTATGATGCGCATTGCTATGAATGACTGCACCGCTCTTTTCCCCCAGCAAATCAACGAGATTCCGGTCTCCGGTGCAGCGATTGAGGCTCGTGTCTATGCGGAAAGCCCCCTTCAAAAATTTCGGCCTTCTCCAGGAAAGCTTTTGAACGTTGAATTCCCAACCGATGTCCGCATTGATACTTGGGTCAGTTCGGGCCAGAAGCTCTCGTCATCCTTTGATCCAATGATCGCAAAGATCATTGCTTATGGTGATAACCGTCATGCAGCTCTTCAAAAGCTCTCGGAAGCTTTGGCCAGGACAGTCATTACTGGCGTGGAAACGAATCTGAAGTACTTGCAGCAAATCGTTGCTTGGGAGCCATTCAACTCTGGATGCTTCACCATTGGATCGCTCAATTCATTCCCATACAAAGTCCAAGTCGTCGAGATCATTGATGCTGGGTCCAACACTGCTGTGCAGGACTTCCCTGGCCGTCAAGGTCTTTGGCACATCGGTGTTCCGCCCTCCGGCCCAATGGATTCGTACTCATTTCGTCTCGCCAACAGAATAGTTGGTAATGACGAGAATGCTGCGGGTCTTGAGTGTTCGATTCAAGGGCCAACTTTATTGTTCCATTCCCCAACCACCATTGCTGTTGTTGGTGCTGATGCCCCTATATCTGTCGAAGGGGAGAGAAAGAAGCCAGGCGTTGCGATCAGCATTGCAGCTGGACAGAAACTTTCCATCGGAACAGCCAAAAATGGTTCACGAGTTTATCTTGCCGTTCGAGGAGGATTTAAAGTCCCTGAAGTCCTGGGCAGCCGTTCGACATTTGCGATAGGTCGCTTCGGAGGACACAATGGACGCAGTCTCCGAATTGGTGATCTTTTACTATTGTCGGCTGTTGTAGAAGAGGGAGTTCCATTACTAAACGCCCCAATAGTTTCTCTGCCGATACCTGAAACCAGAGAATGGATCGTGGGTGCGATCCCTGGGCCACATGGTAGCCCGACTCACTTCACACAGGACGGGCTTCAAGAGTTGTTCAACGGTGAATGGACTGTCCACTACAACAGCAATCGGCTTGGAGTCCGTCTCACAGGGCCTCGTCCAGAATGGGCACGGAGAACTGGTGGTGATGCTGGCCTGCATCCCTCCAACATCCACGACAGCCCTTACTCAATTGGAAATGTGAGCTTCACAGGTGACGAAGCAGTGGTTTTGACAGCAGATGGTCCAAGTCTGGGAGGATTTGTCGCGTTCGCAACGGTTGCGGAGGCGGAGATGTGGAAGTTTGGTCAGATGCGACCAGGAGATCGACTTCGATTGCACCCTATTTCTCTTGATGATGCGCAGGAACTTGCGCGGGCTCTTGAGCATTCAATTGATACCCTCAGCCCGCTGTCAACAGCAGATATCATGAAACCAGATTCTGCTGCTGTCTCCAGTTCAGTCGTGAAAGATATCTCTGAGGCCGGCCGCTTCATTCGTTGCTGCCAAGCAGGTGATCGTGCATTGCTACTTGATTTTGGCACCCAAGATAACTTCACGCTCAGACAAACATTTCACATCATGAGTTTCATTGAGAAGCACCGAGTCTCTCCAATTCCCGGTGTCGAGGAGCTCACGTCAGGAGTACGAAGCCTTCATATTCGCCTGAAAGCAGGTTTCTCACTACACCAAGTTCTTGACGCGCTAGTCGATCATGAGCTTTCTCTAGGGAGTGAACTCCCCTCTCGACTACCCTCGCGTATCGTGCATATGCCCCTTGTTTTCAACGACGAGAGAAGCCGCAGTGCCATTACCCGCTATAGTTCGACCATTCGCTCCTCGGCACCGTATCTGCCTAGCAACATTGAGTTTTTGCAGAAGCTGAACGGACTTGACAGCCCTAATCGTGTGAAAAGCAATCTCTACGAAGGCGCGTTCCTCGTATTGGGTCTTGGTGATGTGTATCAAGGGTCTCCCTGTGCTGTACCCCTGGATCCACGTCATCGACTCTTCGGAACGAAGTATAACCCATCCCGTTCCTTTACTCCTCGAGGTGCTGTCGGTATTGCTGGTCAATACTTATGCATTTATGCGACCGACTCACCTGGCGGGTATCAGCTCGTCGGTAGGACCGTCCAAATCTGGGATGAGTTTCATAAGCCCGGACTGGGCGACAAGACACCATGGACGTTCTCACTTTTGGATCAGATTCGCTTCTACCCTATCACTGAAGAAGAACTTTCCGTAGCGGAGGCCGATGGAACTGCCAGTGATCTCATCAAAGTCTCCAGCACGGAACTAAATCTCAATGAATATGAGAGGTGGCTGGGAGAGAAAGAGGAGGACATCACTGCTGTTCGGGAGCAACGATTAAAGGCAATGTATGAGGCTGATTTCTTCGATGATCTGCTCAAGCCATACGACGCTATCGTAATGCGGCCCAGTAGGGACCAAGAGAGTGACGAAGATATTTCTGGAGAGCGAGTGAAGGCACTTTTGCCTGGGAGATGTTTCCGTTGCGCTGTCAAGGAGGGAGACAAAGTTGTAGCAGGGGATCCTCTAGTGAGTACAATGTCAGACGACATTAATGGCAAGGCCCCAAGCTAATGATAGTTAGATCTGGATCGAGTCCAACAAAATGGAGGTCAAGATCTGTGCACCTGTCAGTGGGAAATGTGTGAGACTGCTAGCCGCTGAGGGAGACATCCTTGAGCCCAGTGATGATGTTGTGATCATTCAATAGGAAAGATCGTGTTGAAAAAAAAAAGATATTCATAAGTCTTAAGTCCGTTCACTCTTCCAATATAGACAACTACAATTCGAGGCAATCAAAAATAACCAAAAAAGAGACCCAAAAGGAGGAAGAAAATGACACTGAAACAACATACTCGCTTCGAGGCTTATGTGTAGCGACTTTGGATCATTCATCATGAGCACCATATAAACACTAATGACCCTGGTTGCACCATGTCATGCTTCGAAATAGTTCGTTATTCGTTATCTTTGAAATGAACCCCCCAAGGGAAGAATATAGAAGCAGCCTGCGCAGACCAGTGAAGTACACGAGCTCGCTAAGGATCCCGGAATGTTGCTGCCTTCAAAGCAGCCAAATCCCCAACTTCCTCATGAAGCATTCGAAGTGCTTCGCGAGCAAATGGAGCAGCGGATGCGCGGACCTGCAGGACCCAGCGAAGCTTTTCAAGCTGTTCAACGTATCCCGCTGCTTCATCTACTTCGGGGCTTGTTGCCCACAGAAGACCGGCAAAGGCACCAATTAAAGCCACCTGGGCTGCTGCTGCAAAGCCCCAAAATGATTGAATGTGTTCTGGCTGGAAAGATTCGATCAGATTCATCGCCGACGTCAGTCGGGCACGGGCTGCGGTTCGGATCGCCGCACGAAGAGAAGGAGCTGTATCGGGCGTCAGAGCACGTAGTAATGCGCGGTGCATGGTCAGCTCTGCTGCCATATGTGAGAGATGCAAGGCGCCGTTTGTCGATAATCGTAATGAGGGTGTGGATTCCAGTTGGAGGTTGGTAGGAACTGCCACATACCATTCGCGCAACTCCATCGCCAAGGGTTTCGCCAAGGTCATCGCACCTGATGGTCCAATCCGCTCAAGTAGTCCGCTTTTTTTCGTTGCACCAATTGAACAGAATGTGGACACGATCCGACTAAAGATCTTGGTCAATTCAATAATTTGCAGGAATGCCGCCCTACCAGCGCCTCCGTCCACATCTGCGTCCCCATTTTGCTCTTCACTGCTCGCGTCCTCAGGAAAGTCATTAAGTGTACACGGGGCAACATCCCAGTCACTTATCCCTTCGTTTTCGTCAATTTGTGCAGGAATGAGGGATGGGCGACCGTGCACAAGAACCCCCCATTTATCCTGCAAGTATAACGCCCAGGCTAATCTTCGTCGTAGACCTTTCTCCCAATCTGGGATCTTCCAATCCGTACAGTCAGTATGAATTCCTAATGTCTGCCCTAGTGATAAAAGCTGAGCGGGAAGAGTGCTATGGGAAGATCTCATTCTTTGCAGTAATAACAGACCAGCCTGCAATGTAGAGAGCTTGGGCCGCTTCAAATCGTCGTCCATGGCTCGCATTGCTAGGTTTTCCAAAGCTTCAGCATCTGGCGTTCGATTGGTCGTAGCAAGAACCCGATCAAAGAGCTTCCAGTCTAATGCAACAAGGTAGACGGCAGCGAGAAGCGGTGGTGAAAATTCGCGATAGGACCGATCATATTTTTCCAGGAAAACGCCCTTGTCCAAAATCGGGAACGTGCGATGCATGATGCGGAAATAAAGGTTTACCAAGGTCGGCCCCAGCGGACGTATCGATTCCTCAATGCGGTCTAGGTCGGCGATGCGTTGCATCTCAGAAGCCGAGTCCTTGTCAGGGTAGGTAATAAATGCGGCGGATTGATTCACACGTCGGGGATAACATCTCTCCTGGTCAGTGAAAGAGATGGCCGATGGCCGCAAATCAAGGAGTTCAGGTTCATGATAGCTCGCCGGACCAATATACTCAGAATGAAGATGAAGCTCTAGACCCAGTGTGCCCTCTAGTCGTGAATTTATTAGATCTGTCGGGGTTTTATCTTCAACAGAGCCCACAGTGGATGGCGTTAATGAGCTGCGATGTCTTTTTGTCCTTTGTTTGGGGTCAGCTAAGAAAAGTCCTGCGAGATATCCAAACATACTTGGATTCTGCAGAGCTTGATGACTTCATGACCCTTTTCCGTGGCTGTGGACCCTGCAGAAATGTGCATTCAAGTCCATTCAGGCTGCAGAATATGCAGTTGGCTTTCTCAGGTTCCCGTATACATCGCGACTTGCGATGACGACAGCGATCGCACGGGCGTCGCATAGGCTGGTCCGCCAATCCGGACGCCGACATTTAAGATCAGCTCTTATGTTCTTGTTTAGGCGGATATACCCTGGGTACGAGATCATCCACTCATTGGTCTGGGTTACTTGAATGGATAAGCTGATGTTGACATTGAGTCGCGCACGTCCCCATTTGGTTGAACAAATGCCGGTGCTTACGTGATCGTGTATAGTTTTCTTGATTAGAGGCGCGATGATTGTGAAAAATTGAGATATGTTGGTAGTATGCTAGGCTAATAGACAATTAATGTTCTAATAAGGCTTTGAGAAGCCTTGACAGCTTTTTTAAGTACTATTGAACATATATTAAGTACCAAGCCTCTTATACCGTGATTGTCACCATAGAACCTTTTCCCAACCAGAATATCTCTTTTACTGGGTGGGATCTTATATCTGCCTTAAGCCTAGTTTCTGAATTTACAGGTTTGAGTTAGAGCAAGCCCCTGGAGGTGTCTTTGTCGGAATAATCTTGGAAGAGCCAGAGTTGAGAAAAGAGGGCATGGAGCTCCTGCCACTCGTTTATTCCAGAACAATGTTCTCACTCGGACGATGAGAGAGAAGGGAATTATAAATTCCGAAGGACTATGATTCTGATTGCAATCGTAGAGAAGATGACGGGAAGGGCATGGATATCACCGAGGATGATTTGCAGGCTGAGCATGTGGACTTGATAGATCCATAATCCAATAGCTACGTTGAGATGGAGAATGGATTTGCATAAAGAAGATTCTGCCGAAGAGGAGCAGCTTTAGTATTCCACCAGGTACTGAATGACACTTCTGGTTTTTCCTCCAGCAAAGGAGTGGACACCAGAGCAGAGGCCACTGCAGCTGCTCTTGCTGCAGCCAACCAAGTCCTTGAAGTGAGTATATATACTGCTTCGTTTATTACTTAAGCTTTACTTGAGTTTTACTTTGGTCGCCTTGGTCTAATTTTATTTTGGCCTCTCTTCAGCCTCTCCTTTTATAACCCACAAAGAGCACTACGGCTTGCTTATTAGACAATGAGTCACGTTAGTAATGAGTCACTTTAGTCACTAGATCCAACTGGTAGTGTATTCAGAATCTCACTTTTTCTTTACCCTTGAGGAATCTTAACCAGGTCAAATGACCAAGGCCGGTGATTGTTCACTTTTTACAGAACGCCCCAATCGCGAAGCCTAACCCAATAACTATAAGATATAGGCAAGCGAACGTAGCTTATCCAGAAGTAAGGTTGCACGAAAACAGTCAGTGACTTACAGGGTCTTGGTAGCAGAGTCCTAGACAAGATTGTCAGAGTTGCTGAGCCGAGAGATGATGCCCACGTTGTTCGGTTTTCTAACATCGAGTTAGTCGGTTCCCATGATAAAGTGTTTATTGTAAACGCCTATTCAAACATCTTCTGAAACTCTGTTCTGATAAGAGTTCGTTCATCCTCCTTGAAATTTCAGAATGCAAAGATGTCTCCAGAAAGGTCACTTAGAAAATGAGAGAAAGGTACTACGTGATTGGGTCAGATGTGATAGCCTTGTGGAAAACACCAAATAATGCATAGGAAAACCTTTACTAGGTTCTCTCTTTCTGAAAAACATCAAATGAGTAAAGTCTGAAACAGGTCAACTGAAGAATCGGAAGTATGAAAAAACGCGAATCGGGTCCGTGCACGACCAACATCACCCCTTGGCGTCGATTTGCGCCAACTCCGACTGCACATTTCCCAATCCAGTTTTGACATAATGCAAGATCAAGAATCGATCTGATCCATATTTCTATCCAAAATTACAACCAAAACGGCGGACGCAAATGCAATTCCCAATGCGTCTCTCAGCCGCGCTTTACTCAGCAAATCACGCCTGGCTGGGAAGCTTGAAATCAGCCCAATTACAGCGTATCGCGCGTGCCACAGGTATCCAGTCTTCTGGAACGAAGGGTGTGCTTGTCGAGCGGATTGCCACGGAGCTGAACTTGCAGCATACCACTGCCGGATGTTTACCCCCGACTTCTAGCAAGAGAAAGAGCAAGCCAGTGGGGCTATCACCATCAAGCACCAATGATGATATGCAATTTAAACAACAACGACCATGGAGCATCCTCAGCATCGACATGGGAATCCAGAATCTCGCATTCGCTCATTTGCGAATTCCCAGCTCTTCCGAATCTGCTCCAGCTTCTCTGGACTCAGATCATCCTCCAACATTAGAGTTAACGGCATGGCATAAACTCGCCGTTTCAGAAATATCAAATCTAAACCTCATACCCAAAACTTCAGAAAACCTATCAACAACATCAGAAACAACGCTCCCTATTGCCAAAGCCCAATCAAAAGACAGCGAGAAAGAGAAAGAAAATTACACACCATCTCTATATGCTCAAAACGCCTACAAACTAATAACATCTCTTTTGGAAGCGTACAACCCAACCCACATCCTAATTGAGCGTCAGCGTTTCCGATCTGGTGGTGGAAGCGCAGTGCAAGAATGGACGCTGCGCGTTGGTGTCTTTGAGGGCATGCTGTATGCCATTCTCCATGCGTTGCGGGAGGAAAGGGGTGGCAGTTTGCAAAATGTTGTTGTCCAGGGTATTGAACCGAGAAGGGTGGTTCGGTACTGGCTTGAAGGCGGCACCAAGAGAGATGCCGATGAGAAAGGAGAAGATAGCAAGGCGAAAAAGCTCACGGCAAGAGATATCAAAAAGGCGAAAATTGATCTTGTTGCTCACTGGCTTTCGTCTGCCCGGAAACATCAAAACGCAGCAAGTGGTGAAGGTGAAGTTGAAGTTTGTACGACGAAACCTGGCTCATTGGCGGACACCAAGATCGTGCTGGCAGATTCATCTGAGTCCCCTATTCTGCAGAATATTTCCGCTGGATACCTCCGGAAATGGTTGGACCAGGCGACTAGGAAGTCCAAGACGACAAAAACAAAGACAAAAGACCGGACTATCGTGACCGAGTCTCCCTGTATCGCTTCTATCGCACAGGGCATGGCTCTTACACCCACAACTGCAGCTATAGATCCCGGAAAGCTGGACGACCTAGCGGACTGTCTCCTTCAAGGCGTGACATGGGTTGAGTGGCAGGTCATGCGGGAGCGGATTGCGAAAGAGGGGATAGAGGCATTAAAATCGATACCCGAATAAATGGAGTTGGATTTACTAGATATCAAGCCTTGTACATACATAGGCATTTGTACGGGCGAGAGCTCGACAATCAATGGCGTTCAAGCCATTGGCAAATCTGATACTCTCCACGAGCACCATTGTATTTTCCATCTTCTGCCATAAAACAATGCCGCTCTCTGTCCTTCCAGCCATAGCATCCTCTCCCACATCATCTTGCTCGTAGAAAAAGCCCTTGCCCAATTTCCAGATCGCCAAGTACTCAGGATTAGACCCGGCGATTCCACCGATGGAACTGCTTCCATCAGATCACTCAATGCGACAACATGATTTTGCTGACCTATAACAGTAGCTTGATGTACAAATAGCTTCAGCATTCATGTCCCGATAGTTCATGATGATGCTGGTAATTTCATCGGTTCCGTTGCAGAAACTCATACTTGATAGCGCTTCTGGCTTCTGGCATTTCTCAAATTCCGGTAAACAGCCTTTCAATATGATATCGGCCCAGGTTAGGGTATAGACGCCGATATCAAGGAGCACACCAGCCACGAGTGCCGGATCTGCGGATCTCGAGGCAGGGGGCAGCTTTGAAAGAGACATCTCAAGTACAAAGTCAACGAAGACTCGAGATATATCTCCAATCACTTTTTTCTCATGAAGTATGGACTGCAGCTCAGTGATAGCTGGGAAGAATCGTGTCCAGATGGCTATGTATCATGTTGGAAAGTAGCTATAAACCAATGAGGTAGCTAACATGCTTCCACCAACAAAGCTCCCATCTTGCGAGATGCTTCAATCAGAATGCGATTCGGATCGACATTTAAAGCGAAAGGCTTTTCACAAAGTAGATTTATACGAGCATTAATCGCATTCAGTGCAATCTTGAAATGCATCAAATGCGGTGTATGATGTATACGATCTCAACCTTCTCATCTTTAATAAAACCTTCGTATCTGTCATAAATATTTGGTGATTACTCGTCTTTGCAACAAATTCTGATGCTTTGGTGACAGATGATGAACCGATAGCCCGGCCGACATGCTTGACTGGTGAACCTGGTCTTTCTAGTACAAAATTTGACACAAACCATGAAGAGATCAGTCCAGAACCTGTTGGTTTAGTTTATCTTCTCCTGCTAGATTCATGTATGGCTGCGATAATTGATGGGGATAGAAGTTCAAGTTGGACTGAAGTGAAATTTGAAAGAAGGTCAATGGTCCTGAGGTGGATCATATCGAATGTCAGGTGGTCAAGATGGGAACCGTTAGATACAGTAGACACATGGTTGAATACAAGATTTTCACTTAGAACACCCACATAGAACTTCGATATTTCCAAAGTGAAAAGAGACATGTTTGTCATTTTCTAGGGCCATTTTGATATCTGTTACTATGTAATAGAAGGACCTGCTTTCAGAGGTGTTCCACGAGTTTTTGTTTGTTTATCCTGCCTTTTCGGTCGATCAATTGTCTCGTTTCTTCTTCCCCAAGCCTCGACGACTAAATCGTTAGATATTTTGTGCGAGGCCAATGCTTATACCGTCCCTTGCACTGACGGATGAAGAAGATCGGCGCTGATCGACCGATCTACAACGGTTACCGTAATTCCTGTATGCACTATACGTATCACATCAGGTAGCCTGATGATTCTACTATATTCTACTCTACAAATAACAACCGAAAACCTGAAGATGTGTTACAGAGGACAAAACCTCAAGTCAATTCATGCTCAAACCACACAGCACGATCTTTCGATCAGCCATGCGGTACATAGAAATAACCATGCGAAAGACTGTAAAAACAAGCATAGCGCGCACGAGATCATTCCGGGTGAAGATCCGATAGAAAAATCAAGGATAGCTTTTCGACAAAAGCAAAGCAAGCAAGGAAAAACACAAGAAGGAAGCACTGACCCTCCCCGAAGTGGAGGGAGGTCACATGCCCGAGTCATGATACGAGAAAGAAAAATAGTCCGAGTCCAATGGGAATGGTCGTTAGAATTGAGCTTCTCATTGGAGTAAAAATGGAGCAAAGGAATGACATGCTAGTTGTAAGAACGAGGTCGGTCTTCCGAGATTGAGGGATGGCTTGCAGATAGTACCAGCAAGGGGAAGACTGGAACTCAGAAATTTATAACAACGCATGACAAGACCATTGCAAGAAAGTAAGATGTTGAAAGGAAGAAACATGGCAAAAAAAAGTGTAGCGTAAATGAGAACTGAAATCGAAACTTTGTACCGAAAAACTTGACAGAAATAGGTACAATACCAGCGCGCCACTGCGCGATTAGAAGGAAATAGGAACTTTCTCTCAGATCATCAACGGGCTCGTAACACACCGCTCCATGGGAGGGCTAGGGCACCCCTCACATCCGCACGAGAAATGCTTAGATGAAGTTGCGGCGCCAGTTGGCAAGGTAGGGCTTGCCGCTGGGGGTACCGCTGGGAGGGGCGGGGAAGCCGCTAGCAGTGGGGAAAGGCTTAACGCTGGGGGTTCCAGTGGGAGTGCGAGTAGCGAACCCGCTGGAAGGGGTGAGAGTGCGGGTGCGACTGTAGGAGTGGGCACTGCTGTAAGGGGCATTGGTGGTGGAGACGGAAGCGGTGGTCTCGGGGACGGGGGCAACAGTCTCAGATTCGGTCTCCTGGTTGTTGTTGTTGGCAGCAGGAGCAGTGGTCTCGGCGCCCTATATAAGAGTTAAAATTGTTTCACAGTTGGGGTAAGCAAGACATACGGCAGTCACAGTCTCAGTAACGGTGGCGGTGACAGTGACGGGGTTGGGGTTGCAAGAGTCACCGTTGCCAGCACCGTTGCCAGCACCAGCGGAGGCGGAAGCAGATGGAACCTCGACGAGGGTAACAGTCTCGGTTTTGGTGGAGTGGAGGGTGCTGGTGTGGGTGCTAGTCTTGTCAGCCTGGTTGTTTCCAGCCTGACCGGGCTTGGTGATCTCGGCACCGGCGCCGGACTCGGTCTATATTTAGTTAGTTGGAGATCAATCATCAATGGTATAGAATACATACAGCAGTGACAGTGTGGTCCTGGGTGGCAGTCTTGTAGATGGTGGTGGTGACGAGGCTGGTGGAGTCACCGGAGCCGACAGTGTAGGTAACGGTGATGGCGCTGGCAGACTCGGAGCCAGCTCCAGGGACGTTAGTGCCAGCAGGAAGAGCGGCAGAGCTGCTCAGGATGCCAGAGGCGGAGGAGGACAGTCCGGAGGGACGACCAGTGGGGTAGCCAGTGGGGCGAGAGCTGAAGGGAGTACGGGTGATGCGGGGCTTGCCAGTGGAAGACGAGTCTTCAGTGGAAGAGGCAGAGGCAGAGGCACCAATGGAGCTGGAGGGAGCAATGGAAGCGATCACGCTGGAGGAAGCGGCCGAAGAGGCGACGCTGGAGACCGACGAAGCAGAAGCAGCCACGGAAGAGGCAGTGCTGGAGCTGGCAACGCTGCTGGGAACAACGGGAGCAACGGAGCTAGGAGCAACAGAAGGCACCACCGAGGGCTCAACGGAGGGCTCAGCGGAAGGAGTAGCAGGGGCTTCAGGAGCAGGCTCGACCGGAGTCGGGAAAACTTGAACGGTAGAAGTAGCCTCGGGGGCAGGCGCAGGAGCAACGCTGACGGAACGAGCCTGGTTCCCACGACGAGCATGGAGACCTTCATGGCTGGCATTGGCCATAGCAGCGAGAGCAGCCACGAGGGCGACGGAGACCTTCATAACCATTTTGAAGTAGCGACTGTTATTGGTTAACGAGAGAATGAGTTGGTGAACCTGGAAAGGTAAAGAGAGAAGTTGGCACAGGTAAAAGACAGGAAGGCACGAAATCAATTCGTGGAAGGAATGAATGCTTCTCTGGGAAGTAAAAAGAAGTGAAGGAATGCACTGCAAGCTTAAGGAAGAAGAAGGAGAGGAAGGAAGCCAAGGCGGGATAGCCTCATATTAATTCATTTCGCTAGATTAAAGTGATAAGTTTACAGTACTTGTATTACGGTGGAGATCCAACTGCCAACGTGGGATCCACTGTCTCAGGCACCAATATCTGATTGGCCTGCTGTAAGCCGAAATTGACCTTTAATCTCACGGAAAATATCCCTATGAACTGACTGTGAATGATGGCTTGGGGTGGCGTTGAGGTGACGCCACATGTCAACACTAGCTCATCACCCCCTTTCTTAAAGTGAGTGAGATGATAGGGCAGATACGCAACGCTGCATACGCTATACACGCATACGAGTGACCCAATGGGCGGCTAAATCTCTAATGTCCTGAAAGTGGGACAAGGTGGCACTGGTAACCGTCTCGATCCGAATGTTCTGAGCAGACTTCGCACAGCATGTATGGAGTATCCGGTGTACAGATACCGCTTGGCGAATCCTTCCTCGTTTAGGCTGCAATCAGATCGTTTCACCCGTTACAGAACTATAAATTACCCGATGGTTTCATATTGAGCGCCATCTGAAGGGTACGCTTCTATAAAATTTGTAATGACGATGCTGATATTTGGTCTAGCCCCTCGGGCTGGAAATGAAGGTCCTGTGCACCTGTCAATGCCGTGTGGGGTCCGAGTAAAGACGGCAAGACTCGGTCTATCATGTTTCATTTCCGGGGGCCGAGTTGCGCCATTTGGGTGTGTGTAATGTCGAACGATGTTTTTCTCAGTTGAAGTCTGGTCTGGAATTGTTTCATCGTACTCCCTACTCCCAAGGGGGGGGGGGGGGGGGGGGGTGTAAACGGAGAAGCTTTCGATATGAAACATCCGACTCGGATTTTCAGACCCCCCTATCCCTCTCTCGCTCACCAGCCTCACCACGTTGATTGGCCATTCACCGGGGATGGGCTAACTTGGAATTCGGCAATTGTGAATCCTAGTGTGTCTGATTCAATGTTTAGTCCCAACCTTAAGACTCGTCAGTTCGTCTCAAGCTGAAGCCAAAGATGTCCAGAGAAGTAAAGTGTAGATGTGAAGGCGGTGACGCACGATCTTATCATCCCATCTCTACAAGTATACAACACCAAAACACTAACCCCCAAAATGTCCTTCCAAAACCTCCGCACTCAATACTCAACCCTCCTAAAACAATTTCTAAAATCCACCAAAGAATTCGACGTCCTAACAACCATACCCCCAGACCACTCCGCATCCGAGACCCTCTATGTCTTAGATTCCAGCTTCAATCCCCCCACCCTCGCCCACCTCCGCATAGCCAGCACCGCCCTACAATCAACCCCCAAGCCCCGTCCCCGCCTGCTCCTCCTCCTCGCAACCCAAAATGCAGACAAACCCTCCAAACCAGCCTCCTTCGAGGACCGCCTAGCAATGATGGAGCTCTTTGCGCGCGATCTGCGCACACACCTTGCGATAACACCAGCCTCCACAAATGCCGCCGCCTCCGGTTTAGAGTATGAGCTGCCGGTCGAGGCCCTGCCTTTGATTGATATTGGCGTAACCAAGAAACCGTATTTCGTTGATAAGGCTGCTGCGATTGAGAGCTCCGGTCGGTATCCTGGTGCGCTGGAGCAGGTTCATCTTACGGGATTTGATACCCTCGTGCGTATCTTCGATACTAAGTATTATCCGCCGCATCATACGCTTGCTCCGCTCGTGCCGTTCTTGGAGAAACATCGGTTGAGGGTCACTATGCGGCCTGGGGATGCGTGGGGTGAGAGAGAAGAGCAGGTTGCATTTCTGGAGGCTCTTGCTAGAGGGGATCGGGATGCCGAGGGTGCGCGGAGGGAGTGGGTGCAGCGTATTCAGTTGGTTGAGGGGAGGAAACCTACTGATCCGCATGTGAGCTCTACTCGAGCTCGGGAAGCTTTGCATTCTGCTCCGAAGGACTTGGATTGGCTGGTTCCAGATCTGGTCAAGCAGTATATTCTCTCTGAAAGGGCTTATCCGAGTGATGGAGCTGGGACTGCTAAAGTGTAGATGGGCATTTATATCGGTTAGATATTAGAATAGTCCGTATCCTTGTATAATGATACAATATGATTGAGTAAATCCATCCATACGCCAGATCCCAGGCTTTTCAAGGTTACCTTCCTCCAAATGCGTACTTGATAATCCAAACCACTTTTGCTTCGGTCACATATCATACATCAAGTAGAGCTAAGATCAAGCTCACCGGTCAGCCGGCAGAACTTCCCTTGCTCTGGGTCATTTCCAAGATCCATCAACCACTAATCCTTACGATACTCCTCTTCCTCTCTCTTACCAAGGGTATATGCCAGTCCACCACCGATCAAGTTGACCAAGCACAATCCCATTGTAGCACCCCGCACCACACCGCGCACACCGAACCTCTTCATGAATGGCTGACGGCGGCGCGCTGCTAGCAGCAGGTACAGGCCTGAGAATGCGGCGCTCATGCCGGCTGTGTCGGTCTTGAAGCCTTGGAGGTTGGCATAGCTGGTGAAGAGCAGGGCTGGCGGGAAGAGCATTGGAAAGAATTGGAATGGCTTCATGTGCTGTGCTGCAATCAGGGAGGCGAGGAGGGATGGTGGGAATGAATTTTCTATTTAACATACACTGTCAATGCTGGTTCATTGCTTGGACTGCCCGACATGCTTTGAGTTGTGAGGTCGGCTGGTATTGGTACTTACCACCCCATGCGCGGAAGCGCTGGACCAGCGTTTGCTTGGTCTCTTCGATTGTGTCGTCGTCCGCCATTGTGGGTGATTGTCGGCGTTGTCGGAAGTGGTGATGTTGAGGTGAGGTTCAAGAACGGGGCTATGACGATGGAAGGACCGGTACAAAGTACTGCTGAAGCTTTGACAGCCCAGATTTGTCGCTGCAGGTAAGTTAATAAAACTGCACTAATATTCAAGTTGGAATGAATATCTACTCACAAGACCTGCAGAGCTGCGAGCGGAGCACGGGCAAGTTATGTAACTATCGCAATCCCTCAGATGTTCTCTTGGCAAAGACACCTAACACCATTCCCACTCCACCCGGGATTTATCTCGGACCATATCAACTCCCTCTTTTTACTCACGCCTCACTCACGCTCAGACTCAACCTGACTTGCGCGTGATTGGCTTTGCATTTTCCGTCCTACGCCACCCAACACCCCGGCGCCAGCACCTCCCACGCCCCTCTCGAACACAAAACACAGCAACCTCGAGACCGGATTTCGTTCTCCGACTGAAAAAGCAAGGTCGCTATGCCCTCCGCTACGGCATCAGGCTCCGACGCCAAAGGTGGCGCGAGCTCGCGCGACCACAACCAGGGCAATCAGAATCGCAATTATACCCCAGAACAAAAGGCGGCGGTGTTGCGGATCCGCAAATGTCAGGCGACGGCATTCTATGAGATCTTGTCGGTCGAGCGCTCGTCTACGGATAATGAGATTAAGAAGGCCTATCGCAAACAAAGTTTGTTGACGCATCCTGATAAGAATGGTTATGATGGCGCCGACGAGGCGTTTAAGAGTGAGTGAGGGGTGACCCCGAGTCGGGTATTGCGTCTATGAGGGTGCCCGCTAATGCGCTATCGCAGTGGTCTCCCGTGCGTTCCAGATCCTCTCCGACGAGGACAAGAAATCTCGCTATGACAAGTTCGGCGGCGACCCTGACAGCAGATTCCAGCCCGGGCCCAGTGCGTCGAGTGGCGGATCTCCATTCAGCGGATTTGGAGGTGGCGGTGGATTCCCACGCGGAGGTGGAGGACCTGGCTTCGACGAGGAAATTTCACCAGAAGAACTGTTCAACCGATTCTTCAATGGAGGATTTGGCGGCATGGGCGGTGGTTTCGGTACGAAAACAGAGAAAACGAAAAAAAGGCGCGATGGCAGCCAAACTATCAGAACCCAAACTAACAGCCCGATTCTCACTTTCTAGGCGGCCCCCAATTTGTCTTCAACATGGGCGGAGGCCCGGGATTCCGCGTCCACCAATTTGGCGGCGGCGCACCACGCCGCAGACCTCGCCCAGCAGCAACAGGAGAACAAGAAGCCCAGATAGACGGCCGCAATTTCCTGCGCCAACTCCTCCCACTCATCATCCTCTTCCTCCTCCCTCTCCTCTCGTCTCTCTTCTCCGGCTCCTCGACTCCATCAGGTCCCTCGTACCGCTTCGACACTCCTGTTTCCCCGTATACTCTCGGCCGCACAACCCCCAAGTTAAATCTGAATTACTTTGTCAACCCGCTCGACGTCGATAACTTTAGTGCGCGCAACTTCCGCGAACTGGACTCGCGCGTTGAGGTGGATTACGTGCGGACGCTGCGCAATGGTTGTGATGCTGAGGCCAATGAGAGGGATCGCAGGTTACAGGATGCGCAGGGGTGGATTTTCCCGGACGTTGAGAAGATGAAGGCTGCTCGCGCCATGGAGATGCCTAGTTGTAAGAAATTGGAGAAGTTGAGGGGAAAAATTAGGCTTTGATGTTGATGTCCTTGGTGTCAATGTCAATGTCAATGTCTTTGATGCCTTGATGTTATCTTGTCTGTTCTGGTCTGGTGTGTCTTCTGTCGGCTGACTACATAGGTTTTAGACTGCTTGGCTTGTCTATGGCATTTTCCTTTCTTTCTCTTGTTTCTCTCTTCTCTTTGGGTCTCCTGTTCTTGTTCTCGGAGATTCTGGAGATCTGCTTTTAATATTATTAGCATACACCGCAGCAGGCGGCGTCTGTTGGAGTTGAGCTTATTTCGCTTTCCTGTATATTGTTTGGGAGCTTGAATCCATTTGTTCTTGTCCTTGTGCTTATCTCGGTTAGCTTCTCTTGATACTTGAGGGCTCTAGAGTCACATTCAAGCTGCAGGTCTCATGTATGTATATAAGATAAGAGATTTGAAGTTGTATGGCATGCATTCATCGGTCCTATACAATATATTGGTTGAGCAGTAACAGGTCTGCGAGGACACAAACATCTCCATGGTTAGCAATTCCATATATCAAACCCACTCCCGCAGCAGTAGTCCGTAGTCCTCGATCAGCGCTGGCTCCCACATTTTGTATTGTACCATATCATGGTACTTCCTCCGAACACCCACTCCTCGCTGTAAATCCTGAACCTATCGTTGAGTACGTGACGTGCAACAGACCATTCAAATGACTGACGACCGCGACCCAACCTTCTCGGCGGTATCATCCTTCTACAGATTCCTACTCAAAAATCATATTCCCGAGTTCGCCCTTAAAGTCCCACCTGAAGGGGGCTGGCCTTCGCTCACAGACTAATTTCTCTCTTTCATGAAAAAAGGCCGCAGTCAAAAATCTCATTCGACATTTGCCCTATATCTAAGCGGATGAAGATGGCACTTGGCAGGTATATCGACTATGCGAACTTCTCGATTTGCAGAGCGAAGAGCTACATGAGTACAATAACCACATCGGAAGATGGTTTTAAAAGTAGGCAAAAGTGGTTTTTCACTTCGGACAATACCTGGACGGGGCGGTTATTCTATTTCCTATTATTCTGGATACGAAGAGAGGAACAATCACGCTGGCGGATATTACGATCCCCTCATCCCAAATTGAGCTTTTAGAAAGATACACCGGTTAGACTGTCCTATGTTTACTAAGATTGTTGTCATGGTGCTGATTTGGCTTAGCCTAGTGATGATGCCTACAACAAATCCTGGCGTGAACGGCCGTCTCATACCATTTCTGGGTTTTTCGAGGACATTGAGGCAGAAATACCAGAATTTTGAACTCGTATGCTCCGCAGCAAAGGAAAGCGTACTAAATTGGAAAGGGAAAGCTATTGGGCGCCGCCTGAAATCCGATGTACATGTACCCCGCCTTTATGATTAGCAAATAAGGAAATGGATTTAACACCTGCAGCCTTTGATTGGATCGCTGCGAATATTGATATCACATAGAGCACATCTCAAGATGCTAGGCGCTTTGGAAGACACTCGTGAGATCATGAAATGCGAAAACTACCTTAAAGTTTGAAGTTGCTTTCGGTTCGAGCCGTGCCGCTTTCCAGTCGCCCTAGCCTTAACAAAGGACATTTGTATACTCCTGCGTAATTTAGCAAGTTCTGAAGACAAGACGCAAGAGAAATTTTTTTAATCTTCATAAATAAATAAGCATGTTTGCCAGGTCCCGATTGGCGTAAGCTTCAGCTCTTCGGCCCCCGAGATCGACCGAAGATGTACGATCTGAAAGCCCCTGCCACTAAATGCACACCTCGTGCACTACTTACCTCTAATATGAAAGACCTTCTAGATATGAGAGATATGAGACAGAATGCAGAACTCTAGGGTCAGCTGAAATGAATACAGGCTCGATAAAGATATTTAGTATAAATCTATGACATTTGCGATAATCTAATAGAAAGAAGTAGGAGAAGGGGTACTTAGGCTTCGATGGGCATCCTCAGCTGGTGAAGATGCTATGCAAGTTTAAGCATAGGTGATGGTTGTGCTGTTGGTGACGCAACATCCTGCATATACGGCCCGGAAGATCATTTTAGATGCTCCATCCGTTAACAAATTCAATTAAATTCCAGCAGCCATGCAACTAGACGAAAATATAATCATCACTACACCTTATAGGCCTTCATGTTAACTTGTTCTCAACCAGCTGTAATCGTCTACGATAAAGTAGCCAACACGTGTAGATCATAATTGTGGGGGGCAGATGCAGGCTGGAGATGGCGTGGCTGCAATACAACGCCCTGGTGGCCTGAAACAGGGCCGATAATATCCAGGATGGGGTAAAACGCGCCTCTGCCCTGCCTGCATATGACATACAATGAAGTGGCGTTCGAGTACTATAGCTGAGGATACTTCACTCTTTCAGCCGACTACACCCATATTGCTTTTCCCCTGTACGCACGCTGCAGTGTGCTGCTACGATGTCACAGTGGCGATCTATTTGGGCACATGGCTGGCTGGTCATGTCTCTTAATGCTGCAATTCTGCGTCCAATTTGTAACACAGACTTGTAGATCTAGGCTGTGCCGCAGGGTCAATCGCAAGAACTGGTTTGAAAAAAAGTGTGCTACAGACTGCATCATATGCTAAGAGACTGATAGCTTCTGGTAATGACCAAACTGCCATGACTATAAGTACCCCGTCCAAATCCCTCCGTAAAGACCAGGCATCAATGTCATTTCTCAGAATCTAGTCTTGATACCATAAACAATCTTAACCATGGGTGCCCTGACCACTACCGACTACGCCGCCGTTTCTGATGGTACCAACATCTACCTCTACTATCAAACCGATACCAACCAGATTCACGAGGTTACTTCTGCGGATGGATCTAGCTGGACTGCAAGTCAGGCTGCAGTTGCTGAAAACTTGAGTCCCGGCGGATCTCCCATAACAGCTTACTACGTGGCCAACGACGGCACTTCAGGCAAGAAATCCGCTGTAATAAAGCCTCCCACCTGTTTGCGTGATCATTGGCTGATTGGATTCATTATAGATCCACGTCATCTATCTCGATGCATCCGGAACCCTTCATGAGAAGGTCAAATCCCCCTTGACGAATACTTCATGGGAAAGTCGCGAACTCCCCGTGGAAATCAAGAAAGCCCCCGTTTCAACATCGCGGCTCTCTAGCGGAGTCTGCCATGACACTGCTGCAGGCGCCCATCAGTGGGTATTTTTCGAGAAGTAAGCAATATACCGTGCCTTTTTGGGAATGCACACGATATTCACAAAGGAGCAGAACAGATGGAACTACGGGTAAATCTGAGATAGCTGAGATTCGAAGTGGCCTTGAAAGTCAATTCAAGTGGATCTACAGAAAGGTTCTCCAGGAGGAAGCCGTCGCTGCGCTGCCTGGAACTCAACTGGCGACAAATCTCACCAACCCTACTACCCACTTATTCTTCCAAGATCATGATGGTAACATCACTGAATACCTCGGTGGCTATGATGCCTGGAACAGTACGTATGACTGTTGAAATCAATTTTTTTTTGGGATATCTAACATCATACACAGCAAAGAAGGTGATCCTCACCAAGGAGAAAGTTGAAAGCAGTACCCCTCTCACCGCCGCCGAATCCTCTGTTGCGGACAAGCCCTATGTCTTTTTTGCGACTAAAACTACTCCTTTCAAGATTATGGTATACAACGATGGCAGCTCCTCCGAGATTGCGGCTTATGTTCCTGGCACCAAGTTGGGCGCCATTACTGTCGGTGGGAAGGTTCTACTCTTCCATAAACCCCTCGCGCACCCGACTAGTGTATGGACTCAAGTTTATGATGGCAGCGCTTGGAAATTGGGCTCAAAGGTCGTTGGCTAAATCACGAGGTCTTTGCAATAAGTATCATGGTAGATGACTATAGGGCCATTGTCATTGTACTTTGCTTTCAACATCTGTCTCCAACTTTGTTGTTGCATCGATGTATCATGAACTTTGTTTCGTTGGGCAGTGTGCTTCCTGACGTGTTTCGGTTTTCTCTGATAGTTCCACTGGGCTGCAACAGTCATTTTCATACACATTATTCCCCAGCACAGTTCTGGGCACCTGTCGTTATCGTTTTATGAACCACCTTTTCTTTCATGCAAAATTTGGCTCTTTCCACTTCAAGTCAAGCAAAATGTCTAATCCCCAGTAGGGAAGAACCCCTTGGTGAACCTTTTCTGTAGATCTCGCCAATAAGAGGTCCTGCGTCCTCGTAGGTTCGTTTACCATAATCTTGGCTGGAAATAAATAAGCAGGAAGAAAGACGAACGCAGGAAAAGCATGAGGAGAAGACGAGGCCCCAAATTCCCTCTCGCACAAGTTGCTCGAGGTACCGGTCATCCTGCATGTGCTCAGTCAATTGTTGAACCAGTGTATACGTGCTGGTTATGAAACTGATATGACCTGCAGTCAACCCATTTTGATTATGTAAGGATGATCAAGTCAAGGAGCTCGTTAAAAAAGAATCATGAGGGTGTTTAGTGTGCATTTTCAGTGTCAATTCTGAGAAGATTTTTGTCCTAAGCGGATATTTAATCGAACAACTTTCTCTCATTGGCCTTTCATGCCTGTTTACGGCCCTTGTCGAATGATTCTTCTACAAAAATCGTGGGTTTTGATAAAAGAATGCGGAGTTTTGTTTCATTATATATATTCGCAAAAACTGAATCCAAACAAGTTTTTTTGAAAATTCGAAAAGGCATCACTATACTGATTGTGTCTAGGTCAAGTCCAGGACTACAGCCATGGAGAAATCCCGAAAGTATCAAGGGTAGTGTCCTTTCTCAGCGATAGCCTCTTTGTGCCTCGATTTTTTAAGACGAGGACTCAAGACAAGGATTTGCAATTTTGGCCATGTTGCGACGATAATCTTTATCGAGAAGAATAGACAGGTCTGCATGACTTATAATAAATTAAAGCTGTTGGGTGTTGTATGCCGATACAGGCTAACCATAAAATCGACTTTGAAGATACAACGCTCCTCGCTGCTTTCACCGCAAAAACTCAAGTACTGTCAATGTACCTTCTGCTTAGTCAAAGCCATACCAAAATCCGTTGGAGACGAACCTCAGCGATCACCACAGAATCACCGAACGCGCTTCCCCCGCGGATCTCACTGGAGTTGTCGAGTCGCCACTCCACATTCACGATTTTACGATCCCCACCGTTGCGAATCTAACCTCCAGCCCTTACGAGGTCAACTTCAGAAAATGTCGGATTCCCTCTCCGACGCGGACAAGGTGAGTTAGCGATTTCATCCCGTATGAAAGTAGTGAAGTCTCCGGAATATGTCGACTTATCATCCCACAAGATCCGCAACAAGCGCCTCGCAAAGTTGTCCAACCCAAACCCGTCCCCCTCCCAAGACAACAACTCCGATTCAGCACAGTCATCCGCTCATACCTCGCCGACACAATCGCCCTTGTCCGCCCAACCAACGGGCAGCTTCAGCGGATCCCCCTCGTTCTCGCAAACTCCACTACAATCGGAGGGGAAACGCATCAAAATCACACCAGCTGCCCAGACCCCAGAGCGAACACGATCCAACCCGCCCTCAGCCCCCGGCACGCCCCCTCTACAGAAGATCGAGAGCATCGAGACTTTCGAAGACCGCACATTAAGCGCCGTTTTCAAGGTGACACTGAAGGATGATGGGCGCCAGGACATTCACGGCAAGCGCACTTTCTTGAGTGGTCTGCGCAGCGAGTTAGAAGGAGAGGGCCAGGATTTGCGTATTCAAGTCTCCGTCTTGGACCAAGCTCTCCTGGAAGCTGCATCGAACGCTGAACGGAACCGTCCTTTGGATTACCTGCTGCCATGTTGGAAACGCATCACACGGCTCTCGAATGGTTTCCGCCGGACGGGAGATGACGACCCTAAGTATCAGATTCTTTGCGAGGCGCGTCGACTATGCATGAGCTATTGTATTTTCGCGATTACCATGCCGGAGATGTTCGGGTACGTTTGACTCGCATATGAGAACTTACATTGGATGTACTGACGATTCGTAGAAGCGACGGCTTTGGGCAATCTTTAGCCTCGTATCTGCTCCTGGACCCTGAAGAGGACCGTGGTATTGACTTCAGCTTCATGCACGAAGCTGTGAAGAGGTTTGATGAAGATGAGAGTATCAAGCCAGCATTTATTACTGCCGTTGAGCAGCTTAGTGCGCAGCTCTCCTCTATGGATGTCAACGATGACTACAAACCTTATACCATTGCCCTTCGCAATCTCGTCCGCCATGGTACCCTCGCGGCTGCGATCACAGAATCAGCAATCTTCAACGCCTCAAAAGACCCGGCACAGTTCGAGAAGGCCACTCTTCTAGGACCGTGGTTCAGCCTGTCGCCTCTCCAGGGCAACGTCACCTTGTCTTATTTCTCTAGCCCCAAGACTCGTGATGCAGCATATATCTCGAATGCCCAACGGTCACTTCGGATGACGCAGCAATTGCTAAGCTCTGATCTTCTTGACGTGATCAATCACTTGATTCGAGCTTCAAAGGAGGCTCGTGATCGCGTTTTAGATTGGTTCGCAGCTGCACTTAACATCAACCATAAGCGGCGCGCGATGCAGGTGGACGCCGAACAAGTATCATCAGATGGATTCATGTTCAACCTGACAACTTGTTTAGACCAGCTCTGTGAGCCTTTCATGGATGCATCATTCACGAAGATCGACAGAATCGACTCGAATTATCTCCATCGAAACTCACGAGTTGAAATGCGCGACGAGACTAAGATAAATGCCGATCAGCATGCATCCGATGCGTTCTATTCCAAGAAGGTTGATGGAACTTCAAACTTTATCACTGAAATCTTCTTCTTGACTGTTGCTGCTCATCACTACGGTAGCGAGTCGTTGACCTCGAAGATGGAGCAACTGGAAAAGGATCTGCGACAGATGGAGAATATGATCACCAAATTTGAACTGGAACGTCACAAATGGATCAATAACCCGGGAGAGCTCGCCACTTTCGACAATGCCCTCAAGAAGTACAAGGACAAGTTTGATTTGGGCCTGGCTTTGAAATACAGCCTTCAGGGTGTCCTATTTGATGATCACTGGCAGAGCCGCTCCATGCTTTTTATGCGATATGTTACCGTATGGCTTTTGAGACTCGTGTCTGGCAAGAACTTCCCGACCGAAAAGATCTCACTCCCACTCCCAGAGACACAGCCTGAAGTCTTCAAGTGCCTACCGGAATATTTCGTGGAAGACATTGTTAGCAACTTCAAATTCATCATGTGGTGCATGCCACAAATCATCACCGCCACCCAAGGCGATGAGCTGGTGATGCTGTGCATCACTTTCCTGGAGAGCTCCGCCTACATCAAGAACCCTTATCTCAAAGCCGGACTTGTCTCAATTCTGTTCCGGGGCACTTGGAAACGCCCTGGTGGCGCTAGCGGCGTTTTGGTCGACCTGCTCAACTCGCTTCCATTTGCCAACGACCATCTTCTTCATGCAGTTATGAAATTCTACATCGAAGCAGAGTTCACGGGAGCGCATACACAGTTCTACGACAAGTTCAACATCCGTTACGAGATCTTCCAGATCATCAAGTGCATCTGGCCCAATACGCTCTACAGAGAGAAGTTGTCTAACCAAGCTAAGCAGAACCTGGACTTTTTTGTCCGATTTGTCAACCTTCTGTTGAACGATGTGACCTACGTTCTTGATGAATCTTTCGGTGCCTTTAAGACTATTACTAGCACCCAGACTGAACTCAACACCACCGGTGCCTCGATGGATGCTGCCACCCGCCAGCAGCGCGAAGAGCACCTGTCACAATCCCAGCGCAGTGCTAAGAATTACATGCAGCTCACTAACGAAACTGTGGCTATGCTTAAGCTGTTCACCGAGGCGCTGGCAGACTCATTCACAATGCCCGAAATCGTGCAGCGTTTGGCTGACATGCTGGACTACAACCTTGATGCCATGGTTGGTCCTAAGAGCGCCACTCTCCGTGTCGACAACTTGCAAGAATACGGCTTCAACCCGCGTGCCCTTCTGAGCGAGATCGTCGACGTTTATCTGAACCTGACTGGCAAAGAGAACTTCATTCTGGCGGTTGCTCGCGATGGCCGATCCTACAAGCCTGCCAACTTTGAAAAAGCGGCTGATATAATCCGTAAATGGTCTTTGAAATCCCCCGAGGAGCTTCGTCGCTGGGGCCAGATGCAGAAAAAGGTCCAGGCAGCTAGGCTGGCGGATGAGCAGGCAGAGGAGGATCTCGGAGAGATTCCAGATGATTTCCTTGGTATGGTTCCCTGCTATATCCTTGCATTGGGAAAACTGCTAACATTGTTTAGATCCTCTTATGTACACGCTCATGGATGATCCTGTCATTCTCCCTGGGTCACGGATCTCCATTGATCGAGCTACTATCCGCTCGCACTTGCTCAGTGACCCCCACGATCCCTTCAACCGTGTCCCACTGAAGATGGAAGATGTTGTGCCTGGTAAAAGTCATCCTTTATTTAATCTTTGTTTCAGCTCTGACAACTCATCTCGCAGACCATGACCTGAAGGCTAAGATCGAAGCCTTCAAATCCGAGAAATTGGCCGGCAAACGGAAGGAGATGGTCCCTCATGAACATATGGACACATCTACGGGTTAATGTGGTGTATGGGTGTAACTTTGCATTGCTTGATTCATGGGTGTTTTTGCCGCATTTCTATTAGCGCCTCTAGCATAGAATGCTGACACATTGATGATAGAACGATAGCTTTTTGCTTAACTTGAGCCTCTAGGGCCCTGGTTTCAATCATTCGTTTCTATTGTCAAATATGCCATTTCATTGTAGCATTTTATGTAGCCAAGCAGAGACCCATAAACTCAATGATCAGGATTTTGTGCACATTTGGCTTTTCTGCCTTTGTTTGACAGATCGTCGATCCGTCGTCTCAACCTCTAATTGAGACCCTGGCTCCAAAATTGACCCATCGTCTATGAGCAAGGAGATTGCGTGAAAGCTTTCATTTCGAATTGCGGCTGCTATTCTTTGTGAGGTAATATCAAAGTGCTCAGCCTAGAATGAAAGAGAACCGGAAGTTGAAGCTGTCAATATACCCCTTGTTGGCCTGACCGCCTTTCGGCGCATTACATCACCAGCTCTCATGTTTACTTCAACTTCAACCATCATACAACTTTCCAATGGGTGTAGCAATTTCCACTTGCTGCGCAGCTCTGCCTGCCAGCGCAGAAATCTTTCCTCCGACCCCGGAGATATACACAAATATCCTCAACATCTTCCAATACTTCCCCCTGGTGAGGACCCCTATACACCTCAGGTGCACCCCAAAGCTAATAGCATCGCTTTAGGTGACAGTGTTCCAATGGCTTCTTTCCTGGCATCCGGCAGGCAAGACGTCTAACAATTCAATTTTCAATATCCCAGGTCGTATAGCCTGGTGCGCCATGGAGATCGTCGGGCCTATAAACCTGATCTACAATCTGATACTTCCGTCACCATCTTCACCCTCAATTGGCGATCTCCCCTGGCCCAATGTCCTCGTAGCAGGGCTATATTGTACCCACTATTTCAACCGCTCAATTATCTCCCCCTTCTTCTCTGCCCCAAGCATGTCCCCCATCCACCCGTTCGTCATGACATCCGCTATGGCGTTCAACTGGTTCAACTCAAGCTGTCTAGCAGGCTGGATTCGTGGATACACCATTCCAACTCTTCCAAGCTTCAGCGCAGGCGGATACAGCCCCCAATCTCTCCCTGCCAAAGTGGCCTTTATTCCAACAGTGGGCGTGATCCTGTTCACCATTGGCATGGCAGGAAACATTTATTCCGAGACAGCGCTTTTCCGCTTCCGCCGCGAAGAAACAGAGAAACGTCTCGCCAAGAAGTCGGATGACGCCAAGCCTGGCGCTACTGCAGGGGAAGATGGTGGGAGCAGCCGCAACAAATTCCATAAAGTCTACGTCATCCCGCCTACTCGTGGTGTTTTCAGATTTATCTTGTACCCGCACTATGCATTCGAGTGGCTTGAGTGGGTTGGTTTTGCCTTGGCTGGTACCGCAGTGCTTACTTTGTCGACTGTTTCTGCCGGTGCGCCTTCGGCAGCTGTTGCTCCGCCGCTTCGTCTTGCGCCTTGGTTGATTCCTGCTGCTTGGGTTGCTGATAAGCTTACTCTGTCTTTGCCTCTGCCTGCCGTCATTTTTGTTGTCAATGCTGTGACGAACATGCTGCCTCATGCTCGCTGGGGAAGGAAATGGTATATTGAGAAGTTTGGAGAGAAGGGTGTTGCTGGGAGAGGTGCGGTTGTACCTGGCTGTGCGTGGATGTAATGTCTGACGAGAATTTGTTCTCGTTGCCTTGATTGTTTGTCTTGTCGGGGTTCAGCTTTTCGGTGGAATGAACATCATATTCTCCGCCCCAAGAAAAGGCCCGAGGACCGTAAACTATATCCTAAGCGATATAGTTCACGGGAGCTCGGTCCGCATATAGACCCTTTCACTAAATTCTCGAAAATGGCTAATACAAGCTGAATGCCTGTTGACTGAGATGTGCCACCGGCTATTGAGCCATACAAAACGTCAAAAGCCACAGCCAACGCTACCTGGAACTAGGCTCTTGCTGGTTGCATAAGACACCATATGTATCTCAGCCGGCGGTGGTGTGACCTGACATTGCGCTCATCGGCTATTGATAAAAGCCACACTACTCTCTAGTCTAGTAATCGCTATACTCTGCTAAGGATGTGAGCGACTGGGGAACTTGCGGGGAATGGTGATGGACTCCGCAGATAATTCAGGTCAACATAACTAATATCCGTTGTGTAAAATAGAACAGATTAATTCGGGGGAATGAAAACCGAGGGAAATGCTAGCTCCTAGCCTTCATTGTTTCGATCATGTGGTGATGATAATATAATTCAATTCTCCATTGTCAATGATGGAGAAACGTAGTTTCAAGACTTTTATCCCTAAATATATCCCACCGTTACTATCTAGTAACAAAAGTACTTGCAATTCAGCAGATAAAATGTGATGTAGCTGATGATAGGTTCGACTGTTGCAGCTCATCTTTACTCAAATATATTTTCATGTTTTGCATATCAACTAAACCTCTTATAATCAATCAACCGAGTGGGCCTAGGAACTTTGCACGCCATACATGGCACAGGAATCTGTCTTGTCTCCTGCTTTTATCATACTAGACACATTCTGAGAGAAGGTGCGAGCTGGATTGTTCCCATGTCGTTGTTGATATCAAAGTAAACATTGTATCGTTGCCTTCAGCGCTACGCATCTCTCCTCTACAGCCCAACAACTTCCACATCTTCTGCAATGTCTCTCAACCCTGCCATCTGTTCCACATTCCTCACACATCACGGCTCTCGCACACGTCAGGATGGCTATCGACATCCTCGTCTTGATGACTGGTGCAGGGGTCATCTCTTGCCACGAGATTGCCCCCGGCACAACAAACACGGCCTTTATCGCACTGTACCAGCTCCCAGAGCCTCTCTCATCAAACTTCTTCATCATTCAGCAGCCTGGAGTACTGGATCATGTCTTGAAAGACACCACTCCATCCGTGCAGAAGATATCCAACGGAATGCGAGAACTGCGCCTGGACACTCTCCATCCTCTCTCGAACACCCAACTGACTCTCGCGGAGAAGCTTGGTGCTATTGATGGACCCACCACGACGCAGGTAGTTGTGCTGAGCTGTTGCAATAGCCTTATGATGTGCCGTCTTTCAATTAGCTGACCGCAATACATGGCGAATACCATTTCATTGATGTGATGGCCGCTGGGGATGGATCGGAAAGCCTTTCTCTAGTCTTCGATAAATTCTGTCAAGGCTGATGAAACATTCAAGTGCTTCGTTCGAGGCTGTGCCGAAAAGAAGAAAGCGTGGCTGGAGGCAAGCCTTGCCAACGCTCGCACTTCCCGAAGTGAATAAATGCAAAATCGAGACCCACTCCTCTACGAATACGCAATCATTTTGATAGACATAGAAAGGCGGACTGGCATTATTCAGGGAGAATGAATGTGCTTTGGAGAAAGCAAAGTGATGAGGATATAGTGTGTATTAATTGATCTATGTTTCATGCGCAGTTCACATGGGTGGTGCTGGTGATCACATATTCGGACCCAAGAGGTCTCCCTAACCCAAGAATCACTCCAAACAACGGAAAAGTTCAAACCCGATCATCCGCTTCAACTCCTCTCAATCCCTTTAGTGACTTCATCCTGCCTAGCCTGGTTGGACTCGGAGCCGGCGGTAATGTCGGCGAATTCTGCTGCGAATGTGACACCATAACCTCCGTTGTGCAGACAATGCCATCGCCCAAAATGCGCTCCTCGCTGGAATTGCTGCCCTTGCGCGCAGGATAGGTCACTGAAGTATCGGCTGAGGCAACATTTGATCTCGGGATCTTCATCTCGTCGTCATGTTCGATAACACTGAGATTGCCAGTGACATGGCCGTGGGAGTGTAGTGGTTCGCCACGAGACTTAGACATAGATCGTAGTTTGTATTGCTTGCTGCCGTAGTATTCGCGTGTCGTTTTTGATCGGGATCCGTAGGTGCCGAGGACGCGCTTGAAGAGTGGTTTGAGTGTCGGGAGGCTGCCTGCGATTATACCCGTGTTGCACTCCGTGCTGGAATGTGTTAGTCTTGTATTCGAGGTGAAGGAGGTGTCCGAGGAACGTACACAACCCAGATTGTAAGGTTCGTATAATCCCAGAGGAAATCTCCGGTTCGGCCGTAGTTTGGTAGGATGGAGATCTTGACGAAAGCGGCGGCGCAGGCACTGGATATCATTGCATCAATAATTATCCTTGTCGAGCAAGAGTGTTTCTGACTCACAAAATTCCCAACCCCAAAATACAAACGAGAGAAGCCTTGACTCGGCGGTTGACTTGAAGATGGCGCAGCATAAAGATTGGCAAAAATGCGAAAATAAGATCAGTTAGAATGTTTAATGCTAATTGTATTAGTGACTGTAGACTGGTTTGCCAGATGATGTCTCACCCGTGTTTGTATAGCTCAGCTCCAGAAGTTGTCTAGGAGAGAAGCACTCGGAGACCACGTTTTTGTCCCAATTTGTTCGGATGTCCTTGCATTCAAACATGAGAGTCTGCGAGGCTCACTATTAGCTTGTTTTCGACATCGATAGTAATACTAGCACACAGGAATGAGATACTGACCAAGAAACAGATAGTTGTATAGAGCGTCATGAGGACTGCGGAATAGATCGGGTTTGTTAGTATAGGATTTGATAAACGAAAGAAGATTGAGATCCCCAGATACATACTGATCACCACCCATATAAAGATCTTGTATCCTTTTTGGGGCGCAAACCGAAGCAAAAACAATCCAATGGATACCTTGACCAAGCCAATGGCCCACAGGTAAATTCCCTGAGTCGCAAAGTTCAAATGCATCGCTAGGGATGCTGTATGTTCCACATAGACCGTATGTCTACCTGCGCCGTATTTAACCTCCGGTACAATGATCGCAAATCCACATAAGGATAGGAGCATAGTCAAGCCCATGGTATAGTCGTCCCAGCCGACATTGCGAATAATGAAAATTCGCACGTAGAATCGCGCCAGCACGAGGATTAATGCCACAAATGTTGTAATTCCCGTAGCTAGAAGAATACGCCATCCTTCATTGACATCTGGTAGGCCAGCGCCTGCCAAATTTGATGTATCTGACATGGCTGTCGCGGGGGTGTTATCGAGGGGGCATGTGGAGGATGGAGAGATTATGTCGACCAGGGTAGACGCGAAGGACTTCCGGCTTATGCAGGTGCATCATAACTATGAATAAAGTGCCTTCGCTTCAAGGTTTGCTTGGCTTTGTGGCAGGCAAATAGTGAGTTTCGGGTTCGTCCACATTTCCGTCTTGGGGCCGTTTCTTTCCCCTTCATATCCACTCGTTCAAGCACATCTTACAACCGAAAGCACAATTGCAACCGAAGCAATATGGATAGATTGTTCGAACAGACTCGGCTTTTGGTCTTTGGTCAAAAGCCACAAAGGCGGCGGACCACAATATCTTAGTGCCGAGACGTATTGTAGAAGAAGCGCTATACTGGATTGATGCATTTACCCCTGTACCCTGGGTGCTCTAGAAATTTCTTTTACACAACATGGATGTACTTTGTACAGCGAAGCTCTTGGCAGTAGACCCAAGACCAATGAAATGTCTCAGATCCATCGGCACTGGCTGCACTGGGAGACTCTCGGGCCTCGGATCTCGTGTCTGCGGGCACCAGACCCATGCAGTTCATCTATTCTGTTGTCCACTAGGGCACCGGAATGTGTTCCCTGATTGCATCTCGCTTCTTGCTCTGCCAAGGCCGCTAAGCACAAAGGACCACGAGGTGGCGGTGAGATTCTCCGTGGCGTGCAGGGTTGCTTCAGACGTGATACACAACACTCCTGGACATGATTGAATGCGATAGATCGTCAGGGCTCAAAGGGCCGATCCGATGTGGTTCTCGGGAGGCATCAGATCGACAAGTTCCAAGTGGACTGCGCCTTGGGCAAGTCTCTCCCGCCCAACATCGTGTTCGGTGGAGCTTCAGCCGAGCGGGACGTTCTCCGAAGCCCTGAGTGGCCCCAAGGGGGCTGCAAGTGACCCGAAGTGACCCTGACTGGCCGTTAGCTCAAGTCAATGGCCAATTCGCGAAGTCCAGTCCAGAGATTGTCCGGGAAAATGGCACTTCATTACCGTGCATTAGTTTGAACCCCGAAATAGGGGGAAGGGATTGGCAGCCCTTTAAATGATCAATGACCGCCCGAATTCAGCATCAACCGGTCAACAGTTTTTTATCTCTTGGCGCGAGGAACGTGCGGTGTTTCATCTTCACCTCAACATGGTTGCATTCTCCGCTTTTGCTCTGGGGGCTCTGTTCAGCCAGGCGTGGGCTATGCCCGCTGCCTCGAACCCGGTTGAGAGCTCTGCTGCCGCTCCCACAGCTGCTTCTACCTCTCTGCCCGTGGCAGCTGCCCAGCTGGACCAATTGGCTGAGTTTGCGTTCAACACCTCGAGCGCTAGCGTCTCCAGTGACTCGGAGATCGAGAAACGCGGAGGTTGTGGGATCCATAACCTTCGCATTCGTCGCGATTGGAGAACCTTCTCGACAAAGCAGAAGAAGTCCTATATCAACTCCGTGCTTTGTCTCACGAAGATGCCAGCCCGCACCCCCTCCAACGTGGCCGCTGGTGCCAAGTCTCGTTACGATGACTTCGTTGCTACGCACATCAACCAGACTCTCGGAATCCACTACACTGGTACATTCCTGGCGTGGCACCGTTACTTCATCTGGAATTTCGAGGAGGCCCTCCGTAACGAGTGTGGCTACACCGGTGACTACCCGTAAGTTCACTACGCTTCCAATCATACATTCATAACGCCAGTTGCTAACGTTCATCAAAGCTATTGGAACTGGGCCGCTGATGCTCACGACTTGGAGAACTCCCAAGTCTTCGACGGCAGCGACACCTCCATGTCCGGCAATGGTGCCTACACCCCGGCAGCCGGCGACATCCAACTGGCCCTCGGAGCTTACCCCATTGTCCACCTCCCCACTGGAACGGGTGGTGGCTGTGTCACCAGCGGTCCCTTCAAGAACTTCAAGGTCAACATGGGTCCAGCTGCCCTAGTTCTCCCCGGCGGAAATGTCAGCGTTGCAGCAAACCCACTGGACTACAACCCCCGTTGTCTGAACCGTGATCTGACGACCGCCATCGTCCAGAGCTATGCGAACTACACCTCCGTCGTGGATCTCATCCTTCGTCACGACTCCGTCTGGGACTTCGAGATGAACATGCAGGGTGTCCCCGGAAGCGGTTCTATCGGTGTTCACGGTGGTGGTCACTACGCTATGGGTGGTGATCCTGGTCGTGATGTCTACGTTAGCCCCGGTGACCCGGCTTTCTGGCACCACCACGGTATGATTGATCGTACCTGGTGGATCTGGCAGAACTTGGACCGCAAGAATCGTCTCAATGCCATTTCTGGCACTGCTACTTTCTTGAACGCACCTGCGTCGGCAAACACTACCTTGGATACTCTTGTTGACGTTGGCCTTGCTGGTGAAGGCCCGATTGCTATGCGCGATATCATGAGTACCACTTCTGGTCCTTTCTGCTATGTCTACCTTTGAAGGGTGGCAGTGACTTCAAGGATATAGTGGGTGCGTCTCTACAACATTCATGTTTGTGCTGGTTTCCTCGTCGCGTCATACTGCTGTTCTTGCTTGTATATAATAACTGATGGAATAGACAGAGCCACATTAGAAACAAGGCCAAGTGAAACGTAAACTCCCCGATCACAACTTCCGGTTCATCCGGGTATATTATAAAACAGTGGACATAAGTCCTTTCTTATCCCTACGTTCATACGATCTGAATGGCCTACCTGGGGCACGTGGATTACAAACAAGAGATGAAAAAAGAAGTTGAGAAAGAGACGAAATCAGAAAGGCTAATTAAGAGCACAATTGATGCTGCATGAAATAACACATTCCCTTTGAGAATTTTGTGAAGAACTTGTCCAATACTTCATGACACTGGGGAGAGACCCTTGACCCTTGTCCTATGTATATTCTCAGCTACTGCTCCGTACATTCATTTCAACCCATGTACTCTATGAAACAGTTGAATGAAATTTGTACACTAACGGCTAATCCCACGACAATACCGGCTTGATTACTGTCCCTTCCTTGAGCTGTGAGAGGGCATCTTGAAATTCGGGCGCCTGAAGGGTATACATAATTAGAATATGCACTTCGCATTGAGGCGGCTTTTTGACTTCATATTCAAAGTCCGGAAGGATTGAGTCACGAACCTTGAAATACTGGACCAAACGCTCAATAGGAAATCGGCCCTCTCTATACCATTTGATCATTTGTGGAATGCTCTAATGTTCTGTTCAGTATGACGCTTTAGGTGAGTTCACAGGGATTCAAGAAAGGTATCAGACCTCGGATGGGATACAGTCCCCTTCTATACATCCCAAAATTGAACGACCAGACTAAAATGAACGAGTGGTCAACAGGTAGGACTTTCCAAATCTTTCAAATTCTTCGAGACTTACGTTTATGTGCTCTGCAACGTCGATATTCAGCCCATACCCCATGGGTGGGACGCCAATCAGAACCAACTTTCCTAATTTTCGTGTACATCGCAGTGAGTCTTCTATGAGACTGGGTACGCCTGTGGTATCAATCACTACTGATACTCCGCTCGGAACCAAGTCCGAAGCCGATTCTTTCAGTGTATTATAATCCGAGGCGCTCGTGTTGATCGTATGGCTAGCACCGAGAGTTTTGGCCAGTTGCAGCCGGGACTCGATTCTGTCTACCACAATTATGGCCGCACAATTATATATCTTGGCCGTCTGTATATTCATACTGAGTTGAATTATAAATTCTTGTAGCGGATGGAACGAAGACTGGAAACGGACTAACTCACCATAAGTGCTCCCATTCCCACAGCACCCAGACCCAAGATCATCACAGTATCTTTAGGCCCAGCATTTGAGGTGTTACAGATAGCGCCCATGCCAGTTTGAAAGCCACAGCCAAGCGGAGCAAACAGTTTAAGCTCCTCTTGATCACGCAGTATTCCCTTGACGTTGACGATACTTCTTTCGCTCACAACGCTATATCGTGCTAAGCTCGACTGGCCGAAGAAGCGAGAAGCTATCATATCCCCGGTATCTTGAATGCTCATCGATCCCTTGTGGCCAATGTAGTTTTCGGGTGCAAAAGTATCACAGTAGGCAGGATGGGAGTCGAGACATTGTTTGCATGAGCCGCATGAGTGGTATGACAGTAGCACAGGATCGCCCACCATGACAGAGCTAGTATTGGGGCCTACACAGCGGACGATACCAGCCCCTGTTGCCTTGTCAGTAGGTGGAGCAATAGAGCAGAGGGTTGAAATATGGTAGGGGATCTAATGCCTTCATGTCCAACCACCTTCGGGTATGTGATTCCAAAGCTTCCTGGCGGTACTGAGGACAGTATAATATCCGTGTGGCAGATTCCAGTTGCACATATTTCTATGAGAGCTTCACCTTCTCCGGGCATGCCAACATCCACGTCCTCGAGCGACCAGTTCACCTGGTGGGGCTCTGTTGGCTCCCGGGCCACGATTGCCTTTGTGGCGGTCATGGTCATGGTGCGTACGTTCTCCGTATATTATGATTGAGAATGAACACTAGTCGTAGATATAAGACCAAAAAGCTATTGGCGTTCACACCAAGATGTATACAGGTAAGCAAGGTGGGGTAGATCCCCTCTTTCGTTCTGTTACCCTCGGCCCCGCAGCTTAATGTTGTTTGAGGGCATCAAAATGAAACAAATAATGGTGAATCTCATCCAAGAAGCCCATGAATTACAGATCTCATCAACGCTTGCTAAGCTCATCAGACTAAACTCAATGATGCTGGCGATATATCGGGGCATCCTGCCATTGGGGGTTAGTCAAGTGGAGACTATATTCCGTTCTTGATACCCTAAAAATAGCCCTGAGATCCCACAGTAAAATGGCAGCAATGCGTGCTCGAATATTTTGGTTCAGAATGTAATTCTCTCAAAGATACACAGAAAACCCGAAACTCTCAGGATGGCGCAGAATCGCTTGACTGGCACTTGCCTCTGCAATAACATTGCATATCAAATTATTTTGCCCGCATCAGAGTCATTTCCTCAAGTAGGCATTGCCTTTAATGAATTACAAGTCCTATTAGTCTGATGACAACTATGCTAGGTGGTTTTATGTCACTGCATCAATTGCAAACGCTATACCGGCTCAGGCTTTTCCGCCAATATCATCGTTCCTCGATCTACTTTTACATACACCAAGGGGTCACCCAAGGTTTATCTGGATCGCGGCAATAACGGTGGTCAGGTATTCCGCGAGTTCTGTTCTGATTGCGGTACACCGTTTACATCACGATCAGGCGATGAGAAGGAAGTCGCGATCAAATCGGGAACACTCGATGAAGAGCATCGACGGAACTGTGCGAAATTGGCAACTGAAATTTACTGTCATCGCAAGGATAGATGGGTAGATCAAATGGGCAACGGGGAAGTTGAGAGAATCGATGGTAGCATGGGCTAGAGGGAGGATGAAAGAGAGATTGTTGTATGTGCACGAAGTACAGATCCGGGGTATGGATCTAATCGATCTAGCAGTGTCTCTTGGTCGGATATTGGGGCGTCTATCCTCGATCGAGACCTGCTTTTGTATAGGATCACCACAGCCCCTCGTCGTCCCAAGTGGGTCATACAGGCTAGCAAACACCTCAAGCCTAACAGCAAAGTCACCATTCCATTGCACAGCGACTGACACGAAATATAAAAATAAGATATAAAACAAACGGAGCAACCCAACCAAAATTCTACCACCGGAAAAGCTTGGACAGAGGAATAAACATCCAGAAAAGCGAAAGCACCGATCCCTCCGAGTTAACACCCGGCCGCGTCACACCACCATTCGAAACCGCCTGATACGGATCCTGACCATAAGTCGAGTTCAGCGTGACATGCGCAGAGATGGACCCATCCTCCAACCGAATCCAAGTCTCGATTCCTTCCTGGAGACTCTTCTCATTCAGTAGAATTTGTCGGCCGCCGCGGGTTAGGTCGCCGTAGCCTCCGTACCCTGTGTGTCGGCCGTAGCACATGTTCATGCCGTTTCCTGTTAGGTCGTGGTCGATTAGAGTGCCGTCCCATTTGAAACACCTGTTCATTTGTTAGAATTGAGACTGGGGTGGTGGCTGTGATTGGTGGGTTGCATACCAGTCATTTTGATGGTCGTGGCCACTGAACCCGGCAATCAAGCCCTCGGTGTGAAGGAGTGCTTTCATGAACTTGACATCTTGACTATCATAGCTCCAATCGCCTGTTCCCTGCGGATTCACTCGTTCGCCATTGATACCTGGGTTTCGATGCGGGTCAACGTTGTCTTTGCTTTGATATTCCAGCATGGCATGGGCCGGGATATGATAGAAAGCCAGCGATGGGATGACACCCCACTTGTCCTTGATTTTGGACTCCGTATCAGTGAACCAATCCACCACCTGTAAAATCCAATTAGCTAGTTCATCCTTCCACAACGTTCAAGACTCCAATAGCACAAATACATACAGACTCATCAATCCAACTCGGCCTCTTAACAGAAGGCCCTCCAGTTCCCTCAGGCTGATAGTAATGACCACCCTTCGAATCAAAGAACCAAAGAATAAGCACCGGCTTATCGGTGGGCGCCGCACGATGCGAGAAAACAGGCAGGTAGTAATTAGTGATACCAGCCTTCGGACCGAAAACCTTACTCTCCGTAAGACTGTTCGCATGACGCGTCTCAGCCTCGAACATATCTTCCTTGGGATCAAGGTTAACCTCGCTGTCGTGATTGCCGTACGTCGAAGCCCATTTGTATCCCCCGTCTAGAAGCGGGGACACGACTCTATCGACGTATTTCTTGCTGTCGGCTTTTTGGGTCCGCTCGCCGGAGACTAAGTCGCCGTTTAGGACTACGAAGTCGATTTCTTCTTTTGAGAGGATGTATGACATCACTTCTGTTGATTTTTCGTCTTTTTTGTCGTCTATTGGGGCGTAAGTTTGAATTTGACCCCTTTTTCATGGATTTGGTGGTGGAATCATGGGTTCTGGGGTTTGGACTGGGCATGACATGTACCTTCGGCGAAATGTAGGTCTTCGAAGACTGAGATGTGGAAGGTGCCATTCTCTGTGAATCGGAGGGTGCGCTCTGTTGGTGGTCGGATGACTGTCTGGGCGGACAGTCTGTCGAGTCGGGGCGCCATGTCCGGGAGGGAGCTGACGGGAGAGAATTGCAGTATCCTTGATCACTTTAATCTAGTTGGACTTGTAGCGTTGACGTCGGAGGTCAGTGCAAGTTGATGGAGGTCGAGAAGTGGGCTGGGGTTGGCGGGAATGGGGCGCCAAGACGCACATCATCCCTTTTCTTTCCCCGCAGTCCCTGACTGTCTAGGCCTGGGACCTGCAGCCCACGCTTAGACGCCGTGCTTAGGCCTCGCTACGGGCTTCAGCTTCATGAAGTGGCTGATTCTCAAATTTTCGAATACATGATTTACAAGAATTGTGTTCCCTTGGCGTGTATTAAGATAAGAATTGGATATTCGATATCACGTCACTAGTGAGCTATATGTCGTCGCAATAACCTCTGCTCTCACAAAGGCACGTGGGATATTGTTTGGGTACCTTGTGGCATTCCACCAAGGTGTAACTCAAGGTCCTTCCCCTCCTGTATAAGTATACTCCAACCTCCACCCTTCCCCTCAATCACTCGAACTCCACAAGGACAAACACATGGAGCTACATGTAACAGCCTGTGCGACGAAGAACATGGAATGAAACCGAGGACCGGGTACCTACACGGTACGACTGAAAAAGTATTTGAGGGAGTTCCTCGAAATCACGATGCAGGACCACGCTACACCCTGGAGGCATCATCACCTGATGGGCGAGTATTTTCAATTCAGTAACAAGAACATCCACCAAGGAGCACCAATTGACATCTACAACTGCTCAGGTCAAGCACTACAGTCAGTCTACACGGAAGGAAAAAGTATTGTGGAAATGTAATATTGACATCTGATTCTACACGATAATAGAAACAGTCGATCGAGAACGATCAAGCAAGGTTGTACACCTTGCGCATGTGGAAACCACACAATGTTGAAATAGTAAACCCGACATGGCCGTACACCACCAAGGCGACGACAGCCATGTCAGATATAATCGTCAGTCATGTTGAAACTCCAGGCCCGCTTTTGGTATCCTCTAGAAACCCATTGAAACCCATATGTTGAACTTTTGGTATCATCTTCGTAACTCATCATAAAATAAAATGCCCCGATCCAGAGACGACAGGTTGAGAATGTCGCCTCCTATTAAAATGGTAAAGGGTTGAAAGGATCTACTGCGCGTACTTGGCGCGGAAGAACTTGGCGGCGGCGACCATGCCCTCGAGGGCGGCCTTGGTCTCGCGCCACTGGCGGGTCTTCAGACCACAGTCGGGGTTGACCCACAACTGCTGAGGAGTGAGGTACTGCAGCATCTCCTCGAGACGGTCCTTGATCTCCTGCTCGCTGGGGATACGAGGAGAGTGGATGTCGTAGACACCGGGACCGATGTGACGGGGGTAGGCCTGGTCGATAAAGACCTGGAGGAGCTTGGCGTCAGACTTGCTGTTCTCAATGGACAGGACATCGGCATCGAGGGCAGCGATGGCGTGGAAGAAGTCCTGGAACTCAGAGTAACAGAAGTGAGAGTGGATCTGAGTGCCGTCGGTGACACCGGCGGTGGACAGCTTGAAGGAGTCGACAGCCCACTTGAGGTAGGCAACACGCTCGGAGCCAGTGCGGAGGGGAAGACCCTCACGGAGAGCGGGCTCGTCGACCTGGATGACGTGGATACCAGCAGCCTCAAGGTCAACAACCTCATCGCGGAGAGCGAGGGCGAGCTGCTGAGCCTGAACGGACTGGTGGACATCATCACGGGGGAAGGACCAGCGGAGACAGGTGATGGGTCCAGTGAGCATACCCTTCATGGGCTTCTTGGTGATGGAAGCAGCGTACTTGGACTCCTTGACAGTCATAGGGGCGGGACGAGAGATGTCACCGACGATGATGGGGGGACGCACGCAACGAGAGCCGTAAGACTGGACCCAGGCGTGGGTGGTGAAGACGTAACCGGTGAGACGCTCACCGAAGTACTGGACCATGTCGTTGCGCTCAGGCTCACCGTGGACGAGAACATCGAGGTCGAGCTCCTCCTGGATACGGACAACCTCCTCGATCTCCTTCTCAATGAACTTCTCGTACTCAGCGGGGGTGATCTCACCCTTGGTGAACTTGTTACGCTGAATACGGATCTCCTTGGTCTGGGGGAAGGAACCGATGGTGGTGGTGGGGAAGAGAGGAAGCTTGAGGGTCTTGCCCTGCTCGGCGTGGCGAGTGGGGAAGGGAGACTGGCGGTTGTGCATCTCGGGGGTGACGGAAGCCTGGCGGGCCTTGACAGCGGGGTCGTTGGTGCGAGCGGAAGAGGCACGGGCCTGGACGGACTTGGCGTTGGCCTCGAGCTCAGCACGGACGGCAGCGGGGCCCTCGGAGACAGCCTTGGCGATCACGACAACCTCAGCGGTCTTCTCAACAGCGAAAGAGAACCAGTCGCGGACCTCAGCATCGAGGGTCTTCTCGCTCTCGAGGGTGTGGGGAACGTGGAGCAGGGAGCTGGAGGTGGCGACGACGACACGCTCCTTGCCGAGCTTCTGGATGGCGTTCTCGACCTTCTCGATGGCAGCCTTGTAGTTGGTCTTCCAGATGTTACGACCATCGACAACACCAGCAGAGAGGACCTGGTTGGGGCCGAGAGCGGCAACAACAGTGTCAAGCTGCTCGGGGTTGCGGACAAGGTCCACGTGGATGGCGTAGAGGCTCTGGAGGTTGGCGAGGACATCAATGTTGTGGACGATATCACCGAAGTAGGTGGTGAGGGTAATACGGGGACCCTTGGCACCGAGGGCACCAATTTTCTCGTAGGCAGGCTTGAAGGCAGCCTTGGACTTCTCAGCAAGGTCGAAGACGAGGACAGGCTCATCAATCTGGACATCCTCGGCACCGGCGGCCTTGAGCTTCTCGAGGAGCTCAACGTAGAGGGGAACGAGCTTGTCAAGGAGGGAGATGGGGTCAACGCTCTGGCCACGGTCGGCCTTGGCGAGAGTCAGGAAAGAGACGGGACCGAGGATGACGGGACGGGTGGTGATGCCAGCGGCCTTGGCCTCAAGGAATTCAGCAACAGGCTTAGGCTCGGCAGCGAGCTTGAAGACCTGGTTGTCCTGGAGGGCAGGCTTGACGTAGTGGTAGTTGCTGTCGAACCACTTGACCATCTCCTATTGGGATGTTAACATCTGATTCACCAAGAAAACAAATAAACATAAAGTGGAATATAGAGGACACGTACGAGAGCGGGGACATCGACACCCTCCTTCTGGAGACCACGACCCATAGCGAAGTACTCATCGAGAGGGTGGAGGTTGTACTTGGTGTAACGCTCGGGGATGGTTCCGAAGAGCTGGTGGTGGTCGAGAATCTGATCGTAGAAGGCGAAGTCGTTGCTGGGGATGACATCGACACCGGCATCCTTCTGAATCTGCCAGTGAGCAAGACGGAGACGCTTGCCCTCGGAGATCAGCTCATCACGAGAGATCTTGTCACCCCAGTAAGCCTCAGTAGCCTTCTTGAGGTCACGGAGCTTTCCCATACGGGGGAAACCCAGAACAGATCTAGGGTCCGGTCAGTATGGAGCATGGAGCAATGGAGAGAGGATAGAGAGGATAGAACATACGATTGAACCATCTTGATGGATGTGTGTGTGTAAGGGGGGAATGGGCAGGGTCTCTTAAGCAAACGACGATGCCTTTGAGAGATGAAGAAGAAAGAGAAAAGGAAAGAGGGAAAAGCTCGAAGAAAATAGAGGGGAAGGGAAAATAGACTAACCCAAGGGGGAGTTTACACGGAGGGGCTGTGGTATGGTATGGCCGCCCTCATACACTAACAATACCGGGGAACTTGACAATACAGCTGATATTATGGGTGTAGTTCCGGGGATCAACATGTAAGTTACAGTCCATACAGTGTACTTACACCCCACGGTAATCTCCGTGATCGGGGCACTAAGGTCGATCACGCCATTGGGTGTCACCGATAAGACTCAATAGTTTGTGCATATGTCGATGTGCTGTAAGCTGTAAGGATATGATATTTACTTATAATTGATCCGTACTTATGTTTGCTTTATACTGGTCATACCCAATTGATATTATTACATTGTTTATGTTGTTTATGTTGTTCATGAGGTTGTGTCGAGTAAATGTAACCTATTGCAACCCCGCGCAACTAGAACCAATTAATTGGTCAGAGCTACTACTACACGAAAATATCTAGTAACCCAGGGAACTACAAGCAAAGCTCCAATAATGAGCCAACCCCTATTTGACTAACACGTCCAAGTCACATCCACTCCATTCCAGAATTCCCCCGAACATCGGTGTCCGTTCAAGCAATTGATCGGCCCACGTGATCTGCCATCGAAAAAGTTAATTCCTTGGTCTTCCAGCCAATTGTCCAGCTGTTGAAAGAATAGTCAAGCACAAGTCTCTCGTCTCTCCTCAAGCTCTTGTTGCAAAGACAGCAATTATGGCATCCTCAGACCGTGTTGATCCCATTGGCCCCGTCGAGGCCAAGTCCCAAGACAAGACCCATCAAGTCCAGACCGATGAAATGTCGGTGACAAACGAAGATGATCGCGATTTGCTGAACTTGGGTTATCGTGCAGTATTGGCACGTGGCTGGGGGTCATTTGACAATTTCGCCTGCTCCTTCTCGGCCTTGTACTGCATTGGGGGCATCCGTGTGTTGTTCTACATTGCCTTGAGTGGAGGTGGGCCAGCCGCGATGTATGTATCACACGCTCTATGCAATCCCCTCTGCACCTTCTTTGCACTTTTCTGCAGTCCAATGTTGATCACTAACACCTGTTTCATTCAGATGGAGCTCCTGGATTTCCGGCAGCATTCTCTCGATCATCACCGCCGCTTGCCTCGCTGAAGCTTGCTCGAGCTACCCCGCCGCGGGGTCGATTTACTACTGGGCATTCCGATCTTGGGGTGGTGGCCGCGTTGGTCGCTTTGTTTCTTTCCTCGTTGCTGCGTGGACTTTGGTTGCTTGGACCGCTTTCTTGGCCAGTGACTCGTTTGGTGTTGCCAATTATCTCGTCTCCGAAGTCGTCGTGTTCAATCCGGAAACAAGCTTCCCATATGAGACGTCCGATGTACGTGCCCGCGCCGTGGCCTGGGCTTTCTCGCTGCTTTTCTTGGCTATCGCTACCGCATTGAATTTCCTGCCACCACGTATGTACTCGTGGGTCTTCCGGGCGGGTGTCACGGTTATCATCATCGATATGTTGCTCAACTTCATTTGGCTTCCTATCGGTGTTTCAAAGACCTATGGTTTCCAATCGGCTGAATATGTTTTCACGTCCACATACAATGGAGGCGGTACAAGTCCCGGCCTCAACTGGGTTCTCTCCTGGTTCTTGGTGGGCAGCTGCCTAGTCGGACAGGACGCGTCGGGCCATGTCGCAGAAGAGACTGTCTCGGCTAAGAAGGCGGCTGCTAAGGGTATTTTCTGGGCGACCGTCGCCTCTGCAATATGTGGTTTCCCGATCATTATCTTGTTCCTGTTCTGCATGCCACCTATCGAGACTTTTTACGATACCAGTGCGCCCCAGCCATTTATCAATATGTACGCCATGGCGCTCGGACCGCATGCCCATGTGGTGATGACCATCATCTCAATGATCGGAGCTATTCTGAATACTTCGATCTCCTTGGTGGCTGTCTCCCGACTGGTCTTCGCCGTGGCTCGCGACGGTGTCTTCCCATATAGTGATGTGCTGTCCCGTGTCTCGAAATCGAAGCAGCCCCACAACGCAGTCATCTTCATCGCAACTATTGCCGCTCTTCTGCTTTGCACACAGCTCCCGTCCCAAGTGGCCTTCTCTAGTTTGATCTCGACCTCCGCTGCTGGTTCACTCGCAGCATATGGTCTGGTTGGCATTGGTCGGGCTTTCATCACTCGCAAGACCTTCCGCCCGGGTTTCTGGGACTTGGGTCGGTTTGGTGTTGTGGCTGCCGTTGTCACTTTCATCTGGAACGGGTTCGCCTTCGCCGTGTTGTGTGCGCCGACCTACTCAAACCGCGAGATCGATGCTGACTCAAGTCTGTTCAACTACGCCATCGTCATCATGGGTGGTGTCACTATCCTCGCGATCGCTGAATGGTGGCGCAAGTCGAATGATATTTGGTTCAAGCACCTCAAGGTCGCTGACTCGGATTCTGAGGTCAACCAGCCCATCGAGCGGGATGAGAACAAGGACGCTTCAGTGTCGGTCTGAGTTCCCATTCAGCTCGCCGAGAAAAAAAGGTATGGTGTTTCTCACAAGTCATGGCGACGAGTGAAGCACCGAGGAGGGTATAATATGGCATCCATAGGGATGCACAGGGTAAGTGTATTTTTACGTAGCACGCATGACGGGTGTTCGAGATCTCGCGCTTTTGGTCCGCCAAAGGTGCAAGCCTCGTTCTGAGATATTACCGTTAAAACTTGATCTGGACAATACCAGCGAAAGGACATGCATGCTTCATCCCTCTTCTCTCCTTGATGTCTTGCCTTGCAGACCCAGTCTCAGGGCAGATGCTTTTACCACCTCTCCGAAGGTATAGATCTGCGGTTTGCTACTGGCAGGTAGACCATGCTTGTTCCGGTTCTTTGCTTGCCCTGTGCTTGCTGCAGGCTCTGTCTCTTTGCTACACTATTGATGTGCCCTTGTCGATCCCGCGACGCCCTGCATTCCTGCATTTCTGCATTTCTGCCATGAGGCAGAATGGAGGATTTGGGCATAGCTCTTCCCATGTACAGAGTACAATCTGCAGGGTATCGCCTGACCGACAAGGTTTGTCTAGCTCGCTGCGTCAAGAGGATTTATACCTCTGCTCATGCATAGTGTTTACTCCTTGGGATCGAGTTGATGCAGGATAGTGGCTTGCACAGGGATCCAGCTCTCCCACGGACCCCACTTGATCAGCAGGTCGGCACCGTACACTACCAGTCACAGCAAACCGCTCGTAGACATGTAGATATGTAGACTGAACATCCATACTAACCTCGTTTGTGGTCTTGATATGATTGGACCGAGCTCTCTCCAATTGAGTTTTGTCAATCCAGCGGCTCAGTCTTGACTACCAGAGACAGAGATGACGTTATATTCCCAAGCCAATGGCAGTGGCAGTAACACAAATTAACTGAACTAGGAAGATATATAACTCAGCATCATCAACCTCTGGTGCCTACTCACATGAGTAATGGGAATCCGGAGCAGTCTTATCTGACGTCAGACGTCTCGACGATCATTACCAAAAGCATATATGTTCCCCTCAGGCCAAGCGTGGGGGAACTGAACAACCTCAGCTTCATCATTGAACAACTATTCTCTGCCAATCTCGTCCATAGTAATCTTGCCTTCATTCAGGCGAACCTTATATAATGGCATTCGCACGCAGACTAGCAATCCTCCCAGGAGGCCTCGGTATGCCCAACGCGAACAACATCACACCGATATATACATATAAAGAACAGCCTCCCTAACAAAAAAAAAAAACAGGAGGCCTAGGCTCAAGCATAGGCAAAAAGCTGCACTCCCAAGGCGCAAGCCTGGCAATCCTCTACGCTCCTTTCGAAGCCGCCAGACGCGACGAACTCCTAGAACAAGGCTACGGAAGCAAAGAAGGCAGCATGGACAACATCCGCACGTACGAATGCGACATCACATCGCCGGACTCAGTGCAATCCGCCTTTGAGACTCTATCAACCCACCCTTTCTCGGGAAAAGAGAAACCATTCCCAAGTATCCTGATCAACACAGCTGGCTATGTCTCCCTATCCAATATGGAAATCACACCGCCGGAAGAGACACTCAAACATCTAACGACTAATATGCTCGGTCCGATGCTCTGCTCGCAGGCATTTGCAAGGAGTTATTTCGCTGCTTCGGAGTCCGAACAGTCGGCTTCACCGACGGTTCCAGCTCCACCGGGGAGGATTGTTAGTATTTCTTCTCAAGCTGCGCATGCCGCCTTATATCGCCATGGCGCATATTGTGCGTCCAAGGCTGGTTTACTAGGGTTGACGAGGAGTATGGCTTCGGAGTGGGGCGGAAGGGGGATTACGGCTAATACGGTTTCGCCGACTGTTGCTTGGACAGAGCTGGGGAAGAAGGCTTGGGGGGAGGATACGGTTAGGAAGGCTTTCTTGGAGAGCATTCCTACTGGCAAGTTTGCGTTGCCGGGGGAGGTTGCCGATGCGGTTGTTTTTCTTTGTCAGGTAAGTCTTTCTTTGGTTTGGCATTCATGGTTGGGTGACAGGTTTGATGTATGCTGGATTGCTAACGCGTGATTTGTGTAGGATTCTAGTGGGATGATCAATGGAGCGGATATTCGGGTAGATGGTGGCTTTACGATTCGGTAGATCTTAAAAATGGCATTGTAACAGAGGCCTTTTTTTGCCAGCAGTGATCGAAGAGTCAAACTTTCCAATTGATCACTGAAAGATACACTCGTAATGTCACGGAGACACACGGTCATCGATATTCCAAGGTCTCTGTTCAGGTAAAGGCCCAGGTAATCGATGCATTCAGTGCCGATTGGAAGATAGGGGCTGCTGGACATTGTCACAACTACCGTGACATCGAGGTCGGACAACACACTCAGGCGCTTCTGAGGAAGAGTTACGGATCAAAGGACTCTTGGGGATGAGTAGGGCATGACAAATCTTTTGCTATCGCGATCCCCCTGGGTTTCAACCATCGCCGGAGTTTCATTGGGATTTTTGATTGTGCATATTCTTGTGATGTTTACCTGTACAAATTGTTCTTGCTGCTCAACTCAGTTCTTTGAATAGTCTATCTGACCAAATTCTTCCTCTAAGATAGTGGTTAACGCGGGTGATAACTGTGAACATGGTCTTTCACGCCCAAAGGTGTGGGCCTTTCACTCTCCCCAAGATCCTGTCCAGCATCAAGTTCATTAAAATGTTAATTTGGTTTGGCGTTAAGCAGGCCAAGATGTTCACGGATAGACTTCAGCTCATTTAATCGATTCTCCTCCCCCTCCTGCAGTAAGCGAAGATGCTCGGCCTTCAGCTCTTGAAATTCATCGTCGAGTTTGTGATGCCAAGGATACAAAACACAAACTTGGAAACAGAATGCCGAGCTGGCGATCACGAAGTTTGTGAGAGAAAATCCGCGAGTGATAATCATTCTGCTTTGTCGGCGGGAAATGGCACGTGGCTGCCCAGGTCTGTTACTACCTTTAGTAATGCTAAGTGGCAGAAGAGAAGAGATACAATGGCAACTGACCTTTTAATATAGGATTAACCTGTTGAATCTCGATCCAGCTTCTCAAGTTGGACAATATGGGCAATTTCGGCTTCTGTTGAAACTGAACTCCTGAAGCAGAACACAGGTCAAATCCAGGCTTTTATTCCTCCGACTCACTACGTCACGTGCATATTTATTCAGGGGATATCCGTTTGATTTGAAGAGAGTGTGGAGACGTGCTAGTTATGCCATCAGCCGCGCTAACACTGTCGAGGGTTCGTGGTCGCCTGCTCAGTCCGTCAAAAGCCAAATGAATGCCTTAGTGAATGGACTAATCTATCTACCATCAGTCTCGAGAGTTATTGAGCCCCAGTAGTATCTAGTGGCTTTTGACCTCCCAGTTTGACCCGAAGGGATCACTAGAGCCGTGCTACTCTGAAGCTATGAACTATAAGATTGTGCCTAGCCTTTCGGCCGAAACGGCATTTCCTCGGAGTTGGGCGGCTCCGGCTACTCAGCCACAGATTCAAGCCACATACTCGCGTTAGATCTCCACGATATGTGAGCTTGACGACCTACAAGTTCAAAAGTAACGCTTGGAATCGATTGCTCTATTCATATTCTGTGCACAATTGGCGAGAGTCTAAACTGGTCGTCCATTTTTCCACGAAATTCATTGGAGCGGACGTGAGCAGAAGCTCTCTATAAGTACCTCATCTAGCCATCTTTGATACTTCAGCCGTCGAATCCACGACTTTAGATTCTTTTGTCGAATGAACAACTATCTGTTGATGTATTCCACGTGGATTCGCGCGACCATGCTGGGTAGATCTCAGCTCTGGTAGCTCATTATTTCGAGCAAACGACTCAATCCATCTTTGCTTTAGTATTATCCGCTAGCCTTGCTACTGCTAGTGTTAGTCTCAGTGAAGAAAAATCTGAGTACAAGTATATCTGCCAAGATCCACAAAAAGATATGCAATAGATTGATGAGAAATATGAATTAACCTACCATTGCAGCAAGTCCGCAGCTAAAGTTACCTAGGGCGACTGGGTCGATTCAAACAGTTTGAAATCCTGACTCACTAGCTGCAGTGAGAAATGCCCAGCTGTAGGCAAGGCCACCGCATGGAGTTCCAGGTCTAGAGATTGAAAGGCTTGCTACTATGCCCATACCATTAAATGTGGCACTAAACCCCTTTTTGACTAGACTTGGATGACCAATGAGGTCAAGGAGGAAGATGCAAAGCGCCGTGGTACTGAGGATGAGGAGTTCCCTGACGATCCTGAAACGCTTGAAGGATGCATGGATATCCTGAAAGATTGCCAAGTCAAAGCTACCCAGTGCCATAATGAAGTAGCCGAGTACGAGAAAGGGAACAAAAACTTTTCAACAATGCCATCACAGATTTCGTCTGTATGTTGAAAGTTCTCTCTGCAACCGCTGTTTTTTCTTTGGTAGACAGACAGACAGACAATGAAATAGGCGACGACGCCAATGGTAAACTCCGGCTTGTCAAATACCTTACTGGAAGTTACCCGGCCTACCGCGTACATTGCAACAGGAGTATGTTGATAAGATCATATCATTTCCAGACTTGAAACTAATTCGGTGTCATCCTAGGAATCATAGGATCGGTTTATGATAGCCCTGTGACGAATCTAGTTCGCGCTTGTCTGGAATCTGCTGCTGCTGGTCGGACCAAGTGTAAGGCTGCGGCTTGGAACAAGAGCAAGAAGACGTGCCACAAGAAGAATGCAGGTGGGCCTTTTATTTGCGCACTAACGAGCTTTATCACGCTTTACACTAGGTTGCTGGGGTTCCAAGGTAGCTTTGAAACTCTGGTAAAAGAGAGCAATGTCCTGGCTGTTTCACAGGCTGTTGAGTGTTCATTATCACTTTGACCTGACTGCGGTACCTATTTCTGGACTACGTCCTGATTTTGATTCTTCATTCACAATGCCGTTCGTAGTTACAACTACGTGACCATCATCTTGACCGCTTTCTTGACTCGCTATAATCAATCCAATGACTACCACTCAATATGCTAGTTGAAAATAGACACCCCAAATAACTTGCTTCCTCTAAGTTGTGACATGCAAAACTTGACAGACCATTGTCTCGTAGGAAGCTACGTATCATACCGCGTAGAATAAAGTCAACTGGAGGGGATCCGACAAATGATGCCCCTACATTGTAGGCCTTTTGTACTTGAAATAATATCCTTTCTTCGGCATGAGGATCACTAGTCTGTTTTTCTCTTTCAATTAGGTTCAAAGCAGCGAAATACGAGGTCGTAGTCTTGGCGGGATGTAGTACATTTTCATGCTATAAAAGGTTGCATTGCCCTCCAGGCTGGTTTTTTTCAACCAATTTATTAAGACACCCCCGATATCAAAGATTCAAAAACCTCCGAACTCACAATGCTTCTTGGATTTTACACTGTCCTTACTATAACTCTCCCTCTGGCCGCCACTGCCAACCCCCTTGTTAAGCGCGGAGAACAAGAGTGCAGCATCGTTAGCCATGGTGATAATGACGGCTGGGTAAAGTGCCGCAGACAGCCTCGGCTAGATGGAGAGTACTGGGGCTCGGTTGCAGATGGCAATAAAGACAGGTATCTGTGCTACGCTGTTGGGGACTGTTACAAAGGAAACTGGTGAGTCTGCTACTTACTCCACGCTTTCCCTTTAGCTCACATAATATTATCAGCACCTGGGATTGGAACTGGGGTATGGGATGCTATATCAATGGCTACTATACCAGTTCTAAATGCAGTACTAGTAAGCTTTGTCCCCATCAGTGAATGTCTTGGGGGATCATACCTGACTGATACGGTTTGGTGCAGAAAACCTCCCGAAGTGCAAGTCAGCTATTCCATGAGCATGTTGTGTTTCAAAGAATATGAAGGAGAATGATATTTTTGCGTTCTTGTGCCCCTGGTAATTCTAAAGTTTGGCATCAGCCTCGCGGTAAGGGCACCTCGTACTCTTGCAGTGTCACCAATTCTAGTAAGGATTTTCACTTGGCAACCAAATACGACCATGTGACATGGGAGGGGGTTCTGCGGTTGTAGTTCTTATATATTCTTTTTCTCTGTCTTTATTGCTATTAATCTACATCAATCTTTGAGATTTACTTCGCGTCAATTGCTTGCATATGGGAAGCGCAACATTGAAGTGACGATCATAGCCCCTTCTCCCCAACTTCACATACTGCAACCCCCAGGGCCCACTCAGATCTTAAGATCTCTGCTGCAGTAATCCTTGAACCCAAATCAGGATGTAACATCGCGTAAACCACATTTCGACAACGCTGCGGGATTCGAAGGATTAGGTACATTTCTCATCCTGGGAATAGATGATAGAGTTACTTACATTTCCAAGAACCTGTATAGAATTATAGCCATCTTCCTCCATGCGACACCGGAGGTATTCAGCAAAGAATTTATGAGGACTGGTTCTCTGGGCACTCTGCCAAAGAAGCTGACCGGAACGTAAGAACATGTAGATTATACCGCATGCCCAGATATCTCCCGCCTTGGCATCAGACACATCTTGATGCGTATAACTTTCACGGTGAGAAGCAGGGTGACCGGGAAACCTCTCGGGTGGAAGATACGGTTTACTTGAATCCGATACTCTTGTCCGAATGCAAAAATTTGGCGCATGCTTCTGAGCCGAAGCTGACTTCGGGCTGGATACCGCAAAACTTGAAGTGCGGCTACTGCCGTGTGATAGTTGAAATATTTCTCGAATGGCATCTGGGTCTTCACCAAAACCACCTAGTTTCACAGCACCCTGCGCGGTCAGCAGTACGTGCTCAGGCTTTATATCACCATGGGCAATATTATTTTCATGTAAGAACGCCACTGCCCGCAGCATTTGAATGGTCAAACAATCTGCCTCTTCGGCGGGAACATTCTCCGTTAATTTCACTTTATGTGCGAGAAATGTATGGAGGTTGCCGCCAGCATAATAAGGCATAACAAGACAGAGGTTATTTTGCTTATTATAGAGAATGTCGAGGAGAGGAACAATATTGGGGTGGCACAGGGAAACCGTTGGGGTTCCACTTTGAAGAGAACTGGGCAGTGAGAGAAGAGTCTTTGGGGCGTGGCGAAACACTTTGACTGCATATAGTTCCCTGATTGTGTTGGATATTGAATTTCGCCTCAATCTTGCTAACATATGACTAGGCGAAGATGCCTCTGGCGATGAGGTTAGATCGGAGGCCGGCACTTTCTTTGCATATAATTGAACAGTATTGGAGTCATCGAAATGGAGAACTTTGTTGAATTTGCCATATTCCTCCTCGAACGATGTTGGTGATTTTCCCTCTGTTTTGTTCTTTCTCGTTGCAGTTCTCTGCGTCTGATCAGACTCAAATGCATACAAACCCGTCTCCTGCGGGTGAGATGGGGTCGTAGGTTCTAGAGAACCTTGATCTGATAACGTTCTTCTGGAATGAGAACGACCTTCACATTCAGGTGTCAACCATCCCCACCTAGAGAAGATATTGCTTAATCCATCAGGGATATGAGGAGGTTCAAAATCTCTTGTCTCTGTGTCATTTTCGCTTCTCACAATGTGATGATGAGATGACAGGGCCTGTTCAGGTAGTTCGACATGCTCGAAGGGGTTATGTAAACGAGTATCTTGGGAAGCATCGTTTTGCATTCTTCATCTCTGCTTTCGTCGAGTGACTACTCTCTGTTGATTGTGATTCGGCGCTTTCTAAACTATGGGGTCTCTTTCTGGAAGGCAGAATTGAGTGAAAACTAATAAATGTACAAAGAGTGAGGAGCTGTTGGGCTCCATCTGATGACGTAACCATGAATGGTCCCGTGGACCCCGAGGTTTGCTTTTGGTTCGGGTTAGTCATGCTCAGATGACTGGACAGTATATACATCTGTCAAGCGACCTAAGTAATCATTTATACTGAATATTTCCATAAAAGCCAAGGTGGGGGGTGGGGGGGGGGCAACAAAGGAAGAAGATTTCGGATTCTGCAGTACGCATCAATGCCCACAAGTCTCGCACTTATGTCAGCCTAGGTATAACGCGCTCTGCGACGGACACGAATCTTGATCCATGGAGGAGGAATTGGGTGATCGCCAACTATCATGTTCAAAGGTCTTTCCTTCAAGGGTTCGATGTCGTAGTGGATAGTGATGTACGCAAAGAGCAGCTTCATAAGGTGAGACGCAAACCAGCGACCGGGACTAGATCTCATTAGCTTATTTGGTCCAGAAGTCGTGGATCACAATGTATTGCATACCAAGAGTGCCTAGCGTGGCCAAAAGGAAGGAAAGTATCGCTGGTAGTCACCAACATAGTTCGTTTGGTCGTTTCTGTGGGCAAGAAGCGGAACGGAGTATACACATCGGGCTCGTTGTAATATCGGCTGTCGTTCTGAATGGCTGGAACGGGAAATCCGAGCCACGCCCCTTGAGGAATGTTTTGGCCGTTCGGTAGCGTCACACCGTCCTTGGGCATCACCTGTCGAGACAAGCCGCGAAGAATGATCGGATGTCGTCGAAGACTTTCCCGAATCGTGCTATCCAAACGATGCAATTTTAAGAGTGAAGTGGAATTGTTCCAGTCACTTTCTGTTAGGAAAACTGCTTCTGACTCTTCCCGCAAGAGTCTATAATAGTCCTGGTCAGGGTCGGAACCAAGGAGATCAAGTAGAGCGTTAGTGGATGTCACTACGGATGTTGCAATTGCCCCCGCTACCTGTAAAAATAGTTGTTAGTTTGAAATGACGCGTACAATATGCCCCTGTGATTTCACCTACTAGGACCGTGAACCTAGCCGCCAAAGGCTTTCCGCTCGTGATCTCTTGGTCTTTCGTATCGAATGCCGCACGGTACATCCAAGTTATCAGGTTTTCCGGCGGAGAGTAATCAAAAGTCGGGTCATCTCTTTTGCGTTGCATGTTCTCATATCTTTCAGCAAATAGTGGCCAAAGATGATTTGCGCACATGGACCGATAGTAGGCCGTTGGTATAGCGCAGAGTGAGCCAACCAATCGTCGAAATTGCCATGGAACCAACTGTCCGATCAAGACAGTTCCCATGCCAAACCATGTCGCGAACTTCAAGACATAATGCATGAATTTTTCATTGCGAGTCAAGTCCTGGCCAAAAAGAATGCGACCACTCGCCTTAAAGACAATCTCATTCAAAGTGTCATAGAGATTTACTTCTTTCGACTCTGTTTCATCCAACCCGAGCATTTGATCAACCGAATGACGCATTTCGTCAAAGAGATCACCCTGCACTTTGCCAAGATTTCGGGTGAGATGGACACGAATTGCCTCAATGATGGCCATATCAGAGGTGTAATCAAAAGCCGGAAGGAGATACTTAAGACCCAGCTTTTCTCCTTGAACCAGTCGGTGGGAAAGAACACCCTCAGGTTGGTCGATGAGCCATTTGATGAACTCAGGTGGTAGCATCACATGAGGTTCAAAGCCTGTTCCGGGCAAGATGAATGGCTTCCCACGGAGATTGAATTTCTTGTAACCCAAAAGCATTGTTTTCAACCCTCCAGTGTATTCACGCATACATGCCCTGATATCGCCAAAGAACTCTTGTCGCCTTCCTGCCCATTCTATCCCCAGAGGGACCCGCTCAGGACGGATCCATGTACGAACGACAAGCGTTAGACATACAAGGCCGACTGCAGTAGTGACACAAACTGTCGACAGATCCTGCAAGTCTTTCATATTGGGGCATATATGCTGGAAATTTCCGAAAGTCAGAATAACAAATCGGAGGACGATGTTTGGTGATTACCTGGGCAAGGCCCAGACTGGGTCAGTGTTTCAGGGGAACAATCAGCCTGGCCTACCAATTCTCTTCAGTGGAGCTAGTCCAAGACTGCCCTACCTCAATCGAGGTTTTCCGTGAAAGTACGGTGTAAACAAGGATCAGATCGGGATCTAGAACCCCATAACTGGGATCCACACGGGGTATTCTCCTAGATGCGGTTAAGATAATGTTGATCCAAGATCCACAAGAAAACTTCTTCGAAATCTTCGGATGAATGTTTTTCTTCTTATAAACCCATAAAATTTGCTTTGCTACAATTTTCCCTGGTTGGAATAGAGGCGACCATACTATGGCTCGGGGTAAGATTAAGAGGTGGCTCTCATTATGGGTACCGGAAAGGCGTTCCTTTGACCATAAAACAAAGGGAATTCTTAGCTTACTCACGTGCAAATCTTATTCGCCAAGCATGGGGTTCAGCTACATGTAGCCAAGCTCTTCTGTGGGCCTAGCGTTGTACTAGACGAACCGATACGGGAAGGTCTCACTTAATCCGAATCGTTTGGTGCAAGCCGACAGATCGACATCTTCAAGCCCATATTATGACTCCACTTATGACGCCACCGAGATCTGGTTCAGATATTTCCTCGATCTGTAGGGAATCCTTTGATGAAAACACTTTTGAAAAACTTTTCGACTGTGGACCCGCAAGATGCAGCTTAAGGAGATCCGAACAAAGCCGAACGCAGGATCACTACTTGTGCGAGTAAGATAACCTCCACACAAGTGTCTGATTAGCTGTGATCCAAATCTATTGCCGATTTACGGTAATCTTACTCACATAGCATGGGTCTTCAGGTACTAGCAATAACGAAATAGGACCAATCGATTTTACATGTAATCGGATCTAAATCGCAAGGATCAGGAAGGGATATTGAGATGTTTGGCCAGTGCTGCTGCTACCTTCCAGACTTGGACTCAGACAGTCTGGGGTCCAATCGTGGCCTCTCATAATGATGATAGAGTGCTTCCACGTGTGGATCCTCTGGTCAGCCCTTAGCGTAAAGAAAAAGATTTGTTTTATCCAGTCTCCTGCACAGGCTTATGAGTAGTTTTATTTGACCTGACCCTGGTACGATCTTCCAAAGCATCTGCGTCGGAGGTAGTAAGCAATTTTCATCATACTTTCCAAGAATTTCGAGACCTCATGGCTGATGCTTCTTTCGGTTCATTGGCGGCCGAGGCCAAGCATGCACTTGATCGAGCTGCAAACTTCTCACACCATCGCCAACATGAAGATGGCCATTGGTGTGGTGAGCTGAAGTCAAACGCTACCATCACCGCGGAATATGTCATGCTTCGCCAGGCCTTAGGCCTGGACATGGAGTCAGATCGCAATGAATTGATCTCTTGGTTCCTGTCAGAGCAAAATCAGGACGGATCATGGTCACTCGCTCCGGGTCATTCAGGCGACATCTCGACCTCAGTGGAGGCTTATTTCGCGTTAAAAATCCTCGGTATTGAGCCAGATACAGCATTCATGCGCAAGGCTCGATTATTCATTCTCTCTGTTGGCGGTGTCGCCAAAGTTCGCATCTTCACGCGTATCTATCTGGCAACGTTTGGCCTGTTTCCATGGAGTGCAGTGCCAGAGCTTCCGGCAGAGTTGATTATGATGCCGAATGCCGCTTTCATCAGTATATATCGACTAGCCTCCTGGGCACGCAGCACTATTGTGCCCCTTCTCATCATTTCTCATCACCGTCCTGTATACGCTCTGCCAAATGGCATCTCGGAGACAAATGATTTCTTGGATGAGCTATGGGACAATCCAGCAAAGAAGAATGTTCCGTATTCTCCGTCTTTGTGGCAACTGGTGAAGACAGACGCGGTAGCTTCCACCTTCGTGGTAATTGACAGTATTCTTCATATGCTCGGTGGCTTGCGCAGCTCTCCCACACGATCCCGCGCCCGAGGACAATGCATTGACTGGATCTTACAGCATCAAGAGACCGAAGGTGACTGGGCTGGAATATTCCCACCCATGCATACCGGGGTCGTAGCACTATGCCTTGAAGGATACGCGCTTGATGATGCCCCAGTCAAGAAAGGTCTCGAAGCCATTGAACGATTTTCATGGTCTGACAAACGCGGCAAAAGAGTACAGGCCTGTGTCTCACCAGTTTGGGATACAATCCTGAGTACCATTGGACTCTGCGACGCTGATATGGCCTCGCAGGACACTGTGAGTGCCATGAAATGGGTTAAAGGCCGACAGCTGTGCGGACCAGAGGGTGATTGGCGAGTTTACAAGCCAAACATCACCGCAGGTGGATTTAGCTTTGAGTACTTCAACCGGTGGTATCCAGACGTGGATGACACTGCAGCTGCAATCTTGGCCATGATTAAACAAGATCCGAAATTGACAAACTCGCGCACTTCTGTTGTCAAGGCAGTTCAATGGATCATTGGCATGCAGAACAATGATGGCGGATGGGGAGCATTCGATATTCATAATGATAGGCTATTCTTGAACAAAATTCCTTTCAGTGATATGGAAGCCTTGTGCGATCCCTCCACTGCAGATGTCACAGGCCGGATCCTTGAGGCGTTTGGCCTCCTTTTTCAGAGCAGCAATGACTTCCCAGTTGATCTGGTCAGAGACATGAAACTTGCCTGCGACCGCGCCATCCCATACCTTTTCAGCATACAAGAGCGAAGCGGTTCCTGGTATGGCCGATGGGGAGCAAACTATATCTACGGCACCAGTAACGTGGTCTGCGGATTGGCTCTCTTTTCGAATTGGGAGGGGGGAGCAATTTTGTGAACGATTCCCTCAATCGTGCAACTTTATGGCTGAGAAACGCTCAAAACCCAGATGGTGGATGGGGAGAGACATTGTTATCTTACAGAAAGCCCGATTTGGGGGGTAAGGGGTGTTCGACTGCTTCGCAAACAGGGTGGGCATTGATGGCACTCTTGGCTCGCAGCCTGTCCCACGAAAAGTCTATTGAAAGCGGAGTGGGATATCTGTTACGAACACAGACCGAATCTGACCGTCCCGATGAAGCATCATGGCCCGAGTCTCAATATACGGGAACCGGGTTCCCAAACCATTTCTACCTTGGGTATAGTCTATATTCTCACTACTTCCCTATGATGGCGCTAGGAAGGTATGCACGTACGCATAGCAATCGTTAGTGAGAAATGTCGTACTTTCAAGCGAGCATTTCGGCGTTCATCTTTCAGTGTTGTATTTCTCAGCTTTCAAATAGCAGTCGAGCCAAAACTTTGGTTGATATATACGCTTTATCTGCCCCTGCATATCTTTCAAATTCAGCAAAGGAAAGCAGTTTCGAAGACCAACGTATATCGTTCCACGATATGCTATTATTTCAAGTAAAGATCAGGAGAGAAGGAATAGCATTGCTCAATTGCTACTTGGAGCATGAAAATGAAGCTAGCAATAGTGCTAAACGTCCTTCTGGACAGGAGCTCAACTAAAATGCACCCCCACGCTTTCTTCTCTCTGAGTTACCAATGTCACTCGAAATGATGAAGTCGACTTCTTCGTCCATGGCTCCGTAGATATGCTGAGGTGCGATAAGGTTACAATTTCTATATGTTAGATTTTCCTCGATAAATGTAAAAAAGCCTGAACAGATACTTACTTGCTACTGAACTGGGGTGCGACCATTTCCTTACGTGAGGTAAGGTTTCCATGACACCATCATCCATTCGCCAGATAGACTTTTTCTCCTCTACCATATCCCGCTTAGATAGCTCAGTGTCAAGAGACCCATAGATATTCTTCCAGGGGACCAGACAATTTGATTTGACGCAAGAAAGAAAACATTTAAGTAGGTGAAACATCCGCTTTCCCGCATTTTCACGCCCACGTAAACAGGCGTTGGCTTAAATATTCCCTGCAAGGCATTGAGAGGGTCAAAATTTCTATTCATCAGCGAGCCGCCCTCCTGGAAGAAATGCCTGCACTGCAGAATTGCTTTTGTGGTATAGTCTTAGGTACAAGCAGATTGAAGGGCATTCCACTTTAGCTCTCAATTCGATCCACCATGTACTAGGACTTGCTTTGCGGTACCATAAATACAGCAGCAGCAGAGCAGCAGGGTCCTTGTGCCAGAGTAGGTTTTCGAAGGGCCCATGTATGTTGAGCATGAATACTTGGGTTTGAGCTGTTGTGACCTCGCCATGTGAGAGATCTAGGATCTGGGATACTGCGTGGGCGGCATAGAAATATGGATTGTTTCCGGCCGTAGATGAGTCTTCGAGGTAACAAATGGCAGCCAGAGCTGTTGGTATACCATCCATGCCTCTCTCCGGAAAAGGTGTATTTATTTGAGCAAAGGCTGTGGTCATGACGCTAAAAAGACTGTCTGGGCGGAGTGGATTCACTGTTTGCCACAGTAACATTTTACCCTTGCTCATATGTAACCAGTTCAAATCGGATTGATCAGAGTTCTTCAAGGGCCAGGACTCCCCCGGCGTGCATGGATCAGGAGATGAGAATATTAAGATGGTCATGGCAGTGGCAGTGGCCCAGATTGGGTCCTTATCTTCCGGTTCAATTGGGTCTCTTAATCGCTTGTTGAAGAGAATTGTGCTTTGAGACCATTGGTAGCACTCATCTAGACTGCGACGAACGCCTGATCTATTCAGGTGGCGGTCATATGTAAATGCCACAGCGAGACAGGCGTGCATCAAGTAAGGGTACTGTAAGCCAGAGGAGTTAGCCAACATTTGGTCCATCAATTTGGAAACACAATTAGAAATTGTCCAAAGATAACAAGTACAGTAGAATGAGACTTACAGTGAAGGCCAGCCTCAGGAGCTTACTATTAACGTATATCGTATTAGGATCATCAGCGGTAATGAGACTTCGTTCAAAACAGCGAGTGATTAAATCTTGACACTTCGCATTCAATTGATAGGATATAACTCCATCAGATGTCCAGATAGCGCTGGAGACGGGGATTTGAGGTGCTGTTTCTCCTTGAGCCAGCATTTTCTTCCCTATATTCGTGGCGATGGGTTGTAGATCAGGAATATCGGACATGAAGTTACATAATACACCGAACGAAATACATCTCTTGCATTGGGGTTTCTCTTCGTCGCACTGAGAAGAAATTGAGACTTATTCAGCCAGTCACAGAACAAGAAACATCCAGAGAAACCTACCTTTAGTTTTCTGAGCTTGCAATTTCGGCATCCAAATCTCGACCGCCGTGCAGTTCTGTACTTCCGGACTTTTCTTGAACAAGTGGAGTCCATTCTTGGTTAGTCATCTGATAATTTAAGGCACCTTTGATATGAGTGATTCTTCTGGGCTGGGAACATATTGAATGCCGAGAAGATTCGATTCGTAGGTAGTCGGCGAAGCACCGAAGTGAATTATGCGCTAAACCTCTTTCGAGAACGAACATACACGCTAGCCTTTCCTCGGATGGAGAGGGCTCTGATTGGCTGCAAGCTTGGCCCTATATCAAAAGTAATAATGCATGGAAATGATAGTCTGAAGATATAAAAAAAGGCTTCATCCCCGGGTAATTTGTACCAGAGTCGCGAACCCTTGACATTAATGTCACGCTCTGTTCACATGTTTTCCATCTCCAAAACAACGAGAACACAGAACGTCGGAATGGCCACTCACCTTGCCGCCGTATCCCCAGCCAAAGGACTGTCTTTCGAGCTTCAGACCCGCCCCACACCCAAGCCAGGACCGAGTGAGCTCCTTATCGCTGTCAAATGTGTGGCCCTCAACCCGGCAGATGCCATCATGCGTGATCAAGGCCTCATGATACCCACATACCCCACGGTCATCGGCTTCGATATGTCGGGGTTAGTCCTTGAAATCGGTGACAATGTCCCCACCGGAGATACCGACGATGATTCTGGCCCATCTTTCCAACCGGGCATCACCCGCGTCGCCGCCTACGCTGTCTCTGTCTGGAAGTATTGTGATCCAGACTATGGCGCGTTCCAGGAGCGGTGCCTCATTCCATGGCAACATGCTGTACCAATTCCGGGCTCTGGAATGACTTGGAGCGAGGCGGCAACCTTGCCTGTCGCCGTTGAGGTGCCCCTCAGCGCGTGGGATGCCATGGGGATCCCCCGGGTAGGAGACGCATTCGTGTCTGCTCCTGTCTCCATCAGTTCCACTACTGATACCAACGGGAGCGGACAAAAGACAAACACAGGGAAGCATGAAGCTCTCCTAATCTGGGGTGCCTCCTCTAGCGTCGGCACCATGGGCGTACAAACAGCTCGACTGCTCCGTGATGATCCCAACTCGTCCTTCGCCGCCGTTTACGCCACAGCAGGATCATTGAACCATAATTACGTGCATTCATTGGGTGCGGACCGAGTATTCGATTACAATGACTCACAAGTGGTGGCTGCGATCGTCTCAGCAGCGAAGGAAGACGGAGTAGTGATTAGGTATTGTTTTCTCGCTACGGGGGACCTAGCACCATGTCAGGCGGTGCTCAAGAAATTCTTCGAGCATGACAAAGCAAGTATTACAAAGACCTCGAAGATCGCGTCGGCTCCACCGCTTCCTCCGAATGCTAAGGAAATGAACGGACTGGAGACAATATTTGTTTTCCCATCGGTGGTCGAAGCAGAGCGATTGGAGCAGTTTCGATACTGGCTTGGAACGTTTCTCAAGAGCAATTTGATCAAGGGGAATATCAGGCCGAGTCCAGAGCCGAACGTCGTAGGAAAGGGCTTGGGGGCTATCAATGCTGGGTTGGACAAATTGCTCTTGGGGGTTAGTTGCACAAAGCTGATTGTGGAGCTCACGGACTGAGCATTGGTAGGAAGCTTATACAGGTACGGTACTCAGTGGGTGTTGATGATCAATCAATTCATATATACTCAGGTTAATTAGGAAAGATTTATCTTAGCATGAGTGGACTAATTCCATCACCATCATCTTAGGACTACATGTTGTCTGAAACGGATCAACTGATACCAGAATGTATGCACATACGTACCATTTGTTTACTAGCAGTACCAAAAAGTAAATCAGTATGAACGTCTTCATGGTACTTACCACTTATTCCCCTCTGCGCAGTTGGTCTGGACTCAATTCGTGCTATACATTCTTTCAAGCGGGAGTATTGAGCCATGTCTTCTTCTGAAATAGTACTTTTTCTTTTCTATGCCCTTATGCAAGGAACCACATTGATATCAACAATAGTGTACTTTTCAAGCTCATATCCAGCTATATATTCTCGAGGCTGACTGCTAAGGTTCTAGATACATGGAGCTCAAACACGTTGTAAACTCGCAGTGTCTCGGCCTGAACTCTTTCAACGGCAACTACAATATTGGTTGATCAATTGGATCTTTGCTCCATAATACCTGTAGTAATTTACAATTGTAGGAAATGTCCACTGGCCGGGACTCTGTTGGAGCAAATCTTGCGAATCGATCAAGTTGACCTTATTTAGGCTGACCAGTAGCATGCCAGAAGATAATCCACCGAGTCAATAATATGTTCTTTGTGGTTGGACAAACCGAAGTGATTGTTCTTGTCCACCATTTCGAGGAGATACAGTAGCTCCGTTGTTGACTCGATGATGGGGAAAGGCGTTTCACTCGTATTGTCAACGAGAACAGGGATTGTTCTGTAGCATTATGGTTAGTAAGATATAGAAGCAAGGCTCGCTTGATCATGTTCATACAATTTGGATTAAGCTTTAAGGGCCACGCTTTCTTCTGCTAATCAGTGTCAATATGTATCAGAAAAGCTGTCCACTCCAATTTGTAAACATCCTTCAGCTTCTCCGGGATCTAATACCGTGGCATTCTTATCCACTTCAGGGGTTTCACTCACCTGATCGACTGCCACAACATCGCGGCTCACTCGAATGCCGAGACCATAGAAATCGAAGAGAGTAAGAGACGCTTCAAGTTTAAAAGATGAGATAGCCTAATATATCGAAGTCATCCGATCCACCAAAGATAAACTGTTCAAAGTAAGGACTGCTAGTACGCCGTCTATGAGCAGAACGAGAAAATTTATGACGAGATTTGTGTCAATGGGCACAATCTCTGTGTTGTAAACATAGAGTCTGGCTCATCCGTAGATAATCTTGTCGAGCGTCTCGATATACAAGTTTGCAATGACACCGAGACCAACGCTGGCGGTAATACCCAAAGTTCCAGTCGAGACAATTTGGCAATCATAGAACGCGTATTTGTTTCCCTTCAGGACCATGTCAGCGTAGTTAGCCCCAGTGTTGATGAGATTGACGTTCTTGAAGTTGATTTGTTGAACATTGTTGTTCACGGCACAGTACCAGTATTGGTTATGATGACCTTGTTCTGTGCATAGTCATCGGTTCCATCGCTTTGGCTCACCACAGTGACCGTTGGCGTCGCTGAAACGGTGATCGAATAAGTGTAGGTACCAGCCAGAACAGTTACGGTCGGAATTGCATGGATCTGGGCGTAAGAGATACCATCTTGAATGGCTGTGAACTGGCCGGTGCCATCTGAAGCAACAATTATGGCAGTTTTCGAAGCTATTGGTTTGTCAGACTGGTGTTTCTAGGATACACGTTTAGAGGAAGCTTAATAGAAGAAGTCGAGGTAGTAGTTGATGTCGTGCTTGACGCGGTGGTTGTCACTGGGACTGAATTCTTTGCAGCCGCTGCCAGGCTAGTCAGGCCCAAGAGAGACAAGAAATGCATCCCGAAAAACCCAAAAATGCAAACGGAGCAAAGAAGCTGTGAGAGCGAGCCTCACCGCTCGAGCATACTTTATGAAAGCGATTGGGACTTTTCACGTTCGTCCCTAGACTATGAATGGACTTTATGTATATATTTTTCTGGAGAGAAAGTACGAGGGCCGATGATGCAACTAAGGCGGTTTCAGAAAATGTGGCTATTGCCAACCATGAATTGATACTATTCTGGGGTAGAAATAAGCGACAAAAAAACAAAGGCCTATAGAGACGCCGGGAACAAAGCTTGTAGTAGACTGTGCCGAGAATTTTATACCAGGGCACCAGGACAGTTCCAGGTCCGTAGCGCTGGAGAGAATTAGACAGTCTTAGATGGCCTGAAGATCGACCATGATCTTTCCAGGTGGTAGCCGCCTTGGTCCGAGCTGATCGCTGCTGGGGTCTCCGATCCTGGACTACTTGAACGAGATTAGACATAATGCGCCACACCGTATACTTACGAAAGACTGGGTGCAAACGTAACCGACGGATTCCGCAAGTGCGGGTCTCCTTACACTAGGCCATTCATAGGTCTTTAATTTCAACGGTATCTGTCATATGAAGTTAAAGATGATACGCCGTGAATGCATGATTGAGCTGTCTGTAGGTCCTTAGACGCCACAGGCCATCAGTCAACTGGAATTGATCTTGTTTTTTGTTTGCAAATTCCCGATTGAGTCTGGATGTCCTAGATTGAGGGGCGACACTATTGATTCTGATATCAGCTGAACCCTTTCCACTGGGGATTGTTCCCGAAGGCGTTAGTTCGAATCTATAAATCGTTTTGGCACAGTCGACGTGATCCTGGAGAGATAAGATGCAGAAAAATATGCCGTCCAATGCTTAGCCTTCCGCCAAACACAGAAGCACTGATCAGTTCTAAGTCCGTTTGAAGGCTGAACTTTTTCTGTATGCTAAGATATCGGCAAAATTGTGCAATTGCAATTCTCCACGAATCAAAATTCTTTGTTTCTTACCCATCAGAGAATTCACGGATGATCTCTGGAGAGTCGCCGGAGAAATGGGAGATATCTTTCCATGCCCTACTATTTCTACTGCGGAACCATAGGAAGATCATACAAAATGTGCAGAGTCTCCGGCCGAGCTCCGGCATTGACTATTCCCGGCAAACCCGAGCTAAATAAGGTTAAGTCGCCGGACGAACCAAAAGTGGGGAGAACATGTACCTACACTGGTGCACATTTATACTCCGTGGATGTATCCACATTAAATCTATCTGCAATGTTAGATTTTATTAGTGCTCATTCGTGTTCACTGCAAAAGCCTGAGTACTATATTGTACAGTATCGCGGAATGGCCCCCTGCTGTGATCAAATACAAACATTGCAAACATCACAGATAAAATGAATGCTAAGGAGTGACCTACCGATAGTGATTTATATTAGCCATTGACTATTAGTCTCCGGCAAAGGCATTCTTTATCTGCCTTGTCAACACAACATGAGTCTGTAACAGGTCAAGGGTTGATTATTTCCTATACGAAACCCCCAAAACCATTACATTGTTTTATACATGTTTTGCTCCCTTATTTTAGCCCCGCTCTTATCATCTCTTTGTTGTTAACTTTCAACCGACGAGCTCGTACTCTAGAAGAATGGTTGTTTATTCTAGGACTGCCTTGCCTCGCAGAACAAACGTGCAGGAAGACTCCGAATCCTTGAGTTTGAATTATCTTGGGAACCATACACATGGCTAGGCTAAATCTATTTCATTTTCATCAGGTTGAAATCTTTAAGTTGAGGTGCGCGTCACACGCAACATTCTACCTTTCCTTTTTATTGCTCAACAAATTGAGAGCTCCGCCAAAAAGGGGCTATCACTGAATCAGTAAAACCAAACCATAACATCTGTTATTACATATCAGGCCTCATCTTCCTGGCGAACTGGCTCGCCTTTATCTTGGAGATGACTGTGGCACGTCTCTTTCGGGGCCTGGATTGGGTCATTCGCGTCCTCGCAGACATTACTGGAACTAGGAACGGCACAGAACGGATGAGATATATTGGACCTTTGTGGGTGCTTAGTGCCAATGCTTTGCTGGGATATTTCCGATGACTTGTGGGCCGACTTGAGAGCGAAGTCTCCGGAATCGAAGTATGTCCGGTGCTGCCTTGATTATTAGAACTGAGTGGTCTTGTTTGTATGTCTGGGTCTCAGACTCTTGATTCCTCGGGGAACATCTTTTCCCTCATAGGGATAACCCCATACCGACTCGCTATCTAAGAAATTTCTATCAGTGAGCACCTTCAGAGTAAAACAAACAATACTTCCGAAAAATAAGCTGGTGTCTTACTTTGCTTTTCGCCAGTTTCTTCTGCTGCTCAGACATTTTGAAATGAATGTTATATATAAGTTAATAGATCTAATAAGTGCCATCGTCTCTTGTTAAAAAGGCCGCCTCCACCATAAACAATGCATGACCTCATTTCGCCCTTTGTGACTCACCGTTTCATTTCATTACACTTTGAGCGATATTGTGGCGAAATGAAATGTGTTCCGTGGCTGTGGGCAGGCACTCTCACAGGTTCTGTTTGAATGTACGTGTCACGCTTTCTGGTGGCGTTCGACATCTATGAATGCTAGTTTCCCAGGCTTATGAAAGCTCTATGATGTTTCTGGCATCACGCCGAGATACTGCCTTGATACGTTATCTGTAAATTGATCCAAACACTCTTTAGATAGAAAAAAAACATCAAGACCTCATAACAAAAAAGTGGAGCGACTAAATTAAAAGTACAAAAAAAAAGATCCGGTTGGGCGGAGTCGAACCGCCGACTTCAAGATGAATGTTAACAATTACAGTCTTGCGCTCTAAACCAACTGAACTACAACCGGATGTGATTGGTCAACTCTTTTGAAAAGGATTATTATTTGCAGTACGACTCTAAGAAGAGTGAGTGCGAAGATATCTTCGAGTCACCACCATGTTTATCTTTATCCGGTGATCGGGGAGCGCTATATGTTCTGACAATAATAATATATTTGCCTCTGAAGAATTAAAATGTGAAAAGACTCCTTAATTTGTTGATTCATTACCACCAACGATAACCGACAAAAAGATATATAGTTCAGACGCTTATCGTAGACGAGAGTTTAGCGATGTCCAGGTAAATCATACTCCAAATGCGAAATAACCTGATTGGCATCACCCATTGGCATTTCCTCTACCCAATGTCGCACATTCCTTTCCATTGCCAACTGCAACATCTCCTCGATCTGCTTCCGTGCTTCGATATTGCCCCAGGCGATCGACTTTTCTCCAGCAATCAAGTCCGAGGCGAAAATCGCCGGAAGTGCATCATCTGGCAACCACTTGGACAAATCAACCCTTCGAACCAAGTAACGGGATATATTGACGAATTAGCATGTCAGGAGAGGAAACAGTACCGATGATTAGATCGAGACTGCGAGCATGACATTGATCTCACTACTTTTCAAGCTTACCCGGAGAAGGTCTTCCACTTCAAGTCGTCGACAAAGAGGTAGTCCTTAATATAAGTGCCTCTTTCCATTCCTGTGACGTAAGTCCAAAAGAAGTTCTCAAGATCCTCGTAACTCCGGAAGATGAACTCCTCACTTTATGTGGCGTATATCATCTGGCTGATGGCTTCGATATGATAGAACGATATATTTGAAAACTTGCGCGTGATGGAGGATACAGCGTCCAGCTTCCGCGATTTGCAATTCATCAAGGTGTGTTATCAAGTGATTTGTCAGAAGATTTTTGTTAACAGCAAACATAGGATAGCAAGGATGATTTTGAGCGAGCCAAGGAGCTGGGTCCAGAATGGGCCAAAAAATACCACCTATTTGACAAATTCAAGGATGGTGCTACAAATGGGTTCCTCGATGCGGGCTCTGGGATCACACTTGCTGACAAGGTGAAGTCACAACACCCTCGTTATCAGGGACTTCTAACTTTTTGAAATAGGCTTGTGTGTACGCTCGCCACTTGTGTGAAAAGGCAGGTGTCAAGTTTATCCTGGGTCGACCTCAGGGGGAACTTCAAGAGTTGATCAGCGAGAACCAAGGCACTAGCAAGCGAGTAACGGGCATAAAAACGCGCGATGGATTGATTCACTCAGCTGATGTCGTTGTTGTTGCTTGTCAGTTCAAGTCTCAGTTCGTACGAGGAAGTAATATCTAGCTAACAATCGAGTTTAGGTGGTCCTTGGACCTCGGCCGTTCTCTCGGAAGCGCATCGTTCTGTCGAAGCCACGATGGGAACAGTCATGTTTATTGGTATACCGGAGGACCGAAAAGATCTTAGGGAAAAGTTTCATCCAGACAATATCCCTGTGTGGCGGTTCATCCAGGGCGTTGGTGATGGGTAAGTCGATCATACACTGGATCTGAGCTCTAAGTAACCAGTATTTTCAGGGCTTACGAGGGAGGTGGATTCCCTATTACCCGAGAAGGTAGATTGAAGTTCGGATTCCGGGCTCGAAAGGTCATTATTTTCTTTTTCATCCTCTGCATCTTTGACTTACTTTTTCATTAATAGTTCACCAACTTCCGACCCCATCCAACGGAAGAAATGTGGGTTTTTTAATAGGAAAACATACTCTAAGTTCCAAAACTTCTGCTGATTGACTTCAGTTGTATCTCAACTCCGCGCACAAAATACAGCCCCGAGCCCATAGACACCGTGCCTCTTTATGGTCTCAATCTCATGAAGCAAGTTATCGGTAGATTGTTTCCAGAGTTGAGGGATATCGGTTTCACTGACAGCCGGGTTTGTTCTTTCATTATCATTTGAAACCACGATTTACTGACGAAAGCTTAGCTATGCTGGTACACAGATAGCATTGACAATGAGGTAAGTAGCCAACATTCCATGTCAATCAAGATGCTGAGAGATGATAGTTCGTGATTGACTACGTTCCTGGATACTCTGACTCGCTTTTCATCTGTACTGGTGGTTCGTAAGTAATTTGCCTCCGATGCGGAAACATCTTCTAAGCTTAGGCTTATAGTGGTCATGGTTTTAAGTTCCTTCCAGTTCTCGGAAAAGTCAGTACTGTGTTGCTTCCAGTGGAATGTCAATCTCAGGCTAAATTCTATTGCAGTATGTCAAAAATCAACTAGAGAAAGTCCCCAATAGGTTCACGCCAATTTGGAAATGGCGCACTGTTGAGGAAGGTAAGAATTGCAATGGTCTGGAAGAAGGTGAGGCCGGTCCTCGTGAGATGGCGAAACTGAAGATGGCGAAGCGTAAGTGATACTATGATGTCTTTTGAACCCAGCTAACAATGGCCCGTAGCTCAAGATTTCCAATTTTCTGTTAAGGAAGGTTGACTTTCAGACAGTCTTTCGCAGTAAAGGTCTCATCTATAAGCCTGGAATGCGGCAGCTTGCTGTCACGTCGACGGGTTTGTTCACTGGCCAGGTTGACGAGATATCTGCTCAAAATAATACATCTTGAAACTTATATCAAGTTCCCGTATAACGACGGAAATTATTCGTATGACATTCGTCCCTAAGAATCCAAGCTAATCTAATATAAAAAGATACAAAAAGACGCTAAAATAGCAGAAAGGGTTGAAAGCCCAGCGCCACAAGATCAAGTAGCTTGGTAGACCTTGAAACTGCTGAACTCCCAGTAAGCGGTACTGAACTTATCAGCATTGTCCCGCACATATGTCTCACAGGTACCAGAGCAACTACTTTGATCAGTATAGTACGTGGTTGCACCAGCCCAATCACCGCAAAGATCGATATTAGCGATGATGCTCTGGTTCTTGAAATGAGATCCCATATCGCAATCCGTATTAGGGAAGTCTGCAAAGGCTTCACCCCAGGTCGATGGGTCAGGACTGCTTGAGGTCACATCGGATGGGATACTGGAACGAGCCCATTGCCAAACTCGGATCCCGGCATCACGAAGTTCCATCGCATAGACCTAGTAAGACAATATATCAGTACGATGGATGAAACGAGTGTGGGTATACAGAATTGTGACTTACTCCGCCTCCGTTTGAGTTGAACTCAGGCCCATAGGTGCTTTCAGTTCCTTTCACGCCACAGCCCGAATAATCGTTCGCCTCGTAGTAACAATTCTTGTTCTGCACTGTGCCGTATTCTTTGCGCTTGACGCCCATTGAACACCCTTCAGATGTGTGGAGAGTGGCTTGGTTCCCATAAACACCTTTATTGGCAGCTTCCACGACATCGATTTCTCCATGTGCAGGCCAGTTGTCGGGGTCTGTGAGCCATAATGCAGGCCATGTTCCACAACCGTATGGAGTGTGCAGAATGTCAAAGATGAAAAGACCATCGGCATATGTGTTGTTAGATGTAATTCTCACAGATTGGCGCCCACTGGCAGCTTCTGTTCCATTATAAGTCGTGTCAACTCTGAGAATGGCAGATGTGCTATCAGCGTATGTGAGATTGAGCCACTCGGCGTTGGCCCGGCTAATGTATCTAGATAGAAAGTCAGCACAAAATTCCATGCCTCACATATTGATAACAAACGTACTGAACAAATCCATTTGCCGGATCAGCGTCGGTATAATATTCAAAGTTGTCGAAGAAGGATGACCCCGAGTAGGTGTCTACCAGGCTGTAGTCCAAGGAGGAGTAGTTGGGATATCGGTTGGCTCGCACGCCTAGAACAGCTCCAACGATAACGGCAACAATCACAATGATTATTCCGACCGCGAGAAAGATTTTGTTCTTCAAGGACCATCCTCGAGGATCCCATCTAGAGTATTGGTCTCCAACTTCTTCACCCCACGGTCTATATGCGGGTGGTTGGCTGGCCCTTGAAAATCCTGATGGCGGTATTTGAGCTTCCGATTGAAACCGCCCGTGGTCATTCTGGGCATAATGGTCAAGCATTGTGGTTGTGGATTATGAGCGGGTCAGTTTGATAGTATAGCTAGCTGTGCGAAACAACGACAAGCACTACCCTATTAACTAGAGTCAATCGAGCACGAAAAGAAAAGACTGATTACACAAAAACAAGCCACAGCTCAAGCTTAGTGAGAAAAAATTCGACGCCCTAAAAAAAGAATGCGTTTGCCAGCAGGCTTGGGATGACAGGATCCGCGGCTAAAGAAGCAGGCCACGCGTTGGATAAGTGGGGCTTGCGCTCAGGGCCGCGCCCACTCGATGGCGATATCTCTAAGGGACAATGCAGATTCCTACCGACCCTGATTTGTTTTCCGCCTCTTGCTTTCTTATTTGTGTGTTTTCCCCGATCGCTAAGGTTAAGTCACCATTCCACAAGTACGCCCAATTTCGTGCAGTAGTATCTCTCCTCCAATGAAGATGGTGTCCAAAAATTGTTCTTACAGCAAACAGGGTCCAACAAAAAAAAAAAAAAAAAAAAATACAACAGTAAGGATTCGCTAGTGGTCACCCACCTAACTACTAACTTACCGGCGTGTGGCTTAAGTACGGCTGAGCGGACGGGAAGCCCTGTTCTCCACACCCTGTGGTCGTATGTAGCAGTAATGGGCGCTATGTACCAATTGTGGTGGCCGCTTTACTATCATGCGACTGGGGATGACAAGGTTGAGTGCGCAACAGGCTGGATTAGAAGCTAAATGAGAAATAAACTTCGTTGCACGAGTGCTATACTGACCTTCCGATTACTTTAGCCGACATGGCTACTAAGTTAACTTCCTCCATTGGCGTAGGTTTATCATATTCCGGGCCCTCTGCCATTGTGTTCCTTTACTATGTCCTCGGCATAGTCCAGTTGCACAGGATCAAGCTGAGCTACAGGCTGTGAAGATTGTATGCAAGACAAACTTGTCTTCAAAAAAGGTCGATTTTTTGAAGAGCTCCGATGCCGCAGCGGGCTTAAGATGGTCCGTGTATTGGACGTTCTTTTGTTTGAAGAACTGCTAAAAGTGCAATTGAACTACTCACATTTTTTGTCTGCCAACTTCCAATCCGATCACATATTGCTGATTATTTAAGAATTTTGATCACAAGGCCAAAGAGCGCCATGACTAAAGAAACCCTTCTCAAGTCAATATCTGAGCCCTTTGCCGATAAATGGATTCACTAGGTATCTAATGGATCAAAGCAGATGAAATGATCATGCCTGGTATGTTTTGGGCCAATGCCAAGGGTTTTGTATAATAGTTCTGAGCTGGTTACCCTCGTGTCGCAATTCCCATTGACTCTTTATCTTGCCTGTTATTCTCACGCTCCTTTTACATTGGCCTGAATATCAAAAAAAAAAAAAAAAAAAAAAAAAAAGAATTTATGGAAGTCTTGACCCCCGGGACAACCACCCCACGATACGGTCAGCGTTGTATGTCCCTATGAGAACAAGAGAGACTATCACCACAGTGAAAGGCATGGCCACCTGCCAAAACAATGCCTGGCTCAACTCCATGTCCCGAATATCTGATGTGTTCATGCCCAAATAGCTGGTCACAAAGGAAAGAGGAAGGAATATTGCCGAGACGATAGTGAAGATGAGAATGGCTTTGCCATGGTCTTCTTGCATAATGTCAACACGTTGAACAACCTAGGCGATTCAGAGAGCCTGATCAGTACAATGCAGTTATTGCGGATGAAGAAGAAAGACCATGTACCTGTCGTTCCAAAAGTGCAACGCGCTGAGTCAACTCATCACATAATGCCACCTTGTCTTGAAGATCAGTTTGCATATTGTTGAGAATTTTGGAAATTGCTTTGTCGACCACTGAATGCTTCCCTTGATTGACAGCATACAATGAATGGAAAAGACTCTGATTACCGAAGTAATGGCTATCGTCGTCCGACTCACTTCCATCTGAATCATATTTGATTGAATCATATCCAACCGACCCGTTTCCAACCGATTCATTTCCAAGCAGGACGTCCATCAAGCCGAGTTGGTCGCGGATGTTATCAGTGATGATAACGAGTTCCTCTTTCAGGAGGTTCATCTCTATCAGCAAACTTTTCCTCGGTTTATTTCGGGCTTCAAGTTGCTAAGTAATGTTCAGGTTAGATGAGTGTGGGACTAACTGATATCAGACTTACTAGCTGGGTTGTGCGTGTTGCGTATATGTCCACCACATCCAATGTACGCATTTGGTTGCTGGTTGAATGCCCCTGGATGATAGATTTCATGACAAGAGCAATTATTTGTCCAGAGTCTATGATGCCGTAGCCCTGCTCAATGCCGTCCTCCGAACAAAGTATTGCGCCGCATTCGTGCTGCGCTTGATGGAGATCTGACAAGATCCGATTTATACTAATCTTGACGTCATTCAAGAAATCGGCTTCTTGGAAATCAGGTCCTGCTGTATTCTTTGGTGCTGCTGTGGTTTTTGTCAAGTTTATTTCTTCATCAGATGATGCAGCATCGCTCATGTTATCTGTTTCGTCGGGTGCCAATTTGCTGCCTTTCAATTTTGAGGACGATGAAGTGCCAATGTGAGAATTGTGGCACTTGGATGTCTTGGAGTGCTCATATGCTTCCGTAAGCTTAGATGCCTGCGATGATATCTGGATAACAAGTACCAAGATCCGGGAAAATGCGCTCGCCATGGAACGTGTAATATAGCGGCACTCGGTACTGGGGATTCCATTTTGTAGCGCCTGTATCATATTTTTGACTTTAAGCAGCGGCAAAGAGAGAATATCGTAATGAAATGAGAAAAGTGGGTCGGAAAAAGGGATTCGAAATGACTGGTGTATGTTATTAGAATGGGACTACACAATTTCTGTCAGCCTAACAGAGAACTCACATGAACAACGAGAAGAATTGCAGCACAAAGCTTTCGCTTGACCAGGCAATCGTAGTCTTCGTCAATGAAACACCCTACAATCCCACTGACATGATGAAAAAATGATGAAGCAAGCTTGAAAATATGCGTGTTGACGTGATGATTGTTCAAGAGCCCAACGAGCTCAGTCTCAATGTCTGCTTTTGTCTTCTGGCATAAGTCATTGTAGAATTTGGCAATCTTACGAGAAGGTACAAAGAGAAGTTCATAATGCATGTGGGCCGCCAAAGCTTTCATCTGATGTGAAGACGCCAGGCCATGCACTGAAGTTCTTTCTGGTTGACCGAGGCTTTTCCGTGCCGTACTCGGCTTTAAATCCCGACGGTTGAGTACATCTTTCATGGGGTTTGCATTGCAAATCTCTTGTTTGATTGGCCATCTGAGGATGGGCTGGGTAGTTCTCCCTGCTGAGGGTTGACCATCGACTTCTTCTTTCGCAACGTGGAATTCCGAATGATGTGTGTGGGCGCTTTCAACCTCAACCGCACATTCTACCGCTTCAAGTACCTGTTCGGGGGGAACGTAGTGCGGGCTTTCATCATTGTAAGGCACCACACGCGAAGCATTGAATCTGGTTTCCTTGGCGCGGAAACGCCTTGTATGGTCACAGAGAATCTTTTGGTCAAGGTCCGTGAGCTTGTAGGGAATGATGAGATCCTTGCCCGCCTATGAAAAATGACTCTAATCAGTATTCTTTGTCAAGATGTAAGTAGTATCGGGACAATCCTACCCCCGACCGGAAGGGACCCCATTGGAAGGGTAATCCATACGCATCCATTGTCTGTGAACTCAAAATTTTCACATTAAGTCTTGTTCCTTCGAAGTTGTCCGAAAATTCCCCTGAATAATCCCCTTCCAGCGCAATGGCAAGCGGAGCTAGCTCCAATGATTCAGGATCCTCGGGTTGAACTAAGATGCACAATGGCTCATCACCCGGATGGGATTGTAATACCGACTCCCAGTTGTGCCCCTCAATGCGACTGCCATCACTTTGAAGTCTGTATACGAGGTTACCAACTGAAATCGAGCCATTGAAAGCTTCAGAAAGTGTGTATGAAACTTGGTGTATGAATTTCTGTATTGTTAGATCACTACCACGATACGGCCAGGGAACGCAACAGAAATACTTACAAACCACACTTCGCATTTAGTGCGGCTGAGACAGAAGAAAAATCCTGAACCCCAGATCAATCTGATCATGGAGGGAGAAGCCGCCTTTCCAATCATTGATGTAGTAATGTACGATGTTTTGGCATTATAGAGGGCTGTTGGTGAGCATGTTGCTATGAATTCTAGGGGTTTGTTAGCCGACGAAATGGTGCATCATAAGGGGTGTTTCTCTATGTCGCTTCTTCGAGGCTAGACAGAAACCCACCAGAGGGATATTCAAAGCGACATACTATGACCCATGGTCAATATCCAAAGCCGTGGAACATGAAGGGCTTCATGGATGTTACCATCATACAAATTCCGGATGGCTTGTTGGTCTTCTCGGGCCACAGATGAATCAAGATGATAGGCTGATTGAACCAAGGGCTGAACCCAATGAGATTTTGAGCTTGAAGATACCCCTCTCTGCTGCAACCGCTGTAGCAGAAAGTATGGCATTGCCAAGAAAGTGAATTTGATTCCGCTCGGATGGTCTTCAAAGTCTCGGATGACAAGTCCGGTCCGTAGCCGTTTGCCCTGGTAGGACCGCTCTTCCAGAGAATTTGATATGAAATCAACAAGCTCGGAGCAGCTTGCATACGGCGTCTGACTTTCAGTTCCGTATGCCCGTAAAGCGCGTTTCTGTCACGTAGAGGCGTAAATGTCAGTCTCTTTCAACCCGCATATAGAGAAGATGAATTTCATTTACGATGAAGGTCTCAAGCTCGATCTCCTGACTAGACAAATGACTAAAGAGCCATATAACTGTCAGTCTCATAAGTGCAACGTTGATCGCATTGGGGTCTTTACGTCCATCGAAGTAGCTCCGGCTTTCGAATCTCATTTGCCAGATCGATGCTTTCAGTTCGCAAACATACCCCTCCAATATCATCGGGAGGTATCTTTATATCCGTAACAGCTTCTATTGAAAAGGCGTCTTCGATATACGAAGTCCCATTTTTGAATTTCTGAGGGTTATCGAGAGGAAGCACCGAGTCGAGGCCCGAGGAGTCTGTTTTTCGTACAAAAATGGACCTTTTGTTCAATTTCCGAAAGTCGAAAGCTAGAGGCGCCATATCTTCATCTCCGATCATAGATAGCTTGTATTTGAAAGATCTAAAAATTGTACCAAAAGCGCAAGCGGAAAAGATGCTCTTTGAACGACCTCGGTTCACAGCGGGGTCATCCATTCAATCACGTGTGCAGGTGCAGACTACGCCTAACTGGGAAAGTTGAGCATTCATAGAGCTAGTTGAAATTGACTGACTATCGTGAACCGGGGGAATACACAGTACATACGCTTAAGCATTAGATCAAACATGACACTCATTCCAACCGTGGGCCTTGAATAATGTAACCACAGAAATCTGATCACGACACGAGGATCTAGCTAGGCTGGGCAGCAACTTTCGATATCTCAGGTCTTGCTGTGAACTATGCCCTGATAATTTGTGACGGCAGTATCGTGCTCTTACATCAATCTGCGTTCCTTATGTCCTTCCCCTAAACCCAATAATCCTACGGTTGAAAGAATTCTGTTCGCAGCATCAAATTGATAACACAGATCACACCTCCCTTCAGCGGACATGTGATTTCTCATGGGGCTTTATTTGCTTTTTTTATCCTTACGCACAATAATTTGGGTGAACCATTTCATCTCCCTCCGTTTAGCTTCACCTAAACGCCGAGTATGCTCGAATAGCTCGGTTTGAAAATCCTCACTGATCGTTTCCATGATTATTAAGTAATTTTTGTCCTCCTAAAAGTATTGTCAATGACCAATTCCTACCAAATCATTGAGACGGGGTATACAAGAAAAGGTATGCCTACCTCATCCCATTTCCAGCGCAGTCGATATTTAGCTAAGGTTTTCGGATCCAGGTAAATGCGATTGACTCTGAGCCATATGAGCTCGCTGGGACCTTCAAGACGAAGCTGATCCTGTTGATCAATTATCGTTTGGGTGTGGTCCAGAGTATACCCGGCAGCGGTAAACTCTTTCATAACAGCGTCATTTAACTCAGTATTCTCGTCTGTAGCCATATTCGGGATCAAGTTCTAGCAAAGGATATGTGATCTGACATGAAACAAATTTCAGAATGAAAATGCTGTCCATGGGTGTCACGGAAATATAAGCAAAAGTAAGATGTGTCAGCCCTAGTTTCGGGGGGAGGGGCTGTATTTTACTCACAGGACGTGGACCTTGGCATCCATACCCCGCCCAGTTAGACTTAAAAATATCGAAGAGAGCTTCTTTTATTAGCATTATATCCGGTCCTTATGGAAGAAAAAGTGACTTACTTCAGCAAGCAACCTCCTGGAAATATGACCATAAAGACTCCCGTCATCGGGGTTAGAGTTGTCATAGGGCAGAGCAAATTCCCAATTAGGGCTAGCCTACTGCCATCCAGTACCGCATTGTCTTGTCGCTTTCGAAAACCTCGGCCATTCTGCTGGTGTTGAAGTCGACGCCGAGTAAGACCTTCCATAGCAGTTGTGCTGTCACCGCTGGTATAGTTGTCAGTTGGTCGATATTCGCAATGTTGAGGATAGCTTTCTGGTGCGAATTGCCCGATCTGTGGCTAAACTCCCCCGAGCGATGTGCCGGAGAGGTCATTATACACTAAGAAACCGGGTCCAAATTCACTCAACACCTCATCTTATCTGGAACAGGGAGCCCTATTCTACCCAATCGCAGTCTTCAACATCCTCACAGAGATTATTATTGTTGTCTCGTCATTTATTATGATGCGGAATGTCCAGATAGCTTGGCCTAAACGGGTGAAGATCCTCTACTCCTTCTCTTTGCGCCTAAGGTAGTTTAGCACAAACTCTAGGGATTTCTCCTTCGAATTCAATAACTCACTGACTAACTCATTAAATTGATCTGACAATTATATAGGGGACATTGTCAATTGGAAAACAATCGGCCAGACAATGATACTCACAGCCATCATAATCGCCTGCGTCCCTACCCTCTACCACATCTTCGCCGGCCTGCACTCTAGCCTAACCACAACCCAGATCGCCGACGGGATCGGGCTCGAGCTTCCGCAGACCAAGGCCAGCGGGTGTATCAACCAATCCTCCTCGGGAGCAAGCCAGTCGCGGTCGCGGTCGCGTAAACACTCGAGGAAGAATGGACGGTCAATGTTTGAAGGATGGGGAGGTGAGACCGGGGTTGTCATTGGGGTTGCGTCGGGTCGGTATTAATCAGAATGATGAGGGTGATAGGCAGTCTAGTTCAAGCAAAGGGACAGAGAGTACGCGACATTTGACGCAGGAACTCCACAGGAGGGGAGCCGTGCTGGAACGGTGGATAATACAGTGTAGGTTGAGGAGCACTATCATCGGGACCGGCTTTGAGGGCTATATACAACATGGAGTGATTGATACTATGTGCCACGAGTGCGTTGATAAGCCGATTTCTAAGAAGGAATCTACTTACGGGTGATAATATAGTCCTTAGCGAAAAGTTTTGGAAACTTAGGTCAGTATAGTTGAAAAGGGAGGAGCGTGGAAGCCGATCGTAGTCTAGTACTACGGAGATAGCCTGTTGCCTTTTATCACCACCCTGAATAGTCCCGCATCCTCCCTAGAGGACACTCGCGGCCACCTGCAGCGTTAAATTACAACAGCCAACCGTCGAAGTCAAATGCTTATTCCAGCCATCGTTAAGGGTTTAGGAGATAACGGACGGAGACAGTCTATAGATAACTTCTTTTCAATAAGTCTGCCGTCTGTTGTTTACAGTGTTCTTGATCCAAACGTCAATGCTGAAACAGCCCTATCAGGATGTCCTGCACAGAACTACTATGCCCGATATATATCCGCTAGTGTCTCACTGCCCATAAAAGAAATATCGAGTTTGCTACGCTCATAACTAGTCGCATGGACTCTAAACTCAAAACAAAGCACATTACTATTCCATTCACCTCGAATTTTCTGCTAATCAATCCGTTATACGCGTAATTGACTAAGATTACATCCATTTCGATGAGACTTCGGTAATTGTGAGTGGGATGTCTGCAGTTAAGACAGTAGTTGCCCAGACCATTCAGGGCTCAGAAAAAAAAAATGGAGTTACTTTTCTTGGCGCGTGGCCCTTAAGCTCTGGTAGCTTGTCTTGTTACATAGATCCGCTTGCGGTTGCTCCCGATGTCCAAAGAAATTGATCACCAAGTTGAGCTCCACCACACGGACTATCTTGTCTTGGTTTGAACACGTAATGATTGGCTAAGGCTGTTTTTCTGAGATCTCGTGAAGAATGCGTACGCCACTGTGGAATGTGAGTTCATCTAATGACTTGTAGAGGAAGACTTGGACTTCGTTAGAAGGACAAACTCTGAATGTAAGCCGAAACTATAAAATCGCGCATATAGTTACTGTGTCAAGTGGACCCTTACTTGGAGTCTTCATCCAGAGCTACAAAGTAAGTTGTATACAGATGCAACAGTCATTCTTTAAGGGTCAGGTCCGCGGCAAATGCAGGTACTGACGTCATGATTAGTCAGTAAACTAGAACCGGCGACAGTCTAAGAGGGTCCTACAGAGCTGAAAACTTATATCCGGGCCAGGTTAGATAATCTTAGTCCTCACACTTTGACTAAGTTGACATTGTTGCTGTCCAATGTGTTGAAACTGCGTCATGATCATCAAAATCTTCACCCCAGATACCCCTTCGGACGCTATATTAGGCCAAACTTAATAAACAATAGTTGGCTGGTGCAGGTGGAGACTCAGGAGTACTATATGGTACCTTGTGGTCCAAAGGACAGAGAACGTTACATCTAGACCTGGAAATAGTGGGCCATTTGATCGATCGAGTACACAGATTGGCCAATGCTCAAACACTGTCCTTAAATTTCCAATGGTCCAAAAGCAGTCCCCATCATACTCATCCAAAAGCGGAAGTCAGTGCTGCAAAATCGGACAGCAGAAATTTTCTAGACACACTCCAATGGGAATATGTAACATTTCGTCTCTGATGAAAACAGACAAGACTCCATCTAGACCTGATCAAAGCGGCATCGGGTCTCCAGGTCGAAATCATATAAAGCTGTTACTGAATTCTGGATGTCTTTTCCAGATCAACCCAAATCAATTCATCCTTTACTTCTACATCTCACCACACTTCAATCAAACCTTCAAAATGAAGTTCATCGGAACCGCTGCCTTCGCCCTCTCCATGGCCTCCGTTGTCATTGGCGCCAAGCTCTCTGACTCTGCCGCCATGAGCGACGCCAAGAGCCAGTGCACCACCGGCGATATCTCCTGCTGCAACTCCAAGGAGGAGACCGAGGCCGATGGTATTCTCGGAAACCTCCTCGCTGGTGGTCTCCTCAACGGCCTGCTCGGCAACTCCAACTCTGCCTGCGCTAAGACCAGCCTCCTCGACGACCTGAACATCCTTTGTATGTTATTGCTACAGACGATACAACAAAACAAGGAACGAGATACTAACGTCTGCCATAGCCTCCACCAAGGACACCGACTCCGGCCCCGTCTGCAAGAACATCATCGCTTGCTGCCCCGAGGGAACCAAGGAGGTAAGTTATGCCAATAACTCCAACAAGATCTTCAAGAGCCTAACCAATGGAACCCATTAGTGCATCGCTGTCGACAACTCCGGCAAATAGATTATGACCTTGAGGAAACAAGATGTCTACAAGGACTAATTTGGGGCTTGGATTTGTTTGCTCTTTCCTTGTGGCGTCCTTGTTGGGTGGAGTGACATATAGTAGCTCCCATAAAAAAAGTAAATAGGTTAATATAATCAATTTACCTAAAATTAAAAACAAGAACCAGCAATTAGAATATGAATGCTTTTACACAATACGTAGCACGAGAAATGCGATACATATGTAACAAGCAAACAACGTCATTGGAAAGAACATTACGATATATATGTATAAACGACACGTCTTGCAACATTATGAAGGCCTTTGCTTAGACTTTCCGCACACTCAAGAGTATCCCATTGTTCTAAGTTGACATCCCTTCCCCGTGGGAAATGACCACAGAAAGGTCAAGGCTACTGAATTCTACAAGACGGATCTAAGTCAATACCATTAGACCACCGACATTAGTAGAAAGAAACCAGACAGAGAAAATTCCGCATGGTAACATGAATCATTTCTCAGAAAGCCCAACAACAGTGCCAGGAGGTGACCCTTGCCTCTTGATCAGGTGTTTGGTACACATTTTGGGCAGGTACAAAAGCTGCTTAGCTGTCGTGCCCTCAAAAGAGGCGATCTTCCGCCAAGTTCAATCATCACTACTCATTGGGACACGCGAAGTTTGCCAGCAAACTCAAATATCTAAATGTCTTGACCAGATAAGCAAGGTATACGTAATTGGGTGGTAGCGAGTAGATATTTGGAAAGCCAGAGAGGGAGAAGATCTGAATTCTGAATAGCCAAGGCCACTGTAAAGTGAGGCTAGGCCCGAACCACGTAGACGCGAAGACAGTTTGACCCAGGATGACATTTTATCACGACCTAATTGAGAGCAGGAAACGTTTAAAAGTACTAAGCATTGACCAAATTTGACTTAGTGGGCTAGCAACGCTGAGCTCGAAGTGTTCTCCGATCAGCATTCTTTGGAGCATTCTTGATCCAGCCTCAGGCTTGATAGTGGCGGGAAAGCTAGGGTGACAGCAACCGGCACATGAATGTCAATGACTCGTTTAATTTTAGAGTACCCCGTAGATGATTGTCTGTGTTTGAGCAAGCTCGATTCAAAAGTACCTTGGTCAACCCATAGTAGAAATTTGAATGCTGATCAACCCGAATCTAGGCGGGGAGTTTCATTTACTGCATTCTATCGTGGTCAAATGCCGTAGTGCCTGATCCCAAGTCTAGACGGCAATCCCTGCCTATGTAAGAGCTTGGGTTTCATGAAGAAAGCGGAGAGGGTTGTCCAGGCGCGCTCCTGGAAACTTTTTCCGGAATTTGGCGATGCGAATGTCGCAGGGGAGGTTCAGCTAAGCTACGCAGCGTCATCTCAATAATGTTTATTGGTCGGAACATTTATTTTTGGGACCGTTGCATTCGCTGAGGACTCGTTGCCCCTGGACCCGCTTCCCATTTAGGACCTTAGTCTCCGCACAAGGGGCCTTCTGGGTATCATGAACACAGTCAGATCGCCACCACTTACATAGACCATCGAGATACGGAATCGCTCATTGATGATTCATTTCGATTCTTCCGGGCTTGTGTGTGATCGAATCGTCATCTTGAAACCCTTCGCTTTTTTATCGTGTGTAGATTATGCATGTACCTGTAAAGGCGATCTAAGTATAGAAATGACCACAAACTCTAATTGATTCCAATACAGTGTAAAATCAAGCTACAGTTTTACAAAGACAGCTGACTTAGTACAATAAACTGAATATGTCTATAGAGATAGTATTGTTCTTTGTCACCGCTGTAGATCGTCTGGGAAAGCGGTAGTTGGGTTGGTCATTCCAGATTCTCGGATTGACATTCCCGGCGATCTCTGGAAATGCGTAGTATTGTACCATTTCAGTAAGAAATTACTTCGGGAGTAGCAGGAGGACCGATTCCGTATCACATTCCTTGTCTATTACAGGTATCTACGTCACAAAAAAGGACCATAGGGGTCCAACACAAACGTATAAATTACCTCTCATCATCCCGGTTGTATATTCCATCATCACACTTCACATCTCTCTCTCACTCCTATAACCAAGTTCAAACTCTCAATTCATCAAAATGCAGATGACCAGCTTCACCGCCATCCTGGCCTTGGCCATGTCCGTTGCCGCCGTCGCCCCCGTTGCCGAGAAGACCAACATGGGCCTCAGCCACTCCGCCGCCCTCGGTGGCGCCAAGGAGCAGTGCACCTCCGGCGACCTTGCCTGCTGTGACTCCAAGGAGACCATCTCCGGTGACGGTATCCTCGGTAACCTCCTCGCCAAGGGCGCCCTGAACGGCCTCCTCGGCAACGACGATGCCGCTTGCGCTAAGACCAGCGCTCTCGACGACCTCAACGTCCTGGGTATGTTCACTCCGTCCCCACTGTCCTCGCCCAGCAAATTCCTAACATCCTACAGCCCAGACCAAGGACACCAACGAGGGTCCCTCTTGCAAGAACATCATTGCTTGCTGCCCCGAGGGCTCCGGCAAGGTAAGAACACGCTTCCCCTTCCAAGTCAACACCTGAAACTAACAATACCGACCTGGATAGTGTACTGCCATCGACTCCTAAATGCGAGAAGTCTTTCAGGAAGACGCTCCTCATCCGCGTGGTCGGGGACCAAGGCTTCTTCCCAGAAAGATTCCCACTTTGCTGGTTGTTTCCACTTGGTTTTAATTGTCGCGTTAGGTCGAACTTTGGTATTCTATAGTAACTCGTTAATAACTAAATATGAGCGCCACCTCACTATGGGGAACTCTTGCTTTCCTCCCCCCTTGTCTGATTGTAAACCTCGGCAAATCACCCCTGACTGTAACCCCACAAGTAGCAACCCTAATAAAGTCCACGTACCATCCGTTGAGCATGGACTATCCTTAGCCAAGAAACAACCGCATTGGGCCTCGTGGAAGGTGTGTGCTATAACACCATCTCGCCCGAAGAATTCTACTCTGCAATCGAGACACGTCGCTGATACCACCAGGTGAGACAGGTCCACATGACATCTCAGTCAGTGAAACTTTTACTCCATTTAGAAGTATATATGAAAAGGCGAACTATGATACAAGAATTGTTCTTTGCAGATCTCGTCAAGGAACTGGCTGATACTTCTGGTTCTGGCGGAATAGTTCACTTTGCCTCCACCTCATTTTGTTTTCTGCCAAATTAATGAGCTCCGCATCATTTTGACCGTCGTGGAGCGCGCGTTGAAGTTTCCCATCTCGCCGTTGGCGAATACAAAACCACGCAAATGCACTGATAAGAAGGGCACCTGCGACGGCAGCACCCGCATAAACCCCAATGTGTGCTCCGGTTCCGAGGTCATCCCATTTCTGAGCCAAGGTTTCTGCTGGTTTTTTATTGATTTGCGTCTTTGCGGTCGAGTTGCCGCTATACACACAAGTCAGTAACAAGAACAAGCCTGCTCTTTCGTATCGAAAGACTTACCTGACTACGTCAATACTCTCATACGTTCCTGTATGCCCAGAGTACTTATACTCTTTCCCACTATGGAAGTCCTGCACACGGATCTTCTGTACCGACATGGTGAATGGTACATTCGTCCAATTGACCAGACCACCGCCCCATTCGAGATTACCAACTGACTGGCCCTTAACACCAACCGGCCAGTTGCTGACCTTTACTTGACATGGCGTTTGCGGGTAATTCTTGCCATAAACAGTCAAAGGTTCAGAGTAGTTCACTGTGCGAACCAGATCACCATCGATCCACCATTCAAGGCGATCCTTATCCCAGTATGAGGTATAGTTGTGCCATTCGGTATCAGCATTCGAAACAGCATGGTATCCGCCTCGGTCACTGGTAGTCGTGTTTCCTTTTCCGAAAAAGTCGGATTGAACCCCGCTAGTGTTGTATCCCACCCACTCCCAGTCAATCTCGTCCAGATCATCGGATTGCAAGATCACACTGCTGATAATGCCGGCTCCTTTGGCCATTTTGACGTGCGCTTCCATTACTCCGAAGAAGATGTAGAAGTTGGATACCAGGAGGGTCGACGCATTCTCGGTTTTGATCGTGAAGTCTGCTCCCTCAGATGTGTAGTCCAGTGTTCCGGTTCTCATGTCCCATAGCTCGCTGTCGAGGGTCGAGTTGAACAGCCATGTATGCTCGGTGCCGAGGGCAGGATCCGCGTCGCATGTTTTGTTGAGGGGATTGCAATCCGTGCCGGTATATTCGGCGTTTGTGAGATTGAGTAACCCACCCAAAGCGATGAGGAGGAAGGGAAGTAAGGACGTCATCATGGTCGTGTTGTGTGCCCTGCCAACACGGTTCTTCGGTCCGATCCGAATGGGCCGATTGGCTATGTCGGTGCAGCGAATGCAATCGAGCTAGTGAGTGAGATGAAAAGTGAACAACAAATAATCGAACGTCATCAGGGATTTAGAATGAGAGTGTCCATTCCATGTCTTAATATGAAAATTGAAAATTCCAGCTCACTGACGACGAAACCAAGATTAGGGAGGTCAATAAGCGAGGCTAAGAGATCTATCGATGATTCCACCTGTAATTAGAAGCCATCTATGCTTGTTCAAGCCTAGCGCATAAAATTGTGCCAGATTCAATTGAACTTGTGAGTTTAGCTCCGAGACTCGAGGCGAGCTTGCGAAGCCTGCGAAGCTTGGCTCCACGCTAAAGCTATTTGTATCCACTCTGCCAAATTAGATGGAGACGTTTGCTAGATTTAGTTAGCAAACTATCCAGGCACCGGCCTTTTGAGCTAAATGATTGGTTGCTCTAATGTTTTTAACCCGCCAGCATCCGCTAGAAGGAAAAAATATTCGAGAAAAGGATTTATTTACTATTTTTGCCCGAGACAACGCGGACGCTAATCAAGTCAAGGAGATGAGCGTTCAAAGTGGCGTTCAGGAGTAGGATAACAGGATAAGACCTTATTGAAATTGAATTGCATGTTGTGCCTAGGTCTCGGTTACTCTTGCCGAAAACGATATGACAATCAACTAGGACATTGAACATGAAGTGTCAATGCTCTTAGAAGATACCAGCTGCATCAACTTGTTGTCCTTCGCAAACAGTAACATATCAGCGGACCCCTGCGCAAATTGCGGCCAGGAAAAGAAAGTCTCCGTTGTCGGATTTGCGGCAATATTTCCTAGCGCTGCACGGACAGGACCACGCATGGGATCCTCGGCAAAGCTTAGCCATAATGCCTCCATAGCGTAGCTCATCTCCCATTCAAACTTAGTTGAGGCGCCACCATACTCAGAATGGGTTCCAAAGAGCAGAGGTAGCTCTGAACTATGATAGGCACCAAACCAAGGCAGAGGGGAAATATTTGTGAAGTTGCCAGCATATTCGTATCGATAGGTTGGAAGGTCGCCAAGGTGGCGGTTCTTAGCTTCTGATGCGACGGGGCAGCTGATAATCTTAGTAGCACCGGCTAGGGCTTGATCCCCGGGTCCATTAGGGGTAAAGGACACAAAGCCAGCACCCTCATTTGAATTGCTACCAATGATCATGGGCTATATTATTAAAACGCGTTAGTATGCTTATATTTCAAGTGGGGAATGGCCTGTCTACTGACCGTTTTGGCAACCTTTCCATCCAATATGCGCTCGGTCCAGTTTGAAAATGCGGTCTTGTTGTCGATGACTGGCTTGAACGAGATAGACGGTAACGTATCATTGCCAGAATAATACGATAGCGCATTCTCAAGGGCCTGAGCTGGTACCTTTCTGACACAGCTCAGTTCCTTCTCAGCGCTGAGCCCCTTGCATCCAACCAGACCAGCAAAGAAAGTAAAGTTTGTGTGGGCTACATCACTTCCGCTCACAATACCCGGACCCCCGGAGTCTGCGATCAAACCTGCAACAAGAGGGTTATCGGGATATCCATACGGATAAACGGCAACGCTGCCAGCTCCAGCGGATTGACCCCACAGGGTTATCCTCTCCGGGTCGCCGCCGAAATTTCCTATGTTAGCATGGACCCACTCGACACTATTGATGGGTCAGTCAAGGATCCTCCAGGATGGCTGTGATTGACTTACGCCAGTCTTTGGTCCAAAAACCCAACATTCTGGTCTTCCAGTCCCTTTGCATTGGGGAAGCCAAAAACATTCACGCGATAACTGATCAAGAGATGTCAGCCGAGAGTATAAAATCCAACCTGGATAGAGCTCACTTCATGATAACGACAATATGGGACTGTGTTCTTTGAACCCATTTGTCAGGAATTTTGTACATAGATGCCTGACCACCACTAGTAAAGCCACCTCCCGGAATATAGAGCAGAACTGGCAGGGGGCGCTGTTGCGATTGAAGAGTGTCAAGGCTGGGCGCCCAAATAGAAAGATAGAGGCAATCTTCCGAGTTGCCCCCACTAATCAAGAATTCCGACTCATATTCTGTGTAGATTGTCGAGGAATTGATGTCAAATTGCTGCATACAAGAATTAGGAAGCGAAAATGCCTTGATGGTTCCACCATGCTTCTTTTTCTGCGGCCGGGCAAAGCGAAGATCTCCCACGGGAGGCTCCGCGAACGGTACACCGAGGAATTGTCGGACTTCAGGAGCAGTATGGTTGACAAAGCCCCTAACAGACCCTGAAGTTGTCTCGACAAGTAGACCCGAGTCGGCGAAGTTTCTAGGGCTGTGAGTAGGAACAGCAAAGACATCCAAAGCAAGAGCCGCTAACACGGGGAAGGTGAGTAACTTGATCATCTTTGAAGACCCACTAGAGATCTCTGCAGAGCAATTGGCTTGACTGAAGATTCCATCGATTCACCTTGGCAATGCCGGCCCTTTTATAACTTGCCCCGGAGTTTTGTTATGTGCCCATACTGAACGGCAAAATGCTTTTGGGTGGCATACAAGGCCCGTAAAACTAATGCGGGGATTTCAAGACAAGCTGTTTGTGAGAACTGATCAGTAATCTCAGGAAAAGCACTATGCCGGTGGAATGAACACTGGGCTAATCATTTTGTGAAGCGAAGTCGCCATATATTGCGGGGACAGTGCGGGGGAAATGACCCCAGAAATGCAGGGGCTTCGGTCCCTTATGCTCTCACGCATCTACTGGAAGGAGAAATTACTGTTTAATGCGCGCATTAGCTAACATAGCATACTACTGGGATTGAGACAGGGGTGGAATATCGCTATGCCGGAAGAGGCGCACTTGACCTAAGCCTCGGAAGCCTGAAAGGAATTTTGATTGATCAGCAGGATCACCCCTTAGCCAGGGATGACATTTGCGGGGTACATATCCCCGGCAGACAGTGTATCATCACCAACCGGTCATCCTATAATGGAAGTTGAAGTTCACCTTCTAGACAAAATGAACCTTGAGGGACGGAGCCTGATAAACAAGGCCGCATCGGCGATAACCTCGTAACTATCCACAACTGACTCCCAAACAAATCCGTTTTATGTCTCTGGTTTTTGCACAGCTTGATCAATCAGGTCATACCACGTTATCCAGCTACTAAGAAAGATGACCAACAAATCTAAGCCGCCCAATTTGCGAATGCCGGATGGCTCGATAACTGTAGATGTATCGGTGATCGACAGGTAAGCATGGATCCCCACGTAGGATCTCGTACCCAAAACTCAGTAGTAGTACCTACTACATACCGCTAATGAAAGTCAAGTACCCGCATGAGTTTGAATGAGTTTCCCCTGTTCTCATTTGCTCACACCGTTAATTCCACACCACCAAACCTTGAACATTCCCTCACTATCTTTTCTCATTGAACACACTGCAACCAAAAGCAGACTTCTTTTTGATCTCGGCCTGCGAAAAGATTTCTCGGCACTGTCACCCGCAGTGCAAAAGTGCTTTTGTGATTCAGGATGGAACTTCAGGGTTGACAAGAATGTTTCGGATATTCTCAGCGAGCATGACGAATCGCTAGATGAGATTGAGGCTGTTATTGTAAGCCACTACCACGTAGATCATCTGGATCATTTAAGTGAATTCCCCAAAACCACAGACATGCACACTTCAGGGCAGCATATCTGCCAGGATGGCCGATCCGTCCTGACTCGTCTCTCATTGATGCAAATTGGACAGGACGCAATGTCCGGGAAATATCGTTTCAGGACGGGCCTGATGTTCAGTGCATTGGTGGATTCCACCGAGGCATTCGACTATTCTGGAGATGGAAGCTTCTTCCTGCTGGATGCCCCTGGTCATACTCTCGGGCATCTTGCAGCATTAGCAACTCTACATCTAGATCTTCTTCAACATCTCACTCCAGAGACATATTTGTGTTCTTGGCGGGCGACATTTGTTATTACCCAGGAACGTTTCGACCGAGCGAACAAGAGCCTCTTGATTCTAATATTAGTTCAAGGTGACAGGTTGCCCACAGCATTTTACCTTGATATGCACCCCAGGAACTGCCTCAAGCAACCATTTTACGAAATGCCAGCAGATGCTACCGTGGATCGAGTTGCTGCAAAATACTCCATACAGATATTGCCCCGGTTTCATGCCAACGAAAATGTGCTGGGTGATCATCGGACATGATGCATCCCTAGCTGGAAGGATTGATTAATTCCTGGCAAACCTTAGCAATTGGAAAGCTGCAGGGGTGAAGGAAAAATTGCATTGGATTTTTCTTCGGGACTTTGGGGGTCAAGCGAAAGCCTTGTAGCTAGCATGGTATAGAAACAACCGTGATATTACCGGAAAGCTTTGATTGAAGACCTCACTACTGAGACTTGCGCTGGGAATCTTAAAGGCTACTCAGATTTGAACAGCAGATCATCTGCCGAGTGTGGAGTAAGTAAATCAAGCTGTGGGTCACGCCAGATCCAGTGTGGGTTCAAGGATCATCACTAGATGAGGTGAAGGGGCCAATCCCAATGAAGGCTTTCAAAGGCAATTGTGAGGCATGCCGAATACATTCAAAGGAGCGAAATGCAACCAGGGTAATTTGCAGCGAAGGCATGTCGGGAGGAATCGTAGCCGGCCACCAACGAAGAAAAATGAACAAGCCGAGCAACACTATTGAATTGAGTAGTCTCAAAAAACCAGTCCCCTCTTATAAATTTGTAGAATTCTAGATGAGCATCAAGGGAGAGCAAGATAATATGTATGACTCGAATACGTAGAACATCATCACAGGCAATCACACCAACCCCAAATGTACTCTACACCACACACCCCACGACACCTATGCAATTGCCCACAATGCATATCCGCAGTTTGAAATGTAGTTCCCAGGTATTTTCGCTTTCCATCAAAACTCCTTAAGCCATGCTAACCCGTAATATCGTAAAGAGACTCGTCTTCGATCCGCTGGGCTGGGTATCTTATGCGCTGATGCCGGGGAAGCAGTCGGCGAGGCCCTTGTTGTGCTTGTTGGAGGCGTGCTCGAGGAGACTAGATAGAAGAACTTCATTAGTAAAATGTAGTCAAACCCGACTATGTAGAGCGGTGCATGTAGCGCCAAGGCAGGAAATAGCCGTAGGCTGGGTATAACGTACGCAGGGGCCTTGGTGGTTTGAAGAAAAGTTTGCCGGCAGGTCTGGCACATAATGCTGCAGGCCTTCTCGTTCTAGACATCGAGTTCAGTGTCAGCAACAGCACCCAAACAGTTGGAAGGCATTGAATCCATGCGAAAATGACATACGCTCTTAGTCTGGGACTTGGCAGTCTTGGTGTCCTTCTGGTTGCGCTCGCGCTTCATTGTGGCCTTGGCTCCCTGTGGAAAGATTGTCAGTCAATGCACATGTCAGCCGGAGGCTCGGAGATGGAGCGCAGAGAGTTTTGCGACATGTACCCCGGCTGCCTCGGATTTGGACTTACGTTGCCCATATTAGCGGTATGCGACTCGTGGTCTGTAAAAAAGGGAGATATTAAAGGACGAAATGCGACGGTTGCGTAGTTTGATGTCGAGGGAAATCCGTAATTTTTTGTAAAAAAAAGGAAGAGCGGGTTATCTCCACGTGGGGCGGGATACATGCTGACTCAGCAAACAAAAAAATTTCCCCGCGCCAGTCCCGATTTAGTATACTTCGGATTAAATAGGGAGGGATTTTTTCAACTTAAGGATAGATAGCATTAATACCATGAGGCCAAGAAACTTAAACATCAACATAGCTATTTGCTTTATTCTAGTCAAGCTTCAGTCTCTCTTATTTCACCTTGTCTGCCTCTTCCGAGAGTAATGGGTTAATCAAATAGATCATCAACACAGCATCATTAAGAAATTGTTCCATTCAGTGCTCAACGAAATACAAAAACGTCGACCTCCAGCAATAAAATAAATGTATTTCACCTCAATACGAACACATAATTGGGAGTGCCCGAAGCGAAAGCTGATTAGAGATACACCATCAAGACTCCTACAATCATAGCCGCAGCACAAAGTGTGACTGCCAGAAAGAGGCTTCCCTGAACTGCATTTGGTGTGAATAATCTGATAGCAGTTCCCTTGGATTTAGAGGTCGCAGCAGCAGTGGGATGGTTGGTAAGTGTTCCTGTACCTGCTACACCGGCCTGTTCAATCAACTTCTTGCAATTGCCCGTCGCCGCCTTTGCGTCTTGGGTAGTTGCAGCACCATTGAAGTCGCAAGCGATAGGCAGGCCTTTCTGAGCATGGAAATAGTGATCAAAGACAAACGACAGTTGATCTCGGCTAGAACACACACTGTATGCTCCGTATCCCCCAGCCGTGGCGTTGTCAGAGATGCCGACGCAAGCGCTTTTCGAAGTACCGCAGACCTGATCAAATAGTCCCCCAAAGCCATGCGAGGCCACGTCGTCTTTGACAACACATGCAAGAGTGTCTACCATGCAAGAGCGTAGCTCCTTGTTGGGATAAGGAGGGAGAGGGCTTTCCTTTGCCCGCCAGGTATCATCGATAGTGGGACAGGCCTGAGGAGAGTTGGTGGGAGAATAGCTGCCGCTGTTAATACCAGTCGGATCAACGCTTCCAATTGCCTTCAAATAATAGTCAAAGTCTTTCTGCGTACTGACGGAAGCATCTGAGGCGGACACAAGTCCGTAATTGTTAGGTGTCTCGAAGTACATGTAAAGTATGCCACCGCTCCAGATACTGTCCATATCGGAGCCGAACAGTATCGACACATCCTTGAACTTTCGTGGTTTGACAGTGTTGCAACCATATTCAGAGAAAAAGACGGGAATTGAGTAGTTTTTGTATTCTTCTGTCCGGTCCTCATAACCAGATGTCTTGAAACTGCTGTCTCCGCAGAACTCGTAGATGTTGTAACCAAAGAAATCAATGGAGCTTGATTGGTCGCCGCAGTCGAGATAGCTAGAAAGCTTCAGACGGAAGTGGCCGTGGTCGGTGGTCGCGTATCCAATTGCCAGGGATGTCCTATAGCCCTTAGACTTGATGTATGCCTTCATGTCTCTCGCCGCAGCTTTGACAAAGGCAGCACCTGCGGACTGATTGGCATGATTGACGACCTCGTTCCCAGCAAAGAAGCCGATAACATTGTCGTATTTGTGGAACGCGTCAATGACCGAGCTGTACCGGTCGTATTGTTCCACTGTCCATGAAGGAGAGTCGGCAGTAATGGAAATATCTGGAGATGCCAGATCAGTGATGACATAAATTCCGGCGTCCGCCAACATCTTCATGCATTCATCGTGATTCTTTGTCGGATCGATGGCGTACGTACGGATAACATTGGTCCGCAGTTGGAGAAGATACGGAATATCACGGGCACACTTGGAGGGCTGGGCGAGAGGGTCGAGATACTTGGTGGAATCGGACGATCCGATTGTGTTCGCTCCGCGAGCATCATAATCCTCTGGGCGACAAGTAAGACTTAAGATGCCAACAGATGATCAGCTCAGTAAACATACCCTGGTAGGCTATTCCGCGGATGTAACTGATGACCTAGTTAGTATCAGCGAAGCTTGATAGAAAACATGAAGACTCACAATTGACTTCCGTTGTTGGAATAGAAGAACTTCGAGCCCTGTTGGATGGTTAGCGGGTCGATGCCTCCGATTTTACGAGCACTCACTTTGATCTCAATCTGTGGAACCCTGGGCCTGCCGGAGGCTGCATCCACCAGTCGCAGGAAGAGTGCGACGAGAAGGAAGCTCGTAATCATTTGGAATGGGAGTTTGGCAGTCATCTTGTGTTGGTGAGAAGGAAGAAGGCAGATACCAAGAGGCTAGGGAGATTATGAGACGGGACTGTGTAACCACAAAATCGCGATGTGACGAGGGACGATGAGATATCAAAGTAAAGGACGCGACGTTTTGGGGAGGCAAACTCCTGAGAGGCAAGTGCAACTCCGGTTGAAAGCCAACAAATGTTGTCTAAAATCCGAGATAGAGATATTCAACATCGAAATCCATATTTGTAGTCCTTGGAGTTGCCTAATGTACGTTGGTTTAGGTAAATAAGCTCGATATCATAATCTTAGTTGACCTTCTACTCTAAATCTAGCACATCGTTCAATTACAAGAGCTGCGGGCTGATACAATTGGTTTCATGAATAGAATCCAGCTAATAGAGCTGAGGCACTGGAAAATGGATTATACTCTCTTTCGAGGCTTTCTTACATAAGTCTCACATCGCATAGCATTCCGTACGCATTCACGACTGTCCATTGTAAATTAGGTACGTTAAAGATAGAACCAGGCTAACAGAAACTCCGCAGGCCACACAAATGACTCCATCCAAACTTCAAAAGCTTTGCTTTGAGGTTCACACCTACATCCAATCAGCGAGATACACGGAGAAATTGCCAAGAAGAGACTTTCCTGTTACTTATCGGATCTGTCTGCACGATCAGAGAAAAATTGAATCTCTAAAACAATGAAGGTACTCCTGGTACTTTCATTTTGTAAATCGCGTTTAATTTGTGGCAAAAGGCTTTGAATATCACATGGGAGAACAATTTCTATTATATTACATTATACTCTAGGTACTAAGCCCTAGTATACAGAACTTTCATCCAACCGATAAAGATCCCGGTCAGATCCCCCTCCCAAATCCTTCTAAAACGAGCCAGTCACGGGAGCACCATCGAGCTTAAAGTAACCGGGCTGGAGTGTCTGGTAGACTTCCTTGGGGTCATACTTCTTCGCAATATTTTTCAACAAGGCCTTGTTCGACTCTCCATATCCGGAGACAGGATCCTGGAACATACTGGCGTAGTTCATGTAAATATACTCATTGTATACACCTGCAGTCTTGGCCTGTGCAACCACCTTCTCCCAGAAGCTGTTGACGAAGCTATAGATGGTCTCATCATCAGACTCGTTAGTCCACCAGCAGGCGATGTGCATAAGGTGGACAGGACCAGTTGAGTCGGCGAGTCCGAGAGCGTTGCCCCCGTTGTTGTTCATGTTGTTGAGCATGGGCTCAGTAATACCCTGGTAGATGATCACGGGCTGAGCGCCGGTAACATTGGCGATCTGGGGAATCATCGAGTAGAATAGAGTGACTACCCAGTTAGAGAATTCCTCGTTAAGTTCAAAGGCGAGAGGCCAATACACCTCACGAAGACCGAATGGGTTCTCGGTCTCGAGATACTTCACATACTCGACCAGGGTCTTGGTGCTTGTAACATCGGAGACTGCAGGAATACTTCTGTACTGTTTGAAGATTTCTGGGTCGGTGACGTTCTTCGTATAGGTCAGCTCAGCCGAGGCCAGGTCCATTCCGCTGGTCTGAAGGAAGGCCACATATTGCTGAGCATGTCCATCCACGGTGGCATTGTTAACGACGTTGATGAAAGCATTGATGACATCATTGAATCCAGAGGACGAGTCGGTAACAGATCCCCGGAGGAAGCTTCGGGCTCCACCGCGCATAACGGGAGAAGGGATCGTGTAGAGGTTATATTTGGTGACAAGACCAAAGTTGTTGCCACCACCGCGCAGAGCCCAGTACAAGTCCGAGAAGAAGGATTCACTTGCAGTGACAATCAAACCACTGGCAGTGACGACCTAACCCATGTAAGCACGTGGTTGTTTGGGAAGTGAAAATTATCTTACCTCGAAGCTTTCAACGTTGTCACAAGCCCATCCATACAAGTTGGAATGGTAAGAGATACCACCACCCAGAACAAAACCACCCACACCAATGCTAGAGGCACGGCCTCCGACAGTAGCAATACCGTAGGGCTCGAGTGCGGAGTAAACTGACAACCAGTTGTTTCCAGGTCCGATGGAAGCAACAGACTTGTCACTGTTCAAAGTGACCTCGTTCATGTCCTTGAACCAGATACTGATTCCATCAGGTCTACTGGAGGCTCCAGTGAAAGCAGCATGACCGCCACTTCTGGCGGCAAACTCACAACCGGTAAGACGGGAGATCAAGACTGCAGTACTGACTTCTGTGTTCGCAGTGGGCCGGAAGACGCAATGGGGCTGGACTTCTTCTTGCTGCACAGACCAAAATGAGCCAGTGAAGTTTTCATATCCAGCGGTATTCTGAGCTGACACCTTGGATCCAAAAAGGAAGCTGAGGCTTGAGCACTAAAATTGACATAATCAGTATTAGTCCAGTAAGGCCGAATTGATGGAGGCAGTTTCGCACTAACCGCAATCGAGCAAGATGTTTGGCTAGACCGCGATTGGATGCTAGAAAGTGATTGGAGTGCCGGGATTTCCGAAACGTCTACACCAAGATCCTCCAATGCGTTGGTGACATTAAAACTGGCTGGCTCAAATACACTGGATTGAGCGAGGGCAACTCCTCCAATTGCGGATAATCCGCCAAGTAAGGTCCAAGGATGCATGATGAAATGCTATGTTGCCAGGGAAAATAGAACAAAATAGGCAAAATTGCAAGGAAAAGATGTTCGGAAAAAGAAAAAAAAGAGGCGGGGAAAGAAGAGCCTCTTTTAAACCCCAAGTCAGTGGTTCGAACTGGATCTAAGTCAGATCCGATGTGTTATTAGCAATATACTACGCTGTAGATTGTTAAACACTTTGTTCAGGGGAAGCATGCCATTACCCCGGCATCGAATCCACTTTTGGTAAACGCGCTCGACAATTTCGCTTCGGTCTGTAAGCGAAGCGGCATATGCCGATTAAGTGAGACATTTGAACGGCTTTTATATGAACATAAATGCGCCATCTCTACTATTGAAAATTGGAGCGTTCTCTGTCCGATATCGACAAAGCCTTTCAGTTGGCCTATGAGTTACGGTAAAAGATGCCGATGAACTTGATGGACAATCTGTTTATATTGTGCTCTACGAAAACACGCGATACCCTTTCTGTACCGGGAAAGTATCGTTCTGAAAAAGGGGCAAAGTCCCATCGTGTTAAGCGACCGCACTTAGAACGCCACGCATCGAAGCGGTCCTTAGGGTCATGTCGCGATTAACCAATGAAGATAAGACCATCAGGCACAATCTTTTACTGCACTTGACACATTCAAAATTCAAATTGAAAAAGATCGGCCAATTTTGTGAACCATATATCAAAAGCTCCCATATATTTTGACATTGGCATGTATCATGTTGTTCACTGTCAACGTTCTCTCCCTTGACGGCCCGGCAGCCCGTCCCCGGGCCCACCGGAGTTGAGGCGTCCACTGCGGTTAGACCAGGCGCTGTCTCACTTGTCTGAGTGGCCCGGCCCATAGTGGGAGAAATCGGCCGTGGAGTCCGTGCTCTATGTATATTGGCCTCGGGCTGAGTTTTAACATCCCTGTATGGTGCATGCAGCTGACTATCAAGGAATTCGAGGCCTGTGGCCCCCCATTCTGAAACGAACAATGAAGCTGACTGCAGCCATGTGTGATAGAATTTCGGTAGAAGGAGCTTATATGGATGTCGGGCGTCCCGCACTACCCTGTAGACCTTCTTCAAGTTTCGCCTGCAGTGATGGAAGTATCTTCAGAAGGCAGTTTTGGGCCCCAAACAATTAAAGGAACGGGAATCGCTTTGATCGTGCTAACCTCGCTTGTTGTGGGTACTCGATTTGCCGGTGCACTTCGAAGACCCAAAGACCTCAAAGCGGAGGATTACCTGCTGATCCTGGCTTATGTTTTCTTTCTGGAGTTGAGCATTCTTTACATCTACATTGCCCCCGTTATCTTTCGACTGGCAGCGCTTGAGGATGGAACAATTCCCGTTTATCCTACCGTTTTGGAAGACTCGGTTCATTTGCAGATTGTTTTCTTCGTCACAACCTCTTCGCTATGGCTGTGTTTGTGGATGATAAAATTCTCTCTTTTGGCAATGTATAAACGATTGTTAGTTGGAAAACCATACCTCATCGCCTGGTGGGTTATCTTGGTATTCTGTGTTCTGGTACGAATATCCGGATCTACTGCTACGTGTTCTCACACACTGACCTACAGTGCGCCAGTTTATCATCGGCTGCATTCTATCATCATGGTTTTCTTGCTCGAGCTTTCATGCCTGGTTTACTGCGGGGGAATGCTCCACACCACGAGATCATCGCGCTGCCGTGATCAGCTTATACTTCGCGTATGCGGTTGATATCATCACTGACCTAGCAAGTATGTGTCACTTCCAACAAAAGCCAAGTGTAACACGGTTTATCTGACTCTTCTACAGTTATGGCCTTGCCTCTTCGTCTGATATGGAACCTGAAGATGCAACGGAAGCAAAAAGTGAGCATCGGTGGCTTGTTCTGCTTTGGGTGGATTTGCATCATCATCTCCACTATCCGAGTTGTTCAGCTGGGAGAATCAGTGAATGATGTCCCGGCTCCATCGTGGCTAGCCTTATGGGCAACAATTGAGGCAGCAATAGGTAAGTTGTCATAGTAGCATTTCTCAAGTGCCAGGTCCTTACTGACCGCAATTCTCATAGCCGTGATGATCGGTTGTTGCCCTGGTCTTTACCGCGTCATCAGAACCAGCGTCTCGTCCTCAAAGCAAACCTATCCATACGACTCGTACAACATGAGGGGCCGCGGCGGTGGAGGCATACAATCACATAGATCAGGTGGGCTGAGGGAAACGGATATTGCCTTGAGCAGCTTTTCGGGGAAAGTGGAGGCATATCAGTCTGCAAGTGCCTATCGGTCATCCAGTCCAGCAAGCAGTCAAGAGAAACTCGCCCATTCATCTGATAGGGGCACTATTATGGTCAACTATGGGGTTGCTGTGACGGTAGAAGATCGATCGAGTGATTATGACCGAACAACGCGCTTTGTATGAACAAATATCTATAAATAATGACACAGTTGATGTGGTTTAATTACCTGGTACAAATCTGATCCCCAAAATACCTGAATCGACAAAATGAGCGACAGGTATTAAATGTACACAAAAATCCTACGGCACGAATTTCATGATCACAACGAATCTACGTCAACGTGTGATCGCTAACAGGACAAGCTTTACTTCACTGATTCAACTTACTTGCAGGGATCGTTTGAGATCGCTTGAGCCCGTGATTCAAAACTAACAGCTGTCAGATATGAGTCCATAAACTTGGAACATAAGTACCTTCTCACTCAGTGCTTCATGTAGGGTATTAATCGGCACCGTTCATTTCCACGAAAGTTTGGAAGTTCAGATGCTTGAAAAAGCGGATGCGGAGCTTTTGGGCCATGGCTGTTCTCTAGGATCATTAAATGAAGCCACGAAAGCGTACATCGTAGCGGCAAATTTATCATAGACATAGCGCCTGGTCTCCTTATCGTAACGATCAATCCTGTGAAGCGGATGACCTGCACCTCAGATTTTGGCGCCCCTTTGGAGAATAGGAGGCGGTCAATGATGTTATGGCTTCTTGGCTTTCCCTTATCCTCTCTTCTTGCTGCGAGGCTTGGAGGACCTTCGTTCTCGAAGGTATGGCGCCGTACCATTTGATTATTGGTATCAGATACCGTCGGGATTTTTGTTCGCTCTATATTGCAATTGTTGGGTTCCTTGGATTTGAATGACCGATTGACTGCAAAGGGGAAACGTTGCATTGTTCTTGCAACGCCCCTTTGTTCTACACTTACATTGTCTCAATGCCCAGTCAACTTGAGTATCAATTATAGCTTGTTTCTCTTTGTGACCTTATACTTGGATTTAAGTGACAATGGAAATAGCACAAGCCTCTCGAACCCAAATTCTATTTTAGTAGAAAATGGACACAAAGGGTTCTCGAGTATTTAAGTATCGAGATTTATTCTTTTAATTCACTGCTCATTTTCAAGCACTAAGCACTAGCAAAAGTCACCGCACACAACGCAAAAGATTGATTATTCCAGCAGCCCATCATGCCCAAGAAAGGATACAAGATGTCGGAGAGAGAGAGATTTGTCACCAACTTGCAAAATAGTGTCAGAAGAAGGGGAGAAGTCAGAATTCTTGAAGAACTCGACATCGTCGGTAATACTGCGGCCCTAAACGCAGTCCTCAATGTACTCAGATATGTCTTCTCCTTGGTCTTACCAGTCGAGCCCGTAGACCAAGCAAACATGCTCAAGTCTAAGAGAATTCGCGATGAGATCAGGCTCCAAATCACCCGTCGACTGTACTTGCTCCCGGCGGCCGTTGCAAATTACGTATCACGTGTACCAGAGGCAGGTGTTGAGGACGTCCTTTACCAACTGTTGGCGGGGAGACTTCAGGAGTTCCTTGATATGCACCGGCGAGGTGAACTCCTGCAGCCAAGGCCAAGTCCGCCTCATGCGCTTCCGCCGAGAGTCCTAACAGAATCCCCTACTGCGGACAAATATAGACCGTATCGTTCATTTCAGACAGATCGCTCAAGGGGCACTGAACTTGAGGGAAGCCTTCAACCCGTCACATCTCGTCGAATATCGCTTCCAACACTACTTCAAAACAGCCCATTTGGTAAATTTCAAGCAACGCCTCAGTCACAGGCTCCAATAGGGAAAACACCCTATGGATGGAACATCGTCGAAACCCTTGAACGCGCAGGAGGGGCCCCATTTCCATATTCAAAAGTCAAAGGTACAAGGCGGCGACAAAAGAGCTCAAGTCCAGAAACCGTATCAAAGCGAGCCAAAACAGATCAAAAGGATGAGACCCCTCTACCAGCGCCAACTATTGCCACGATTGGCGCTCCAACTACCGCAACTGACCTAAATATAGATCCCGCCTTGAAAGACTATGTGAGTTCGCTGGCTAGTAATGAGCAACAGCCACAGGAACAACTACAGGGTCAACCGCAAGAGCAGCTTCAGGAACAGCCTCGGCAGCAGCCTCAGAAGACACACCAGCAGAACCAAGAAGAAGGAGAAGAATTCGAAACATCAACCGAGGAACAAGAATACCTAAAGCAATTGAATGACGCCCAGAGACGCCAAGAGGTGCCGGCAGAGCAGCCTGAAGCCCCTGCCAATACACAAGTGACACGAGAACTGACAGCAGAAGTGGCCGCACAAGAACAGAAATTGGGAATGACGTTCCAAGATATCGCGCTTCTCCAGCAGGCAACTACTGCTAATGATACAGAAATGGAAGAAGAACCGGTTCACACCTGGGATGACGTGCAACAGACACAAGGACAGATCCAAGAACACGCTGACCCGATGAACGAGCAGATTTGTGATCCAATGAATGACACCATTGCAGAGCCCATGGACGAGCAAATGGGCGAAGCTGCCTATGAAGAGGAGTTCAACTCTTTGATGAATGTGGACGAGATGGAAGAATAGGCTGAACAGGAGGTTAAGTTGGGAAGGTGAGTTGAAGCGGTAAGCTTTGTCACATGTTTCTATTCACAATGTTTTACTACATCTTTGGCATGGTCATGGAGCGAGTCAATTCTTGGTTTGACTCAATGTGAAATTCAGTCTCAATTCCAAATCAGGTCATTCCTAATGTAAAATGAAACATTTTGGTGAAGTCCATCGATCAGAATAAGTGTATTATAGCTGATTCTTGGGCCACAACTTGATTGATTCCTTGTGGTGCTAATATCACAAATCGGCTCCTCGCAGCGGATGAATTGTGCCTGGAGGCGACGATGAGGATACTGGGCCTTTCGATGGAGAGCTTCATACGTGATTTTCTCGATTCCATGTTCGAGCGCGACGTTATCGCTAAAGATCTGCGTGTTTCTCCTAATAAGATTGGTCAGCCCGTGTTGATATTGCTCCTCAAACACCCCCTCGTCAACAGGGGTCTCTAATGATGGCAACATGAGGTTGGCTGATGAATTGAGAATAAAGATAAAGATTTGGAATTTAGTCGCTCAAGCTACCAAAAAAGGCAGGTCCAATCCAACTTTTAACAGCGATGGAATTTTATAGCAGCACCTGAGCAGGTTCTAAATGCTACATTATTCAGTGCATCATCCAACGCATTTCAACTATTGTTCGATTCGATCGGCCGACCAATCGCTATTTGACAACTCATTCTCTTTTCCTGATCTTGTTATGATGTTTGCAAGTAGTGCATGATCATGAAGATCTGCCATTCCACTTGAGACTATGTCACCGATAACTTATTGCCAAGTTGCATGCTGTAACCGATAATTGCACCAGCTGGACAATATAGCTAGCAATCTTCAAAGAAAAAGCAATTACCATACAAGATGTATTCTCTCCCTTGGAGGACATTGCCCCGAATGTCTTGATAGCCCCAGAAGGCACAACGCTGTGTAACTCTATAGTGTCATCCAATTGAAGGCAGTTCTTCGTTATCACTAGTGATTTGGGATGCTACACTAAGATGTCAAACTTTCTGAGTGCACCTTACAGGTACACGGGAAAAGCTTGTCAATCGCATCATGTACCTCAATCAGTCCTGACTGTACATGTCACTCTATCCACTCCTTGAAAAGAATGCTGAATGTCTTCATACTGTAGTTTGTACTGCAGTCTAAAGCTAGACAAATATCTATATAAAACAATCCTTCGTCACAAAAAGGGTTGAATGTTTTGAAATATCCATTATATCAGGCGTTATGCTCGGTCATGTCGACAGGGAACATGAGTTGGTTGGCTTGTTTTTCCGTTTAGGAAGCCAAGGCAGCTCATTCCATGCATGAATTTATCCGGACAATGCACTAAATGTTCGCTTGTGTTTGAACTCGATAACTATCTGTCGATCCGTGCTCTAGATCTATGGAAGAAATCAAGACAGCCATGTCGAACGAAATTATTGTATTTTGTCATATTTCAACGTATTAAAGTCCCTTCAAGATAGCACGGAGCGCCCAACACAGTCACATTCTATCTCGCACATTTTCCTTGGCATGAATTTGGTTGTTGGATCATGAGAATACCACTTTCTGAAGATCCAAGGCCAGTAACGAGTGGACCGCAGAAGTAGGATGATATGAATCCCACCATAAACACCCATCCCCAATGCAAGCGGTATCGGCATCAAATCCATACTCAGTCGGATGATCAATTACTCGCGTGAAAAAGGACCATGAATCATACAGTAAAGTTGACGACTGCAAAGAGTTATAGGTCAGTCTTCTGTTGTCTCCGTTGTCCGGCAATCAAATCCAGCAAGGATATCACTCACATTTGGAAACCTCCGCTGAAATTTTCCCGTCTCAAGAGTTAACCTGGTATTGAATTTCTCCACCATGGTTTGGTGGGCGTCTCGCTGCCACGCGTCCCTTTTCAGGTACGTAGGTGCGCGACTCACGGGAGGCACGTTCATCAGTAAGAATCGACGGGCTCCACAATTGTACATAGTCTCAGCCAGTTGCAAATGTCGTTGGAAAAGATAAGTCAAACCCTCATCGGTATCATCTCGCTCGTAGGACATTTCTATGCTGTGAATCAATCGGAATTAGCCTGTGACTGGTGGGAGCCCAAGATGAGAGGCCAACATACTCGTTGATTCCGATCCAAATAGCAAAAACAGTATCTTCTGAGTCCCATTTTTGTGGATTCTCATTACTCTTGCAGTATCGCTCGCGAAAACTAGTCTCAACTTGGTAAACAAGGTCATGTGGCACGGCAGACACGATCTTGTTGTCAATCGAAGCGCCATATACGGCCAAATCGTACGCGAAGAGCAGACTGGTATTGTATGTAGCCGCGGTAAAACCGACCCAATTGAGTCCGTCGGTCGCAGAGCCCTGGCCAAGCAGTGGATTGCCTAAAGGGTTAGACGGCGATGGCTGTGGCCCAAATGTATTGAAGCCCGTGCTTGTATAGGAATCGCCGCTGCAGGGCCAATTTTCTCAGGTCAGTCCATTTATTACACCAGTTACACACAGGGTTCAAGCAGTTCGTGACGGACAATGTAAATAAGTTCTTAATGCCAACATGCGGTTGCGTTAAGACTGCTTGAGCCGCGAGGCCAACGGAAGGTCGCATGGTGAACCTGCAAATGCGAATTGATTGGGGAAAAGAATCGTCATGAGTGTGGAAGAGTCAATACGCCGAAAGGAGAAAAATAGGGGGTGTTCGTTATGTTTTTTTCAGCCCTGAGTTTATTCGTCAATCCGTGTCACCCCTAGCTTCATGCATCAAATAGTCATGGAGTGAATCAGCCCTGGGGGAGCCCCTCCCCCGCCATTGGTAGATTCGAGTTTCCAATCAAAGATTCCTTGTGATCAGATTGAGACATCTGCAGGTTGCTTTGAAGGCTCGTTTCAAGTCCAACGAGCTAAGCATTAAGCTGGTTGATATATGCCTCCCCCTTAGGCAAACAAAGCCAAGAACATTTTCAGAAGCGAAAAAATTCATGATTGATTATCGGATACTCCTATTACCAAATAGTGATCGTGGCATGTTTGCTACATACTGCAACAGCGCTTCGAAATGGGTTTTCTGGATCTTGCAACTCCTCCAGTGTAGGAACCTTTTTGATCACTCGAGCCGGAGTTCCCACTGCCACACAGTAAGGTGGTATAGCCTTCATCGCTGTCGAGCCAGCTCCAATTGTAGACCCTTTTCCAATCGTGACTCCGTGCATGATGATCACATTTGCGCCCAGCATGACATCATCTTCAATGTATACAGGAAGGCCAAACTCAAGGAACATTTGTCGGGACAAAACACATGTCTCACGGCCAGCAGATAGAATGCTTATATTGGAAGCTATCTGCACACCACTGCCGATGACAATGATACTAGTGTCCAGAATCGTGCAACTATGAACAGTTAGTATTCCTTTGAGATAATGCACAGGTTCTTGCCCAAATGAATGAAAGTGATAACAAAGCGCACATAAAATTAACAAAAGTGTTCTCTTCAATCGGGATATTGCATCCATAATCAGGCATGAATGGAGATTCAACAACTGTGCTATCTCCCACTTTACCAACGGATTTCCGCAGAGCTTGTAGTCCCTGAGCAAGAGCTTGCCGTGGAGGCAGGGTTCCCATCTCCATATCATTATAGGCTCTAGTGAACGAACGGCAGTGCAGGCGTGCCTGACTATTACTGAATTCATAGGATAATAGAGCATCTCGGACACCATTTGATCCTGTACATCATAGTCAAGGGTACCAGTCCATCCGATCGAGGATGAATGGAAGCTTTTTCGGATGGTCTCCAGACTAGTTTGAAAAGACATTGAACTTTGGAGAAGCGACTTCTATCCCTAAGAATCACGCATCAGAGCCAATTTGGCGTCTGATTAGGGCACAGGTACAGACTTGTTTCTGACCACCTCGACAATTCTGTTAAATACGGCTGGAAGTCGTGGTAAGTACATATGCTAGATCGCAATGACAATATGATCATTATAAGAAGTGCATGTTTATGAGAGGATGTGTGCTAAAGATGTGGGAATGTGCAGTGAAGAAGGCACGAGTGGTTTAACCTGCGCCTTCTTCCATGTCAGCCCAAAGGCAGAGAACAGCAGTCACAGCAAACCTCATCTTGTAAATATTCTTTCAGCCATGTTTTTTCTTATGTGTCCTCGTCTTTACAGACGATATGTCTCTCCCTCCAATTTTGATCAACCTGGAGAGAATGAGCAGGCCCTACGATCGCAAGGCAAGGTTCCCATGTCTAGTTCTGGCGAGTTCTGTCTGACATGAATATCACAGAGCACACGGAAACGAGGCCAGCCCATCCTCAAGACCCGAAACGAAGATCCACAAGCTTTTCGCGCAGGCTCCGGCGTCGATTCTCGATAGAATCGAGGCAGTCTTCGGGATATCGCACGATCTTTCCGTTTGGGATAAAGCCAAAGTCAAGCACACCCAAAGTTAGAACAGAGATGTCAGTACTTGTGGATGAGGGAAGCAGTCTAATGAGTGCACGAGGTTACGACAGTGATGCTCAGTGTATTGGAAGTCCACAGTATCCCGGCCCCTTGAGCGCATCGCCCAATAGTCCAGCCTTCCGCAGAATGGGGTTGAATGATATTATAGAGCGAAGTCGCGATCGAAATCACTCAGAGCAGTGGGCTAACAACAGAGTTCGGTCTCATGCAAACGGTCTTGAGCCTCCATTTGGCATGCATTTCGTACCTACTCCCCCGGGAAGTTTGAGAGGTCGACCACGAGGAGCTCATTTTAAACCTGCAACTGAAGGAACGAACAGTCAATCTGTGTCGTCATTTGGGGATGACCGATCGGGCCAACAAAACGCCTTTACCAAATCGCTTCCGAGTCTACACCCCAGCCAAGATGTTGCGCCAAGTCAAGAGCATCTTCGTGCTCGGGGGGACAATGTTGGGAGCAGTGGTGAGAATCTTCATGGTCTCGGGGCTGATTGGCTCCATTATATGGGAGGGGGCCCCCAAGGTTATCGCACGGCATCTTCAGGGTCTGTATACAACCAGCCCCAAGAGTTGTCCGTTTTCAAAACAAGACCGCAACCGGACTCGCATGGAACAAGTCAGGAGACTCGAGTCCCACGCCTAGGCGACATGGATATCTCGCAGAGAGTCGCAACGACAGCCATAAGATCCGGACAGACATCAGCCAATCCATCCATGTCAGATCTTGCGCATCAAAACAGATACGGGTGGCTCATGACGTCTCAAGAAAATGTGACCTCGCCCGCAAAGTCAGAAGCATCAACAATCGTGGGTCTCGAAGCTCACAAGCAGGCAATGTTTCACAAACGAGACGTTTCCTCTTTCTACTCCCGACAAAGCAGCAACCCTTCAGGAGAAGCATCCCCAGCCGCGCAGTCAATCAGAGCTCGTCCAGCAAACTTCAGAAGCAAAATGCCAATCTTTCATCCAGATATGCTTGACAAGGCTCATGTCGGCAACAAGCAATATTTGGGAACCGAGTGGCCGAAGGGGAGATTTGTTGAGCAGTTTGGCGATAGCAACCTGATATTGGTCCAGGATCAAGACATGCCCAGCGAAAGTGCAGGGCAGCGCAAGGTCAGTCCGGGATGGATGACTGGAGGCCGACGGATGGGGTACGGATATGCCATGGTGGACAATGTCGAGGCGGGACCATCGCAAGTTGATGGAACCGGCAGTTTACTTCCAAACGGAGGCTGGCGCAATCTGACCCCAGAACCAACACCTGGTGATATTCAAACGCGGGAAATGAAGGGGTCTCTCCATCATGTATCCGACATGGCACAATCAACTCATTCGTGTTCTCCAGAACAGGGCCGGTCTTGCGATTCTCCTGGTGGACGCCGCTTGTCCAATCCCAAAAGTCCTGCCAATGCCTTGGACGAGCCCATTTTGACTCCGGATTTATGGGCAAGAATCAGAAGCCGTTCAGTGCGAGGTTACAACGACGCGCCTCTGGCAGTAGATCTAGCAGCAGATCAAATGTCTGCTGGAAATTCTCGTAGTCCATTCCCGGTACGAGAGCAAAAAAATGGGCCTATCCCACCTAAGGCTGTTGGCTATGTCGAAGATGCGGAAATCTTTCTGGGTCGATGGACTAAAAATAGCCGCGGCAGGGATAAGCCACGGCCCCTCAAGATCAACCCTGTCAGCAACCTCAAGAGCGAAGAACTAAACCCCTTCCAAGAAGGCCCACCGCTGGTACAACGGCGATTCTCAATGGATCAGGCAAATCAGCCTCAATCCGTGTACTGCGACTCGCGGAACGACGGAAGTGCAGATCAAGTGGAAGAGACACCGACGCGTTCTCGAAGCGGACGTTGGATCTTGAAATTCTCTAGGAACAGGAACAGCAAGCGGCGTTCGAAGCTCTATCCGAAAGAGGCATCCCAGGACTCATCGGTCAAGTACCAAGGCAGTGACCGTCAAGGATTGGGACGAACAAACTCCACCCGGAGTGATATGGCAGAAGAGTTGGCGAGTGCGTATCAGGAATGCATTGAGATGCCAGGGGCATTCTCTGGCAGCAAATGGGCTAGCCGGACTAGTCTAGTGGTTGAGGCAGAGTGATGGCGAACGAACTGATGCATTGAGGTATATTAGTATCTGGGCACACGAAAAGCATTCTTACAGTGATGGATTCTGTATCGAGGTTATTGTTACCCGCAGGAACAAAGTTGATTGAATTATGCATATGTTTCCCCGCCAGATGTCATTAATCGTACAGAAAGAAGAAAGGGTAATATCCCAAATACACATCGTACATCCAGCCACAGTGCACACAAAGTAGCAGTAGGAAACAATCTACCTCCGCTGCCGCTTGTTGCTCTCACTTGTGCCACTTAGCACACTAGCAGACCGCTTGTGGTTACCTTCCGCACCGTGGGCATGATCTTGTGCAGAGTTGCCAATTGTGGACTGGGCTTGAGCACCACCAGCAGACGGGTTCAGGACACTTGCATCACCATCTTCGGCCTCAGTCTTGACCTGGGGGTGAGCAGGTTCCGGCTCTGGGATACCATTGGCCTCTCTGTACTTGCGCTCGCGCTCTGCCTTTGCAGCCTCAAGAACACGGATCTCGCTTTCGACCTTCTCGGAAACCTTGCGGGCATCAAGTAGCAGGTTAACGGACTGGATAAGTTTCTCGAAGTCCTTGCATACACGCTCAGTAGGCATGAAGAGACGGACAGGGATTTCGAGTTCGGAGAGGGCGCTGGCCAGTTTTTGTGTTTGCACATTGGACTTGGCCTGAGTGAGGCGCTGGGCACGGTCGCTTCGGAAGTTGACACCTGCCGTAACACGCTCGTGGTGCTGAACGCCGTACCTGGCTTCCTCAGCTGGGGTGAGAGTTCGCACGTTTTGTTGGGTTTCCCTTGAGGCCATGGAGCCTTTCTTGTTTGCGGCTTGGGTGACAGGGGTTTCGGCGCGGCCGAGTCCACCAGTGTGGGTGGGTGTCTGGCCAGCGGGACTAGGGATGGCGCCGTCGCCGAGAATGGAGCGACGTTTCTTGCTCTTGTCGGCTTGCAAGAGGGTTTGTAGGAGCTGAGATAGGCCTGCGCTGGACTGGTACATGGTCGTGTTTCCAACGCTGATCGGGACCTCAAGGCGAGAGTAGAGTTCGCGACGTTCAGTGATGAAGCTCTGCTCGTTGCTGGTGATGCGCTTAAGCTCCTCGAGGAGCATTGCCTCCTCTCGGACTTCGTCAGCTGTGCGGTTAAGCTGGAGAGCGGCTAGCTCCTTGCGATCCCGTTCCCGGTCTGGCTCGAACTTTAGCATCTTCTCGTGTAGTTCAAATTCTGCCTCCGACATCTCGGAAGGAGGGTGTTCCAGCGAAAGCATGGTCGCAGCAATGAAGTAGTACCGTGCCTTCATTTGTTCCATTGTTCGGAACTGCTTGGCTGATACAATTGCATTGGCATCTGGCTCCGTATCCATTGGTGGTTGGTAGTCGTATCGATCCGCGATGACTACCCATCGAATATCATATTCAGTAACCAGATCCACCAAGTAGTCGGTTTCTTCACGAGACCAGTCTTCGCTTTTCAGGAGTCGCGCATACTCGTCGTCTGTGTATCGCTTGGGTAAGCGCGGTTTGATGTTGTATTTGGCGAAAGCGTATTCCTGCTCCGGTGGCTTGGGGGCGTCCTCCCCGTCTTCCTTTGGTTGATCGACTTCCATCTCAGACCCTTCAGGTGCCGGCGCAGGTACGGGGGGCCTTGCTGACTCGTGTTTTCTCTGCCAGTGGTTCAAAACTAAGCCATCGGAGCGAGCGTTGTTGGTGAATGGTGTCATGCTCCTATACGCAACCTCATATCAGCATTTACTCGGATCTCACGATAATCAATATCAGAACATACCACGGCCGGACGCGCAATTTATTCATCCATTTTGGGCGACCCTTGTATTTATTCTCATTAATCGCGATTGGGGGCGCTCTTTCGCCCAATAGCGCGTACAGTTCGCGAGTGATCCCCTCTACAACGGAGACTGTCAGTCATTCGTCCTATTCCCAGCGGTGCAAACAGTACGAACCTGGTCGCTTTTCAACCACTTTCTGCTTCTTGTGTGGTCTGGGCTGCCCTTCTGCGGGCAAATCCAGCATGTCGCGAACATCGGCGGCCGCGGCCATTGTGGCGATTCGGTCGGGTGGAAATTCTGCTCCGGCGCGACGCGGTAAATCGAGCTGTTGGTTATGGGGGAAATTCTAGGCAATGAGGCGGCTTATTAAAAGGGGATATCGCGTTTGTCTTGATGAAACAAAGAACAGAGAAGCAGTAAATTGAAGACCAAGTCGACAGAGGTTTCCCGTTGGTAAGGGTGGATTCCGCAGACGGCAGGCGGTGAAGTGCCACGGTCCCTGATGTTGACACCTTCGCGGAGATACTTGGAATAGCGACTCTCCAATTGCCCACTCCTTCACCATGGCTTTCTCTGGGACATCCTCATGGCTGGCGTCAGCCTTGACTCTTCTCTCTTTTCTCTCTCTCCTGGTCCCCACTAATGCCTTGTACTTCTACATGGAGGGCAGGCAAACGAAGTGCTTCTTCGAGGACCTGCCCAAGGATACCCTCGTGGCCGGTACGACACCATGTTTGATGCTTGTATCAAAGTGAAAGCTAATGGGCAAATTTTGAACGATGAACAGGCCGCTTCGAGACACATGTCATCCAACCTCAGACCAACACCTACGCAATCGATCACAACATGAAGGTGCTCATCACCGTTGAGGAGACCTTCGACAATGACCACCGAGTTGTTTCCAAGCGCGACAGCCACTCTGGCCGCTTCCACTTCTCCGCTGCCGACGCTGGCCAGCACAGAATTTGCTTTACACCGGAGACCGATGCCACCTCCGGTTTCATGTCTTCTTCTCTTGGTGCTGTGAAGGTCAGCGTTGACATTGCCATTGGTGAGACCAGCAAGATCGAAACCGAGGACAAGGACAAGATGAAGGACATTGTGCAGCGCGTCAAGGATCTGAACAGCCGGTTGCACGATATCCGTCGTGAGCAGGTGTACCAGCGGGTAAGTGACCCCCATTCCAGTGGAAGACTCGCTATCAAATTGCGGGTCTTTGCAGTAGATTGAATAATGCATTTACTAATGCGAATTGCTTAGGAACGCGAGTCCGAGTTCCGTGACCAGTCCGAAACCACCAACTCTCGCGTTGTTCGCTGGACTCTTATCCAGCTGGCCGTCCTTTCCGCCGCTTGCGCCTGGCAACTCTCGCACCTGCGGTCATTCTTCATCAAGCAGAAGTTGACTTAGGATTTTTTTGTTGCCATTTTCCCTGCCACATACCTCGTTTCTAATGCCTTGCATGTGCCTTTCATCTTTGCTACGGCCACGTTAGTTTACGCAAATATTGACCAAAGTTTACCCATGGGATTCGATTTTATACTGTTTGTTTGCGAGCGATATATCAGTCAATGTTGGCTAGAAAGATTCCAGGCTATTTAAATAGTTGGGTTATTCATGGTCAGCAGACTGGATTAGCAAAACAACGCAACAAAAAAAAGACTGCGGAGTGCTTGGAGCGGTGTCGAATTGATAATGGATGTAATGATAGCCTTTTTCTTCTATTTCCGTTATCCTTGTAAATCCTCCAGGTCAGCTGTCCTCGTATATTGGGTAAATGACTGGACCAATACAAATTTCCTTTAGTCTCGGGAATAGTTAGCCCTAACTTAGCATGATAAAGGTCTGTCCAACAGCTGTTCGATGAATATAGATTGAGCAAAGCGTACAGATTACTCGAACCTAAAATTACGAAGATAATATCTTCTAATGGCCGGCGAACTTAGCAAGACAACGCGAAGCAGCTTGTTCTGCGAAACATAGAACAGTTCAACATCCGTCAAGTGAATCCTTACACCCTAGCAAGTGACTTCCATTGCCCTTGAATGTTCCGACTGGCCATCATAATTAACCCTCCTGCAATCGACATAACTCCCCCAAAGATCCACATTGGGTTGAACCCTTCATTTTGCAGGATAGCACCTGCTACAGGCGTGCCAATCAAGTTGCCTATCGTCATGACTGCATATCCCATGCCCATTCTTGTTCCGATAAGACTTCGATCTGGGGAAAGTTGCACAAAACAGGTTGGGGGCAATGAAACAAAAGCCCCCGAGAAAAAGCCGTACAGCAACGAGACAACCACCATGCCCGCCAGACTGGATAAGTTCACCAGGGCAAACATCAAAGCGCCACATATAATGGTACACAAAGAAATGATGTTAAAGGGGCCGATATGATTGGCAAAGAAGTTGGGGAAAATTCGGCCAAAGACTGAGCCGGTGGTAATGATAGAAAGAAGATAGAATCCCATTTTATCAGCGGATATCCCCTCGTAAATGGCATAAGACTGGATGTAGAAGAAGGGTATATTCAAAGAAGTGAAAGTAAGTAAGCCTCCGAGAACAAAAAAGGTATAGGCTGGCTCTTTGAAAGCAAGAAGGTCCATTGGCTTCCTCTTGCTAGAAGGTATGACTCGGACTCTAAAGAGTGCGAGTGGGATAAGTTGAGTCACGAATATGACAAGCCCAATTGCTCGGACAGTCCAGCCAAATCCAATTTTGTCGCATAGTCTGTGGAAGATGATAGGGTACAATATCCCCCCTAGAGGAGATTTGATATTAGTAACCGATCAGGTTGTAGCTCGTTTATGCTTACCCAGACCACTTCCAGCTGCGGCTATGCCATTCGCAAGAGCTAATTTGGAGCCGAAGTAGGTAGACAGAATTGCAACACTAGGGATGAAGATAAGTCCCACCCCGATGCCGATGCAAAAGCCCTGCGCAAGGAGCGCTTGGTAATACTCATGACAAAGACTGGTCATCATCTGCCCCAGAAGAATCATAAAGGACCCGCTGTATAAAAGCGCGTGGAAATATCCAGCATCGTATAGCGGTCCAGTCACAAGCCCGAGGATCAAAAGCAAGGAGGATTGAACGGAGCCTATCCAGGAGATGTTGGACGACGATGTGGTATACAATTGCCCTGTTTCGTAGTACGTCTGATAAGCCCCGAATGTGTTCAGTATTCCCCTACAGCCCAAAAAGGTTAAAAAAACCCTTTGTGACAGCGTTATGAAAGATAGAAAACTCACCAGGTGTTGAAGAATATGAAGAAAGTTCCGAGCACTTGCAGCCAGGCTTTCAGGCCCCCGTTGGGAACATCTTGAATTTCACTGGCAGAAGACTTCGATACTTTCTCTACAGCTTGCTTGTCGTTTCTTTGGCTGTTGGCACTTGGTTCCTGTATACTCGACGGATGTGTCTTGATTTCTATCATTTCGGACATATGGTTATGCAATCCCAAGAACGAAATGCTGCGAGCACACGAGGAGGGAAAATCAGATTTCTTGATGTGTATTTCTTCCGTATAGACGCAGGATCCATTCCCATTTTCTAGCCGGAGAACCGTCATTCAAGGCCTTTCCCAATTCTCTTCGGTGGAGTTATAGCACAGCCTCAGGCTCTATAATCTTTCAAGCTTTCAACGGAGACTGCCGAGAATCGACAGCCTATCTTACTTTTCCAAACTTCCGGTTACCAACGCTTTCTAGCTTGTCTAAAGCCCTCCGTACACAGTAGATCCTTGCTATCTGAGCTAATCTGGTTGGAGAAGCACCACGTTATCACGCTGGGTTCTCAAGCCGTCGGAAGCTGCCGCTTTGAGCTGTAAACTATGCGGAGGTCACCGATGAAATCTGCGTGCCTACCAGTGGTGGTCTCATTTTACAGTTAGATGCTTAATCATTGGCTAACTATGCTCTAGATCCTGTAGGTTGTAGGTGACAATTGGGCTATCTCCAATTGGGCTGCAAAAGACACCATCCCCCGCGCGGGCTTACCGTTACTTCCTAGACTTCATCCCCTAGACTTCATCTAGCCTAGACTTCATCTAGGGAAATCTCATACTGCCAGTGGAAGTTACTGCTTATGGCTAAATGCTTAATCACCCGTCAGCTTTCGCGATGGACCCATGGATGGTCCTGCCAACGAGACCATGTACATTGGGGCTGCGGGCCGTACCGGCAGTACCCGCCTTCTATATCCTTAACTTTGCTAAAGAAACTGTCACAACATGCAAGTAGGAGCGTAGGGTCGTCAGTATCGTCTCGTCTCAACTAGGAGGTATAGGCAATTTGTAAATGACTGTTCGGATCTAGGTCACGCTAACAATATCATTATTAAGAAGACGTTTATCCAAAGGACATGAATGTAAGTATGCATTGCATGGCGTTATATAGCAGAATGTTCACTTGAGATTTTATCATCAATCATTATATCCAAGAAGGAGGTAATAAACAAAATAGTGTCAAAAAAGCCGAAATGGTATATGGCAGGTGAACGTGAACAGAAGGACAAGACATGCAAGCAAACAAAGAGGCAAAGCATCTAAATCCACAGTCTTGTTTCGAAATGAGAGGCCCCTGGGCCAAACGAAAAAACAAATGGGGATGTGTGCAGAATTTTTCCACAAGAAAGCAATATGTTCTGATGGTGATATCAACTAGAACATTACTGTTCAGAAGTTGGGCTTGCCAGCGCCACCACAAAATTCGAGGATCAATCGTTCAAGATCGGAGAGTTTGTAGGGTTTCGTCATGTAGCCCTTAATCCCCACCCGGGATGCACGGTTCAGTGCTTCGTCCGTGACATCTGCACTGACGGCCAAGACGGTTGGAGGTGGGGGTGCGGAGGAGATCATGGGTTTGGGATCCATCTCCATTGAGTCGGGGCTGTTTAATTTTGGTTGCTCGGAAGCATTATGTTGGTCTCGGTGATTATCGACCATCTGGAGGATGCGCGAGGTGGCTTCGTATCCGTCCATTTCTGGCATCCAGAGATCCATCAAGACCACATCAATGGCTTTCACCTTTGTCGGCTCGTGCGGCTCGCTGATTACGCCTTGCATGCTGTTCGCATTGTTGGAATCGGCTTCGGGTTCGTTGGACGGTTTTGCTGCGGACAGAATACCATGCACGATTTGAACCGCTTCTTTGCCGTCAGCTGCCTCGAGAACATCGCGGTAGCCAAGTTTGCGAAGCATGTTCACAAGAACACGACGGTTGATTCGGTTATCTTCTGCAACAAGGAAGCGCAGTGGATACTTTTCTGCCAGCTTCTTGTCGTATACATCGCCAGCAGATATGTTTGTTCGATGTAGACGGGGTTGTGATACTCGACGCGGGGGTGTTGAGCTTTGAGACATGTTCTCGTCAGAAGTACTGGGTGTCGGTTGCTGCACCTGGGGATTTTGGGGGAGGATGAAAGGTGAGACAGAAGAGGAGGAAGGCTCGGAAATGAGACTGCTAGAACTGCCCTGTCTTCCTTGTTCGTTTATTATGGGTGGTGTCAGAGTCCGTTCATTGGGAGTTGCGGGTCGGCCATCAGCCTCGCGTTGATTCACAGGGACACGAATTTGGAACTCCGTGCCACGATCGGGCCCTGAGGTTGACGAGCGTTCACAGGTCAAATCGCCGCCCATCTTACGTGAGAGACCCTTGGCCACGAGAAGACCAAGACCCAACCCGTCTTTGCTCCTAGTTGTGGATGCGTCTTCGCGAGCAAACGCTTTAAACAGGTTTGGTAGGAATGCAGCTGGGATTCCGGGGCCAGTATCTCGGACAAGAATGAGGACGTCATTTCTCTTGGGGTCGATAGTAGCGCACACGGTGATGGTGCCATTGTTGGTAAATTTGATTGCGTTGAGGAAAACGCATGAAATCAGTTTGGCCAGGTCACGGTCATCGGCAAGAAGGGTGTCAGGGAGTGCTGGATCGACAGACCAGTCTACAACCTGCGTGAACAATTCGCCATTCGAGGAGCGGGACCGAATCTCAATCCTCTCGCCAAAATCGGTTGTATTGCTGACTGCAGATTCAGGTCGACCACCAACGTGAAGAGACTCATTGATCACCAAGCGGAGAAGATCCCGCAACTTGGTGAAGCGCAAAGCAGAGCCCCTCAAATTCACATTGATGCCCTCCAAAAGTAGGTGAGGCGCGGATCGTCGAACGGCGAGAGATGGGCGTGGATCGACCATGTTGGCCATGACAGCTTCAATCTGGCGAGCGGGGGTGGCATGAACGATCTGGTCACTCTCATGGACAGCATTCTTCACTTCTTCACTACGGGGCGACAGCTCTTGTCGAGATGATGCCGCACGGAGTCTCTGCTTCCGTGCCGGCCTTGGATTCATTTCGGGTGGCAGACTGCGTCGCCGTTTGTAGGGATTGACCGCGATATTGTTTCCTTCAATGAATATGCTCGGGCGGGTTTCGGGGATTTCGGGGATAGGAGGAATTGCGGGTTCGCCTAGGATTTGGGTTTCCTCTCGCTGTGGTGTTTTAGGGACCTGCATGTTGAGATCGTACGCATGGACGACATTGTCAGCTGCCTCAACAGCTCGTCTCGCACTATCTTGCACCATCTCAATTCCCTCTTTCAGGGCCTGAAATATGCCACCAGATTTGACGGGAGTCTTGCTCTCCATCGCCTCGCGTACCGTGGCATGCATAACATCAAGCATGCCTACCACACCCTGCATTGGGGTCCGTAATTCATGTGACAAACTTCGTGCGTAGGGTTTGAGGGGTTGGGAGTTGAAATGGGAGTGTTCGTGAATGCCGACATCGTGGGGGTGGGGGATCGAGGGATTTGTAGTGGGATTATGCGAGGTCTGGCCGTTTGCTAACACCTCGCCGGAGAGGAGTCGTTGCACAATGAGGTCTTCGAGCGAGTGAAGAATCATCTCCAGAAAAGACCAGGACAGACTTCGATTGCGAAGACCGTCTTTCGACCACATCAACCCGAGGTGCGCCAGGCACTTTCCAGCCGCGAATAGTGGAATTGCCAGATAGCCATCGGCGCCGAAGGGGAGTTGATCGTCGCCGAAGGATACCAAGGAGCTGAGGTTTTCAGGAATCAAACAAGGCCGTTCATGGTCCATGTGCAACAAGGGGTTCCCGCCTGCGAAATACCTGTTTCGCTGCAAACCAACTGTCTGGTAGCCATCGTTGTAGTAGAAAGCGGCACCAAACAGGGACGGGCGCCGCCCGCATAGTTCTGGCATGGGCTCACCTCCGTGCACCCTCCGTGCCACGAATCCATACTGGGCTTTTGCGATCGAGGTGACATCTTCCATGAGCCGTTTCCAGAACAGCTCGGTATCGGAGGTTCTCAACCCCTGTTTGAGGGTGACCAGATGTTCAATAGCAGCGGTCTGGGCACCGTCATTCCATGTTCCCTTGTCGAGTTGCACATCGTCGTCACGTACGTTCAGATCAGGGATGCACTCGGATTTGCAGGAGGGGAAGGCCATGGTGGGACGTTGCACAGGATTGGAGGCATCCGGCTCGGGCGTGTCGGGCATAGTCCATGTGGTAAAAGGGAATGAAGTTGGGGTTCTCCGTTGTCCTTTTCTTTGTTTTAACTGAGGACAACAACCATGGCTGGATGAATCAAAACAACATCCACCATATATCTCGAGAAGAGTGTCCAAGTGAAGGAGGGGAGAGGGGATTTTCCGTTAGTTCGATGGGGGCGGTCTAGACACGGGCGGCCTGAAACAGGCGATTTCTTTGAAGTACGAGTGGTTTACGATGGACTCCTGCCGGGTTGATCAATTTATTACTTCTAGAAAGCCTATAGATCTCGTTCTCGCCTTCTTTTTGATGTGTTTGTGTGTGTTTTTCTCGATCCCTGCGGAGATGCACGGGGTCGCGTTAGTAGGATCGGCGATCTAGACCAGAACAGGTCCGCCAGGTACTGGATACTTGTTATACTGAGGGTTACTCTGCCTCTACTAAGTACTCAGTACATGACAGGGGTGCTTGTCAACAATGCCTCTTAAGGATTATCGTGAGATCTTCAACGTCATTTGATGTGTGCCTTTTTCTTTGTTTCTTTGTCATTTCTTTCTTCAAGATCGAGGTATAGACATATCCCAATCCCAGTCAACAATGTCTGGGAACAAAGTTAGGGCAACGTCTCAAGATTGCGCGTTTATACTTGGCGTGACCGGATCTGGATATATTAACGACATCATGCCAGAATGCTGTCATTGAAGTGTATGGGAGACGGTCAATACCTACAGCTATTCAAAGTGAGATTAGTGAGATTGAAAGAGAAGATATAGGTTCTATCTCCACCCTCTCTACCACCTAGACACAAATTTTGCTGATGCAAGCCAGTATCGTGAAACCGAGGTAATATCTAAACAGATCGACTGATCATCGCTGCATGCAAACATTTGTACGACGTGACATAACTAAGTGGAACTGAAAACTAATGTTGAATATCTCTTCCAACTTGAACTTCATTCTTAACATACAATGTCTTCTGTAACTCCATACACGATCGCTGTCCCAGACGAGCAACTCCAGCGGCTCCACCAGAAGCTGGAACACGCATCATTCCCCGATGAGCTCGATGCCTCGGGCTGGGATATGGGTGTTCCCCTCAATGAAATCAAGAGACTTGTCACTGTCTGGCGTGACAGTTTTGACTGGCGTGCGCAAGAAACCAAATTGAACGAGCAATTCGAGCATGTCAATGTTAAAGTGGGAGTAGATGGGTTCGGGAAGCTTGATATACATGCCGTGCATCACCGCAGCGAGAACCCCAATGCGATTCCATTGCTGTTTATTCATGGATGTAGGAATCCTGGAAGCTATTGAAACTCCCCCTAACTCTGCGTTTACTGATTTGTTTGTACAATAGGGCCAGGAAGCTTCCTTGAAGCAACCAAGCTGATCCCGCTGCTCACTCAAGACAACGAGGATAGCCCAGTCTTCGACATTGTGGCACCCTCATTGCCCAATTTCGGTTTCTCACAGGGAGTCAACAAGGTACCAGACACTCCACATATAATTTCACCTATAATGACACTAACAGTACCCCAGAGAGGCTTCGGACTAGCCCAATACGCCGAAACCCTCCACAAAGTAATGACAACGCTAGGCTACGAAGAATACGGCAAGCCCGAACTCCTCACCCCCAACCAAATAATCAAGCTTCCAACTAATGCGAACTAGCAATCCAAGGTGGCGACTGGGGCAGCATGATAGCACGCAGCATAGCCCAATTCTACCCAGAACACACGCAAGCAATCCACCTAAACTTCATCCCCGTCATCCCACCTTACCCCTGGCGAAGTCCCTACCAATTCCTAAAATCACTCCTATCAGTCCCCTTCTCAGCGAGAGACCGCAACTTCATTGCCAAGTCAGTGGGGTATTTCACCCGCGAAAATGCGTACATGAAAGTGCAAGAGACCCGGCCCCAGACACTGGGGTATGGGCTTCATGACAGTCCTGTTGGCTTGCTCGCTTGGATTTATGATAAGATGCATTCCTGGTCGGATGGATATCCCTGGACTGATGAGGAGATTTTGACTTGGGTGAGTATTTATTACTTTTCTACTGCTGGGCCGATGGCGTCGACGAGGATATATTATGAGGCTTCGGCGCCGAAGCGGGATGATGAACAGACCGAGGGGGAAGGTGAGGATGATAAGCTGGAAAAGGTGGATTCGAGGTATATTTCACTTTGGCAGGTATTTGGGGCGAGGGCTCCGCAGAATGTGCGCTTTGCTGTGGCGCAGTTTGCAGAGGAACTAATTATGTTTCCTTTTGCTTGGTATCGGTCTATTGGAAATGTGGTTAGGGAGACGGAGTATGACCATGGTGGTCATTTCGCTGCCTGGGAGGTGCCAGAGTTGCTGGCGGCTGATTTGAAGGCATTCCTGGGTATGGATGGACCGGCCTACGGAGCTGTGGCGGGCAGGGATGGCTATTGAATGCTGAAATCGAGATTGACCTGGATATCATGTTAAAGATTCAAATGATGACGCAAAATGAAACACTGTCGTGACGTGACAACGGATTTTGAATTATCATGATAGGAGTAAGAGAAATATGGAGTCGAAGAACATATGCGCCCTTCGGCTCAGATATCAACCGCTCTCACGTCGCTGACGTGCTATCCCGTTCTTGATGACCGTACACGGCACATATCATCCAGTGAAGACCGTAGACGCCGGGATTTGCCCTCAAACCAACGGAAAGCCCAAAATAACCACTTCCCCAATTCTAATCCTGTCGTCCCTTCAATAGCCGCTGGGTAACCTTGTCCTTCTCTATGATATAAACCTGGGCACCCCAACCGGAGAGAGCATCTCGGTCGACGGCACTAAGCAGCGCTTGTGAGATTGTCTCGAAGAGGTCCTCAGGCTCCTAAAGGAACGGAGATCATATTAGCGCCGGGAAATTTAGATGAAGTAGCGATGATACGCACCAGATTGGGCTCCCAGAGACCCTCGCAAGTACCGAACAGCTGGTCACTTGCTGTTCCGCTGACAATGAAGTCCTTGGCGAAATCGATACAGCCAATGCTGTCAAATCCACAGATGAACGGCTTCCCCGTTGTAGGGTTGATACCAGCCAGGACGGGGCTGACGAAGAAAGGACCGAAACGCTTCTCGTAGAGCGATGAGCTCACTAGGTTGGCCAGAGTCTGGGGTGCGATATCGCGCTCCTCGCGCAGGCGGTACATGTTGACCTTGTAGCGGAAAAGATCGGAGACGGTGTTGACATCGGTGGCCAGGCCAGTCAGGCCGAGGTAAGTGGATGGGGCGTAGTTGAAGATCTTGGGGAAGTTATTGGAGATAGTCAGGGATTGCATGCCCAGACGGAGGTCGCAGGCAATGGCGACGCAGTCCTTGCCCACCATGGCGACACAGGCACCGCCATCTGAAGAACGGTTAGTATTCCATTTAATTTTCACGGAGTTCGGGGTTCCGGCATACTGATGTCGAAGGGGTTGGACTGATGGGAGAAGTCGGTCAGCCAGAGTCCAGAAGTTCAATGGGAGAAAGGGCGCCTATTACGCACCATTATTGCGGTATTTCAAAGCAATCCAGATAGACGGAGAGGTTCAGAGCTAATCAACAAAAAAGAAGAGCAGAAAATGGGGTTGAGAGGGGGGCGAGATGGGGGATGTGATGGGGGAGGTTGATGACGGGGAAGCTCTTGAGGTACGCGAGAGCTCGGATGACGCCCGCACCGCTGCCTGTTTCGTATGTGACCTTCGACTACTTTCTTCGCCCTCTATCTCCCCGCATTTCACTTTCACTTCTCACTTATTGTGTTTACTCTCGGTGTCTATTTCTTTCTCATCTTGAGCCTTACTCTTCCTCTTTTCTGCATTTAGCATCTTCATATACCATCACGATGAGCGCCCACGTCGTGGTGATCGACGCGACGGCCAGGCGGGCAACGATTAAGACGACACCCACCAAGCCCATGACCGATGTTCTGCAAGAAGCTTGCAAGAAGCTTGGATACAATGCTACCCAATACGGTTTGAAGTGAGTATATTCTTATTGCCTTCAAAAACGGCAGGCATTAACCTAGCCCTGCGGCGCATCAGGCACAATCGCAAACAACTAGACCTTTCCCTCTCCTTCCGCCTTACTGGCCTCAGCTCTGGAGCGAAGCTTGAGCTTGTACAGTTCTCTCGCTCGCCCTCCGTTGTTACCGTCGGCCTTCAACTCCCCGAATCCGAAGCTCGAGGTGCCCCGAATGGCCGCATACTTGACAAGTTCCCAAGCACGACCACACTTTGGCTAGTACTGCGCAAGTTTGAGGCTGGTGTTGCAGGAAGTGGCCCCGTACGGAATCTCACTTCGCGTGCAGTGCCCGCTACCGATGGCGGGGATGGTGCGGGACGTCTATACTATGAGATGCCAGTGCTTCAGATCTTGGAGCGTGAAGTATCAAGCTTTACAGATCTCCAGAAAACACTCGCCCAGCTTGGATTCAACAGTGGAAATGTGCTTATGCGACTAAGCTTCCGACGAACAGAAGAGCCGATTGAGAATGCGATGGTGCAGATCGGCGAGTTCTTTAAGTCGGAGGAGGAAGAGGCTCCTTCAACACAGGATAAAGCAGCTGCTCCCGCAGCGGCTTCCATGGCAAGCATAAGTGAGGAACATACTGAGCAGCCACCTAGCTCTTTGCAGTCTGAGACCTCCAGCGCACCCACTCCATCTGGGCCGGAAGCCAACCCTACAGCTACCTCCGAAGCAGCTATCTCAACAACTGACTCGTCTGGCCGAACTGTCACCGTCTACTCTCCCCCCTCGGACAACACACCCTCCTCGGCGCAAATAGCCTACAACGAGAATGATTACATACCCTCTATCGAGCACGCCAAACTGCACCAGCGATTACTCAATCAATCCTCGCGCAACCAACGCTTACCAACGGACGCCGAGGTTGCCGCCAAAGCAGAAGCAGAAGAGGCAAGGCGAGCAGCAATCCGCGATGTTGATGTGAAGGTCCGCTTCCCCGACCAGAGCCAAGTAGTCGCCAAGTTCGGACCGGAGGATACAGGATACTCGCTGTATGAATTTGTGCGCGGGTGTCTTGCTCCATCATTCGCCGGCGAAAAGTTCCACCTCACAGTCCACACCATCTCTCGATCTCACAATGCAACAACTATCCCCGATTCAGATAAGACACAACTGATCAAGGGTCTCGGCCTGGCTGGCCGTGTATTGGTCAACTTCTCTTGGGCTGATAGTGTTGCTCAATCTGTCCACGAGCGCCGTGCAGAGGTGCTCCGCCCTGAGCTCCGAAGCCAGGCCCAGCAGCTGAAGGTGGAGCAACTACCAGAGCCCAAGGAAGAAGAGGAGCCATCAGCTCCCTCGCAAGCCGGCCCGAGTACCACAGATGATAAGCCCAGCGGGCTACGGAAGGGTGGTGGTATTCCCAAGTGGTTGAAGTTACCCGGGAAGAAATAAAGGACATACTGGATTTCATTTGCTTCATAGAAGCGAGATGTGCTACGCTTTGTTGATGATGATGACTGGGATATATAGAGCGTCTTTTCAGAATCCAGGAATATTGAGACTAGCAAATAAATTCATAACGCCTCGAAGTTCATATAAACAAGCAGGTGGATCTACACCATCATATAGACAGTCGCCTGTATCAGAAATGCTATTTTTCAGGCATCTAACATCGCTCATTGGTCTACGGTACCCGTCACCTCTTCTAAGCCGAATCCTTTCATAAGATCAAAAAGTATGGTATCATAAAATGTTTGAAAATTTGTTTTCATTATGGTTTCACTTCCATACAACTAAGAAGGAATACCATGTTTGCCACCCCTTTCATGCACAACCAATAGTCAAAACCCCATCATTTCGATCCGCAAGCCGCTTTTTTTTTGCGTCGAGTCGTTATAACGAAAGAAAAACAGAAACGGGTCGAGCGATTTAGTGAGCAGTCTGGGTGCGACGGGCCTCAGCGATGACCTTCTGCATAGCCTCAACCTTAGCCTTGCCACGGCCGAAAGTACCGAGCTTAAAAAAAAAATGTTAGCATGGTGTTTTGTAGTTTTGGTGGCGACTTGTCTGGGATCAGTTTGGGTGTTTGGATAGTCTTATAAGACGTTTCAGCGACCGAGACAGAATGATAGTAGCATGGAGTGTTCAAACGGCCAAGATTGTATCCGTTCGCAGAATTGACTCTCACGATCCATGCTGTACCATCCTGACCCAAATACCTCAGTTCAAACAAGACAAATCACATCCACCACACGTGAAGCCGCAGACAAGATTTGCACTGGGATTCAGAAAGACATACGCGCTTCTTAGCGAGCTTGCGGGCACGCTTGTCCTGGGCGTTGCGCAGGAGTTCGATGATGCGGCGCTCGTAGGGAGCAAGGCCAACAACCTCGGCAGCGATCTCGCGGACGAAAGCGGTGCGGCGAGAAGACTTGCCAACGGAGCGGCTGATGCGGGTCTTGGGGGTGTTCAAGGCGGTGGTTTTCTGTTGGGTATGAAGTCAGTATTATTATTTCACAAAAAAATGTATTGCAACAGCAGCCTCAGGTCCAGATCTCTTGTTCGTATTTCGTGCCTGTCGGTCATTGAGGCGTCGTCGAAAGTCAGGGGTATGTTTGCGGCGAGGTCGTGTGATTGTTGTGTTGAATTGGAGTTCCAGAAAAATTTCCGTCAAATCTTCGATTTTTCTCCAGCTAGCCTGGCTTGTTTTCCGATCCATTGGTTGTTCATATATTCCCTTGCGTGGTGATTCCCAGTGTTCTCGTGATATACCCTGACCCGACTGGCTTCGAAGACTGACAGACCGATTGAAAAGAGATTTGGAGACCTTCAGATGACCCGGCAATATGGGGGAAAGAGATGGGTTTAACGTACGCGACCGCTGTTGAGGCCGACCACAATTCCGGAGCGTTCTTGCACCATCTCGACGGTTGTTGACTGAAGGGTTTGGCGGGGGTTGTCGAAGAAGAGGTGAGGAAGCCGTGTGAAAATCACCTGGTCTTTTGCCTGGAACCGCAAAATGGGGTCTTGGCGCTGGTTGGTGCGGTAGGCGAGTGGTTAGGGCTAGGGCTGTGAGCTAATTTGGACTAGCGTGATTCTGACAACTCAGGCAGAATATTTTCTGGCTGTCTTGACTTTGTCACGTGATATCACTTACCCTTCGTATTAAACTGGCAGACTCTTTGTTTGCTGACAAGCATTTGGCGGTTACTCAATATTTGAAAGTTCTTCATTTGAATGTACTCCACTATGTTTGTCATGGACACATAAGTCACATTTACATCGTTTGATATGCAGTATCAGAGCTTGGCTGTCATCACTCCATCAAGTGCCTCTTCCCAGCTTTCCCTCAGCTCTCCACAGAACACTTCAAGTGCAGATGCGTCCATCATTCTGTCGAGAACATTCTGAAGGGGCTTCTCGTATTCATCATCTGCATCACCCTGCATGACAAGGTCAATCACTGTGCTAAGGGTGGCCGATTCAGAAAGGCCCCGTTTCAGAGCCCGGGTGTTTGAACGGACATCCTCAAAGACATCACAGACAAGAGCAGTCACCCGTTTCAACTGTTCAGCTGGAAGCTTAGCAGTCTTCACGGTCTTCTTCGAATCTAGGTCAAAAATGTTCGACAAAGCCTTGAGGATCTCCACGAGAGACCAGATGGCGTGGAAGTATCTCCAAGTTGGGGCAGCAGGGGTTCCGTTAAATGAAATAGTCGTGCTCTCGATAATAGGAGACTTCTTGTCGTCTTGAAGAGTCAGGTACTGCTTCTTATCATTCAACCAGGCCTCTACCTGGCCAAGCACCTTGGCAATTTGGTCTGAAGTATGGGCCTTAGATCCGGCCATAAAATTAGCAACCTTGAGCAATTCGGTGTTGATTTTTCCTACGTCCAATTCCGTGGACGTTAGGTCATTATCAGGTTCGGATAGCTTCAGGTCGCTAATATCAGGCAGCGCTTCGTCTGTGGGGTTCGGCTTTTGCATAGCGATACTCTTGAGGACACCGAATAGTTGATCAGTGACTCGGGCAGAGGCCAGCCAGTTTAACTATATTGGTATTAGTTGTCATCACTACTAAGTAGTCAAATCAACATACCTTAGGAATCGGGCCTGCGCGCAGTCGCGTCTCGAATGTCGGTTGGCTATGGTTTTCCAGGTTCATAAACGCATCGTACGACCGTTGGTCGTGAACCGGTGAAGTAGACTGGGCTATAAGGTAATTAGTGATCAGTTGCTTCAGATGGGTGGCGAGTAGACGGAGACTTACCAATCTCCTCATGGAAGCTCAAGTGTTCTCCCTTTCTCAGTCTTTGCACTCGTCGGGTTTCCAAAGCCATGATTCTCCGGCAAACACTGTCGTTGAGGCGGTTCCGCAGCTCAATTGTTTCCTCGAGGTTGACATAGGAGCCTTCGCGAAGTCCATTCATGAGGGATCGTGATACGGTGAGGTTTGCAGAGCGGTAAAAGTCCAGGCCCTGAACAAATGCAGCTTGTGGATCAAAGTCTTTATACTCAGCACCTTCATACGGAGGCGCCGAGTAAGGGTGGATGCTGCCCAGTCGAGTGAAGAGGATATGTCCAACAGTCTCATACTGCACGTGCTTGACCGATAGCTTACTGAACGTTTTCAAAGCGAGCGAGCCAGCGCCGAGAAGGATGTAGATCCGAATCAAACTCAAGAGCGCCTCATAATTATGAGGTGAATCAACGAGCAGGCGCTCCAGAATGCCTGCGGCACGGATCAAAGATTTGTCACCGACTTCGCCAGTGGTCTTGTTGGGCCGAAGAAGAGCCATGGCGGCAATAAGGCAGAAGTCATCTGTGGGTCGACTTTCCATGACGGAAGCTTCTTGGTTGTCCTTCTTAATCTGGGTCTTTGCAAGAAGGGTAAAGTTCTCATAAAAGTCAAGACAATTGCGGACAAGGTTCTCAATGGTGGACTTTGATGCGTCTTTGCCAGACAGTCGTGCAAAGTACTGCATCTTGTATGCATTGATCAGTGGAATCACATCATCCTTGGTAAATAGTTAGCTCGTATACATAGAATGCAAGATATTCTTTACTGACAGCTTTGCCTTCAACACTGTCCATGCAATATTCACAGACTTGGCGGATCAAGCTATCTTCGCGATTCTCCAGGATACCTCGGAAGTCACCGAAAAGATAGAGTTTGTGCTTGTGCTGGATCCAGTATTTTTGGCATGCAGAAATCAAATCATCTGATGTGTTTTGGTCACGTCCGATGCCAACCAGAGTCAAATCCATTCGAGCAAGATGCGCGTTTCGAGATTTGGGGCTGAATTCAATGAACTTTTCAATAAGCTCTTGTGTTTCCGCGAGCAGACTAGAAAAATCGTATAAGTCTTGTTTGTTTTTCTGAGTTATTGATCAACTTACCCTGGACTTGTTTCTAAATGGCGAGTGCTGACAATGAGCATGTTCCAGAATTTCCACTCATCACGCTCTTTGAGGGCTTTGCGCCCTTCTTCATCTTCTGGCACAGTCAGAAGGTCTTTTGCACATGCAAGTCCCTCTTCCCAGCGCTCAGTATTTCCCAGGCTGTTCAATTTGCTTGACAGGAATACCCGGTCATTATTAACAATCCGAGAGCTGAGACCAGTGCTCTCGCTGTCGAGAATTTTTATGATCTCATCATGCTTATCTTGCTTTTCGAAGATTTTGATGAGCAGCAAAAGTTCCTCGGCATTTTGAATAGCTCTAGGGGGGCTCATTAGCTCGGTCTGTAGGAAATCATTTTCATGTCCGGTCAGTCACTGGTCAACATTGAGGCCAAACGCCAAGTCCTTTTGCCCGGAGTTTCTACGGCAGGGACCACATACCGGGTTGGTGGGAACGTCGGCTGCCGCCTTCGAAATCATGCGATATGCCAAAGTTCCAAAAAGCTTACGATCCATGTCCGAGGAGGCCGAGTCAATTGAAACAATGTGACAGAAGAAAATGGCCCAGAAATAGTACTTTCGATCGCGGGAGAAGTTCTTTTGGAGACTCATGGCAGCCTGCTTGTGTCAGCTGGCCGTCGAGATGGGGGTGTTTGTGTACCATAGTACCTTTTGTGCAGACTTCCAATCACGGCTGTCAAATCCGTCCGTAAACCATCTCATCTGAAGCTCATGGTCCTGCGGCTTTGCCTTGGCTGCTCTCTCCCATAATGCGCTCCGAAGGTCGGTCTGGTCATCCATCTTTTCGAGGGTTCGGCGAAGTGTGTCCAGGGTATCCAGATCGGTGACTGGTGGCTCGGATTTGCACAGCTCAAGGGTCTCCGCAACGCCTCGCTTCTTGTGAGCTTCATCTGTGTGGTTGAAGAGGACATTTGCCTTCCAGGCCTATTCCGTCAAGTTCATGTGTTAGTGGGACCAGCAAGTTTGGCCACGAGGTAGCATTCGGGAGCTGGTGAGGGTCGCCTTACCTTGAGGAAAGGTGTATTCTCGCCTTTCTTCATGCGTTTCTCGATCAGCTGCAAAGCTTGCTTCATGTTTTGGCTGTCAATGGCATCTTGAATCTGGTTGTTGCGGCGCAGGAAGACCGCATCACTACCGGAGCTCATGGTGAAGATTTAGCTCAACTTGAGCTTCAAACTCGATTCCAAGTAGTTCAAACTAATTTTTGTCTGCCGCGCCAGGCACAGCATGCGCCGAAAAGTTTTCGAGGAGCTGGTTTGCAGTAGAGACTAGATTGAATGCCGCATTTTTATTTGGCGGGGAAAGATATCAAATGGAAGGCGGTATGTACCTCCCCGCACCATACTGCCGGCAGTAAATCAACACCCTGGTGACGTACATTGTCAACTTGAACGAACTATACTTGCCCGGCGCAAGCATAATTGATAATCGCAATTGTAAAGAGGCAAATTATATGCATTTGGCTTGGTGTCAAAGGTATGAATTGAGTACCCTTGGAAAAAAAAAAAAAAAAAAAAAAAACAAAATATGTGTCTTGGGATCATGTATATATATGTATGTAAAAAGTAGTCGACGAGGCTTCGCATAGCATGAGAGCGCATTTTAGGAGCGAAAAGACCATGTCACTTCAACACAATAGTAATACTACAAGGCCACCAAAGATGCTAATATACAAACTTAAATCAAAGTGCTAAGACGCCAAGAATTACATACTGCAGTACAAATTGTAGCAAAGCAAACTTCGAAACAGAAGACCCATTCATCTTGCAGATTGTCAACTGAAGATTGATTGCCTGTCGGAAGATCCCAATTCCTGGCAGCGTTCCAGTTTTGTTTAAATGAAGGCTAAGAGGCCTTCTTCTGGGTTAACTGTTTTGCCACTGTTAGCAATTGAACATACAACATGTTTAGCCAAGGCCAACAGAAACCGCGGACTGCGAATACTACACAAGACAGGAGACTAGGACGATAACCAAGGAGCTATTTACTTGACTTACCCAGTTCTTCTTGCAATCACGGTATGCCCTAACAATGAAAATGGTCAGTGAAAACCCTAGGAGCTGGGTTGAACGACAGCCATAGAGCACGAATTGTCCATGGGTAGGTCAGGCATCGGAAGCTGACCCAAGCAATATGTATGGGTGATTATGGTTGATAAGGGGCCATGAACTTACTGGAAGTAATCATGGCACATCTCCCGATCAAAGCCATTACGCTTCATGCATTTGAGACTTCGATCCGCGAAGTCCTGGCATGGATCATAATATTGGCTGGCATGTTTGCTATGGCATGTTAGCTATCGGTTGTGTGAATGTGTACATATGATCTCGACTGATATGCAGCCCGATGTTCCGTGCATAATCCATGGAGAGGCTCCCCACAAACCTCGATTCCACGGATAACCATGGAAACACGACTATATCTCGCGAGAATCAAAAGCCAGTGGATCAAGACAGTAAAGTAATATCAAAACATACTTTGCAAACTTCTTCTCGGCCTTCTTCCACGCCTTGTCATGCGCGTCTCCTTGTGTGGAGTCGGCCATGAGTACACCGTGTTGGTATGTTCTTTGCGTTGGTAGTAGATGATCAAGGTGGTAGACCCAGATCAAGGCCAAAGACCGAAATGTTGGTTGGAAATTGGGGTGGAGGTTAGTTGATTGGAGAAGTTGGCGCTGGGCGTAAGAAGAGTTGGGGATCCGCGGTCTTGGCGCGGAGATCCGTAATGGGGTTTGCGACCACTTCATGCATCGGGATTCTTATCTTCCCCTAGGAGAGTCATTTTGTACAATGTCCATACTAATAGTAATTGTAGGTAGTTCATATTTAATTTTAAAACTATGGGGCAAAAAATGGTGTATCAGAAATCATCCGAAAATGCAGAGCCAGTGTCATGAGGACTTTATCTGCAGTAGTAGGCATCAGTGCAGTTTGCACGAATCAGGTAACTACTGATGTAGGTGCTCGGATTGATAGGCTAAGTTGGAATTTCAAGCTGATAATAAGCATGGGCAGCATGTTTGAAACACCACGGAGACGAAGTATAAACAATGCAGGGACATCAAGACGAGAACACGAATGTTAATGGACTATAAGAGCTTAGGATATAGCAAATTGAGAGCCATGAAAGGGCTTTGTGAGAATTGGGCTCGTCTACTTTTGCGTGAGTAGCGAGGTACAGTAAGCAGACAGAGCTGATTTGCAGAATTTTGACAGCCATATCGTAATTCTTACGGCGAGGGCTACCTATTCATGCGTAAATGCATGCTTCCCCGAGTGTACAGAAAGGGTTGGCGACAAGACTGCCCACAGGAATGGAAATGGTGAGGCTGTGAAGGCGCCAACAGCATCTACAACATTAAAGACTTGAAATATGTATAGAGATCAGCCATGTTCCAGTAGGGTTGATGCATAAAATACCAAAATTGTCAGCTACAAAGAACAAAAATGCCCTCGCAGCTGTTCGGTATATCTCAGCTCTCCGTGGCTTGTATCGTCAATTTGCCGAGTATCACTTCGAGGTCTTTCAGAACTGGTTTCGCGACGGAATACCGATTTATGTGGGACCAGAAGTGAACCAGGCGTTGGTTGGATATGATATGCCTCGAAGATGTATCCGTGAGTAGAATGATTCCCTGAAACACATGGACACGGAAGACTGTTGATGATAATATCAAAAAGATGTCTTCGACGAAAGCCGTCTTCTCGTCGCCCATAAAAGAAGCCTGTCATTCTGTAAGCCAAAGAATAAGCCGTTTAAATGCGTCCTCAGGCTAATTTTGCGATTGAAATGCTACCTGTTGGCTTGTAAACGTAAAGAAACGGAGGCCAAGTGGAACCGATAGTATCGTAGGCTATATTTCGGCATTGACACACAAAGAGCATGCACGAAGAACACCGAGATTCGCCCCTTTTTCGAGGAGTCAACAATAAGTAACGCAAAGTGATGTGACTCGTCAAACGAGTTTGTTTGCCAAAGCTTTCCTGATTATGTGATATATGCCTGAGGCCACCAACAAAAGTGTCCTACCCTGGCTTCCTCACTTCTGGATCCAAATCACATTGCCTTATTTGCTCTTCTCTCTCTCTCTTCGTTCGAAGCTTAGATCTGATTTTTCGCGCGATCTCCATATCTCCTCAGCCTCTGCGCAAGCTTCTTGACCTGCTTTGTCAAACGAAACCTTTTCCTTCCCGACCCCACCGCATCGTGTCGGCAATCGTGCAGTCACTCCACCGACACGCCGAACGCGCCAGGTGGATGATCAAGCTGCTCTTGCAGTGAAACAAGCACTTGATAAGCCACCGAAGGACAACATGGCAGCCGAATGCTGCTCTGCGGGCGAAACATCCGGAGTAAGTCGAGTGTTGGAATTATACATCGTGACCGAGACTGACGCGCGCTTTTAGCTGGCCAATACTCTCCAAAGCCATGTGGACGACATTCGAACCTTAATTCAATGCGGAATTTGTATTCGACCACTCTATGAGCCTTTTACTCTCGCGTGTGGGCACACGTTTTGCTATTCAGTGAGTTCCTTTGCCCTGATTTGGTTCTCGTTTCGCAATCTAACTCAGATCTCTACAGTGTCTATCGTCATGGTTCGCAGGAGGAAGATCAAAGCGAACATGTCCCGATTGTCGAGCACCCGTCAAATCGCAACCGGCACCAGCGTATCTGGTAACTACAACACAAACCTTTATCTGGCTCATTACATCTAACAATCTGGTGTTTGACAGGTCCGGGCGGTCGTGCAGATGTTCACAGCTCGCGCCGAGCTTCTAGACAAAGGTGAAACGACCATGGAGCATATAAAACACCGACAAGAAGAAGCCGGAAGACTTGAGGAAGACAAGGCGAATAACCATCCAACGCAAGGTGGTCTATTCGGTGGACTTTTCAAACCCAAAGTTCCCCCTCTCAAGCCCGTCATCGACATTGACGATGGGGTTATGCGATGTCCGCATTGTTCATGGGAACTCGAGGAAGGAGAGCAATGTGCTAATTGTGGCTATCGATATCGCCCCGGGTCCGAAACAGACGGGACAGAATCAAGCGATGAAAATGACAGTGGTAGCGACGATGATTCAGATGGCATGGATGACGATGACTCCGAGGACTCCGAGGACGATTCTGAAGATATTGAAGATGCTGCGAATCGCGTGTGGGGATCGGTTACAATCTCTTCCAATGGTGTCGAACTTGGATCGCACCCTTTGCGAGGAGCCTTTCCGAGCGAGTTCCGCACGGCAGGTGAATTTGCCTATCCTATTCCAGAATACAGTGTACCTTATGATCCGAACGCGTTTGATTACGAAGAGGACGAGGACGAGGATGAGAATGAGTACGATCACGAAGACTCTTTCATCAATGATGGAACACAGATCACAAGTGGCGACTACGAATCGGACTCGGGTCATTCTACCGTTGTAACTAGTTCTCAGCGCAATGAACGTCCCATTCTATTCAACCATCACACAGATGGTGAAGATGACTCCGAATCCTCTTCAGGGGAAGAGGAAGACTCGAACTCAGACTCAGACGACTCAGAATTATCCGACGAAGATGATATCCGGGCTGTGCCTGCTCGACAGGCGTTTGGCAACACACGTCAGTCTACTTGGTTGATTCCCACCTCTCCATGGATGCATAGGAGGCAAGACGCTCCTACACCCTCTGCCGAGACCATTGACTCAGGCTCGGGATCTGAGGAAGAAGAGGAAGAGACATCTGATAGGTCAGAACCTCCGAGCTCATCGCCTCCTCCAGCACCCAGCCGACCTAACACGGTTCGCGGGCTTTCCGCTCGCAATGCGATTACCCTTGATGATTCCGATGACGAACAACCCATTGGCCCAGTGAGAAGAAATACCCACAGACGGCGTAACAGATACTCCCCATACTAAAACTCATATTTCGAAACAACATCTACCATCTCCCTATACAGCCTACTTCTTGTTCTTTGGCACGGCGTTTGGGAAAAGGTAGAAAGCATGCTTGGCGCTTTGTTTGCATTTTCTTATCCTTTGATATCCAAAAACGGACTGTTCATCTTTGATGGTTTCGGCGACCAGTGTTAGATCTTTTCTGTCCCCCTTTTTCACCCCAACCCTCGGTTCTATCATCTGTCACCCTTGTACTTATGCCCTTGTTGCTTCTTTCTCGGCTTGAATGATCCTCTGTTGGTTCTTACCACCAAGAACACACACCAAAACTCAATCATTGATACACAACTGTTGAACCCCCAAGGATGTTATTTCATAATATCAAATCCAAACATTACTTACAGCATCTCTTTTAACGTGAGATATTAGCTTAGCTTGTCATGAGGTTTAATTAAAGTAATCTTAGCTACCATCCCTAACTAAATCTGTCTGTATTATAACAACACTACAAGATGCTTGGAGCGCCCTTCGGGCGCCCTAGAAGGCAAAGCTTTTGTAGGTGAGTCTAGTCAGGATAATTAGCCAGTTTACTACACCACAACGCTAGGTGACGGTAAATTGGGCGCCGAAAACGGCTAGTTTTGACGCCATTTTAAGCGTCACGGGATGCTTCCACGTCTATTCTCGAACACAACACACGATGACTTCTTCAGATATGGCTACGATGCAACTGCCAAAGAGATCTATTATCACCCGCCATTGTATGACGATTTCTTTGGTGAAGAAGACACGACAATCACCTGCGAGATAGATCTTTGCGAATATGATGGTGCGTCGTGCCACGAAGGCGGGGACGAGGCCGACGGCGCACTTGCCCGCCGCGAGGTCCAATGGTATCAAGAGGTTTGTCAATGTCTGCGACCCCCGAAGTCTCTATTGTAACTAACGTCACTGCCTATATCAGCGGGATGTACTCCATCATCTTCAAAAATGTGCCAAGGAGAAAGAACTGAAATTCAAATGCACAGATTTGGCCGGGGCGACGCGAGTCTTTGTCTATAAAAGATTTGCTTATCCAGGATCAGGCCAATGGTTACCCAAGGGGAACGAGGATCCAGATCCCAGAAAACACACTGCGCTCAGTCAAGCCGTGGTCAACAAAGACAAAGCTGATTGTAAAAACACTCAAATTGAGGAGCGAGAAGCGGCAACTACAGAACTCAAACCTGGCACAGATGGCTCGGATCCTGAAATCAACAGTACGTGCTCATTGGGTTACAAGAACATGACTAACAAGCTATAGCCGACCATGTGATTGCAGTAAAGGAAATTGGTCAATTTTTGCAATGGGCTATACAGAGGGGATGTGCTATTGATTGCAACTTCCTTGTGGAGTTTTTCAATCAAGATGTCATCCCGCACGATGCGGCCAAGACTCCTGGCCACAGCGAAGTCTTGCGAAAGCCTATTGATCGGATCATGGAGCAACTTGGCTCTGATTCCAACGTGGATCTTTACCGACTAACGTATCGAATCTTGAACAAGCTGAAAGGCGATGTAGGTGTCTGGTTCCACTTCACAGCATCGAAAATCTTGCTAACTACCGTCCACTAGCTTTGGGACAGTGCAGAGGGTGTAGCAACCGGCATGTATAGCAACACGCGTTGGAAGACCTTGCGTAAGGATGATGATCCTGGAAAGGCTTTGACACTGCTACGAGACGTAAGTCTCACTACTCATAATGCTCTAGTTCTTCGTGTTATTGTGAGAAACTGTCAACGCTGACTCACTACAGACATTTGCCGTCTTCAATGATCAAAATGCGGAAAACACCTTGAAAAGATTCAATGTGATCTACGAAGGCATTCACAAGGAGTTAGACCTGGCTGCTGTGGCATGGTTCGAAAAATCTCATAAGGAGGTTGACCTGGGATCAAGATGGGTGAGATCTATAGCAATGGGTATGAAGCAGAGGTTGTAGCATTCCCGACTTGAATATTGGGATACAAATTTTTAAGTGACATACACCCTAATGCTATTTACCCCTTTCTTGATTGATACGCATCACTGGCGTTCAATGTATTCACGCTCAGTGATACTTGTTGTTCTTTCCACTTCCTGATCCGGAGAAAACAGAAACATATCCTTGGGTTGACTTCTCGCTGACGGGCCGTCTGTAAAAATGATATCCAAAGGTGATTCCATGCCCCAATCATCCCAAACCACATCTCTGTCCTCAATATATTGGCAACTATCCGCGAATTTGAACAGACAATCTAGATGAACACGGACCATGCCACGGTAGTAATTTTCATTATCAGATTCTGCTTCATCTTTAGAATCTGAGTAGATAAAAGTAGCGTCCACGACATTGACATAGCCGACCATTGCGCCGGGCTCATATATAACGAACGGCGACCCTAGCTCCCATTGAGCAATGTCTGGGACTCGAGGCTCCGCGCTAGCCAGGATCGACCTCACACAGCGATCATCCAACACTAGAGGGTAATGAAATCGAGGACAGGCACCACTAGCATAGAGACCTCGGGTTTCAAGCCACGCTCGATGCCGACTTCGAACCACGGCTTCTGACGCCCCTTCTAAGGCGGGATCTTCAAAGATCACATTTCGATAGCCTTCTCGGACAAGTTCAATAAGCGTACACCCTAGCCAGGTCCATTCCCCCTCTTTATCTGCCAGACCAGCCAGACAGGCCTGGTCGAGCGTTTCAATGGCTCGTGCCCAGTCCTCCTCAGATATGGTAGCATAAGCAGTGCGATAGATGGTCCAGCCCCATGGCCAGCCATGAAACTCACGAAGGCATTGACACTTGAGAAATTCCGGGGCGGACTTCCACTCTGGCTTTGCTTCTTGTCGGGCTGTTCGCTGGCTGAGGGTTTCTTCGGGCAGAAATTCGGATGACGACGACCGCCATGGTGTAGACCATGATTCGTGATGAAAGGTACTGGGTTGACGTGGATGAGTCATGGTTCTCACAGTGCCTTTGCAAGTAGGTGTCCTTGGATGAGAATCTCTCGGGGCCTTGGATGTCCTTTTGTGTCTCGCTTAGCGCGTGGGCGCCCATGACCCCCCTGACCCAAATGTAGGAGCACCAGGAATTGGGACTAATGCAGCAATCAGGCTATATCTTGCGATATTTTAGTTGATCTACCAACGTGATGGGCATTTCGTTCATCTACTATTCAACAATGCGACCATTAAACAAGTTGGCATCCCCACGCGAATACTGCATGAAACCGGATGAAAGTCCACGGGTACTAGGTACAGGTCATAGCTTAGTCATTGGTCTATCCTTTAAATGCCTCTTGTGGTACCGTTATACCTTATTTCAGGTGGGGAAGAGGAAGCGGAGGAAGCAGTGGAAAGAGTAGGGGCAGAAGAGGAAATGGAAACGACAGGCTAGGGAGGGGTACACAAGGTACAAGGGCTAAGATATCATAGCAACCTCTATAGCTCTCGAATAACATTTCGGGGTCGGAAATGTTCCCTAGATCGATGTTTGGGTAACATCCAGGCTTTTATTTTCCTTATTGGCGTAGTACAGTCCCCCTTTTGGGAGCAGCTGTAACCTCTATTCTCAGTCCAAGTCTTTTGTCTCTATCTATGCAACATGACATCGTGAAGTTATTATGTCCATCCATTATATAACTCCGCAAACAGAGCACGCTCTACACGAGGCATTCGAAACCTCTCACTTAGGATGATCTCAACGTCCTCGACCTAGAGCTAACACTTCAAGATGCTATCTTTCCTTGATCAGAGTCAAATCAACTGATGTCATCATCACCACTAGGTCGTATCACATATATCAGTCTACTGAAATTTCCATGGAGGTGCATGAAATTCTTAACTTTGCCTGCAATACAAGTGCCAAGGTACATACCGACACATTAAGAGAAGGGTAAAGATCATAAGATAATTGTTCATAGCATTGTATATCATCGCCCACGAAAAGGGAAAGGGTAAAGGTAGTAATAAGAAAAGCAAGGAGAGAAGAGAAAAATCTATTAATGATCTCGTGAACCGAAGCCGAGTTAGTATCAAACAGAAAACCGCCAAGATTGATCACCCGTTACCAAGTGCTAAACCGAAAAACAATTTAAGAGAAGGAGGGAAGGAGGTCAATAAAAGGGATAATGATTTGATCGCACACTATATGTGGACGGGAGGAATGATAGGAATAGAAGAAAAAGGGTATAAGACAGAATAGCAGGAGAGGTGGGGGAAGTATCGGAAGGGAGGTACTCTAAGCACTCTGCTGGAAGAGAGCAATGGTCGAGCAGTAGTTGCTCTGGTTTGGCTTGTTGGGCACCATGCTCATACCCTGAGATGAAGTGACCATGTTGACGGCCGCCTTGGTGCTGAGACCGTACAGGTGGGTATCCGAACAGTTGACTTCGACCATGTTCTCCTAGCAGTCCTCGGAGTTGAGGCAGGACTAGGCGTAGTTCTCAAAGAAACTGTAGAGACTAGCGCCGTAGACGAAGCCATCCGAGGAACCTAGAACACGCAGGCCCTAGGACTTGCGGCAAGAGCTGGTCTTGCAGTTCGAGAAGTCGGGGTCGTTCTAGGAGTCCTGGGGAGTGTAGGGGGTTAGGGAGGTAGTGTTGGACTGGTAATAGGGCGTCTTAGATTGAATGAGACCTATAAAGACGTGCTTGGCGCTAGACACCTAGTAGTTGTACAGCTAGTGGTGCTCGGAGGAAGTACCCCATAGCCAGACGGGGCTCTAGGCCTAGACCTTGACATTTCCCATGGGACTGTAAACAATGCAAACATCAGCTATCTCGTGACTTATATGAATTAAGCATTTCTTGGCGATTCCAAACGATATTTCATTTACAATAGCTTTTTCTAAACATTAGATGATTTTAGACTAAGTAATATTTATATTCTTATATATATACAAAATCTTTATCCTCTCGCCTTAGCCGCTTCTAATCTCGAAGTGTGATAAAATAGGATTAAGGTGACGAATGTTCACATTAGATGATACTAAAGATATACTAAATAATCACAAAACTATGGTCGGAATATATCAAAAGTAGTAAATACTTAGTGGGTTTGATACTCGCTGAAACACCTATAAATTACCGTATTTCATCATGATAACTCAGCGATTTATCTATTATTCTTATAAAAATAATGTATAGATGGGAAATTCTTTTAGTCCTATAGGAGTGGGTCCACGGGACTAGACCTCCATAGGAATTCCTATAGGACTAAGTCCTACGGACATGGGACTAGATTTTCGCATTTGAAAGAACGGAGAGATAGGATAAGATTGAATGGGCCGATCAGCCTGAGCATTGGGGTGAGCGATCAGGTTGCTCTGGGAGTCGATCACTTCCCGAGGCGGCAGTTTTACTGTCACCTAGATTACTCTTACACTATCTGTATAGTTTCTAACATAACAGAAGTAATGATTTTGTACACCGTGACACCATTAGAATATTAAATATTCCTAACCGAAACTAGCTTTATAGATTGATCGCCTTATTATAGCCTCTCGTTTCCGCCTTCGTTTTGCTCACATTCAAGTGCCTTGATTTATAGTTCCTAGAATCAACTATCCCATCAGCCGAATGAGGGAGGCCAGGGCTTGGCTGGAAAATGGTACGGGATGTTTTTACATACATGAATTTACCAGAACTAGACTCATCTTGTACAACAGGAGATGCGAAAGAACCTATTACTATTGTTATATGCTTGTTCACAAATCCAAGACACAGCCTTCCTCTTCTATATCACCACCAAGCTGCTTTTGCCACAAATTATGGTATTTTCCGCCCATGTCTAGCAGTTCCTGATGAGTCCCCCTCTCGACTATACTTCCCTCATCTAGCACCAGAATCTGATTCGCTCTAATAACAGTGGACAGACGATGAGCAATAACAAAGGTCGTCCGCTTGGCACACAGTCTCCTCAAGGCACTTTGAATCTGAGTCTCAGTTTCAGTGTCAACAGCACTGGTTGCCTCATCTAAAATCAGGATTGGCGGATCTTTTAGAAAGATACGCGCAATTGCCAATCGCTGAATTTCACCACCTGAGAGTTTGACCCCTTGCTCGCCAACCTTCGTATTGTAACCATCTGCAAATGTCAAGATTTTGTCGTGGATAGCGGCCGCGCGACAGGCATCGTAGATCTCTTCATCAGAGGCTGAGGTCTTTGCATATCTCAGATTCTCAAGAATTGACGCATTGAACAGAAGGGGATCTTGGGGAACCAAGCCTAGAGTGCCTCGCAGAGACCCTTGAGTGACATCGCGGATATCTTGGTCGTCGATTTTGATACACCCGGAAGTGACGTCGTAGAATCGGAACAGCAGTTTCATGAGCGACGACTTGCCAGACCCGGTGGTACCAACCAGTGCAACCGTTTCTCCGGGGGCAGCGGAGATACTTACGTCGTGAATTGCAGTTCTTTTGAGGTCATAGGAGAAGTGAACGTTCTCAAATGTGACTCTGCCTTCCACTGGCCCTATTTCCGGGGCACCATCCTTGTCTATGATACCAGGCTCGGTCATAAGTAGATCCAAAAGCCGCTCTGCGTCAATGATATCCGTCATGATATAGCGGAAACTGCCTGAAAGAAATTTAATTGGCCAGATGAGGTTGTCCCAGTACTGAATCAGGAAGACGAAATCTCCGGGCGAGGCGCGTTTTTCGTATACTTCATGGGCCACAAGGCATGTGAGCAAGAACAATGTCGCAGGAAGCAACATGTCCAACAAAGCATTGATAAAAGCATCGCGTCTAGACCAGTCTGTCTTGGCCTCGAGATGCTTCTCAACAGCACCTCCGAACCGTGATATCTCCCACTTAAGCATATTGAATGATGACACGGTATGCCAGCCCTGAACGGCTTGATGCATTATCCGTGCTTGCTCGCGCTCTGCCTTTGTCACGCGCCGACGGTTGCCGATGTTCCAGCTAGAGGTGACGACTTCCAGTGAAAGAAAGCCGAGAGATGCAATCAGCATACAAAGTGCAATCGAAGAGTTAAATTTGAGATAGAGCAACACAAAGGCAACAGTCAAGTCGATAATCGGGGGAAGGATATACAGAACGGAAGTCTCGAGAACATTTGTCAGTGCCTCCCCCTGCTCGATGGCTTTCATGACTTCTGCAGAGTCTCTGTCCGCGTGGAACTCCATCTCCAAACCCATGATATGCTTGAATGCAGCGTTTGTGAGCTGTCGGTATGAGAAGCGCTCAACGGGTATCTTGGCGAGAGCTTGGACGAGACCTAGACCCGACTCATCTTGTAGGAGATTCAGGGCAAGATAAATCGCCAGGTCAAGGTACGGCAATCGGCCTTTAAAGAGCTGATCAGCGGCGACTCCAAGCTGGTAAGGTACTAGGACATTCAAGAAACGGCCGCCGATCAAGCAGAGACCGCAAGCTAAAAGACATGCCTGGACTTTGAGGTCATTCTTGGGAATCAGGAGAGGTAGAACGATCTTGAAATTCTTGATGTAGGTTATCCAATTGCCGCTCTTACGAAGCTGACGGGAATTGGAGTCTTCGTTATCGTCTTCATCGTGCTCGTCGTCACTGAAATCCTCGTCATCTTCGGCATTGATGGATTGACCAGATGGGGACTGGCTACCGTAGGAAGATATGCCTGACTCAGGGGCCAAGAAAGGAGTCGTTTCATCAAGATTCTTGCTGCGTGTAAAACATTTGGACGTGCAATCCACGAGTAAACATGTAGCAATGAGAAGCTGAGTCGATGAAATGGTGAGTAGTGCAGCGTCGTCGACTGCCGTCCCAAGTGCCAGAAAGGGAACCGAGAAGCCGAGCGTGATAACAGATAGGCCCAGGACCTCGAAATTGATCAACTGCTTTCTCGTACAGACAAAAGTCCATACAAAGGCGAATAGTACTGCGGAATGCAGCCGCTCCGGTCTCTGACCGAGAGCATCGCCATGAAGGACAAGAAGAATTGCTTTGGCGATGTAGGATAGAGCAATTAATCCCACAGCCGTGTATTTCACGACGCTCTTATGCGTGGGTAACTTCTGTTTCTGACCGAAGTTGATTAAGAAAGATGCAAAAACAAAGAGCACGACTGTGACTGAGGACGCCACATGCAATCCTGCAGAGACCTTTGAAGGGGATATCATCCTTGGAGGAAGGCAAGGAAAGGGAGAGAAGGTAAATTTTTCAAAGGTGGGAGGGGAGGCTCAAGTAAATAATAGAGAATGAGTTCAGCTCTCGAGCACGACCATCTTTCAAGCCCGCAACGCCATGATGACGGTTGAGGACCTGGTGGCAAATGGAGAGAATTAACTACTGCAGGCCTTACAATCTAGAAGACCATGGAAGATGAGGGTGGGCAGATGAAGTCTCAACTGTGACAATTTCCGGGGCGTCTAATAGAAAAAGGCTTGTTTAGCCCTACTTTAATTGTGCTGCCTATATTTAAAACAGTGACTCTAGACCCTGAGCAACCCTCGGGGTCCAAAATAGGTAAGATTATGCTTGAGAGTAAATCAAAAGCGGTTTGTATGATAGGTACAAGGGGAGGCCAAGATTTGCAAGGTTGTTCGTTCAAGTGTTGTAAACGTCAAGTTAACTTATACTTCGGTGATCGGTGTTTGGCGCAACCAATTTTGCCACCGCCCGGTACAAGCTCTCGAGATATCAGCTCCGCCTTCCGTTAGTATGTCTTCTCAAATATCCTCGGCTTGTTGAAAATACACTCGGGACCGTCGCGATGTCTTCACGCGACCCCAATAGAGGCGGGAAACCGTCGTCCAAGCCAATCTCACTCTCCCTTTCAGGCTCAAATGGGCCCTCAAAAAAGACCGGTTTCAACCTCCATTCCTCGAACCGCGGCCGTGCCACCGACTCTCCAGCAGCTAAAGGCCAGTCACTCCCTAGGCGGCCTCACCAACTAGCGCACGGCGATGACTCGGACGAAGAAGAGGCCGCTCCGGTCCACGAAGAAGTCTCAGGCTTCGACACGCACACCGGTGGCGCAATTACCGTTGACGGACAAGCGGTCGACGACAAAAACCAGCTACTGGTAATCCCAGTTACAAGCAAGAACAACTGGCGCGACCGGGCAACTGGTAATGTGAAGAAGGGCAAGAATCTGCTTCCCCGTGAAGTGCAAGCTATGCAAGAGGCAGAGAGGAATGGACAAACTCCCGGCGGAGATGCCACAGTCGAGACAGATGCGCCGAGCATGGCATACGGCCTGAGCTTTGCAAAGCAGTCCGAGTCCCAGGAAGAGAAGGGCGCAGCGGATGAAGATCAAGCTATGCCCGATGCGAAGCCTGTTGCGACCAAACCTCTCACCGATGACGAAATTGCCATGCAGGCCCTCATTCGCGAGACACAGGGTGATGTGGAGCGCAGAACAGATCTTGTTATCGAGTCAAATTTAAAGGAAGAAGAGGAAGCGCCAGTTCACTACAACGAAACAAGCTCTTTCCGGACAGATGTGGCTTCGCGACCAGAGCCTGCTACGTTGGACGCCTACAATGCCATTCCAGTAGAGGAGTTTGGTGCTGCGCTGCTACGAGGAATGGGTTGGAAGGACGGTCAATCTATTGGAAAGGGCAATTATGGCGGCGCCGCGGCTGCTGAGAAGGCGAAGAATGCCCGTGTCCCCGAACGACGACCTGGATTCCTCGGCATTGGCGCAAAGGATACATCTGGCGGCAAAGGTGCCGAAGCAGAGCTTGGCGCGTGGGGTAAGTCAGCTATGCGCAAGGCCTCTAGGAAAACAGGCGAAGAAAACGGAAAGGCGGAGGGTGTATACATGCCAGTCACGATGCGCAACAAGAAGACGGGTGAGCACCTGACCGAAGAAGAGCTCGAGGCCCTCAAAAAAGAGGCAAAGGCCAGTCCCAAAGAGGACGACTGGCGCGACAGACGAGACCGCAACCTCGAAAAGAGTGGACGAGACATGGACCGAGAATACCGCAAGCGCGATTATGACGATTATGACCGCTCTCACCGGAGGAATGGGTCTTCACGCCGTGACCGCAGTCTGTCCGGTGGCCGCCAATCTTCCAGACGTTCCCGGTATGACGATGATGATAAAAGCAGGCGGGACGATCGTTCCCATCGTGATCGGGATTATGATCGAGATCGCCGCCGGGACCGCCATGACGACAAGGACCGACGGAGAGACCGCGATCGAGATTATGACAGAGGTCGCAGCGAACGCAGTGACCGGTACAAAGACGATAAGTACAGTTCTTCACGCTCGTCACACTCATCTCGACATGACCGAGACCGAGACCGCGATCGTGACTCCCGACGCAGCCGTCGCGACGATTGAAGATATCAATGACTTGGATGGGAAATTGGAGGATGTTGAACATCAGAACTTGCATTACAGAAGATGTGCCTGACCATATTCGGCCATTCAAAAGTGTTACAAAATAGAGATACCCTGTTCAATCAAAGTGAAGAATGAGATATGAGAGATAAGAAGCCCTAGAGGGTAGGTCACCCATTCGAGCCTTCGCTAGAGAATCTACAGTGTTCTTCAAGTGCCTCATTTTAGCAACTATATAGCTACCATTTCATCTAAAGATCGAGATCAAAGAGCCGTAATACACTGTTCAATTCTATAAAAGTAGATGGCTTTTATCCTTCCCACCCATGGTACTCCAAGAAAGAAAGCGCCAAATTCAATATACAAACATGACAGAAGACGAAAGCCAGATTATGCTTCCAACATATCAACATCCTCTTCATCTTCAACCTCAACCTCATCCTCATCCCCATTGGCATCGTCCATGGTCAAAGCACCAAGTCCACCAAGACCAACACCACCATCCATCTCACCGAGCACCCACTCAACCAGGTAGCTGTCATCAACCAGCTCCTCAACACGGCGGTAGTGTCGTTCGGTGTATGCAGCCAATGCCTGCAGGATATCCTTCAAGCCAGCAGCAGCACGGCCGTTCTTTCCGCGAACGGACTGGGTAGCCAGCTCGACGAATGTGGATGCAGGGTATGAGCGAAACAGGGCGTAGAGGATACGCTGCGAAACGCGCGCGGTGCGGGCATTGGTGTTCCAGTCGCGGAGACGAAGGAGGAGAGTGCGCAGGTTGGCGGGGTCTAGGGACTGCAGGACCTCGTCGATGGAGGGGTTGCCGGTCAGACTGGCTGCGGCACGCTTGCGTTCCTCGGCTGGGAGAGTTGGGTCGTCTGCGGCGTTGATGGCGGCTGTGAAGAGGGACAGAAGTCTACCCGGGTGGTTGAGCTGCAGGGCCAAAATGATAGCTTCGCGGTAGTTACCGGCCCTGATATGGTTCTGCAGTTCTTGGTCTTGCTCGATGCGTTCGGAGTTGGCGTGTACAGCGGCGGTGTATGTGGCCGAGGTAGTGTCTGTCCAGAAGGTGACTGTTGCGTCTGCGGAGCCGGAGGCGATAGCGTAGGGGGCGGTGTTAAATTTGGAGGTGATTTGCTTCACGTCTTTGCGTGAGCCGGAGGGGGTCGGGCTAGCGAGCGCCCAGACTCGGTCTTCGTGGTTGTCCAGAGTGGTTTCGAGCTCGCCTGTGTAGGGGGACCAGATCTTGACCAGACCATCTGCAGCGGCGGAAGCGACCAGGGGACGAGCCTGAATGGCGTTGTGGCGTGCCGCTGCGGTTTCTTCATCTTCGTCGTCGCCGTTGTCGTTGGAGACTTGGGGAGGTGGAAGCCAGAGAACCTTGAGGACACTGTTGGTATGACCCTCGAAGGTCAGGAGACAGCTGTAGTCAGACAGACTCCAGAGCTTGACAGTTTTATCACCGGAGCCTGTGACTGCTAGTCCTCGGTTTGTGCTGGTACGAGAATCGGTGTTGATGATCGGGGTGCCTTGGGGAGCAAATCGCACAGACCAAACACCCCTCTTGTGACCACGAAGCACACCAACTGGGGAGCCTTCCTCGGCGGCCCAGATCTTCACGGTGCGATCTTGTGATGCGGAAGCGAACAATTCAGATGCGGAATCGATATCAATTGCGTTGATATCCTTCTCGTGTGCCTTGCGGGTGTAGATGGCCTTGGGGTTGTGCGGCTTGTCATCTTTGAGAGGAGCGAGCTTGCTTGTGTCCCACCGCTTGATTGTGCGATCTTGCGAGCCAGTAATCAAGAAAGCAGGCGGGTGGTTGACGGGGTCGTTGTATGCAGCACTGCCAACTGGCGGTGGTACCCGTGGAAGGGCAATAGCTCCCAACGACTCGGCGTGACCAGTGAAGACAGCAAAGCAAGTATAAGAGGATGTCTTCGGATCAATACGCCAGAGGCGTGCTGTGTTATCCTTGGCGCCAGTTGCTAGCCAGTGTCCTGACCAGTCCACATCAATGCAGATAATGATATCGTCGTGACCTTCAAGCTGTGTGACATCAGCGCCGAAGTACTCCTCCTCTCCCTTGTCCGAGGGTCGGTCCTCCGATGGAGCAACCGAAACGACACGGATACTTTCCGTGTTGGTAGCCAATGCAAGCATTGATCGGTCAGGTCCAACATAGGCCAAATCAATAATTTCATCGTCGTTCCCAGAAATCCGACGGATGACTGTCAAGGGCTCCAACGTTGACCCAGGCCTGTAACTAGACAGTGACGCGAGCGAGTGGAGGCGAAGTGTCTGATCTGCGTGAACAGTCAAAACAAAAGGCAAACCAGCCGAATACTGGATAGCAACAACGCTCTCAAACTCCTCTCCGGCCTCTTGTTCCTCTGTAACTTCGCTACCGCGATTGCAGTCCCAAACACGCAATTTTCCATTCTCTCCACCAATAACGCAAAGCCCACTATCAGCGATGAAAGCAGCGGCTTCTACACTCTCCAAAACAGGAATGATTCTGCGGGTCTTCCAAGTGCGCGCATCCCAAACGATGACTGTCTTGTCTCGACTAGCTGAGATCAAAGCATTTTCTGAAGGAGAGAAGGACAAGCTGCGAACAAGAGAGACATGCGACTCTAGAGACGCAATGGACTTTCTCTTGTGCAGATCCCACACGCGCAATTTGCCATCTTCGCTGCCGGAAGCTAAGCGGAAGCCTGCAGTAGAGCCTACAGAAGCGCCCTCGCTCATGTCTTCATCATCATCTGTAGACTTGCGCTTGTTCTTTTTGGAGGACTTCTCGTCGGCAGTAGGAACCTCGAAGAAGCAGAGTGCAGAAACAACACCACCATGACCGTGGAAAGTGTGCGTGACGAAGCCACCTCTGATATCCCAGACCTTGATCGAGCCATCGGCACCACCAGTGGAGAGCAAAGTACCAGTAGGATCAACAGCAATGGTCACGACTGGCGCAGTGTGAGGCTTGAGGGTTCGGAGAAGCTCTGTTTCAATGGTTTGAGCGGACTCGTCGAAAGGTGAGAGGGAATAGATGCGCATAGACATGGAGCGCGAGCAGACAATAGCGTGTGAGGCAGATGGCGTAACTAAAAAATATGTTAGGGTTGAATCTCAACGAGCGCAATTGTGACTTACTGGCCAAACCGGTAACAATTTCTCCATCCTGTGTGGCTTGCGGTTAGCACTTTGTAGTTGAACCAAGAAAAATAACAGCGGCAACACTCACTCCTTCAAGACTGGCAAGCTGGTTACCAGTTTCCAGATCGACGATCAAAGCATCCTCGCCGACACAGCTCAGCAAGATGCGCCCACTGGCGTCCAGCGCCGTGCTACCGCCGGTGTAAATAGGGCGGAGCGTGCGAGACGCCTCGAAAGTAGTTTTGACAATAGCTTTCGACATGACTGTAGGAGATCAAATCAGAAATCAGCCATTGCCCGAGAGAAGTTCCGTCGCAAAAAATGGCAGCTCGAGCGGGCAACTTTTTTTGTTTGTTCTGTTTGCTCAGTGATAAGATATCGGCGTGCCTTAGGCGCCCAACCCGCATCACTTCACCTTCAACTGTGTTTCACATCTTCATCTTTCTTTGAATGCACGTTTATTTAATTGGGAGACATCTCGCTCACTTGCACTGTAAGGCGATGTAGCTGTGCTACTGGCCCAGTCACAATTTACGATATGGGTCGGCAGGCCTATTTGAACCGGCTCGCTTTGGTAAGCTACCTCTCTTGTCTTGCGAATATACTCTCCTTATTTGATGCAATAATATATATGTGGCCTATGGCAAGATGGTCTCTATTTGATTATATATGCAAGATGATTTGGATGTATTATGGGAAGCCAACTTATTGTTCCGCAAATAACATGTCATCGTGTTATAATGTCCTTGTTTGAAACATGCTACAACTTGACAGATCAATTATACTGACTATTTTCAAGGGCCGTTCGCCATATGAAGCCCCTGACACTGCGGCGGTTGACCCTTCTAATCCCGTTCGACGGGTCTCGAGTGTCCACGCAGATAGCTATATGCAACAGTACGATGCTCGTGGCCACCCTGTAAATCCCGAGTCCAGATCTCTTGGACGGGAGTTTCGAAGGGCAAAGAATGATATCCTTTCAACAATGGGAATTGTTGTCAGTGGAGAAGACCGAAACACCAGTATTCCAAACGAACAGCAAAAAATCAACCAAATTGCGAGTGAAAATGACTTCGGACTGGTCATAACGACCCTTGACCAATTATTTGTCTTCTTTGGTACCTGGTGGACCTTGTCATTCACTGGGCGAGTACAGGTAAATACACTTCAATCGCCTTCGGGGATAGACTAACCTCTAGTCACTGCTTAGACTTACAAACATTATGCACACTCTGCCTTGCTTGATGTCATTAAATCCGAGAGACGATCAACAGGCATTCTGGGCTTTTATTTCGCAGGAATTCCTGCCTGGGCAATCTCAAGTGGATTGGCCATTGCTCGTGAGAATCCGCTCAAACGGGTTTTCGCCTCTCTGCGGGACTATGCCCAGTCTCTTACAGGCAAATCACTTGGCGTCCGATTTATTTTTGGACTTATGTACACAGCGTAAGCATCATTTACAGTGATAATGAACAAGACTGATGATGAATACAGGGCCAAGAACTCGGTGCTCATGCTCTCCGTGGAGTTCTACATGTATTCCGTACTCCAATCACTATCGCTTGTGTCGCCCTACTCAATCCCTAGCGTTCAGCTTTTGATTCCGCTTGGAACAGGGTCATTGCTGCAGCTCCCAGCGGTTCCCACCAATCTCTCCCCTGGCTCCCTAGGCACTTCACTCGTGGGTCTATTGACCCATCCTGGCATCTTGGCCTTTATCTATGGCTACTACTTGCGCCCGGATCTCGAAGAGCGCATCTATCGATTGATTCGGCGGCGCCTCCCGAAAGCAACTATTGCAGATGAGCTCTCAGTCCGAGTGGCCTTTGAAGAAAATCTAATTGAGTGGGTGGTGCCGACACTGGGGCGCAAATCAGACGAAGAAATGTACCGGGGCAACCTTACGCTCTTTGAAGATATCAAGTGTGAGCTAGGTGCTTTTCGACACTGGGTGTTTTCGTTGTTTGGGCTACGATCAAGCAAGTCATCAGACCAGCAAGCCTTTACGTCCTTTAGAGATGAGAGGATCGAATCTCTCCGAAACTCGATTGAGATGCTACAAAATGAACTCGAGGGAACACAGCTCAACCCTAATGAAAATGAACCAAATGACCCGCTACCCAGGCCTCCAGGGATCGCACCTGATGTCCAGGTGGCCGCCACTTCACCACCTCCATTACAGGATGCAATCGCATCTACGCATTCGAGTCGTTTGGAATCAGATGTAGGCTTGCACCGGGTGCTCACAAATGAGAATCGTATGTCACAGTCGCCCGGCGAGATGAGCAACGACTATTTCTCCGAAATAGCCACAGTTGGGCGAACAAGTGGTCCGTCGACCACTTCAAACCAACAAGACCTACCAGGCGATTCACAGACCGGCGAGAGCCCAGAAATGGACCGAAACAACTCACGGTCCAATACTCTGTTCTCTCGCCCTTCTTCGCCAGAGACGTCTCCACCTACATCACCTCGTGTCAGAGCATCCTTGATCCACCAGAGCTCTGACATTATCACAATGCAGCTTGAACTATTAGGCAACCGGAACCGGAATCCACAGAACCAGGCTTCGAATCTTGCCAACCTAAATGCACTAGCAGGCAATGATATCCCAGGTCTTAATAGACATGCAGATGCCATGGACAGACGATCAATAGCTGAATTCCTCGAAGCTCTGATCTTAAGCCAGGCTCAGCGCCAGGGACCGCATCCACCAGCACAAGGCGGCACTGACGGCCTCTCCAGTGTCACTGCCGGCCAATCCATCACGACTCCTCAAGATCTAGGCGTCCCCGAGCCGACAACCCAGCATCAGACCCAAGATGACGAGTCCGACGATGAACCGGCTCTAGAATCTATTGAGGAGGCACCAGAGCCCAGCGTACCAAACATCCTCCCAGACGGCGTGGAAGAACCAATCGATGAAGAACCCACTATCCAGCCAATTCCCGTCGCCGTCGCAGACCACAACCTAGATACGATGTCCGACACCCTCCACCAGCCCCTTCCACCAACTTCTCGCATTCCCGGACGTGTAACCGACCATTCATCGGGTGTTCACCGCGTGACCCTTCTCTCGGCATACCCAGTGGACTCACTTGCATCAAATCTCGCTGCTGCAATCAGCGGTATTATCCTTGCGCCCCTTGAAGCACTCTTCTTTCGCTCTTTAACCCAGTCATGGCTCACCACACATCCTTCGGATGTGACTCGAATTTCGGATGTCCATCCTTTGGGTCTGTGGTTTGGTGGAAGGACTTGGCCAGATATCGGTGCGTATACGTGCCGATTGCTCCTTATGAGGGGAATGCATATTGCAATGAGAGCTGGAATATGGGGTTTCCTGGTTGGGTCGACGATGAGGATTGGCAGGAAGTTTTGTGATTGGGGGAGCTTATGATCTGCTATTTCTGTTGGAGTTGTCAATACCTAGGTTATGTTTTACGAGTGAACTACGTATGCACTAATCAGTGCAGCATTTGCACTGTTTTAACTCCTTCTCATACTGTTTCTCAAGTACTAAAGAAAGATACCCAAAAAGTAGCTTAACTCCAAGGTACATAATTTCGTCATTGTGTGAAAATACACCAGGCTTGCTCTCGAGGGAGCAACGAGAAGCTTGATAGTTTAGCATGTATGAGAGAAAACGGCAATACAGATATCCAAATCAACTCCCCAATATTTTATTACTTCAGTTTCAGATTATGCGCGGCCCTTTCCTTTCTTCCCAGGGGTCTTGCGTCGCTCCCAGACCATCAGGTAGCCCTCACGCGTGAACAATGTCTCGCTCTCTGCGCGCTTAACAAACAGATCCTGGATCTCGAGCCACTCCGGTCCGCGCTGCTGCTGTTCCGTAGAACCGGCATTTTGAATACGCGTGTTCTCGGCTGACATGGCCTTGTCGTGGAGCTGAACCATCCAGGAGACCTTCTCGCTGCCGCCGCCAGCACCGCTGGATGAACCACCGGCACCTGATGCGGCATTGACGCCCTTGTCGACGGCGTCATCGGTTGCACCAGGGGCGGCTACAGCTGGGTCGAGGATGATGTTTGCCACGAGGTCGTAGAGGATTGGCTCACCTGGAGGCCAGATATCGGGGTTGGGCTCGACGTATGGTGACATGTCCAGAGAACGGGGGGAGGGGAAGGTGACAATAGTTGGATTGCGCTCGGAGACGAAGCGGTTCTTGCTGAAACGTTTGATGTGGAAGAAAAGATATGGTGGGAGAGGATGGAGAAGACGATGTCGGACACGGTGGGCCAGTTTCTCTGATGCCGTGTAGCCGTTGTATTTGTTCAAGAGGGTGGTCAGGGGAATCTGGGGGATGATGGACTCCCGGTTGGCCGATTGGAAAAGAGGTGTAGGGGGCAAATCCAATGTCAAGATGAGGAAAGGTGTGACCTGGCTATTGATAGTGCCAGACTCGGTAAATACCAAGCGGGCATTCTGGGTATCGGAGTGGGCGGTAATAGCTTGGCTTTCAATTCGGAGATGGCCCTGGAAGGCTGCGTGGACGACACTCGTAGGTGTCGACGAGGGCTTTTTAGATCCGCCCAGAGATAGGTGAAGGGCGTTGAGGAACCAGGACAGAAATTCCACCGGGTCTGACTGGTTTGTGAGTGTGAAACGCTTCGAGGATCGCAGGGCGATCTCCTGCAGCAATTCGTGCGGAGAGACATGTGACCGGAACGCCTTGGGGTTCCATAGCTTTCGCACAAGAGTCCTGAACCGAAGGACCATCTCCGGTGTGCCAGGCGTGGGGAAGTCATGGAGGAGGAAGAAGTTGCGAATTGGTAGAACATGCGCCATCAGTTGAGCCACTACATTGACGTAGTCGTTGGCTTTGATGTTGTTCATGCCGACAAATCCTGCAAATAAGATAAATCAGTCCCAAGCATCTCAAAGGTCCTGGTATATGCGGTGCTCTTACCTGGCCGGTAACGAGCTCCAGAGAGGTCCCAGGCATCATGGACTTCCCTGTCGAGCTTGACCACCTCGTTCTTTGTGTAGTGGGGATCCACCACATATTTTATGTCGTCCAAGCTCTTATTCTTAACCTCATATCCCTCTGGCAGCACGTAGACCTTCCTTGTGCCGATGTTGATAAAGACGTGGTGTCCGACTTCGAGTGCATGGAAATATGCGTGCGATTTGGGACCGCGACCTTGGAAGTATTTACCGCAGACGAGACAGGCGTACACATTGATATTCGACAAACTAACAGAGCATAGCTTTTCGAAATCGAAATCAAGAATCTCGCGGTTGATCGTGTCCAGGTAGAGGTCGCCGTAGCCTTCCATGGGAGCGCTTTGTCGCTTCGGAGCACTAAGCGCAGGCGCATCTTCGTCGATATCCGAGAGACCTGAAGGATCCTTTTCACCTTCCTCCAGCTCCTCTCTCTCTATTTCGGCCGCTCCTTCGATATCCGCCCCATTGCGACCATTCTGTTCCAACTCGCTGCTTGCGAGTCCTGCGCCGTTTGGAGAATCACCATGGGCCTGGTTCTCGACGCGGGCCTTTTTCGAGGCAGGTGAACCTGAAAAGTCTTGTTGCAAAGGAAGCTCTGCGGGTCTTTTCGACATTGCGATATTGTTGTAGTGGAAGTTGATCGCCCAGTTCTTACGGACGGAATGCGATTTCGATGCAAACAAGCCAAACAGCCAACACGAGATCAGGGAAGCTCCCCAGGTATACACTACAACAGCCGCTGTTTACTGGGCTATTTCATAGGACGCGATCTTCGCTCGGTTGGTCTTTTATATTGTCAGGACCATTTAGAAATCCACTCATTTGTTACAGCCTAAGTCATACCATGCCAAGATGAAGCCATAACCAAAGAAAACGTCATAGGATGTGATTCAACAAACGCCTCATGTCGACCATTAAGCACACTTGACCACCTTATCGTTATCAACGTCTATTTCCCTCACACCGTCCTTCGTCACTACCTTCACCAAGACCTGTAGAGAGAATCAGTTATGTTGGCATGTTGGAATGGTCGCATTTCACTTACTCCCTTGTAGTCGATAGGTAGTCTGCGCTTCAGCTCGTCTGTGCACAAAGTGAGGAGCTTGAGTCCCTCATCCAGATTGATGTTAGGGTTGTGGTGTTTGTCGAGGATGGATAGACAGTAGTATCTATTCAAGTTAGCATTGATACTTCGTCCCCAAGCTTTGTTTCAACATACTGGGCATAACCGTGGGCAGCATATGGTAGGGGTGCCAATGACGCAAGGTAGTCAATCCAGTAGAGATGGGGAGCCTCAGTGACCGGGTCTATGCCACCGAGCAGTAGGTTGACGGTGTACGGGCTCCGTGATCGCAGACTGCGCGCCAATTCTCCCCGAACGAAATTGGCAACGGCGGAGGGGCTGAGTTCGGTGTCGTTACGCATGCTGTAAAGCGCAGCGTTGGCTTGGATATATTCGGCAAATTGAACTATAACAACCCATCTCATTAGCATGTTTGTTACATTGGGGCCGTAGTTGAAGTCACATACCAGTATCTCCAGACTCTCCAGAGAAAGCCATGAGTGTGTTCTTGTTCAGCTGTCGTGTCTTATCATCCTCGGCCTTCAGAACTGTCGGGCCTCTCATTGCGGCCTTGGATGCTGCAAGAATGACGAAGTCCTTGCCGGCGATACCCAAGAGAACCTCCCTAGCAGCCGTCAGGAACCATTTGGAAAATAACAGTTATGACTAGCAATAAACTCACATGTTTGCGGTAAGTGAATATCAAAGAAGAAACAAGCAAGTAGATGATCAATGAAGGCGAACGGGAGAAGTGGTCAAGTGAGGAGGACCGCGCGGTGAGCTTGACGCCTGGAGCTCCCGGGGTCAGCTACTGCTGACTCAGCCGCCGCTTAGCGCTTTTTTTTCTGCCAAAAAAAAGTTGAAGTTTTGATCTCCGCAGCCCGAGTCTTTCGAGAACGCCATTTCTTCAATTCTTGTTGTTCTCTACGGAAGATAGGAAGAGGCGCCACGGCTTGACACAAGTCCAATATGTCTTCCTTTTTCACTGTCCCCGCTGCCCAGCGCAAGCGCAAGAGAGACGACCGCGCCTCAGCCCCAGGATCGAAGAAGCGAGGTGGAGATGCTAAACCTGATGGTGCCGGTCGTCGGGCCAGAGAGAGAGAAGAGTCGATCTCTGGTAGTGATATCGATGAGGACGAAATCGCATCGCAATCAGACGACGAGAGCGGATCGGATTCGGAAGACGGCGAAACGGCTGGAGATCGAAGATTGAAACTCGCTGAACGCTACTTGGAAAACATTAAGGACGAGGTCGACGAAGCCGGATTCGATGCGGCAGACATTGATCGAGACTTGATCGCAGAACGACTTAAGAAGGACGTTGATGAGTTCAAAGGACGGACGTTCCGTCAAATCGCTGCGAATCTAGCCTTCCCTACCGCACCCTATTCCTTTTTCCGCTCAGATACCCAATCGACAACTGCTATTGCTGTTCACGCACCATACGTCTACGCTGTTTCAAAGGATAAGACTTTGACCAAGTGGGAGTTGGTTACACCCAGTGTACCGGCCTCGAGCGCATCGAACGGTGATACTGATACTTCTAAGCGGCCACCACGCCCCCAACGCAAGAAGCCCAAGCGTGTCAAGTATGCTCGGGGTATGCGCAAGAACCCTGAAACTGGCGAGGAGCATGGACATACGAAAGACATCTTATCCGTTGCCGTGTCCCCCTCTGGACGGTTCGTGGCCACTGGTGGAGCCGATAACAAACTGATCATTTGGGATGCGGAGACTTTGACGCCCACGAAGACTTTCCTACAACACAGAGACTCTGTTTGCTCATTGTCCTTTGCGCGCCATATCTCAACGATGAGTTCCGGAGAGCAGCTATTCTCTGGTTCTTACGATCGTACAATTAAGACATGGTCCATCAGCGGAGCTGGCCACGCCTATGTCGAAACACTTTTCGGTCACCAGGACCATGTTACTGGAGTTGCTGCTATGACCATCGACGAATGTGTTAGTGTTGGTGCTCGTGACCGCACAGCCCGTTTGTGGAAGGTTGTCGACGAAACGCAGCTGGTGTTCCGTGGTGGTTCCGCAAAAAGCGCTCCTTATCACGAGAGCAACATTGACTGCATTGCTCCTCTACCACCAGCTCACTTTGTCACCGGTTCAGACTCTGGTTCTATCTGTCTCTGGTCCATACACAAGAAGAAGCCTCTCTTCACCATCCGTCTTGCCCACGGCTTGGACCCAATCCCACCTCTTCAAGAACTATCACCCGAAACCAATGAAGAGACCGCCGCCCACAACATGCGGCACTTGCGCCCTATGCCTCGCTGGATTACCGCCTTGACCACGCTCCCCGGCACCGACATTGTACTCAGTGGCAGTTGGGATGGTTTCATTCGCGCATGGCGCATTTCGGACGATAAGAGAACTATCATTCCTCTAGGACCCATCGGCCAGGGCTCTCTTGGTAGCGCCACGCCTGACACACCATCTCAACAACTCAACCAGACCCTTGCTTTCAATGCTACCCCAGACCGCATGGTTGAAGATGAGAAGCCTCAAGCCGGAGCCCAAGAACCGGAGCCCATGATCAAGGGTGTCATCAACGACATTGCTGTCTTTGAGCGCCGTCCCGAATCTGACCTCCCCGGAGAATCAAAATCCAAGTTGGAGACCCAAAACGAGCCTCGCGGTGTATCAATCGTTGCTGCTGTTGGCAAGGAGCACCGCTTAGCTCGCTGGAAGTGCTTTGCCAACAACTACTACGAAGGCACTACTGCTGAGGGCCGTAACGGAGCTGTCGTGTTCGAGGTTCCGCTCACCACTAATGAAACCGTGAGGGCTGATGTATAAATCTTGTTCATAATTGTTCTGTCTCGGCCTTGCTCACTGGTCGAAGATAAAATGGGGAGCGTTGCTCGGGGTCCGGTGTCTTTGGAGTCAGATCGGTGTATGTATTTCTACCATTTTTGCATATGTACCGGATTTCTTTGGTGCATTGAGTGTTCAATCATATCCCTATTGCAAGCATTACTCGATGTAAAACAAGACTGCATAAAACATAACCGAAAAGTCCTTTCATGGCCCCTGCTTTTGAGTGTTCAAGATAGAAACCGTCTAGTACTTCATGACACTATGCACAGATTTCTGACCCCCTGTTATATCGTGTCTCGAACCTAGGACCATTGCAAAAAGACATGAACATCAATTGCCTCGTTTGTAGAACACAACCACCATCTTTCCATGTTCCTGCTCCCTCTTGCTACCAGACTCAACACAGATGAACAGAACACAGGCCGACCTGCAAGAGTGTGTGAGAATTCGCTGAAGTACAAAGCCTCGAATCTCTCAGCATTTGTCCTCCTGAACAATCACATTCCAGTTAGTCTTGTGGAAGACCTGCCCAGCGGTATACCTTGAGATCCCCTCCCCAAGATGGCACTTGGTGTCAATATATTTGGCACCATCAGCAATGCTACCAAACGAATTCAACGTCTTTTTACTCTTGCTCTGTGGGGAAAGTCAGCTTAGCCTCCGAAAATAAGAAGAAAGACAGCCTACATCGTTACACCAATAGATGGCAGAATTATACGAACAGCTCACTCGAGCACACTTGCTTGGGCCAGCGGCGGCTCGTGGATTTCCGCTGAGCTTGCGGAGGTAAGTGATGCCCTGGCGTATAGTTATGCTGTTACACCGACCCCAGCGACCAAAGCAGTTGTACTTTGAGTCGGCAAAATCGGTGCGTTTCTCGAGGTCGAAGTTACGTTCAACCAGTGTCTCGTCTTCTGTGTCCGCGAAGTCTTCATCCCAGTTTGGGTTCAGTCGGAGCAACTCGGTGTGCACTTCTTCGACTGTTCCATTGAGAATGAGGGGCTCGCTACCAGGGGTGACCTGGACTTCCCATGAGGGTATGAAGAGGTCGTATCCATCGAGGGGAGATGGGGTAGGCGATGCCAACACAAGAGCCTAGAAGACTTGTTAGAGACATTGAATGTTCACATGGAGAATTGGCTGATCACTTGGAAGGAGTAGATGCAGAGAGCGCCAAAAAGAGTGGCACACTTCATGGCGGCGAGAATGGACTAGAACAGGCGTTGAAGTGGAACTTGCTATATAGTACTAGTACTGTAGCAGTATATCACAGTCAATCTGATGGTCTGAATTGATTCATGTTGAGGAAATCCTACTATCTTTTATACCTTTTCTGACTAGCAATTACATCTCCCCAATCCCGAAGTTTCTGAGGAATCCATCACTGGTTGGATCTATCAGCATGCTGACCTTTACAGTGTTGCATTGAATCACAACCTGTAGCGCTCAATTCACCCCAAAGAAGAAACAAAGCCGACTACACGCTTGGCAAGAGAGAGAAAATATACGCGATGTTACCATCAGACGATTAGCCTTCAATCGGGCCATTCATCGCTCACTGCAGGTGTTTGTTGGGCGCTAAGGGCTGCACCCTGCATGAAATAGTGTGCATGTCTCGGACAATTTCCCCGGTGGATGGTTTAATTCAACTGGCCGTGTAGCAAATCGAGCGCTGGATGATACCAAAAACAGAAGCCAGAGTCTTAATGCTGAATCCTTCAAGTGTGCCCTGGACGCCTTGCCAAGCTTCCGACATTGCTCAGGTACAGACAGTGTTGGATAATGAGATATTCTAGATCAGCCAGACCGAGCTAGCAGATACACTTGACGCTGGGGGCCTGAATCACTGTCTATCACACCTTGGCAAATACAGGCTCTGGTACGAGATGCCATCGACAAGAACATACGGCCTAGCTAGTTTAGCTCGATCACTACCAAGTCCTCACATACATCGGAGTAAGGGTAACATTTTCTCTCCTCGGGGGTCCTTCTTCATCGGGCGATGTGTAGCGCAGTTGAGACGAGAGACTAGATCCATAGGGTATATATAGACCTCTCCGCTGTCTCCATTAATGTGATTATACTCAATATCCACAACTAAAGCACAGAAACATAACACTCAAACCAGCAACATGAGACTTGCAATTGCTTTTGCGGTGCTCTCCGCCATCTGCCCTGTTGTTTGTTTGACTCAATCCCTCCAGTGTGCACACTACTCAGAATCTAACACACATGGTTTCAGGTATGGGCAACCAGCGAAGCCCCCGAGGGATATGGCTTAGATATTCCTGAATGGGAGGTCGAAATCACCCCTGGTGGTGACCGCGTCATCCTAAACGGCACCATTGAAGAAGTCCACGAGGAGCTCCTCAAGCTGAACCCAAAGTGGGATGAAGAGTTCCTCGCAGACCTGCCCGTCGAGGATGACGAATCCTCTACACTAGTCAAACGAACTGACTTCTACGGCGCCAAGGTGGTGTGCGGCAAGTGGTCGTCTGCACGGTCCAAACCGATTTCCAATGGTATCAAGTACCTTCGGGGTCTTAGCGGCCACCCTAGAGCTGGACCTGGCCCGGGTAAATGTGCTCGAGTGAGCTGCTCGTACCAGTCTGGCATCTGGTGGTGCAATGACGTGAGTCATAGGAGATACCGTAGTTGTATACGCAGGACTGACATGCTTGAATAGTCTAAGAAGTCGAAGACATTGAACTCCTTTGGGAGCATTGCTGATGGCGCATCGTACGTGTTGGGCCATTGTACAAATTCTGGCGCTGGCATCGAATTTCCCACTGTCAACGGGCAGGTATTTCACAAAACTGACTGGAACGTTATTGTCCGGGGTGCTAGCTGCTGATTAGCCTATAAGGTGGGATTCGCAATGGACAGGAAGACGACAGGTCTGGAGTGCAGAACAGCGTTGTCAAGATATGTGGCTTAGAACCAGCGCACTGTCCTTTGGTGTATGAAATGGTACACTCGCTTCGAGAATTTCGTTAAACACTTGTCTAAACTTTCATAGCCTTAGGAACAGATTTATGGACCCCATTGTAGAATAGAAACAAAGAAGAAGAATAAAACAGATCAAACCCTACCCCTCACTTATATGAGCGCTGACCCATTTCAGTGTCAGACAGCAGTATATGATCACAATTGCGCTCTCCCATCCGCTCGTCGAACATACACATTTTGGTCAGGCGACGAGCCTTCTTAATCAGTCGACCAGGATGATAAACCATCAGCACAAGCATAGTCAAAAACATCAAAAAGGCATCAAAGACATAGATATAAGCCTCCTTGGTATTGACATCGGCTGTTTGACCGGCACCAAACTGAATAGTCCGCACTAAGTTTCGAATCATCATCGAAAAACAGGCGACATACATTGCCACCATATACCGCTGCCAGTGAAAATTAGGGTTCTGCTGGATCAGAGGTGTAGGCATTCGCTGAAGTCGTCGATGGAACTTCGCCGTAATGTAAAGGAACAAGGCAAATACGAGCAGAGAGAAGATCAAGCCAGCGAGAACAACCTTCCTGCCAATATTCATGACATTGGCATCTCCGGTAACCTGGACACCGGCACCGCCAATTTGTGTGCAGAAAGTGAGAACGTCGTTCATGACAAAGACAAATGTGAGCCATTTGACTCGCATGCTCGATAGATGCTCGGCGTCGAAGGAGCGGATTATGCGACCGAGGACCATGTAGACTGTAGCGGCGATGAGTGGTGGCGCGCACATGATGAGCATTTCTTGCAATATCCATGACTTGATCTCGGTTCGTGACTCGTGGGACCATGCTCTGCCGTAGTAACCGAATGCTTCACCTGGTGTCATGATTATTAGCCTTGAAGCTTCTTTTCTCAAGGGAATGCAGTGGTGATCGTACATATTCCGCCCAGTACTAAGGGTATGAAGTATGCAGCACGGAAGGGGAACATCAGCACGAGATGCACTATGGTCGAGATTCCGAAAATCGCCACGAAGGCATAGCCGGCCGTGGCAGACGGTGTATAGGGATAGAATTCGACCCAGGGATCGGATCCATTTACGCCGGGGTGGTAAACGATATCCATGTTGTATATTGGGAAAAAGCAGCTGAGTGGTGGGCTTGATAATCGCTTTACAACCGAAGAAATGGCACATCTTTATAGATTGAAGGGTCTTTAGGTCGAACAACATCAGCTATTTCTAGATTCCTAATCGGGTAATTTGCGAACGAATACGCCTGACTGTGGGGCATATGGATCCGCTTGGATCAGACTTTGCCTTTTGTGCTTCTTTTTTTGCCGCGTAGGGGTTTATCGTCGGGGTATTTTTGGAAAATCCGAAGTCTGGATGGGGTAAATTAGCGACTTATAACTTGGCAGGTACCAATGAAACTTTTCAGTAGAGCAAATGGTGCCGTGGTGGCGGGTCTCAGGTCGATTTGGATCGTCGGCAAGCGTAGAGCGTGGAGTAGTCTGATAAGCTTGTTTCTTACCGATTTAAGACATTCATTAACGATTGGCATCAAAATTTATATCGTAGTATCTAATATATAATACCCCAGAGCACAATATTCTAGTGCTTCTCAAACTTGTTGGCGCTGAATTTAGGGCTGAAGGCCCGAAACGGAAATGTTCATGCGAATACGCGGGAATCTCCCGATTAGGCTCAGTTGGTCAGTTCCAGACACCCAACAATCATTCGTACATGTATGGTAGGTATCGTCATCCCCCGATGTGTGTATCTCCAATCTAACCTAAGTGATTGCTTGTTGCCTGCCGAATAAGCCTTGGCATCCAGATCTATCCCTGGACCGGTACATTGTCAGTGGCGCAACAAGATATCATCGTAGTCGTTTTGTTGCCGGTTTTTTATAATCCACTTCTTAGGTACAAGAACTATAAAATCTGCCGATTGCATTCTTTTTATACTGCTTCTTTTCTTTTGACACCAAGTTACTTTACCATTGACATGCTGCGTTTCTTTCATATTCCTATTATTTCGCTTCTGGCATTGACCGCCACCTCCTCCGCCACACCGGATTGCAAAACTTCACCTGGTGACTTGACATGGCCATCCACGGAAGACTGGAATACTCTTAACCAGACAATCCATGGAAGTCTCATCAAGACGGCCCCGGCTGGGTCCTCGTGCTATCTGGGCAATCCCTTCAGCTCTTCTGAAAACTGCACTACGGTGAAAAATCATTGGTCCTATGCAGCCTACCATGCAGCACGGCCCGAAAGTGTCGATTACTCGATCTATGCAAACAACTCGTGTCTTCCCCCTGGAGTTGATGGATATTCCAAAGACAAGGGGTGTAGCATAGGTGGCCTGCCGCAATACATCGTCAATGCCACGTCCGAGCAGCAGGTTGCCACTGCAATGAAGTGGGCATCCAAACTTAATATCCGCATCGTGGTGAAAGGAACAGGACATGATCTTGGTGGCCGGTATGTTGTTTCACCTAGGGCTTCATATTGATTTGACTTCAGGATTCTGACTAACTCCGTAACAGCTCCACTGGTGCCTATTCTCTTTCAATATGGACACACAACTTCAATAACGTTGAGAGAAGATCTACATGGAGAGTGCCCGGAAGTAATGCCACCGAGGATGTTGTTATCTGCGGCAGCGGTAACAACTGGGGATCTGTCTATACTGCAGTACACAAGATGAATCGGACAGTGGTGGGTGGCGAGGATGCCACTGTAGGACTCGGTGGTTTGATACAAAATGGTGGCCATGGCCTCCTTTCTAGCCACTATGGCCTTGCATCGGACCAGGTTTATCAAGTTACTGTCGTCACAACCGAGGGCCGATTGTGCGTCGCCAACGACATGCAAAATCAAGACCTCTTCTGGGCTGTTCGGGGTGCTGGTGGAGGCCAGTATGGAGTAGTCACAGAATTTGTACTGAAAACGCATCCTGTGCCTGCGAATGTGGTCAGCGGCGGACTTACCTTCTATCCTGCCCTTAATTCGAATGCCAGCGGCGAAGCATCTTGGAATGCGATGGCCGAAGCCGCCGCCCAGATCCCTGATTTGATGGACAACGGAATCACGGGTACTGTGACTGCTCTGACCAAAAAGAAGGCCACGTCGCTTTTGGGACTAAAGGAGGTACTGCCTGGTGTCTCAGCCATGCTCAGTTTCACTGGCTTCAACATGACCACCAAGAGCATGAATTTTACTCTCAGCCAATTGGCTTCTCGGCTAAATGTTGGAAATGTCAACATCACTCTGCAGTTACCTTCTTCCAAAGATTACTGGGAAACCACCAAGCCAGACCCTCTTTCCAGCGCTAGCTGTGGATCCGTCAGCATAATGACAAGCCATCTTCTGGGCAGGCGCGAGCTCTCTGATATTGCCAAAGCAAAACTGGTAGCATACCTCCAAGATATCATGGCCTCTCAGGATCCAACTGCGGGCTCAATGCTTTTGTTCGGACTGCAAGCCGGCAAGGGTACAGCCAGTACTCCCGAAGAAAGACGTGGAAGTACTCTTCCGGCCTGGCGTACAGCGTACGCTCATACCATGGCTTATGGAGCTTCTGTCGATGCCACTGGTGATCCAAATCAGTCTATGAGAGACGTGGCAAGCTGGTTAGATTCTACGTGTGAACCTGTTTGGAAGAAGTGGGCACCTGAGAGCGGCTCTTATATGAATGAGGGCAATCCCTTTGCCAGCAACTGGAAACATGACTTCTATGGAGAAAACTACAACCGGCTTCTGGAGATCAAGCACAAGTATGACCCCACTGGCAGTCTGTTTGTCTGGAGCGGAGTTGGAAGTGATGAGTGGAGCCATGATTTGCATAGTGGTCTGCTGTGTCGTGTGTAAGAAAGGCAGTTCACAAATCCTCTAATTAGTTCTTGTTCATATGAGACGACGACAAGATCTACGAGCAAGAGAGACAAGTTCAAAACTAATCATACAATTCATTTCAATTCCTAGAGTCCGTCCGTCCCAGAGGTTCGCCTAATCCTATCAATAATACAAGCCCAGACCCAAAAAATCAAAAGAGAAAGCACTGGTGAGAAAAAAGAAGCCAGTGCATATCGAGTCCGCTCTGTTGAGGGAGCATCGAAATTTTCGAACGGTAAAGAAATAAGAGCATGCAAGCAGGAGTCAAAGGGGTTGAGGGATAGGTGGTAAATAAAGAGTAAAGGGTAAATGAGTTAGCGCGAGGTGTAGTGCGAGAATCCGAATCAACGGAGGTAGGAGAAAGAAAGGATGGAGGACAAAGATGGGGTAATAAATCAAAATAAGGCGTGGTGTAAGTATGTACAGCTTAAGGTATAAGGGGATGAAAGGGGTTTGTGATTGATACATCACGGTGCCACAGCGACTGCTTTAGCCGATTCATTAGCTAGTTGCTGTCTGGGCTGCTGGGGCATGGGGGCTCTTGCTGGAGCCTTGAGGGCCAGCTTGAGCACTGCCACTGCGTTGGGTTTGAGGAGTGGCGCTTCGGCTAGGCTGAGCGACAGCTCCGTTCAGGGCAGGCGAGCTAGTTGGACCAGTGCGGTTCTGTTGACCCGGCTGAGGAACCCGCATCATTGGGGAAAACCCCTGGTTTTGAGGGACCTGTATTCCAGAATTGCCATTTGCCATGTTAGGCGCCGAAGGAGTCTGGAAATTACCATCGTGAGAAACTTGGAAGTTGGCCTGCACGTTGTTCGCATTCATGGCATTCGCATTGATGCTACCCGAAGCAGCGTTGATCGCGGCCTGCTGGGACAAGCGCTGCTGTTGCGACTGTTGGTACTGATTGAGTCGATCAGTAGCCAACTTGGTTATCTGCTCAGGGGGCATGTTCGGGTTGCTGCGCTGAATCTGGCTTTGGATATTGCTGATCTGTGGCACGACGCCGCTCGAGAGGGGATTCGGCTGGCCCATGCGAGGCGACGGGGTTGACACGCCTTGGGGCGTGCCAGCGTGGAATGATGGGCTTTGCATTCCTCCTTGAGCCTGCATAGCCATCATGGCTGGATTGTTAGGCGTACCATTTGACATGTTCAGGTTGGGCGATCCCTGTGATGGAAACTGCTGATTGTGGAATTGTTGGCCTTGCGGTTGTTGCCTAGATTGAAGAAGGCGCTGCTGCTCCTGCAATCGATTCGCTTCTCGAATGACGCGAGTGTTATCGGGAGAGGTTTGCATCGCCATACCAGGTCTCACGCCTGGTCCTTGGATCTGATTGGGCATCATCTTCATAGCCATACCGTTGGGCATCTGGCCATTCGACTGTGCACCGGCCGGCATATTTTGCATTGAAAGAGGGCGGCCCTGATTGACACCGGCACCGGCTTGCATGCCATTAGGCACTCCATTCGAAGTACCTCCGGGCAGGCTAGGGTTAGAGGTGGGGGGCATGTTGGTGTTGCTGCGTCCTGGAGCGTTTGCCGCAGGCTGGTTAGGCGCTTGACCGGAACGCTGAGCTGCAAGACTAGCCTAAATGAGAGTTTAGTATAAAAAAGCTCTCTCGTGGAGATCAAGGGTAATTCACTCTTTGTTGCGCAATCATTTGCTGGCGGTACTGCTCTTGCCTTTCCTGCAGTTTCATCTCCCTGTCATATTTCAGCCGACTAAATTCAGCTGGCGATGAAATAGGCGGCTTGGGTTGATTGGCCTCGTTGGCCTTGCGCAATGAGGCGAGATGAGAAGCTAGAGGAAATGTCAGAGCTGTTATAATTGGTGATTCGATCTAGAACATACCATGCTGCTGCTTTTGAAGCATAGTCTCCCTCTTCTTAGCCAGCTTACGCATGGCATCAAGCAAAGCGAGATGTTTTGATGAGCGTCTCCTGTCAACGCGAATGGGCTGTGTAGACCTCCGGCGAATGGGTGGCTGAGGAGGACCGCTGTTGCCCTGCTGCTGTTGCTGCTGTTGCTGCTGCTGTTGCGCAGCCGCCTGCTGGGCCAGCACGGTACGCTGGGCGGTTTCAAGCCTCTGGTGGTAGGCCCGGAAGTATTGCGTCTTGGACATATCGGCCGGAAGACCTTCTAATCCTACCCATCGCTCGAAACATTCCCAGGGGGTCCGTCTCTCGGCTCCAGAAGTGAAAATAGAAGATGGAGTTAGGCAGCTGGAAATTAGAGACCAGTTGTAGGAGTACTCCTTGACCAAGCGTCGCAATTCATCATCCTCAGCAAAAGTCCACTGTGATGACTGACGTGACTCAAAGAACCCAACAGACGGCATCGGGTGTTCGGTTGGAGGTCGGAACGAGTGCCCGGGGTGAATGCGATCACGGATGGGTTTGTTCTCGGGGCGGAAAAGGGCGACATTGGTCTGCTCTGGGGGAAGATCGGTTATGCGATGCTCTGAATCGTTGTTGTACTGAGAGAAATCATATCTGCTCCGCTTGCGAGGACGATCATCATCATGGAAGGTGATCTTGGTCGACGCAAATTTAGAGACAGGCAGAAGCTCTGTCTTCCAGACTGAATCAGGGGGTGCTTTGAAGTCCGGTGCATTTGTTCCAGAGGCCATTGTCAGTGGCCCGTATATCGGCAGTTCGTCGAGTAGCTTCTCAGCAGCAGGGGTCATGTCGATGGAAAAGTTGAACTCATCCGAGCCGAGGGAGAAGATAGCGGCAGGAGTCACAGTGTCTTGGAGGTCATGGCGAGGCTCATCGTTGAATCCATCACTGACCGACTCCTCCTCGGCAGATGGAATAAGGTCCGGAGTGGGATGAGAGCCACCAAACGCTTCATCGCCAGTATCCTCGGAGGGCGGACTGAGGCCGGCCTTTGGTGCATCCTTCCCGGCCAAGGTTGGCAAAGGAATCTTCGTTTGAACACGCAGTAGAGCCCGGTGTTCCTCGTCGCTGGTGACATATTCGGCACACCAATCGGCACAGCTCTTCGCGGCAGCAAGCTTCCACTTGCGCTCCTCTCGAAAGTCGGTTCGCATCCATTTCATGTGGTCCATCACTACATCCCAATGTGATCCTTGCCGAGGAGGTTCGACAGAACGCTTCATTTGCCGCAAGGGCCATCGGTTGGCGTTTTGAAGTGCATAAATGCGCCGTAGAGTGCGACAATCCATGGACTCTTGGTATTCAAGCAAATGGTTGTTCGTACTCAATGTCTTGTGTGCAGAAGCCAACAAAGTATTGAGGTTTGTTCCCCGTGGGGGAGCGTAGGCTCGGTTCAAAAACAGTGTGAACAGATAGTCTTGTTCCTCGTTCAACTTGGCAACCGCATCCATGTCTCTGTGCAGTAGATCCGCAGACTCGGGCTGAGAGGCTTGCTGCTTGGGAAAAACCACTGTTGAAAGTCGGCTTCTCTCCTTCTCTCGGTCTTTTCGGTCCTTGAAACGCATTCTGGCAACGGAATCCGGGGATCCTTGCTCAGAGGGTGTGGGCGGAGCCCTGTCATGGTGACTCCTCGGAGTTTCTCCAAGGATTTCAGAAACAGACTTATGGCGGATAGCTCCAGACGAAACTCGCGTGGTCATGCGCTCTGGTTGCGACGATCCAGGCTGAGTACCAGGTATAGATGATGATGGCTTCTTGACAGGTGTGACAGAATCTACAGTAACGCCCATTGTGGAAGGCGACACGGATTTTGATACAGGTTGCTTCGCTTCAGAATCGGGAGCCGATTTGTCGACATCCATTTCATCTTGGAGATCATCAGCACTTGCGCTTTCCTTGATTTTCTCGTTTGACGAAGGCAGATCAGTGTTCACATCCACAGGTTCCTCCTGTGTCGAGCTGGCTTGTTCTAGGCGCAATTGCTCGTCGGGGGTGGACGGGACCAAGCTTGATCGTGGTTGGTCATGTTTATGTGGACGAGTGATCGTTTCCGCATCCTCGGCCACTTCTTCTGCAGGGCTTGTGTCGGGTGATGCAGCGGCCGGCACGGGTGTGTTATTAGAGTAAGGGTCGATAGAGGAGGCGGGTGAAAGAGGTTGTTCGGTATTAGAGGGCCCTAAAGTCAAAGACGGCTTCGCCTCTTTTCTTCGGGTGTCGGATGGGATGTCTAGTGAGGGAACTCCTATCGCAGTGCCCTTCACGCGAGGAGCCTTGACTTCGTTTGCATCTTGATTAGCATCGGAGATCGATGCGCTGACTTTCTGGTCGCGCGAGGATTGGGGTGATGGCGCAGCCGTTGGTGGCATTTCAATATCCTTTGGCGGCTGGGAGATGGTTGGCACAGATGGCCGACGTGATCCATTGGTTTCTGGTGAAGGCGCGACATGGGGAGCTGCAATTCCAGGTTGCGCCGATGCGGGTGTTTCGCCTTGGGTTGGTTCGGTCACCTGTGGAACACCGCCATCGACGGTGGATGGGGGGATGATTTCGGTAACAGGTTTGGTCTTGGTACCAGAAGCTGATGTCGGGGAAACTAAGCTTCTGGGTAGAGAACGCGCGCGCGCATGGGCGGGCGGCGGAAGCGTAGCTTCATCGAAGTATCGACCTCTGTATAGAGCATCAGCATTGCGAAATTAAATAATTTAATTTAATAATTGCAGATAATGTTAGAATTTTAGAGTAAGGCAGAGAGGGTACTCACTTGGAAAGGTCGTTGGCGTCGAGAAATGCTCGTTCCTTTTGCTGGTAATGCGAGTCCTCGGTCGCGCCAAACCCGACCGTGGCTAGATATAATGCGCTGAGCTTGCGCTTTCGGCGCGACAAACAGTTTCTGGCCACAAAGTCAGTCAAAACTTCATTTTCAAGCACTCAAATATCAAAAATACGCGACAGATAATTAATACTTACGCGATCTCATCGTTTTTAGACCGAAGGAGCTCGTCGCGGAGCATGGAGTCTAGCTTGGGAACACAGCATCCGATTAACGCGGGAACAAGGGAAACGGACTGAGCGAGGTCATCCAGATGGAAAAAATCGCTCGGACAAGATGGAAATGATGGAGAAAGGGAGTGAAGTGATGGAGAGCAGAGTCTTCTTTTGAAGGGGGTGAAAATGAGGTTACGGTATGGAAAAAATGTTTGGGGAAAAAGGACGGGTGGGTGGTTTGGGTACAGTACTCGCTCCCTCACAAAAATTACACGGGTGTGCCAAGTACCTGTACTTGGCCTCCCTGTGGTCTAGGGAAGGGTAATAAGGTTGGCTAACACTAGGAATGTATTATTCGAGCTATCAAATGTTTATGGGAGTTGGAACTGGCCAAACTGCCCAAGTAACTTCGTATGTAATGCGTAATCTTGTCATTCCTCCGCTTGCGGTAGTTTGACACCCGAGATATCGGGCATTAATAGACACCTCACTTATCCGGCACTAAGGATTCAAGGCCTGAGGGCTGTAAGGCAATAAGGCACCCAGGATCTTATCAGGCGGCGATAACCGGCCGGCAGAAAAGCAGAAAAAAAGTTATCATCCACCCAAGCTTCAACATCAAACAAGCATTGATATACAATCATGGTTAAACGCAAGAGAACTGATGCATCCAAGGAGGATAAGCCTGCTGTTCCTTCACCCAAGACTACCAAATCCGCCCCGGCACCATCAGAGACCCCCGATGCGGCTATCACTGTTCAAGTCATTACTGGCTCCTATGAGCGGGTCCTGCATGGATTCACAGCAGGAATCCCAGCTGCCAGCCTGAAGGCCAAGACTGAGGCCGAATCTCCCAAGTTCGACTGCGTGGACACCTTCTTGTTCGAGGCACATGGATCTGCAATCCGTTGTCTTGCCTTGTCACCGCTCCCCAAGGCCACCGACTCTGCTGAGCATCAAAAGGTGATGCTGGCTAGCGGTGCTACCGATGAACGTATCAACTTGTACTCTATCTCCGCCGCTCCTCCTGCTGTGAATGACGACTATCCCTCCGTGCCCACCCTCGCCGGAAACAAAATCCTCGAAAATCCCCGGAACCGCGAACTAGGATCCTTGCTGCATCACACTGCCAGCCTAACGTCATTGAGTTTCCCTTCCCGAAGCAAGCTACTTGCTGCTGGTGAAGACAACACCATCTCTATCTCCAGAACCCGTGACTGGTCCGTTGTTTCAACTATCAAAGCCCCAAACCCCAAAGTGCAAGGACGGCCAAGCGGTGACACCGCACCACTCGGCGGTGCTCCATCTGGAGTGAACCACTTTGCAGTACACCCCAGCATGAAACTCATGCTGACTCTCGGCAAGGGTGAGAGGTGTATGAGATTGTGGAACCTGGTAACCGGCAGAAAGGCCGGAGTGTTGAACTTTACACGGGAGGTGCTCATGGGTGTTAACGAGTCGAGATTCAGCAGTGGTGAGGGTCGCCGCATTACTTGGGACTCGGAAGGAGAGGAGTTTGCAGTTGCATTTGAATGGGGTGCAGTGGTTTTCGGAATTGTAAGTTTCTTGTTATCATTCTTTTTGAAATCACCTTCTGACCATCGGCTATAGGACTCAATCCCAAAGTGCAGAGTGGTCCCTGGACCTCGGAGCAAATTGCATCAGATGAAGTATGTTTCTCTGCCTGTAAAGGGTGATGAGAAGAAGGATTTCCTGGTTCTCTCCACAGAGGATGGCCGGGTGATGTTCTATTCGACCAAGGACCTGAAAGAGGCAAAGGATGATAACGACTGTACCATCCCCCATGCAACCCCTGTTGCTCAGCTTGGTGGAAAGCAGGCCGGCTTCGCTGGTCGCATCAAGGATTTCGACATCCTCAGCTTGGAAGAGCAAGCAAAGGAACTCCGTAATGACTTCCTGGTTGTGACTGCCAGTAGCGATGGTGTGGTTCGTGTATGGAAGGCCTCTGGGAAGGACCTTGCAAAGGCAAAGGATGAGACTGTTCAGATTGGAAGAGTTCTGACTACCTATGAGACTGGAAACCGCATCACCTGCCTGACATCGTTTGTCATGTTGCCTGCAGAGGACCCATCCACGCTATTTGACTCTGAGGAAGAGAGTTCGGAGAACGAGGAGGACTCCAGTGATAGCGACGACGAGTAATACGTGGCTCTCACCTGTTATACCCTTTGTACCATTGATAAAACAACGGCAATGTATTCATGAGCAAAAGTTTGACGCCTTAGAAACATAGAAAGTTCTCTGTGGTCTATCCCTGCACCACATTAGTTTAGAATATCTCCAAATCCACAATAAATTTTAACAAGCTACAAGTTACATACTACATGCGTCAAAAATATAAAATAAAAACAGAATTACCATCAAGTATACTATACAAAAGTGTAGAGTTGCCATCTAGACACCGCCCGAGTGGCTCTCCACTGCACACAATCCCCCACCTACATTCTTTCATCAGTATCGGAAGCAATTTTCACCCGACCAACTTCCACCCTCCACCTTTTCCACCTCTCCGCGCGAATCGATTTTTTCCTCTTCCGCAATCATGGCTACCAACGGTGATTTCTCCGATGAGGGGTCCCAGCCCGGCTCGCCTTTGCTCGACGCCCACAACGCCCGCGGCGAGGTCGAGGACCAGGAGCCTCTTGAGGAGGAGAAGCCCACCAAGTCCGCGATGAAGAAGCCCTCTGCTCCTGCTCCCCAGCATGTGCGCCCAGAACTCCCCGAGCAGCCCGAGCCCTCGACCCTCGATCTGTCCAAGTTGACTCCTCTGTCGCCTGAGATCATTTGCAGACAAGCCACCCAGAACATCGGTATGTGATCGCTGGATCGTGACTGCGTTTCGATCTCTTTTTTGTTGGGAGGTATTTTGCGGGCAACGGATGAATTTCAGCGGAACTGGTCCTGCGCTCGAAAATGCACATCCTGTGAACTCATTCTTTTCCGGGCTACAGATTGACTAACGGGTTTTTTATAGGTACCATCGGTCACGTCGCTCAGTTAGATTCCCTCCTCCGATATTTTTATCCTCCGAGTCACTAATATTTTTCCAGCGGTAAATCGACTGTCGTCAAGGCCATTTCGGAGGTGCAGACTGTTCGTTTCAAGAACGAGCTTGAGCGCAATATTACCATTAAGCTCGGTTACGCCAATGCGAAGATTTACAAGTGTGACAGCCCCGAATGCCCCCGGCCGACATGCTACAAGAGTTTCAAGAGTGAGAAGGAGGTCGACCCTCCTTGTGAGCGCGATGGATGCACAGGTCGTTACCGTTTGTTGGTATGTTTCTCGCCCTTTGCCCGATTGCAGGGCTTTCTTTCTACCGATAGCGAGCTAACATTCAATATAGCGTCATCTCAGGTACATCGAATTCCCAATCCGCCCTTCAGGCTCGATTTCAGAGTCATTCTGCGTCGAATATAGGCTAACATATGGTACCTCAAAGTTTCGTTGATTGCCCTGGTCACGATATTCTCGTGAGTCTCCACCTTCTCCAGATTCTCTGTCTTTTTTTTGAGATTTGAATCTAACCCAAGCTTCGCAGATGAGCACTATGCTTTCAGGTGCCGCCGTCATGGACGCTGCCCTCCTCCTGATTGCCGGAAACGAAACCTGCCCTCAGCCCCAGACTTCCGAGCACTTGGCTGCTATTGAGATCATGAAGCTCAGCCACATCGTTATTCTCCAGAACAAGGGTATTTTTTTTATTCTGTCTCGAGTTGCGCCTCTATGCATATTCTAACGCCGTCTCCTAGTCGATCTTATGCGCGAAGAGGGTGCCCTCGAGCACTACCAGTCGATCCTCAAGTTCATTCGTGGTACCGTCGCCGATGGCTCCCCCATTATTCCCATCTCCGCTCAGTTGAAGTACAACATCGATGCTGTCAACGAGGCCCTCGTCAACACCATCCCCATTCCTCCCCGTAACTTCGAGGCTTCTCCCCACATGATGATCATTCGTTCCTTCGATGTCAACAAGCCCGGTGCCGAGATCGACGAGCTCAAGGGCGGTGTTGCTGGTGGTTCCATCCTTACCGGTGTCGTAAAGTTGAACGACGAGATTGAGATCCGTCCCGGTCTTGTCACCAAGGATGAGCAGGGCAAGATCCAGTGCCGTCCCATCTTCTCCCGCATTGTCTCTCTCTTCGCTGAGCACAACGACCTCAAGTTTGCCGTTCCCGGTGGTCTTATCGGTGTCGGTACCCGCGTCGACCCCACGCTTTGCCGTGCCGATCGTCTCGTTGGTTTCGTCCTGGGTCACCGTGGCCGTCTCCCTGCTATCTACACCGAGATCGAGGTCAACTACTTCCTACTCCGCCGTCTTCTCGGTGTCAAGACCGCCGACGGCAAGCAGGCCAAGGTTGCCAAGCTCGCCAAGAATGAGGTTCTCATGGTCAACATTGGCTCTACTGCCACCGGTGCGAAGGTTCTCGGTGTCAAGGCCGATGCCGCTAAGCTCAGCTTGACCAGCCCCGCTTGCACGGAGGTTGGTGAGAAGATTGCCATTTCTCGCCGTATCGAGAAGCACTGGCGTCTCATTGGATGGGCCAACATTGTTGCGTAAGTTCTACAGGCCTAGTAACACTTTCATAACATATACTAACTACTTCTCTACAGTGGTAACACCCTTGAGCCCATTCAGCAGTAAAGCGATTCTTTGAATGATGTCCCAGTTCGAAATGGGGAGGTTCAGGGAAAGAGGTCTGTTATATCGAGGAAAATACGCAAATAAAACTCCTGCTATATCTTCGACCAACGATCTCTCCGCCCGCCAACCCTCGAACACGAGTCTTGCGATTTACGATCATAGATCGCAGAAAATTTTACGGTCATGACGAGTCGGAAAAAGTAAACACATGATATACCTGATTCCCCTGGCTGATAGAGAGATGGTGGTGGGAGAGGAGACATGCATTCCTGCATTGTCGCCACCTTGATCAAATTACCTGCTTCATGCATGTCAGCTACCACGTTTGGCTCACGACAGCACGACAGCGGATTTGGTCTACAGGGTGGAAGACTACTAGGATGTGAGGTCGGCGAATGAGAGACGTGTTTTGTTGTGTTTTCGAGGGAGTTGTTTTCAAGAGGTTTCCTGTTCATTGCTCATTTTGTGTCTGCATCATCGGATCTTGTGTAGATAAGGACCTTTATAGGTCTGTGATCAAAAATGTAAGAGGAAGTCATGATTATGACAATTGAGGAGCTTGCATGTTCAATGTGTTCTATTCTCCGGCTGGGATATACAATAGAGCTAGGTTGTAGCAGGTGTAGTGCCGATATTGAATGCTGGTTATAAATATATCGTGCCTGACAGGCGCCAAAAGTTATCACCGACAAGTTGAATTTGAAAAAGCCTTAAGTTAATTGAAACCAAAGCACACATTGATAATCCCATAGCCATACAACAACCAATTCAGAAAAATAAAAGCGAGGGTCTTGACAATGTAAGCATTCGGATTTATGGTCAATATGAACAAACCCTTACCACCTCAGTCCTATTATTTACTTGGAGATAGTGCATTTGACTTGAAACTAATAGTTCTCTTACCTCCCGACTTAAATACTCTTTGCAAAGACGAATTGTCTACCAAGTAGCATTCGTGGTGTATTCCCTGGGGGCCTGCATGACGATCTGACTAAGGCTCGCAACAACAAAGTAACTTCTGTCCTTTGAAACAAAGCAACTTTCTTTCTTCGCCTTGCGCGACTTCAATCATGTATATTCTCGAGGTAAGTGGATTTCACTGTCATATCTCTCTTGACATTTCTTGCCATCTGAGACGTTCTTCAATTCTCGTCAGGACACCATGGCTTTGCTAACCACTTACAGCAACTGGCGCGCCTTCTCGATCGCCCGCTCTTCCCATGGAAGAACGTGCTCGTGGGCTTCTCCCTGGGGCAGTTTGTCCTGGAGGGTCTTCTATCGCTCCGTCAATACAAGATTCTGCAACGTACTAAGCCTCCCCAGGTTCTCGCTGGGGAGGTCACCCAGAAGGTCTACGACCAAAGTCAGGTATGAATGAGACAACCCGTGATATAGACAAGAGCTCATTGGAATATTTCTGCAGGCATATGGTCGCGCAAAGGCCAAGTTCGGTCTATTCTCCGGTCTCTACGGTCAAATTCAAAACCTCGCATTCATCTACGGTGATGTCCTTCCCAAGATCTGGGGCGTTAGCGGCCTCCTGCTGGCGCGATACCTCCCCGATCGGTTCCAAGGCGAAATCTGTCAAACTCTGGTCTTCTTCTTCGGTTTCAACATTCTAAGCACTGTCCTCTCGCTGCCCGTCTCGTACTACAACACCTTTGTTCTCGAGGAGAAGTTCGGCTTCAACAAGCAGACGCTCAAGCTTTGGATCACGGATATGCTCAAGGGTCAGATGCTCGGAATTGTTCTTGGTGCTCCCATCATCACTGGTGTGCTCAAGATCGTTCAGAAGTTCGATACCTCGTTCTACTACTACCTCTGGCTGTTTGGAGTCTTCCTCCAGGTGTTCGCCATTACCATCTACCCCATTGCCATCCTGCCTCTGTTCAACAAACTCTCGCCTCTTGAGCCTGGTGAACTTAAGACTGGTGTCGAGAAGCTGGCTGAGAAGCTCAACTTCCCTCTTTCCGAGCTCCACGTTATTGACGGTAGCAAGCGCAGTGCCCACAGCAACGCCTACTTCTACGGTCTACCATGGAAGAAGCACATTGTTATTTACGATACCTTGATTGAGAAGACTGAGCCCGAGGAGGTTGTCGCTGTTCTCGGCCACGAGCTTGGTCACTGGAGCTTGAGCCACACCACTAAGCTCTTCGGTATTGCCCAGTTCCACATGTTCTACATCTTCGCTCTGTTCTCCGTCTTCGTCAACAACAAGTCTCTCTACCAGTCCTTCGGCTTTGTCAAACAGCAGCCCATCATGATTGGCTTCCTTCTGTTCTCCGATGCCCTGGCCCCTATGGATGCTGTTGTCAAGCTTCTCATGAACATCCTCAGCCGGAAATTCGAATTCGAAGCCGATGAGTTTGCTCAGAAGCTTGGATACTCGGACAAGCTCGCTTCTTCGCTCCTCAAGCTCCAGATCCAGAACCTGAGCACCATGGACGCTGACCCGCTCTATGCCAGCTACCACTACTCGCACCCCATCCTCCCTGAGCGTCTCGCTGCGCTTGGCTGGAAGGGTGGCAAGGTCACCAGTAGCAAGGAGGAGGACAGTGAGACGCCCGTCAAGGCAGCTGACCGTGAGCTGTAAGCAGGCGTGTGAGATCTTTCCTTCCAGTTTACAGTATCGGTTGAAGTAATCTTTTCTAGTCTCAACAAGCAGAATTGAGGCATGGGATTATCCCATCTATTGACTTGAAGCTATTCTAAACTCCATAAAATTTGTCCAGGCATGAGATGCAAGATACTTTTGTACTTTTAAATCCAAGCCCAGCCCAGAATGATAGACGTAACAGACAAAAAAAAAAAAAAAAAAAACTCCGACCCAATGCATCAACGCCCACAACCAAATAGGGATATACCTCACTCAGAATTCTCCTCAACAATAGCCTTAGCCTTAGCCTTATCCTTCTTCTCAGCCATCCGTCTCTCTTTCTTCTTCCGCTTGCGCTCCTCCTTATCAATCCCAGCCTCCTGCTCCGCAAACGCCTCAGCCTCAGTCTCAAACTCGGCCTCATTCATCTCAAGGTCATTGCCCTCATCCGCCTCGTGCTCCACATTGTTCGGCACAACGCCAGCCGCAACATCCAAATACTCCTCGCCGGGGTTCTGCTTGGCAACAGTCAAGTCGCGACCAAGGTGCTCGCCAGATAGACCTGCTTGCACGCGCTTCAGGTTGTGCAGGATCAGATTTGGGGCTGCGGCTGTCGTACGCGAGACCGGGCCGTGCTCGCTGATGCTGGCGTTTGGTTGCAGGGATGGGTCTGTGGCTGCGCGGTCCAGGTAGGCTGCTAGGAAGTCATGCGCAGCTGACTGGCTGATTGCTGTGGTGCCTTGCACTGTTGTTGGGGGCAGCGTGGAGGGGCCGTTGGTTGCCATTTTGGTGGTTGTTCGCCGATGGGTGCGGGTTTGAGAGGAGGTATGTCCAGCTGCTATTTGGAAGGAGCTGAGAGTCGGTGTTTCTGCTGAGTTGAGGGTGGTTTACTCGCAGCGCAGAGAGTTGAATGGGCGACGGCGAGCAGTTCGCATCTCGAGATCAAAAAAGTTTCGGTGGCGCTAGGCCCGATTAGGTAGGTATTCTTAACGGGCTTGCGGTGCTTCAATTGCGTCAGTTCTTGGTTAAAATGTGCAGGAGAATAAGTTTAATAGAAGAATACAATTATCCATATATCTCAAATACTTCCTATATCAATATCACGCCCAATAGCCCAGTTACTGCAGACATACATCTCCAGGCGGGTCCGTGCCTCGGCGGCTCCGCGCTTAATTTTCTGTCTTCCGACCACCGCGTCTTCAAGATCTCACATCCATTGAAAGCCCTCCCAACCCGCCTCTCCCGTTTCTCCAACCGGGTATTCAAAATGTTCAGCCTGCGCACCGGGGCCTTGCCCCAGGCCATCCGGGCCTCCACATCCACCATGCGAGCCCCAATGACCAGGTACGCAACAGCAACCCCAACCAACCCTATAAATCGACAATCATCCCCGACCAGAAACAGCATATAGCTAACCCTCTCTTCTTCCACCGGCCATAGGTTCTCCCAAATCCCTCAACAACCAAGCACATCCACCATCCTCACCTCCAGACCCTTCTCTCTCCTCTCAACCCCAACCCGCTTCCAACCATCAACACTTGGCTCTCGCCTTCCCTCGACACTCACAACATCCTTCTCACCACTCTCATCACTCCGCGCCGGAGCCGGCCAAGTGCCTCTGCAGTCTCGGTCCTTCTCGGCTAGTGCGTCGCTCGGCGTGCGCCGTGTCACGTTCCGGCCGTCGCGGCGGGTGCAGAAGCGCCGCCATGGATATCTGGCGCGGAAGAAGGATCGCAATGGACGGAAGACTCTTACGAGGAGGCTTTTGAAAGGGCGGAAGGAGTTGAGTTGGTGATTTTGTCGGGGGGTTTATACCAACGTGTATGTGTTTTGATGGATAGGTTGGGATTCATTGTATCATTGTACTTATTGGTCTGGGTTTATGGCCATGATGTAGGGAGAATAGAGGGGATTGACTGCCTGACTCTGCATTCTCGAGACTGATTCTTTCATAGGGGTCTTTTGAGATGGGCTTTGGGGTTCAGATGAGATGATGTGGCTCTTGTCTGGCGTGTACCATATTACCTCTGCTAGAGGAGGTGTGAGACTTTCATATAGTTTGAATTTTCAGCTTCGTTTTTTTTTGTTTCAATTTGCCTTGGGGCTACATTTATTCTGGACCGGGTCATGTTCTTGAGTATTGAGAGTTGATTCATCATGCCTAATTTATGTGGAGTCTCTCGACACTCAAGTACCACTGGGATCTACCCTCTAACTTTACCTGTAATGCATGAAATTCATGAAGCATATCACTCTTCATCGCCACTCTCTTCCTCGCTTTCGTCGTCTTCTTCGTCATCATCATCATCCTCTTCTTCCTCGTCACCAGCCTTCAGACCATAGTCGTCTTCGAATTCCTTCAGAGCTTGAACAGTAGGAGTGAAGCCAGAGGCTTCGAAGCCCTGCTTGATAGTCTGAGAATATATGTTAGTATATACAAGGCATACAAATAGAATTATAACTCACCTCTTCCAAGACAGTCGCGCAGGTGACAACCAAGTTAGCCGTCTTAGGAGCAAACAGTGGCAGAATGATCTCACGCAGAGCACCCTTGATCTCATCAAGGGTAATACCGCGCACATTCTTGAGCATCTTCTCCTTGTAGTCACTAGGCAAGTTACGCACGACCTGGCGAATGAAACTGCCCTGAGCAGCACTAGCAGCAGTCATCTGCTCATTGGCAAAGTTGACCACAATGCTGCTAATAGCACCCTCAAGCATAAGCGGATCGAAAGGCGTAGCACCAGACAGATGGTCCTCGACAATCTGCTTGCTGGACTCGAAGGCCTTATGGGCATTGGGAGACCGGTACACATCAAAGTTGACAAAGCCAGTATCGATGTTGTAGCTGAAGTTGGTGCCGTATGCCAGACCAGTTCCGCGGACTGCAACCCAGAGGGGACCCTCGACGGCGTTCATGTAGGAGATCGCAACCAGCAGGGCGGGCAGCTTCGGGTGGTCGTACGAGTCAAGACCACGGCCGGTGGCGTAGGCGAAGGACGAGTCGACCGTCGGCATGGGGACGATGTAGGACTTGCCGCCAATGTTCTTACCTGCGTCGCTCAAGCGCTCGCGGCGGACGGTGATGGGTCGGAGGTCAGTGCTGGTGCCCAGAGTTTCGGCAAACGACTTCCAGGCCGAGACGGGGTTCTTGAGCTTCTCGAGGTCCGCAATGACAATGACGCGGACGTTGTCGGGCTGGAAGAGAGAAGTGCGGATCTCCTCCATGCGGGCCACAACCTCCTCGGGGGTTTCGGCGAGCAGACGCTTAATGCGCTTGAGGTAGCGAGCCTTGACGAGAGTGGAACGAGCACGGACGATGGATTCCGGGGCGTAGTGAACCATCACATGGGCTGCGGCGAGCATGTCATCACCACTGCGCTTGGAGTCGGGGACATCGGCCAGCAGGCGGGTGTTGATGGCACGGAGCCTCTCTACGTCGAAGATGGACTTCCAGGACAGCTCCTGCAGCCATGCGATGGCGTTCTCATACTTCTCTAGCTCGACCTGGAAGGAAACACGGAGCATCTCAGAGTTTCCAAGACCACGAGCATTTTCCATAGAGTATCCAACAGTGTCTCTCTCCAGCTGGACCACGACTTGCTCAAAGTCGATTGTCTTGCCATCACGCTGGATGGGACTGTTGAAAAAGGCCTCAGTGTAGATGGAGAGCAAGGGACGCAGTTGAACGGGCACAGAGTCAGCAGAAATAAGGACCGCCAACTGAACGAAGCTGCTGGGGATGTGCTCGAAGTGAATGAAGAGGGACTGGTCAGACTTGTCGGCATCAACGACCTGTTGGATCTTATTGTCGGGACGTCCAGCCTTCAAAGCAGCACCCGAGCGCGCTGTTGTTGTATCCATGAAATGGATAGACTCGGTTCCAGGAATAGCAAATTTCTCCAAGAGCTCCTGGGGAATCTCCTTGTCGTTCTCCGCCTTGGCCTTTTCAAGCTTGGCAGCAAGCTCCTTGAGGCCCTTTTGACCAAGGCGCTCCTTCTGCGCAGCGACTCGGTCCTCTTCGTCCTTCTTCAATGTCTCGGACATCTTGTGGGATGGCACACCCAAGATGGTAACATGGGCCGCATCGGAGATCCATTTCTTGATAAAATCGCGCCACTGGTCCTGAGACCAGGCCTCAAGGGTATCGTACTCCTTGAGTGACGCAACATCCATCATGGTCGAGCCATCTCGCTTTCCAAAGAGGAAGTCAGAGATGACGTACTCTGCGAACGAGGAGGCAGAGGTCTCTGTCGAGAACTTCCAGGTCCGGCGCTGACGATCAATGCACTCTTTGAGATACTTCATATCCAAGTCTTTGCTCATGGCATCCTGGAGAATCTCAAAGAATCTGTGCTCAACTTGTTCGAGCTTTTCGGTGGCGACACTGGTCAAAGTGAAACGAATTTCCATGCTGGGGTGATCCTCGGTTGCATAGTACACAGCACTGGCAAGCTGCTCTTTCTCAACAATGATGTTCTCCAGAAGGGCAGCAGATGAACCAGCGAGGTACAAAAGAGACACATTGAGAGCTCCGGCTGTGTGATTGTCAGTTCTATCCAGAATCAAAAGATAGCATTGTGCAAAACGTACATTGAACAGGATCGGTACAGTCAGGTCCCATGAACCGGATCTCAATTTCACCAAAGTCTTCATCTTCCTCGGGGAATTCAACCTTCTTGATAACTGACTTCTGCAAATAAGGAGCCTGCACGGAGTCCACCCAGGGTCTCTTGAAAGGCGCATCTGGGCTAGGAATAACATCCAAGATTGTGTCTTCGAATTTATCCAGAATGTCAAGCATGTTCTGCTGATCGACCTCGCCGGTAATGATCAGGCACAGGTTCTTGGGCTGATACATCTCGCGATGGAACTCGCGAATACGCTCCGCAGACAAGACACGCAGCTGTTCCATCATACCCCCGGTCTCGTAACGGAAGCCATTGCCCTCTGGGTAAGTCAACCGCCGGGCTTCTAGGTCAATTAGCTCAGCGGCATTGTTCTGCACGCCCTGCATCTCAGAGTACACAACACCGGCATCATTTCCAGTGCCATCGACATGGAAAACCTCAGTATAGCAGCCTTCGTCGGTCAAAGTGGGAGCAATAACATGCTCAAGGTAGACTGGCAAGATACGCGCAAAGCCTTCCCAGCCTGCGGTATCCAGAGTGTAGGCTGTGTGATCTGTGGCTGTCCAGGCATTGGTACTGGAGTATACACGGGTAGCAAGCTTGTCCAGGAAGCCCTTATAGCGATAGTTACGAGATCCCATGAAGCACAGGTGCTCTAGAGTGTGAGGAGCACCAGAGTCATCGTGGATCTCAGTGGCAAGCACAAAGTAGCCATTCACCTTGGGACCGGGCTGGTCAATGACAACCACCCTCATACCGGTGCGCTGTGATTCATACTGGGTAAACTCGCTTGGCGAGTAGTCTGGCTTGAACTGCTGGAGCAGTTTGAAATGACTGTTTTGCACCGAGGGCGACATATTGATCAATGGGGCAGGCCCAGTGAAGATATTTCGCTGGAAGCTTGACAGTCTAAAGGTTTTCGTCAGCACGTTTCATCTCAAGGAGATTCGAGTCTCATCGCCAGCGCATCCACAGCGGGGAACATTCTGATACCAAGCCCGAAACTCAGAAACCGGAGAGGACTTGTCCAAATCGAGATGATGGACACAAGAAGGACAGTATACATCCTCTTTATGGCCACATCATATACCTTGAAAGCACATGGCTACCTGGTCTGGGCTCCTACGATCACATCCTGCCGAGGAAGGACATGAATCGAGGGGCAGACAGAGAAAATTGGGATATCAAATGGCCCCTCCAACAACGGCACATCAAAAACCAAGACTTACAGAAACAAAGGTTTTGCCCGACTCAGGCGTAAAAATCGAGACACGATGAGTGTTCAGAGTGTGCGCTGGACCCAGGCGGAGTTTGGGTCCCGTTCCTTACAAAGCGAGCTCAGTGTTGGAGATTTAAAGAACGGTCACTCGGAGTATCAAAATTAGGGGTTATATGTCATGTCCAAATAGTATCTTGAGTCCTCTTCTCTCTTCTCTCTGAACGCGAATATACGAATGTAATCACACGTGGGGGCGGTGACACCCAAGGTCACGGGTTGTTGACAGCTTAGCTCTTTGCTTCTACACTTCATTCTAACCAGCACCTTTTTCTCGATAATTCGCCCTCAAACACTCGAATCACTGGCGCCATGGCCGGGAATACCGGAGATGAGGAGGTGTGCCAGGCGGTGCTGGGCTTCGTCGCTGAGGGCACGTACCCCGAGGAGAAGGTGGTTGCTGGCAAGTTCCCGGCAGCTGCCCTAGCCAGGGAGTTGGAGCTTATCTCCAAAGCTCGTGAGCAGGTAGAGGTAGGAACTTTCAATTATTCATTTGCTGATCGCATTTACTGACTTGCGCTTTGTGCCCGCTCAGAACGAGATCAGCTCCCTGAGTCGCGAGAACACCTTTGACGCCGACGACTGGATCATCCAAGCGAAACAACTTCACGCAGACATTGAACAGTCTAGATTAACTGCGCGCGAGATTGTCGCCCAGCATGAGCATACCAATCCCCTACAAGCTAAGGTTGAAGACGCAAAGGCGAAAGTCGCATTGGTTGAGAAGGAGATAGCCTTCAACGAGGCCGTCGCAGACACCCTGGGGGAGGTACAGCAACTGTGCCAGCAGCTGGAAAATGGACGCGCTGCCCTCAGAAATGGCCAGATCACGATTGCCATTGAACAACTGGAGTCTACGGACGCGGCTGTTGGGAAGGATGCTTTTTTTACCAATACAAATGTGATAAGCATATTCTCCGGAGAGGTGGCACAGCTGCGAACTGAGATTATTGAAGCGCTTCATATGCGCTGGGTAGACCAACTGAAGGTCGATCGACAGAATCGCGAATTCCAGGTCTCCAAGACGGACGCAACTGCTCTTGAGGACACTATCGCATCACTTGCCAGGATGGATATCCTTATATCTGCCAACGAAAAGTTTCAAAAGGACTTTTCCTCTACAATTCTCAACCCAATTTTGCTGCCTCTCCCGGATGGCACCAGCCATGGCGTTGTGGTGACGGATACCAGCATCCGAATTGAGCCCGAGGCCTCAAAGGCCACCATTTCAGAGACTTTGGATCGTCTTTCTCTTGTATTAGAGCATTTGCGACAGAACCTACCTTCAGTGGTATCTGCAGCCCTCCCCGAGACTTTCATTCCAAGCATCGCTTCAAAGGTGATCTCAGAGTGGCTATCTTCTGCCATCCCCACAGATCTAGCTGGTCTTGCCGATTTCGAGAAATTATTGAACAATGTCCTGCAGTTCACTCAGACAATCGAGTCTTGGGGTTGGACTGGCCAGGAAGAACTGTTCGCGTGGGTCAGTCAGGCTCCACGTTTATGGTTGACTCGGCGTCGGGTCGACTCACTCGATAGTGTTCGGAAGGTCCTCGCTGCTAGCCAGAGCACAACCAAACGGGTTGAACGTGTTGAGAAAGAGAAGGTTTCCCAGTCCGATGAGGCACTCTTGGAAAATGCTGTCAATGATGACTGGGACGCGGACTGGGATGATGATAAAGAAAACACGTCTGTGAAAGGAGATAAATCAAACCCTCACGAAGAAGAGGAAGACGTTAGTGCGTGGGGTCTTGATGACGACGAGACTCAAGATGAGCCCAATCCAGATGCAGCTGTATCAACAGAAGATGATGAGGCTGATGATGCCTGGGGCTGGGGTGATGAGGAGGAAGAAGCCCAGAAAGCCGACACTGAGACTTCAAAGCCACATAACACTGCTGCAACGAACCAAACAGACGTAAAGAATACTACCGGGTCTCAGTCGCCTAAAGAGGTTACTCTGAAGGAAGTGTTTACCATTACCGATATCCCAGAGTCGATTCTCAGGGTGGTTCGGCAGCAAATCACTGATTCAAAGGATATCTCGCAGCCTACGTAAGTCATGCCCGCCACTACTTCACTTCCATCGAAACTAATGAGGTCTTAGACATGCTGATTCCCGCGTTGCCTCTGCTGGGAATGGTCTCTTGGCTCTTCCGACCCTCATCCTGGCCATGTTCAAAGCTACATCATCGACGTTCTACTCGATGAAGCTTAGCTCAGGGCAGATGTATCTCTACAATGACAGCTTGTATCTCGCGGATGAAATCCGGAAGCTGGTTGAGGAGCACGATCTCTCCAGGCTTCAACCAGATGTTGAAGCATTGGAGAAGTTCGGGAAGCTTGCTTATAGCAAGGAGATGCAAACCCAGCGAACTATTGTTACCGATTTGCTAGATGGAGCTCAAGGATTTGGACAATGTTCCGAACAGCCATTCCAGTCAGACTGCGAGAACTCTGTCATGGTCACTGTTGACCGGATCCGTGATGTCTATAAGGAATGGCAACCCATTCTGTCACACTCTGCTCTACTCCAGTCTATTGGGTCACTATTGTCTACAGTGATAAACAAGGTTGTTATCGATGTCGAGGATCTGGGAGATATCTCAGAAGATCAGTCCCGGCAACTAGTCTCTTTCTGCAACCAAATTTCAAAGCTTGAAGACTTGTTTATGCCCGAGAATGGTGATGCCGAGGCTTTGCCTGTCACTGCAATCTACGTCCCAAGCTGGCTTCGCTTCCAGTATCTGGTCAACATCCTGGAGAGTTCACTCGCCGATATCAAGTTCCTTTGGATGGAAGGTGAGCTGGGCCTGGAATTCTCCGCTGAGGAGGTGATTGACCTGATTGAGGCATTGTTTGCTGAATCTGATCATCGGCGACGAGCCATTGCGGAGATTCGCAGAGCTCCTAGAGAATAGATGTCAATTTACAAACAAGCAATATATCACCTAGAGACTCCGTATATGAATTTATTCACAGAAACCATGTTCCTAGCGTATTGCATATAGTAACGGGGCCTATCTCCGCGCTCTGCGCAAGTGTGCCGCACAGGTCACCGTATTTTTTCTTCGCCCGCCGAAAATGCGACAGCCACCAGAAAAGATTCTATCTCCAACATCAGCACCGATTTGGACTCGATTTCACCATGAGTGAAGATCAAATCATGTCAGGAGCCTCTGAGGCTGCGCAACGACAAGTTCGTGTGCAGCTCACCAGCCAGCAGGAGGATATTGCTCTGCCTGAGAGCACCGGCCCAATTCTCGTTCCCACCGGTAAGTTGATGGTGATCAAAAAGTAAGAGCCACAGTACTAACGTCTCTTCTGTGCAGGTCTTCGCCGTTATGCGCTGTCGACATTGGTGAACAACCTTCTCTCGAGCGAGAAGCCAATTCCATTTGAGTTTTTGATCAACGGAACTTTTCTGCGGACCTCGATTGACGAATATTTGATCGACAATGGTATTTCTGCTGAGACAACCCTCGAGATTGAATACGTCCGGGCTTTGATCCCTCCTCTTCACATCGCCTCTTTCCAGCATGACGACTGGGTCAGCTCCACTGACGTCCTTTCCACCACTTCACCCGCTGCATCATGGGCATCAGGCGCAACCGTCAAGAAGGGCCAAGAGAGACTCCTTTCCGGAAGTTATGACGGTCTTCTCCGCATCTGGAACATGTCATCTGAGACTATTGCGACCTCCCCTGCTGCCACCGAGGGCGGCCATACTGCCTCCATCAAAGCCACCAAATTCGTTTCCCCGAACCAGATTGCTTCGGCGGGTCTTGACCGCACAGTCCGTTTGTGGAAGTATACCGAGGACGAAGGTGGTTTCGCGGGAAAGATTGCTCCCCAATTGGAGCTGTACGGTCACAAGTCTGGAATCGAGTCACTATCGGTGCACGCGAAGTCCAACCGCCTTTTGACTGGTTCTTCAGACCACACCGTAGGATTCTGGTCAACCAAGAAGGCTGACGCACCGGCCGCACCAGAGAGCTTGCTTCCTTCCAGCGCTCGCAACTCCAAGCGCCGCAAGCTGAACTCCTCTGTTAGCACTGCCCAGCGCGGACCTCTGTCCCTCTTGTCTGGACACACTGCACCCGTCTCTGCCGCCATCTTTGACGCCAAGGATGCCACTGTTGGTTACTCTGCCTCATGGGACCACTCCCTGCGCACTTGGGATTTGGTCACTGGCGGTCTTGTCGACACCCGCACCACATCACACTCGCTTCTCTCCCTCGAGCACCTCCCCGAACTCAACCTCCTGGCTGCAGGCACTGCCGCCCGTCATATTACTCTGATTGATCCCCGTGCATCTGCCACAACTGTTGCAGCTATGACTCTCCGTGGCCACACCAACGCCGTTGTGAGCTTGGCTCGCGATCCCCACAGCACATATGGACTGATTAGTGGTAGCCACGATGGCACATGTCGTATCTGGGATATCCGGTCTACCAAGACCGATAAGGAAGGTGTTATCGGTGAGAGCGTTTACTCCATTACACGGAAGAGCCTCGAGGAGGAGGGCAAGGCCGACAGCAAGCGTGTTGGCGGTGAGGGTGTCAAGGTGTTCAGCGTGTGCTGGGACAAGACGATTGGAATTGTCAGCGCTGGTGAGGACAAGCGGATTCAAATCAACCGCGGAGAGGGTGTCTTGTCTTCCAAGGCATGAGTTGCTTGCACATATGGGCTTGGCGTTTAACACTTGGTTGAGGGCAAAAGTTGAGAATCTACCTAGATACATATTATTTTTTTACTGTTCCATCTCTCATAATTTTAGCTTGGAACTGAATGTATATGTATATCTTTGCAAGACTACAGTTTCTACGATCTTACAGTCTTGTCGAGTAGAAAACATCAATTCTTTGTCAAGGGCACTAAGTACAAACTTATAGGCTCGGTTGTAGCTCTGCACTGGATGCAGGTGTATATCTATTTGTAAAACTACGGACTCCGTACAATTTCAAAGATTACCGCATTGTCGAGTAGAAGTATTTGTTTTGCTATTGTTCACACCAGGTTTATTTCTAGCCTATAATACATCCAGAGCGGTGATACATTCAAATACAGTTCAGCCTGGCAAGTACCAGGTATCAAGAAAACGCCAATTCCATGCCCCTCACACAAAAGCGTGAGACAATTCCATAAAAGCACACAGCGAACAAGCTACCGTCCAATTTAGAGCCTTCGCTCCATGCGGTTCAACCGGACAGGAGTTTTGATCTGTTGAACATCCATTAGCCACAATCCACCTCCAAGCGAGTCAATATATGTGCAACGAAAGAGATAACTCACTTGAGTCCGTGTCCGCTGTCCCCGTACAGGCAAGCCAAGCGCGTGACGTCGGCCGCGGTATGTTCCAGTCTCCTTTAGACGCTTGATATCATTGAGAACTTCTCGGCGCAAGTCGTTCTCAATCTTCATTTCTGATAGCACAGCGGTCAAATCCAGGACCTGCTTGTTGGCCAGCTCGCCGACGCGGCAGGTCGGGTGGATGTTGAAGCGGGACAGGAGGCGGGAGGAGCCATTGTTGCCGATTCCGAAGAAAGTCTCGAGGGATTTCTATTTTGCACAAGTATTGCGTGTTAGTTGGGGGTCCATTGAGTCGAGCTTGTGGTGACACTGCGAGCGTATGAGGGTTGGCTTGCCTTGAGCAGGTTCCGCTCGGGGAAGTTAACGCCTAGGATGAAGACCTGGCGGGATGGTTAGTGAGTAATTTTTGTGTGGTAGCATTGTGTCTGACATACCATCTTGACGTATTTTGGCTGGCTGCTGTCTTGGCTTTCGACTAAAGTCCGTTGCTCGTTGCTCGAACTTCCGCGAGAAATCATCCGGCATCATTGTTTTTCCGGTGACTATTTGCAGATCAGACTACGTATTTGCACTGTATAATCTTGTATTAATTGTAATAAACCCTCATTTACACGCTATTATTCAACAGCTCAACTGAAAAATTACATGTGTGGTAGTGGAGTGTATTCTCCGCACGCCATTGCAAGCTGGCCTCGACTACTTCTCCCTTCTTCACTGTCTCTCCCAAGCAGTGACAATTAGCAATCATGTATTTCCGGAACCTATTCCTGTCTCTCTTCGTCATCTTTGCTGTCGGCTTCGCGCTGGTCCAGGCTGAGGAGTCTAAGGAGCCCCGTGGCCCAAAGGTCACCAGCAAGGTGATTACTTTGCCCTTGGCCGTTTAACCGGCTCGATATTAAAACAAGCTAAATGGTGATTTAGGTCTACTTTGACATCCAGCATGGCGATGAGACTCTTGGCCGCATTGTGTTCGGCCTGTACGGCAAGACTGTCCCCGAGGTTAGTTGAGCTATATCCCATGCAACTGGCAATTGAAGATCTATCGCTGACATTGTTCTTACTATAGACCGCCGAGAACTTCCGGTATGGATTGCTAGATACGCCAACGTTTTCAAGATCACTGTATAAGCTGACCCCTCTCTTAGCGCTCTGACTACCGGCGAGAAGGGCTTTGGTTACCAGGACTCTACTTTCCACCGCGTTATCAAGGACTTCATGATCCAGGGTGGTGACTTCACCAAGGGTGATGGTATGTTAGCCTCCAATCAGGCTGAAATGCATGATACTAAGTGTATGCAGGCACTGGTGGCAAGTCCATCTACGGCAACAAGTTCAAGGATGAGAACTTCAAGCTTCGCCACACCAAGAAGGGTCTCCTGAGTAAGCATTATATTCATTCATCAAATTGTTGATTGAATGCTTCGGATATCTGACCATTTTTAGGCATGGCCAACGCCGGCAAGGACACCAACGGTTCCCAGTTCTTTATCACCACTGCCATCACCTCGTTCGTACTCCATTATTACTACCCACTATATGATTCGTGGCTAACACTTGAATAGTTGGCTCGATGGCCGTCACGTCGTCTTCGGAGAGGTCCTTGAGGGCTACGAGATTGTTGACAAGATCCAGAACGTCCCTAAGTTGCCCGGTGATAAGCCCAAGGAGACTGTCAAGATCGTCAAGAGCGGCGAGCTCCCTTTTGAGCAGGAGGCTGAGGAGAAGACCGAGGCTAAGACCGAGGACAAAGGTAGCCGTGATGAGCTGTAGATAGGTGACTGTCTGCGCTGTTTCCTCCGCTGCTGGTTGGTGGCTGATGATGTTGGGCTAAAAGAAATCGACCAAGACCCGGTCACCGAGGCTCCCGAGACGACCACGACATCTTACCCATTCCAACCGCTGGTGATTTTCTTCGTTCTGGTTGCTATTGTGGGTGTCTGGATTGCTCGTCGCCGCAGCCAGCAGCAACAGCAGGAGAAGGAGCACTATGATGCGTAAGAGTTGAATGTATACTTTTGTTGAGTATCTCATGTTACATCTTTCAAGTCATGAAATGACCGAAGTAGAGGTACTAAATGAAGTCCTAGAATAGAGTATACTTAGTGTACTCCAAAATGACCAGTCAGCTCCTTTTCTTAGTCAGAGACCGCCCAGACCCAACTGGCGAGTAAAAAAGAAGAAATTTTTTTCGTGGCGGTCAGTACTTGTTCGGTACCTGGTCAATACAGCGATCGTCAGCCAAATCTGAGGTTCCTTCCAAGTACCCACGCCTCCTGTTTCGTCTCATTACCTCACTGTACGGTACTGCCTCAACCTGACGATTTGCCTCCTTCCCACACACTTCAGTTCTCTATCCCTTTTTTCCACTCTCCTCTCTTTTCTTCTAGAGTTAGATTTGGGAGATTTGCATTTATCGGTTTCTTGACTTCTTTTTGTTTGCACACTCCATCTTTTTTTTAGGTGGAACACAGCAAACCCCGATCTTTTCACCGTCCTTCTCACAGTGAAGGTATCTTTGACTTCTTTTCTTCTGCAAGTGTCTTTCTGAGATCGCTTGCGCCTTGTCATCCTTTCGGTGAACCAGAAAAAAAAAAAACTGTTCGCATCACTTCTCTCCCCCCTGGCACTTCATCCTCTAACCTCAGTCGCCACAGACATTTTCAACCGCAAAAATGGCCGACGGTCTGCAGATGGGAAACCTTTCCCTCAACGAGTCCCAGCACGCCCCCGCCGGTAACGCTCCTGGCGCTGGCCGTGCTGCCTACATTCCTCCACACCTCCGCCAGCGTGGCCCCGGTCCTGCTCCCGCCAACGTTGATCCTGCTGCTGCTCCCGCTGCCGGTTTTGGTGGCCCTCGGTACAGTCTCCCAAATCAATACCCTGATCAATTGTCACTAATATGAGTGGCTTCTCTAGTGGTCCCCCCGGTGGTGGAAAATGGGCCAACGCTAACGCCCCCGACTTCAGCCCTCGCGGCCCCGCGAATGGTAAACCTCCCATGACGAACCAAATCGGTCAAATGAAACCCTTTGATCCCCAGGCTTACGGACATCCAGGATCCTATGGTGGAGGTGGTGGTGGCAGCTACAGCGGCGGTGGTGGTGCTCAGCAAGGCCGTGGCTCTGGCGATGGCCAGTGGCGCGACGGCAAGCACATTCCCGGTCCCGCCAACGCCCGTGTCGAGCGCGAGCTCTTCGGTGTCCCCAACGACCCCTCCAAGCAGCAGACTGGTATCAACTTCGCCAACTACGACGACATTCCCGTTGAGGCCTCTGGTAACGACGTTCCTGAGCCCGTTTCTCAGTTCACCAACCCCCCTCTGGACGATCACCTGATCTCCAACATTAAGCTCGCCAGCTATGTTATCCCCACTCCCGTCCAGAAGTACTCCGTCCCCATTGTCATGGGCGGCCGTGATCTCATGGCTTGTGCCCAGACTGGTTCCGGAAAGACCGGTGGTTTCCTCTTCCCCATCCTCTCCCAGGCTTTCAAGAACGGTCCCTCTGCCACTCCTGCTACTGCTGGTGGTCAGTTCAGCTACGGCCGTCAGCGCAAGGCCTACCCTACTTCCCTCATTCTTGCTCCTACTCGTGAGCTTGTCTCTCAGATCTTCGATGAGGCCCGCAAGTTTGCTTACCGCTCTTGGGTCCGCCCCTGTGTCGTGTACGGTGGTGCCGACATCGGTTCCCAGCTTCGCCAGATCGAGCGTGGCTGTGATCTTCTTGTTGCCACCCCCGGTCGTCTCGTCGATTTGATCGAGCGTGGCCGGATCTCTCTCGCTAACATCAAGTACCTCGTTCTTGACGAGGCTGACCGCATGTTGGACATGGGTTTCGAGCCCCAGATTCGCCGTATTGTTGAGGGTGAGGATATGCCTCTGGTCCAGGACCGCCAGACTCTCATGTTCTCTGCCACCTTCCCCCGCGACATCCAGATGCTCGCCCGTGATTTCCTCAAGGACTACATCTTCTTGTCCGTCGGTCGTGTCGGATCTACCTCTGAGAACATTACCCAGAAGGTTGAGTACGTCGAGGACGCTGACAAGCGCTCCGTCCTCCTGGACATCCTCCACACCCACGGCAGCACTGGTCTGACCCTCATCTTCGTCGAGACCAAGCGTATGGCCGACTCCCTCTCCGATTTCCTCATCAACCAGCGCTTCCCTGCTACCGCCATTCACGGTGACCGCACCCAGCGCGAGCGTGAGCGTGCTCTGGAGCTTTTCCGTAACGGCCGTTGCCCCATTTTGGTTGCCACTGCTGTTGCTGCCCGTGGTCTCGATATCCCCAACGTGACCCACGTCATCAACTACGATCTGCCCACCGACATTGACGACTACGTTCACCGTATCGGTCGTACCGGTCGTGCTGGTAACACCGGTATTGCCACTGCCTTCTTCAACCGTGGCAACCGCGGTGTTGTCCGTGACCTCCTCGAGCTCCTCAAGGAGGCCCACCAGGAGGTTCCCGCTTTCCTGGAGAGCATTGCCCGCGAGGGCAGTGGCTTCGGCGGCCGCGGTGGACGCGGTGGTGGCCGTGGCCGTGGCTCCAACGCCACTCGCGATATGCGTCGCGTTCCCGGCGGTATGGGTATGGGCGGTGGCTTCGGCGGCGGCTCTGCTTACGGCGGTGCTGCCGGTGGCTCTACCCCCTCCTACGGTGGTAGCTACGGTGGTGCTGCTCCCTCCTACGGCGGCGGCGGTGGTTACGGCGGCGGTGGTGGCTACGGCAACCCCTCCGGCTCCTCTGGCCCCTCTTCCTGGTGGTAAATCGGTCGTGGTCTTTTGACGAGGCCGCCGGGTCTGATTGGCTCCATTGCTTTATTTTCTTTTGTCTCTCGTTGACGGATACGATCAGAACGAGTCCCTGAGTATCTCTTTTTCCTTGCCTTGCTATCTCTCAGGGACGGCTTTGTCATGACTGCTACGACTTTCCTATGCTTGTTTTAGAGTCATTTTTTCCATTTATGCGCATGTTTCTTTAATCCTGTTACCTTTGTTGTTCCTTGTGCCCATCTTACTTGTTCTATACCAGGCTTGCAGCCTTGTCTAGACGTGGGGCATTGGTGCAGTTGGATCATCTGCTTTCGAGCAAATTATGATCACCACTGCATGAACATCATAGATCGCGTTGTCCTTTTTTATCTTTTTCATGTCCGCTCTCGTCAGATACCCCTTATGTTCGAGCGTTCCCAGCAGGGGACACGTTCGAGTGACGCGCGTGCGCCGAGCGGAGAATGCTGGCTTTTCATCCTCTCGAAAAGTTCTCTCTTTCTCTTTGCATCCTTCTCGGTGTTTGTTATGGCTGCATTATGTGCAGCATAGACTTTTTACAGCGTCGGTATCTCATGGCGGACATTTCTTTCCAGTTGCTGCCCTCGTGCGTTCTGCGGTCTTTCTATTCCAAAAATATGTTCTTTCTCCGGGCTTCTGCTGGCGAAACAAAAATGGTTTTACTTTGCATTTTGTATGGCGTTGGCTTGACCTGCATCCACAATATCCTCTGTTTTCTGGTCCTGGAGGCTGATTGTTTCCGAGTGGGAACACATCACATTATTTGTCTATTTTGATCATTTTCTCGGACCTTGGAGGATGGGACGCTGTCGCCGCCGCTGGATGAATGCGGTTCGGAGGAACCTGAGGCCCTAGGCCATGAGAAGGAATTCTCCAATGCAATTTTCAAACGTGTTTCCAGATCTGTATGATGTAGCCTAGTGAAATGCAGCTCGTGAAGATCAAATTCGTGTGTAGAGGTGTAGAAGCAAACGTTGGCCACGGGTCCTGTCGCGCCCCCATCTTAATATGATCACCCGATCACCCGCTTGCTGGCAATATATAGGCTAAAATGACATTAGTAGGAAGAGGTATAAGCTGATCTCCCTGCGCATCCATGTCCCACTCTCGGGTGGTGGGTGTCATACAATGCCCACGTTGGGCCAATTTGCTTCCAGTACCATCGTCAAGGTCCATTGCGGAAGACACTAGCCAAAATGGTATAGAGCTTCGTATATGCAAGATTCAATCTATGGAGAATTGTCAGCCAATGGATCATCATTGCAGAACGGAGTCGCTTTATACTGACCCAAGACAAAGCGTGATCTTGGGAAATATGTGTTGACATATTTGTTTAGCTCACCGAAAGTACTTGAAAATGTGCCAAAAAGAGGTAAAAAAGTAGCGAAAGAAGAGAGGTCAATCCAGAGCTCAAACAATGCATGAAATAGCACGCTCACTGCGAGAGCTGCAGACAGATATTGGGAAATACATCTGGCGATGTCAGTATATACAGCTCAGTGCGTGGCAGTACCCGATACGGGTAGATATCACAGCTATACCTTCATGGGCACTCGGCACTGCTTTCTTCCTCGATTTTCCGGAACTTTGACCTCATTTTTCATTTTCCCTTAACCTCAATCCTTTCCACTTCCCCCCTTCTATCTTTTTTTATCCTCATTTTGATCTTTTTGCTGGTATTTCTGCTTCTTTCATCGGCCGCCCTACTAGGGGGCATCTCCACTGCCCCAACCCGCGATTTCTCCGGTTTTCAGTTTGTCGCAAGCGTGCCCACCTTTCCCCAATCCCCACCGTCCAAGATGGCCGACATGGATCACAGCATGATGGACGAGTCCTTTGCGATGTCCGAGGCTGCGGATGACCAGAACCACGCTGGCTTAACCGCAAGCGCGACGGTCGGTACAAGACGACAAGCAAATGGCACGATTGGCTCTGTCTACTCTGGCAACAAGATTCGGCACCTCAAGAAAGAAGACGGTATTCCACTGTGGCGCAAAGATATTCAATACCAGTTCCTGAAGTTGGTGTTTGAAGACAAAACACCAGTCTTTACGCGGTACCCCGACGGACAAAAGGGAATGGACTTCGCAGATGTCTACATTGATGCAATGGCCCGGAGCAGCAAGACCAGCAAGATCCTCAAGGACAAACTGCAGAATGACAAGCCGGCAGCTATCAGCATGGCCATGGTCTGTCTGCTGGTCAATTTCGGTCGCATGAATACCACTTTGAACTGTACGTGGAAGCTTATGCATTCTCTGTCTACAATGCTAACTGTGATTGTTTTGTTTTACAGTCTTCCCTGAAATGCGTGCTCAACTCCGGACATATCACTCGATTCCTTCATTACAAGCGCACCAGGACTCCAATGCTTACAAGCAGCTGCAAGATGCCCCACGTCTCAAATCTATCCTCAAGGGTGCCTCTGAGGATGCCGAACAACCGAATACACTGGATAAGATCAAGCGATTAAATGTGCCTCGGACGAATCCGGTGAATCTGATTTTCGTTCTGGCGCAGTACGCCCCCAAAGTGTCGGAAACTCACTTCTTCCCTCCACGGGACTTCTTCGATTTGGTTATGAGATCTACGCTTTCCAGTCAAAGTCGTGCCAGAGCATTCCTGTGGCTGATGTGGTGGTACCTGGAGAGTGACTTTAGCCGTGAAGCGGCCATGAAAAACCCGTTTGGTGCTGGTATGGAAGGCGAAGGCTCCGAAGGACTACCTCTCAAGGTGCCAGCCTTTGATATTTTGACCGAGGAGCAGTCGAATGAGGAGAATGTAGATACACCCGAGGAGCAGGAATACGGAGAGTCGAAGAGACTGGAACGCAAGCGTATGTGTGCTGACAACTGACACTTGGAATTGTTGACTGACAAACTGGTACAGGCATTTTAGAGGAAGAAGAACCATTACCACGCGTCCCCAAGCGACCCAAGAAAGGTAAGCACAATATGCGATAGCCGATATATTTTCTTGTCTAACATGCATTCACAGAATTTGGCTTCGAAGAAGACTCATTTGCAGGAGACTACTCTGGCTTCGGAGGCCGCGGCTCTGCCATGTCGACCCCTCTTCACCCCTCTGCCAAACGAAGTTTGGACGACGAAGAAGACGATATGACCCCTGGTGGTTACTCTCGTCCGCGCCCTAAACAGGCCAAGCGGGAATCATCACTCAGCCGAGCAATGGGGCAGCAGAGACTTGTCTTGAAGACGACGAGGATGGAGCACACTCCTGATGCCTCTCCCGCGCCCCCGGGCTCCAATCACCCAATTCTTAACCGTTTCATCGCGGAACCTTCACTGTCTACAGCGCCCGGACGCCGACCGCGCCCATTAACACAGCACCAAATTGCCGTGGAACAAAATCGCCGCCAAAGGATCGACTATCTCCTCGCCAAGCGCAGGTCAAATGCCTACCGCGTCCTTCGCGCCAAGCGGGAGAGTGAGATTCCCTTCGGCCGCTACGGTCGCTTGCTCCAAAGTCTCCCAGAAGGTTACAACACAGATGACGAAGAAAAGTCCTGGGGCAAGGGCGGCCTCTTCCCAAACCCAGACGAAGAAGACGACTTCGGAGAATGTGCCAGCGTTTTCTTATCTGTAGTACGCAAAGCCGCACGACGACTGGACCGCTGGGACTGCGACGAAGCCAACGGTCCCAAGAAAGACCGCAAGCAAGAACGCGAAGAGCGATTCAAAGCCCGCGCAGCCCTGGAGGCAGACGTGCGAAACAGCAACAATCGCTCGCGTCCTCGTGCACGCCCTAGTGCAGCCAAGCGCAAGTCAGGTGTAACAGCTACCCCAGGCACGGCAAAGAAAGCCCAAGCGTCTCGTGCCAAGGACGGTCCGGGCGCCGGAACACCATTAGCGATGGGCACGCCGAACTGGGGTGGACATTACGATTACATGGAAGGAGATGGAGAGCTTGACGATCTCGACCGCGAATTGCTGGGTGAAGGTGAAGGGTCTGATGGCGACTCCACAGAAGACGATGATGACGAAGACGAGAACTCATCTACGTATGAAGGTGCCAATGGCTATGCACGACATGAGGCCTCGTCCCCGCCCCCTGCGGGTCTTGCTGATCACCGTGAAGGTGATGGCGACGAAGTGATGGAAGACTAGGTAATTGGAATGGCGTTTGATTTCTCTTTTGTACTGTGTATCATGATCTACATTTCTTGTGCTTTCGGCTTAAGGGTCTTGTTTAGGTGTGAATCTAACTCCTTCAGATGACTTTGTATAGCTTCTTGTAAAGGTTGGTTTTTTTTGGCGTCTTTCTGATTAGGTTTAGAGGCCTCTTTTCAAGGGTCTTTTTTTAATGTCTTTTCTAGTGTACTTTTGAATATCATTATAACATTCTTTTTGCTGTTTTCAAAGCGTCTTTGAAGTGTTCTTGAAATGTCATCATAAATATGTTTTGAACATACTTGAACCTAGCTTTAAATATCCGTTGAAGGTTCTCGCTAAGTATCCCCCGGAACATGGGTATAGGCTAAGATCGTAAGTGGCGAAGTCTCCGAGGCATCATGCAGCTCAGCATCGTGGAGACTTGACATCAGACCTCAGTGGAGAACATGTGATAATCCCCTCTTTCCCTCTATTGCCAGTCTCGTCTTCGTTTCTGTATTCTGTATTCTATCCTTCACCGACTCATTTACAAAGAATTCTACAAAGATCTAAAAGGCCGTCATAGAACGGACGTGTGGATACTGCAGCAACCAACGGCATAGAGCGGATTCCTAAACAATTATTGAGACCTATTTCTGTCTACCCCTGCATCGCAATTGACACATTTTTGTTGGGAAGCGTCGTATCCCGCATTTGACCCTACAAATTTGTCTCCGGTTCGACTTTGGCCACTTCATCCCCTTCACAACCCCCGGACCATCATCTGACGTTCTCGTACGATCCTCAACGGGTGATACGGAACGGGACTCGGTCGAATTCCGTCGCGCCGACCACCGGAAACACTTTTCCAGCTCAGCTTACTTCAACCTCACCCCAACCTAGCCACCATGACAGAACAACCTCGAATCCTGCGTCCACGCCCAAGAAGGCCCTTCGACCTTACACCGGCATCAACCGAATCCTCCGGACCTCCAACCCCCGCCGAATCGACCAGCACGGATTACCTCAACCCCAGCGCCGCGCCAGAAACAGGGCCCAATTCCACGAGCGTCAGTCGCACCGGCTCAATTATGAACCTCACCTCCTCAACTCTGTACGGCATCTACTCGCCAACGGCATTTGACAGCCTGCGCGATGAATCCAGCCCCTGGGGCACAGAAGTCAATTCTCCGGCATCAGAGTTCCCGCCCGAGCCGTCGCAGCTCGCAGCAGAAAAGTCGGCCATTGAACCGCGGCGAATGGCGCTGCGGCGCACACGCTCGCGGTTGAGTCAGGGACTGTTCCGCGGTGTGATCTTGCCGCAGATTCTGAGCAGTGCACTGCTGTTTGGATTTGGCATTGCTTACGGGGTAATTACGATGCATCTCCATGAGAACCATTGGATTACCCCTGTTAAGCTGGAGAATGTTCATTACTATGATTCATGGCAGTACTTGGGTATTTGGGGATTGGCTGGTATTGCGCTGGGCAATTTGCTTCCTTGGTTGGATGGCTGGCGTGAGGGCGAGCTTGAGAAGGCTGATTCCAAGCACGCGAGTAACGACGAAGAGCGCGAGGACCGGACTCCATCTTGGGTTACTGTTGCTCGGAGTGTTGGTGCTTTTGTTGGGATCGCCTTTGCTATGGTATGTGCTTACGGTTTTTTCTTTTTCTTTTCCCCCGTTGTTATTTTCTTCATGCTGGACAAAGCTGACTTTTTTCACCCTTGCAGCGGAGACTCCCTTGGCAATCTACCACACAAGCCTCTCTTACCCTCGCCCTCGCCAATCCCGTTCTCTGGTACCTCATTGACCGTACCACGACCGGCTTCGTCCTTTCGACTACAGTTGGCTTGGCCGGTATGGGAGTGGTTCTCGGCCTCAAGCCAGAGCTGGTACCTGCGTCCACTGGTCCTTCATTTGGTACGAGCATTCTGAATGGCACTGGACTGGAGAATGCGCTTGGAGCAGGCATCACGCAGGAGAGCATTGCGGTCCGCACTTGGGTCGCGAGCGTCATTTTCTGCGCGTGCGTGTGCTTTGGAAACGTTGGCCGTCAGCTGGCCATCGGTGCTGGCAGCAGAAATACCCTGAAGCCATAGGCTTAAAAATACCCGAGTTTTCTTCAGCTCGACAACATGAAGATGATGCAACGCTTGATTTAGGGCGGGAAGGCCGATACAGAAATAATTTATGTGATAGATATATGCACGTTGTAATGGAAACTGGCTCTCCAACAGCAATTCTTGAATTATATATAGATATAGACATATACGTAGAGGTCATAGATGGATGTCAATGAAGATAATATTGATATAAATAATGATAATAATATTGAGATTCGCGATGTGGAATCAATCATTGCAATCCCTGCTATCTGACACAAGGTCAAGCAGGCACTGCACCCAAGATCGATACCTTTAGCCTTTGGCCCTCGCTCTCCATTCTCTTTACGATTTCCGTACTTCATCAGACAAGTCCTCGTAGGAACGCTTTTTGGAATGTGATTTTTTGCGTTGTTCATGAAGAAAAAAAAGAAGAAAAGAAGAAATGCGCCGAGTGGAAAAAAAGCTTTTGAATGCCTGGGTCACGTGGTGCGCTAGGGATTCTGCCACTCACGAGCTGTGATTGGATAGACTTCAAAGCGGAGAGTAAATAGTGGCCAATGGTATCTTTGGTAATCTAGCCCACCAAATGCTGCCCCTCCGATTACGGTGTGACCCCGCGGGACATTTCTTCTCTTTTTTTTTCTTTCCGTCATTGCTTTATACCCTGTTGTCACTTGGTTTCAGGTATGTTATTGGCTTCTTGCTACAGTTCAATTGCAGAATGCAATTGAGGTTTGACTTTTGATACTGACTGATACAGTGTCGACTCCATCATGTCTCAAAAGTCTGGTATGTGACTCTTAGCTTCATAGATCGGGCATTCCCCGGACTATGAATTGCTTGCTCCCAACTGCTCCAGGCAATTGCTAACACCTTCTTTATTATAGCCATCATCTCCGTCTATGACAAGACTGGTCTCCTCGACCTGGCCAAGGGCCTCGTCAAGCAGGATGTCCGTCTTCTCGCGTCTGGCGGTACCGCTAAGATGATCCGTGAGGCCGGTTTCCCCGTCGAGTGAGTTGCCTCGTGCAAGCATACTGGAAGCTTGGGCTAGATACAGCTCAGGCGCTGACAACATGGCAGGGATGTCTCCGCCATCACCCACGCCCCCGAGATGCTCGGTGGCCGTGTTAAGACCCTCCACCCCGCCGTCCACGGTGGTATCCTCGCCCGTGACATCGAGTCCGACGAGAAGGATCTTGCTGAGCAGAATATTGCTAAGGTCGACTTCGTCGTCTGCAACCTGTACCCATTCAAGGAGACTGTCGCTAAGGTCAACGTCACCATCGACGAGGCCGTCGAGGAGGTTGATATCGGTGGTGTGACTCTGCTCCGCGCTGCGGCCAAGAACCACAAGCGTGTCACCATCCTGTCCGACCCTACTGACTACCCCGAGTTCCTCAAGGAGCTCGAGGCTGGTGAGATCGCCGATGCCAGCCGCAAGCAGTACGCCCTCAAGGCCTTCGAGCAGACTGCCGACTACGACTCCGCCATCTCTGGCTTCTTCCGCAAGGAGTACGCTGGCAACGGTGTCAAGCAGCTGTCTCTGCGTTACGGTACCAACCCCCACCAGAAGCCCGCCTCTGCCTACTCTGTCCAGGGTAACCTGCCCTTCAAGGTCCTCAACGGATCGCCTGGCTATGTTAACCTGCTCGATGCCCTGAACGCCTGGCCTCTGGTCAAGGAGCTCAAGCAGGCTCTTGGCTTCCCCGCCGCTGCTTCTTTCAAGCACGTTTCCCCCGCTGGTGCCGCCATCGGTGTGCCCCTCAACGAGAAGGAGCGCAAGGTCTACATGGTCGACGACATCAAGGGCATCGAGTCCTCCGGCCTCGCCCAGGCCTATGCCCGTGCCCGTGGTGCCGACCGCATGTCCAGCTTCGGTGATATCCTCGCCCTCAGCGACATCGTCGATGTCCCCACCGCCAAGATCATCTCCCGCGAGGTCTCCGACGGTGTCATCGCCGCCGGCTACCAACCCGAGGCTCTGGAGATCCTCTCCAAGAAGAAGGGCGGCAAGTACCTTGTCCTCCAGATGGACGAGGACTACACCCCCGCCCCCGAGGAGACCCGCACCCTGTACGGTGTGCAGCTGACCCAGCACCGCAACGACGTCGTCATCACCCCCAGCAAGACTTTCAACACCGTCATCACCCCCAAGAACTCCGGCTCCCTCCCCGAGGCTGCTCTCCGTGACTTGACCGTCGCCACCATCGCCCTCAAGTACACCCAGTCCAACTCGGTCTGCTACGCCCTGAACGGCCAGGTCATCGGTCTCGGTGCCGGCCAACAGAGCCGTATCCACTGCACCCGTCTGGCCGGTGACAAGGCCGACAATTGGTGGATGCGCTTCCACGAGCGTGTCATCAACATCAAGTGGAAGCAGGGCACCAAGCGCGCTGACAAGTCCAACGCCATTGACTTGCTCTGCTCAGGCCAGACTCCCCGTAGCGAGGCCGAGACTGCCGAGTACGTCCGTGTCTTCGAGGAGGTCCCCGCTCCCTTCACCGCTGAGGAGCGTGAGGCCTGGCTCGAGAAGCTCGGCGAGGTTGCTGTCTCGTCCGATGCCTTCGTAAGTTCCTCTACATTTCCCCATCTATCTTCCCTCTCTTTGATAGAGACTCACATGACTTAGTTCCCCTTCATCGACAACGTCTTCCGCGCCGCCCGCTCAGGAGTCAAGTACATTGCCGCCCCTACCGGCAGCCAGAACGACACTCCCGTCTTCGAGACCGCTGAGAAGCTGGGCATCACGTTTGTCGAGCAGGGCATCCGTCTGTTCCACCACTAGTTTGAGTTTCTTCTACTAGTAGTTATCTTTCGGTCTCTTTCTCCTTCTTTTTCATCCTTCCTTCTTAACATCCCCTTTTTCTCCCTTCTCGTAAAAAAGAACCCACGTCTTGTGTGGTTTCCCCTGTGATGGATATTCGATATGATGATGATGTCAGCTTTTATTTGTTTGTGATTTAGAAATATACATATTCTCTTCGTGCTATTTGTGTTTGTAACATAGTAGGAGTCATAAATCGTACAGCGCTATGAGGTATTTGACAACTTTAAAGGAGATACTCGAAGCGAGTGTACCATGTCGTGCATTTCCTGTGCCCTGACTTGGTCTCTCTTTTTTTAATCGCATTTTGGCCTATCTTTGAGTGTCTCGGGGGAATCAACTAGATCATATAAAGGTGGGCGTGAAAGGACCTATGATCATTGTTGTACAGTCAACGGCAAAAAGTCCGAATCACTTGTACCATTTCCAAAGCGTAATTCTAGAAGCCTTTTTAGTCAGCTGTTCCCTGCTTAGTATAACCGATTTCTACTGTAACCTGTACGTTAACGGCTTTTTTCTTTATAGACTGTCTTAGGCCAGCCTATGTGATCGGCAGCAAGTTTGGTCTACGATTGCTGAGTGTGAAGCACAAGAACAGCATGGTTCCTGCCGATGGAACCACGCCCCATCATGTTCATCCCTTGATATGACATTTACAGATGATCTAGAGAAAGTTAGGCTACAAGCACTAGATGGAAGATCCCTTTCTATCCTCGTCTGAAGTTGTTGGTGAATCCTCGTCGACGGCTTTCCTCTTTGGAGCCTTCAAGTCAATCCAATGTATATTGGGCCGTTTTGTTTCCGGGTAGAACACCACTGTTCTGCAAATGGGTTGGGAAGAACCCCTTGTAGAGCATTTCCGGGGCAATCTCCGTGAAACTCGTGTTCTACATAACAGCCAACTGGGTTTATTGGGTACTTTGGGTCGTCTCACGTCCGGACTCAGCAGCAATCGGTGCAGAATGGTTCATGAAAAGCCCAGTCTGGAATATTACGAAGGTGTCTATCACGCTGTACGCTTCCACCTTGTGCATTCATCGAGCCGGTCTCGGTCTACTCGGTTTATTTCTTGAAGTAAGTACTGGTTTCATCTCGCACCACTGTGATATCTCGATCGACATGGACACTCTGTAGGTGCTTTGATTCTGTCAACAGATTTCATGTTGATGAGGAGCCTGTCCCTTATTATCCAAACAATGCTATCACCTACGCGAGATACAATTAAATGGTGGGATAGGTTCATCATTATGTGGAGATGGAATGATTGGGCTTGTCACTTGTTCCTCTTGCTATATACTGTTTTGACCAAGAACAAACGTGACCCAAGGAGTACAGTGTTTATTATTGACTTTGTAATTCTTACACCAAAGTTGCTGGGCTTGTTCATGTTGGTGCATGAGGTTCTACTAAGAGATTTATACTCTGATCTTGAAATCCAAGACTGGTGATCTTTTCATAGCTTGACTTGCAACCTTTAGCCCACCATTCTATTACTCATACAAGCCAGGAGAGAGCTCCTTCCTCGCAGCTTTTATTCTGGTAGCCCCTAGAACTGCGTTCCAGCCATAAACTACTTTGACAATACCGAGGAAGGATCGGGCTCTAAATTCTGAATTGAAGTCAGTCACACCTCTTCTGTTTTCATCATCTTTTGGGGGTATTTACCTCGCCGGTATATCTAACACTCAATGTTTTGTTATCACTGTTTAATCCACAACCTTCAACTTATCTTATCGATCTTCACCATGAGCGAGATCAAGTCAACCGAGTCGGCTGCATTGCCCGGCAAAGAGACAATCAAAGAGGCAAGCCTTGAGAAGAGTGGGGATATAAAATCAGTCCAAAGACATCGACTGAAAATTGTTGTTGCCGAAAGAAAGTGTAGTAAGTCCGATTCTCTTCATGAGCTTCTCGGCATCGAGCAAGCATTGCGGCAGACCGTCCCACCCTCAAAGATATATGAAAGAGAACGCAGCAGATAAGAGCTCCGAAGAGCTTACACGCTTGCACAAACGGATGCTTTTTTATACGCAGAATTAGCCTCAGCTCAGCTTAATATCCTTTGAAACAACCCGGGCAACATATGAACTTCCAACGAGCCCTTGAGTGGAACACTCCATTTGTTTCTTTTGAAAGCAAGGTCATCTTGGGATATATAGAAATCAAAGCAGCAGATCTATCGGGAAAACTGAACTGACGAGTGGTTTTCGAGGATGTCGTCCAACCCTAAGTAGATCAACATGCCATCGTGGGTACACAGCTTCGGCCACAGGGGCTATCACACATTGATCCCTGGAGCATACTCACTCCTATATTGGAGTATACTGAGAAGCTTAAGAAAAAATTAGAATGTCGGAACTGACCTTATACTCCTGAAGCTCGACATCCCCTGACTTTGAAATTAGACTCGGGCGCATTGCGTGGCGAGGAAGTTGTTTCTCACATAGCCCCATCCACTTCCCATCCCTAGTGGCATGGTCTAACTCTTGATTGAATTCCCCGCACTCTCAACATCGCGTGCAATATGCAAAAGAGTCTTCCGTCGGAACTCCGCAGCCAACGGGCGGCCTAATCGGAGCACCGGGCCTGAGATAACCAACTCGCTAAAGCCAATCCCGCAAAAAAAAAAGCAAGAGATCAACACTAAAAAGACATGATAAGGAAATAATACCCGTGCGGAAATTGCCCTCCATATCTGCAAGACTCAATTGATCAGGATCTGTTGAGAAATGCCGAGATTAGCCTTTCCAGGGATGCTTAGCCCTAAAGACGCGCGTGGGCGTGCAGCTATGTCTCGGGCATTGTGCATATTGGTCTGCATGATGTCCAATCAAACCCATTGGCGTAAAATGGTACCTGTCGCTATCTCAGATGGGGAAACAGGGTTGCAATCACAACAAGCCCGTCAATAGTTCCTGGTACTTTAAGGGGGCATCCCCTCTCCCCCCGATGTTGATGTATCTGCCCCATTCTCTTCTTCCTCGAGATGTTGGTGCGTCAAGTGTGTCTCGCCTTGGCGATCGCTGCCCTTTCGGGTGCTGTTCCTGCGCCGATGAAGCATGTCTTGCATGAGAAGCGTGGCCAGCATGCCGACTGGGTGAAGGGCGAGCGCATTAAGCGCGACTCTGTCTTGCCTGTGCGAATTGGTCTGACTCAGAACAATTTGGATAAGGGTGATGCTTTGCTTATGGAGGTGTAAGTTGGTCTTTGTGACTGTCTGCATGTCAATCACTAACGCCTGCTTAGCTCCGACCCAACCTCTGCCAAGTATGGAAAGTACTGGACTGCAGAGGAGGTGCATGATATGTTTGCTCCCTCCAAGGAAGCTGTCGAGTCTGTCCGTAAGTGGCTCGAGGGCTCGGGTATTCACGAGTCCCGGGTTGTACACTCGGACAATAAGGGATGGTTGGCTTTCGATGCCCATGCTCATGAAGTGGAGAAGCTGTTCATGGCGGAATTCTATGAGCATGAGCACGCGGCTACTAGCAGTATCAAGATTGGCTGTGATGAGTACGGCATTATTCATTTGATTAACATTTGGACCTATTTGATTAACAAACATCAGATACCATGTCCCAGACCACATCCAAAAACACATTGACTACATTACCCCTGGAGTCAAGCTCAGCCCAATTGTCAAGAAGAGCTCCAAGGTGAAGCGGATGTCCCACTTGGCGCACTCAAAGGGCAGCATGGAAGTCAGCGACGCTGAAAGAGCGGCATCAATCCCTGCCAAGGCAGCTGCTCTTCCAAAGAACCTCCAGACTTGCGGATCTGAGATGACCCCTGACTGTATCAGGGCTCTGTACCATATTCCAGTGGCCAAGAAGGCAGCTAAGGGCAACTCGCTTGGTCTGTACGAGCAAGGTGACTACTTTGCCAAGTCTGACCTCGACCTGTTCTACAAGGAGTACTCTCCAAATGTGCCTCAGGGTACCTATCCAATCCCTGCTCTGATTGATGGTGCGAACTACTCTGTGCCTGCATCTAGCTCACTGAATGGTGGCGAGTCTGATATTGATATCGACATGGCGTAAGTACAACATTCTCGGTCGAAGCTCGGTGCTTTGCTAATAGTCTCAAGTTATGCTCTCATCTACCCTCAGACCGTCACACTGTACCAGGTTGATGACCAGCTCTACGAGCCAGAGGAGGTTGCAACCACCAACCTGTTCAACACCTTCCTCGATGCCCTCGACGGCGTATGTGTCAACCTCCCGCCGAAAAAAAATTTTGCTAACATGCCCAGTCATACTGCACATATAGCGCCTACGGCGAGACAGGCAACAACCCCGACATCGACCCAATCTACCCCAACCCCCGCCCCGGTGGTTATAAAGGTACCTCATACACTCCTTTCAGCATCCAAAATACTTACAGGTCGATTAGGCCAACTCCAATGTGGCGTCTACAAGCCCACAAACGTAATCAGCGCCTCCTACGGCCAAGCAGAAGCCGACCTCCCAATGGCCTACACAAAGCGCCAGTGCAACGAGTTCCTGAAGCTCGGTCTCCAAGGCCACTCGATCCTCTTCGCATCCGGCGACTACGGTGTGGCCTCGTTCCCAGGCGATGGCTCCACCAACGGTTGTCTAGGCCCCGAGTCGAAGATCTTCAACCCGCAATACCCGTCCAACTGCCCATACGTCACGTCTGTCGGTGGCACCATGCTCTACGCCGATCAAACCTACAAGGATGATGAGAGCGTCATGCACGCCAACCTGGGCGGCACAGCCGCAAACTTCAGTAGCTCGGGTGGTTTCTCCAACTACTTCCCTCAGCCTGACTACCAGAAGGCTACTATCGCGAAGTACTTTGAGAAGGCCAAGCTTGAGTATCCCTATTACTCGGAGATGAATGTTGATCTGAACACGACCACAGGTCTTTACAACCGCATTGGTCGTGCCTATCCGGACGTTGCGGCCAATGGTGCTCTGTTCCCTGCTTATGCTGGTGGCACAAAGCATCACTTCTATGGTGCCAGTTTGTCTTCGCCGTTGTTCGCTTCTGTGCTGAGCTTGGTAAGTGGAGTCTGGAATCGCTGTTAGTTTTGGGCAATGGGGCTAACTGGTGTGTTACTTGTTTTCTAGATCAATGAGGAGCGTATCCACAAGGGCAAGGGTCCTGTTGGTTTCATCAACCCTGTGCTTTACGCTCATCCTCATGTTCTCAATGATATCACTAACGGTACCAATGTTGGTTGTGGCTCAGATGGCTTCAGTGCTATCAAAGGGTATGTTTATTCCTATGAGATTTGTTTGTGAATGTTGCTGACAGATTATGTAGATGGGATCCAGCTACTGGACTGGGTACACCTAAATTCCCCGAAATGAAGAAGCTGTTCCTTTCTCTGCCTTGAGGAGCACTTGGTATGCTTGTTTGTGGATACGAACTTATGAGTAGCTGTCATTTTGGAGGCTCTTTTTACGTCATGGCCATCTTGAGGCATTGCTGGTTACGAACTTTGTTTATAGTCATGACAAAATCAGTGTTTTGATTCAGATTTTCGGCACATATTACTCTAGTTGAATATATGATGTTTCAGATTGTCCAAATTCCAATTTTATTCCCTACGTCGTATTGTACTAGTTGTGCCTGAATATACGGGGTAAGCTGAATTAAGCTTTAGGCTCTGCGCTTAATATCCCGGGTACCTGAATACGGGGAATACCTATTGAGACCGGTGCCCCTATGTACGAGCAGACTATATAGCAAAACTCTGAATACACAATAGACACATACAGGTACAGCTGAGCTTGAATGGCCTCGGTCAATCAAACAATCTTCGATAGAGGGCCATTGAACAGCCCTACCACCAACAATGGAGCTATCATGATAGGAAGACAACACAAGGCCATATGGCAAACCAGCTCTGATGAATCCCAGCTTCCATCTCTGTCCTCCAAGCCCACGCTATGCATTAAGCAAACCATCCCTCGTCGCCATCACCACCCACACAGCATCAACAGCCAGCCATGGGTCACGAGGTAAGCATCTCCTATCTAGCATCCAGCACACAGGCATCCCCCGAGTCTGACAACCGAAAACCAGCACAAAGCTAACCAACCCCAGGACAAGGACGATCCCCCACCAACCCTAACAAAAGACCACCAAATCTTCATCTCAATCCACCACCGCGGCGAACTCTCCCTCGACGAAAGGAGACGCGAACTCGGCATAAGCGCCTACCACTGGGGCGTCCTTCTGGCACCCCGGCCCCGGCACCCACGAGGCCCAGACTGCCACGCCTTCGATGTAACCGATGGCTCATCTCCAGATCGACTGCTACGAAGAGACAACAACCCCGACTTCAAATGGCATTTCCGTGTGAAGAATTACGTCAACCCAGATCACAGTGGTTCGTTACTGCTGAGGATTCTAATTGGAAAGATTAAGATTGGCAAGAGCAATGGCGATGCATTTGAACGCATCGATGCTCTCTTGCGATCTATCCCGTTGCCAGTGAAGGGGTCTAGTGGAGCCATGCCGAGTCAAAATTGTGTTGGGTGGATCCGGGCTGCTATTCGGAAATTGCAGGCGAATGGTCTGGCTGAAGAGTTTGATGTTGATTCTTTTATGGATCATGCTTTGGCTTTTGTTGATCGGCGACTGGCGGATGTTGATCATGTGCCTGATGTTATCAATCATTTGGGGAAGAAGATCTAGGAGGGTTGTTATTTGGTAGTGGTGGTGGGAGGGGCTGATCTGTTTTTCGTTCTTGTTGCTTTTGTTCATTGATGGTTTTATGGATACTTTTGCGAGATACCCTTTGTTGGAACGTACCTCTTGGATCTGTGGTGGTTTCTCTGGTTTTGTGGCCCAGAGCCCGTGAACAACGTCGACCAAGGTCTTCTGCATATGCGTGCTGATGTTAATACTGGTACTGGTGTGGTACTGATACTGATACTGTGGAGGTTGGGTTGTATCTTGATTTTGATATTGAATTTTACATAGGAATGCAACAATTTACCATTGGATCTACGTACGTGAGTTCGTATGGATATTCCTCAAGGATTCAGAGTTCGAGAAAACTTGGTCATTGTAGCTATGGTAGCCGTGATTGGATATTTTAAATCTCTCTGTCACTTCAACATCAACATGAGTTGAAGCTTGGATGTCCTTGCTGAAGTGCGCAAGCTCAACCAGAGGGAGCTCTTCCTCACAAGCCAAAGCTGACATTTTCTTGCTCGATGCACAACCTCATCACGGGACATTTCTCTACATGGTCAAGTCGGTGCAGGCCGACCCATGGGTCATTCAGCAAATGTGGTACTCATGTTCGCATGCATCTTGATGAGATTTGTAATGACTTTCTGAAGATGACCCTAGAAACTATTAGCATGAGAAAGGTCTGAGCGGACCAATCAAGTCATCAGCATACCATTTAAACCAAGCCATTTGTGAATCAAGTCAAGTCCCATTCACATAATGAGATGTCACGAAGTAAGGCGGCACCGTTAACAGACTACTCGGGAAGAGCACGCATGAACAGAACAAAAAGAAGTCGGCTTAGCCAGAAAATCATCCAGCTCAGCCAGATTTATCGGATACAAGAGAAGCATTGAAGTGGGCATTCACTCCGTGAGTCCTTCTCCGTCTTCCCCTGCATCGATGTTGATAAAGGTGGATAGAGGGAGGGTGTCATTCTTCGTGTCGCGAATTGGCCTGTTGACTAATTTGGTGCGTTATGTGAGCATGTTGTGTTACATTGGGGTATTAAATAAGCCACCCTTTTGATCTGCTTTGGCAAGCCGCTTCGGAAATGAATTATGTACAGGTATTGAGGAGAATGGTGGGAAATTTCTGTACAGAGAAAAGAAGGGAAGAGGCGTCGTAAAAAGAGACATATATATATATATATCTAGACCAGATGATGAAGAGGAAGACAAGGAACTAACGTGTACGGAGGGATAAAAAACTAATAAATACATACAACAGGTTATGAAACCAACAATGAACCATCGAAGTTCAATAACTCCAATATATCAAACTTCCTCAGGCCACCTCCCCCAGGACTACATCCCGCATTCATCATCAATCATGTGCAGTCACATGACCGATCACCCCAGCCCCCCAGGTACATAAAATGCACGGAATGTAAATCCCAACCTGATCAGCTGCAAGACACCATACCAAGCATCCGCATCCACCCGCGGACCACCGAGAGCAGCCTATCACGAGCAATGAGGCATGAGCAATGCGCTAGGAAGAGCTAGGAGCTGGGAGGCTCCAACTTGAATCACAAGGCCAATAGTGGAGATAACGGAAAAATCTATCCGAGATGTAGCACGGATGCCGCAATACCCAGGTTGCGATTCACGGCGATTAACATCCCGAGATCGAGTCACAAGGCACGTGTCGATCATCCGGATATGAGTGGGCACGCACGGGATATGTACATAAGGACAGGACATAGCATAACCTAAACGCCCTGTGGAGCTCATCGAAAAATGCGAGCGGAACTCGGAGATGCGAAGTCCGGCTCCGAGAGTAAAGTTTTCTCCCGAGGCTCGGGGTATGAGTCAGCGCATGGCATTCCAAGGTTATTCAGCTCCAGCCTGGCAATTGCACTTGGCAGAATTAGGACATTGGTGTTTCAAACGTATTTGTGTTGATAAGATGGTGTAGTCGTCATGACTGCAGACTAATAACTAGGCATATAGTATTACTCATGATCACCAAACCCTGTCATATCACATCACCGACACACAGCACCAACAAGGTAACTCATGAGCTCATGAACTGTAGTAGCTCCACCTAAGCTAGTCAATTCTAGGCAATTGCCAATCTCACAACTCAAAACGACATCACCGACCCATCCGGCGAACGGTACCAAATAGCCGAACAGCAAAGGCCACATCTTGATGTCATCGACCTGTCAAACTCGGATCTTCGGCGTTTGCTGAAATGATCCACCGATCTCTGCCATGGGGCGTAATTGGGCGCTCATTAATGGAATTCAAGAGCCATAGCTTAGTCTTCGTGCCCGAGGATTTCACTATCTCCGTGAATTGAATTGTTCTAGTCTGGTTCTAGTTCTAGGCTACTATTTGGCCTGATCTCGACCTGTCGAATGACCTCATCTATTTACTATTTACAATCAATGGTTCCGCGCTGTTGTTGATGGTGTCATTGATGTCAATGCTGAATCAGGGTCCAATGGATATTTGGATCGAATTACGGAGATTTCCAATATGGAGTCAACTATGATGGAATAGTGTGGAATGATGTCCATTTCTAAGTTCCAGTTCCAACCGTTAGTCACAGTCATCGGTTTCGTTTTTGGTAGGGCTGGGATGGAAGAGAGTGGGGAAAGCACTGAAAAGGGAAAACCCAGCGAGTCCACTCCCCACCTTGGGCCTTGGGCTGCCTGGCTTGGCTCGGTGATATCCGCCTCGCCGAATCTGAGTGTGTATTTACGCTCTTAGCTAATCTCTACATCTTGTATACCTAGTTAGGTATGTAGCGCCAAGATAAGGATTAAGAGCAGGGCAATGTACTGTGACCATTTGTGACGTACGCCAAACACGCTCTCATCTAGGTAGCCTTGTCTTTCGCACTTTCGCATGGCATGGTATGTACATATTGTACTGTATATGCCGACCAGGCAAGGAAGATGAGGACGCATAGACATTACATGGACGTTACTGGACATTCCACAAGTGAAACATGGCGCCGAACTGTTATTGGTCCCCACAGTTGACCAGACGAGAAGGGTGCCCGATACACAGGCAAGGAGTGAGGCGGTCATACCTGTACATGTACATGTAAATTATAAGTTAAGTTAGCTACAGGCGGTAAGATAGGTAAGATGGCAATCTCGAATTCCCCAGGCAACGCTTCAAGACGTCTACTAGTATACGTGTATACGTATATGATAAGCGCATCCTGGTGCAGTGGTATAGGCCGACGAATTTCAATTGGGTTGCCTTGAGGCTGCCAATTCTTAGAGATTCTCCACCCAGCTTGCACAGCCTGTATGTGAATCATTTCCTGGGGAATGCTAAATCCTTTGCCAAGACTCGTACTCGTTACATGTGCGCGGATAGATTGTGCCGTGCTACCAAGGTCTTGAGCCTCTTTTGCTGACATGCCAGGTCATACATGTCCACGTTAATCTGCAAGGCGTGATATTGGAAATACAATATGGATATAGAGAAATTAAAGTTAGATACGGGATTTGAAATCAATGATTGTAAATCGAAGCTGAAAGTCTGTTATATCCGTGTCCGTGGACTATAACCACAGATAGAGGTGATTATTCAGAATGTTAATGGAAACGTTGAATAATCGGGCGAAGGTGCGACCGATGCTCCGTCCCGGGATACGGCACGGATTGGTCATCCGAGTCCCGGTGACTCACTATGAGAGAGATTTACAGTAGTACTATCAGAGATTGAGCGAAACAACAGAGAGTAAAGAGAGAGAGAGAGAGAATGTGTGTAAATTACTGTAGTTAATTGCCTATTCAATTATCCAAACCCTTGCATGTAGCGGTGAGGCTACTATGTATGAGTGTATCTCGGAATTTACATGGAAATACCAGATCCACTTTTACTTTTTATTTCCGGTGGGTCAGTCATCCGTAAACTCCGTCCAGTTCGGACAAAAAAAATAAGAATCCCGCTGCCTCAGATATTAAATAAACCTGGATCGCCAGGGTTATCTCTTACTTTAATTTCATATACTATTTCATATTCCAACATTGACACCTGTTACACACTTACAACACTAACGTGTATCGGAATATCAAACTTGATCTGTCTCATCCCTAGCTCACACCGCCCCCACTGTGACTGGATGACGCCTAATTGAGTCAAACAAAGAGTCATACTTAAATATTCAAAACCCAGCCGTGCCCACCATGGCTACTTCTACTACCTCCACCTCTCCCTACTTTGATTCTCTCCTCAAACGCCGCCAACAAAAGAAGATGAGCATCACACAAACATACTATCTCGCTCATACTGCCCGGAAGAAGCTCACCCGTGAAGCTTCCCGGGCAGACCACGATCTCCGCCTTTTGGTCGGCCACGCCAACCTCCTCGACTCCCTGATGTTCGACCTAGCCGATGCAGAGCGTGAGCAAGAACGCTGGTTCAACCAAACCGTCAGCGGCGCCACCAAGGCCTCCTCCAACGACCGTCACATCCAATGGGCCTCGACCTCAACAGTAGTGGAAGAGCCCGAAGACTGGGAAGAGGATACCTCCGACCTGGACTCAGACGTCAGCGACAGCGACAGCGATGATTCGGACTTCGATGAAGCTGACTTCGTCATCAACACCCCCGTCCGTCGCCGCTCCCCTTCACCAGTGGCTCCCTTCCACGAGGACCTCCTGGAGGAGGACGACGCCGACGACACAGACTCGGACTTTGAATATGACGACGCAGAGGACCTCGACGAGCTCAGCTTGACTCGGTCTCCCTCTCGCCAGTCTCCACCCGAGCTCCTCGCCGACTCGGATGGTGAGTCCGAGGACGAGGCTACACCCCCATCGCCGCCCCAGCCTACACTTGACTCCTTCGATGAGAAGAAACCTGCCACCACAGCCATTGCCCTGGCCGAGCCTGAGCAGGATCATCTCTTCGAACAGGGGTATTTTGGTGCACAAGAGCAGAGTACCATTATCGAGGCTTACTAGACACTTGTCGTGTCTTTTACCTTGTCTTTCTTGATCACTCCATTCTACGACTCTTACTCTTGTGTACTATACAGCGATGATACCCCGATGTTCTGACGACTCCATAATTATCTTCTCATATTTGTTACTTTTCATTATCGGCGTTTTTGGTCGGTCGCTGGAGCGCACCGCTTGCACAAATTTGGATTTTGCATACCCCTCTCATCTCTGCGCTATCTGTGATAGCGGCCCAACAGCTCTCCCTGCATGGTCGAGACTCTCTTGGACATTGACATTGGAACATACATTGGAATTTATATAGTGACACATGTCTAATCACACAAAATACATAATAAAAATTTTAAATACAGACCCTTCTTCAGTAACATTGACAATATCTTCACAATCTCCATCTCATCTGATCTCCTTTCATCCAAGTAAATCCCCATGTGACCCGTCGATCCCTGCAAGCCAGCGCCCCGAGCGCGGGTAACGACCAAATAGATCACCGCCATCCCAGCACGCCATGCGCCGCCCTTCACCGCTGGTGGACATGAGAGATCAGATCTGCGCGGCTAGGTCGGCATACTATACATTTCAACCTCACTAACCTAACCCTAGCTATACCATGTTAGCTATGCTGGTGAAAGTGTAGTGGCGATAGTGGCTATAGTGCTGTGAAGGGTTTTACTAGTGTCGTTGTATTATTAGTTTTTAGCGTTCTTGGTGGGTTTGATGGGGGTGTTCGGACGCTCCGTTGTGGAATTGTGGATCGGTGTTAGTTTCTTTCACTTCTATTTGCTTCTAGTGTTGCGTTTTGACGGGGTTGAAATGGAACACGGCACATGGAATGGATGTGGATTTGGGTACATGTAAGGGCCATTTTTTTTTTTGTTGGGGGGCTGGGATGGTGAGGTTAGGCGCCGCTATGGTAATTGTAATTTCACTTGGCGTGAGTTGGGCATGCGTGAAAGGGGTCTTGGATCTGGTTTTTGAGTGTTGCGCAGGCCCTGACTAAATAATAGTTGTATGTTAATCTGCTTTTACCGTGACTATTAGCTTGGCTTGGCTTTGTGGCTTGCGGCTGAGATATACCTTTGAGACACGTATGGATTCTTGGATTCTCTGGCCTTGACTTGTTGTTTCGAATCAAGACTTAGGCTATGTTTCGTCCGGCTGTCATTTCTAGTGGCTTTAATCTGACATGCAATTTGGTGAGATGGAATGCCTTGTCTGTAATTCTTTGTCAATTACTAGGCTAATTGACATCTAAAATCTCCGAGGGACTTGAATACCTAGCTATGCAGTCAACTTCTACTGAATAATTGAAGCCATTCAGATTCAGATCACGTGGCATTTCGGGATCTGCACAGATTACATAAGAAGTTAAGCTTATTGCCTATCGATAAGCAGTCACCGCCCTGGACCCCTCGCTGCATCCGTCACGGCTGCCTCGTGACCAGTAACCCTATATACCACTTCCAAAACATGCCCGAGAAACCTGTGGTTTCCTGAACAACTACACGCCCGAGATGCTTCGCTGAACCCTTTTTTGGTACATTTCCACCTACATCATCACCGGGAGAACAACCACACCATCTCCGGCGTATTCGCAATTATCACAAACATGTCTGCACCAGCTTCCCCCAAACCCTCCCCCAAACCATCCTTCGACTCCGAGGACCGCCCAGAGTCCCAGGATCATACGACAGCATCCACAGGCTCCGGCCACACCCGCACCGCCAGTGACAAATCCGGCGACTACAGTCCCCGACGACGATCGATCCAGTTTAGCGTCGGAGCCGCGGAAGCCCAGCTCCCGACTCGGAAATCCAGTTTCAAGGAAAAGCGGCTGTCATATGGGGATGCTCCGACTCGAGAGAGGGAATTGGAAGAGAAGGACAGGGAACACAAGGCCGCTCTTGCGAATAGAGGGCCGTCTCCGCCTCCGCCAAAGTATGGTTTTTTCCAACCCTATCTTCCGAATTGCGTTGACTGATTCCCGGCAGGACTTATGAGCGAGGCGTTTCCTTTGATACTTTTGATAATTTCGATGCGACTGATTTTTCCCTTACATTGAACTACAAACACAAAGGATACCAGAGCACGCGACGCAGCAGGACATTTTTATGTGGAACGGATCAAAACGATTACTCTGAATTTGCATTAGAATGGCTTCTTGATGAGCTGGTGGATGACGGAGATGAGATTGTTTGTCTCCGGGCTGTGGAGAAGGATTCGCGCATAGCCAGTGACGTCGGCATTGAGGAGGGCAAGTACCGACAGGAAGCGGAGAAGCTGTTTGAGCAGGTTATCCAGAAGAACAGCCAGGATGAGAAGGCTATCAGCTTGGTGCTGGAACTTGCAGTCGGCAAGGTCGAGAGCATCATTCAGCGCATGGTAAGCGCCCCGAGAAGTTTGTTGAAATTCTCAATCTGACGTGCTCTTTCTAGATTCGCATATACGAACCTGCAATGCTCGTTGTTGGCACGCGTGGCCGCAATTTGAAAGGAGTGCACAGTCTTCTACCCGGTTCGGTCTCGAAATACTGTCTTCAACAATCACCCATTCCCGTCATCGTCGTGCGTCCATCCCCGAAGCGCCAAAAGAAGAAACTTAAGCGCCGAGCGGACCCTACTCGTCGCAATTATAACCATATCCTTGAAATGAGTGAGCAGCGTGGCAGTCGCATCTTCGACGCCAGCTCCAGCACTGAAAGCAGTATCTCGAAACTACCTGGCGAGGAAGCTGCCGTCGCCGAGGCCCTGGGTCTCCCCGCTTCATATTCAAATGCGAACTCGCGAAGTTCACTATCAATCTCAGATCGGAGCAGTCTCAGCGTCGATGAATCAGACTCAACCTATCCAGCGCGAAATTCACTGGATGCCGTTGTCATGGGAAGTCCAGCCGAGAGCTCCCAAGAGAGCATTGTTGGCGATGAAAATGGAATCAAATCATCTCCAGATGACGCAACGGATCTTCCTTCATCTATCGAGCAAGACGACTCAAACGATTTTGCGTCGGCCGCCGAGACTGAAAAGCCCAGCGAGGCAGATGAGACACCCGAGAACAAGACACCGGTATCCATTCCTGTCATTGAAGTGTCAAATGACAATGATCAGAACGATAAAAAAGAACATTAAACACATGCATAGCCTGGCTCTTTTTTTACTTTTTTTTTTCCCCGCGATGCTGCTTATACACCGGGAAACCTTTCATATTTCACGATGCATACGATACTCTACACGTTAACCTTATATAGTCCTGGTCTGGTGGGAGATATTACTGTGGCTTTACTCTACTACCAATACAATACAATGCAAAACTCATCCTTAAACGCTGCACATCTTCAATGTAGGATGTCTATTTGTCTCCAATTCTTCCTCTCTGTCTTGATCTTACTTCTTTCTATTTTGATCTATTTCCTACGTAGATTGATTGATACCTTACAACAGATAATTCCAATTACTACGCCATTTAACATGGTAAGTTATATGTATCCAAGGCCGAAGCATCCATTCCATCACATCATAGCTTTGACACTTCGATCCCTAACGTAAGGCTTCTATGACCTGGTCTATAAGGACAAATAGCTAGTTCATTACTCTAACACAATACACGTAGCTCTACATAGCTTATAATATAACGGGGTTCTTAGGGTTGTATACAATGCCACTGATCAAAGATTGAATATTTTCAGGAAACCCTCGAGGCGAAATTGACGCTCTACACACACATCATGTCCGTATTACTTTAGCTTCTCTTTTCACTTCTTTTTCGCCTCTTTTTGCTCGTCTTCAAGGTCCCCGAGTTATAGTTATGGATCGACGTTATAGCATTCAACATTCAATATTCATATTCCATCTTTTCATCTCCTCACCCTCCAAGCCTCCACTCCGGTCTTTCCATATTTCAGGCCACTCTGTGAAGCAACAATAGAATAAAAGAGGAGCCAAGAAACGAAGAAGGGAAAAAAAGAGGTTGGGGGGGGGGGGGGGAGAGATGAAAAAAGGCAAGAAGAGGTAGGTCAAATAATGATAATAGAAAGAGGTCAAGATTGTACACTATGAAGAAAGGGTAGGTAGGATAAATAAAGAAGAATTGATTCCCGTTAACCGACCAGTCGGGGAAATGCAAGCGAGAAACTGCGTATGGGAGGGAACACAGATTAAAACACAAAAAAGCACAAGCGCAAGCGCAGGGCGGGATTTCGAAGCAAGATGGAAAATGGAATCACAAGAAAATGAGGAAATCTTTTGAGGAACCAAAATAATGGAAACGTTGATCATTACTCCTAAAGAAACTTTCTATGCTGTGGACTCGCCATCCTTCGACGGGGTTTTTGAGGGACGACGCTCAGCGGCCGCGGGCTGCGACTTGGTGAGCATGGGGGAGGTGGGGTTTGATGGCGGCGAGGTCGCCATGTTATCCCGGTCTTCGAGAGCGGCGAGAGCACTAAGAACTAGATATTAGTATGGGATGGAGTCGAGAATGGGAGTGGGTGCGTACCTGAAAGCGTTCATGGACGAGGTGTCCTTGTCTTCCTTCTTGCCGGCAGGAGGAGTGCCAGTGCGGCTGCTAGCAGCGCTGTCGTCACTGCCGCGAACCAGATTGCCTCCGGGACCGAGGTTCTTGCGGCCGCTGTTGGTGCGAGAGCCTCCTGCTAGCAGGCTGGAGGGACCGAATGACATGGGCTGGTTGGTGTTGCGAGTCGCGCGCAGACGGCGGAGATCATCGCTGCCGACCTTGCTAGAGGCGTAGTCGGGGGGAGGGGCTTGGTTGTTGTAGCTGAAGCCGCGGGCATCACCACGGCCCATCTGCATGCGGCCACCACCTCCACGGTTGCTGTTCTGGCGCTGGCGCTCGGCCTCGGCGGCTTGAGCGGCACGGGCAGCAGCCTCGCGAATCTCGTGGATGGTCTGGGGACCCTTGTCGGCCCCCTTGGAGTTCCAACGTGCAGAACGGAGATCAATGATATCCTGGAAAGTGAGTTAGTTTGAATGATACCATAGCTGAAATTTGCACTTACCAGCAGCATGAATCGGAGACGGCTGGGCAGGTTGGGAGTCTCAACCATGAGGTTGATGCGAGCAAAGTAAGCATCCATCATGGCGGGGCCCTTCTCGGAAGCATCGAGACTGGCACCAATGGTGCGGAGCAGACTGGTCAAACTTTCAACCTCGGCCTCATCGGGAATACCCTCGTAGTCAACAAGCTTCTTAACACACTCGTGCATGATACGCTCTGTCAACATGCCGAGCTTGTAAAGCTCACCGATGAACTTGACGAGACCAAGACCACGACGCTTAGCGGCAGCGGCAATGTAGTACTCGTCGGACATCATAGCAATCTCCTCGGTAACACCCTCGGGCTTGGGAGGCAAGTTGACCTTCCAACCACGCTCGAACTCCTCTTGACAACGGTTGAGCAGGTACTTGCGGAAGAGACTGCCACCAGCAACAACGTTGCCAGCCTTGTCGCGGATGTTCTCGTCCTTGATCTCAGCGCTCATGCTCTCGAGCATGCTCTTACAGAACTTGGCGTACATAGGGGCCCAGTGGGCTTCGTCAGTAGCCTTCTCGAAGGTGAGCTGAATGACCTGGCGCAGAGTGCGGCCATCAGACTCATCCTTGGACTGTGAAACAATTTCGAGGATCTGGCCGGCGATACGGTCGAACTTTTCGGGGGTCATCTTGTTAAGAGCAGCCTTGACCTTACGCTGCACAACATCGGGAGCCAAGTAGCCTTCGCCACCGGGGGCGGGACCAGCAGCAGTCTGTCCGACACTGCGAGGCTTCCAGCCGGAGGCGGAGGTAGTGATAGCCTTGAGGTCCATACCAGCGGTGAGAGGCATGGTCTTGTTCTGCTCGTGCTCGCTCTTGCCGCCGTGCTTGGGGCCGCCGGCCTTGCTGCCTTGGCGGGGACCCTTGCTGTTGTTGCTACCACGAGCAGCAACGCCGCTACCAGTGCGAATGCTTCCGGGGCCGTTGAGGCCAGGACGAGAGCCAGGGAAGGGTCCGAAGCTGGAGGATCCACGGTTACCCATTCCGGGGCCACCCATGGGGGGCATACCACCAGATCTGGGGACAGTGCCGAAAGTACCCATAGGGAAGTTACCAATGCCACCACGGGAGTTAGCACGGCTACCACCCATGCTGGGAGTGCGAGCGGACGGAGTGCGAGAAGAAGCGTCATTGTCACCGACTGTTTCGCGAATGCGCAAGTCCCAGTCGACGGAGATCTTGTCCTTGAAGATAGCCTGGAACTGAATCAAGAAGTCCCGGTCGTAGTGGAAGCGACGGCCAGGGGGAGAAGCAGCATTCAGAGCAGGGTTGGGAGGAGTGATAGATGAAGGGTAGGTAACCTTGCTGAGGTCGTCCAGGAACTTGGCGTTCTGCAGAGACTTCATGCCAGGAGTGGGCTGCAGGGGCTCAGTGGGCTTGGGGGTATCAAGCTTGAGGCCAGCAGGTTTCTTAGCACCCGTGGGCTTGGCAGGGGGACCCATGTCAGAGACAGGGGTGGCGGTACCACTGTCAGCGGGAGTGGATGACTCGGTAGCACCATATCCACCCTTCTTGAGCGATGCAAATGCGTCCTTGTCACCGGACTCGCTTTCTCCCTGGGCGCGAGCGTTCTCACGGGCAATCTCACGAGCCTCGGCCTCAGCCTCAGCCTTCTTCATGTTAGCCTCGTAGTTCTCACGTTCCTCACGCTCCTTGCGCTCAGCTTCGTCCTTCTTGGCCTGCTTGGCACGGTAGTAGTCTTCCTCAGCAGCACGCTCCTTGGCCTCAATTTCGGCCATCTCGCGCTCAATGGCGTCAAAGTCAATTTCGTCGTCATCGGCGGGAGCGGGAGCAGGGGCAGAGGTGGGAGCAGGGGCCTTCTTGGGCTCCTCGACGACCTTCTTGGGCTCCTCAGCAGCCTTGTCCTTGATACTCAGGTCCTCAATGGCGGCGCGAGCAGCCTCGGTCTCGTCCTCCTTCTTGGGCTTGGACTCGGCTTCGGTAGTCTTGCGAGCAGCCTCATCGGCCAGACGCTTCTGGTCAGCCTCATCTTGCTGAATCTTGAGACGAACGGCGTTCTTCAACTCCTGCTTCTTCTCCTCATCGGTCTTGGCAGCGTTGGCCTTGCTGTCGGAACGGTTGTGCTCAGAGGCGCTGGCAGTTCGTGGGGGAGGAGTAGCTGTGGGAGGGGGAGTGAATTTCACGGGAGACGGAGTAGCACGTGCGGGGGATGCAGGGTTCTTTTCGAAGGTCTTGACGACACCACTGCCAGGGTCTTTGATGACAATGGGGCTCTTCTTGGCGGGAATGATAAAGTGAGGCTTGGGGGCGGGGCTGTTTGAGGTACGGCTGGCGTTGTGGGAGTGGCCAGAAGCAGCGGGGCCGGTGGGTGCCGAGTTGTGGCCGCTGAGGCTCGATCCTGGACGGTCAGTAGACATAGATGGCTCACGCGAGAGAGCAGGTGCCTGAGGGCCACCAGGGAATTGGGCGCCCATCGGGTTGGGGAACTGTGCTTGAGGGTTGAAGGGCATGCCGGGACGAGGTTGAGGCGATGGGGGCATGTAGTATCCGCCATTGTAGTAACCATAGTTCGGGTCATAGGTGCCTGGGTAAGCCTTCATCATAGTTAGAATCTGTTCAAACTGGCCGCTTTCCGGCGCAAGGTCCACAGGAAAATCCGAGGTAAAGGGTTTGTTTTGTTTCTTTTTTTGGTGATTGCCACGCCGGGCGAGAGTTTGGCAGGAATTAAAAGCAGAAGAAGAAGGGGGTCTCACAGCTTGAGGGTGGGGGTAACCGTAGGCGCCGGGAGGCATCTGGCCATGGGCCATGGGGACCGGGTTCATCTGGGGAGTCGTAGGGTTCACGTTCGCCAGGGCAGGGCTGCGGTTGGCCTGGTGTGGCGAGTTAGGGTAACCCATAGGGCGACTCTGGTTGCCATGGAACTGAGGGCCCATGTTGGGACCGCCCCGCGGCTGATTGGGAGGCTGGCGGAAACCGGGGTTAGGCGAGTAGGGAATCTGCTGTCCCTGGTAGCCTGACTGGGAGTATCCACGACCGCGGCCGCCCTGGTGAGGATAACCAGAACGTCCGGGAGCGTTGCCCACGTTGCTCATATCGCTGTGGGTAGATTGAGACGATTCGCGACGCAGGTGTTGGGAACCGTGAGCGAGGGCGGCCTGTCAAAATTCGCCGTGTGAGCAAAGGGATCGGACTTCAGAGACCCGGAAAAGTGGCGCACGTAAAAAACGCCACATATCATGTACGAAGTCAGGGGATAAAAAAACGATATTGTAATACTTACGTTGGCATCGCCTGATTCTCCAAAGCTGCCAAAGTTAGGCACGTTGCCTTGCGCCTGGTATGTCGATGGTGGAGGTCGTCCACCGCTGGATGCAGGCTGAGGAATGGGCGATGGGGAGGTCTGAGGAGATGTCACCCGAGGGTTCGCAGAGGGAGCACTCAGACCACCCTGGGCTGGGTTGGATGCAGGCACAGCGGGAGCGCCCATGTTGGGAGAGCTCTGCTGGTTTGCGAATCCAAACTGAAGGCTGTTGGGACGACTGGCGGCGCCGTTGGGCATCTGTCCGGAGGTACCCGCGGAGGAAATAGTCACAGAGGGCTTGCGAGAGTGATCGCCCTGGGAAGCTGGAGCAGTCGGGGCGCCATTGACAATGGTCACGCCCGAGGCCTGTTGGTTTTGCATGGGTTTGCCGTTCACAGGAGAGACGGAACTCGACTTCCCATGTTGCGCGGAACCGCTCACGGTGGCTGAAGCGGCGGATGAATCCGTCGCGGACTTCTTGGTTGCGTTGGCGTAGGACTTGGGCGCCTGGTTGGAGGCAGGGGTTGCGGGCTGGGTCGAAGCGGAGGTCGCGGTGCTCTGTGCTTGTCCCGACTGAGGAGGGTTCGAGGTCATTAGACAGGTGGTGTCCTTAACGCGCGAAGGGAGCGAGGTGTCTTTTTCGAGGGGAGAGACGAGGTGATGTCAAGGCGCGGAACGTGACAAGGCCACATCCAAACCTGGGATGTCTGCACACACAGTCAAAGGGATGAAATCGTAAAAAAAGAAGGGATGAAAGATCCCAGATGCAATGAAGACCAGGTACGCAGCAAATGAAGCAGCGTTTTGGTCGACAAGGCGGGTAGTTGATGATTTGATTTTTCTCAAATGGGTGGGTGAAGGAAAAAGTCGTTTCGGTGGAAAAAAATTCGGGGTTTGTGGAGGAACACGAAAGGGTAAAGTCGCGACTACGAACGAGTCAGGCTCAACTCACGTCAAAGTAACGATTTCAATGTGTGATTCTTTCGAGAGTCTAGTGTGATTATTGTAATCAAAAGTATTGTTGGATTCGGAATTTCCAAGAAGAATGCTATGTATTCTGTGTATCTACTTCCGCCACCATGACATCGCCTATACAAAGAAATCAAGTCGCGAGCAAATGACGGAACAACATTACTCAAGGAGAGACCAAATGTGCAGAACAATACTACGTCTGGTATGTCAAAGGTTCTGTTGTACTATTATATTCAATACATAGGCTTATACAGTGGATAACCAGTGGTACTTTTGTCTTTGGTCTTTGGTCTTGGTCCTTGATCCTCGGTCTCTTTTGTGAATGTGCTTTCAATAACATTCCGTAGCTGTGTTCCTAGCCTCCTGTACTATATAGACTGTTCACTCCCTATACTAATACTATTTTGCGGAAGAGCAAATGACCAGAACCTGCCAACTTTCAAGCATCTCGCCTGTCTTGGCAGCACGTGACCCATACATCTACAAGTTCTCTTCTGCGAGGGGCATGAGTCACTCCTTTAATTAGTGCTTATTCTCCGAGACTACGATGAGATCATGAGGCTCTATTGTTGTCAAGTGAATGGAAATCTCCAGGTGTGGTAACATTACCCTCAATATAGCGGGCGGCACATGAAGCTATCCGTTATAGAGAATGGAACCATGGTAATAAGTTGAAATATGTCACCGAATTATTCTGTTCCGAAATTCCTGGCCATATGATGATCGGGGAAGAAAAGACCTCCATATGTCTGAATAGTCACCAGGCAGCAACGCTTAATCACATCTCGGTAATAGTATGGGAGCAGCCTTCTGCGCTCAACGGTACGCTTTGAAGATATGATCTTCCTTATATATACCATATTGCAGAAGTATTCCTCCGATTTAAGATAGAATTTGAGGTAAAGAAAGAAGGTTTCAGCGCGCACATCATGTCGTCGGATACCCATGGATTAAGCATTCAACTATATACATATTGGCCCACTTCTATTTCCAGGAGATGTAAAGTTTTACCTTGAAAATGAGCTATGACAATCCGACCTTCCCTAGAGAAACCTTCTATAACTAGACGTTAAAATACGCCCTTAGCACTTCAGCGGATTTGGAGGGATGGAGCTTAGAACCTTCACAGATTCATACAGTACGCGTGAGAGTAAGCAATTGAGCCTCGGTCGTATCTATAAGAACGTTAGCAAGTTAGGAAACTTCTCAGCTCAACAAATTGTCCTACTGGTGATGTTCATTATGTGACATGTAGTAGAGGATGTACGGTTCTGAGTTCCCTCCGGATCATATGGATGAACAGCGAGCAAGCAATTTGAGCAGATGTACAAGGCGTGAATGATTCATGACTGATGAAGCATTAGATGGTCTTGGGATTTCATAGAAGGACCTTGAAGCGATTTGAGCTGTCTCTTGCATTGTTTTTGCCATACTCTGGCCTCACCTTCGATGCCTTTTGTACCCGTTTCCGAATGTTTCGGGTAAACCTTATAGACCATATACATATGTAGAGGTAGAGATGTGGGAAGACTTATGTCCTATTGCTGTGTCCTTTTATAGAAGGATTAGTAACTTACTTCCAAGATAACTATCAAGTTATACAACAGCAAACATCAAATATCACACACAAGAATTACTCCGCCCATCTAACATATAATCCAGATTCAGTTCAAGTTCGATTCAATAGTCGATATTCAGCAAGGTAAGCCATACAGGTCCTGCATTTCCCAGCATTCCAGCAAAAGCAAAGCACCGGGTTCTATTTTTGGGTTGTGGGGATTCTACTCTATTCCCTAGAAAGAGTGAAAACCCCCCCCTAATAAGCAGATCAAGATCGATCATAGCCTGTTGCGCGCGAACGAGAAATCTCGTCGATAGCTCGGGCAGCGAAATCACTTCCAGAAGAACCAGCGGAGTCCTGCTCGTTACCGAACCAGCCCGATGTCCATCCACCGCTGGTCTTTCGGGCCGTGTGGGTACCTGGTTCCTCGTTATCGACTACTTCGAAGGAGTTGTCGCTGCGGTTCTTACGCAGGGGCACGCCGTAGGCGAGATCGTCTGGCTCGGGTACATCCAGGTTGCTGCTCTGTTCCTCGCGGGTCAGGGTTGACCGGAGGTGATCCAGCAGCTCGCGCTGTGAGGAAATGAAGTGTGCCTTCTCAGCTCCGGACATGGAGGACAACTGTCGCTGGAGCAAATTGCCGCTGGCGGACAGTTCTTCTTCCCGCGCTTCGCGAGACTTGCCGGAAGCTACCGAGCCCACGGCAGAGCTGAGGACTGAGTACCAGTCATTGTTGGCGGAAGCTCCGGCAGTGGGAATGTTGAAGCGTGACAAGAGGGACTGAGCGTAGGAGGCGGCATTTGGCTGGGGCGGTGTGGATGGACGCTGCGGGGGAAGACCGAGGACCTTCTCTCGGATCAAATCGATCGCTTGGTAGAAGTACTGGAGGCCCAGGGCCTTGGCGCGTTCATGGGTGCGGCCGATGATGTCTTCGATCTCCCGCTCGTGGTGTGTCAAAAACGGATCCACGTAATCCTGGTATAGCAAGCGAGCCCCTTGCGTCTGGGGGAGGACAAGATAAGAGAGGAAACATAGGCGGATCCAGCTATAGAAGGGGAACCTGGGAGTCGTTCATAATCAGCTTGGGATTTCGGAATGGGTTGGAGTGGGGAATGTACCATCCGATGATGAATACTGTCCAGGATTCTGCCAGGAGAATGACGGAGAGCACCACCCAGTACATCAGCCATGGTGCCAGTTGTGAGGGGTCGGATGATCGGAGGGCTTTGTAGGAAGCGAACACCGGGAAGAGGATCGTGATGACCGAGCTAAACGATAGATCTGCGTTAGATTGCTGTCGGACCCATCTTTTGGATAGGAACTCTTGAGGTATAGGCACTCACGACATCAAATCCGCGAAAATTCCGAACATGGTGGGCGATGTGTGAGGAATTCACTCTCCAGGAGAGAAACCACAGCGTTATTGGAGAAGCTGCACTATCGTTTTCAGCCCCACTGTCTCAGGAGGGCAGAGGGTACAATAAAAAATGGGGCTCAGAGAACAGGCAACAACAAAGACAGCGGCCGGCCGCTGAATGATGGTGAGAGACGAGGGCAAGAGACGAGGTGAAGCCAAGAAGGCGGGAAGACATCAAAAGAATCACACTATGACGACTGCATGTCAGCTGGATAGTCGGGAGCTGTACCTAGGTAGCACCGTACATATATATTCCGCCTTGTTTTTCTAGATCAGAACTTGCATTTGCCCTCATATTTATCTACAGTTTCTATACTCTTTTTGAAATATACTATATATAATCATAAAGGCCATCAACTGTTGTGATTTCCCCGATCCCCGCTCTCCCGTCTCATTCCCACCCCACATCTGCTACAATGTGCATCGCATTGATCTCAACGGCGCATCCTGCATACTCATTGATCGTGATCAACAACAGAGATGTAAGATATCTCGCTTGAATCCTCGAATAAATCTGACTGATCTAGGAATTTCTGCATCGCCCTACGTCATCTCCAGACTGGTGGCCGGAGCCCTCCTCGCACGTCCTCGGCTCACGCGACCTAGCCAGATCTACACATGGAACCTGGATGGGGGTCACAAAACATGGCAAAATCGCTGTACTCACCAACTACCGCGAAGACAAAGCCAGCGAAGCCATCGGTGTCTACAGTCGTGGTTTGATTGTCAACAGCTGGTTGACCGGACCGATAGACAAGCAAGCTACTCGGGAATTCGTCCAAGCCATAGTTGCCAGCCCTGAAGCCAAGCAAGTGGGTGGATTCAGCCTGGTCTGTGGACATATTAATGAACCGCTGGCCATCGTGTCCAACCGCTCATCCGACATGGATCATATCACATGGGTTGCCACAGAGGAAAACCAAACTCGTGGGCTCAGCAATACCAGCTTTGATGATAGATCCTGGCCCAAGATTCTTGATGGAGAGAGACTGATGGAAGCTGCAATCCAGGATCATGTCTCAACCCAAACGGAGGATGAGGATGCCTTGATTGAGCAGTTACTACACGTTCTCAGCACTGATACGTTACCACGGCTTTCACAGGGCGAAACGCTCGATACATATATCAATCATCTGCGCAAAAGCATTTTCATTCCCATCATCGGAGATACAAACGACCATGAAAAAGCTGCAGGCACTCCAGCAAACGGAACCCTGGACCAAAGCTTCATGTCTGGAGCTTATGGAACCCAGAAACAGACTGTCCTTTTGGCACGACCGGACGGGCGAGTGAGATACTTTGAAAGGACGTTGTATGATAACGATGCTAAGGCTATACCGTTGGGAGAAGGCGATCATTCCTTTGAGTTTACCATTCAGTAGCACTTAGATATCAATATGATACCAGAAGCACGCCTTGCAACCCTACCACTTCATATTTTCGCAGTTCGCCAACCCTTTGAATATTATCACACGTACTTTGTACATGTACAGGTAAAAGCCATAGCCCGTAACCCGTAACCAGTGCCCCACATGTGCTTGACCAAACACCAAAGCTTCCGTCAGTCGGTTTGGCCTCCCAAAAGGCGGTCTGATACTGCCAAAGAAAAGGGTATATCATGTCATTAAGACACTGTTTCTTCGCCCTACGGGGCATTTGGTCAAATGAAAATATACAGAGAAGATTAGCATGGCCCCTGCACTAAGGATGACACGCTCAATCAAAGAGAAGCTACCAGTTTTTTTTTCTTTACGGAAGCTTTTTCGAGGTTATTCACAATCTGTCTATGGGTCCCCATATTGCCTAATTAGGAAAGGGGCTGGTTCTGAGGGCGCGACCGACGTTCGAACGCGACAGTGGCCAATTATTTCCACATGTGCCTCCCATGTGGGCGATCAATTAATGTTACAAGGAATGGGATTATGTCAAGAGTAACCACCACTTTACGACCTTGATGCTTTTTTTCGAGAAAACACACACGCCTGCGTATGGGGTCGCGTTCGAACGCGACAAGGGCCGATTATTTTGCACATATCAGCCTTTGAGACTTGATGCTGGGTTATTTAATTTAGAAAACCAAGCACCAAAATATGATATCCAAATCTAAAAGTCCCGAAAGTTCTGTGGTGTAGTGGGCTGACCTGCAGCCCTTGTTTATCCTTCGACTTCGACCCTTTCTTTTGTCATTCCTCCACATCAATTCCATCAAGTTTCTCTAGGCTGATACATTAATGTTCAGGTATCTCATTTTGCTCTCTCATTCGAAAAGGAACCTCCGAGTCTCTTTGGGCAAATTATGCCGGTTTATAACGGCCATACTAACCGCCCCGTCGTGTTTCATCTTGAGCAATCGCTCATTTAGCCGGTGCCTCGATCTCGGCCCTCACCCCAAATTGGTATAGCTGATTCTAGAAGTGTATCAGAGTAATATCGATTTGATTACTTTTCTTTGACGGTGAGACTGGTGCAAATTAACTATCAGGAAACTAACCCTGACTGCTGCAGCCACTCATCTCCACCCCCGTCCTCATCGTCATATGAACGGCCACGCCATAAAGCCAATTTCCGCTATACTGGATCTACCCTAAGCTAGATTGACCTATGCACTAGTCTAAACCGTTTCTGGCCGTTCGTGCTGGAACCGTGACCCCTGGGCAATGTGAACCATCAGCTTGTTTCTCCGGTGGTGGAGAAATTCTTCCTGTATCCGGGATATTCACTATGGAACTCAAAGTTAGCCTCCACCGGGATACCGGTCATCACCAAGCCGAGTATCGTCTGAGTGGCTACATTGAAAGTCTCGAACCATGTGCCCACTTTCGTGCCGGAGGTCCTGCTGGTCTGCGCTAAGCGCAGCTTGACAACGCCGAGCACACTTATGGGGCCACAGGACTATAAAACAGACGGCTTCCGGGGTCTTGTCTGCTGTTCATCCAAATTCTTCAAGACTGGCTTCTTGACATTCATTCTTTTTTGTTCGCATTTTTACATTCTCTTTCGTCAAACTCGACTGTCATTCTCTTATACATTTCAAAATGAAGTTCACCAACATTGTTCTCGCTGCCAGCGCCGCAAGCCTGGCTGCTGCTTACCCCCGTGGACGTGACGTTTCCCCCGCAAAGCAGAGCATCAAGAAGCGCGGCACCGGCTTCAAGTGGGTTGGTGTCAGCGAGTCTGGTGCTGAGTTCGGCGAGGGTAACGTCCCCGGTACTCTTGGATCGGACTACACCTGGCCCGAGACCTCCCAGATCAAGATCCTCAGAGATGCCGGCATGAACGTCTTCCGTGTTCCTTTCTTGATGGAGCGTCTGGTCCCCTCCAGCATGACCGGCACCACCGATGCTACTTACCTGGCTGCCTTGAAGAAGACTGTAGAGTTCATCACTGACAGCGGTGCCTATGCGGTCCTTGACCCTCATAATTACGGAAGATAGTAAGTTACATCGGACAGGAAAGATGCTATACATACTGACATTTAATCTCCAGCTCTGGCAGTATCATTTCGTCTACCGACAACTTCAAGGCTTGGTGGAAGACCGTTGCTACCGTGTTCGCTGACAACGAGAAGGTCATCTTCGACACCAGTAAGATCAATAACTCTTTGCAGAATCGGTAAAAAACCTAACAGTCCTCTCCCATAGACAACGAGTACCACGACATGGACCAGACTCTTGTTCTGAACCTGAACCAGGCTGCCATCAACGGTATCCGTGCTGCCGGTGCCACCAGCCAGTACATCTTCGTTGAGGGTAACGCCTGGACTGGTGCCTGGTCGTGGACTGACAACAACGACAACCTGAAGGACCTCACAGATTCCGAGGATAAGATCATCTACGAGATGCACCAGTACCTCGACTCTGACAGCTCCGGTACCTCTGAGACCTGCGTCAGCAGCACCATCGGAAAGGAGCGTATCCAGGCTGCCACTGAGTGGCTCCAGTCCAACGGCAAGAAGGGCTTCATCGGAGAGTTTGCCGGTGGTGTCAACAGCGACTGTGAGGCCGCTGTTGAGGGCATGCTCTCCTACATGTCCGACAACAGCGACGTCTGGATGGGTGCTGAGTGGTGGTCCGCTGGTCCCTGGTGGCACAGCTACATGTACAGCTTGGAGCCTTCCGATGGCCCTGCTTATTCCACCTACCTCCCCATTCTTGAGAAGTACTTCGTCTCCTCCGACTCTGCTTCCACCTCCTCTGCTTCTTCCTCCTCGTCCTCCTCCTCGTCCTCCACCTCCTCCACCTCCTCCACCAAGACCGCCGCCCAGACCTCCACCACTACCGTCGCTGCCATCGAGGTCACCAGCACCCCCAACAGCCAGGTCGAGGCCATCTCCACCGCCGTCGAGTCCACTAGCTCTGCTGCCCCCGCCGTCTGCGCCGCTTCTACCTCCACCGCTGCTCCCGCTCCCGCCGCTACCACCGTCACCTCCATCCCCGTTGACGTCCACGTTCCCACCTACGCCCCTACCACTCTTGCCACCATTACCTCCGCCGCTCAGAGCACCTCTAGCGCCTCTGCCAGCGGAGGTGTCGTCAAGCACTACTTCCAGTGTGGTGGTATCAACTACACTGGCGCCACTACCTGCGAGACCGGCACCACCTGTGTCAAGCAGAACCCTTACTACTACCAGTGCGTTTAAATGAGTCCATTTCTTCTAGAAATGTATAAGCGTACGGATAAAATTGGGCTTGCAGATCTTTTTTTGGGTTGACCCTTGTATACTTTCTCTTCACATCTTTTCTTCACTTCTACTATATAAATTCATTTGGACATTTACTTTTACATCATATCTCCATTTATGTGTACTCGCAAGATAAAATTATATAGCCGAGATGCCCTCTAATCCGGACCGAAGATATGTATACGATAGCCTGTCGAAGAATAACCATATTACCCGAGGCGGTTCTTCATTTCGGATAGTAGAAAATCTATTTGCTTATTCTACGTCAATAGAAATCGTATCCCTTCCACCAAATCCCGCTGCCAGCTCTTGGAGACATCAAGATCAGGACAAGTCGTCCAAAACCCATGTGGCAACCCTGGATAAACATACAACTTAGTATCAATACCTTCTTCCTTAAGCAGCTGTTCAAGTAGCAAAGCCTCATCCCGCCGCGGATCCCATCCACAAACAAAGAACGCAACCTTCTGAGCTAGATTGGCATGCGAATCAAAGAGCAAAGGTGATAGCCGCTTATCTTCTGGTGGCGCGCCGTATTTAGCTGAAAGGAAACCCGGATTAGTGTTCGCCAACCTATACAACCATCGACGAATCCAAGATGGATGCCTCACCAGAAAAATAATCAATAGACTTCCTCGTCAGCCCAGGTGCATCGTTGACCTCATCCACACTCAAAATACGATGTAAGTATTTCGCTGGACGGGCATCTGGATGGCAAAAGCTTCCTGCTAGAAATAACAGCCCCGTCAATGACGGCGAAAGTCCCTCTTCAACGGCGAGATGGGCGATTCCGGCTGTGAAATTTGCTCCGGCGGATGTTCCACCTAATAGGAAGCCTTTTCGTAGATTTATTGGGAAGTGACTGGATCCTTCTTTCGCGGCCTGTAGATTTATATGAGTGAGCTTGTCAGCTGGTTTTCTGTCCCACTTTGTTTTCAAATACATCTCAAACCAATGCGTACAAGTTAACAATACTCCATTACTTACCCAGCGAACAACATCAAAACAATCTTCAAAACCAACCGGGAACTTATTCTCCGGAGCAAGACGGTACTCGACGTTGAGTACTAGGAGGGGAAGGTTCGCTGCCAGTACGCGGCACGAGCCATGGTCTGTCTCTAGACTACCTGTTACGAAACCACCGCCGTGGAGATAGATGAGCAGAGGTAAATCTTTCTGGTCGGACGTTTTGTAGGACCGGATACAGATCGGGTGGCCGTCTCGTGCGGGGATATGGAACTCCTCGATGTCTAGGTTTGCTTGGGGTGCTATTGGGAGGTGGTCGCGGGTCATGGGAAGTCGGCGGGTATTTGGTGGGAGGTTGTTTGGGAACTTTGGACATGGTTAGTTAGCTATGGAGGTAGAATGTAGGGGTGGGAGGGGAGGTATGATGTACGTCAGCCCATTGGGGATGGGCTATTGCTAGGTCTCTATACTCTGCCATGATCAGAGGGTGATGCAATCTGGATTGGGGAGATAAGGTAAAGGATGTAAGGGCTCGAGGTTTATTTAAGAGTTTGGGACAGGCAATCAGATCAGATCTAATCAGATGAAGATCCCGAGGTCCGACATGACACCACTTTCCTATTCGGGGCCACGGAACGCTAAGAGTTCCGCACATCAAACCTAACAAGACGAAGGTTCAGTGAGACGAGGGGCCCCTGGAAAGGTTCTCAGATTGGTATATCAGTCTACAGCGCACTAGAGAGCGCGTTCAAGAATAACAATCGCTCGCGGCCAATTATCCGGTATAGAAAGAGTCAATTGTTTCCAGCTATTTTCATTAAAAAAACTTTTGACTAGAGATAAGATACATGTACACCAAGAATGAGACTAGGGCAACGGCGAAAAATCATGATCATGCGCCCCCTGCAAATAATCATAATCATCATCAACCCACTGTACAGCAGGGACAACACGGCCCCAATCAACCCTCCCGTCCAAACTGCGCGGCAACACAAACTTAAGCCCACTCCGATACCAGCTCGCAAACTGAATAGATACAAGCATAACCCTCGGATCATCAGTCCGATTCGGCATACCAGCATGCCACAACCTGAAATCCCGAATCATCAAAGAACCCTTCGGCAACCCAGGCTGGATACCGGGACTAATGCGCCTCCTTTCCTCCAGTAAATCTGCCCTGATCTGCTTATGCTGGGTGGTTTGATCCAGCACATATCGATCCGTGTCCGTATGACTACCAAGCCACACCTCCGTCGCTCCATTCTTTGGCGAGGTATCGACAAGATTGACATTTACACAGAAGGCAAATGGCATGCGCGGCATATCAAAGTCGACATCGATATGCACTGGCTGTCTCTCTGTAGCTTTGAATGCCGTGTTGGCGCTGTAGAAGCGCATTGTTGGGTGTGGGCCGATCATACTTTCGATTACGGATGTTGCGAAGGGGTTGGCGATTATATCTTCGAAAATGTACTCTGCTGAGCAGACGGGCTCTTGTTGAATGTTGCCTGTTCCTTTGCCGAAGTTTCTGTGAGTCTCTGTGCGTTCATAGAGGCTTTTGGCTTCGTCGACCATTCGCTTGTTGAGCTTGTCCAGATGGGATGGATTGACGGCGTTCTTGAGGACGACTATTCCATCACGATGGAGAGCTTCTAGACATTTTTGCAGGCTGTGTGATCCGATTTGTCGAGTCGCAAGCTCAGCGTCGGTTAACTCGATAAGTTTAATCTGGGGTTCTTGGGAAGCCATAACTTTAGCAATGTATCTGTGATATCCTACTCTTGGAGGCACATTTTATATGTTTCCTTCCCCACTGATGGTATGAATGCATCGTTGCTTTCAGCACAATGTAGTTCGTTTCCCCTCATCCAGTTATGCACCGACAGTTGAAGTTACCTATTTGGGTTAGTGTGGGGGCATGGCCCATGATACACAGAATCATGGATCTTTGAGTAACAAAGTACCCCCAGACTATTGTATTGGAATTTTCCACCAAAACCTGAGTATGTATACCTGGTATGTTTACTGAGCATATATAGCCACGGGTAGAAGGATTTAGACAGACCGAGGGTTTTCATGTGCTAGAAGACTTTCTTTAAACACTCTGATATTGTTACTTTCTCTGCCGGGGACTTGTGATGGTAGATTAGCGGAATTTAGCATTGCGCTGAATGATCCGTACAAATTACAAGCACAAATACAAGTGAAAGGGTTTGAACAGGTAAAATGTCCACAAGCTGCATAAACCTACTCTTGGTCGTGTAGGGGAGCTAAAATGACGGAAATCAAGAGTTACTACTCATGTAAGAGAAACTAGCGCCATTGGGGTTATTATGAATGGACATCCCAGAAGCATAACGATCAAGAGTATTCTAGTAATAAGTCATTAGTACAGTTCAGAAAACCCGGGAGAAAGCACTTATCATATGCAACCAGAACATGCCAGTGAAGCCAAAAGTGAACCAGCTGCGAAATCGCGCCATCTTATGATTAAGATCTGTAAGTCAGTATGTGACCAAGTAGATTTTTGAAGTCTGACTCTCACTATTAAATTAAGAAGGTTATTGAAGCCGGAATTGCCTGAGCAAGAATCTACGCAACTGCCCAGTGGCCAAAAGCAATACCGATCCAGAGCTAACAGCAACCCAGTCTCGCTTTGACATGCGATCGGTGCCAGCAAATATAAGAACGTAGAGCGACTTGGCGGCAAGGTCTCCGTTGATAACACCAGCAATGAGAATCTGAATAGATAGGTGATAGTCATGAAACGCAAGGCGAGCTGTTCTTACTGTAGGGGGAACCAAGTTATAAAATTTTTTCGAGATCAGCGGACCAGCCGATTCCAGGGCAGAGGAGGCAATGTCGGCACTGCTATAGCGGTAGATGACAATAGCCGCAACAATATAAAGCTCATATCAATATTTCATATCAATCACTTGCAGGAGTGCAAGAACTTTTGGAGAATTCTAAGGCGGCTGTATGTGTTTATAAAAATTAACCATGTGTCATTTTATCTGATATAAGTCGTGTTTATCCACCAGAATGACGCCGCTATGAAATCAATGTGGGACGTGTATCTGCTTAGCTCTACGGGCCGGATGACTGATATAATGGACACACTGGTCATGGATATGTAAACTATAGTTATTATCAGTCTTTATATCGCAGCCTGATAGGGAGGACCATTTTTATGCATTGATTTATCCCACTATGATCTCTCCTTCTTCGACCCTTTCAGCTTCATTTTCGAGGGCCTGAGGTCAGTCATATAGACTCCATGAAAACAGCGCGTGAAAGGGGCTTCGGACGTAGGTGAGCCGACATGACGATTAAAAAGTCAATTTAAAATTGGTATGTGATAATGCCAAGTTAAGTGCGTGAGTGGAAAACTATATCTTTGGGAGGTTAGATCAAAGCTTGTTCGTTGTATGAATGGTTAACTGCAATTCAATTCTGTTATAATCATTCTATCGCGCCATCTACATATTAAGTTGCATAAATTTCATAATTTCGTACCCATGTTCACATGAACAGCCTTGACCTGACTATAAGCCTCAAGACCAGCCTCGCCCAACTCTCGTCCAATACCACTCTGCTTCACACCACCAAACGGAATGCGCGGGTCACAGTCCTGGCTACTGTTAATCCAGACCATACCGGACTCAATCTCTGCAGCGACGCGGTGAGCTCGCTCTAGATCGCGGGTGAAGACAGATGCGCCGAGACCATAGGTGGTATCATTAGCACGGCGAATAGCTTCTTCTTCGTCATCGAAGGGGAAGATGACCACGACAGGACCGAAGACTTCTTCTTGGGCGATGCGCATGGAATCAGTGGCATGGACGATAACGGTGGGCTGGACAAAGTATCCATTTGCGTTCTTTGCATCAGTATGCTGGTAGGGGCCACCCCCGGTGAGAATAGTCGCACCCTCGCTCTTGGCGATTTCGAAATAGGAGAGGATACGGTCATATTGAGCACGTGTGACCTGGGGGCCTTGAAAGACGGCCTCGTCCCACTGATCACCGATCTTGACGCTTTCAACTGCAGCCTTGTAAGAAGCAGTGAATGATTCCAGGATATCGCGATGGACGAAAATACGGGAAGTGGCTGTACAAATCTCGCCCTTGTTGGACATGATACCGGCGTGTGACCACTTGACTGCTTGGTCCATGTCTGCGTCGGGGAAGACAAGAAGAGGAGACTTGCCGCCAGTCTCGAGGGTGATATTTTTAAGAGTGCCAGCAGCCATCTTCATGATTTCCCGAGCAGTCCCAGTTGACCCGGTGAATGCAACCTTGTCGACCAGCGGATGCGATGCCAACGATGCGCCGGCTTCGCAGCCGTACCCGTTGACGATGTTGACCACACCGGGAGGGAATCCGGCTTCCTTGATTAAGGTACCGAGAATAAGGGCGCTAAGAGGGGTTTGCTCGGCGGGCTTAAGAACAACTGTGTTTCCGCAAGCCAAGGCAGGACCTAGCTTCCAGGTTGCCATTGACAAGGGGTAGTTCCAGGGAATGATCTGACCGACAACACCAATGGGTTGACGGATTGTGTAGGCAAATTTTTGAGGAGTGGTGTTGATGGTTTGGCCAAAAGTCTTATCGGCCCAGCCACTATAGTAGCGGATTGTGGTAATTGCCTCTGTGAGGTCTTCATCAACAGCGACGTGGTAGGGCTTTCCTAAGTGGGAGTTAGCAAGTTACGAGGCATTCGTTAAAATCAAGCATACCATTATCCCATGCGTCAATAGAAGCCAGAAGTCCACGGTTCTCCTCCATAAGATCGGCCAATCGGCCCATAAGTTGGCCCCGGTCTGTAGCGGGGAGCTGTTTCCATGAGGGGTGGACTAGGGCCGCTTTGGCTGCTTCCACGGCGCGGTTGACATCTGCGGCGCTGGCAGCTTGGACGGTAGCAATGGGCTTGTCGGTGCTGGCAATTGGATTAGTGAGGGGCTATAATTGATAAATGGTATGACATACGCGGGGTCAAGAGAGGTGATGGTTTGTCCTCCCGTTGCGAGTACAATTTCGTTGTTAATAAAGAGGCCAGTGGGCTGCTTGTAGCTGCGTCCATTGGGAGTGACAATATCGACGAAGAGATCCATTTTTGCTTGAGAAACTAAGCTCAAGGCGCGGAGTGTTTGATATAAGATCATTTGGGGACAGGCTATCCCCTTTTTGGCATGTCCTTCCGACTGATCTCCGACCAATTTGGCAAGTGTTTCCTTTCTAATCGCATGTGCACCAGCGGGCATTTATCGTGAAGTCACGAATCTCACTTCTCAGACCTTGACTTGACCAGGAAATTGCACTTGATTGTTCCATGTAGATGTTTCATACCTCAATCTTTGTCACTTCTGCTTGATGCAGCATCTGATATGCCTAAAGCAACTTGACAGATTCAACATTCATCCCTTGCTACAAGGGAAGAGAACATAGTAGACCCTCCCTTTTAGTGCATGCATCGGGGATTTCATATAATAGCTCCCTGTCAAGTAAAAACTGCACGAACGGTATCAAAAAGTACGTTGGCCCCGTCAGCATTGTAGGAATCTATTCGTGTCAAGGTTAGAAGAGCAATAAAAGTACCCTGTCACACCGTGGATATGCAATTCAAAGTAATTTTCAGTTAACGAGAACATTACCGTTGTGTCATATATGCAACTATAGCCTAAATCAAAGCCGACCACGTTTTTTGAAATAACAGATGCACTACCTAGACAATGGAATTACTTCTAATCCTACATCATGTATAATAACATTGAACAATACTTCTAATTCTGTTTCGGTCTGATAAAAACAAACAGTATATCTCAAGGCACACTAATATCTTTTCATGACAACAGTCAGTCGGTTATTCATAGACCTTTTTTTCGCATACCATCCTATGTCCAGGGGTAGACCAATGCTTACCAAGGTTACAATGTCAAAAATGATCATGTGACGACAGGTGACTTGAGGTGCCCTCTAATGAAGGAACCCGAAGAGTAGATCTACAGCTCTGTTGTATAGAGGCAATTCCATTCCTCCAAGTGGGGACGTGGGGTTCACCGCTCTGGGGCCAATGTGTCACGTCGATCGCGCGTTGCATACTCCTCATACCCGACACCGATTCATTGACATCGCAGTTCAAATGGAGTGCTCAGTGCTCCATCAGTGTAAGACTGAAAGGCGATTCTATTGTCAGCACAAAAAGGAAGGTGGGGGTGAGATTGATAAAGGTGGGTTAACCGAAGAGGAAAGTGATTCCGACCGCGCAAACCTACTCTCCGAGTATACAACCAACGTAGATGGAAAGAGACTCCAACATCCCAACTATATCTAGATCACTAGGTATTCATCCAAACTCCTCCATCAATATACCCCTCCAACCCCCAAACAATTGTCTCTCAACACCTCCCTACACAATTTTCCAAAATGGCATCCCTCGGCGGCATCATGGTGGCGATCATCACACCCTTCACAGATGACCGCACCAAAATCGACGAAGGCCGCCTCCAGCAACACATTGAGCATCTCATCACAGCAGGCTGCCATGGCCTCGTACCAGGCGGCAGCACAGGCGAATTCACAACCCTTAGCTTTGCCGAACGCAAGCAGTTAACAGAGCTGTGCGTGAAGTTCGCCGCAGGCCGTGTCCCCGTTGTTGCCGGAACTGGCAGCACCTCCACTGAGGAAGCCGTCGAGCTCTCCGTGCACGCAGCCAAAGTCGGTGCCGCCGCTACAATGGTTGTACCTCCCTTCTATGACCCGGTCAACCTGGAGCAGTTGCACGAGATGCTCAATGATATCTACACTGCCTCCAGCTTGCCAATTGTCTTCTACAACATCCCCTCCGCCAGTGGCTTGACGCTTTCGCCTACTGAGATCGCGGGACTCGCCAAGGTTGGCGTGAAGTACCTGAAGGATACCTCTGGTAATGCGCCTGCGCTTACAGAGTTGATCTTTGGTCTCTCCGATCAGATTACTGCATTCAATGGATGGGATACTTTGACATTCTACGGTCTTGCTGCTGGCGCGCCTGGCGGTGTTTGGGGTGCTGCCAACATTATTCCCGAGTTAGCCGTTGAGCTTTGGGATGCCGTTTCTGTAAAGGGCGACCTCAAGCGTGGACGTGAAATCTGGGCCAAGACCTGGCCTGTTTGCAAATTCTTGGAGTCGCATAACTATGCTGCTGCGGTTAAGACTGGCTGTGAATTGATTGGACAGCCTACTGGTGGCTTGCGCAAGCCTTTTGCTTTGCTTAGCCCCGAGTTAACGGCTGAGCTTAAGCAATTGTTGCAAAACGCTGGTGTTAAGACTATCTAGATGGGGTATTTAGATATATATATGCGGCTTTCAATGGATATATTCGTGGCCACCAAATATCTTTGAAACCTTGACTTATGAAGCCATTTAAAAATCTTGTCTACTCCTTATCTGTGCCCATTAGTCACATTGCCATTCCCGTTGACATGAAGAGATGGAGCCTTCACGTCGGGCCCAAACAATCCATTCCAACTCCGGCTACGAGCAACCTGAAAGGTCGCCGAGAGTGAGTTCTGATCACCAGTGCCAACAACGATCACTTTATACTCTCCCGCTTCGCTAAGCCATGCAGAGTGACCCTCGTCCCAAAAGCTCGTGGCGAGAGCAAGTGGAATTGAGATCAATACCTCTTGTCTCTCCCCCTTTTCGAGTCTGATCTTCTTGAAGCCCTTGAGCTCTCTGATTGGGCGTGCAACACTGCTGCTGGAGGGAGGTGAGATGTATACCAGGACAGTCTCCGCGCCACTGTATAGTCCGGTGTTGTCCACTGAGAATGCAACTTCTAGGATTTCCTCCTTGATTCTGTTCAAGCTTTCCAGAGGCTGCGACACAGAAAGACCTGATAGACAGAATTTTGTGTAGGAGAGACCGTACCCGAAGGGAAACAGGGGCTTCACTTTAGTCTTTTCGTAATAACGATAACCGACATAGACATCTTCGCCATACAATACACGTCCTCCCTCTGAACGGAAAGACAGATATGTTGGGTTCTGCTCGATGAACTCTGGAAATGTGAGAGGAAGCTTTCCGGACTGCAAGATGAAGTTAGTCAATATGAGAAGATATAGACAGTTTAACACTGACCGGGTTCACATCTCCAAAGATAATGTCCGCAATCCCATTTCCTGTTTCATTTCCGCCATACCAAGCATGAAGCAGTGCCTTGGCATCCCGAGCCCAAGGCATGCTGACAGGCGTACCGCTTTGCACTACTATCACAGCATTTGGCTGGACAGCGAGGATTCTCTCTATCAAATCATCCGACCGTGGAGGAAGTCCCATATGTGGACGGTCAAAGCCTTCACTTTCCCATTCCCCACTAAGTCCAACGCAGACGACGACCTGTTCAGCCATCTTTGCCAGGCTGACGGCATCTTCAATTGAGCGCTCTGCATCAATACGTCGACATCCTCCAACCCTCAGGCCACCAGGGCCAAACGAAACGACCCCATGCAACTTCAAGTTAGACGTTGGAGCCGTACCATAGTCGACAAGGATCTTATATTGCTTGTTTGCCTCAAGATATTTAGAACCGCGCTCCTCTGGAGTGCCGATACCAAAGAACGACGTTCCCTGGCGCTGGGTGGTCTTGTTATCGACTACCAACTCTCCATCGATAAATAGCTCTCCGGTACCGGCGACGGTGAGACCGAAGTCATATACTCCACTTTCAGCTGGTTCGAAGATGCCTTCCATTGTGATATAATAAAGGTCAGAGTGAACCTTTGGGTGCTTGTAATCCATCAGAAATGCAGAGCTGCTGGTCATGTGCAACTTGTCGACCGGTTCTCTGTCTTTTTTAGTAGAGGGCTCAGTAAACACGCTGAATGTATACCCGGTCTGACCCTCTTCATTTGTAAGCTGAGAGCCAAGAAGAGGCAGCTCTTTGTGGCCATATACTCCCTGAGAGAAGTTAACACCGCCGGTGCAGTTGCTAACTATTCCTTCCAATGGAGTGACTGCATAGTACCCCGGCAAGGCGGCAGAGCCTCCACCACAGTATGCCGCAATATTGGCGTTGGGTCCGATCACAAGAGTCTTCATAGCTGGGTCAAGAGGAAGGATGCGGTCGTCGTTCTTGAGCAAGACAATAGACTCAGAAGCTGCTCGGCGAAGCAGTGCTTGATCCTCAGGCAAGTTTCGTTGGAGTTCGGGTGCGTCCTCGGGAATGTTTGAGCTGGCTGTTGACTTTACCATCTCTAGCATCGAGCGGACCCGGTCATTGATAGTCCTATCAGAGACCTTGTTCGATGTAATAGCATGCACTAAGCCGGGTCCCCGGAATCGAGTTGGGCCAGGCATTTCAAGATCCAGTCCGGCATTGACGGCTTCAGTCCCACTGTACGTTCCAAACCTGTTTTGGTCAGTGGTGAAAGCAATGTAAAGTCTGGATGAGAAAACGTACCAATCACTCATAATAAGACCTTTATAGTTCCATTCCTTTCGAACAACATCCTGCAGCAACTTAGGGCTTTCACTCGCATGGCATCCATTGACCTTATTGTATGAAGTCATCAGAGCACCAGGATTCGCACCTGTAATGGCTAGTTGGAAAGGCAAAAGATAGATCTCCCGTAATGCTCGCTCTGTCACAAGTGCGCTAACAGCAACTCTTTCATGCTCCTGGTCATTGCAGACGAGGTGTTTCGGCGTCGGAATGATGTTCTCAGTCTGAACTCCTAGGCAATAACTCGTGGCCAAGGAGCCAGAGAGGACAGGATCCTCTGAGAAAGACTCAAAGCCACGCCCACCCAGAGGCCCTCGTTGAATGTTTATGGTCGGACCCAAAAGGACATGCGCCCCCTTCGCCTTGCACTCGGCGCCCAGGAGCTTTCCGAGAGAAAATATAAGGTCCTTGTCAAATGAAGCCCCTAGCGCAGTGGCACAAGGAAGGCAGGCTGCAGGGACACCATTGAAAAAGCGAGTACCACGAACACCGTTTGGTCCGTCTGACATTCGTATTTGAGGGATCCCTAGTCGAGGTATTGCTGCCGTGTGCCAGCCATCGACGCCTGAATTTGAGGTTAGCGGTGCAATGTCCCAGGACTGGAAGCCACCGACCTGATAGAAGGGATACTTTCTCATTGAGCGAAAGTTCCTCGAGCGTATTTTCAATGTTTATGTCTGACATCTTAGCGGAAGTGATCAACACGGGAGGATATTTCGAAGACGAAGAATTGGATCTTTTTGGGGAGCGGAGCCCATTCTTATGCAAAAGGCTATGCCAGCTTATGTAGAAATTCTATGTAATATTGTCTTAAAGAAATAATTCATTATCGTAATAACTTCGGTAAACAAGTGGGTGCATCGCGGAGTATCGGGCTTGGAGAATTGAGTAGCAATCCATTGGATCAGATTGCCTCGACACCCATGAGACATTCCAATTACACGGTGGAGTCGCCCTTGGCTTCAATGATTCTACAGATTAGCCTAATGGTCTAGGCTGCATATCGTGAACTACACCATGCATGACAAAGTGGCCATAAATACTTTTCCAATCCCACGTTTATATAATCTGTATTGCTTACCTGTGGCACTCGAAAATTGGCAAAAAAGAAATGAAAAAAGAGGTGAAAGAAGAGAGGCTATTTCAGAGCACAAGTCATGCATGAAATGACAGTTTCACTTCGAGAATTTGGTGAAGGGATTGTCCAATACTTCATGACACTATGAACAGACCCATGTCCCCCTGTCGTAGGAATGCGAAGAGTTGATCTCGCTCTAGCTGGTTTCGGAGCACTATGAAGCTCTGGCATTGATAAGAATTTGAGCAATGTCCAACATTTCAAGCACGTCACTCGACTCGTCCTTCCAAAAGTTCAGCATCTTAGTCACCTCAAAAATGGCCTCTTGCCAGCCTAGAGGCAACAGATGTACAAGATCTACACACCGCTCAGCAGCAAGGAGAACGAGAGCGCTTCTTGTACAAGACCGGAGCATGAGCCATGTTCCATGATGACGGTGATAGAAGCCTGTCTGATTCTGCTGGATTCTGTCCACGCAGACTTGCAGCCCCTTTCGAAGAAAAATATCACTGTTGCCATGTACACGGCCGTAAATCGCCTCCACTAGGAAGTGCCAGTACATAGTCTCTTGACAGTCCAGAAAGTGCCCCCGGAGAATAAATCGAAACGGTTCATATTGGTCTGTGTTGGGGGCTTCAGCGTCAAGAGCTAAGCCTTCAGGCAGAGAGCGGTACCTGGTAGAACCAGGGCATTAGCAATCTGTGACATTTCTTGCGTGTTGAGGATTTGTAAGTACCAGGCATCCTTCTGCTCCTCAAAATCCAGGATTGCGTATACCATGGTTGATTCTGAGATTGCCGTGTCGGGTCGATAGAGGTATCCCAAGATGCGATTTTCCAATCTGCGCAAGGCAATCTCAGCCAGATAAAAGTACCATGCTGCCTCATCTTTAGCCTTCAGTCCATCGGGTGGTGAAGGAAAGAACGTTGGGTAGCTTAGATCCAAGACGTTCTTTTGCGAAAGGTTTAGCTCCAGTCGAAGTTCCCTATTGGAAAAGTCAAAAGGTCAGATCAACGGTCCATAGTGGGATTACTTACAGCTCAGACTTGAAACAGGTCCAGTATATCCTCTGCTTAGTGTTCCATTCATCTTCGTACTGGCTGTCGTTTGTGCTTCGGGTGGAGAACCCTTGGCAACAAGCTAGTGCTTGTACAAACATTCTCCAGGCACCGACCGGTCGCAATGTTGCCATTAAATAGACACCGGCCAAGAAAAAGCATTGTGCTTCTATCGCGCCATTTTTGCAAAGCAGCATGCCCATTCGCTTTTGCGCAGCAAGGAAGTAGGACTCTGCCTGCAGGAATTCCTTTGACAGACGGAAAGAAGAGGACGATACACCTGGCTCATTTTTGATAAATGGAGTTACGATTGAGCCATGGGCATATATGAGAAGCTTTTATCCAGACAGCTTAGCAAAAGTCCAAATGTTTGAAACGAGAGGGAACTCACTAGTAGGCAAGATGTGGCATCCCAGCCGATACCGTTGTACCTCACAATCTTGACATATTCCGCTACATCTTCCTCTTTCAGAGTTGGATTGAAAATATGCACATCATCAAAGAAGTTCCGAAGAAGAATATCGGCCTCGTGAAGGTCAAGATCAACAGATATTGGTAGTTCCGACTGAACTTTGTCTTCTTCTGACTGCGATAGTGAATGTAGTCGCTGATCAAAGTTTTGATTCTCGAAAACAGGCCATTTCAAAACCTCGTCTATATTGATAAATGACGGTTTCCACTGAGCTTTTTGATCGATAACAGATGATCCAATGCTGAAGGAGATAGGCGACGTGGATGAAATGCTGTTAGACGGCGCTACCGGCACGTCATTGGATTTGGATTGGATGAGAGATTCTAGATCATCTATGCGCTTCAGGATAGCTAAACTCGCGGAATCAAACCTATGGTCTCGGTTAGCTTCCGTATCTCCGCAAGCTTCGAGACACTCACGTCGAAGGATCTATCTGCTGGTAGCTACATTCCGCCCCGAGACGGACACACGATGCGCACGCGGGTCGGGTATTGTCGCATTTAGTCCGTCGAAGGCGGCACGTATGGCATGCCTGTGTCGCTCGTTTCCGCGGGTACGTCCCGGCAGCACGAGGGTGCTTTCTCTTATGACTGGCCTTACCAGGAGGAGATTCTCCATCGGAAGGGGTTTCTGATTGGTTCTTAGACAGATAGACGGTCCCCATTCGAGCCGGAAAGCAGTCTCTTGACTGGTAGATTAGTGCGTAGAGAAGAGAGCATGAAGCGAGTTAAGTACTCAGCGGAGTTTCGGAACTCCAGGGGTCTTCCTAAGCTATTTTGGTTGTAGTGCGCATCTGAATTTTCCCCCTCCAAAGCCATAGCCAATATGGATAAATTCGATTCGCCCTGAGACGCTTTGTCCCTTCCCCGGACCCGAAACCCTGGGGTTGCCAGCGCGGGGATTCTCTCGCTTGGAGTTTGAGGCTAAACCTGACATGCGCGATCAGAAGCGGTTAGTTCAATACGCCACACTGCGTGAGACTGGCTTTTACCACTTGCACATTAGAAGACGAAGAACCATTCGGAATGGCGCTTTGCACGCCTCGTCCAGATTTCACTGCGGAATCACGGAGGTCTCTGTTGGAAAGATTGATATATCAAGGACTTCACCACGACAATCCCAGACCTCCACGGCATCCGAATCAGCTTTCTGCTTGAGTCCGACAACCAAACCAGCCAGCAGGATAGGAACCAGAGTCAGAATGGGCGACACCGACACCAAAGCAACCGCCGAGGTTCAACCTGTTCACAACAGCCCTGGCGAGTGGAGCATTTCAAGTGTTCTGCCCGATACCGGCACGCCGTGGTATAAGCAGCGTCACCTTCTGCTCCTCAACCTCGGGATGATCATTCCTTATCTCTCTTCGACTACCAACGGCTATGATGGATCTATGCTCAACGGCCTTCAGTCTATGAGCCAGTGGCAGAACTTCTTCGGCTCGCCGACCGGAACTCGTTTGGGCTCACTTTCCAACGGTGTAATCTTTGGTCAGATTCTCGCTTTCCCCATTGCTCCTTGGCTATGTGACCACACGGGCCGACGCTTCCCGATCTTTATCGGATCAGCTCTCCTGGTGATCGGTGCTGTGCTTCAATGCGCCGCTCAGAACTATGCTATGTTTCTGGCCTCCCGCATGGTCATTGGCTTCGGAGGCCTAATTGCAGTTGAAGCATCACCCATGTTGGTCAGCGAACTGGCATATCCACCTCATCGGTCCGTTCTTGTTGGTTATTATAACAATCTGTGGTATCTCGGGGCCTTACTTGCTGCATGGGTCACTTACGGAACTTATTTCATGGGACCCGATGCTTCCTGGGCCTGGCGCATTCCTTCGCTTTTGCAAGGATTATTCCCTTTGGTGCAAGTCATTTTCGTCTACCTGCTTCCTGAGTCCCCACGATATCTCGTACAGAAAGACCGATATGATGAAGCCCGAAAGGTCCTTACCAAGTATCACGCGGGTGGAGATGAGAACTCTGCGCTTGTTGACTTCGAGATGAAGGAAATCATCTTGCACATCCAGACCGCCAAGAATTCGTCCTCAACTGGCTACCGGGAGTTCTTTAGTACCAGAGGCAACATGCACCGCCTGTTCATTATCATTGCAGTACCGTGCATGATGCAGCTTTCTGGAAATGGCCTCACCTCCTACTACCTACATCTCATTTTGAACTCCATCGGTTTCACTTCGGACCCGCAGCAGCTCCGTATCAATGGTGGCCTGACAGTCTTCAACCTGGGAGTTTCCGTCATCCTAGCTTCATTCATGGAAATCGTTGGTCGGAGACGTCTGTTCCTGTTCTCAACAATAGGAATGTTGTGCTGTTTCGTGATTTGGACAATCCTATCTGCAATCAACGAGCAGAGAGGCTTCCATGATACGTCTCTTGGTACCGGTGTCATAGTTATGATCTTTATGTATCAGCTGTTCTACAACGCTGGTCTAAATGGGCCTCCATGGGTCTATATTACCGAAGTCCTCCCCACCCATCTACGTGCGAAGGGTACGAACATTATGCAGATCGCAGCTACATGTGCCATTCTTTTCAATGGATACGCCAATCCTGTGGCGATGGATGCAATCAGCTGGAAATACTACATCGTTTACTGCTGTGTAATTGCCTTTGAAATTGGTCTCGTCTACTTTGGATTCCCTGAAACCAAGGGGCGCAGTTTGGAAGAGGTTGCGTTAATCTTTGACGGAGAAGAAGCATTCGGCGAGGTCTCTGAAAAACAGGCTGCAGCTGAGGTTTAGGCCGGTCGGTTGTCACTGGCATGGCTGTCAATTGCAGGGCAGGGGTTTTTTACGGGATGCGGTCTTAATCGCAGCTTGTCAACTTGTATCTACCAGCGTACAGTTAATTTTATATAATTATTGAAAGAAGTTGCTTAAAGACGTAGAGCTTCGATGACTCAATGTAAAGATCTGTACATCTGTACATGGAAGAAATCAGGCGGGATTTCTATTAGTACGTGCATAGTCTCGCCCAGTTATGCAGGTATTTCTTTTTCTGTACGCGCTCTTTTATTCAGCTCCTTAATTTAGAAAACAAGATAGCGATTGTTCAGGCTGAAACAGGGAAACATAGACCGAGAACGAGAACGAGACTAGGCCCCGATTTTGACTATTTCCCGGAGCTAGTGGGCAAGCCTATCCTTGGAACGGCAGTTGAACCAGTCTAATGAAATCTAACTAAATATCAAGGGCCTCAGAGTCAAGCCCTCCGAGGAAATCAATCAATAAGCATCAATTATGCGAGACTAACTACCGTTAGCTACTCTTCTTCCCCCATACCCCTCTCACAGGAACAGCCACCCATGCAGCCCCCTAGTGAGGTACCACGGGATATTGCAGATTCTGGCAGCTGCCAGTACATTTCTGGTAAAGTCCGATAAATCCATAACCCCCGCAGTTCTGGTCAGGGTTACCGGTGCAGGGATAAAGACAATTTCCCATAGGCGTAACAGACGGCTTCTTGGCAGGGTCAATGCTGTTGCCACAGTAGCACTCCTGAGAGTTCTCAAGACCGGCAATTGTATACCCTGCAGCTTTGCAGTTCGAAATGCACTTTTCGACCGTCATGTCCGAGCCAGCCGAGCTGGAGCCACTTAGGATCCTTACGCCCCCTGCATTGTCGACCGCGCAGCCAATCCATTCCCAACCCAGCTCACCGGTAACGTCGGTATAGTAATGCTGTGGTGATCCAATCTGCGTGGGCGCACCGCAGCCAGTCCTGATTGTCGCGTCATCTGGACCTGGTTGGATGGGATTGCAGCCCGGTAGAGCATCCAGCCATCCGCCGACCTGCTCATCGATCGATGGTTCCAATAAACAGCCGTCTGTGATAGTGTCTGGATAGAGATGGATTGGCGCGCATTCGGTGATATCTCCACCGCCATCGTTGCACGTATCAATGGCTTCTTGAAGGACTGAAATGTCCCACCCGTTGATAAAGTCGCCATGTAGCCCGTATCCTGTAGGGTCACCGAAGGAAAAGACGAAAGGCTGGCTGTCGCCATACCACATGTCTGCAAAGTGCTCGGTGTGCCATGTAATCTCGTAGAAAATAGAGACAATGCGAACTGGGTGTGTCGCGGGACATGGGCCGTTGTCATATGTTTGGTTAGGATAGGCCACATGGGACTTATGATCGGGACTATCCAAGTTCACTCCATCCCAGCAGGAAGGGAAGTAAACTTGGGCGCGAAGGCCGTTGGGGCAGTTTGTCGTTGGGAATCCATTTGTTTGAGGCGTTGCGGGACCATCATAGTTGAGACAGGCGAAATTTCTCGCGTCGGCTTCAATACTGTCCTTGTACTGGCGGTCAAATGGACTGCCCGCAATCATGCGGAATCCAGCCGGGGGTGCCACTATCTTCCCATCCGTAGTTGGATCGGGGCGCTGTCTAGATTTGCCAGTGTGAGTATGACTGCGCCGTAAATATGGCTTTGGACCCCTTACTCGTAGTATATCAGAGCTCCACCGTTCTGTGGAACTTGAATGAAGCTTCCATTCTGAGCATGGTAGTAGAGAGAAGCAACCCAGTAGTTGGACTTGTCTTCAATTGCAGAGCAAGAGTTGCACTCCGACTCCTGAGTCATGTCATAGTTCATGGTAAACCCGAAGCCAGATCCACCCATGATGGTGTGAACATGATTGGAGACTGTCCCAGGTGAAATGAGAGGGTCTGCTCTCTCAATGACCAGAGGTGTACTGCATGGCACCTTGAAGAATGCCAAAGCAGGACCGATATATATCAACAAAGAAGGAATATAACTCGCACAAGCTCGCATGGTCATCATCGGTATAGTAGTTGCGTTTCTTCAACGTGAAATTCAGATAATGATTTTCTCCAAGTGGCAGTTTGATCTCCTTTTATTCTTCATATTCTTGGCCTTGAGCTGGTTGTTTCATTAGCACAATCTAAGTTGTTGTGTCTCTCTACTTCGGCATACAAGAGAGAGTACATGCTGAAGCGATACAGTCGCTATCTCCGAGACTCCGCGTAAATAATATAAGAAAAGGGGTAGACTTCATGATATTGCTCAGTTGACACATTCGGACATCAATTGAGGTTTCCACGTGGTTACATTGAAGAACACACGGCGGCAGAGCCCTTGCTAAGACTAGATTAGTGCCGAACAACCCCGCAGGAACACGGCTGTGGGCCTAAGATGTATATTAAACATGCATGCTTTGCGGGGTTGACCTACAGTAGTGTCGCTGAAATTAAAGGGTCTACAGTCGAAGGACGGGCCCATTGGTACAAAGCCCGAGCGGCCCGGGCCACATACGACTTTCAGAAGAATCCGCTTTGGTTAAAGCAGGAAACAAAAGTGGAAGGTAAGCCATGATCTTAAGAAAAGCCATAGAAAGTTTACAGCGGTCTATCCCTATTGGTCATATCTAATTATTGTGAGGACTTCGGCTTTTTCAACTTGAACTATCAATTCTCAATATAGCTCCGTTTAACCTAGCGGTCCCTAGTAGGTACGTGTACTTGAGATCCCAGTCAAGTATGAAATCATAGAGCGCTCAAATAGTTGCGTAGGTAGTTCCCAAATCAGACAGTCCAGTTCCATCCGCATTGATGAGATATTCAGGGAAAGCACCAAAATACGCATACCTTTCCACGTAGTCTTGCGAGTCCAACCAAGGAAGAGCCTGCTCCAAGAATGCGATCTGCTGCTCTTCGCTTCCATAGCACTCAAACTCTGTAATCCAAATTGGGAGACCCAAAACATCATGCGCGTTTGTCACATTGCCTTCAAACCAGACAGCACCATTCTGGCCATCAGGGGTAACACAGTCCTGGTAATAATGAATAGCTGCAAAGTCCAAGTGGCAACCAGTGCAGTTTCCCAGGAAGTATTGAGTCCATGTAGCGGTATTATAAGAGCCGCCAGAAGATGAACCAACGTTATTCCACAGGACACTGGGAGAACCGATTCGTACGGTTCCCGCAAAGGGCTGCATGTAGGTAAGATACCCAGCTGCAGCTTTCTCGGGGATGATGTTCGATGAAGCATCATAAGTCAAATCAGGCTCGTTGAACCCAAGGATGTTCATCGTTCCTGGAGTTTGTACAGCAGCCGTCCAGTCTGAATCGGCACCGCTGGGCAATCCCCACAGCATGGGAACACTGATAGATGGGTTAATCGAAAGTCTTAACCAACTTGATTGGTTTAACTTACAACTCAAACGAGGAGTCCAAGTCCCAGGACGGGTATCCCCAATCATAGGCCCATGATACCTTCGTGTTGCCCTTAAAAAGGTTCGCGTACACTGCATTCCCGGAAGGGTTGTTGTTGTTGTATGCGATTCCTCTCTTCGCAGAAAGGCCATGCGCCTCATGGAGACACAGAGCGGCCAAGAGAAGATAAGTGTAAGCCATTGCTAAGGTATGGTGTGAGGTCTTTGGTGATAGAAACTTGTGGCCTGTCGTGAGGAGTAAAATATTCTGCCAAATAGACTTAGGGATAGTTTAGAGTACCCTAATTCATATATCAGTTTACTTTTTGACTTTGAAACGAACTAACACGAGTCTTGTGGGTGGGTCATCACTTGCGCAATCAGAATATTTCCTCAGACTGCAACATTGTTCCAAAAATCTCATTTCTCTCACTGGTGGCTTTCTTGGCATCATTTTTTCTACGCGAAATTAGACACACCATTAAACAAAGCCAATAAAGACGTCCGAAAATACAATGCGGAGTTTCGGATCCCTGCAGCCGCTTGATTGAGCACAAAGCCGAAATTTCTTCAAGCATCTGCTCGTTTGGATTCAATTTGCGGATTTTCGGGAGAAGAGTATTTACTATGGAATATACTTCCTTCACGGATCACCTGCATTAGCTCCAAATCTTGCTTTACATTTATAATCGAGGCTGCGGAATCTCGGGTCTATCTTGCAATGCATGCTCGCTCGGACAAGTTCTGCATCGGCTTAATTTACCGCCACATGCATTCAATTTTGAGGGGAAGTGGGTTTCAAGTTTTTGTCTAGTCCAGGCTAAGAATCAACTCCCGGTAATGAAGAAAGTAAGGAGGCTCCTGATTTTTGCTCTCCATTATGTGGGTACACATATAAATAGGGATATGAGCGCCGTGGACTCTAAGATACAGGCATCACTTCAACCATCTCACCGAAGCAAACATGGTCCGCTTTGGTATCTTGGCCATCTTGCCTTTGGCACTTGCTGCAAGTGCGGCTTTGATAGATATCCCGTCAGTAGATGCTGCTGTTGCTGCGGCGCTCGAAGAATATGGGAATTATGAAGCATACACCGGTCCTCAGAAAAAGCCCCCAGCGAAAGCAAAAATCACCCAAGAAAGCGCCTTGCTCCCTAGCGGCTCCTCGTTTTGGTTGGAATCTATAGGTCATCAAGGTGTCTCTGCCTTTGGGGCTTCTGGATACCAAGTCTTCCGTAACGTCAAGGACTTTGGTGCGAAAGGTAACGTACCTTCTTGATGAATATATGGCAGAACTAAAGTACTGATATGAGAACCAGGTGACGGTGTCACCGATGATACTGCAGCAATCAACGCAGCAATCAGCAGTGGTGATAGATGTGGGCAGGGCTGTGGATCAGATACAACCACCCCAGCCTTGGTCTACTTCCCTGCCGGTACCTACATGATTTCGTATCCGATCTTCGACTACTATTACACGCAAATTATTGGAGACCCCACGAACATGCCCGTGATTAAAGCAACATCAGGATTTCAAGGCGGCTACCTCATTGACGCCGACCCATATTTCACTGCGGACCTCAACTGGGCATCCACAGTGGTATTCTTCCGACAAATTAGGAATTTTGTTCTAGATCTCCGCAGTATCCCCACGGGAAACACTGTGAGTGGCATTCATTGGCCAACGGCGCAGGCAACTAGTCTCCAGAACCTGGTCTTCCAGATGAGCTCAGCGTCTGGCACGAAGCATCAGGGTGTTTTCTGTGAAAGTGGTCAGTTGTGGTTCCTCTGATAGAGCCTTATAGATGAGATTGCGCTAATACTAAATAGGCTCTGCTGGCTATATGGGTGATCTTGTTTTCAATGGAGGAAACATTGGTGCAGCACTAGGCAACCAGCAATTCACCATGAGAAACTTGACCTTCAACAATGCAATCACCGCTATCAGTCACTACTGGGACTGGGGTTGGACCTATAAGAGCATTCATATCAACAATTGTCAGGTCGGTATTGATATTACCTCCGGAGGCCATGACCAGCAGACCGTTGGCTCTCTCACCTTGCTGGATAGCTCTATCACCAACACACCAGTGGGTATCGTTACTGCCCGTGATTCCACCTCTCAGCCTCCGACGGCAGGCAGTGTTGTCCTTGAGAATGTGTCCGTTCAAAATGTCCCTGTCATTGTTCAAGGCCCGGGCCAGACAACTGTTCTGGCTGGTGGAACCATGCATGTAGATGCCTGGGGGCAAGGACATAGCTACACCCCAGATGGTCCTCAGGCCCTCCAAGGTACCTTCACGCCCAACTCTCGGCCATCATCACTCCTCCAAGGACAGCAGTTCTATGAACGCTCCAAGCCTCAATACAGCGCTTTGAGTGTGTCTTCATTCAGTAGCACTCGAAACGGCGGTGCAAAGGGTGATGGAGAAACAGATGATACAGCTGCTCTCCAAAAGATCATCAACGATGCTGCATCATCTGGCAAAGTAGTCTACTTCGATGCGGGCACATATCGTGTCACTAGCACTCTCAAGATCCCGGCAGGCTCCAAAATCGTTGGTGAAGCCTATCCAGTGATCATGTCTAGCGGCAGTTTCTTCAGCAATATGGATAGTCCCCGGCCTGTTGTTCGAGTTGGCGCTTCTGGTGACAGTGGCCAGGTTGAGTGGTCAGACATGATTGTTAGCACACAAGGTGCACAAGCAGGGGCTGTTCTCATTGAGTGGAATCTCGCGTCTCCCTCTGGAAGCCCCTCTGGGATGTGGGATGTGCATGTAAGGGTTGGAGGGTTCGCGGGCTCCCAACTTCAGGCTGCACAGTGTACTGCGACTCCAGGCACAGCTACCACGACGGCGAATCCAAATTGCATTGCTGCCTTTATGCTCATGCACATCACATCATCTGCCACTGGGCTGTATATGGAGAACAACTGGTTTTGGGTTGCAGATCAGTATGTTTTCTGAGTATCACTCACTTCTTAAGAACGATGCTGACCAAGTAGTGACCTTGACGGAAACGGCCAGCTCACTATCTATAGTGGTCGTGGAATGAACATTGAGAGCACCCAGGGAAATATCTGGCTGTAGGTATCACGTTCAAATCCGCAGGAAAGATCAAGATGAACTAACTCAACATCCAGCTCGGGTACCTCGGTGGAACATAACGTGCTTTATCAATATCAGCTTGCTTCAACGAAAAACATTTACATGGGACAGATACAAACCGAGTCGGCGTGAGTATATTATTCGCATTACATGATAAAGTCCACTTACTCATGATTCTCAGGTACTACCAACCAAACCCCGTCGCCACAACTCCATTCCCCGTTGTGTCCTCTATTCATGATCCCAACTTTACAACATCGTGCGCTGGCAAAGGCAAGTATTGCGCCGAAGGTTGGGGTCTGCGAGTTTTAGATTCGACTGGTATCTTCGTCTACGGGGCGGGGCTGTACTCCTTCTTTGATAACAATGATGCCTGTAAGAATGAGTCCTACCACTGTACCTTTGCCGAAACTGACAATAGTTAGCGTGCTCGGCCCAGGACTCCGGAAGAAGCTGCCAGAACTCAATCTTTAGCCTCGAGGGCTCATCTTCAATCTCCATCTACAATCTCAACACGGTGGGATCGGCCAGTATGGTTGATATTAACGGTGCCAGCGTTGCCAGTCAGGCTGATAACCTGAATGTGTTCAATGAGAATATCGCACTGTTCAGAAAGTGATTCAGTTGACTTGGTTAGTTGGTGGGCTGGTTGTACATTTGATTTGAGAAAGGGATCCTTTACAGTAGTCTTGATATAGCGAGGTCTAAAATTTTGGGCCTCTTTTATCATATCCACCATGTGTACTCTTATATCTCTTCCAACTGAGTGACTTCTCCTCATTCTTTAAAATTGTGACAGTATACCTCAGGCAATTGCGCTGTTTTTAACATGCAAATGAGTCCACTCCATCTATCAGTCTGAAATGTACACAATCATAGGATGCTGTGGACGTTGTGATATCCCTGCCTTCAACGAGGTCATCATGGAAGTAAGTGACATATTGATGCGTCTTGCTCTCCGTCGAAGCAATATGGACTTGCTAGCAAATCCCACGCTCAGGTATGCGCGACAAACACAGTGGTGTAGCACTTCCATAGAGAGAAATTCCCGCCGAGCCCTTTCCAGCTCCTATCAAGTGCAGAAGCGCGGGAACCACCTTCTGACGAAATGAAACAACTGCTTGGTTGGGAATATTTGATCAGGTGCATTGAAAAGTTTTGTTTGCAAATCACGAACTGGAGTCAAGATTGTTAGAAGGATATCCAAGCGGCTAAGTCCGAAGAGCCGTCTTCAAGTTGGCTCGGCTGAAGGCACAAGTTCCGTCGCTTGATGTATCAATCATTAAATATGGGTGCGGTATTGTGTCTGGTGTACCAGGAGGCTTTATCCGCGTCGAATAAAAACGGGCTTCCTGAGTTCTTCCTGGAAAACTGCGGAATGCAAATTGATAAATCCAGACGAACGACTCATGAGACGTGATGAAATGGCCTATCTACTCAAGTACCCAGTCTTTGACTTCGAGGCCGAAAACGACACTTTATACGGGCAGCTAGTCGACCTTTTGAGGCAATAACCCGAGCACAGCCGAAATCTTTAACAAAAAAAGTGAAAGTGTTGGAAAGTTCTCGAGAGAGGTTACGATCGTACCATTAGGGTCATTCTACCCTGAACGAATCACTATGCCGGCCGATCCCCAGAATGCATTACAGACACTTCTGCTCAAATACTCCTAACTTGGAGAAGGACAATACTACATGGCATCACTCGTCCCAGATTATGAACCTCTTTCTGGGGTCATGCACTCATGGTCCGGTCAGCCCAATCGCTATGCAGATTTGTACCCGGTTCCCCCTCCTCCTTTGCAAAATTTCCAGTGTGTGTTCCGGAAGTACCTGGAACTCCGATTCTCAGACGATGCGTTTGAAGAGTAGGAGGCTGACGCTCCGCATAAAATGTTCGTTCATCATCCAGCCATGACTCGCAAATTTTTGGATGAGTGGCCTGACGTAGTTCCCAATATGCTGACACTCCGGATGGAGAGAGTTATATACGAAGCATACTATGACGCATATATCCAGGGAGTCAGTTCCACCCTTGATCAGGGGTAAAGAGATATAGTAGCAAACAATGCAAGCGCCCAAGTGGCATAGCCTCGATGATCCAAGAAAGGCACTCATCAATGCGCTAAATGTATATATAGCAATTAATTGTGATTGATCAAGAATAAACAACAAAACTGACGTTAGATCTGGTGTTTATACACGCTTGTAGCAACTATACTTGCCATGCTGCGGGCCAATGATGTGCCTTGAGCCATCATGAGTCATCTTGATTCACCTGCGCTAGGCCGAAAGTGGATTAGCCGGGAATGAGAGTACAGTATATCCACTTTATCGTCCATTTGGTATATAAGACTGTTGGTTACGTTTGTAATTGTCTTCCCATTAAGCCACCTACGCCTTGAGAGCCACATCAAATGGCCGAGAAAGAACCCGTCGAGGGTCTACGCGACTCCGAACGGAACAGCCTGTCGACTGGCAACAATGACTCTGGCACAGACGATGCAAGCACTTACGAGCTGACTGGGATTCCGTTATTCCTGGTCATTACTGGGCTTGGTCTTTCAATCTTTCTCATGTCGCTGGACTCGTCTATCATTGCCACGGCTATACCCCGAATCACGTCGCAATTCAACAGTACTGGTGATATTGGCTGGTATGGAAGTGCATACTCCTTTGCGATGTGTGCTTTGCAACCTATCGCAGGAAAGCTGTTTGCAAACTTTGAGATGAAGGTGAGATAATCCCAAATTTGCAATTATACATGGAAATCCCATTAACGATATCAGCACATGTTCCTCGCCTGTTTTACCGTCTTCGAGCTGGGCTCATTGCTCTGTGCTCTTGCTGTCAACAGTCCTATGCTAATTGTTGGGCGTGCTATTGCCGGATCTGGAGCTGCAGGTTGCTTTACAGGTGCCTTCTGCATTGTTGCGATTTCCATCCCGCTGGTCAAGAGACCTTTCTACATTGGTATCCTTCAGTCGACCTTCGGAATCGCTACCATCATTGGACCAGTTTTGGGCGGTGCATTCACAGAGCATGTGACATGGCGTTGGTGCTTCTGGATCAACCTTCCCATCGGTGCTGTCACCATCATGACATTGGTCTTGTTTTTCAAACCGCCTCCACGAGGCTCGACGAAAGCTCCCTCGGTTCTTGCTAGATTGGAAAAGTTGGACTTCCTGGGTTGTTTCCTGTTCGCTCCAGCCATTATCATGATCTTCTTGGCTCTTCAATGGGGCGGATCCGAACACGCTTGGAAGAGTGCCACCATCGTTGGTCTCTTCATCGGAGGCGCCGGCCTCGGTGTTGTCTTTGCTCTCTGGCAAATCCGAAGAGGCGACAACGCCATGATTCCACCACGCCTGATCACTGAGCGTACAATTTTCTTCTCGTGCTTCAGCGAGTTCTTCGCCATGGGTGCCGTTTACATTTCCATTTACTACCTACCAGAATGGTTTCAAGTCATCAAAGGCGCCCCACCCACAAAGTCTGGAGTCATGTATCTCCCTTTAGCACTATCAGATGTTCTCTCTGCAACACTGACCGGCGCTTCACTCAAGTATCTTGGATACCCGAATCCCTACATGCTACTCGGAACGGGCCTGATGAGCATAGCAACGGGGCTCTTCTCTACCTTTTCCCTGGGCACTCCCCACCAGCAGTGGATCCCATTCCAAGTTCTCCAAGGCCTTGGTGTGGGTATGACCCTCTCAATGCCTTACGTTGCCACACAAACAGTCCTCAAGCCAGAGGATATTCCTGTCGGAACCTCATTGCTGCAATGCTTCCAGTTTTTTGGGGCTTCCGTGAATCTTGCCATTGCAGAGGCTATTTTCGAAAACAAACTGGTTTCGCGGCTTCACAGCTGGGGATTCGAAGAGCTCGAAATTGAGAAAATTCTCAGTGCAGGCTCCGCTGAAGCGAGGAGCGTAGTTTCTCCAGAACACATTCCAGGCGTGCTTGATGCGTACAACTATGCAATCACCAGGACGTTCTATGTTGCAACTAGTGTTGCTGCAATTGCATTTCTTCTCTCGCTAGGGATCCGCTGGAGGAGTGTAAAGCCAAAGCCTGAGGCTGCTGTCTCTGATGAAGAAGCTAGGTCGGCAAGTTCGTAAACATCTGGATCTGTCTTTTTCATATTTTAGAATAATTATGCATAGTAATATAATCTTTAATGCATCTCGTGAACGCTATCCTTTTTTTCGTATTCTGTATCATTCTGGTCGACTAAATCTTTGTAAATGCTGTTCCTTTTTGGCATCTGATTGTCAATTGTAAGGTTGAAGATAAATACAAGTCAAGGAGAAAGATAAATCGCCCATTAGTCAACAAAACAAAGGCCATAGTTGTCCTTGCTTCACGGTATCAACCCAAGATGGCATTATGTCACCACAGTTAGCAGTAAGATGCTCATCTTGCCTTCGCCATACCTCAGTAATGATATTCCTAGCAGTCACAAAGGCAGCAAAACCACAAACAGAACTCGCTCTATCTAGCAAACTTGTGATAGCCTCCCGCCTTGATGATGACATCGCCTCGCATCCCGCAATGAACAGTGGCCAAGCGGTTCCTGGACCAGTAGGATCATCCGGTGCAAGGGCCGCACTGCATGACTCCAATGCAGCAATAACATTGTCAACATGACCTTGAAGAGCGGCTGGGTGAGTTTGTCTGATCCTTCGGTAGAAGAAAATCACCAGAGCTGCATTTAATGCTTCGACCATATGGCTGTGTGGCTTGGAGTCGGCGTGAAGTTCCAAGACTCCACCCCGCGTGCGACCCAGGCTAAAAGAGCAGATCATGTTTTCTAAGCGCATGCTTCGTCGTTGTAAAGTATCCCATGCTTCGAAATTGACATCTTTGCCTGACTTACGCGCTGTGCGGAATGTCTCTAGCACATTGGCTAATCTGGTTGTTTGTGACATTAGGCTAAGCCATGTTTCTGGGATACCGTAAATCTGTTTGTATAATGTTTCGGGATAGCTTCTTGAATCTTGGAGGTGAATGTCGTGTAGTCCGGAGGTTTGATCTTTCGGTTCATCGATGTTGAGATCATTGTCGGAGTTTTGGCTTTCAAGTCGTAGGAAATCATCGAGGCGGGGGTTTGGTTCATTAGTAACCGTTGTATCTGAGGACCTTTTGGTGCTTGATCGATGTGAATTAAATCGAGAGCCAAGGGCTTGGAGAGTGGAGGAGGAGACATTATAGTCGTGTAAAACAAAAGTGCTTTCGCCGACGATTCGTAGCCAGGTGTATACGTGATGTAGAAGCCGGGCTTTTTTTGATATTCGTGTCTTGGATAGTCCTCGAAGTCGTAATAGTCGTTCTGCGTCAATCATGAAACATCGAGCATGCTGTTGCTGTCCGGACATTATCTGAGCGAGTTAGTACTATTCAAAGAGTCTTGGAAAGGATCACTCACTGTGAACTGTATAAGAATACATGTAGCCATTAGCTGATCTTTGTATTTTGCCTTTTTCAGACCATGTGTTTCGGATTGTAGCGAGGTTTGCATATGATCTTTGGCTTTTTGGTATGCCTGATTGGCAGCCGACCACCAATACTCAGGCGGTTTGGTTGAAATTGTTGATGGATTGAGAACAAGGTGAATGGCCGAGCATGCAAGCAAGCCGTATAGATTTGCAAGTCGAGCGTGGCTAATCCTCTCCGTTCCGAGGAAAGTCGAGTCACCATAAGTGACTACAGCCGCTGGAACATTCAGAATCTTCCACGGTGACTTTTGCAGGCATGGAATTGCCATTATATGTGGGATGACGATGTCTTGAAAGTGTTTCAACAGACAGGGGGCGTCACTCAAAGCATCAATCTCCATCACTATAGGATCTGGCGGTGTCTGCTGGGGTGTGAACATCCGAAGAAGCTCGTCGTTCATTGTCGAGTCCGCTGGGAGTAATCCCATCTCGTGGCTCATGTCGAACGATAAATCATTTGGGATAGTCGATGCAGCACTCATGGTAAATCCATTCTGGTCTGGGCTGAAGCTCAATAGATCAGACCAGTGAAGGAAGTCATCGATATGGGATAGCGAATCAAGGATCGAAGAAGGACTGGGACCTTGTACGTCTTCTGATAGCACATTTTCAACTTGCTCAGGTACAACTCCAGGTGATACTTCGGCCTCAATTGGGTTGGATTCGACTTCCGGCAATTCTGGCTGTGGTTGCGTTTTCTCTGGCGCAGTAGAGAAGTCGAGGACCGCAAAAGGCCCAATCACGATATCACTATCAAGTGAACGTTCTGGGTCTCTCGATCTTGAGTCAACCTCGGCCAAGGACGCATCAATAGATCCAGATATCAGATCAGATCCAAGAGCAGCGCTCATAGACAGTCTGGATTGTTCTAAAGCATGAATTAATAACGGAACATGATCCTTGATCAGGCAATTTACCTGTGTAAAGATGCCGCCTAGTGCCCCGATGAGGTTCCTCGGCCTCCACGCTATCAGTGCGCATCCAAAGCACTTGATCCGAGAATCCCTCGCAGGTCACTCCGAGAGCCCGACACGTCCGACAGACGGGCCGTTTCTGGTCACACTTGACATGCCGGCGCCTGCATGTGCTGCAACCTCCGAGCACATGCGACCGACGAGGACGTGACCGCTTTTTTACCATAACTAAAATAGATATATCGCAATAGATGTCATTTTGGCAATCTGATAGAAAACATGTAGAGGTGACCCCGCAAAGCTCGGAAACGCCTTCCCAACCCGTGACTTGCTATCTTATCTACCGCCAAGACCCGTTTGTCTCTTTTCTTTACTGTCGTCGGAATCTCCTACTGAAATAAGTGTTCGCGGCGGCCATGCATTAGTACCCCACGATAACTCGTGCGCTGGTATAGTACATCAACATTGCCGAACACCTTTTCAGATACCGACGGTCAACGCTTGTGATATAACCCGAAGTAGAAGCGTTTTGTGATATCGGTCATTGCTCAATGCGGCTTTTGGACATGGCTCACAAAAGACTATATCCGCCTGGTCAGCCTTCTCAAGCGACGAGAAGTCGAGATCACCAGATATGATGCGATTATCTAGGTAAACAATTATGATGGTGGCAACTTTGGTTCATCTCACTTAACAAACAATACTCATATTCGGGGTATGATCCTCAAGAGAAACAAGAAAAAACCGACACTATAGCTCGAGAGTCAGTTGGGAAATATAAAATGAGCAGCGCGGCGCAAACAAATATCGGACCACACACCACGAATTGTCCACCATATCGTACGACTTGAAACAAAAGACCCTTTGGGGAATTTACTTTTTGAAAGTCCATGTCCAATTAAAAGTCTTTAGGACTCTCTTAACCAGGCAGGTAATTCCGACGATCGCCCGTGGGGAAATCCACGATAGGAAATCGACATCCAATCTATAGCAAAAGAGCAGGCAAGTAGGAGTGCATAACTGTATTTGGTAATAAGTGTCTTGCGCTGGGGTTAGCTTGAGCTGTTGCAAATCTTATTTGAGTCGTGCTGCTGTCGTCTCTTTCGGTTTCCAAGTTCATTTCTATTACACCCCACAACTGGCGCAACAATGGCCCACCGCGGAGAAACCTTTCACAAAGATGTGTGCTGCATTGCTGATCTAAAGAGATTGGGAAGTGCTCGACTGGCTCCGATGGTAAGAGGTGAGCGGCTACCACAATTGTGTTTGCTATGGACCATACTGACTCTGATAGACTATTACAATGAAGGAGCCATGGATTTGATCACGTACGGGAGCTTAAAAGCGGATCGCCAGTGTCAATTGCTAATACTAGTTTCCATCTAGTCTCAACGAGAATGAAACCGCCTATGATCGATACAAGATTCGTCCCCGAATCTTAAAGAATGTCGACAAGATTGACACAAGCACAGAGATCCTGGGCAGCAAGGTGCGTCCAATTTTCTTACGAATTGAACAATTCAATCCAGCCCAGATCACAAATCGCCTCTAACAGTTCAGCCAATAGGTTGCTCTTCCATTCGGTTTCAGTCCCGCCGCCTCAATGAAACTAGCTCACCCAGACGGCGAACTCGCAACATCACGCGCAGCCGCAAAATATGGCCTCACAATGGGTTTATCCTCGTACTCGAATTATCCACTTGAAGATGTTGCCGCACAAGGAACGGGGAATCCACATGTGATGCAGATGTGTGTGCTTCGGGATCGGTCACTTACGATTCAGCTTTTGGAGCGGGCTGAGAGTATGTGTTTTTCTGCTTGTGGTTGACCGTTGAATTTCAATCTCACTCGTATTCCATTGCTCTTGAAGCTGACTTGATCTCGTACTGCAGAGGCTGGATACAAGGCACTCTTTTTGTCGGTTGATGTGCCCGTTCTTGGAAAACGGCTGAACGAATACCGCCATGAGTATCGCATTCCGGAAGATATGTCTTGGCCGAATATCTTGAGTCACGGTGGTGATACCTCCGATCGCACTGATTACGGTATGTTTGATTGCGACGGATGAAGGGGTGGGTATTTTATACTCGCAGGATAGATAGCTGACGATTAGTAGACCCCAGCTTGGACTGGGAGAGCACAATTCCTTGGTTGAGAGAGCATACCTCTCTGAAGATCTGGCTCAAGGGTGGTATGTACTCTCTTCTCCTTTCTTTGTCGTCAGATGTATGAATGTGAACGTATCCACTAATGCTTTGCTTTTACAGTGACCTCCCCCGAAGACGTAGAGCTAGCTATAAAATATGGCGTCGACGGCATTGTCGTCTCAAACCACGGAGGTCGTCAACTAGACGGCATGCCTTCGACATTGGATGCCCTTCGCTCTTGCGCGCCAGTAGCCAAAGGCCGGGTCCCGATTGCTGTTGACGGTGGAATCCGTCGAGGCTCAGATATCTTCAAAGCTCTGGCTCTTGGGGCGGACTTCTGTTTCATGGGGAGAATCCCCTTCTGGGGCTTGGCTGTATGTTTCGCCCCCTGTTGTGATGTCGTGCATAACTAACTATCGACAGTATAACGGACAAGAAGGAGTCGAACTAGCCATCCGAATTCTGCGCCAAGAGTTGCGTATCACTATGGCACTAGCCGGGTAAGTGGAATGCTCATCTGACTATTTTTGAATTTTTCTTTGCTGATCGGAAACAGGTGCCGAACGATCGGCGAGATTCAGAAAAGCTATCTTTCGGTTTTACTGCCAGATGGTATCCTCTCGAAGCTGTAGGATGATGGAGAGCAGAAACATAACTGATATTATATTTGTCTACGTACATATATGCGCAACTCGAACAGCCTTGACATCAATGCATACTACCTTTTATGCCAACCTGTAAACCTCTTTGATCTCCCCATTACATGGTCGATACAAGTGTTTTGCCAAGACTCTTGGCAACCCGCCCTCGCGCGGCAGGGCTGAGGAACTTAGGGCTGAGCCAGACTTTTCATGATGCTTGACTATGGCCAAGGGTGGGTAAAAGAGGCTGTGTATTTTTGCTTTGGGGTGAAGATAGTCTTAGTTCAATAAATATAGAAAACCACCAGTCTAAAGGGAACTACGTATGTGTGCAAAGCCTCAATACGTGGTCCATAGGTCGGCCGCAGTCAGCAGGCAGCATCATTCTGATTACTGCACTGAAACCTAGTGTACCAATACGCTGGTGTGCAGGAATGTGTAACAAAATCCCGTGTACGGAGAGTACAGTCCCAAACGGGGTCGGGCGCTAAATTTGTTTCATTGTATTTCGGGAGCTGATCCTCCACATTTCTAGAAGGGAAATAAATAGTACATATATTCTCCCCTTTATCCCGTGTCTGACTTTTCCTGTCATATCCCCTGTCGCATACCCTCTTCTCGTGTTTAATTACAACTCTACAACACCCTCTTTCACCATGTTCAACTTCAACTTCTTCAAGTCCGCCCCGGTCAACGACCAGGCCCCTGCTGAGAACACATGGAACGCCAACACCGTCACCATGCAGCCTGTCAGCCCTGCTGCCCCTTCCAGCAACCAGGCTGTTGTTGCGGAGCAGCCCGTACGTGCAACATCCTCTGCGATATAACTATAGGAACAAGAACTAACCCTTGTCGCCTCTAGAATAACCAAGAGCAAATGCAGCTGCGCGGAGGTGGTGGCAACGGCGGTGGTATCTGCTGTGGAGTGTAAGTTCATGATCACACCCATCCATGGACTGTATATCAGAGTCACATTTCCTGGTTGCGCAGAAAAAAGTAGAAATATCAAGCTAATGCGTGAAATAGTTGCGCCGGTCTTCTCTGCTTCGAGTGCTGTGAGTGCTGCTGCTAAATACTTCACGCATCAATGGACGCTTTTTCGATTCGATCAACTACTATACGTGACCACCGATACCAACGCCCTACTATTGAGAACATGATGGAGGTACTAGGATTGGGATCCCTGTAATGTGACGTGTCGGGCATTTTTGCGGCTTGTTTGCTGCTTTCCCTTTTGTTGCTTTTATACACCGCTTTTCCGTATCCACGCTATATATACCCAGAAGAATACCAGTGATGGAGTTCATTTTTTCTAATTCCTTGACATTTGGCAACAACTATAGGTTAATACTGTATCTTTATAGTCGTAATATATGTACAGGCTGTATGCTCTTCCTGGTTAACAGAACTGGCGTCGGTAGATGGTAGATCTCAACGCGGCGTCAACATCCCACACTCGGAAGCCTGGAGCGCGGCCAAGAATTCGTAGGTTGGCCAGGAGGACTAGTGATGTTAGAGTATGCGTTGAAGGTTAAACGGGCGGTATAGACTGTAGACTCACGATCAAAGAAACATTCCAAGTCCAGCATGTAAGACGACGAGCTCAGCTCTGATGCAGGCCTGTCAATGCAAAGATCGTCGGGAGATCTGTACAAACTCGCCACAGACCGATCCGGCGAGAACCCATGCAAATGCCCAACCATAGCAGGCGGTACCTCCAGCCTCAGCGATGATCTATCAAGCGCCAGACCGCGGTGCTCCAGATAACCCTGTATATCATGGCAATCAAACCACTCACCATCCAGATCTAACGAACGGATCCTCTCATCCCGATCCATCTCCACCTCCCCTTGGTCTAGTCCCACAGAGCCAGGTTCCAGATCCCCACTCCAATCCTCATCCCAATCTTGAATACCACCACGTTGCAGAATTCTCACCATCCTTCGTAAAATCTTGCCAGGTCTCCGACTATTTTCCGGGAAGTTGGGCGTTCCATCTTTACCTTTACGAGGGAAGTGCTTTCCTGCCCCACCCAGCGTGTAGAAGGGCAGTTTGTTGAATTCCAATGTACTTCCAATCTCGGACTGCAGTGTTCGGCGAAAACTGCGTCTTATGCCTGGCATGTCTTGAATACAGGGTACCAGCCCGAAGACGCGAGCCAATAGTGCTGGGTCAGTTCGAGCATCTGTGAGCCAGCGATATGTATGCTCGAGACAGAACCTGTGTAGGCGTCGCGAGAGATTGGATTCCTGATGGCTGTATGTATATATTGTTGTGTTTGGGAGGATGCGATTGATTAGCGGAGAAGGTGACCTGGCACGATTGGTGTACGAAAGATAGTCCTTCTGGCAATGTGCCACTGAGTTGTCTGATGCATGTGAAACTTGATATCCGAAGATATTACTCGATAATTTGTGAGTTCGCTCAATCTTTTCATCTTCATCGGGAGTAGAAGGGGCGTCATGGAGCTCGGCTAAAACCAATTCTCGTGCGCGAGTCAGGTAGTCGGTGCCCGACTGTGCCATAAGTCGGTCATTATGGTAACTAGCTGTATCTTGGTGGGCAGCACTGAGTAGATTAGACACGTTCTCCAATGTACGTTCTAGCCCATCGACGCGAGATTTGAGAGCCTGGATAGTGAACTCTTTTTTTAGTCTATAAGTGCGTTGGGCACGCCGGATCTGTAGACGACGTTCCTGTTGGAGTCAACTAGGTGAATCTTGAAGGGTTTATATGGCAAATTACCTCAATGGCAGCCGCATCCTTGACCGTCTCCAGTCTTGGCCGACCTCGCTTCCGAGCGGGACGATCCGGAGCTGCCGACTCCCTACTGATCGCTAGTTGGTCGGTCATCTCCGGGCCTTTAGGGGCACGCTTGTTCCGTGGCCTTAGACTGCGCTCCGGCTCATGTTTAATATCGGGGCCTAGTTCCCGTCTAGGGAGACCCTGTAGTCGTTCAGGGGGTAAGTCCAGATAGGATCTGGATGAGAGCATGTCTGATAGCACGTTTGAAGAATTCCCATTATCCTGCATCGGGGTGGGCTGAGGTGATGTTAGAAAGTTGACAAGTTCAAGTAATCAAAGAAAGGCCTCCTCATCCCGTGAATTTTTTGATCACTCATCACCTCGGCAGTGGCCAAGTCGCAACTACACTAATGCAGACATCAACAGGGGTCGCCTGCATGACATATCAATGCCCATGACTTCATTTATACTTTAATTCTCAGCGGACCTTTGCGGAGTACATATTTTTTTTATTTGTACACATCATGTGCGGAGCACAGGGTGTTCGTGAAATCCGAAATCCGCCTCGTGTTTTGACACCACACAGACCTCCCCTTGAGTGCAACCGAGGCCTAAAGGCGTAACCCACCGACGGTGGCGCGAACATGAAGATTGTTTTGTGGATACAAAGTGCAGGATACAGATCTCTGTGGATACATGGACATGCAAACTGGCGGTGTCTCCGAAGGTGAAACTTGTGGGCTCCGAGATCTTTTCAATCCAAGGACTCACCGAGTAAGAGGTCCGAGATCTATCGGCCCAGGGAATGGAATCAGTGCGAACTCCGACCACCGATCGAATATGACCTCCGTTGCGCATTTTATTGGCTCCGACATTGACGATCCTGACTGAATCTTGCTGTGTTCCGCAAGTGTCCCCACTCAGCCTTTGTGCTGCATTCATCCATATAACTCGCCTCCTGCCCGCGCAAAATCTCGGTTCTCCGCTTGAAAGTAACTACTAACACCATGGCCCTGACGTTCATCGTGGGCTTCGCGGCCGCAGCCATCGTGCTGCAGGTTATCCGCATGGTAATCAACTCATGGCAGCATTCGCGCAATGCCAAAAAGCTGGGCTGTGGCAGTCTGCCCATGTATCCTTGCAAGGATCCTATTGGAATCGACACCTTGAAGCAGTCTCTGGCAGCAGCTAAAGAAAATGCCGTGCCCGAGTTGGCTGAGAAGCGCTTTGAAGTTATGGCGGAGCAGGAGAACCGCTACGTTACTACCTTCATGATCCGCAACCTTGGTCGCGATGGCATTTTCACTATCGATCCCAAAAATATCCAAGCTGTTCTAGCAACACAATTCAAAGAGTTCGAACTCGGTGATTCTCGCCGGAGGGCCTTGCACCCCTTGCTCGGCACTGGTATCGTGAGTCACATGATAACCTTTTTGTCCGTCTAGTGTGGGCACTAACCGCATACAGTTCACGGCCGATGGTGAGGACTGGTCCAGGTCCAGAGGTCTTCTACGCCCTCAATTCACCCGAGAGCAGATCAGTCAATTAGATTTGGAGGAAGAACATGTGCAAAAGGCCATGCAGGCGCTGCCTGTCGCAGCCAACGGCTGGACCGCCTCCACCGACATTCAGACTATCTTCTTCCGCCTGACTATCGATTCTGCCACAGAGTTCCTATTCGGCGAAAGTGTTGAGAGCCAGCTTGGTGGCTTGAACGGCTTGAACAGACCCGAGGATTCTTTCGCTGGCCACTTTGATTATTCGCAATTCATCTGCGCGCAGCGCGGCCGATTCGAGAAGCTTGCTTTCCTCGCTGAGACCAAGGAAAGCAAGAGCTCAGACAAGCAAGTGCAAGCCTTTGTTGACAAGGTCGTCGCAACCGCTTTGCAAGCCGCCGACAATGAAAAGAAGGACACTGAGAAGGGGAAGTCCCCTTATGTGTTCCTTGACGCCCTTCTGGAGGTTACTCGAGACCCGATTGAGTTACGCTCACAACTCCTGAACATCCTCCTGGCTGGCCGTGATACTACCGCTTCCCTCCTCAGCTGGACCACTCTCATGCTTGCCCGCAACCCTGAAATTTTCAATAAGCTTCGCGAAACCATCATCTCCACCTTTGGCACTTACTCTAATCCGGAAAACGTCACATTTGCTGCTCTCAAATCCTGTCAGTACCTACAGTATGTCATGAACGAGGTCCTCCGACTCTACCCTGTCGTCCCATTCAACCGCCGGAATGCAACCCGCGATACTACCATTCCTCGCGGTGGTGGCCCTGACGGCCAAGACCCCGTCTACGTTCGCAAGGGTCAGTCCGTCATCTACACCACCCATGTCATGCAGCGACGAAAGGACCTCTGGGGCCCTGATGCCGACGAGTTCAAGCCTGACCGCTGGGCCAACCGCAAGGCCGGCTGGGAATACATTCCCTTCAACGGTGGCCCGCGTATTTGCATTGGCCAGCAGTTCGCTCTTACCGAGGCTGGCTATGTCATTGTTCGTCTTTTGCAACGCTTCGATCAGATCCAGGATGTGAACCCCGACCGTCAGATTCGACACGGCTTGACTTTGACCAGCTCTCCTGCTGATCGGCTTACTGTCCGCATGCACGAGGCGGCTGAGTAAATATTCCGTTATGATGTTCTATTTGTTTGGTGGAACCCATTTGGGTTGTTTATATCCCTTTTTTGTACACCTTGTTTCCCCTGCCTGAGTGACTTGAATGTTTGCTTCATATTGATTCAGTATATTTATTCGCATCAGTCTGTTCCAGACTACCTCACGGACTAGGCTTCGTTGCCCTTTATGATAACAAGAATGAAACATTTGTTATGAATTCAGCTATATGGACTTTCCCTCTATGCCAACAACTGGTTTGAATCTTTTGGAAACTATTTATCCCAAGAAACAACTTTCATTGGTTGATTAAGCTTAGGATCCTATCTGACAGGATCTACAACAACTGGTGGAAGCAGGAAACATGGATCCAACAGAAATCGAAAAGACTAGTTACTTAGCCACATGCAGACTTGGTTCATGTGTCCTATGATTGCTGACGACACAAACTTCTGCAAGCACGGTATGTAGGTAATGAGAATCTAATATAAGGCTCTAAAAATCTTGTTGATGTACATTATTCCAGGTTGACATCATGATTAATATCACGTTCAGACCTATAACCCCAGTTTTTGAAGCTGAGAGCACGACCCATACTCTGAAAGCATTTTACCAACCACAACGAAATGACCGATTGCTGGAGTGGTTATCACACAAAGAGTAAAGGTCAAATGAAGAAAGCCCATAACATCCATATAGAAATGTTTCTTTTCTCGTGGGTCGGCCAAGTTCCGCCTGAGAAGTTTGGCCCAAGCAGGATTGTAGAGGATGTTGTCAATAAACCAGTCTGCAGCCATAGGATTGGTGACTATAATCATTCCAAATACAAGCGACAACGTAATCCACAACCGCTGTGCCAACGTGCTCGACCCAGCCTCAAAACGCGAGAGTGCACCAATAGCTACCAAGGGCAGCGCTGAAATGAATACGACCAGAAAGGAGAGTATCGGAAACGGCCTCGGGGAGCTGGTTCTGAAGTTCTGACAACTTGGACAGATTATGACAAGTCGGGGTTTTTCTCGGTTTTCTTTCGATGAAAGTGATTCACATGATGACTGAGAACCATGATCAGAAACTATGCCACTTTTGGTTGCTCGTACTGGATAAGAAAAGTTCCTGTACTTCTTTTCCTTCAAATATACCGGTTCGATTTCGCCAGGGCGAAACATTCTTCCCAAATCAAACTCCCACAAATACCCTTGGCGACGTTGACATGTGCCCGAAAAAACGAACTTATCGTTTACGGGGAGTGGCTCGCTTTTGAGTGTTCCAACCGCGCCAGCAAAGGTACCTCCGCGGCTACTAGCTTCATCCATCAGTTCAGTATGAACAAGATAAACTGATGGGTAGCTGTGAGTAGCCATATTGCCAAGGAGATTAACAACCGACATGATCAGATATGGCACAACGGTAAATCCAAAAGCAGCGTATCCATATGTGTCTACTTGGTGACCGCGCGACTGATATATAGTGACGGAGGCATAGAGTATCTGAATGAGCGCAATCAGCGGTGGCCCAAAGCTATAAGTCGAAGATAGATTTTGTGAATCCTGGCCATTGCAGTGAAGTCGCTCCGCCGACGACAGTGGCTCTACCAAGGCGTGCAACGGAACGTATGCCAGACTATACCCAGGAGGAAGGTCGCAAGTTCCACATATCTTGTACCGCGGGGGCACGATACTAAATGTGTTCCCTTCGGGTGCAAGCCAAGGAGGGGTGCAGACATTGAATTCGAATAAGCCGGTATAGTTCTCCCTGAAAGACAATGTGAGCAGAATAATTCGTTCGGGATAAAAGCTTTAGCTTACAATTCCTGAATGTCGTCCTCATAGTTGTCTTTATTCCGGGCTACTCAATCTTAGCAGGAGCCTCCAGTGTATAGACCGAGAAAAGCATACCGATTTTCAGGTACGGCCACCACTCAGGTTCATCCACGTCATATGACATAGGCATTGCTGATAATGAGCGTATAGATTGCAAAGGCTTCGGATTCCACTCTCGAGATCGCACCACCATGCATAATGCTCTCGATTGAAGCGCCCGCTTTAGGGGATCAGTTTTTAGAGCTCCTCGCCCGACGATAGCCATCAATCCCCGACTAGCGCCCATTGAAGGGAAAAGGATGGCTAAGATCATATTCACTGTGGTGGTGAGGGCTGGTTCTCCAGGGAATGCGATGACCGTCGCCGCATGCGCTAGATAGTTGCCCAGGAAAAACGACACGATATCAGTCCATGAGGTTGGTGTGCAAATCATGTTCTGGGAATAAGTGACACCATCTGGGACAGTGATGGTGGTGTCTCTTTTTGAAAGAACAGCCGCTAGTGATTGACTGACTTGGGCGAACAAAACCAATGTCGTAAGCCCAAGCCGTGTCGTGAGGGTCATCATATAGATGTGGCAGCCACTTTCGGTACTCTGATCCCCGGTTTAGGCGAATGTTATTGTTTCGGAACCCTTTTCACAACGAAATACATAATATGGGGTGGAATACTTGAAGGCGGCAGCAGGAATATGAGAGAAATGTTCTTAGCTTAGATCCTTGAGGGGTTTTGATGTTTGGAGCTAAGAACAGCGGCCTAGTAACCCAAACTACTTCATCCTTGAGATTTCTATTTTAAGTGATCTACCTAGGGACCCGGGTAAAAGAGGCACCGGGATTTGGTCGACTCTAAACGCCCGTAACCCGCAGAGGTGCATGTGCATAGCCCGAACGGCGATCCATTCAGATGTCAACACTCATATAATTTATAATATCCCTACCCTACTCTAGGCACCTTTATTTTCCTAAATTGGCTCACTCAATAATCTAATCTAGCATTCCACACTGTAAACCACATCTCTACCTTTCATCGGATAACACGAGACAGGTGGTCAGATTCTTATTTCAATCTAAGGCCTCGGATATTCCAATACGCGTCGCGAGAGCACCTTTGTGGTTGATATGAGCCTCGAGTTTGACGATTATCCCGAAGATCTCTTCCTGAAGCGTCTTCTTCCTGCATACTATCAAACCGCGAGTTACGCGCTGAGGCCGGCGTTTCACTTCATATGCACATGTGGGGCAGCTGAGATATCGGGCCAATGAGAAGCCTAATTTCGATGTTTGGATGAGGCTGGGGCCATCCATCACCAGGCAAGATGGCAACAAAAACCTGGTCTCCAGTCCTGCTAAGTGCACAGTAGTTGGAATCGTGCCAAGACACGTTTAATGGTGGATCGTGCTCTTCATCGAAAGAATCCTGTGCGGCGATACATACCATGTGTAGGGGCCAGATCCAGCCCTCAGCCCAATTTGCTGAGACCGCAGAAACCTGGACAAATTTATACAGTATTCTTTTGGATCAATGTACTGTACATGTATTCTGTAAGCATAGTCACCGCTACATATGAATGAATTACAGTTTGCTGTTCGGTTGATCTGCTATAGCCTACTTATGATCTATACTCTACTGCCGGGGACGGCTCAGGTACACTTTGCCTTTTTCCAGGGGAAATGCATCGGTTCACATTGGGCCCAATGTAACCATTGTGGGAGATACACACTCTTGCAAGGATAAAGCATCTGTTTATTTTTATTTTTGTTATCATGCACTGGGGAGTTGGCAGGAATAAAACAATAGGGGTCATGAAAATGTCCACGGCGCTATGAAGTATGAGACAAATTATTTACCAAATCCTCAAAATGAGTGTGCCAGTTCATTCATTAGTCGTGCCTTTTCTTAGCCTGTCTTTTTCGCCTCTTTCCCCAAATTTTAAGTGCCCTGGGTGAGCTATTCAGATCACATAAACATGGGGGTGTGAAAGGACTTATGACCACTACCATATCTGCCACAGTGGAATGGCAAGTTTGGTTAAATGCTGGGGGCTTGCATATAGGGGCCAATCTACTGTGTGTTTTGCACTCTAATCTTCACTGAAACTCTAATGCTCTATCAGGCGCTCAATTTTGACCCCTTCGCAGTGTCAAAGACATACATAGAGTACGCATATATACGGTGAACTCTCTGCTAGCAGCTCTAATACGACTAAGAGGTGCAGACACCCAGGAGCTCGCTGTAGCCGAAGGGCCGATGATCCACTGTAGCTTTGTGAGCTCTTAAATAGCCAATCGTCTGTTCAGTTACAGTAGCGATCGTCAGTAAAGATCCAATTTTATGAACTTCGGATCCTACAACCATTGAATACCGAGCTGTCAATAATACCACTGACATGCCCACGCGAATCGTCAAGATTGAATGATAAGTCCCTATTGGCCTGAGATAAAACATGTTAACACAGCTGCATTTTGATCTGCAGATTTTTCTCGCGGCAGGGAAGCCCCTGATTCCCCCTTACTGGGGCTGTCGCCAGTATCGATCTATCGGGTTATAGTTCAAACATAGCGCCCCACCGATCCACCACATACGTGACGCACATGAACTACAGCATAACCCTAGCGATCATAATGGAGAATTGTGGATCTTGATTTGGTTCTTTTTTGACAGGCTGGTTTTTGGGAATGTTATATGCAGATCCCATCGCGTAGAAGTCTGAGTCAAACTGGTCACTACCCAGACCTGCTCAGATGAGTATTCAGGTACCTAGGACCAGCAATTGAAGCTGTTCATACTCTCAAAGCTTGATCTTTGTAATATCATACTATTATGCGGAGTACGGGGGTTGACGTCCCAAGAGAGTGGTTGGATCGCTATGATCTGACAAAAGGGGCTATCAGTTCCACATGAGTTTCCGGGTGGGTCTGGAGGTTTTCAATAGACAAGCTGGAGGAGCATACATACAAAACATGTTCGCGCCCATTGAACTTTCTAGCTTTCTCTTTTCCAGCTCCTTGTTTCTGTTGTATACCATCACTATGCAAGCTGACCCATCACCCCAAAATGATCATCAAGAAAAAAGTTTGCAACCAAGCGTTTTCCCTCCATTGCCAGATGAGCCTTATGATGCTCGCCGGACCGAAAAGCACAGCTCAGTGATCCCAATCAAGACAGGAGAGGAGATTGTGTGTATATCTTCTGTTCTGCAAGTTGCCTGGACAATTGTGGTTGCGGCCTACACAAACTCAAACAATGTCGTCTTCGGTCTATGTGGAAAACGCTCAGCCAACCCGGTTTCGGCTGTGCAAATGACTATTCAACCAGAGCAGACAGTACGTAAGCTGTTGAAGCTACTGAGTACCGAACGCGATGTCATGTCTCCGCTTTCTGAATCAGAATTACCAACAAGTTCTGTGTTTCCAAATATCTTGGTCATAAAGAATGACATTGAAGACTGGACAAGCACCAGCCCACCAATTGTAACAAGCGGTGGTCATTTCGATACTTGTCCTTTGCTGTTGACTGGCGTGGACCAGCAAACCGAGATTCATATGCGTTTCGACTTTGACCCAGTGATCCTCTCAACAACACTGTCACAGATAGTGATGGATCAATTGGTCCATATTGTGAATTGCATACAGACCGACCCGGAAATCCAATTGAAAACTCTTCTTGATATTTCACCCAATGGACTCAAGGGGGACGAATCGTCGAACTCTCGTCTTCAGCTGCGCAGACAGGAACTGGGTCTACATGATGTAATTACAAAAAGCGAGGAAAACAAAAATGCCCCGCCTTTGTGCGATTGGGACGGAAAGTCAGACCAGTCGCAGCTATCAGCAGTGGCATGGACGGAAACTACTGGAGATTATGTTGCGAAGGGAGACAATACTCCTCCCACAAGCCGCGATTCATCAATTTCTCCTTGTGACACGATCTTCGAAAAGCAACCTGAAGAAAATACCAACCAAGATTCAGCCACGACATCTCCTGAGAGCATGTCAGGCACTTTCAAATGCACGCAAACACAGCAATGGCTACTCAACAACCACGAGGGGGGCTGCTTTGTTCTGGAATTCTCCGGGCCCTTGGACTCTTCAAGGCTTGAAGATTCATGCCAACGTCTCCTGGAGTCCCATACTGCACTCCGGTCTGTTTTTACACGGGTTGACGAAACATTAGTACAGACTGTACTCAAAAAATTTGATCTTCCTTTCACCGTGCATACCGACGCGTCTCAACATCCGATATCAGTTGCCCATAACCTGTGCACAGTCAATCCCGAAAACACCTTCCCTCTTGGTACACTTCCCCTGTGTTTTACTCTAATCACTGGAGTCAGAAACCAGAATGCTCTGATGATCCAACTATCACATGCTCAATATGACAGTGTCTGTCCCGAGACTTTGGTTTCCGATCTGTGTCAGCTCTATCAAGACCCGACAAATGCTGTCAGCTCAACGGAATATGCTCTGTTCGCGCACGAAGTCACCAAGCAACAAACTCCCGAGGCATTTGAATTCTGGAGTATTCTTCTTTCGGGCTCAAGTATGACCGAAATACCAAACACCGCGCCGGAAATGCAGTCAAAGAATACCATCTTACGATGCTCAACTAAAGTCACTATTCCATCCTTGCCTAGTGGAATCACCATGGCGAGCATGGTCAAAGCAGCCTGGTCAAATGTCCTCCGACTAGAGTCAGGGGACGATGACGTTGTCTTCGCCCAGCTTGTCAATCTGCGCAATCTGAACGTACCAGATGCACACCGCATCATCGGTCTGTGCTCAAACCGAGTGCCTGTTCGAGTGCAGTATGGGCAATGCAAAACAACACTAGATCTCCTCCGAGCTATTGAGGACCAAAACACACAGGCAACTCCCTTCAGAGCTGCCGAGTGGGAGCACGTTGTATCTCGCAGTACCGACTGGGTCGCGGGCTCTAAGCCGCAGAATCTGTTGATACATCAGGATCTTTCTGAGAAGACTGAGATCCAGATAGGAGAGGACCTGCGCTGTAATTTGGCCGATTATATTCCCATTGAACCCACTGATAATTCTTTGAAGCTTATCTCGGAGCAACTGCAAGGTGGTATGCTCAAGTTGACACTGGCATATTCTAGCCACTTCGTTCCGGAATGTGGGATCAACGGCTTGTTGGGAAAGCTACGCAACACGTTGATGCATTTCACTGCTGTCCCAGAAAGCCTGCTGGATTTGTGATCAGACACCCCCTTCTCTCTGTCATTTTCTTTGCGGGCTCGCCTAAGTGGGCTTCGAAGTTTGTAAATATATCTTAAAAATAATAATATCCCGAACAAGAATGTACAGTTAACCGTGACCTGATCTGCGTTTCAGTCCAAGCTACGACTATGGATGCTTTGGATGTTACTTTACCTTTGTATCTACAAGAAGTCTCCAAATTTGAGGCCTCGCGTACAGCGCTTGCGTTCATTCCACGGATGATCCCCGTATTCCTCTCTCCCATCGTTGGCGAGTACTATATTACAGAACCCAAGCTCCTGAAAAGTGAGATGTTCATAAACATGGATCTTAATATTAGGCTCCTACTGCGAGCGCGTTTGAAATTACCCAGTAGCTTGTGCCGGCTACATAATTCTTGGTATCATGCATATACTGCTACGATTTCACACTGGCGAGAGCAAACTCCAGGAAGCCGGGCTTTTTATTGATCTTTCTTTCATCGGCATGTCTATGAAAATGATCATGACTCCCGTGCTAGCAGAAATCTTTATGGTTGTGGAACAACCCGAGGATGAAAAGCCAGTAAGGTTTGGTCCAAGTGGTGCTCAAGAGCAGGTAGTAAGTATTTACTTCTCTTTCACTTATGTGATTTTGGTTTGTGTACCTATCCGGTGTGAGAGTACGGACTATTTGACATTTTCAAAACTCTGGTGGAACACTTGTTGGATCCTTGATCGGTAAGCTCTCAGTTTGAAATGTAAGTTGCCTATTGTGACCACTAACAACAGTAGCTGGTTAGTTGAAAAAATGTATTTCTCGGAGGCTACAAAAACTATGTTTTTTTGGTGGATAACGAACCGTGTTTGGACTATTTAACGATGATTGAGACAGATATTTGCAGGAATATTGAAACTTATTAATATCACCATTCTGATTATATACGAAATTCAATGGGACACTATTTAGAGCACCTATCAAAATTCAGTCAATGTGGGGGCTCCTTTTGATGCAGGGCCAGAATGCTTGGTCTGTACGAAGACCTTCTGTATCCCGCCCTCTCGTTTATCAAACATTTCATAAATCTTTGCCATATCCTCAAGACGGAATCGGTGTGTCACCATAACAAGTGGATCAATCTCGTTCGTCTGTATGAGATCCATGAGATGGTTCCAGTACTTGTGTACGGGGGCCTGGCCGTTGCCCATAAGATGAACACCAGTCTGCATCAAAGCCCCAATATTGAAATGATTAGTCTGTAAATAATATTCATTAGCTTGGCTGGGCACATAGTCACGCACGACTCACATATCCAGCGTAGATACCCGTCACGCCTACTCGTCCAAATGGACGAACAGAAGTAATCATCTCGTTCAGTAGTTCCGAAGTATCTGTCTCCATTCCGAGCATCTGCTCAAAGTAATGCGCCCATCCTTTTGCATACTCTCCAGCAGCACACTCGAGAGCGACATCAGGGCCTCCTGTGACCATTTTCTTCAGCTGTGATGTTACCGACTCACCCTTGGGTAGATCGGTGAAGTCGATGGTCTCAAGCTTTGGCAATTTTTGCTTGACAAAGTCCAGCCGCCATGCAGCATTGCCTCCATCAATGAGAATGACACGGCTGGCTCCATGATAAAAGCTGAATTGTGCACACATCTGTCCAATCGGCCCGCCACCCCAGATGGCAACAACGTCACCCTTTTCGACTCCAGTGTCGACCACACAGTGCCAGGATGTTGCTAAGACATCCGATACATAGAGTGCTTTCTCGTCTGGAACATCATCCGGGATAGGAAGCAGATTGACATCTCCATATGGAACGCGAAGGTACTCAGCCTGGCCACCAGCGAAGCCACCGGTAAAATGAGAATAACCAAACATGCCTGTGGTCAAATCAGCAACGATCTCGTCGTTCTTGGCTGTTTTGTCTGCATACCAGCAGTTCGATTGCCATACATGGCATTCGTGAGGGTGTTCTGATTAGTTTCACTACACTGCGAGAAGAACTCCCTCTGGCAGTTCATGCACTTTCCGCAGGCAATAGGGAAAGAAACAACCACACGTTGCCCAGATTTGATCTTTTCAGTCCCTGGGCCTACACTTTCCACCACTCCACAGCATTCATGGCCGAGTACATCACCTTTCTGGAGTTGTGGGATGACGCCTAGACGCAACGCAATTTAGCAGTAACTCTTAGATAAGAAGGCTAACATACCATGATACAGGTGAAGGTCGCTTCCGCAGATAGTGCTTCCTGTCACCTTGACAATCACATCATCCTGATCAATGACTCTTGGCTTGGGCATTTCCACTGACTTTGTTAGGATGGCAAGATACCTCCAAGATCGTTGTATCACTAACCAACTTCCATTGTGTTCTTGCCTTGCCAGGTAGTAGCCTGGATTCTCTCATCACTCTCTTTTCCAAATTCGTTTTCATAGTTGCTGACATCAGTGGTAATTTTGGCATCATCTCCATGGCCGACAATCTTCTCCACGATGTTCGCTGCTTGAGATACAGCCATTGCGGATCAATTTGAGTACAGTCTTATATTTTTTGAGACAATTTGAAACTTTGATCAATCGCATTCGAGAGAAAAGGTTAACTAGGATCAATTATAATATTATCTCGTTCCTTTCCAGGCGTTTTTGACGCTGACATCATAATGAGCAACATAGCGGTAAATCGTCTGGTCTTCAAAGCAGGGCATAAAGATGCATGTAACAAGAATTAATTGCAGTCATGACACCGCAATTCAAGCCTGTGACTTGTTCGCCCCTACAATGGGGTTCCAAGGTATAGTTACGGTTGCCCACTTTCATGTCGTGGCCCTGTCCTGTCAGTCTACTTAATTCAAGCATAGCTCAAGCCTGAACCTGATCTTTTGAAGCAGGCTTTTCTTTGCATTTTCATCTGGTATCATGCCCACTATTGACTGTAGCTCTCCTTGTCTAGGTCGAGATCAAAGACCGTGAGTCAACGGTCCGGCTGTCCGTCCTTACTTCCACGCAGACCATAACAAATCACCAAAAACAGTACCCCCCCCCCCCCATCAACTGCCGAAAAGAATTTTTAAAATATGACAAAACATGCACACAAATTGGGACGAGCCGGAGTCGAACCGGCGATCTCGCCGTATATACGAAGTACGTATCAAGAAACGAAGCATTGAACGGTCTACATACGAGCGGCGCGCCTTAACCACTTGGCCACCGTCCCACGGGATAGAACAAACGTTCTCATGGGAATCGCCATCATTCAGGAACGCTTCATCAAGCGGGTGATTAGAAATAAATCAATGCATAATGTACAAGGCAGTCTAAGACTACATGGCGATGCCATCTGTCGATCGAAACGGACATCTAGATCTATCTATTCACGCTACCCGTCTCCTTCCACGGATAGCTCACGCCATCGTCCTTGCGCGTCCAGATCTTCGTCTTTCTCTTATTAACGACATGCTCGACGAACACTTCGCGCGTATACTGGGCCTTGAACTTGCGGATCCAGCGCGGGTCCCAGAGTTCGCTTGCAATCCCGAGATCCTTGCAGCAGCGGACGAGTGCGTTGGAGCGGCAACCTTCTGTTGCGGTTGGGATGCCGTCGGGGGAGAAGTAGTCTTGTTCGCCGCGGGCGACAGAGACCAAGCTAGGAACATGGTTAGCCTTTTGTTCGAATGTTGACATATATCGGAGTAGTGCATATTATATGCAATGTGAAATTGGGGTCTAAGGAATCTTTACCGTCCGTTACAAACGAGAGCATACTCTCTCGTCACAGTCTTGGGCGTGACAATACTCTCGCTTCGGGGCACAAGACCCCAGCCACCAGGCCCAAAAGCCCGGTTCAGGATCCGACGGTACTTGATCTCGGGGAGATACAGGATACCATCGGGCTTGATCTCGACTTCTTGCGGGTCGGTCTCGGCCAACAGGATATCAGCTGCTTCCTTAGGGAATGGAGCAGCAGAAAGACCGTGGAATGAGCGTGTCCAATCAATCTTTTCTTCGGGGGCGGTCTCGAGCAGGAGGGGCTTGTCGGCTAGGCCGCTGTGGGAGATGTTTTCTGTTGTCGAGCGGTTTGGAGTTGGGGCCGATGCACGGCTTGCGGAGCTTGTAGGCGTTGGAGAGGAGGGTTTCTGGGTTGATGTTGTTGTGGATGGCTTGGAGAACGGGGCGGTGGGCTTTTCGTTCTGTTTCTGGGAGTTGCTGTAGCTGATTGCCCTTTTGGTCATTGGGGTGGAGATCTGTCCGAATTGGAGGCGGGTGACCCCTCGAGGGCCGGAAATCGGTGTAGCATGCTGAAGGAACTCGATTGCCCACCAGGAGCGGATGCGCAAAGCTGAAGACATGGTTGACTGATACGTTGAAGCTGGACAGGGGAGCTGTGAAGTCAGTTGTGAGAGTGATCACGTGATACCGATTTTAAATTGGTCGACTCGAGTTTCAATATAGAGAGGTGATTTCATTTGTAAAGTTGATTGGAGAGGCTTGGAGAGGCTAATCGAACGAGTTATAGTGGCTGGATAAAATACATCATGCGTTAGGCATCTTTGGTCTCTGTTCGCTGGTCGTTGCCCTGGCGTTTCCAGCATTCACGGAAGGCTTCCATCTGTATTTTCGGTCAATATAAGATCTGAATCTTGAAAGTATACTCTTGCTTAATATCATCGAAGCTGGGTTGCTTGTTGAAAGCATTGAAAGGTGCAGATAGCTTCCAATAGTTTCCAGTATGATGTCGGACCATAAGGATCATCTCACCTCTTCTTTACATTCGCGCCAGTCTCTCTTGGCATAGTAGCAGTCATTCATCTTGTCCTGCTCAGCTGCACTGTATTAGAATTATTACCTTCCAATGGACACCAAGCTAACTCACTGTGGCAGCCCGTGCTGAAGATGCGCTTGTCCCTGCGCCCATAGTTAGCTCTCGGAATACAAAAAATTGCAATCCCACTAACCAATCATCAGGCTCATCATCTTCTTCCGGGACAACAGTAGTCTTTTCCGCGTTGTTCGACATGGCCGAGGTATGAAAACGACAAAATCAAGCGGTTGGCATCGGAGCTACGGGGAACGGGCGATCTGATCTTATCGATGACTGATTCCCCCCCCAACAACAATGTCCGCGCCAACAGGCAACAATGCCAATTTCACTGGCAAAAGACTCAATGTGCTAGTCTACTCCGGTTCGCTCACCTACTCCGCATGGCAACTTAGCCGTTTTCTGACCGACGACTTCTCGACAGGAAACGGAACCACTGTTGACTCAGTCCGCCATTGTCTCTACACCCTCCGCCGCCTCCTCGCTCCCCACTATGCCGTGATCCCCGTGACGGGGGATATGCTCCTGAAAGAGCCATGGATGGCTACGTGTGCGCTGCTAGTCTTCCCCGGCGGTGCGGATCTGGGATACTGTCGCACGTTCAATGGCGCGGGAAACAGGCGCATTGCGCAATTCGTTCGCAACGGCGGAAGATACTTGGGTATGTGTGCTGGGGGCTATTATGGTTGCAAGAGCTGTGAGTTTGAGGTTGGGGATAAGACTATGGAGGTTATCGGGGACCGCGAATTGGCGTTTTTCCCCGGTATCTGTCGTGGCGGGGCATTCCCTGGCTTCGTTTACCATAGTGAGGAGGGTGCGCGTGCTGCGGAGCTCAAAGTGTCCAAGGAGGCGCTGAGCATTGGTACTGTGCCGGAGCAGTTCAAGTCTTACTACAATGGTGGAGGAGTGTTTGTTGACGCGCAATTGCTTGCGGGCAAGGGAGTTGAGGTTCTTGCGAGCTATACTGAGAAGCTTAATGTCGATCCTGGGGAGGGTGCGGCTGCTGTTGTTTACTGCAAAGTTGGCGAAGGAGCTGCAGTCTTGACAGGACCTCATCCTGAGTATGTTCAGAGTTCGATTGGCAAGATTAATGACTGACCTCGACTAGATTCGCGGCTGTCAATCTCGACCCCAAGGCAGGCGGGCCGGAATACGCGGAGATGGTTGCTGCTCTTGCTGCAGATGACAAGGCACGAACAGATTTCCTTAAGGCCTGCCTGTCTAAACTTGGGCTTGAGGTTACGCAGGAGACAACGGCAATGCCTTCACTGTCGTCCTTGCACCTGTCTGGTATCGATGCCGATGGGCCTATGGATATCCTATCATGTCTTGGCAAGGATTTTACCAACGATGGTCAAACCGAGTACCTCAAAGATGAACACGATAAGTTCCGTATTGAGCGGCCTGGAACATGGAACCTCGGTGACCTCGAGGAATCGCTGCCTACTGAGTCCTCCGCGCCCAGTGATGGTATCATCGATTACCAGGCAATCACCAAGCGTCTGGTCTTCCACGATGATATCCCATCTTCAAAACTTACCCCATACTTCAACCACCACGCATTCTATTCCAATTTACGTGAATATCAGGCCGAGTCCAAGGGAGACGCTACATGCTTCGGCTCCAACCTTCTATACGGAGAAGTCGTGACCAGCACGAACACAATTCTTGAAAAGTGAGCATTCCATTGACTGCCTGGGATCAATCCAATCTAATAAGCAACAGAAACATTGCACTCCTCCGCCAGCTACCGCAAGGCTTCACAGCAACAGCCACGAACCAAATCGCCGGCCGTGGCCGCGGTTCCAATGTCTGGGTCTCACCCGCAGGCTCACTCATCTTCTCAACGGTCGTCCGCCACCCAATGGAAAAGATGCAATCAGCACCAGTAGTCTTCCTCCAATACCTATCAGCCATGGCGGTAGTACGAGGCATCAAAAGCTACGCCAAGGGCTACGAGAAGATCCCCGTCAAACTAAAATGGCCAAACGACATCTGTACGTATACCCAACACCATACGCCATACCCCCAAACTAACAAACCCACCTCTTAGACGCCCTAGACCCAGAAGACCCCGCCCAAAAACGCTACACAAAAATCTGCGGCATCCTAATCAACAGCCACTTCATGTCGAACGAATACATCTCGGTAGTAGGAATAGGTGTAAACGCCACAAATGCCTCACCAACAACGGCGCTAACCACTCTGGCCGCCAAATACGCGTCACCCGGCAGCGCCGCCGCAAACCCAGTAACACTGGAGAAATTGCTCGCGCGGATCCTAACCACCTTCGAGTCTCTGTATACGCGGTTCCTGCGGACGGGATTTGATCGCGGGTTTGAGGCGCTTTATTATGAGGATTGGTTGCATATGCATCAGATTGTTACGCTTGAAGAGGAGGGTGGGGCTAAGGCGCGCATTCAGGGTATTACGCGTGATTATGGGTTGCTTCTTGCTGAGGAGCTTGGGTGGGGGGATCGGCCTACGGGCCGGGTTTGGCAATTGCAGAGTGATTCTAATAGTTTTGATTTCTTTAGGGGGTTGGTCAGGAGGAAGGTTTGATTGGTCTCTGGTTGGGAGCTGTGGGTGGGAGATCAGTGTTCGAGAGCGGAGACCTCTGTCAATACAATACGTCTTGGACACGAATTAGAAGATGGAGAAAGATTGTAGATTGAAATGAAGTAAATTGTAAACCCCTGTATCGGAATAGACCAGAAGGCAAGCATATCTCATACTCGTACAGCACGAAGAGAAAGGAAAGGTTTTTTATGCAAGTGCTCCAAACGCAAAAGAAAAGAAAAGAAACATATCTACCGACATGGCACACATGAGAGTATTAACAACCCAAGAGATGAGAGAAGGGGTAAGGAAAGTTTTAGAAGAAGGAAAGTATGCAAAACGGATCAAAGATCAAAAAGAAAAGACAAATCAGGCATCATGCTCAGCATAAGGCGACTTATCCTTCCTCCTCAAAGCTTTGTCCATGAACGAGAGCCGTCTCCCGGGGGCATCTGAATTACCTGCACCGGGGTAGCCCTGAGGCGGGGAGTAGATTGAAGGCGGCGAAACGGGATCATAGCGATCCGTAAGCTCGTAATTGCTGCTCGCCGTCACGCCGGAGATAGGGTCGTGGCGATGAGGTGTGTTCTCGGCGCTGAAGTTGCCAACGGGGACCTGGCTGTATCCCGTGTCGTGGGAATAGTAGCCCTGGTAAGCGTTGGGATCGGGCGAACCGACGGTCTGCACAGTGGACATCTGGCTGTGGCCCTGGCCTTGGTTGTGAGTCGCGGTTTGCGAGGAAGAGTGACCAGACGAATGAGGGCGGGGCTCATAGCGAGCGCTGCCGCGGGAGCCGGGCTTCGGTGTTTCCAGGATGGGCACTTGGCTTGAGGAGGGGGTTAGGCCAGCTGGCACTGGGGAGAGGGGTGCGTGGGGGACGGCGGGGGCCTCATGGTCGGTGTAGGAGACGCGGTTGCCGGCTTTTCTGTGGCCGGTTGAGAGGCCACGGGAGACTCCTGCGGCGGTGTTGACGCTAAGAGTGTTGGAGGCGTTCGTTGCTGTGCGGTGCAGTGCGTGGCTGTCGTCGACGTCCAGACCGGGGTTGATGGCGGAGGGAGAGCGAGCATTGAGCAGTTCGACGATGGCGGCTTCGCGCTCGGCGTTCGTTTGAGTGGAGCCGCGATGCGTGACGGTTCCTGAGCGGCCGTGGTCGAAGCCTGTCGATTGGGCGGAGTTCTCGTAGTTCAGGATGCCTCCGGCGGCGGCTGCTTTAGCGGCGTCGGGTTGTTCGGTGCTGCCGCCCTGCTGAGAGGCGCGCTTGCCGGTGTCGGCATCATCACCCTTGTCGTCACCTTCATCGGCCTCGGCATCGGGGGCGGCGACACCTGGGGCGCGGACTTGGACCTTGCGGACGGCCAAGACGAGGGCACAGAGGAACTTGGATCGGCGGGCGGCGCGGACAGTCTCGTTGGACCAGTTGGACTTGTGGCGGATATCAACACGGAGCTGGAGCTTGTCCATGTCACCAACGCCACCGAGTTCAATATCAACATCAGGCTGGAAGTCACGGCAGTTGTCCTTGTCGCGAACAAAGCTCTCCATCTCCTGGCGGAGAAGCTGAACCTCGGCGAAAGAAGTGTCGAATGCAACAGGAACGGTGAGCTGTTCGTGCATAGCATTGGCGCGAGTGAAGTTGTCAACCCAGAGACTGTTCAGGATGTTGTTGGGGACCTGAGTGATGCGGTGGTCGTTCACGTTGCGGAACACAGTGAAAAGCAGTGAGATACGCTCGACCATGAATGGCTTGTCGCTGACTTCAACACGGTCGCCAATATCAAAGGGATGCTTGACGAAGAGGAAGATACAAGAGCCGAGAACTTCCTGGGCGGTAACAGAGAAGACGAAACTCAGGGAGAGCAGAGAGGTGGCACCGGCAGCAATGACAGTACCGAATCCAGTGGTAACGAAAGAAATGAAGACCAAAACGCCGACAAGACCGGCAACACACATGAGCAAGTTGTCTAAGACACGGATAGCCTGGTCGACATCGTGCATGCTGTTGTTGAGGGACTTGCGCAGGCGACCAAATTCGGTGATGGTGAGAACCATCTCGTCAAGACTGATATCACCGTTGCCGTCCTTGTCCAGAGCGTGGAAGCACTCCTCGGCCTCGGCTTCGTGTTCAGCACCAAGCACCTCAACAATATCATCCATGTACAGAGACTCGCGGCCCTCAACAACGAAAGACATCCAAATACGGCGGGCCAGAGCAGCAGCGCAACGCTTACGTTCAAGAGCCTGGATGACCATAGTGTGAGTGGCAGTCGGGTTGAACACTTGCTTTCCAGTCAGCTCGGAAGCAACGTTACCAAAAGCAGCAGTGACTTTGTCACCGACACGGCCGACATTCTTTCCAACCTGACGGAGCATGCGTAGGGGCATGGCGGAGGAGCGTTTGCCATTCTTGTTGCCAGCCTGGGCCAGAATGGAGTCGAAAATGAGAGAATCCTCCTCCTTGAACTCCTGGCAGTAGACGGGGAACATATTGCGGGAAGCCTCGAAGAGCAAACCAACCAGGTACACATTGCGCTTGGAGACCTTGATCTTGGCATCAAACTGCTTGCGGTGGTAACTGATGGAGATCAGCTGAACAAGCGCCTTTTCGGCAAGGTAGATGATAGCGCAAATCAGCAAAGCAAACAGAATGTTCTTGACACTCTTCTCCCAAGCCTTGGGAGCAGTATCACCAGATTCCTGTTTACCAGGATTCAAAGTCATAACGGGAAGGAAGGTAACGAGGGAAATGATAGACCAAAGGAGAAGCGCAATGGGCGTCTCAAGCGCACGCAGAATAAGCGCATACTTGCGAGTTCCAGAGCTCACAATACCACAAAGAAATTGGAAAAAGTAAGGAATGTACCGAGCAAAGATCTTTGACGTCCACAGACTGAACCAGACAATTTCGATCCAAGTAAAGAACCAGTAGAGGTGAACACCACCAATCTTCGCGTTAGGCGCAGCAGTCGCACCAACAATGATAGGAATAGCGATCAAGATCGCAATTGGAAGAACATAAATCAAGTAACGAGTGATAAGCGAAAAATTCAAGACAGCCTGGTAGACACGGCCCATGCGATTCAGCGTACCATCCTCAGGCGACTCGGCAGGCTTCCCAGTCAACTCATTGATATCCGTATCGGTGCGACGCCTACGCCCAGGCCCGCGGTGTGTAGCAATAGGCCCCTTTTCCGTGGCAGTGGCGGTGGCCGTAGCCTCGCTGCTCTCGGGGGAGGAATTGGAGGCCCATTTGCGCGCACCGGTCTGACCACGACTCGCGGTCGCGGTCAGTGGGATGTCAATGGTCACGTCGTGGGGATTCCCCATGCCGTATTCAGGCATATCTGGTAGTTGTTCGAATCGATGTGCGGTCAATCGCTTTTGCGAGAGGCTCGGTCTTCCCATCGCAGAGCGCAGCACGCAGAGGGTCGACAGGACCTTTTTATCAGTCGTAGATCGGCCCCTGGAGTCGGAGACTTCTGGGTCTTGTGGAGACGCAGGAAAAAAACAACGGTTCGTGTGCTATTTTTCGCCTCCCCCTCTTGGACCAGTTTTTTCGCTTGCCGTGATAGTTGCAAGCTAGCTCGCTGGCTACTGCTCCCGGGCCAGTCTGGATGTAGATGGGAGTCGATCCTTTCTGCTCAATGGCTGTGCGAGGTGGAGATGTGGACCGCGAGTAGCCTTTCCGTGTCTAGGAAAATCCGGCAAACGAGTGACAGGAGGTCAAGGAGCGAAGTGAAAGAAGAGAAGATCAAAGACGACAAAAGTCAGAAATCAACTAACACGTCCAGCCCTAGAGTCAGCCACTTGTTTCATCAGATCCCGTTGACACGGGAGCACCAAAAATGTGAGACCGCCATTTTTGGAAGTGTGGAATGTGCAGATTTGTCTCTGATTGATTGGATGTATGTCCACCGGGCTGAGATCGACTCTACAATTCAGACCCTCCTCATCTCGCCACTATACGCGGCCATTGACATGAAATCTCGAGACACATGGATGCAGGTCCACTTCCTCCCCACATCGCGATGTATCTGATCGCCCAATGATATTGGCGAAACAGCGGGTGGCTTACGATCCAGGGGTCTCAATACCCGAATAAGTGCATATGCAAGATACATCATACGTACGTATTTGAGAGGGCTATTCAACAGTTGCATCATTGGCCGATAACCAAGTAAACCACATCCCCTGAGCTCGAATGAGATCCGAGGCAAGTCGGCTGATGTAAGGAAGCTACGGTAAGGGGCAAATGCGACAAGGCAGTAAGTCACGTGCGCGTTCCGAGGTTACTCCGAACCATATATAGCCTCATTGTCTCAGGTACGTAGTTACCCACGTACGCATTCAGCAAGCGTTTTCTTCAATCTATAGCTCTATCAGATAGGTGCCACCGTATCATCCTTCCCATGAAGCACCACCACTCTGCCCCGCGGAATGTGAGCTCGTTGCTCTCACTTGTGCCGAGGATACGGAGCGATAGTATCGTCTGACAACAAACTCCCCATTCCCATGCTGACACAGCGAGAACATGAATCCCATTTGATCCTGGGTAACACTCTCAGAAACAATCATTGGTTTCTGCGTAATGGCTTCCTGTCTCTCAACTTCTTCCATGTGGCGCTCGAGACGATCTCGGGAGAACGGCGGCATATTAAATACCGGTCTTTCCTGTCTGCTGCAAAAGTCCGGCGTCTTGAAGTCCATTACTGGAGATACAGCGTTGACATTGCGAATCTCAGACGCGTGATTCTGGCCCGTCTGTAAACTTAGATAGCCTCCGATGCGCGCGGCACGGACTGATCTGCTACTCAATACCACCTCTGACAAAATGGCAACCCGAGACACCCAGGTTCTCACTAAATCCCAATACAATCATCAATCGTAATCTCCTGCAATGCTGGTTAAAGAGAGTCAGTCAAATGCTGATGATAAACTCGGAGGATAATCCATATTCATTTTCGGCCCTCACATATATTCCTCAGTCCTCTGCACTGATGCATGCCATCCAATCGCTGAGCGCCAACCACGAACAATATTTCCCCGCATGTGCGCCGATCATAGCCCTTGAGGAACGGGGTAAAGGGTAAAGCTCTATCATTTTTTTCGGGAGGAGAAGACCAGTGTGCGAATCGGCATTCAACACATGTTGTCTAACCGTTGTGCTGCCGGCATTAGCGCATGGGCGCGGAACGGGACATGAACGATTATGGCAAGGAGCATTTGTTCGCTGCTCGAAACTTGATCAACATGATGCTTCAGAATACTTCTTCTATGGCCGATGAATCTCTATTTCGGTTCTGTCTTGGGATGTATCTTTACAGGGGTGCGTGCGTGTTGTTCATTCTTGGTACATTCCGCCGAGAATCTGCATCTCGGTTCATTGAAGATGTTCATTGCGATTCAATGGATGGGGGACTGACATCACCGATGTACGGACTGTGTACCGGACTTCTTTTCATATTGGGGAATGTTGGCCGATATTGTGGGCAGGTTGTCTCTCACAGGAATCGATATTGGAATCGCAACGTTGCAGTTGGAAGGTGGATTCTCCAAATAGTGGCTTGGGGCATTTATATGGAGCTCCTGTAAGACCATTCTCATTTCACGAATCTAACTTTATGTACCAAGCCGGGGGGGGAGGGGGGGGGTTGGTACATTAGTATGCTGAAGGGACTGTCCGCCGCCTCATGCAGATTGCCACAACGTCCAATTGTCTCAATTTCCAACCCCTCCCTCTTTTCTCTGCAGGATCTGAATCGTCTGGATCGAAGAATCCACTGCCAGATCAAGTTGCAATACTAGCTACAAAAAGATTGGCTTTTACTCCTAGGATGATCTATACCATATCCAATTCCCGATCATACTAAGTGAAGTATTATATACCCAGACCCCAATAATATCCTATGCATAACATTGCAGAAAGACAACTTAGAAACCATGGTCAACCGCATCTCTACCACATACATACAATCTACGCCCTCGAGTCAACCCTCATCCCCTCCAAAACCCCAACAACCCTCTCACAACTCCAGCCCTCCTCCAATCCCCTAACAAGAACATCCTGCTCACTCCCCGGCGCCATACCCCCAGGCTGAGGCGGCCTCTTGTCAAGATTAGTAGGAAATGGATATCCCTCCCCAACAGCCATAACAAGCGCCCTAACCTCCCTCCGCGCCTCCGACCAAAAACCAGGATCAAGATTGCCGCCAGCAATTCCCCCAGCAGCCTCATACATCCTAATCAAATCCCCCCAAACAGCCCTCACAACAGCCAAAGAATCCACACTCTCCATGGGTTTCCCAAAAGCAGAACTAACCTGCAAGAGATTAGCCACACGCCTGAAACCCGTTTCTGGACTCATAACATTCTCCCCAGCGGCATGAAACAGCGCCGGATTGAAAAAGACACCATCGCCAAGCTCCAACGGCGCAGAAACATATTCCTCCAGGAAATAAGACCTGAACTCAGCAAGTCGCCACGCCATAAAGCCCGCCCCGTACGTCTGAGAATACGGCAAGAACCTCGTCGGGCCCGATTCAACCGGCATATCGGAATGCGCCACCGCACCCTGCAACGTCAAGAATTGACTAGCGATTTGCATAGCGGCCGGGAAGCGAGCTGTGGACTCCGCCTCCTGGAATCCGAGATGATAATCGCGGTGCGAGTCCTGCGCTGCGCCGCCTGGATGCACTGCATTCAACTGGGCTGTTATGCGGTAGTTTGGGCCGAGCCAGGATTCCGAGACGGCGTTCAGGTAGGGGTTTGAGTAGTAGTCTGCGAAGGAGGTTGGATCTGTTGTGGCGTGTTTTTGGAAGGAGTTCCAGATTCGATCGTTTGTTCCTCCTGCTGCAAAGTGGTCGCCCTTTGTCATTGAGTTGTTGGCTTTTTCGGTGGCGATTATTTTGTCAAAGGCGGAGTTGGTGGACTGGAAGGTTTTGGCGTATTTGGATGCTGGGTACATCCCTTTTAGGATGTAGACTCCTGGTCCGGTGTGTAGGCATTTGTACCATTCATCCTGTAGGGCGGCGAGGTTGGATTTTGTTTTTGTTGCTCCTGTTGATTCTAGGGATTGGAGGTTGTAGATTGGGATGTTGGAGGTTATGGTGCTTGATAGTGGGTAGTCTGCTTGGTTTGTGGTTTGGGAGCAGATTTGTTTGAACTCTGAGAGGTTGGGTGTGGAGGTGGTGTAGAGACGGGAAGACATGGTTTCTTTGGTCAGGTTGCCTTGATGAATGGGTATAAATTATGCAGAGATGGAGTATCTTAAGTATCTTCTCGGCGGAAACCAATGTCCTTCGGCTCCCCGCATTTTCGGGTCAGAACCGCTCTGACGATACTTGGATATTGGGTGCGGGATTGGGTTTCCGAAGGTACAACTGGATAACTACGGAGTTCATGTAACGAGCTACGCCAAATCAGGCTCAAATCAAATTATAGACCTAGATGGGTATCACAGCTATGAAGCAGCATAAGTACAGAATACCGTTGAAGAACGCAAAGGTCAAGCAAAGCGCTAGAAAACGCCCAATTGGTCTGGAAGAAATGCATAAATAGAAAAGCTCCGTGTCCAAGCAAAAAGAAGAAAAAGAATCCAATATCCCCACGCAAATCTATGCTCGGTGTCATAAGTCAACCGTCTTTTTAGGAAAAGCAGAAAACAGAAAATGAAAAGACTTCGTAAGCGTGACTGTGGTATTTCATGCATTCATCATGACTCCGAGATCCGATTTGAGAACGGGTTCGGAGGGGCGTTGGTCCGTGGCCTCGCTGAGGATAAGTTGGTGCTCGGACATCGTCTCGACCAGTGCGCTGGGTCGGCCCGTGACGGTAAAGAGAACTTTCAGTAGGAGGGTTGGACCTCCGTTGAGACCGCCCTGGGGCTGGCGACGGGTGTGGGTGAGTAAGACGCGGACCAGGTCGCGGATGGCGCTATCTGTGGCCGCGTCATGGATGGCATCTAGGCCATCGATGATGAAGACGAGGAGAGGTGGGGCGGATTGGAGGAGCGTGTCGACGAGCGACAGCGCTGCTTTCCAGCTCGTGAGGGTTCCGTCTAGTTGGCGGAATCGCTCTGCGCTGAGGTCTAGCACGGCGTCGCTGTCTACCACTGGGGGAAGCCAGTCGATCAACTGTCGGATCACGCTGTAGGTGAGGGCGACTAGCCCCTGCTGCTGGAGACTGAGTCCTTTGACCTCTTGGGTGGGCAAGGCACAGAAGTGAGAGACCACAGGTAATCGCGCTTGACGGGCGAACGATGCGTAGCAGGCTGAGATCAGAGCGACCGGGTTGTTGGACGAAGGAGGCTGGGTTCCGCCCACTGCCAGGGCTTGAGACCGTGGACTAGTAGCCCATTGCTGAAGAGAAGCGACAACGCTTCCTTCGGCGACCACTTTGACATCTGGCTCATAGTCGCAGATTTGATCATCGCTGTCGAAGAAATCCTGCAGATGTTTGGAGGAACTTTGAATCTCGAGTCGTGCTAGACGACGCTTGGATCCCCTGGACCATTCAAAGGATGATGTGTCTGGAGATGTCAGCATGGATCGACCCATAGATGCAGGGTTCTTACCAATATTAGGCGCAGGGGGCGTGGTCATGCAGACAATGCCAGTGCTCTGTTCGCTGACGGGCTCTAGTTGCTCGCGCACCGAGCTCAACGTCTCTGCCAATAACCGATCCCGACCCTCCCGATACCGGGCACGTTCCTCTGCATCCTGTTGAATCTCCCACAAGAGTCGCCGGGTGATGGTGTTCTGGGCAGCAATCCGACGCTCCGTTCCTCGGCGCCCGACTTGGCTCAGTCGGGCTTCCTCCCACAGCGCCCGGGCACTATACGTATCCGAGTCTTCCTCTTCCATGTCGGTATCCTCGTGCTGCCAGGGAAGGCTTTGGGCCTGGCGTTGTGTGAAGATGATCAAGTGGTGAAATTCCGAGTAGACATCTTGGCTATGGATGTTCAGTAGTTGGCACGTAGACCGTCGAACATACCAGTCCATGAACTCGGTCAGAAAGAAGAATATTAAAGTGTAAGTTTTCGCGATCGGTTCCACGGCATTTTGAAGTGAGCTGGGATCGGGTTGGCCGATTGCGTCGTGGATGTTCAGTAGAGCAGTGGCTAGGCCCTCCATCACTCGCGGGTAGTGTGAGGATGCCTGACTATGTTAGCTACGCAACTGTCTGGAAACGCTATCTACACACCTTGATCGCCGACTGTAGTACGCCATATAGCAAAGGGGTATAGTAAGACTGGGAGTCGGGGACGGTGGCAAGGAGAGTCGCGTGGGTGTCTATGGTCGGTAGGAGTCGATCGCACAAGTCCATGGAGTCGCTAAAGACTCTATTCCGTGGTCGCGATTGCCAAAAAGTCTTAATATTTTCCAACAGAGTCTGTACATCTTGTCCGGTCTGTGGTCGCTCCTCAAACTCGACTTGGTCTTGTGGGACGAGTAAGCTGATGAAGCGTTTCCAGGTGTGAGCCAACTCGTTCCGTTCGATGTCTAGTTCGGCGATAGCGGGAATCCTGACGGGGTCAGCCAATAGTCAAGGACAGGGATGGAGATCTTACGGAGAGACTGGTTTCGCATCATAACGCTGAAGCCAACTCATGGCGGGCATTTCAAAGGAGTGGAGAGAGGAAGAAGGGGAAGCTAAAAAAGAATCTATTAATACGGAGAACTGGGCCGGGATTTTTCCCTCCTTTTTTGCAAAGGCCGAGACTGGTCTATGACAAAATAGGGATATGATCTCTAAGTGTTTTAGTATCTAAGTATACTTCTAGTATAGATAGATAGTATACCGCATAACGTCCAAGTATATAGTATATAGTATATAGATATAGTATATAGTATCTTATGATCAAGCGTGTCGAGTAGAATAGATTTAGGCGGGTCTCCCCAGCCCCCCAGGGTGTTCGTTTTAGATAAAGTTTGGTTTCGTTGCTTTTTCTTTTTCTCTTCTTCTGTCACTTTCTTTTAATTGTGTGTTTTGGTACGTCTTTTGTTTGGTTCGAATCGGGGGACCACTGTAGATTAAATGTCTCGGGGGAACAGGGCGGCTAAACGGGCAAGTTGCGCGGAGAAATACGAGAGCGATTTGCAAGATGTCATAACCCCAGGTCGATCGGTCGGGATTCTTGCTGCTTCAGACCAAGTTTCACTTGAAATACGACGGGGTATGGCGATCGTGTTGATCACGTTGCGGTCTACAGGGTCCAATGCAGAAGTAAAGTCTAGAGGTAGCCAAACAAAGTAACGTTAAAAATAGGAGACCATTATTCAGTTCCCCTACTCCGTACAGTTTTCTCGTAAACTCTTATCGTCATCTCCACCGATCGGCCCTAGTCCCCTCATTTTCCGGTTTTCCTTTATGCACCTGGGGGCCTCCACTTCTCTCTTCCCTTAATCCCCCCCCCCCACACGCAATGGGGCTACTTTTCCTCTTTCTCCTGTTCATCTCTGTTCAGGCTGATGTGGTAGTACTTCCTTCTAACCTCACTGATCTGATTCAAGTTCAATCCAAGGGTTTTCGTCTTCAGGGCTCCAATCTCACTCAACGAGTTGCCCCGTTAACCGAGGCCCTCGCTGGAGCGACCAGCGCCCACCTACAGGTCGGTCCAATGGGTCTAGGGCTACATCTGCATTGCTGACATTTGCCAGTCGTTCAATCAGTCTGGCACTGCCACCCAAGTCAAACCGGGCAATTCCATCTCGCTGACTGATTCTGATATCGCCTGTATCTCTTGTGATCCCGACGACTACCCCGGCTTCTACACCTTGGACGAGACAGTGAAGACTGTCCTCACTGCTTCTTCTTTGCCTGCTGCCGTGCTGTTGTACACCCACTATTCATCGCACTGTAACTTTACAGCCGATGATCAAACCACCGCCCGGTACAACAATATCTTCACCCTTACAGGCCCAGGTGCTTGGCTGGCGCTGCAACGGACTTTCACAGAAGCATCCCCAACCATTGCCATTGTCTCAATGTCGTTAATGACCAATGTGCCGACCGATACCGGTGACTCCGGGAATTCCGGCGACAGTCCTAACACTGGTATGTTGAGAGGGGTGATGGAGCGATCAATCGCTAACATTCTTTAGCCATGATCATTCTGTACAGTATTACCGGTATCATCACCGCGCTCTTCCTGGGAATTATCATCACCGGTGCCGTCCGGGCCCATCGACACCCAGAACGCTATGGACCTCGTCGTATCGCCGGACGAGTACGGCAAAGTCGAGCTCGAGGTATAGCCCGAGCCATGTTGGACACGATTCCCGTCGTCAAATTCGGTGATGACAATGACGAAATCGCTGCCGCCAAGCGGGACGTTGAGATGTCTGCTAATCCCGATGATCCCGCCCGCGAGCACTCCCCCCGCGCGATGGGGTCACTGGACACTCGACGCCGACCGAGTCGGAACTTCCCACTCCAGTCGAGGATGCACCAATTGCCGCCTCGGAGAAGACCGAGACGCCAGAAACAGGCAATTTCTCGTGTCCGATCTGCACCGACGACTTTATCAAGGGCCAAGATCTACGTGTCTTACCCTGTAACCACCAATTCCACATGGAATGCATTGACCCCTGGCTGATGAATGTCTCCGGCACCTGTCCTCTCTGGTGAGTCCCCCACCCCGTCCCCCATACATCCACCATCCACCATCTATATCAAAGCTCCAGACTAACAATATCAGCCGCATCGATCTCAACCCACCCAAAGAGGAAACCGAAGAAACCGAAGAAACAGGTGAACGCCAAGAACCAGAACCACCAGCCAACCAAGAAACCCAAGCAAGCCGCCACACACACCGCCGCCTAACAAACTACCTGCACGGCCCCCTCAATGCCCGCCGCATGCGCGACGCCACGGTGGAAGAGCGCCTCGCCGCCCTCCGCCGCGTCCGCGAAGCAAACCAAGACCAAGACCAGGCCGAGCCAACCCCCGAAGGAACCCGCCGCCGCCTGACGACCCGCCTGCGCGATCGCTTCCGCATCCGCACGCGCGCTCACGGCGAGTCGGAGGAGACTCAGACTCACACGCCTATTAGTGAGGAGGCGGAGGCTGGGCCCTCGATGCCTGCTGCTCCTGCGGCTGCTCATACGTCATCTTGATCTGATCGCTGATTGGAGGTGACTTGATTCCCTTTTTGCGTTCTTATACATATCACTCCTTTACGGTTGCACATATTCTGTTATGATAATGCCCTCGGTTTGGAGGCTAGGCGTTTTTTTTTTTTTTTTTTTTTTTTTTTTGATTCTCCTGTTTATGTTATGTTTTGGCTACCATGTGTGGGAATTGGCACGGCGTTCCTGCGGAAAAGAGGATCTGTGATTTATTTCTCTTCTCTTCTTCTCTTCCTTGCATATACATGCATGTTTTGGTGGGACTTGTATATTTGGGATTTAGCTTCAGCTGTAGATCACATATATATTTCAATTTGACTGGATATGGATGTACAGCACTGCCTGAAAGCGAAAGCGAAAGTCAAAAGTCAAGGTGCGTCGATCAAGTCTAGACCGAGTATATGTCATCGATCACGGCTACCTTCACATGAACATCATGGCCCCTGTACCCCATTGGCGTATAGCGTATAGCGTACGACATATGTTTATCCAGCCCTATGGATAGAGATAGGCTGTGCAGGTAGGTCAGCAGGCCTCCAGCCAAGATAGGTTGAGACACGAACTAAAACCATGGACCCGACGTATATGAACGGATAGACTGTACCAAGAGTACTGGACCTGGGCATTGTTCATATGACGAAATACGAACAAAGGCATTACTAACAAGAACCTATTAAATCATTGACTGCGGATCATCTCCGGGGTCATTGAATGGTAAGATCGCCAGGAACAAGTTGGGGTAGGTGGCTTTCCCTACACTCGGACTGCCACCTGCCCGATTGCATCCGCGGCTGGCTGTATTTGTTTGATGTCTGGTTTGAGTATGAGGGATATATGCACTTCCACTTCCACTTCCACTTCCACTTCCACTTCCACTTCCGGTTTTCCATTTGTTTCTTCAACGGCCGAGTAAAGTAGATCAAATAGACTGTTATTCTTGTATATGTCCTGTGCGTTATAGTTCTTCTCATCTACTCACATGCAATCTATACATCATCCCATCCGCAGTACATCATACCACTGAATCGTAAATATTCCGGAAATACCCAGCCGGTGTGGAGAACGGCTGGAGTCGGACCAAGTCCGCCTTAATCGTTTCTCCGTGTCTTTGCCTTTCGGTTCCCTTTCCTTGTGCCTTCTCCGGGTCTTGGCCTGGTCTCGTGTCGGGTGTTCTCCTCCGTGTGGGGGTGCTTGGAATTACTATTCCCGGCGATGAGTTGGGTGTTGACTCCGCAGCTAACATCCCCCTCCTTACACTTACATCGTGACTTGGCACGAGGGTCCTTTGTCAGTTTGATGAGGAGAAGATTTCCATGCCAATGTACCTCTTTACTGATATTATCCGGTGGCATGTATCCCCTGGCCCGAGACCATGCGCTGCGTTCCAGTCTCCACAGTGCGTTCTTTTTCGGCGTATGACACACGGTCGGCGTGTGTGGCCTGTCAGAGGATTGTAGCACGTAGCCTATTCTATTATCTTGTGTGCGTGTGCGTGGGTATAGGTAGATGGGTATGGGTAAGGCCTTTATACTTGACGGCTACACTTGCCTAGCATGTGAACTCGGGAGGGAGATTACGGGTTCCTCGGTATGTTGAGACCGAGGGTAGATAAAGTCGAAGAGAACAGAGATATATAGCGTTCGTTGGACATCCTGCTGTAGAACCCCTGTGCCTATATTCTCTTCTACTTGGGACGCTGACAATCACTTGATTCCCCACCCCCTCATTCGGTGACCGCAAGCAGGTAAATCCCGTTTCGGTGTCAGATTCCGGGGAAATTACCCTTACGGCCGTTCCTATTTAACAACATGTCTTCCTCGTCTCCCCACGACCGTCTCTCCTCCATCTCCTCACACATCATGGGTTCCTCCAATCCGTCAGTATTCACCGCAGCCACTGTGGCTGCGGCGCCAGAAGATCCTCTGTTTGGTCTGATGAAGGCCTATCGCGAGGACCCCTCCGATAAGAAGGTCGATCTGGGCATCGGTGCCTACCGTGACAACAACGCAAAGCCCTGGATTCTGCCTGTCGTCAAGAAGGCCGACAATGCCATCCACAATGACCCCAGTCTCAACCATGAATACCTCTCCATTGGAGGTCTGGCCGAGTTCACTTCTGCCGCCCAGAAGCTGATTGTCGGTGCCGACAGCCCTGCGATCAAAGAGAAGCGAGTACGACCAGTCCCCAGCCCTCCAACCCCCAAACCTGCCAAACTGACAAATTCAAACTAGATCTGCTCCCTCCAAACCATCTCAGGAACAGGCGCCGTCCACCTAGGAGGCCTCTTCCTCTCGAAATTCCACCCCAAAAAGCCAACAATCTACCTGTCAAACCCAACATGGGCAAACCACAACCAAATCTTCACCAACGTAAACCTCAACATCGAAAAATACCCTTACTTCCACGCCTCAACCAAAGGCCTCGACTTCGAAGGCATGATGTCAACCCTCAACACCGCGCCCAATGGCTCAATCATTCTCCTCCACGCCTGCGCCCACAACCCAACAGGCGTCGACCCAACCCAAGACCAATGGAAAGAAATCGCCTCGGTGATGCGCGCCCGCTCCCACTTCCCCTTCTTCGACACAGCCTACCAAGGCTTCGCATCAGGCGATCTATCCCGCGACGCCTGGGCAATCCGCTACTTCGTCTCGCAGGGCTTCGAGCTGTGCGTAGCGCAATCCTTCGCAAAGAACTTCGGCCTGTACGGCGAGCGCACGGGTGCCTTCCATTTCGTTTCGGCGCCTGGCGCTGATGCGTCCGCTGCTTCGGCCAACATCGCTTCCCAGCTTGCGATCTTGCAGCGCTCCGAGATCTCAAACCCGCCTGCGTACGGGGCCCGCATTGCCAGTCGTGTCCTTAATGATCCCACACTCTTTGCGGAGTGGGAGGATGATTTGCGCACTATGAGTGGGCGGATTCTGGAGATGAGGGCTGGGTTGAGGGAGCGTCTTGAGAAGCGGGGGACGCCTGGTGATTGGAGTCATATTACTTCGCAGATTGGCATGTTCAGTTTCACTGGCCTAACCGAGGCGCAGGTGATGACGCTCCGTCAGCAGTGGCATGTTTACATGACTAAGAATGGGCGTATATCGATGGCTGGCCTTAATACTCATAATATTGATTATTTCGCTGAGGCGGTGGATAGTGTTGTCCGGGGGTGATTTGATATCTGTGGATTGATACTCATACTCATACTGATACTGATACTGATACCTTTTGCTGGGTTCGGGTTAGACCGTGAGCTAGGCGTTATTCTTTTTTGATTTACCATGCAATTTGACGTTTTCTTCCTTATGGATCTGTGGGTCCGGTTATGCATGCCATACAGTATGGCATGCATATGTCACATGTGAAGATAGAGACACGATTGCAGACTACAGTCTTTCTTCCATGAGATCTCATAGAAAGTCCCCTGCCCCCTAGCCCAGAAATGTACATATACTTTATAATCGACATGGCATGAAATGCCCACTGTTATTCCCACTGTTATTCCCACTGCTATTCCCACTGCTATTTCCACTGCTATTTCCACTGCTATTTCCACTGCTATTTCCACTGCTATTGCTATGCGATTGCTGTACTGCTCAATGATCAAAAGACCAGATCCCAAACAACAAGCCAAGTACACAACCCAACAGTTCCCCAAAATACAGCCTGCGCCGTACTCCGCCGCTCAGTAGCACGCTTCAGCTCCCGATTTCCCTGCCCGACATTCGTCTGCGTCGTATCAACATCCGAAACAAGCTGTGTAATATATTCTTCCTGCGTAGCAAGATGCGTAACGAGAGTCTCTTGCAGAGAAGAGATTTCAAGGAGTGATTTCTCTGCATTTCTGCGTAGAACAACGTTAGCACCAAAACACAACACTGCAGGTAAAAGGGCATGGGAGAAACATACTGCACCTTCCCCAACGTATCCTCATAATGCCTCAACATAGAATCATTCTCCTCAGCAAAGAGCTGCAACTGCTCCGGCGAAAGCTGAGCCTCGATGCGCGCCGTATCCGCTTCACTAAGCGTGCTGGCGTCAGGCGCAGTGAAAGAAGAATCGAATGCCCCAGAAGAACCACTACCACCACCACCACCATATGCCCCCGTCTTCTCACTCCCCCTCCCACCAGCAGTTCCACCAGCACTCCCAACATCCCTCCCAGCAGCAACCTTATAAAGAACACTCTTCTCCCTCTCCCTAACCCTCTCAATTCTCTTCTCAACAAGACCCCGCTGAACACCAACAACACCCTCAAGCCCCCTCCGAAGGAACCACAGCACGCCCTCGCGCACCGTCTTCAGCGCGCGCGCCTTCTCCTCGGCCGTGATCTGTTCGGCGGATTTACCGCCCTGAGAGCTACTTTCGTCGGTGACGCCCGCTCCGCCCGCCCAGCGGAAGAGGAGCGCACTTGCGCTGCTGTGCCCGTATTTCTTGTGTAGGAGGGTTTGTTCGGTTTCTTGGCGGAGGGTTTCCGCACTTGAGAGGTTGTTGAGGGAGTTTGCTAGGTCGCGGAGGAGGAGGGAGGTTTGTGTGTCTATGTTGTCGCGTTCTGGATCTGTTAGGGTTTGGGTTGTTGGGAGGGTAGTATGGGTGTTTCGTGGTGGTGATTTGGTGGTTGGTGGGTTGGTGTTGGCATTGCGGCGGTTTGGGGTTGTTGAGAGGTAGGGGTGTCGGATTGTTTGGAGGTAGGCTAGGAGGGATGTTATGTGGTGGTTCTGGGTGGGTTGTTAGTTTTGTTGCTGTCGGATTGGGCTTGGGGTTGGGGTTGGTTGCGCTTCGCTGACTTACGATTCTGTAGGCCTCTTTTAGGAATTCGTCTGCTGTTCTGGTTGTGGCCTTTGTGTGTGTCGAGGAGCCATGCTTGGATAGGAGGCTGCTGAAGGTGGGCGTTAGGTCGGTCATTGTTGGTGATGTGGTCTGTAGATGAAGCTCAATCAACATTCAACGTCACTGTGCGCGGTTGGTCCGTGCGGCGTCCTGCATTTTATAGAGAATACCTACGGGGCACTGATTCTTGACTGCCACTTGCATTGTACTTGTTTTCTTTCACTGCTCTCATTATTCTTCTCTTATGCTATTCTCTCACACACCCCTCGCAATGGCCGTAAAACCACACTCACTACGAGTCTTCTCCGCAGGTCCAAATGGCGGCAATCCCCTTCGAGTCATACTAGATGCGCAAAACATGTCGAACAAGGACATGCAAGCACTAGCCAAAAGCCAAGGCTACGAGTGCTGCTTTATATTTCCAGCACCAATGGACTCTAGATACGACTATGCGTTCCGCTATTATGCTCCGGACCAGGAAATGGAGATGTGTGGCCACGCAACTGTAGGAGCAGTTTGGCTACTGTCGAAGCTTGGCATGTTGTTGAAGGACAATCTACGGATCTCGACTAAGAGTGGTATTGTCGAAGCTACAGTCTCGCGGGTGTCTGGAGAGGAAGACGAAGGGATATGGGTTGAAGTATCCCAACCATCAGTGAAGATGCTAGAAAAGGTTGAACGACAAGACCATATCGATGAGATATTATCCGTCTTGGGAATCTCGAGTGATGACCTCGTTCCGGGGTTGTCGATTCAAAATGCAGCAACAAGTAGAGTGAAGACGCTCGTTCCGATCAAGTCTGTTGCAGCTTTGAACGGCCTTGCACCACAATTCGACCGTGTTCAATCCCTATGTGATACTCTTGGTAGCACTGGTCTATATCCATACGCTGTATCGGGCTTGGAGGACCAAATATTCGAGGCGAGGCAGTTCCCTAGGGGGGCTGGGTATCAAGAGGATGCGGCGACGGGGATTGCGGCGTCGGCTTTGGCATTTGGGCTATTGGAAAATGGGCTCGTGGTTGATTTTGAGGAGACTGTCGAAGTGAAGCAGGGTTTTGCTATGGAATGCCCCTCTGAGATTAGTGTTCGGTTCAGAGAGACTGGTGGTGATATTGTTGGATGTTGGATCGGGGGTTCTGCTGTCTCAGATGTATGAAATGACGTCTGGACAGGCTGGATTGTAACATGGCCATGATTCCATTCTGCCATATTGATAGCCATTTTGGGCAGTTTGAAATCAGCGCTCCATCGGTTTAGAGGTACTTTTGTTTATCCATGGCCGTCACAAGCACGTCCATTGGAAATGATGTATAATGAGACTCGGGTCATAGCCCATCTCAGACTTTTGATATGAAACGAATAATGACATCAAAGGCTTATCTCGTATAGCCTGTAAATTCCCAAAGGTACCCTAGCTATACTTATAGCTGAGAGGGTTCATATCCTCGTAATGTGGCGGTAGCTTACCACCACGATGAATCACATGGTATAGACCACCTCAGCCCGGAAAAGTATCAACTGAAGACAACAACAAGGTAATCTCAGCTTCCAATTGGCGGAAACTATAATTATAACCTTCTGACAGGACAGGGTTCCAGTCAAGTTCCATAGCTGTAAGGATTGTGTCGCGCACACGTCACCTCACACGGCCAAGGCTACCCCTTGTATCGGGCAATATCTAACCACAGCCTTTATAAAAGACAATCAATTCCCTCTAGCTTCAACATCACTCCAGACCCCATCAAAGATCCACCAAAATGGCCCAACCATCTCGAATGCACCTCGCAGCCTCATCGACTAGGGTGCCAACTATCAACTCCACCCCAAACATGAAGCGCTCAATCACTTCATACTCCACCCGAGACGATCCTACCGGTACAAATCCAAGTACCCCAAGTCACACTTCGGACACACACCTAAATGAGCAACAACAAGTCAAAGCGACCCTCACAAACATCCTCAACGACGACCGTGTCAAGCACAACCCGAATGGCAGCCGCTGTGTCCAAAAGATACTCCTAGAAAACGAGCACGACATGAGGAAACATCGGAAACAGTCACTCAGCGCTTATGATGCAAAATGAACAATGCCATTCAACTGTACAATAGTTTTACAAAATTACCACCATTTGCTTTTCCCTCTCCAGCCCTTTGTACACGACGCTATACTCTCTTCCTTATTCGGTCTCCCGAACAGATCTCTCCAGATCGCCAATCCTCCTCTTCCCAATACCGAGCTTTTTCCGCACGTTCAATGATCTCACCCGAATGGCACGCTTGCGTCGACGTGGTGGGTAGTTAACGGGACTTTCACCACCAGTGAAAACAGCCATATCGTAGATCAAAGCTCCGAACAATGCACCGCTAATATCAGCACACCAAGGTCCCCAAACCCACCAAGCATGGTATTCACGGAAGAGTTGACCACCCCATCCAGCCATGAGAGCAACAAGTCTAGGGCCGAAATCACGGGCACAGTTGAAGCATCTACACACAGAAAAAGTCAGCCAATGTGTCCCATCCTCGTAATAGCCAAAAGAAAAGAAGAAACCCCCCCCCCCGGAAAGACATACCCGCCAGTATTATACCCCAGCGCAAGAATAATAACCGTAATCAAGATCCCCAAAATAAACGCCTGCATACCAGCTCCAGGTGGCGCATTGGTATCATCACCCAGCGCAAGAATAGCCCCGATGAGAAAAGCACTGCCAACGAACTCGGTAAAAAACGCCGAGGCAGGATGCACAAAGGACTTGGGCATAGTGATCAGCGCAGACATGGCCGCACTAGCATTCTGCGGAACCTTCGACGCAGCCGCAATTTCCACAATGGCATCGTGATAAAGTGCGTACGCGAACCCGCCCGCGGTAATCGCCCCGAGAAGCTGGGCCGCGATGTAAATTATACACTTCCGCGCGGGGAATCCTCTAAAGACAGAGAGCGAGATTGAAATTGCTGGGTTCAAGTGGCCACCGGATATACCACCAGTCGTGTAGATGGCGACCATGAAGCCGAAGCCCCAGGCTGCGCTTTGGGTTGAGTAGGAGCCTCCTTGGCCGTTTGAGGTGAAGTTTGAGAGGGTTGCGCAAATGCCTATTGTCATGGCTACTGTTGTCTGGCGGGATTGTCAGCTGCTTTCCTTCTTCTTTGGTGTGTTACGGATGTTGTTATTGGGTGGTATACTCACTCCAAGCCATTCGGCCAGTGGCTCCCGAAGATAATGCCGAATCTTAGTCCATGTATTGAAGAACCCTTGTTCATCTGTATCCTTGTTCTGTCTCACACGCGTATCACTCGCCTGCTGTTTCTGCGCGGCGCTCTTCTGGCTTGGATCTTCGCCGTGCCGTTTCATATCATCTGCGTTTTGCTTGCGGTCTTCTGGTAACGCACCGTGGCGCATACCTGGTCGCACGATGTGAGGCAATGGCTGTGCGAGAGACCATGTTGGGCCATCGTCTTCTTGGCCGTATTGTGGGTTATAGTTTTGGTATTCACCGTCTAAGTATGTGCCGTTTTGGTTTCTGCCGGCATTTGCGTTTTGTGCGTTGGAGTTTGCGAGACTGTATGATGGGTCGTTCCCTAGGCCTTCGTTTCTGCTGCCTGCTTCTTGGGTGCCATTTGGGGCTTCTTTTTCGGGTAGTTCAACGGTGTCTTTTTGGTGGTTAGCTGGGGGGTTCTCCTGGATGGATTGGTCGCGTGTGGGTATCTATAAGATTGGATTGGATGGATACTTACCCTTAACACCACCACCTCCTCCACCTCCATTTCCATACTGTGTCTCCTCCGAAGAAGCCATTTCGAAAGGTCAATGTCAGAGGTAAACGCGAATGTCAAATCTGAAACAGAGACAATGCTCCATTTAATAAATGTCCAGCTGTCAAAGCTTGTCGTCAAACCTTGGAAAGGGATGCTCCACTCTTTCGTCACCGTCGATCGTGAAAATCTTTCCAGGGTTCTTTTGTCTCGGTGAGAATTTTGCTGCGTGTTGATATTTGATAGGCCCGTGATTGGTGGCAGCTCATCCGGAAAGCTAAGATTTGTGGAATCTGCCAGCCTGTCGATCCTTCATGATGGCGAAGACCTTAGTCCGCGGTTATATCCGTGGTGGTGAAACCGAGTTATCTCCGAATGTGAATGAGTTTGGAGCTGTCTGTTTCAGACTATATACCTGCAGCCAGGGTTGTCTTTAGAGTGTTAGTTAAAAGTGTTGCATGATCTGATTTCCTAGCATTCCAGCCGTTCGAGCTATGGTGCTTATTTTCCTCTACTGCTCTCCTTGCAGCTTGACTAGAACTAGTTTCTCAATTGCAATTTCCATCCACCCAGTATGCTCCAAACCCCTGTATAGTCTCACAGTCTCGAAATCTAAGAAAATTTCGTCGCCATACCCTGGCAGTGATATCGATATCGTCATTCAACGCACAGACCACATGATTGGGCGAGGCTATCTACAGCCCCACTCGCATCGATGAACCCATGGCTGTCACCACGCCTCAACGTCAAGGGTCCTCGTAGTAGCTACGACCGGGTCAATACCAAGGTGTTGTCTAGTATCCAATATCTTTCATTCGTATCTCCATGCCACGCAAAACAGGGTATAGACAAAATCAGTATGCTAATAAAAACAGCATCAAGAACCCATATATCCAAGAGTCAGAACCAATAATCAAAAAAAAAAAAAAAAAAAAAAAAAAAAAAACCATAGCCAAATGCACCACATCAAATCATCGACCGCTCCTCAACCCATATCTGAAAGAAAGTTAGCATCCCATATTCAAAGAGGAAGTACAGTAAAACATGAACGTACCTCCATCTTCCCCATCTCACTCCCCTCCCTCCTAGCAACCTCCCTCGCAGAAGTAAACAACAAGTCCAAATCCTCCTGATCAACCATAGTTATCATATCCCCGTCATCCTGTACCTTCATCTTAAGCGGACACTTAAAGCCGAACTTCTCCCGGATACGATTCTCAAACTCCGCAAACTCAATCGACGGCCCGATCATGATATACCTTGTGTCATCCGGGGCATGGACCTTTGTGCGGAATTTCTGGATCTCCGGTCTGCGGGGGTTGGCATGGCGCGAGAAACGGGTTGGTGAGCGTGTACGTCGTTGTTGGGATGAATGATTCGGGCCGCCAGAAACGGCTGTGTTGACTAGTTCGAAGGATCCGTCGTTAAGCGTGGCTGCGTCGCATGCGTCACTGCCGTATTCTTCTTCTTCTTCTTCTATATATTGTGGTGGTTGGTGACGGGAGCCGCGGCCCCAGCCTGTGTTTGCTAGATTGCGTTGGCTTGTGTATGGATCGTACTGGTCGTGGTGTCCGTAGACTTGGTCTGGGGGGTAGGTTGCGTTTGTGTTTGTGTCGCTGAGATTTCGTCTGTGGCTGGACTGTTGGGTCCATTGGCGGGGTTCTCCGAAACCGCGCATGTTGCTTTGCTTGGAGGGTCCGCGGGGCTCTGATGCTGTGCGTGTTGTGCCTACTCGGGGTTTCTCGGTGAGTGCTTGCTCTTGACGACGGTCTAGGCTGGCGCCTGTTCGGTCTAAGTCGAGGCGTGGTGGGCGCACGCCTCGGAGGGATGATGATCGATGGTGGCCTGATGAGTGGCCTCCTGAGCCTGAAGCCGTGCTGACGGATCGGTCATCTGGTGGTGGTGTTGGTGGGAATAAGTTACGGTTTAGAGGGGGCTCGGAGTGCTGACGGGTGCGGCTGCTGAGGTTTTTGTGTACCAGATTGGTTGCAGCGTAGGATACTCCTTCACGTTCTTGAAGTGCAGCTTTATCAATCACCATTGGTTTCCATTGATGGTCTGATGATTGGTTACGATCAGATGCAGCGACCAGTCGAGCCTTGCCGAGGTAATCCTTCGTCTTGAGATTCTTGACTTTTGCTGCATTGGGACGATAGAGGATTCCGACTGGGATTGAGAATACGGTGTATCCCTATATTTGGTTAGCTGCGTAGACGGGTGACAAGAGATTCACATACATCTGCGTTCTCGCGAATTGCATCGTCAATTACATCATGGTCTGTGGTGACCTTCTCTTTCGACGCATATTCGAGATCCTGAATGCCTGGGTTCATCTGCCGTAGGTAGATATAGCAGAGGCCTCGATTGAACAAGACCTCGCACGAGAAGAGACGGAACTTCAGACCCAACTGCTCATAGTCAATTGAAGTGTTTCCCCGGAGATACAACAAGGTATCATTGAAGTTGGCCAATGCCTCTTCAAAGTCCCCGAGCAAGAAGTTGGACACGCCTTGCTGGAAGTAAGCAATCGCTAGATACCGGTCTAAGCCGACAGCACGTTGATAGCATTCTACCTGCACCGCGATGTCAGTAGCCTGGCCAGGGCCATCTTCTTCATGCACTTACCGCTTTATCGTGCTCTCCTAACGTTGCATAAATCACTCCGCAATTGAACAAGATCTTGGAAGTATCGGCGATCTGGTCAAAGAATCGCAAGGATTCCTCGAATTCTTGGTTGTCATAAGCGTCCAAGGCCTGCACCCAGGTCTCGATTTCCTACTCCGTCGTCAGCGCACAAATTCCAATTCATCACCAATGTCCATACTTGTTTGAGCGACATCGTCTCGAGTTACGAGAACATTGATTGTTTCTCCCGTGCCTAGGTTGGTATAGACGGCGAGAAGGTCTTGCACTTCTCATCCGACTCTCTAGGACACAAGGAGAATCGATGGGGTACGAGCTTGCCGGGGGTCACCGTCCGGAAGACGTCAGGAGGATCCCAGTAATATAACCGCTGGCACCAATGGCCAAGGGGTTAGTCGGTGTGACCGAAAACCTTCGCGATAAAAGGGGCCAGCCAAGAACACAGAGAGCGAAAGAGAGGAGCTGCGGGGGAGACGAGTTGGTGGGATGCGGATTGGCCGTGATACGAGGCGATATCAGAGCGGGCCTCCGAGATTGCGAAGTGAAGCCTTGGGATGTTGGAAAAAGGTATTAATAGAAAGCGAAATACCAAGCGAACAAGCGACCAGGGGTGCGCAGAGCGAGTGGCTGGTGTGATTAAAACCGCCAGTCTGGACAAGTTTGGATTAACCTCCGATCACGGTGAGGATGTGGAGGACCCAGCACATTGGATCCCAGAAGCGGATAGGCGGGTATGCAAAGGAGAGGGAAAAGTGCGAGCATCAGGGAAGCAAAACCCAAACCTCAAAGCCTGCAGAGAGGGGGCTGGAGAGGCTAGCCAAAGCGAGGGAAGAGCGACAAAAATAACCCGTGCACCTGCAGCATTTATGCATGATTGGAGCAATGAGAAGGCCGGACGAGGCATTTCGTGATACTGCCCTGTGAGTGGAGGTTGACGTGCATATCCAGTGGACTGATCGCTCTCAAGTTTGGATTGGACTTTTCTCTGGACCCTGACAACCAAATAGTACAGAGTGCGGGGATACAGAATCGTGGAATCTGGTCTGTCGCATCTTAGCTGTTGCGATCATTGATCATTGGTGCGTGGCCCCTGTCACTCGGTCTTCATTCCCCGCCACGGCGCTTGTAGTGCTTTATTTAGAGCTGAGGGTCCGAGGGTATCTCCCAACATTTCGCTTGGGATGCCTGAAAAGGAAGATGAAAGATCGAATGGTGGACAATGAGAGATGATGAGGGAAGGTTGGAAGAGGGGACGATCGAGGTCCACAAAGCTACATATCTGCTAACAGTAGATGCATGCACCTTTTTTAGTCTCGCGTTATTTTGGGATTTATTATCAATGACGCAGGATGATAGAATATAGTAGAGTAAACTGGGGTTTCCAAAGATTTAAAAATATGTATGGAGGTATACCAGTATGTAAAGTGTGTAGGACCATTGACTTCGTGGTATAGTAGTATCACTATGCTCATGGCATGGTATAAGTGCAAGCTCACTGAAATATGAGAGCAGATTAATGTGATGCGCCATTTACACATGGCAAACCCTGCCAAAAGATCTATTTATATCAAGCCTTCGCTAGATCGGTCTTGACGTGAACATATGCTTGGTAGTCCAAGGCCCACTCAGGCGCTTATTACCCTTGTCGGCCCACGTGTGCTAGAAATAGCATATTGACATGTTCCACATGGCTTCTCGGAAAGGGCTACAGGGAATTCACACAAGTACAGTCCAAAAGTTAGCCGGGAAACCGGCCGGATTTGATTCAACGCTGAGAATGACTATGTAGATCGAAACAGGGGATATTCTTTATTTACAGCTTGGCAACCATCTTGTTGCCCTTCTGGAGCAGAGCAGCGGCATCCGTGACGAGCTCATCGACGATGGCCTTGGCGGACTTCTTCTCGTTGACAACGGCAGCGACCTTGCCCATCAGGAAAGGACGGGCGTTATCAAGAGTGTCGTCGTCAACGTCATCGGGCAGGTTCTCCATGTCGTGCTCGACGGGGATGACACCCTTGGAGGTGAGCTGCTTAATCTCCTCGTGACGGTTCTCCTCCCAGTTGAGGATGTAAGGGTTCTTGCGAACACGGAGGGGACGACCCTATTATATCGGTTAGTGATCATACCAAATACAGAGAAGGAGTCTAACATACAGTGAAGATGATAGTACGGATGTTGTCCTCGAAGCCAGAGGTGCGAACAGCCTCCTGGTGAGCCTTGGGGGCACCGGCCTCATCAGACAAGATGAAGCGAGTACCGACCCAGACAGCAGAGGCACCGAGCATGAGAGCAGCAGCAACAGAGTTACCGTTGAACAGACCACCGGCGGCGATGACCTGCACGGGCTGGCCGGTCAGAGGGCTCTTCTTGCCCTGGACCAGCTTGGCAACAGTGGGGATGAGGACGGTGGTCGGGACATCACCAGTGTGGCCGCCACCCTCACCACCCTGAGCACAGATGATATCGACGCCGACGTCCAAGCACTTGGCAACGTGCTTGGGGTGACCGATCATGTTCATGCAGAGGATACCGGCACTGTGGAGCTTCTCGACAACGGCCTTGGGGGGAACACCGACGGCAGAGACGAACAAGCTAGCCTTCTCGGCGATAATGATATCAACGAGCTCGCCGAGCTTGCCCTTGGTGTAGTCGTAGCTATTGAAAGACACGTGGTTAGCCCTATGTCGACAACAAAGGACCGTGGTAGCCGATCGGGGAGTATTCTTACTTGGTCTTACGGGCACTGCCGCCGACCTGGGGGAGAAGAAGGTCGACACCGAAGGGGGCGTTCTTGTCGGTCAGGTAGCTTTTCAGCTCGGTAATCTGCTCGCGAAGCATATCGGGGGTGTAGCCGACACCACCGATTACACCAAGACCACCGGCGTTGGTGACAGCGGCGGCCAGCTTGGGGCCTGCTGCCACGTTCATGCCTGCCAGCAAGACAGGGTGGTTGATCTTGAGAAGATCGGTGATCGGGGTACGGATGACCTCTGTTTGGTAGACATGTTAGCAGTTGTCAAACGTTCGGTAACAGCGGGGGTGACATCGGTGGAAACAGGTCACATGTGAGGATGTGTTCACGATGTCAAGATCAAGGGGAACAGTATTGAAGATATCACTTACGAGGAGAAGCCATGATGTCAAATGTGTCAAAGAGATAATGCAGAAATAAAATCTGGGGAAGAGGAGAAGCAGGGAGCCACCCTATAAACCAAAGCAGCCTCGGCGCTTCACAGACTCGCGATGAGCCTCGGTCCATGACTTGACCGAGCTTAGTCACGGATGCTACCCCGGCAGCGGGGTTGGATCACGTGCTGACATGTTTGCTACTATATTTTTTAATGAAATGAATTATGTGTTGAGAAATCATATATTTTCTTTGTTGATCCTTGATCTCAGTTTCATAACTCACCCTTGGACCATCAAAATTCGTAGATAGTGTAATCAACATCGCCTGCCGAATTGTATACCGAGGAGTGATTCGAATATCTGCTACGAGACATGAATAGCTTGGCGTCTTGAGGGTTTCTAAAAATGCTGGTTTTGCCCCAGGGTTCATCTATTGAGAAGCCATCAAGTGTCATTAGACATGCAGATCTAGCCTGTCTCATGTGTTGGTCTGTCATGAGTATAAGACTGTAGATCTTAGGGCTTATAGACCAGCCAATTTACGAGTCAGATAATGCGTATCTCGAAAAGAAAAAAAGACGTATTGACATTGTTCAAAAATCTGTCTATATCTATGTCTATATCCAAGTAAGAAATGAAACGTAGCACGTAGCACAACGCTGTTCAACACAATCAAGTCATGTATATTGTTCTGCAAAAATAGAATACCAACATTTCCACCGGCCTGCCGTTGTTTAAAAGAACAAATTTTTTAACCCAAAGTAAGAGTGAAGCCTGCGTCAAGAGAGCAGGAGTTGGTGTTCACATCATCGGGCTTCTGGTAAGCCTCCTTGCAGTTTGCGTCGCCAGCGGCGCAGCTAACGGAGGTGCAGCTCGAATCACTGGGCTGCACATTGAATCCAGACTTGACAAAGTCAGAAGTCGAGTCAAGATCGATGGAGGACATATCCCAGTAGATAGTGCTGCCATCCTGGGTGTACTCGAACTGGAGGACGCTGTCCTCGCTCTCGGTAGTGGACATCTTGATGGAGATGCCACCGCCGTCGGAGTTGGTGGCCCACTTCTCGCTGTAGTCACCGCCTCCAGAGCTGATTGTCTGCATGGAGCCGGGGTTGTTGTCAGTGCTCCACAGGTACACGTTGGTGTCCATGTTGTTGACGATCTGGACACCACCGCCGGAGCTGCGAGCCTCGACGTTGGACTCGGCGTCACGGGTCCAGTGGGGCTGGGGAAGGGCGACGGCAGTAGCTGCCAGGAGGCCAGTCATGAAGACGTTGAAAGTCATATTGCAGGATTGCAAAAGTGAATGGAATTGGTGGAAAAGAATAGTGATTCTGGTGAAACAGTTGTCCGAAGTGACAGTGATGAGGATCTACCTCTAAGAGAATGGAATGACTTCAAGAAGAGAGTGACTTGAAGGATCAAAAGATTGTGCTGATGGAGAGAAAAGAAGAAAGAGTACCTGAGCAGCGGACTCTGGCTCCTTTTATACTACATGGTGGAGAAAGAAATCGAAAAAGTTTCAACGTCCCAAGCCCCAAAACCCCGAAGTGAACCACAGCCAGCAAAGAATGGATAAACTACATTTATGGTACAAGTATAGATGTGGATGCGCGCAATAAGGTTAAGTTCCTTGGATCGACCACCAATGAACTGCGGCTCTCGTTTCCACTCCGGTCTCGAACACCTCGTAATCACCTTACGCAGTGGTTTTGGCCTTCTAGAACTTCCTTTCTAGAAGTTCGTTCCATTTGTCTACGCATCCTGGTCGTCAAATAGGACTGCTTTTCTCCTCATCCGAAAACATTGCAATTGGAGAGCCTGACATCAGCCCTCTGTGGCGTTTACTGAAACAGCATTTACGTCAGCCTAAAGTGGCAACTTGAAGACGCAAGTCAGCCTCTCAGATGCAATGGAAAAAGGAAGAAGCTGATTAACCAATATGGCAGACTGAATAATCAGGTTGGGCGCCTAGCAGCATGGTTGCCGACTGTTCCGAGATGCCTTCAATTATTTGTTCGTCGCCGAGAAATGTTCTCTGAACATCCCGAACTTGGCCCATTGCCACTTCAATCTGCAAAGTCTACCATGAAATTCTCTTCCTCTTCTCCAACTCAGATTCTTTCACCGTGGCAGTGCAGACAGATCGGTTATTGTCTCTATTCCCATAACCGAGCATCCAGATATGTGTAATTCCTCTGGGGATGCCTTGCCATACCCCAGAATGATCGACGCTTTGACAGGATAAAAATAATTGATGTTCATTCACCGTTAGAAGTTCAAAATTCGATGAACTCGGCCGACAACACTATTCACTATGATCATAATTCCAATTCAAACAGCCAAGTACATATTATCTGGTAATATAGGACTGGCTTATTATTCGAGTGGGTGGTACTGGTCGACTTTTCCAATTCTTCTGGCGGGTATAGGTATGTACCAGAAGAGACGGACGAGGAGTCGAAGAGAACAACCTTTTCACAAGAAATTGCATGATCACGTCCAGGGATTCAGATTCCACGGAAGAATCTCTCATAATACCCGTAGATAACATTGTATAGCAATGAACTAATCTGGGGGACGTCATTGTCGTACGATATTCATTAGATTAAGTTCGAGGAAAACCTGACATCAGTGAAATGCTAGACAGTCTCCTTAATATTCAGAAGATAAGCTGTCCCAAATTCAAGAAGTGAGCCAGTAATGTTTGTTTAGAGTGCAAGATGTCATGGAATGGGAGGCCGGATGCGGCTTCCATTGCACCGGGTAGGGGGGATGCTCAAAAAGTAGAAATTCACTGGTTTTTGCCCAATTTTAAAGGCCTGGTAGATGGGTTTTGGACCATGGAATTCATAGATCAGAAACATGAAATTAAAAAATTCAGCTTCACCTCGAAAGACAGTCTCTTGTCTATGACGAGCTCCTCAATTTGTTGTAGAGTCCACAGCTCCTGAAGGTCAAATAACACCGACCCTTTGAGCTGTCTTTATCGTTGCATCTTTTAGGTAGCTCTTTCAGTGGTTGTACTTGTGTTGTGGTCAATCCACTTTACCTCAACCACCGAGATATATATTCCCTGCGTGATGTAGTTAAAAGCCCCCTAACCTAGTCGAACGTGAAACAAGGAAGAAATAAAAACAAAATCTAATTATTGTCGACAGCCCCATCAATTAATGAAATCCATCACAGAATGTAGCAATTCAAAGAGGCATAATTCGGAGAATGTCTGGGTCCATGATTCTCACAACCGAACGCATTACTACCATCACCAATGAACGAATCCTTATGATCCTTGTAACTGCAGTCCTCCAGATTCCATGTGTAGCAAAACCCATTCTTAAGGTACCACGACGCAATCTTGGTGAAAGTCCCAGCGTCGCAACTAGTAGAATGCAAACCTTCTTCGGTGTAGAACTTGCAAAAGGTCTCGATGCCCATGGAGTCGCTATTGAGATGACTGTTGAGATTCAGACATCTTGCTAGGTTCATTTGATCATATCCTTTGTTGTATCCTCCCAGGAGGTAGTAATTTCCCTGACAGTTCTTCTTTTCGTAGAGTGTCAGTTGCCATGGCACCATGTCAGTCTCAGTAGCGACCGCGGACTTTGTCGTTTTGTCTGCTTTTTTAGTTGTTGCTGGTGATTTTTTGCTGGTTGTTGTCGAAGTAGTGGGTTTCTTTGTGGTACTGGTCGTTTTAGTGGTGCTCGTAGGTTCACTTTTGGCGGCTTGTGTTGTTTCAACTGGCTGAGCAGCTTTCTGATCAGCTGTCTGAGTCGGCGCCGATGTGGTATGGGATGAATAGTCCGAGGGACTACAGAATTCCGGAGTAGTACCACATAATCCCCATAGAGAACACTGAGACCAGATTAGATGCGAACCAGACATTGATTCTTTGTGAATTCACTTACACATTCCCTGTTCGGGCAAGGGTTAAGAGTGCCAACTAGATCAAAGTTCTTCGGACGTGCTGTTCCAGGTACCTGGGGACCACAAGTAGCTTGCGGAAGTGCGACTGGCATCGGAGCAGCGCCAGCGCTAAGACAGATAAATGCACCTTGGTAAAGTGGCTTGTCGCATCCCAGCCAGGCCCATGTGTCCTTGTTGAAGGCTTCGATGTCGGCCACAGTGAGGCTGTTTTGTTGGGCAATGGAAGAACAAGTATCGGCACCTTGAACGGTATATGTGTAGCAAATCCCGTCACTGCCTTGCGTTGGAACAGGCGAAGTAGCGCCTAATACCTTGCTGGCGTAGCTGAAAAACAGCCCACATAGCACAAAAAGGTTGAGGTAAGTGTTACCCATGTTGTATGAACGGTTTTGAAGACGAGAGGTTCTTAAAAGCAGAGGATGTAAATACTTATAACATATCCACTTGCGAGTACATCAATGTTCTCGAGGCCGCGACTTCCAAGAAATTAGGGCCTTATAGTTACATTGGGCGATCCCAGTTGAAACAAGAACAATACGATCTACCACATTGTACATTTAGAAGTGCACCACTACGCTCGAGTGGCTTTTATTGTTGACAGCCCCAACTATTACTTCATTTGGTAACTAAATGGCTTCCTGCTGTTTGAAAATGGATGCGATGAGCATTGACAGCCTGCGAGTTCTCTTTGTCCTCTCCCTGCATTACTGCATGACTTTCCCAAAAGAATTAAATATAACCAAATCGGAATCTATTCTATTTTGTCTGGTAGATCTTGTAGGAGTCATGTTCTTTACTTGGACAGGTTACCTGGGTCTCGAGCCATCACCGTGAATATGCATATAGGGTTGAGTTGCACCGTGCTCGTTGATCTTTGAGAATACCCATGCGTAACTGAATAGCCAAAAGTCTGGAGAAGTTGAATTGAACTAGCTGAAAAATCCAAGCACAACACAGTGAATATAATGGAAAACAAGACTGCAATGTTGTCCCTACTCTCTAGATCTCGTGTAGTTTGACACCGGACACCTCAGGCACCAAACACTAATCCAACCGTGTCCATCTCCCGTGCCCGCTATCATTTCATCCTCCTGATCTTTTCGTTTCTTTTTTTTTTCTCTCAATCAATTTCCCAGTATGAGTGTCCAGATGAGTTGGAGAGCTCATGCATTGCCATGCATCCGCCGAGGCTCTGTCTCTCGACAACCAGCGAGGTGGCCGGGAACCCCTGCATTGCCGGGAACACCGGGCTCGCTGAGGCAGTATTACCGACCAGCAAGGTGAGTAAACATATCCCATTAATTGCACAATCTCTAACAGATATAGACTGGGAATAACCTCAAGCTTGAGTACGCGCCCCCGCTTATCGGCCTATCACCCCAAAAGGGAAAGATGACTGTCCCGCAATTTTTTTTTTTTTCTTGACATCCGATCTGCATTTGATCCATACTAAAAGTTTTAGTAGGACAAACTTGTCCAACATCAGCAGCAAAGCCAAATTCCTTTACTAGAAATGGCCGCTCGCAGCTCCTGATCAAATCGCCACATTTGACCCCGCCTGCGCGGAATTTCTCCAGTGGATCCGCCACCCGTTCAGACTTCAAGATGAACTTGAGATATCTGACCCCAGATGTACACCGGGCTTTTATTGCCCTAGGAAGCAATGTTGGGGATCGAGTAGAGATGATCGAACAGGCTTGTCTCGAAATGGACAAAGCTGGTATCAAAGTGAAGCGGACAAGCTCGCTGTTCGAGACTGCGCCAATGTATGTCCTTGACCAGGACACATTTGTCAACGGCGTGTGCGAGGTATGCCTTCCAACCACACGAAAAAGCCTTATACTTCAATACCAGAACCTGACAATCATAGGTTGAAACAACTCTTGAGCCTCTGGAGCTTCTCGATGCCATCCAAGCTATTGAAATTGAAATGGGCCGAAAAAAATTAATCGACAAAGGCCCACGGTGTATCGATTTGGACATCTTGCTCTATGATCAAAGAGTCGTATCTCACGAGCGTCTCAACATCCCACACAACCTGATGTTAGAGCGAGACTTCGTGTTGCGCCCTCTGAGCCAGTACGCCCCCAACGCCTCCAACATCAAAACCTAAGCAAACTAACCACCCACCCCAGATTGATCCCTAATGAGTACCCACCACTCACAGGGAAAGAAACAAAAACATATAGCGGCCACCTATCAGCCCTAACCCCACCAGACCCAACACCTGTATCAACAACTCCAATCTCACCAAACTTCCAACCCCTCCACGCAACAGACCCAAAACGCAGCACACACATAATGGCAATCTTAAACCTAACCCCAGACTCCTTCTCAGACGGCGGAAAACACTCCCCTACAGACCTATTCTACATAACAGAAATAGTGCGCAGCATGATCGCAGCAGGCGCCACAATAATCGACATAGGCGGCGAAAGCACACGTCCCGGCTCAACACCCGTAGGCGCAGATGAAGAAATCGCCCGCGTCGTCCCAGCAATCACCCACATCCGCACCAACATCCCCGAAGCCGCAAACATCGCAATCAGCATCGACACTTACCGCGCGCGCGTGGCGGAAGCAGCCTGCGCCGCCGGCGCAGATATCGTCAACGACGTCTCGGCTGGCCTCCTAGATCCAGAAATGCTCTCTACAGTCGCGCGTATTGGCAAATCTATCATCCTAATGCATATGCGCGGCACGCCGCAGACAATGACTCAGAGCCAGCTACATGACTACCCGAACGGGGTTATCGACGACGTAGCTACCGAATTGCGTGGTCGAATCACCGCTGCTGAGGAAGCTGGTATCCGGCGGTGGAGGATGATTCTTGATCCTGGACTTGGCTTTGCGAAGGTCCAGCATCAGGATCTGGAGATCCTGCGCGAGTTGGCGAAATTGCGTGGGATGGCTGGGCTGGAGTGTTTCCCGTGGTTGATGGGTCCTAGTCGGAAGCGATTTATTGGAACGCTTACTGGTGTTAAGACGCCTCGGGATCGGGTTTGGGGAACTGCCGCGACGGTTTCGGCTAGTGTTGCTGGGGGTGCGGATATTGTTCGTGTTCATGATGTTCAGGAGATGTGGCAGGTTGCTAAGGTTGCTGATGCGATTTATCGTGTTGAGTAAGTGTTGAAGGGGGGTGTTTTTTTGTTGCTTGTTCTGTTTATACCCATCGGCTGTACTGCACAGTGGCCAGTTCTTGTATTCAACATTTGGGTTGCGGGGGTTATACTTGTACTGCGTTTCTCTTCATTCATCATGGGAGTTTTATAAAGCGGTATGGGACATCAAAAATTGGGAGTTTGAGAAACAATTTTGTTTTATGTTACTGGTTGTCAATACTTTCATTTTCTCTATGAATAATATCAAATCACGAATTTCTGGATTATCTTGAACCATACCAACGAAACGGGGAAAAGAAAAGAAACAAAAGGATTCCTTCGAGCATCCGATGTTAATGTGAAGGGATGCGAAGAAACAGGGTAGAAGAAGCCAAGGTGCCATCATGAACACGCCAAAGTGAACATCGTAATAGGAAGATAAATTTTGAACGGCTTCTGATCGCGATGATTTTCAGGTGAAGATTTCAGAAGGTGGAGGGCAAAGGGAGACACAATATACGTCGCGGATTGGGGGAACAGGGGAACAATGAGGCTTGCTAAGAACTTAGAGCGATAGAAGGCGGGATATCTGATGAAAATGGGTATTGACTTAGTTGTTCAGATAGTTGCGGATAGCGCCTAGGACACGCATTAGCGAGATACTCATTACTATAAAGAATATTTACATACCTTGTAACTTAGTAGCGCCTTCGCCGACAATGTGCGACAGGTTCTCGATATCGTCTCCGGCGGTGATACCGAAGCGGCGGATAAAGTCCTTGGCAGCAACCTCGAGATCACCGTAGCCATCGTCAATAGCAGGAATCTCATCCTCGGACCGGCCGAAGTAATTGTTGCTGGAGATGGATGTAGCGCTGTCGAATTGACGGAGACGCTCCTTGGCCTCCGACTGAGCGGCGGGATCAAAGCGCTCCCGTCCGAAAAATTCATCGGAGGAGATACCCTTCTGGGTGCCGAAACGGGTCCTGGTCTGGGCGAGTTCTTCGTCTAAATGAATGTTAGCATATGGCTCCAATGTAAATATCAATGGAAGTATTACCATCAGCAGGGTTGGGCTTGGCAGGGCCAACAGACCCAAAAGTAGGCTTCTTAGGAGCAACAGGCTTCGAGACCTGACCAAAGCCAAGTCTGCCCATACCCATGCCTAGCCGCTCAACATCGTTGGAGTTGCGTTCATGAGACTTTCCAGCGGGGCTGATCGGGGTGGAAGCAGGGATGGGAATAGCAGCAGCGGCGGTAGCCTTCTTAGCCTCGGCTTCAGCCTGCTCAGCCTCGGGGTCGTAGCCAAGCTTTTCAATGCGCTCGGCTTCTTCCTTGGCCTTGCGCTCGGCCTCGTCGAAATCAATAGTATCAGCAGCAGCGACCTTCTTAGCTCCAAGCTTAGGCACCTTCTTAGCACCGAGGACACTGCCTTTCTTCGCGGCAGTGTTTGTGGTGGTCTTGCGAGCAGCAGGGTTTGACCGAATAGCAGTCGGCGCGGGAGATGCGCTCTTCTCTTCGGAAGACAGGGGAGACTTTGAGCGGGATCCGTTTGCATTCGCGCCGGCGTTCAGGAATGGAGAACCGGTTCGGCTGACAACGGGTGGCGTGCCAGTGCGCGAGGGCGGGTTGCTGGGACGCTTGATCGAGGGCTTGTCCCACGAGGAAAAGAAGTCGTCGTCTGCGTCGCCTGCAGGAGTGTTTGATCCATCGGAGGGAGTTCCAGCGGGGAGATCTGTGATGATGACTTCCTCGGGGTACCTAAACAAAGCAACAACACTGATCAGTGCCTGGTCGAGGCAGTTCCGCCGAGACATTGGGGTCCACTAACTGTTGCGCATCGAGCGCGGCGCGCTTCTTGAGTTCCTCCTTATATTTGACAGCTGCATTGCAAGTGTACTTGACTTTGGTGTCCTTGCTTGCGAGCGCAGCGGAGCCTCCGTGCGATTGGAAGTACTTGGTCGCGGACTCGTTTCCACCAACCTTCATTACCCGCAGCTGTTCCCATTGCCACTCTGTGTAAAAGATTAGCATTGATCCACTGGAAAGCATAGACAACGGAGGAATTGTGTCGCAGGTACATACGGTCGAGGTTTGTTGATCGAACGAAGGAGATGTGCACACCAAGGTTACGGTGGTGTGCTGAACAATCAAGGCAGAGATAGATACCGAATGGCACGGAGGACCATGTTGGGTTTTTGGTACCGCAATCGAAGCATACCTAACACAGCAGAAGGCATTAGAATCGAGTGCCACCGTGCAGCGTACGGGGGTGGGGTTCTGCGCACCTTGTTTGCGGGCTTCAACTTGATCTTCTCAAAGATCTTTTGAGACTGCGCCTTGGAGGCACTCATTTTGGTACAGAGGAGAGGTAAGGAGAAGAACACAAGGAAAAAGGGTGGTTGTGAAATGTGCCCAAGAGACAAAAAGCGTCGGAAACGGAGAGGTGGTCGGACTTGGACTGAGATTCAAAGTTCCTGGTATTTGAGTTACGACGCCCCCCAATTCGCCGCTTACCACGCCTCCACAGGCTGTATGTAATTACGTATTTTACTCCATAATGAGCCCCGTCGCACGTGATGCCGATGCAGATAGCGACGGCGATAACTGCACGTCTTGCCTCAACTTCCATGGGCTATATCGTTCACCATGAATAACCTTCCGGTCCGCGCTATTCAAATCTCCCCCCTGTCCCTCCTCCGCCAGTCTCCCCGCACACAGATCGCTCGGCACTATGCCACCCAGAGCGACTTGGGCCGTGGGCCTCGACCTACGGGTACATCAAGAAAGAAGAGCATTACAGTATTGTCAGATGACGGACGTGTGGAGTGGGGTGATTTGAGTAGAGGAGAGAAGGTTGCGCGCACAACGCAACAGTCCTTCAACTTCGTCATTGTGTTGGCTGGTGCAGTTCTGACGGTAAGAACTTCACCCAGTTAAGCGCTAAATTCGAGATGCTAACTATACTCCCAGGCTGGCGTGTTCACAGTTCTCTATCAAGAGCTATTCTCGCCAAACAGCAAGACGTGGCAGTTCGAGAAGGCAGTTGAGCGCATCAAGGATGACCCCGAGTGTATAAAACTACTTGGTGATCGCGGAGAGATCAAGGCATATGGCGAGAACACTTGGAGTCGGTGGGCACGGAGCAGACCTATTGCGTGAGTATAAGTTTTGTGCATCTATAGACCGGAAGTGTTAACAATCACTAGGACAACCATCGAAAAGGATCGATTAGGCCGTGAGCATTTGCGAATGAATTTCCACGTATGATGCTCTCCCCACAGATGAAAAAAGACGAAATTACTGACTATGAATCCAGGTCGAGGGTCCTCTCAACTCCGGTGTGGTTATTGTGCACATGATGAAGCCTTTGGACAAGAGCAACCTCGAGTACCAGCTTCTCGCGCTCGATGTTAAGGGTCACTCTCGTGTTGTCCTTGAAAAGGCCTCGGAGAAAGCCAGCGTTGCTAGCACCTTGAAGCTCTTTGGTATGCAGTGGCGCTAAACGTCACGATTGCCTCCAATCTGCTATTATACCCTTCTACTCTCACCACAAGACCTATGGCTTCTTATCTGTGGTAAACTTGGAAATTTGTTCCTGGTTCCTGTCCTGTCCAAGTCTGATCTCCTCATAGCAGTCTGGACACGGTACCTTCTGTAACTTCTATCGGCCACTGGCCATTCACTCAGGCTCCAATGACCTGTGCGATGTATTATAGTCATACCAGACCGCAACAGCGGTCCAAATATCAACACAAGTCCGGCAGCCCGGGCAAAATGCACTCAAAAATTAAAATCACAATATGAACAATAATTCTTATGTAAAATTATTAACAAGAAACCACATAATAACATGAAGAATGCACGCTGATCTACCAGTATCACCAATCTATACAACGCGGGGCCCATCAATAATGCTCTTGGCCTCCTCAGACCTCCACCAACTCTTGCCCTCCTGTCCAGGGAACTCAAAGGCATCCATACTATCAGCCTTCATCTCAACACTGTACCCAGGCTCCATAGGAGTAACATAGTACCCATCGAGGACACTAGAAGGGTGAACAAAGTGCTCGTGTAAGTGATCAACATACTCAAGCACACTCTTCTTGCCCGTAACGACAACATAGTCAATTGTGCTCAAGTGCTGAGTGTACTCAGGCAGACCAACACCACCAGAGTGCGGCACGATAGGCACGCCGAACTTGCGTGCTAGGAGGAGGATGGCGAGGACTTCATTCACGCCGCCGACGCGGCAGGCGTCTGGCTGCAAGACTGTCAGGGCGCCAGCTTGGAGGAGTTGCTTGAAGATCACACGGTTCTGGCACATCTCGCCTGTGGCGACGCCGACGGGGCCGTGGGGTGTGTTGGAGAGGGCTTTGCGGATTGCGGCGTGGCCGAGGATGTCATCGGGGGAGGTGGGCTCTTCGATGAACCACGGCTTGTATTCGGCTAGTTCTTGCATCCAGGTGATGGCTTCGGGGACGGACCAGACCTTTGGACCATAAGTGTCAGCTCAGAGAAATTGGTAATGGGGGATGTTGGGATGGAGTATAACATACCTGGTTAGCATCAACCATAAGGATATTCCCTTTATCATACCCAATAGCCTCACGAGCAATAGCCAACCGCATTTTATCATCCTCAAGATCACCTCCAACCTTCAACTTGAAGTGCTTATACCCCTGCTCAACACTCTCGGTAAGCAAAAGCTTAAGCTTCTCCTTACTATACCCCAACCAACCAGCAGAAGTAGTGTAGGCCGGCACAGCCCTGGAAGCCTCAGCCTCCTTGATGCGCTCCTGCTTACCAGGCTCGACCTCCTGCAGCAAGCGGATAGCTTCTTCCGGTGTGATAGCATCGGTGATGTAGCGGAAGTCAATGCAACGCACGAATTCCTCGGGAGTCATATCCGCGACGATGCGCCAGACGGGCTTGTTCAGGGTCTTGGCCCAGAGATCCCAGAGGGCGTTGACGACTGCGCCAAGGGCAAGGTGAATGACACCCTTCTCGGGTCCGATCCAGCGCAATTGGCTGTCGGATACCAGGTATCGCCAGGTCTTGCCCCAGTCGGCTGTTAGGTCAGAGAGGTCTTTGCCTACGACCATGGGGGCTAGGAGAGAGATGGCTGCGCAGACGATTTCGTTGCCGCGGCCAATTGTGAAGGTCTATTTTTGTTGGGTTAGTTTGCTGTTTGTTGGAGATTATGGTATAATGTAGTGGATGATTGGTAGTGGATGGGTTAACGTACCATGCCATGTCCGGAGTGCTCCGAGTCTGTAGTGATGATACAGTAGGCGGAAGAGTAGTCGCCAGCTGCATTCATGGCATCTGAGCCTGTCTTGTCGAGAGAGGTCTATGCATTGTTAGAGTCTGCGCTAAGTTGGTCATGGCAATTTCTTAGAAGGATGAACATACAGGAAACCTCACGTCCCGGGTGCTGAAGCCGGTAATCTTAACCATTGTGAGAGTAGTCGAATGCGACGTTAACAATGAGGCTTGGTATAGCAACGGCGATAAGAAATGCAGGCGCAGTGTTCAATGTAGCAGTAGTTGCTAGAAATGCGGGGAGTATATGTTCGGGGTAGACTCGGAGGTTGAATCCACACTTCCTGGTCAAAGTCACTCAGTGAAGAATAGAGTATGGCAGAGATGAAGAGAAAAAAAAAAGAATTGAGGACTCCCAGAGAAAAGCAGCAGTATATACTGCAAAATATAATCCCCCGCGCCATCGCCAGTTTACCCAGCGCCCCTCACACTTTCGAGGTTGACGCGCGTTAATTGGTGGATGATTGCGGACGGCGGGAAAATGCCAGATTCCACCAATCAGAGCGGAGGAAGTGTACTCGGAGTAGCTCCGCGTTTTTATTCAAGCGTGGGGTTGTATCTACATATGCAAGTCAAGTTACTAGGAAAAGGGATTGGGATTTCAAACAGCTAAATTCGGCTTTTGTACGTATCTGGGAATATGGTACCACAATAATGACCGGCATATAATCTACGAAGAAAGACCGCGCTTCTCGCTCTCCGAGAAGAAGATGATCATGCGCCACAACTTGCGAACAAGAACTTCGGCCTCCTCGTCCAATGCCTGTGAAATATGGTTAGTAACGAATACATGAATGGAAATGGATCAAAACTCACTTCTGCCAGTTGCTCGACCAGTTCCTGAGGAGGCGCGTGCTTGCGCACATGCTCCTCCACGACATCCACCAGCATCTGTTCTTGCACACCAAGATACTCGACAATCTTCTTCTCCACAAATGGCTTGAGCTGGTCGCTGAGAATAGCCTCGTCCACAAATTCCCACTTGACCTCCCACTTCCAAAGACCCTCCTTGTCCGTCGGGATCTCGGCAGCCAGTTGGCGAGCTGCTTGGGCGCGCTCTTCGTCGGTGAGACCGGCAGCTTCGGCGGCGGAGTCGAACTTGATTGGGACCAGTTGACGGCGGGTGGTAGAAGCAGGTTCTTCCTCGTCTTCGAGTAGACCCTCAACTTCGGCAACCGTGCGGCGGCTGGTAGCGGCCTGGGCCTTCTGGGCTGCAGCTCCGAGAGAAAGCTTGAAGCGCTGGGGTTCACGGGGTGCTTCCACGGTACGGGCCGTGAGCTCCTCAGCCTGGCGGGCAAGGAAGTCATCTGCCATACCGCGAGCCTGCTCCTGTTGCTGGGCGTTGCGAACACGTTCACGGTCTTCGGCGGCACGATCAGCATCGTCGATGTTAATCTCGCGAGCGCGTTGGGCGGCACGGCTGCGCAGCCAAGCACCACGATCTGCGTAATAGTCGGTTGTCTTGCGGCTGGCTTCGGTATCATCATTCCAGGCCTTAAGACGTGCTTCCATCTCGTCATGTGCAGCTTGTAGCCTTCCGTCTTCTTCCTTCTCACGTTTCTTCTCACGCTCGAGGGCAGCGGTTCGGCTGCGCTCACGGTTGAGCCAGCGGCGCTCCTGATCCAAGAACTGCTTCTCTTGATCATCGTTGTGCTTGGCCTGTCGGCGGCGTTCGATTTCCTCGTCGCTAGCATCGGAGTCCTCGGCGTCACGGTCAATGGAGACACCGTTGAGTGATCCGCCATTCACAAAGGAGACACCTTTCTGGTAGTCCTTGGGGATTTGAACTCCGAACGGCTTAGCGTTGGCCCCGCTACGATCCCGGGGACCCAGTGGGATATTGTTGGTACCACCAGCCGGACCGCTGGGGGCTGATGCTGGGGGTGACGAAAGCCGGCTGATTCTCGAGCCCGAATTCCGAGCGCGTTCCATAGATTCAATCTCCTCCTCGCGTTTCAGACGCTCAATATCGCGGCGGTTGCTTCGTTCACGGAATGCAGCAATCTCCTTGGCGACATTTGCGCGCATCTCGGGTGGGATGTCGGCCAACTCGTCTTCAATTGTAATCGGAATGGTGACGACCTCGCCGTCCTTCGTAACAGCATCCTTCATCTCACTGTCTCCCTCACGATCAAGGGCCGAGGCGTTTTCCTTTTTTGTAGGGGTAGTAGGGTTGCAAAGGTCGGACAAAACACTGTTCAGGTTGTTGCGCGCAGCGCTGAAGCGTGCTTGACGTTCCTCGGGGTCTTGCTCTGCTCGCGAAGCCTCAAACTGCTCAAGATAGGTGAGCGTGCTCTCATCAACAACGACCTATGGGATGTGTTAGTAGTGTTCCAATACGATCAAATAAACATTGTATACGCACCAGAAGAGTGCTCTTTTCAACATCCAGCTCCTCAGCACCTTCATCACGAGGCATTTGCCTCTTCACAGGAACCTGCACATCCTTAAGAATCTCCACCGCGATCTCCAGGCTGGCGGGATCCTCAAATTCAGCAAAACCAAACCGACAGGGCTTCTCATCGGCATCCGTAGCGCGAATCCACCGTCGCAGACCACCCACAGAGCCCAGAATGCGCTCAATTCCATCATCACCACCAGCACCCTCCGTAATGCCGCCAACGAAAAGAGTGCGCACGACCTCGTCGCGTGTAGGAGGCTGAAGCGGCATCATTGTATCACGGCCATGGTGGCGCTGGGTATCCATGCCTCCGGCTCCAAGACCAGCACGACGGCCAGGACCGTCCGATCCCCGCTCCCGACCCATTTCTGGAGCTGCGCCTGTAGGCTTTGCGGGACCCGAGGTTCCCAGGCGAATCACCGGCGCGGAAAAGTTGATGTTGGGCATATTCGCGGGCGGTTGGAAGTTGGGCGGGAAGCCTCCTGGTCGGCCTGGCTGCTGGCTGTTTACTTGCTGCACACCTGGAGGAGCAGCGGTTCCTGGGGCGGCCATCCCTGGAGGAGGCGCTGGTGCTGGTCAGCCTGTATTCAAAATGAGGATTCACTTGGTGGCGGGGATACTCACCCATTCCTGGGGGTGCGCCATAGGCACCGTAATCGGGGGCTTGGCCGTAGAGACCTGGGTCTGTGGATTGATCAGCATCTGTTTCGCGAAGTCTGGGGACTTTCTCATGGATCGGAGAGGATGAATGCACTCACGTTGGTAGGGATTGTACATATTGAAGGAGACTGAACCAGTACACAATTTACTGTGCAATGTTGGTTAAGGCTCAGTTCCAAACTGCAATGAAATGAAAGTACAGACGCAGATGAAATGTCAAGTTTGAAGTCGGCGAAAGAAGCGCATTGGATGTGGTCCGTGCGCGTATCTTGGCAGCAGCTTGATTAGTTCTGGAGATGATCACCGAGGCATTCTGGTGTGCTGCGCAAGGTCAGATCTTTATTTGCGAAATAGTTAGTTTACTTAGAGTCTATCTAAACTTGACCGAAGTTCTTCAGCTCGGAAATGGCAAGACGGTTATAATGTTACAAGTTGTATAGAATTGAGAGCAATTGGCTGCTCACTAGGTACTTCATTTAACAAAGGGATGCATCTATATGCTATTTCGTGGGCTTCATTTTCACAGTATTTATTTCTCATAGTGTTTTCTTCATGTATAATCGTGACTCAAGTTGAAAGTAGAGGGCATACGCAGGATAAAAGGAGACCAAAACCTTCCATATTTCATCCTCTCCAAACTTCCTGTCTTCCTCTGTCGGCTCAAATCCCAAATGACTCACACAGCACTTGGACTGGAGCGTACAATGCCCAATTCCATTCCTTCCTTCGCTGTTCAGATGTTGGCTCTCGCAGCATTTGTAGCCTCGGCTACAGGATCCACCTTTCGCTATACAGTCCTTGACAAGGCTCTACTGAAGATACCAAGCAGGATCTTCTCTTGCTATATGATATAACTTCTTTAACCGCTGTTGCGGGAGATATAACTTGTTGTATTCAAGCTTTTGCTCTGCCCTGTGGATGAGCCTTGTGAGTTCCTTTAGTTGTTCTTCAGAATCACGAGCATCACTTATCTCCCTAGGAGAAGTTGCCGTTTTCTGCAATGCTAGTTTTGATAGTTTAGTGCGTTCCTCGTATTATAGGAGTTCTCATAGGCAATATTCCCCATAGATCAATACCGCAAATATCGTCGATTCCAACTCCAGGCATTTGCCACAATGGAAATGAAGGACAAATCCCCCATGCTTACCGAGACGACTGATGGGCGTCAAAATTCTGGAGCATTTGAACGTTTGCGGCGCGCGGTCCCAATGCATGATCCAAATTACATTAACGTCTTGCGTGAAAGCTAGGTATGTGATATCACCGAGTAATTTTTGAGCCCCCAGAAGAAAAAGTCAGGGCTCAACAAATTCAAAAACGGATGAAGTCTAAAAGTAAAATGGTCGGGGGCAGAGTACCTTACGTGACTATTATGTCTAGTTGTGCACATGACCTAGCCGCGAGCTTGCCCTAGTGATTAACCACAAGAAGAGGATGGGATTTCTTGCTGGGGAAATGTGTTGGAACGGTGCTATTCTCTTTTTATCAGGACGCTCAAAGACAGGGCTAAGGGCAATTCACTACCCAAGAAAGACCAACTACGTACGGAGACCGAGATCGAAAAGACACCAAATACATTTCTTAGATCATGCTTTTATCCTTCTTATGTTGCCCTGTATACCGACGAATTCCCGCGCCAATGGAGTAGACCGTGTTCACCAAATGAATACGCCATAGCACCTGAAGACATATACACCATCACGGCTTCCGTATAGTGCTCTAAGAATAGTAAGTATCCTTGCGTCCACTTTTTTTCGACTTTCCTCCTCACATTTGTAGCCGTTATCAAAGCCGTAGTTAAAGGTATTCCTCAATCCTCTTGACCTATATAGGCTTCAACTTTCGCTTTCTCTTCTAGCCAATTTTTTACCCTACATCCTGGATTGGGTCCAGCTGCCCAATCCAGGAGCCTCTGCTCCGTTCCCCGAACAAGTGCTACCTGTATGCAATGGTCAGTTAGACGTGAGGGCTGCATACTTTAGGACATAACGGCTGATTTTAAATTTCTCCTTATGCGCACCTTTCGGCTCTGGGGCAACTCGTCAGTTTTCTTTGGTATGAGATGCAGGACGTAGATACAATTCGAGAACTACCGCTGAAGCACCGAACCACGTGACACAGCTATAGGTAGCTAGGAGATGTGGGAATATGATCATCTTCCCCTTATTGCACCGGGCTAGGGTGAGCAGTCACCTGGATAGTACCAGCGTTATTTTTGCCTAGCACTTGTACATAGCTTAGGATGTGAACTGGAAAGTTGAACAACGTTGACGTGATAGCCGTTCAGTTCCAAATGCCCCGCTATAGACGTCAGTGACAACAGTCGGGTATTCTGGAACAGCCGAATTGGTCAGAATGGGCCTTGAAAAGCCGTGTCATTAGCCTGAGTACGAATTGGTAGTTTCGGTCTACGGAGCAAATTACTGCGGATAAATCGGAGAATAAAGAAGGGAAATCAATAGTGGAAAACCGAATGCGGCAATGATGATGTTCGCCGGATGCTTTGCCCCACGACCGGACCCCAACGCGCCGGGCTCATTTGACCTCATTTACTTTTCTTGTTCCTCTCCCACTTTTGCTTTCTTCATCTATATACCCCCTTTAAAACTGTTAGGTATGTACTTCTACTCCCTGCATACCTCACCTATCTCCTCTGCTTCCGTGTGCCCCGCACTAACGCTCTACACATAGACCCATAATCGTCATCATGCCTGGTTTCTCACAAGCTTGCGACCTCCCTGCCTGGAAGGAGCTCCAGGACCACCACAATGCCCTTGGACGCAACATTGTCCTGAAGGAGTACTTCCAGAAGGACCCTAAGCGTTTCGAGAAGTTCAGCCACACCTTTACCAACACTGTTGACAACCAGGATATCCTCTTCGATTTCTCCAAGAACTTCCTCACCGAGGAGACCGTTTCTCTTCTGGTCAAGTTGGCCAAGGAGGCTAATGTCGAGGAGCTCCGTGATGCCATGTTCCGTGGTGAGCACATCAACTTCACTGAGGACCGTGCTGTCTACCACGCTGCCCTGCGTAATGTCTCCAAGGAGCCCATGCAGGTCGACGGCAAGAGTGTGGTTGAGGATGTCCACTCCGTACTTGAGCATATGAAAGAGTTCTCCGAGCAGGTGCGCAGCGGCGAGTGGAAGGGTTACACTGGCAAGAAGATCAACACCATCGTCAACATTGGCATCGGTGGTTCTGATCTGTAAGCACTCCTCCCGATGCGATTGATGATTTCATAGCTAACCCACCAACAGCGGCCCTGTCATGGTCACCGAGGCCCTTAAGCCTTACGGCCACCCCGACATGAAGCTCCACTTCGTCTCCAACATTGACGGTACTCACATTGCTGAGGCCCTCAAGAACTCTGACCCCGAAACCACCCTCTTCCTGATCGCCTCCAAGACCTTCACCACCGCCGAGACCACCACCAACGCCAACTCTGCCAAGTCTTGGTTCCTCCAGTCCGCCAAGGATGAGGCTCACATTGCTAAGCACTTCGTCGCCCTTTCCACCAACGAGCCCGAAGTCACCAAGTTCGGTATCGACAGCAAGAACATGTTCGGCTTCGAGTCCTGGGTTGGTGGTCGTTACTCCGTGTGGAGTGCCATTGGCCTGTCTGTTGCCCTGTACATTGGTTACGACAACTTCCACCAGTTCCTTGCTGGTGCCCAGGCCATGGACAAGCACTTCCGCGAGACTCCTCTCGAGAAGAACATTCCCGCCCTCGGTGGTCTCCTGAGCGTCTGGTACAGCGACTTCTTCGGTGCCCAGACTCACCTGGTCGCTCCTTTCGACCAGTACCTCCACCGTTTCCCAGCCTACCTGCAGCAGCTGTCCATGGAGAGTAATGGTAAGGCTATCACCCGTTCCGGCGAGTACGTCAAGTACACCACCGGTCCCATCCTGTTCGGTGAGCCCGCTACCAACGCCCAGCACAGCTTCTTCCAGCTGCTGCATCAGGGTACCAAGCTCATTCCGGCCGACTTCCTGATGGCCGCCGAGTCTCACAACCCCGTTGAGGGTGGCAAGCACCAGCGCATGCTTGCTTCCAACTTCCTCGCCCAGTCCGAGGCCCTGATGGTCGGCAAGACCCCTGAGCAGGTCAAGGCCGAGGGGGCCCCTGAGGAGCTTGTTGCCCACAAGACCTTCCTGGGCAACCGCCCTACCACCTCCATTTTGGCCCAGAAGATCACCCCTTCCACTTTGGGTGCTCTGATCACTTACTACGAGCACCTCACCTTCACTGAGGGTGCCGTCTGGAACATCAACTCCTTCGACCAGTGGGGTGTCGAGCTCGGCAAGGTCCTCGCCAAGAACATTCAGAAGGAGCTGGAGACCGCCGGCGAGGGTGCCAACCACGACAGCTCAACCAGCGGTCTACTGCTCGCCTTCAAGGCGAAGGCTAACCTGGCATAGATTGAGACCTTTGGATATGCAGTGATGACGAGCAACGAATGATACTTTGTCACATATTTTTGGTTTGAAAAAGAAATGAACAGCTATTGATATTCTTCAATTTTGAACTTGTTGGTAAGTAACCTACCCGTAGAGACGCTCTGGTTGGGCGTGGTAGCAAGTAAGGAGAGCTATACTGTTCCTTATTCGCCGCCACTCGCCTCCGCAGCGCGGCAGAACTCCGTCTTGGACCCCTGCGCCATCTTTCTACACAAACTCGCCGACGCGGGGCGAGTTCTTCACAGTCCTTACAATTCCAATAATGATCCCCACACACCAATTGAGCCGATCCTCGGTCGCACTCGCGCTGCTTTCTTTGAGCGCGTGGTGGCCATCCGGGGCATTTGCGGGGAGCAGCAGTGGCAACATCGACGGCTACAAGCTGAAAGAAGACATCCCAGTATCATGTCTGAATCGCACAGTGTAAGTCTTCTTTACATTCAGCATATAATCACATCGCTAATCAAGACTCGCCTTCCAGTGACGGGGAACATGTAAGCGGCAGCGCCCATCCCTCTAATCCTGACACGCATACAACAACCCGCAAACCCAAAGAAAGAGACAACAACTAACAAAATCTGCAGATCACAGATGACCTTGGAAAACTACAATATGTCCCCTTCGTAACCTGCAATGAAACCGCACGCCCGCTCTCCCTCCACTACGGCATCTCCGAAACAATAACCTGCACCATCGCCTCGCTCACCGATGAAATGTACCACCTACTAGAGTTCTACGTTCACTCGGACGTACCAATGACTTGCCGTGTCCCAACAGCACCCCTAATTCAATCCGGCAGCAGCGACCACACGGAGAAAACCAAAGCCGAAGACGCAGAGACAGCCTCCGGAGAAGTCGACTCCCTCTCCGCACTAGCCAATAACGGCCCACCCTTTACACCACTCACAATCGCCTTGCAGGGTACACTGCAACGCAGTCACCTGCACATTTGGACGGATATGAACGTCGTAATGCACAACATGGCGTCTGACGCAGCCGCCGAGCAGAAGACCATGAACGGCGCGCAGTCTGGTCAGCCTGGGTTTGCGGTTGCGGGAACTGCATACTCGACGCCTGAGTTCGATAATACTGGCAAAAACCGGCAACTCGATGAGGACGAGGAGCCTGTTGCTCTTGCACAGGCGGCGCGTGAGCCGTGGACGGCTGGACATGGGACTAAGGTTGTGCGCGGTGAGCCGTTGACGTTCTCGTTCCATGTTGCTTGGTTGGAGGGTGGTGATAGTATTGGGTGGCCTGTTCGGCCTAGTTCTGCGTCTTGGTTGTCTTTGGCTACTGGGTCTGGGAAGGGGTCTGGGTCGTTCTTTTCGAAGCTTTTCTTCTTTTTGATGGCTGCTTCGGTTGGTGCGTTGGTTGCAATTTACTGGGAGAGGAATGGGGGTCGGGGTCGTCCTGCTTGGCATGGTGATGGGCTCTTGGGTGGGACGCCTGCTAGGGGGGCGAAGGGTCCTGGTGTTACTTTTGGGAACGGGGGCCGGATTAATGGGTATGGTGGTTATTCTGGTCCGCCTAATGGTAATGGGGCTGGTGGTGGTGGGTATGGACTCCCTACTGGGAAGAGGGATTAATTAGGTGAACCATGAATGTTGATGGGGTGAGTGAAGTTTGTATAGCCTGGGATAGAGTGATGTTCTATGGGCGTGTACAGTGTACCCTATAAGAAGGATAAAAGAAACGATCGACTGCGAGGACGAGAGCTATGCTATGCTATGCTCTACACGAAACGACCATAGCGGATAAATTGATTCAATCAAGTGCAATGCATTCCATGTCTAATGCAATAGCCAAAAATCCAAATAAATCAAAGGTACCATGGTAATAATTGTACACATATAACGAGTAAAAGAAACCCATTTTCAAGCCACTCCCACATACATCACAGCTTCTTCAAACCACCCACACACCGGAGGACAGCCACCTCAGTATATACATACATACAGCCAACAAGCAGACATGAAAGATCAAGAAATCACCAACCCTGAGTCTGCATGCGCTGGATTTTCTGCACAGTACTCTGGAAAGAAACCTTAAACAGCTTCTTCCAGCGCATCATCTTCTTCTGCTTCGCAACCATACCCTTCCGCGTATGGAAGCGCTGCGCATTAGCCGTCTGACGCAGCTTATTCTGGCCAATGGTAGTGTTGAGCTTGCGCAGCGCAGTAGCAAGGTCCTGGCCACGCTCAGGCTCGACGAATGCCTGTCGGCCAAGCGATGGGCCGAGCTTCAGGTCGACTTTGCGTTGGGGTGGTGGGCCGCCGCGTCGCCCCCGGCCCATGGCGCCTTGGCCTACTGCGCGGGAGAGGCTATCGGTGAAGATGCGACGGCCGCGTTGGGCCGAGTTATTTGGGTTAAGGTCCAGTCTGTCCAGGATGTCGTCGAAGTCCGAGGGTTTCTTGTCCCGGGTTGTTGTTGCCGTTTCGGTGGACTGTGTGGAGGGTGTAGCTGAGGGGGTGGTTTTGGTGGTCGTTGGGGCTTCGGAGGAAGAGGAGGAGTTGAATTGGAGGGATGTAAGGGTTGTTTGAGGGAATAATTGGGCTCGCTGTTGGAGGAATGGCGTCGGCCTGGCGCGGAGGCTGCGAGCCAGGAGGCGGACGTCCATTTTGGAAAGATGTGGGCGTTTCAAGGTTATGCAGGTGCAATTGAGGGGGTTTTAACTGTCTGTTGGGTCGTGGAATTGGAGCGTTGGTCTGGCGGAGTGCGCAGGGTCACTGGATGTTTGAAGTTGTTCTGGTGGAAAATCAACCCCGATTGGAAATTGTAGGTCACGTGCATGCTCCATGCTACACGTTACAGATCAAGAACATCACAGCTGCAAACTTTCTTGTATTTACAAATATCTCTCTCATTTCACTCGAAAGCGGTACTTCTGCTTCTAATACTTGACTTGAGCTGCAAACTCATGTCGTCCATCTCAATCGCAACCCTCCCTCGCATGGGCCGCGATGCTCTTGCAGCCCTGCTCCTCTCCGCCAGCGAGCCAAGCAACCTCGCAGTCATCGATGTCCGAGACTCAGGTATGTGACTACAAGCATTGATTCAAGTATGCCAAACCAGCTAATAACGTCAAAAGACCATGTTGGCGGCCACATCCACTCATCAACCTGGGTCCCCACCTCAACACTGGATGTCCGCATACCAGAGCTGATCCGTACTCTGAAGGACAAGAAGATGGTCATCTTCCACTGCGCGCTCAGCCAGCAACGTGGTCCCTCTTCTGCTTTGCGGTATGCGCGCGAGCGCGAAACCGCCCTTGGCGCGGAAGAAAGTCAGAAGCAGCAGGTGTTCATACTTGACGGCGGATTTGTGGAATGGCAGCAGAAGTATGGCAATGATACTCGTTTGACTGATGCTTATGCTGCCGATATTTGGGAAGAGTATTGAGCATTGGGTTTCTGAGGTGAAGGGGGTTTCAGACTTTGCATATCTGCCTTTTTTTTGATGAGAAAATGAATATGATCGAGATACCACTTAGATAGATGCATTGATTATGTCTATTAACATTTTTTTGGTTTTTGTGGATTTCATGGTAAGGTGTGCCAGCCGGCCTTCTTTCACGTTGACATTCTCGAGTCTCGAGTTGTCTTGTCGTCTCCTTGTTGCCCTACAGATCTTGAGGACATTTTTAATTGGAATGTATTGTATGCATCAGATTATTTTACATGGGGTTCACAGAAAAGGCTACTTTACAGCAAGGCGTACTTGCGGGTTCAGGGCATTTGGACACCACCTCCAAATCCAACAGGTCGTCTCTGTCCACCGTTCTCAGGCACAATGGCCATAACCTTATAGATCTGACCCATTGAGCCACCACTCTTCTCAACCAGCCTTGTCCAGCCGGTCTCGAGAGTCTTTCTCTTTTCCTCATCTTTCACACTGCGAAGGAGCTGGCGCATACGCTCTTCGATGCCCATGGCACCCAAGAAATCACCCTGTTCAACAGGGCCATGCACCTCGACACCATCACTACCCTCAATAGCTGCTTCAGCAAGCGAGGTGAAATCCACATCCGCGCTGACATCGACACGGCCGGGCTCCGAAAGAGGAGCCACCTTCTCATGGCTCTTAATTCCGCGGAGTGAGTTGATAGGAATAGTCGAAAGTGTCCCATAGTCCATGATCAAAGCCGCGCCGGAGGGCGTCTTCTTCTGGTCTGCCGAGGATGTGCTGGGAGCAGTGTTCTTTTTCATAGCAAGTGCAGAGGCAGAATCACCACCAATCCGGCGTGCGAAGTCAGCAGCGTAGATACGACTTTCGGGGCTGATTTCAATAGTTGATCCAGGCTGTGACTTGAGAGCACGGTAGCGTGCAGATATTTCTGGGATCACCAGAGATGAGGGCGTCGAAGCTTTGGCCTTGGTCAACTGAAACTCGGGTTCTCCTTCGATGTTCTCTTCAACGGCCTTGGGATTTAATGTGACCATTAGCTCACGCCATTGCGGTGTGTTTGCAACCTTGGGCGGGGTGTGTAGTTCTGCTGGGCCGGTAGGAGTCATGATCTTTCGTGGCTGATCTGGCTGCTCATTTTCGGGAGATGGCGGAACAGACTCAAAGGCATGAATTGGGAGTGCGTCGAAGAATTCATGGGCAAAGATGAATGGTGTCTTACCTTCCTCTGCAGACCACCCAGTACTTTGGTCAGTTTCGGCCGGAATGATTGGCAATTGCGCTAGTCACTTACCATGAGGCAGAAGGCGAATGTCTTCCACCCAGACAACGGGTACGTCGAAGTACTTGCATACACTCTTGTGTCCGATCTCTGTCTCCTCCATTGCAGCTTGTTCACCGCAGAGCAACCGCTTCTGCACCTCTCTGAGGGTTGCACTTGCTTCCACCAGATAAATAGCCTCAACACTTGAAGAGAACATCCTGAAGTTGCGGAACGTCTGCCATATAAAAGTTCCGTCAATCCAACGATCTTGGCTCTTATCATAAGAAGCAAATGCAACCACTTACCCGCAGCATATCATCCATCAAAGTACCCTTTCCAGGACCAACCTCCATCAACTGAACACCACTTTTCTTCCGCCCCTGAGCCATCCACTCCGCAATTGTCCAGATACCAATCAACTCTCCAAACACCTGCGAGATCTCGGGTGAAGTAACAAAATCGCCGTTCTTGCCGAAAACACCTCCGCCCTCCCCTCGTGTTGTATAGTATCCGCCATCAGGAGAAGTCAAGACTTGACGCATAAAAGCTGCAATTGGAACAGGACCGGTGACCTAAAGCCGTGCATAGTCAGTGAAAGTGCGATTGAACCGGAACACGGGACGCGGGTATACCTTCATCACATTGGCCAATGTCTGGGCTAACGGCGTGGACCATTTTCTCTGCTCAAATGTAGAGGAGTTCCATCTTCTTGAGCATCTTGGAGCGGCTGCATTGTGAGGTCTGCGGAAGATATGCGACGCTACACGCCTCGCCGTTGGGTTCATTTCTGTTTGGTGTCGAGTCAAATCTCGAAAATGGCAAATACTGCGCTCTCGACTTGATTGATCAAAGATACACACGGACTTGGATGTTCATATCACAGTAAAAGTCTTTGATTTCAATTGACTGTGCAACACTCAAGTCCAAATGTTTCTCTGAATCTCTCCGCAAAAGCTCCGTTGCACGTGACTATATCCTTATCGATGTCTTATCTGACCCCAGTCCCAAAGAGGTAAATTGATGTCTCTACATCTTTGACAACGAACTACAATTAGGGTCGTAAATCTGTTCACGGTGCTATGAAGTGTTAGACAGCTTCTATAAATCTTCGAACGGAGTTTACTAGCTCACGCGTAATCTATGACTTAGCATTTCTGTGTTACCCTCTTTTTGGCCTCCTTTCTGTCCGTTTTCAAATACCTCGGGCTAATCGTTTGGATGTAGGCGTGGAAAGACTTGTAACCCCCGCGGTATATTGCATAAGGCCCTTCCATCATATTGAGTATGCCGCAAATGCCTTGACTAGGGCGGTGGATAAGCTTATCTTTAATTGGTGCCCTGGGAGGAAATCTTGGGTTCCAGAATATGGCCATAGAGTAGGTTCTCATTCGAGCCAAGCTGGCTTGCTGGCAAATGCAGGGCTGGGTAGCAATGATCAGAATGTGGTGATGATATCTCAGGCTTCAGTGGCTCATCGGCTGATTGTTTGGATTGAGAGGGCTGAAGTGGAAACGATTCTGTCTTTGGCCCCCGGCGGAGGAGCCGTGATGTAGACCTGTTGGTGAGACTTTTCGGTACAGATTATGATGGCATTTGGTTTCTATATAGCATGTTGTTGGAAGTAATGATTGAGTCCACGTATAATGCTGATCTTTGAATGCGTTCTCGTCCCCATTCGTGGGTAACCTTAGGGCTGGCTGATATCATGTGCTTGTGGTCAGTTACAACGAACCGCTATGGTGGACTGAAGAACTCAGCGGGCGAAAGTCATGAGGACATAGCCAAAGCCTACAAGGTATGGACATATATAAACTGCACGTATCAGATTCATCGATATTCGCATTTTGAGCTGGATGCAAAAAGAAAGTGCATGAATCCACTATTGTTGACAATATCATACATTTCATCGGATTTCAATGACAAACATGGCTCCGAGGCCATTTTATGTGAAGAAGCTCCATACGCCAGTGACTATGGTCAAATTCAAAAATCATTGTTGCAAATTTGTGCTTAACGTCGTCCTCTCCGGCGGTTCTGGTTCTGGTTACCCTTGTTATTCTGCTGCGGTGTATCTACCATCATTTCATCGCTGTAAAGACCGGATTGCGAAGTCTGCGGCGCTAGAAGATCTTTTTGGTGGCCGGCACCTCCGCGAGCGCGGAGTCGTTCTTGGTCGGCCTGCGCTCGAAGCGCAGTGAAGGGATCTTGGGCGCCGGGCTTAGCATTAGCGGATTTGAGGCTCATAGTGAGAACTCTGCCATCGGCCTTTAAGACATATTAGCATCGGCTTTGAATCGGAGGACAAAGGGGCGTTACCCTTTGGTTATCAAAGTTCGCGATCACCAGCTCAGCAGTCTGCTTCTCTGCGAATGCAAACTCCGCAACAACACTCGGCTGGCTGGAAACTATCCGGCAACTGAGCATGGGTCCAGTTGTAGGTTCAAGAGCAGACTGAATGTCGGCAGCGGTTGTACCAGGCGCAAAGTTCCTTCCTACCACAACAAATGGCCCTGAAGCGCCCTTAATGGACAGGCTGTTCCCGGATCCCCGGCTCTGTTTGGCGGGACGGACATTCGCTTGGCTGTTTCCTGCCCGGATGGCATCCCAGACCTTTTCTGACTTGGCGCGATCATTCTTCCCTGTGTTTCCGCGTGAGCGGCCGGTGTTTGTGACGGGGGTTGGCTTGTTCTTGTTGGCATTCACGGTCGCGGATGTGGAGCGCTGGTTCTTGATCGATTGTCAGGGCTTGTTCTTTTGTTATGGTCGCGTTTGTAGTGGCGGACTGGGATTGCGCCTACCTTGGCTACTCCGATCCGGCTTGCTAAGCTTCCGGGCTTCGCATTCTGTGTTCTGTTCTGTCCTCTGTTGGTGCCGGAGCCAGAGCCAGATCCCGAGGCGGGTGCGCTTCTGCGTCGGTTCTTTCCGAGTAGTTGATTTGCCAATTCCTCCTGTTTCTTCTTCTGGTTCTTCTCGCGATCTGGCGGAAAGGGTCAGAGTTGCGCGTGGGTAAGCGGAAAGGTGCAGGAATTACCGGCGAGGATAATATCATCGAAGGAAACAGGCTTCTTGTCTGCCATGTTGAATAATGAACGAAAGGCAAGATGGTTGAGCTGAAGTGGAGGTAGGGGGAGAAAGGAAGCTTGGGGCCGATCGCAAAAGTAGTTGGGGCCGAGCCGAACTATATCTCCATAGTATGCTTTCAAGTATTGCTAGTTTGTTATAGACTTTTATATTTACGTTCACGTTGACATTGACACTCTTACTTCTATTGATCTTTCATTGCAGTCATATAATTTTGCAGACTATCCAATTTGGCGACATTGATCGTTCCTTCTTCATCACTGTCGACCCTCATGTCACCTCTTACATTATCTTCCCTTCACTATTGTCTCAACTCTCTTCTTGGCTCATTTCAACTACCTTTGCATAATATCTCAACATGGATACCAATACACAGAGCTTGCATCCTGCGCGCAGCCAGCGATTCTCACTGTCTTTGATGTTCCGATCAACGAGAAAGAGAGCCAGGTAGACACAGATATCCAGAAACTAGAGAGCGTCTTGCTAACTGAAAAGCTGCCTCCCTGAGATGAATGGAGAGCCAACTTGCCAAGAGCGAGCCCTCTACCCTGTATTCGATCCTCAAGATCCTCGTCACAATCCTCAGGCACAATCCTTTTCTCTCTATCGCCAAAGATCATTGAATTCGTCGGAATCACGAAAGCGCAACCAGTGGACTCAGAGCATCCCAAGACAATCTTTTCGCAGGGTGCGGTCTCGTCTGCTGGCACTGAGGGCGAGCCTGCTACGCCGTTCCGCTGTCGAAGATGACCAGCTTGGAGATACTGCTGAATTGCGAAGTTTTGTTAGCCCCGTTGCTTTGAGGCGCGAACGAGAGCAGCATGGTCTTCGACAGGCAGCTTTCAGCTTGGATACACAAGATGATCTGGGTTTCGGTACTGAGATTCATCGAACTGGTACTCCATGGCCGACCATCGAGGTCCATGAGATGGAAGTTCACCAGGGCCATGATATATCAGACAGTGTGACTCCCGCACCCAGAATACGGACAAGGCCTTCTGGGATTCCCCCAACAACATTTCCAACAATAACAGTGTACCGAAGTCCAGACTTGATCTCTGTTGTGGAGTCGCCTTTGAGTGACCCAGTTGAGTCACCCTCTAGCCACAACAACAACGTTGACTATCAACTCGAGAGAGAGTTGACTTCGAGCACTGGAGCTGTACCGGCTCAACTAGAGCGCCAGTTGGATGGTCATGCTGCCGACACCAGCCTTTCATTTCGTAACTTAACACCACGGGGTGTTACAGGGACGACCAACAAAGAGCTCGATATGTCGTCCCATGAGCTCGGTGATACTCAACCTGCTTGGGCAAAACAGCCGACGGAAGGCAATGGAGCCCAGAGAGATTCAATGTCAGACGTAAGCGGTTATGTAGCTGTCCAACAAAGGATGCGTGGGAATGGGGAATCAGAAAGCCGACTATCTTCAAGATCTTCCAGAAGCACAACACCCAGCATCTTTCGTCATCTCAGCGTTCATACAGCATGCCAAGGGGTGAATGTCAGACTTTATCCGTCACGAGTCACGGAACAAGAGCTTGCGAGCGCCGCGACGAATCCAGCAACAGTTACTATATCGAGACAATGCTCCGCCGAAGTGGAATTTGCGTTCCCTGGAATCTATCAAGAGATGCTTGAGCAGTGGATGAGAGAGCCTCGTCAAAGTCAGGTTGCCCTTGCCACTGAGCTAGAAGGCACATCGTCCGTTTTGCAAAAGCGAACCCGCACGAACTCAGCACAACACCCCGTGGCCCAAGACGATGCATGCGATGATCTACCTTCATACGATGAGTACGATCAGGATGCTCTCATCTTAGAGTCCCCACAAAAACCCAGCGTCATAGTAGACGCCTCAGTTATGGAAGACTTGCAGCCACTCGACCACTCAGGCCCATCTTTTGCTGAAGATTTAGACCGTCAGCACTTTGACAACGGATCGCAAGGGCTCACACATTCTCCCAATACCATTGACGAAGTCTTATATCATGAATCATCCTCAACGAACGCGACAAATTTGAAGGCTCGGCACTCATTTGGCCTTCACATATCCTTGTCGTCTGTAAGTACTATGCAATGGAAATCTAGATATGATGTTTAGCTGACATGGGAAGGATACCAAGAGGAATAGCCCTGACAGGTCAAATCGCGCAAGTTACCGAGAGCCTGCATTTGACGCACAAAACCAAGGTTCTCAGGACTGTGCCTCCGGCACTGAGCATGTGAATGCCACATTCCAAAACCTACAGGACGGTCCTGAGTATCCGCGTCTCTACGCCGACAGTACATCGCCAGATTGTACATCGGCCGAAGTCACTTCAATGACATCAATGTCAAGTGACCCATGGTCGCCGATCGACAGCGAAGTTCTATTTCCAACGTCAACGGTAAACGCAAACGAATATTACCTCGTCGACGGGAAAGATAGCACTTACTACCATGATCGAGGTAACCAACCAGTCAAGACTTCCCGCCAAGCAACCAGCGAAGACAATTCCCATTGTCTTTCCAGTTTGGATTGGACTTCTTCCATTCGGAGCCGAGAGATGACTGAGGTTATGTACCCATCAAACATGTCTGTGCAGCTTGCATCGCACAGCGCTCACGGAACAGACTTGAGTTATGACGAAGATGAAACGGAGATGTATGATATTGAGTATCGTGGTCTGCCGAGTCACCCCCATTGGTAGAGCGAGAAAGGGTGGTGGAAGTCATTCGTTGATACGTTTCATTTGAGCCTCAGAGAGAAAACCGCCGATTCAATGTTGTTATTTATTACCCTCTATCCATTGTGTGGTATACAGTATTCTTAGATATTTTCAAGTTGCATGGAGCTTCAAGGCAGGAATCCATTTTGCAATCCATGCAAGTGAGTTGACCACCACGTATCGTATTCAAATAATGTGCAGCTGACCGAGAGTTCGTTATCGTTTGTTCATCTCTTGGCCAATGCAGCGAAATGAGACTATCCCAACCGGAGAGTAAATCCTGCACCTGCTTCACCTGTATCCCCTCCAGGAGCACCACCAAACACACCCGCAAAGTCCAGCTCGGGTGCTTCCTGGCCTCGCTTCGGAGCTTCAGGCGTATGATGACGCCTCTTCCTCTCCATCCCAGCCTTTGAAGGGAAAGTAGGGAACATCTCCTTTGGTTTCGGCCGTGGATCTTCACGGAAATACGGATGCGCAAGACACTGCTGCGCAGTAGGACGTGAAGAAGGATTCAACGCCAACAGCCCGGACAGAAGACCCAACCCAGAATTCGTCAGGTATGGAAATCGAGACCGAGGTAGCAGAGGCTGATTGCCAGCAGAGGAAGCGGCCGATGTCGACGGCAGCCGCAGCGATTTGGCGTTAGGCAGTGAGCGGAAACCCGGCCATGTCTGCGAGTTTGGCGGGCCGGTCAGTGCGAAGATCTTGGATACCTGGTCGACTTCATTCTTGCCCTGCAAGAGAGGCTCCTTGGTGAGTAGTTCGCCGAAGATACAGCCAATGCTCCACATATCGATCTCAGTGCCGTATTTGTCTGCGCCGAGTAGCAGCTCTGGTGCTCGGTACCAGAGGGTCACGACCAGCTGGGTCAGCTTTGGTGGCGGATCGCCGTAGTAGCGGGCCATGCCAAAGTCAGCTATTTTGATTTCGCCGCGGTTGTTCATTAATAGGTTGGAGGTTTTGAGGTCGCGGTGCATGATCCATTGTGAATGTAGGTATTCAAGGCCTCCTACGACCTGCAAGAGAACGGTTTTGATTTCCGAAGGGAGAAATGGTTCGCGCATTTCATCAAGGAGGGCTTTGAGGTCGTGTTCGAGAAAGTCCATTACCAGGAAGACACTGTTGAGAACAATCGATCAGCTTTTGTTGTCACTATAGATCTGCCACAGGAGAACTCACTCATCCAGCTTATTTCCCATCACCACTTCGCGTAGATAAACGACATTTGCATGCCGCGCCTCCATCAGCGTTTGAATCTCCCGCAGTCCTGTGACTGGGAACCCGTCCGGCGCGTTATCCAGCTTCAGTTTCTTCAGCGCAACAACTTCCCCCGTGGAGATATCCTTCGCGCGCGACACCCATCCATAAGAGCCCTCTTCAATATGGTTCAATCTCTCGAAGTTATCCACATGTCTGCAAGGCCCCCATACCCCAACCGGGAAGCGTAACAGGCTCGACCGTTTCTGTTTCTGGCCGACCCTCACTACCTCCGCATCGCTCGAACCAGCTTCCTGGTCATTCGAGATTCTCCGTCGTTTCGTCGGAGGCCCAGACTCGCCATTGGGGCCTTGTGCGTTGTTGGCATCCTGCCGAGCTTGCCGAGCTTTGCTGGCCTCGTCGAGCTTCCGCTGTTTCTCCGCCTTAGCGCGTCGCTTTTCCTCCTTTTCGCGTTTTTGTTGCGCGATAATTGCCTCGGTCTCGGGGTCGTCATTTGCCCATCTGGATTTGGAGGCCATTTTCGCCGGCGCGACGGGGGAGAGTGCGGCAGGGGAAGATTTGGGAATGACGTTGGGGGATCAGAAATGGGCCGAGTTCCTTCGCTTTGAAATCCAATTGTCGCCCCGCCTCGCGATTTAAGTACAACATGCGGTAGCAACTTCTGAATATATCTTGAGGTTCTCTCGTTTCTTCTATTTACTGCGCTTTTCAGCTGTGCACATCATTAACCCAAATACCTGCCACCGACGTCGGATCTACACTCTTCCCCGCCATGATCGAACCATTCCAGGTCTGTTTGCGCTGTGACTCAACAAGTCCTCATACTGATGCCGTGCTCAATTATAGACGACCTTTGCGGTCCCTATGACCTGCGAGGGCTGCGTCAAGTCTATTTCCAGCTCCTTATATAACTTGGAAGGTAGTCTTCCCTCCGACCCTGGCCCTATTCCGCGATCCTCCGGTCTGACCTCTCGACAGGCATTAATAAGGTAGACGCAAACCTCAAGGATCAACTAGTCTTTATCGAAGGCACTGCTCCTCCTAGTTCCATCGTCTCCGCGATTGAAAGTACCGGCCGAGATGCTATCCTCCGCGGCAGCGGCACAACAAACAGTACGGATCCCGGCAGTCCAAGGCCATTTCATACGCCAAATCCCTGAGATACGTTGGCTCACATATATCTGAACAGGCTCCGCTGTCTGCATCCTTGAAACCCACTCCTCAAGCGTCTCGGACAAGATCCGTGGCCTGGCCCGTATGGTCCAGGTTTCCTCCAATATGACCCTTGTCGACTTGACAATTAACGGCCTCTCGCCAGGCAAATATATCGCTACTATCCGCGAAGCAGGAGATATCTCACGAGGTGCCGAGTCAACCGGTGGTCTCTGGGAGGCTGTCAAGGCGAAGGTTCTTGGCTCTGAGGCCGCTGCTCAACCGCCCAAGGAGGCCCGCGGTATCTTCGGAAATGTAGATGTCGATGAGAAGGGTCGCGGCAGTGTATTTTTGGACCGACCTGTTGCTATTTGGGAATTGATTGGTAGAAGTATGGTTGTGTCCAAGAGCGCTGAGGGCCCGTTCTCGCGAGAGGATGAGAATACCCTTGTTGGTGTTATTGCACGCAGTGCTGGTGTCTGGGATAATGATAAGATGGTTTGCTCTTGCTCGGGTAAGAATGTTTGGCAGGAGAGACAAGAGCAGGTTGTTAAGGGTATGGCTTGATTGGTGTTTCATGAGCAAATGGTGTGGTGTTGTTTCCTGGTGGTTATTGGTGATTGCTGAATTTTTGGGCATGTAGCGAGAGAGTTTTCATACCCGGTGAGATGAACAGAGTTGGGATATAAGATGCCATAGCGCACAGATATGATCATGAATGGCAGAGTATGATATTGTTTCAATATCAATCTTCAATCTTGAATATAACAAGGAAAGCATATTGCTCACTCAGACGTCTTGAACTAATCCTCCATTGTGAAGAATTCCAATATCAAGCGGAAGTTTTAGTTCTTCTCTCCAAGTTGTTTCTCGATCTTCTCAAGTCTGGCAAAGGCTTTGGGTCGGATATCTTCCATGATTCCTTTACAATACTTAGCGCTACCCACGCTCTCCATCTCGTCCCAAAGAAGTCTTTTGTGCTCCATTGGCATCGTTCCTGAACGTAACCTTTGGATGAAGATGGATTTCAACCATTGATGTTCGGGAGAATGAGAAAACGTATGAATGACTGGAAGAGAGAATTTCACTTCATCCAGCTTCCTCTCCATTGACAACTCTCGCCTCTCCATTGACAACTCTCGCCTCTCCATTGACAACTCTCGCCTCTCCATTGACAACTCTCGCCTCTCCATTGACAACTCTCGCCTCTCCATTGACAACTCTCGTAGATCTAGTATGCATGATCTTTGAAATCTGGATGATTGACGCCTCGGGTGCCTTCAGCCATAGGTTTAGTGCATTGATGATAATAGCTGCGAGGTTTCTGGAAGGCATGGATCGGTAGTATTCAATCGGGCCCATTAGGAACTAGCAAATAGAATTCTGGTTAGCAAAATCTTATGACATGTGTTTCAAGCAGTTGTAAAATAAACATCGGTATCAAGCTCCTTCGTCACTTTTCCCGCACCAGTAGTGCCATAATCGGTTGGCTGAGGGACAGGCCGTGCATTTGATAATAGGGTAGCACAGGTAGCTGCCGAATCTTCAAGACAAGCTCCAATGGAATTATTGAGAGACCAACTGTCAAATAGAGGCCAGGTAGCACTCCAAAGCCAATTGCCAGAGTGCATGTACTGCAAATCCTCGAGATATGGTTCCCAATTCAGCAATACCTGATTTCCTCGTAAGTAATATCGCCCGTTCTCGATCAATTCTTACTCCAAGGGAAGAATCATCTGTCTGGCTCTATGACTAATTTTCAAACAAGATGTGCCTTTGGCATTAAGCGTTCTTTCGGCTTTGAAGCTACTAGAGATTTTTCTGCCTGTCTGTATGGTAATTCAGATGTGTCTCTATCTCAGCTTCCCTCGAAATGTACCACATGAGCACGATCCAAAGCTGATATATTACGAATTTTGCAAAGCAAAAGATCCAACAAGAACTAATAGAAATGTAAGGGATGGGGCTCTCCGAGCAGTCTAGCTTCAATGGGGAAGGTGCCCGAACCTTAAATTGAAGTAGATTCGTTCCTCCCTCTCTCCAGTCGCGATCTCTGTTTACCTTTCGTCAGCATATCCTCTGTTGGCGCAAGCATCTCTTCAGAAGCCGCAATCATGGAGGTTATACCAGAGGCCAACGATCCCATCAGGGTGAGATTGATTGAACAACTCTCCAAGGATACGGGTCGAGGTTATGTCGATAAAACCACGCACGCGCTGGTGTGGCTTTCAGATATCTCGCAGCTTGAATGGATGATGGATACATCAACATCGCGTCTTTTCGAGATTCAAGAGATCTTGGGTATATACAATGGATTGCTGCTTCGAGATCGCATCCAAGACTGTAAGTACTGCCACACTCGTCGCAAAGTCGACCGATCCACTGATGTCCTGTCGCCACGGCTCCCTACGGTTGGCACAAAGGCAAGACAGAAAATGAACTGTTCAGGCTTGGTTGGAAGAAACCTCTGGGGTGGCGTCTCTCTTTTCCTCAACCACCTATACCCCATGACTTCATCCCAACCAAGTACATTGCGTGTGGACCATCGGACCAAACAGTTCCTCATCTGGGTGGTGTGCCCGCTGAAGTGATTCTCAAAAGAACTATCGAATACAATGTGAGCCGCTTATTGACGAAGTAGCTGTTGAACTTCTATGACATATCAACATTACCAGTGCCTTGACAGAGACAAAGAACAGTGCATCCTGACAAAATGTAGCGAGCCAATTGAGCTTGCATACATCTATGCAGGATGCTTGGGAGAAGGCAAGAAGCCCTACAACAGCCACGGAGACACACCTGAAGCCGGGAGTCATTTCGAGTTTATACTTACTGCTGGAAATGGGGTTCTTTTTTCTGGAATGCGGAAAGAGTGTTGGCGTGGCAGAAGGCCGTCGATTCGCAGAGTTATTTTCGGGTACCGGGCGAAAGTATGGTCACCCTTTCGTCTAGTGCCCACAAACTATGGCAGATGGCACGGTTCGCTTTGAAGCCAATCACAGTATCCGAGGATAAAATGACAATGACGCTGCAATTCTTTTGGCTCCCGGTTGTGCGCGTTGTGCACAAAAGCTGTTCAAATTGACAGACCGGCCAGTCTATCCATTGAATCTCAACGGGGGCCCTAACCTCTCAAGGCTGAGGAACTACGAAACAATCAGAGAGATTTGTTCAGGAGACATAATCATCATCAGGACTGAGAATCTTGAGAAGAACCCCTTGCCTTCCATGGAACTTATCGAGTTACAATGGTTCTTAATTCGGGTTCTTGCTCTAAGTGGCGCGGCTGAATTCCCATTCCCATTCAATCAGAACATCGATGCTTTCAAAGGAGAAAAAGAAGATAAGGATTCGGAGACCCAGCCGGAGACACACTCGAGCCGTCTTCATTCTAGGTTTTGGAGAAGATATAGATTCGAACAAGTCGAATGATCCAAATGATCCAAACGGTCTGAGCGATTATGACTGGACACCGTCCGATATGCCGAGCCTCTCGCCATCCACAGGGGAAGAGGTAGAGGAAGAGAAACGAGGAAGAAAGAGAGTGCGACATTCTTGAGAAGGGACCGAGAGCAAATTCGAAGTATCATTTGGCGGAGATTCTTGAGCCAACCTGTACAATTATCCGAAGCAATTGAAAGCAGTACAACTCTTATCTTGAATACCTGTCACACTATCCTGACCATAGTATGCTCAAGCTATAATTTCGTGGCCCATGAGTGTTTAGAAACGCTCGGCATGGAACAGCCATATTAGTTTAAAGCCATAAGAATAAAACAATACATGAAACGGCACAACGGGGCTTGGTTCCGTTTTGTGCCATTAAAGCCTTAATGAGTGGTACTATGTACCATGACGAACCATGATGTTTAGTTGCTGTCGCAGCTCGCACAAATTATATATCGACAAGAAGACGAGACATTCACCCGGAAGAACAGTCACTAATGGACATAGACAAAGTCCTCGTTCTTCAGATCCGTCATATCATGAAGACCATTATCCTCTTCGACAGAGAGCTTTTGGTCCCGAATGTCTTCCACCTCAACCGCCTTGGTATTTTTCATTTGGTCTTTACCGAGCATAGACATGTCAGCTACAGGACCAGTCTTTCCCAGCTCCAGACGGCGCTTTTCATGTTTCTTGTTCAGAATCATAAGGTAGAACGGGGTGAACCTATGGACAAACATTAGTAAGAGTTGCATAAAAGACTGGGTAGAAATTTAATGACATACCCGCAGACAGCTCCGACCGTCACAAACATGGCGAGATTGGCAATGAGACCAGTTCGGTATAATGGTGCATCCTCGATAGAGTAGAGAAGGGGTCCAATCACGTTGCCAGCACACATGGCGATAAAGACCATACCGGAGGTACACTTTTTTTTTGTTTCACCTGCTGTGTTCTGTGCTGACCATGCGTATAGAAGTGGGGTGATAGCTGCCAGTGTTGAAACCTGTTATCTCTTCTTAGTTACCGATCTTCATACTTTGCAGATCGATGGGGCTGATTAGGGCTTACAAGATAGTAACCAAATAGCAGAACGCCCTTCTGTTTCCGAGGAACTGTGAGCATCAAGACCGTGCCGATAGTGGGCAAAACGCTGACGCCCGCGATCACGAGGCCTTTGCGTTGAGTCATTGTGGCCAGATATCCGGTGATCAGAATGGCGATAACCTGAATCACACCGAAAGGAATGTTAAACAAGATGCTCTGGAAGCTGGAAAATCCAAAGGACTTGACAATAAGAGAACCGAAGGTCGAGATCCCACCACTTGCAATTGAAATTGCAATGGTAGCAATAAACCAAATCCAAGTCTTAAGATCAAGTGCCACCTCTTTCACATGATCCCATCGCCAAACCTGAGTCGAAATACCCATCTGATTCGCGCGCAGGCGTTCCGTAGCAATAACTCTCTCACGATCACTCAAGCAATTAGCTTCCATAGGCGAATCTGGCATAAGCCAGAAAACAAGGAACGAATAAACAACTGTCAATAGTCCACAGAACATGAAGATAGTCTGGTACCGGTACAAGGTATGACTATGCACATGTCCAAGGCCGTATGTGACCAGACTACCAACAATTGCAGTAACACCATTCATGGCGCTCCAGTAACTTGTGCGCAGTGTTTGTTCGCTTCGACGCCACCACATCTGTGTTATGGCAACGCAGCATGGGGCAATGAAGGATTCAAATGATCCGAGGACGAAGCGTAGGCCCAACAGAGATCCGAAATCCGTGCAGGCCGCCATGATTGTTAGGGCTGAGCCCCAGAGAAAGATGGCACTGGCGAGGACTTTTCCACTTGGAAGTTTCACAAGGATCAAGGCTACTAGTGGTTGCATTACTAGCTGGGCCAGGTAGAGGATGGATCCGAGCCAAGAGTATTGTTTGCCGACTAGGTGGGCATCCTCTGAGATGCCGAAGATGGAGACATAACTAAAGAGTGGAGTAGGCAACGGTTAGATATTGATATTCCGCGCGGGTTGTGAGTGGTGCTTCATACCCTAGAGTACTTTTGTCCAGTTGTTGAAAGAAATATGCCCATAGAAGGAGGAGCAAGACACGCTTATCAATGCGGCGGAGAACAGCCTTCTCCTCCTCGTACGTAAATGAAGTCTCTTCGTTAGCATGGTTTTCCAAAAACTCAACAGCTTTTGAGCGTGTGGTCTTTGCAGGACGATTTTTCTTTTCCTGATTCTGCACTGGGGAAATCTCGTCCTGTGAGGAGGTAGTCATTGTGGGCAGATTGCTACAGGAGGTAAGGAACGACAGGAAATACAAGCTATTTGAATAAGAGCTCACTAGGCAGGCCTCGGCTAATTTATATCAGCCGTTTCTCTTTCAACTGAGCTCCTCCCCCTTGCTACTGGACAACTAGATTGAAGAAATAGGAACGTAAGTCGTTAGATCGGTGCACTACTGATGCCAAGCTGGAGGCGTGGCGGCACAAGATCAACGTTTAATGCAGTTTTCGCACCTATCATCGGTGGTTCAAAGATGAGCTAGACCAAATGTGATGGTCAGACACTCATGTCTTGAGAAGATGTTGACGTTTATCATGCGGGTGGAATGTTGCATACGGCATGGTCTGGCCATTGTCAGACCGTGCGAGCTTGGAATGTGAAATGTTATTTTTGAAGCGATGAGATTATTCCATCATCCCCTGCTATGTATTCTAGAGATAAGTTTGATGTACAAGTTCATAGTTCTTGGCATTCCCCCGCATTTCTCTGATATAGGGTTTCCCCGTGTTTTCTCGCATCGTTTCAGCCCAATTTACCCGGATCTGACGACTGACATTGCATTGCGGGGTTGTAGAGGAACCTTGAAGAAAGACTGTTAGAAGTGGAAAAACAGGTGTGTTGATGTACAACTTGGACGCGTGCAAGTTGAATCTTGGTCGATATCGATTGTTCTATCGGATCAATATGAATATCTAACCCTCTATCTATACCAAACTACCTCAAGGTAGACTGAGAATATCGCTAACAGTGACAACCTGCCCAGTCCGAATAGACCGATTAGCAGCAACACCAGTCAAAATAGAAGCAGCTCCATCAATATGACTAGCAGCCCTCATGTACTCATCAGGCTCAACATCTCCAAACAGATCGCGCAGCAACACATTATCGCCACCTCCATGACCACCAGCACCCTGCACAATTTCAACCTTCTGTGGCTCTTGGAGCAATGGCCGCAATAACAGCGTGATGCTTTCAGCAGCACCTTCCTTGGCCTGTTCGCCTCCAGAGTTGACATAGCTGCTCTCAACAATCTCCGCCTCCAATCGACCACCCGTTCCATTGAAGCTGACACGGAAGCCCTCCCATGGCGCGTAAGCCGTGAGTGAATATGTCAAGACGGTATTGTTCTCATACCGAACAAGGACGTTCATGGTATCTTCAATACTAATCCCGTCACCGAAGACACTCTGATCACGGAAATAGCCATCCTCATGCTCAGCATCTAGGTAAAGCGCCTTAAGTTGCTGGTTCTGATCGAGATGAAGAGCAAATGGATCATCCCTAGCAACAGCACTACCATGAGCCCGGGCATAGAACTCCGTGACACCGCGCTCCTCGGCATTCTTCTTGCCATAGAACTTCAGATCACCTTGAGCATAGACCGTCTTCGGTTTCGACTGCAACCAGAAATTAATCAAATCGAAATGATGCGTCGACTTGTGAACAAGAAGACCACCACTATTCCGGACATCGCGATGCCAGCGCCGGAAATAGTCCGCGCCGTGAGACGTGTTCAGCATCCATTCGAAATGAATGCTCGTCACAGACCCGATTGCGCCTGAGCGGATGATCTCGAAGATCTTTGTGTTGTGCGGTGCGTAGCGGTAGTTGAATGTCACCCTGACGCGCTGGTTGGTGCGGTCGACCGCCGAGATGATCTCTTGACATTGAGGGACGTCGATTGTCATTGGTTTTTCGGTTATTACGTTGCAGCCCAGTTCCATGGCACGTACGATGTAGGTGTGGTGGGTTCGGTCAATTGTTGTCACGATTACTTCGTCTGGTTTTGTTTCTGCGATCATTTCGTCGAAGTCGGCTGCTAAATAGGTTGGGATTGGTGGGTGGCCTAGGGCTTCGATTTTGGATTTAGCATAGTTGAGGCGGGTTTGATTGGTATCGCAAAGTCCTACTACGGTGCTTGTCTTGCTGTAGTCTTTTGCGATGGTCGTGTAGAAGAGGCCTGCTCTTCCTCCGGTGCCCACTAAGGCGTACCGCTTTTTCGTTGGTGATACAAGGTCTCCCATGATGAATGGATGCGGTGGGGATTTGATTAGATTGAGGTACTCGGTACGGGTTGTTGAGACGATGTATAAGCCCGCAAAGGTAGAAGGAAAAATGACTAGTTGAAAGGCGAACTATAGCCGAGCTTCCCCATGTTTATCAAGATATAGCTTCCCCCTTCAAAAGGAGGGGAAGCGGGGAAGTTACCTGGCTTTGTCGACAGTTGTTCCAGTCTTGATGGGAATCATACCTAGACTGGGACAGTCGGGCTTCTCTCCGACTCGGGTTACTGTATAATTGGTGGGATAAATGTGTCCAGGGCTATCAGTCACAAGACAGTCTTGAATCTGGGCTTGAAGCTTCTTCTGTCTCGCTCGGTCTGATTTCTCCCGAATTCTGCTCGCCAAAACCTTTCCGGGGTAACTCGTCGGGCTGTTTGACGCGGCAGCCTGTATAGATTGTGAGCGGTATCCCACGTATCGAGCTACTTCACCCGGCTCCCATGTTTGCATACCTTGAAGGGGTTGGTATGTTGTCGTAGATATATCTTTCAAACAAGTTGTCGGCTTGTGGGGAATACGAGGGCACCACCTTGTGCAGTTGAACGCGACGAGGAAAGCACAAGTATGGGACAAGGCATCCTCAAATCTTGACAGTTGTTCCCACAGACTTCAAGCTCTTGTAAAAAGCCCCCGCAAGTTATATATGCCTGGGGTGACGAGGTATCAAGGGGCCGAGTGTCGCCGTCTGCGTTGCGCTGAAATCACTCTCGGAGGGTTCCGGTACTCGGCTTCGCTATTGAACCTGTCAATGATAGGTTTTCATTTCAGTGTTCTGAGTGGAATGAATGTACAGACTTTGATCTTTGTTAGTGATTGTTGTGAACTTTAGGGGTTAGTATGTCATGGTGAGACGTGGGGTGTAATGTCCAGCAGTGTTGGATGGAAACTAAGCAAAAGAGGAGGAATAAAGAAATACCCAGTAATCTCACAAGGTCCCTCACCACGTGGTGAGTGGAACTTTACGCATATTTCAGAACACAGGCAACCCCAGGAGGGACAGTAGTCGATGGTGCCCAAAAGGGGCAAGGCAATCGATACGCACTCTAAGCGCGCTTGCCGTCACACACCGAACATGCCCGAGATCTCAAATCTGAGAGACTTTGAACTTCATCCAGAGATAGCAAGACTCCGACATCTCGGAGGGTGCCGAATCATTGATCGACAAGAGTGGATGCAGATGCAAGATAGAAGACAACGTCATTCGGTGATGCTTGATAGGTGGTATGATCAAGCTGGATCTGAGAGAGAGCCAATAGAAGACTCGTGATTGTATGCTGAGGCAGTATAGATTTGTAGGTGTAGGGTCAAACATTAACTTCAACGCCTGCGGGTCTGGGGATGTCGATCTACCAATAAAGTCCGATACGGTGATCTCCGTCTCTTAATGTTGAGGCCACAGATATTTCCGAATGCTAAGTTGACGTACAACGTTCATGTAAAAGCGACAAGGAGACGGAGTTATCAGACAGGCATCCGGCTGAACCTTCTGCCTTGAGAATACTTGGCTCTCTTCTCTTCCCCCACCATCTCAGTCGCCGGCCAAAGAGCGATTTGGGCCATTTCAGTGAGTTCATAATGGATGATCATGACTTAAACGATGTATTTTCAGTCCTTTCTGGGGTAAGCGACCGCGTGGAGACTCTCCATGAATACGGGGATGGCTTCGACGGCACGTGCCAAGACGATACAAGCATTGCCAACACTGTCAAGCTTCACGCAGTTCGGCGTTCCCCGTCTGACAAGCAGAATAAAAGCTTGAACTCATCCTGATCATGGCTGGATTAGACAACCAGACAGGGCTTCTACGCCAATGGTAGTCGAGGGGAATCAGGGAGGTCCCTGCACATGATAAGCAGGACACCCAGAACAGGCACTGATTGCCTAGGTAGGTTAGAAACCCGGGGGCATGGATGGACAGATACACTGAATGGCTGAATGTGAAGCTTACAGTCATCGATAGCAGTCTGCTCTTATCATCCAGTGATGTTCCGACGGGGTCCGACAGCACTGAAACTTCTCCACTTCGGCCAATCTGCGGCAAGTGTGAAAGCAAGCGAATGCAGAAACCCTCGGGCTGCTGATAAGCTGGAGCCACTGGCGGAGTTCTCATTGGCCACAGGCGCCCGGCAGGGGGTTCCCGAGGCTTGTCATTTGCTTGTGTTCTGGAATTTATGGAATTTTTGCCCACGCGACAGGGCTATCTTTGCCACTGTGGGGCCAACGCGCAACAGAATTCTCGCGACACTATATGTACTGCTCGTCCCTCGCGGTGGAGACAAAAAAGAAAAGAAAAAGATGTGACTCTGTTGTTCTCTTGTCTTCTCTTCATCCTGATTTCGGGTCTCGCTGAGCCTACCAGCTCTTCGATCTAAACTTATCCCTTTCTACCTCTCCCTTCTTCTTCTTCTCCTTCACTGGTGCGGAATCTCTCACAATGCTTCCTAAGCTCGCAAAAGCGTTCCGCAGCTCGGACGAGGATCTTGAAAAGGCTCCTCAGGTGAACAATGCCTCCGAGGTCAATAGCAGCAATGATATGTTCGATAACTCCAGCGACGGTGCCGTGCCCGGCGAAAGCTTCGAATACGGTAACTCGACCTACGCTAAGATTCAACGCTTCGCCGGAAAGTTCAACATTGAGCAACGTGGTGTGGAGCGAGTGCCGGATAGCGAACGGAATGATACATCGTATCTAAATATTGGCAGCATGGTGTGTTCCTGCGATTACCCGGCGTGATTGCCATGGCCCAGAGGCCCGTCCCACTGACCAAACCTAGTGGTTGGCCGCCAACATGGTCGTCAGCTCCTTTGCCATTGGTGTTCTTGGACAGTCTGCATTCGGTCTCGGCTTTGTGGATGCCATCTTGGTGTGCCTCTTCTTCAACCTTCTTGGTGTCATGACCGTGTGCTTCTTCTCGTGCTTCGGTCCGCAGTTTGGATTGCGCCAGATGGTGCTCTCTAGATTCTGGTTTGGATGGTGGGCTGTGAAATTCAGTAAGTTGCCTTTTGGACATCGGAAGAGCTGGCATGGGGCAGTGCTGATTGCTATCTTATAGTTGCCATCCTCAACGTGATTGCCTGTGTCGGATGGTCCGCGTCCAACGCCATCGTCGGTGCTCAGCTTCTCAACGCCGTCAACGGCGACGTGCCTGGATACGCCGGTATTCTGATCATCACCTTCTGTACTCTATTCATCACATTTGCTGGGTACAAGATCGTTCACGTCTATGAATACTGGAGTTGGATCCCAACCTGCATTGTTTTCTTCTTTGTACTCGGTTGCTTTGCTCACTCGGGTGACTTCTACAACATTCCTATGAAAGTTGGTGTTTCTGAAATGGGCTCCTGTCTTTCCTTTGGATCTACCGTCTACGGCTTCGCTACTGGCTGGACCAGTTACGCCGCCGACTACACTGTTTACCAGCCCAAGACCCAGAGCCGCCGTCTGGTCTTTTTCTCTGCGTGGCTCGGTCTGATCGTTCCTCTGATCTTCACCCAATTCTTGGGTATCGCCGTGATGACTGCCACCACAATCAACGGTGGAGACAACAAGTATGCCGTTGGATACGCAGCCTCGGTCAACGGTGGTCTACTCGATGCTGTGCTATCGCCCCTGGGTGGTTTTGGCAAGTTCTGTCTCGTCATCCTGGCTCTGTCCATCATTGCCAACAACTGCCCGAACATTTACTCGGTTTCCTTGACCCTCCAGGTCTTGCACAAGTACACCCAGCGCGTGCCCCGATTCATTTGGACCTTCCTAGCCTCATGTGTCTCCCTCGCCATCGCCATTCCTGGATACTCCCATTTCCAGACCGTCCTTGAAAACTTCATGAACCTGATCGCCTACTGGTTGGCCATCTACTCCGCCATTGCCATCTCCGATCACTTCATCTTCCGTCGTGGGTTTGCCGGCTACCACCCGGAAGACTATGACAAGCCCGAGAAGCTGCCTCTCGGAATCGCTGCCTCTGTCGCATTCTGCTGCGGTGTCGCAGGTGTTGTCGTAGGTATGAGCCAAACATGGTGGGAGGGTCCTATCGCCCAACACGCCGGTAATGGTGACGTCGGTTTCGAGCTTGGCTTTGCTTTCGCTTTTGCATCATATTGTGTTCTGCGTCCGATTGAGCTCCGTCGCTTTGGTCGGTAAATTTGGTTTCCACGGTGTACATAATAGGTCGGTTTGGGTCGGAATGTTGATTAAAGGCATTTGACTGCCAGTATGTTATTTTTGCATGTCCATAGTTGCATATAAATTCAGCGTTTACATTAATTTTATACTTTTGATCTTGGTCCAACGTAGATGTAAATCGTCAAGGTCTGGAATTGGCGCAACTCTAACAGCGACGTCATCTTTTTCGGCCATACACATGTTCGCTATGGTTGTTCGGGGTCGGGGTAATTCATCCCCAAGCTTGGAGGCTGAGTTTCGGTACGATATTGGGCCGGTTTGGCGCAAAGGATCGTGGTTAAGGCGTGTCGTTGGAGAGCTAGGAAACTACGGGCTCTGATTGGTTAATAGAGGAATGTGGATATCAAGGCTTACTTCCTATGCGGAATTCCGTCGAACTCCTAAGTCCGGGTTTCATTCATATTGGTCTATAAAGTAGGCGAGAAATCCGCGTAGAAATTCATTTTAACACTCGGATTCAGCTTAAATTAGATCAAAACTTGTTGGCCGAGCTTCTTCAACTAAGCTGTACACGGGAACTTCTATCGCCACTTAGCCCTAATTGATTCCGCAACCATGCCATCCAATTACAATCCAGAAACAGATGTCCCAGACCTGACAGGCAAATCAATATTCATAACAGGAGGTAATCAAACCTTTCAGATATAACTCTCTCGAAGCCAAATCTGACCCCAACCCAGGAACAAATGGCCTAGGCGCAACCTCAGCAGCCCATCTAGCAAATCACAACCCATCGCACATCTACATAAGCGGCCGCAACGAGACCCGCGCCCAGGAAACAATAAACAACATCAAATCCATCAACCCGTCTGTGGCAACAACATTCATCAAATGTGACCTCACCTCCCTACCCTCAATCAAGCAAGCCGCCGAATCCTTCACATCCCAATCCCCTCCCCCGAGGCTAGACATTCTCATGTGCAACGCGGGCATAATGGCCGTCTCACCAGGCCAAACAAGCGACGGCTACGAAATCCAGTTTGGAACAAACCACCTCGGCCACGCGCTGCTAATCAAGAAACTCCTTCCAACAATGCAAGCCACGTCCGACGATCCGCGTATCGTTATTCTCACCTCGCAGGGCTGGGCATTCCACCCGCGTTGCGGGATCATGTTTGATTCATTGAAAACAGGGCAGAATATGTGTTTACTTGGTCCGTGGCAACGGTATGGGCAGAGTAAATTGGCTAATTTGCTTTATGCGCGTGAGCTTGTGAAGAGGGTTGACGGGGTTAAAGTTTTGGCTATTCATCCGGGAATCGTGAGTACAGGTTTGGTCGATGCGTTGAGTCTGAAGAATCGGGCTATTGTTTATGCTACTGCTTGGTGGAGGTTTGTGAAGCCTGAGGAGGGGGCGTTTAATCAGGTTTGGGCTGCTACTGTTGATTTTGGGGGCCGGGTTGGCGAGGAGAAGGGTAAGGGTGGGGATGAGGGCGTCGTCAATGGGGGGTATTATGAGCCTGTTGGGCAATTCATGGAGAAATCTTTGGATTCTGTTGCCTTGGATAAAGAGGGCAAGCTTGCCGCGAGGCTGTGGGAGTGGACGGAGGAGGCTCTGAAGGGACTCTAAGGGTGTGGACCTGTCGTTTCCCGTGGGCTTTTCTTTTCCGTTATTCCGCTACCTGAAGTGTTTATAATTTGGAGGTTCTAATATGGTGATAATGTATATTGTATATTGTGTTAGTATTTTTACTTTCTTTGTTCCCGTTCATCTTGGCTGCGTGTAACTCTACTACTTTTGTGCTTTGCTACTACACCTGTTATGGAATCTACGGTGCTCTACAGACTCTGGTCCTAGCGGGTCAAGCATCATAGGGAGAGTGGAAGGCTTGAGAACATATCATATCTTTTTCCCTCTCTCTAAAATGAGTCGAAAGCTGGTGTAGGAGAGTGTCAAAAGTCCTTTCTCCTATCGCGGATATTGTAGTCTTCAACGTCTCTTCTCTTGATTCTCACCGATCCTTTTCCAGTCGAGAGTTCTGTGTATCAACCTGTAAGATACCTCACGTTCATTCTTTCCAGTGTTTTCCGCGATATTCGGGTTTGGCAGCGGTCATCCTATCACATGGTCAAATGGTGCTGGTCTGGGCGTTTCAAATGCCGGAGCAGGCATAGGATTCTTATGGCTGGTGGTTAATGGGAGCTTGATTCTAGACAGGCGTTTGCATGAATTTCTTCCGTGGCCTGTGTCGGTATGCTTAGACATACCGTAAAGTAGCAAATACAAATTGATTTTGCTCTTATGTACGCTATAAAGAAGAAGTAGAAAGGAGTAAAAGGATCGGGGCTATCACGGCCCCACGTGACTGCACCAGCCACAGCGCCACAGTAAATTATCAAATCCACAACGGATTCGCCTTTGAAAGAAATCCAGAAATTCAGCCGCAGTTCAATAACACCACTACACACACCATGTCTAAACTTGGGAAGTGAGTAAACCCCCATCGAACCCCTTCAAATCTTTCGATCTAACAGAATCTTTCAATTTCCAGCCGCGCCGACTGGGCCGACGACGAGGAATTCGATGACCCCTCCGCGCTCCCCGCGCAACAAGTGATCGCGAACAAAGACGGCACCAAGACCGTCATCTCCTACCGCTTCAACGATGACAACAAGAAAGTGAAGGTCACCCGCCGGATTAAGACCACAGTGGTCCGTGAACACGTCAACCCTTCAGTCGCCGAACGCCGCAAATGGGAAAAGTTCGGAAACGAGAAGGGCCACGCCGCCGGTCCCTCCTTCGACACCACCTCCGTCGGCGAGAACATTGTCTTCCGCCCCAGCGTTAACTGGAAGGCACAGGCCAAGGAGGCCGAGAAGGACGGCGGCGAGAAGGGCAGCATGAAGGACCAGCTCAAGGACAAGAAGGTCAAGTGTCGTATTTGTTCCGGAGAGCATTTCACGGCCCGCTGTCCTTTCAAGGACACCATGGCCCCTGTCGAGGAGGGCACCGCTGGTGCTGGTGCTGCCGATGTGGAGGAGGACAAGGGTGGTCTTGGTGCTTCTGGCTCCAGCTACGTTCCTCCTCACATGCGGAAGGGTGGTGCTGGCGGCGGCGAGAAGATGGGTGGTCGCTTCGAGAAGGACGATTTGGCGACTCTGAGAGTTACAAACGTATGTGCTGCTCTATCTGCTCTTCTACGATGGCTACTGTTGTTTTTCGGTTCCGTGCTGACTTTTCTTTTTTTTTTCTTCAAACAGGTCAGCGAGTTGGCAGAGGAACAGGAGTTGCGGGATCTCTTCGAACGGTTCGGTCGTGTTACCAGAGTCTTCCTTGCTCGGGATCGGGAAACCCAGAGGGCCAAGGGCTTCGCATTCATCAGCTATGCGGACCGTGGCGATGCGGCGCTTGCTTGCGAGAAGGTGGATGGCTGTATGTTTTCACCCTTTTCCAGCATCTACGTCGGGCAAGACAACAGAGTACTAACACCTTTTTCTTCTCCTAGTCGGTTACCGCCACCTCATTCTCCGCGTCGAGTTCGCCAAGCGGTCTACTTAAATTCGTTTCTCAGTTTTCTTTTACGACTTTCTGGATGGATTGTTTCCTTCTTCTCAGGCGGGCCTGCCTTTTGGCCGATCCTCTTTTCCTTTGTACTGTATGATCTGATTGATAATGATGATTACCAAAAAGACATCTTTCATGTCATATACTTGCATTCGTCAGATACAAAAGCAATGGGTTAGAGACATTCATTCCAACTCTACACGGTCCTGGTTTTTATGGCCTTTTTTGTTCCTGGGTAGAATCGGCGCTTGTTCATAGAAGGTTTTATTCTATATTTGCTTCAATGTCAACCACGGAACATTTCATGCTCCCCATGGGACGTGTGCCGCGTGTATTGTTCCTGGGGTGCTCACCAGTAGACATGATTGATGGCGAATCTAGCACCCGATTGAATCCTTTGATCATCTAATTTCTATTTATACATGGTTGTGAAGACTGGTTGGTATGGGGTTGACCCTCACATCGACCAAGCATGGTATATGCTCATGTGCAGGATGTCAGTCGTCCATCTCGCTCATCCAATAACTCAACCTTCTCAAGCTAGATAAATTGCATAGATAGACATTGATTCTAGGCTCTCGGACAACCCTCCATTGGCAGAACGAGTCAGCTGGACCTCCGGTTTTGACTTCGCTCAACAAAATGGCTCATATCTCCTCATTCATGAACGGCATTGACCTGGTGCAAAACCCGGCTGATAATAAACCCCCAACCCATAGAGAGGGGATAAACCATAATCCTGGACAGCAAGAAAAAAGGCGCAGGCCTCGACTGCTCCAATATCAGACACATGTCAGGTAATGGTGGTGAATTAAGCATTGAGACATCTCAATATCTGCACCTTCGCATGACAGCGGAGATGAAACCTGGAGGGATCATTCTAGAGCTAATAACGGTACCTGTCTCCGGCGAACAAGTACCCACAAGGCGAGGATAGACACACGCTATTGCGTACTATCTACGCCTCAGGCCCTTGACCCCCTCGATTTAATCACAAAAGTACCTATGTACTGATCGACAAGAGATCTCAAATGAAACCAGACACCAACCCTCGCCGGCAAAAATTGACTTAATTTGAATTTCCCGGCAACGGGATGTATGCCATTGTATAACGTAGTATCGGTGTTTCTTTTAGGAAAGAGACTGGGATGGGGGCACAAAGCTTATTTGTCGTCTGTAGCTTTTTCTTTGGCCCCGTTGTCTCTGCCTGTGGTGAGCGGATTTGCGTGGGCAGGGGTGAAGTGGAGCGATGAGGGCTTTTTCCCCTGTTGTTTACTGCTTCCCTGGAAACGCTCTTAGGCCACCGTATTCTTCTTTTGGCTTCTGCTGCCACCATCTAATATAACAGGCAGACACATGTGAAAGGCGTTCATGACTTTCCGAAGTCTCGGTGGCATTGCAGGGAATTGTAGCGCCAGAACGAAACTAGGACGGCAAGGGTATTGATTGGAGGGGTTTGACAAGAAGGGCAATTCTTCGTTGAGAAACCTCTCGGCTCCGTGCCGTTGAGCGAGTTTTTTCTTGCTGTTTCTCCGTGCTACGTCGGCGCATCTTAGGGTTGGCTGGGCGCTGTCAGAAATAGTTGACGAAGGCTGAGCATTGATTGCCATGGAGAGGCGAAAAACAAAATCAAACAGCTGACAGGTGGTTTGTTTGGCTCGCAGTGATCTTCAACTGGTCTTTCATCGACGCCATTCAAAGCATGTTGCCTACCAGACAAGCTTCATGTCCAGAGTTTGTAAGACGGCGAGCCAATGGGACCTTCTGACTTCCGGTGAGGTCCTTGTTTCGTTGTCACGTTGTCTTGCCATCGATACGGGCAGGGTCAGGATGCTTCAGACTTTGATGGAGCTTTTTGCCGGGAGCTTCTTGGTTGTGATACGATCGAATGTTGTCGGGCTGGAGATCCAAGGAGATCAAGGTCTGTGATGACAGGATAGGGCTCCCAGCCAATGACATCCATCAATATAGGGTAGCCCTTTGCCTGTATGGAGGACAGATCCCCTTGTTCATTCTCATCTCATCCATTGCAACGGGCTACCAGTAATCAGGTCAATCGTCGCATCTGGTAACCATCAATTTCGGAAGAAGTGATACGTAGGTAACCCATCACCGAACCTTGTGTCGATGTGGATCATGTCTAGAATTGTGAAGTAACCTTGAGGCTGATGTCTCGGGATGCCCGTTGAAACCTTATTCCGGACCCGACATCAGGCAACAAAGAGAAACTCCTTCCGCACTTGGTGCATCATCTGCTTCGAACCAACCAGGGTGGATGTTATGGGTCCATTGGGCGTGTCGCATTGAAGATCCCAGAGCAACTCGCAGGTTGTAGGGTCTAGAATGACAGGAACTGATTTGCAGAGCCAATGATCATTTGAAATTCAGAATATTCCAAATGTCTCGAAGTAGATCATCCCGACCCCGGAGTGTTCTTGTCTATTGCATGGACCTGTTGCCTACGGAGTACTGCCCGGCCGAACGCAGTAAAACAGGCATGGCATTGACCACGGGGCTTCTCATCTGCAGCGGATGGCACAAGAGTTTTTTTCGCGTTGAAATGCGAATCCCTCACTGACTCGGGGTATGATATGGCATGTGCACAGACTATAGACAGGGTCTGTTTGCTGGGGTTTGGGGGTGGTTTTTTGTATTATTTATTTTTATGAGACAAGCGGATATTGCAATCTCGAATTTGCTTCTAGGTTTTGATCGACCTGCATGTCCATGGTTGGATTGATGAGTTCATGCACATCCTATTAGCCCGACAGGAAACTCAAATCATCAGAATTAGACTTGGTACAGTACCTGCAGAGTCCGGACAATTATGTTTATGTATCTCAAGTGATAGATCGGAAGAGGCATATTAGTTTTGCTTATTCCAAGGTTGCAAGGTTGAAGTTTGCCCTATAGAGCAAAACCATTAGTATAGTACCACTCTATAGGCGCTGTAATAATGTAATATCTGCAAGTCCTGTACTCGGGCTCCCTCATATTCAATACGCAAGTCCATGTACTGGTGACTTAAGAGACCTTCACCGCCCCCTGCACGTGCCGCGGGAAGG